GATCAACACAGCTGGACAGGTGGTGCTTTTGGGAGGGGAGGAGGACAGTGGCAGTGTGGGCTTCGAGGCTCGGTGCCTCGAAATATCTGCCGCCTCGGGGGGTTAGTGGCCAAGGAGGAGGGGGGAGCATGAGTTTAGGTCTTTTCGGGGTGAGTAGCACGGGGGGTATTGGGACGCCTGTCCGCTAAGTTTGCGGAAAACAACCTTGGGGGTGTGACTGTGATGGTAAAAAAATAGAGGGGACCGGAAATGGAGATTGATTATGGGCATAGTTAGCTTTAAATTGCAATTCAAGGTGCTGGGAAGGCGAGCAGAAGTGCAGCGCCTTGCCTCAGCGGTTTCTACACAAATTAGCAATGCAGATCGCCGTTTCAACCTTCGTTCAAAAATAATATCGAGTACCATACACCATCAAAAGCAAATAGTCAGTAAAAAAAACAATAAATAACCACCAAAATCAATAACTCGCCCCCAATCGAGGCGTCAACTTTCCGCCGGCATTCTCTTTTGCGCCCCTCAATCGTATGCCGGTGATTACCGCCACTGTAACCGGATAGATAATTGGCGCATGCGGGGTGTGTGGCGATGCGAGGGGTAGCGGAGTGGCAGTTGTGGACCTAGCACAGGGAAAGTGTGAAAATCGGATGCGGGTAGCTGCGTTGAATCCAGATAACTTGTGGAGTACTTGGCTACCACCGGAATAGTCGGGTGGTCGCCGGAAAATTGGGTTCTCGGTTCGTTTTTCGCATTTAGAATGCATGGACAGGTGTTGAGGTGGGGAATGGGTGGGATGGAGGAAAATTTGCGGTGATGCTGGGAAAACTTTAGGAAAAAATCGAAGGTAGCTGAAGTTGGCAGATGTCGACAGGAAAACAGGAAAAAAACCGTACGTTTAAAATGCTGAAAATCCGTTTCCGGCTGGGTTTTTAGCATCTACAAATTAATAAAGGCTATAATTCGCATCGCAAACGCCAAAAACTAAACTAGTAGGTAGTCATTTTTCCAGCAATTATAAACGAACATAAGCCCGCGCTTAACTGCCCTCAAACGCTCAAAGTTCCAAGTTTTAAGCCCTCACCACAAGGAATACGAATAATACATTATCATGCTCAGGTGTCGTTGTTGTCGCTCCGCCAATTCATGGTTGAGCTGGTCGAGCTTGGTGGCTAAGCCGCTGGTTGGCTGGTGGTAGGTGGTGGTGTGTGACAAAGAATGTGGAGGGCCAAGTGGAGGAGGGGAGGGGGAGCTCCCCCCTTCTGAACAATGGAGGTGTGCCAATGCTTGTTTCGGTCCTTCCCCCCTTCGGCAGCCCACCCAACAATTCGCGCGTATGCATTCGAAAGTCTAATTTCCGAATTCTCGATTGGGGCCAAGAGCTTCGGGTGGTAGTCATTGGAGGGGTGGATATGGACAATGAAGTAGGGAGATAAGGAAAAATAGGGAATTTGGTTGTTTTAATGAAGAGAGCGAGGGAGAGCGAAAGAGAGAGCGAAAGAGACAGCATGAGAGAGATAGTTTACTGTATGAAAAAGCCGGATTTAATAGACAGATTGAGGGAATACGGGCAATGACGTACGGATAGCTAGAGAATACCGAAGTTGGTCATATTTAAGTGAAGAGGGATGCAAGAGAGAGCGAGAGAGAGAGAGAGATAGATAGAATTATCCCAAATCATCTAGGGGCTATGAACAAAAACGGAATCCGAGAACCCGAGGAAACAGCCCAATTTAAAGACTACAGCTGAACTAAACCCAAAATATCCGTTCCCTACCAACTTCCCTCTCCCCCGCACCCCTTGTCAGTCTCAACCATATCAAAAAGTGACACCATGTCCAAACGAACCAAATCAAGCAACCCATCCTCCCCTCCCTACCCTTCAAATCTTGAGCAACAACCCCCTCGATCCAGACTATGGCTGCCGAGAGGCATGAAAGGAGGTGGACGAGGTGTCCGAGACAACGCATCCACAGCTTTACCCCTCCCTCTCCTCTTGCTCCTCATCCCCTCGGGACTTCCTTCAAAGCACAATGAATTCGGGTGGGCTTGGCCCTCGCCACACAGCCATACCCTGACAAGGCGACACGTTGCCAAAACCCTTTTCCACCCCGCATCGGCTTGCGGATGGAGAGCGCAGGATGATCCCCGGTATTTGCATATTAAATTAGGGAGCAGCAGAAATTATGAAAAATTTGCATAGCTACTCTTAAAAAATATTTGAAGAAGGAGAAATCCGATCTTAAAAATGATTGGACGACGCTGTGCCTGAAAAAATTTGCTAGCATTTGGCCACGGAAACCCATGGACTTTTATGAAGTCAAAAACAGAGCTAAGATGGCATGCTTATTAGGTAAACAAAAATAAAATTCACAAGCCATTTAATTAACAGAAAATTAGCATGAGTGGTTGAAATTGCAGCTTCAAATAATATTTGGCTCAAAACAACTAAACATAAATTCCACTACAGAAACAATAGCGCCTATGAACCCTGATTTATTGCTAAAAACCAATTAATTACAATTCTATGGCTTTAAAATATCGCTTAAAGAATTAAGAGCGCTTCTAAGCTGGCCGAACGCACAACATTCTAGCACGCTGACACAGCTTTTCAATAAAAAAACTACCAAGGTAGCGCTAGACCGTGGCTCTACAAACGCGCCCTTCAAAAGCCCTCCGAACAAAAGCACCTGGCCAACGTGGACCCTGCCGGGCTGATCGCAGTCGACTCAAAGTGGAAGGTTAAGAAGTTTTACCCCCAACACCCTCCCCGAGCTTCAGGTCAAAAGGCACCCACAATCGCTGCCCCCCCCACCCACAGGGGGCAAACACAGCAATTATGTGGTGGTGGCCTGGAGTTGTTCAGGCTTTTGCCTTTTCTTTCCCAAACCCACCCCACTCCTTTAGACACAAGCAATAAGAAGAAGAAGCTGGCTACTCCTGTGTGTGGGAGGGAAGGGTTTGAGGGGCGACGCCAGGGGGAGGGGGTTAATAATTGCAGTTGTTTGATTGAGGAAGCCTCGGTCTTCTCGGGCTCGTTCGACCTCCAGCCAGGGGCTCTTGGTCTTGCCTTCCTGCTCCTTCTTGTTCCTGCTCCTCGAGCTCGTGGCACTTGGCTCTCACCACCAATTACCACGACCACATGCTTGTGCGCCTGCTTGGCTGGAGGTGGCGGAAATAGGGTGCGGAATTTTAGAAATGGATTTCAGAATGTTAAAGATTTTGAATTTGTAGGAGAGATAGAAAAAGAGAGAGAGAGAGAGAGAGAGAGAGAGAGAGAGAAAGAGAAAGAGGGGGGAGAGAGCTAGACAGGAGTGAGAGAGCGAGAGACAGGAAAATCAAGTAATCCTGCAATACATTAAACGTACGTTCGTAAAAATATCGAAAACGCTTCTTCCAGTGAGGAATCGATCAAAATTTAATAGATCAGCAACGTAGCGGTTTATCGAACCGTATACCACTCAAATCCGATTTTCATAAAACATTGCGAAATTAATAAAATCAATAATAATCAAAACCCAAGATTTCAAATCCAGTTCCCCGGACGCAAACACAACCAGACCATCAACACCCCTGGTGGGCGGAGAAAAGTTTTTTAAAGGGATTACTGTCTGTTTGACTGTGTGGGTGAGAAGTGGTCGATACGGTCTGCCGGCCGGGGCCCAACGGCTTTCGGGCGGACTGTGGCCCACAGGACCCCGATGGACGAGGCCCAGGTGCCGTGTGGCTGCCGTCGTGTTGACAGAGTGAGTGTGGCCGTTGTGGAAAACTGGGATGGGAGCTGGGGTGGGCCACCAAACACAGACCCCCCTGGGACAGACTTCGATCAGCCGCTCATTTCCACGTTATGTAAACTATCTGGAGTGGTTGCCCGGAAATGGATTGAAATTGGGGGGTTGGGTCGAGACGGGAGAGAGCTTGGGGTGGAGCTGAACGGCTTGGTGACGCCGGCGGGTTAGGACCTTGGGGGAGGCTTAATAATTTGACAGTCACTGTCCTTCATTAGTCGATAACTTTTAAATTGTAAGGTTAAGGAGATAACTAAAAATTTTTAACTCGAGTGACAGTAAAATGGAACATTAACGTGATTTGTTGATTTTTATTTTTTTCTCATAAGAATCGAGAATCCAAAATAAAACTGATGTATTGATAGTATTTTCTGTGGAATTGCTCTAGTTAAAAATTTTATTGGTTTTTATCGATTTTTAACGCCGATTTCGGTGATCTTAGATCTGATTTGGTTGCATGCCAAAATTCCAGTTAACAAGTCGGAAAAAATACAAATTGCCAGAAATAAACGGCGATTCATGGCGACAATGAGGTTGTTGAGGATAGCTGTGTGGCTATCTGAACAGCACAGTGCCTCATCATTCATGCAGGTCGCCAAGGAACCGGCCCTACCCTCCCTCGAAAGACAAAACCCTTCCATCCCTCCATTCCGCGCCACTCCCTCTCGCCCGTTTACAGGTGCTTATTAGGACAACCGGGTTAATTATACCCCACTACCAATTTCGTACCAGCACGATTACTTTTGAACTAAAAACTTTGAAAACTGAGCGGTGGGCTCCAATATATTGTTTGGAGGCTAGGGGGTAGGGCTTGGAAACGGGGCAGGGCAGGAGAAGCCGGTTAGGGCTTAGTGTGAGGGATTATGCGGGAAGGAATGGCACTCCTTCGCCTAGTTCCAAAAGCGAGCCGCACTCCGTCTGCCTCCTTGATTGAGCTTCGGGGTTTTGCGGTGGGTGGAAGGTGTGTAGGCAAAATTTTTAGGCTGAAAACTGAGTATGGAAAAGTCCAAAATCTTGATTGGATCCGCGGCTCTCCCTAAAAATCAAAAATTTTTGCTTTTTTTCAAAAGAATGTAAATACGTAACTGGACTGTTTTATTAAAGTACCCATAAAAAACATCGAAACGAACAATGACAAGACAATGGAACACATATTAAAGCACCCAAAAACATGTACCCGAGTTTTTGCGTATTAGATTAACTGAACAATTGAGATTAATGCACGACCAAAGCTCCCACAGAAGTCAAATTATAGTATTTACTTAAATAGTTATTCTCGCATGGTGGCCGGCTGTGCCACGCATGGATATCCGCATAACTTTTCCTTGGCAAAGTCCCGGCGATCAGCTTTTTGCAAAGCGCGCAAAATCCCGTCTCATCGTTAACTTCCGGAACCACCCTGAAATGGTAAAAAATGGCAAATCAAAACATACCGATAATTTTCTTTCCACTTGAAATACTGTAGGTAAGTGTCTTTCTTTGAGCCGATAAACTTAAGGTGTTGCACCATGAATTTTAGGCTTTTGTAGTCATCGATAGCTATGTAAGCTGAGTCGGGGATCTAAAACCGGTCGTGATCACTTTGTTTACACCGACTTACCTTCAAATTCTGATATAGAGATCTTTTCCCAACGATCGGAATGGCTTCTCGCTTTGCCAAGGTATAGAAAAATTTCTCCGTGACGTAATCCTCACAAAAAGAGTTTTCGATGGCCATATAGAATTTGAATTCTCTAAAAGTACACGATTTTACCAAAGGTTTCTTTGACAAACTTGACAATTTCCGTAACACAATCGTCATTCTGCTTCCCAACTCCGACGCAATCCTTTGGTGCGGGCTTCCCACACGCACCGTAAATTTCGATCTAAGTTTGTAAATTCTAAATTATAATTCTATCGAATTCCCACCTTTAAGCCAGACATTCGAAGGGCCTGCATTAGCTCGGAACGTTTATTTGCTGTTTGGCAATTCGAACCGATCCATACGGCCGATTTATTTGCGGATTTGTGGGCCCATATTCGCTCATAGTCGACTTCCGCCTGAAAGAACAATAATGGCTTTTTTAATTTAATAATTCACCTTTTGTTTCAGTTTCTTCATATGACCGTAAGGATACCAAATATCTGCATCCCTACGATAATACATGGTCAAATTAAAATAATCTGAAAATGAAAAACTATTATTAATGAGTTAAAAGCCTACCCTTTTTCGAATAGAATAATGTATTTGATGGGCTTTCCAAAGCCCATAAAATATAGGGAATATCAGGATTTCTATCTTTATCGAGAATCGTAGGAAAATGTAGATAATCGAAATTCGGTTGGTGAAAAAGAACGGCTGAGGCGTTTGGAAAATCATTCGGATTCGAGGTTAGATGACACCATCCCTTAAATCTACCGCATTAAGACAAAAACCGATGAATTTACTTGTTTATATTCATTACATTCTCTCAAAAATCGTTCATTAGTCATTGGATCACCAAAAAATGTTGTAGCTCCATAGAGAAGGACATTTGGATTTTCAGGGGGTTGTTCTAAAAAAGTCTATGGTCTTCTTTTTAAAACCCAACCTGGTTCCGCAGTGTATTCCGTACCAATCGTCGCATCAATCACCACATCTCGATCCCAGAATAAATAATATACAGCGATGATCAGCACGCAGATCGTGAAAAGCCGCAAAAAGCTCTTGTGCATCGAATATTTGGGCGGCCGGGGAAAGGTATGATGATGCGGCCACGGCGTTTCTATTTGCCCAATACTCGATTCGTCGTCGACCCTGTAAAAGTGAGCATCTTTTGGAACATTTCCCCGGCAAGGGTAAATAGTTGGATTGAAAGAATTATCGATCGGGATAACTTGCCTAGTGATAAACATGCAGCACTTTTTTGGGGGTCGAGGAGCTGGTAATCGGATCCGTGGAATGTTTTTGGGCATGGGTAATATTTGGGAGCTTTTTCTGTTGTTGGGATTGGGAGGGAAAACCGGTTTAGCGCAGGTATTATTGCGTAGAGTAACTGTTTACGGCCACTGGGTTATTTAGCGTTCTTTGAAAATTCAAGCTATAAGGATTACATCGAATAATAATAATAAAGAAATAAGGGCTAAGTATGTATCTTTTTTTATTACTTTTTCAGGAATAGTTTTTCAGGGATGCCTTCTTGTATATAAACAACGCTATTATGATGTTCTCTTTTAAATTATATTTTTACAAATTCGGCGAAACTCTTTTTAAAAAAACAATTAACATTAGGTGTAAGTGTAAGTGTAAGTAGATTATTTACAGGTTTGAAGCCGATACTTTCCATGCTTTCTCGTTAGGATCCGGGCATAATCATGCATCGCCAGACTCTAGCTGGTCCCAAAAAAGAAAGAACAGAATTCAAAAACCGTTTTCAACCCTAGTATGGTATAAAATAGAATGAATTATCAAAGCGAGCAAGGGCCAAGGCGAAACCATAAATTTGAATAACTCAAAATTGCATAATTCAACCCAGCATGCCTGCAATTCCATAAACAGAGCTTGGAGTGACTGCACCGGACCCAGGGCCAAACACGACGAGTCAATGAAGACAAATATTCCCACCGGACTGCGGTTCCACCACACAGCTATAGGACACCACCGTTAGAGTCGGGTGGTGGTAGAGGGGGAGGAGGGCCGCTGGCTTGAAAGCACCACATAAAGCGGCGAGCCCCACACAAGACTAGCAAACAACCAAACACGTTCAACATATTGTCAAGATGTATCATTTTCGTGGAACAGATATGGTGAAGAAGCTGACCAAAATTTTTAAGGTCGTCGTGCAATTTTTTCATAGCGATGTAAAAACAAGACTTCAAGGGACATTAATTCCGCTCGCTGCTTTCGACGCCGTTGCGACAATCGAGCCAAGGTGTTTTCGGATTTTGAATACTTGATTAGAATGCTGGATGGTCTTCATGTTTCCTATATTCCCTTGACCCACATCTTACTACCGTATCCTCTGCGCAAATAAACACATATTTATCCAAAATAGCCAAAAGAAATGCATTTTAGTCATCGCCTAATAAAACTTAGGTTACTGCCACCGTCAGACGTTCTGTCACTTCAGTATTCCATGTCGGAGGAACGGGCCTAAATTTGAATATTGTCGTGTGACCCCAATTTTTCAGCATACCCTCTTAATGGACGGACCACGATGATCATCATCCTCATCGTCATGTCCATAATCAAAGGAACGGTGGCTGGCATTAAGACGATGCTAATACAAAAATATTAGATATTTTTTAACTCAATGCAAACCTGTACTCCTCCAGTATCGTTACTACTGCCCTGTAGTAAACCGATTTGCTGAAAACCACAAACTAGAAAAATTATTGTTTTTGCTTTTATCCAAAAAAATTGATGCCCCATTGCCCCCAGGTGCTAGGGCAAGATTGTCTTTTTTTACCGAAAGGGAGCAATGCAATGACACAAGTGGACCCATTAATATTAAATGGCTTACCTCAAACAATTCCCGGCGCAACCGGACGATATGGGCAGCCACCTCGATACGACTTCTGAGGTAGACATTACCGGCTCGAAGGCCATCAACTGTATACTCTGGGGTCGGCACCGGGTGTCGCATCAGGAAATCATCCTAAAAATTGATAAATAGCAGGTTATAGAATTTATACGTATTTTAAAAAATAATAAAAATGGTGAAATTATCAAAACCTACCACCATGCTTTGCAATTGTTGCACATCCCGTTTGCATATCGCGTAGTTCATACCAACAACCTGTTCTGGGATTGTGGGCGCGGCGTACTGAATTCGTTGTGAAAATATTATTTTTGGTGATTTACGCTTTTGATGGCAAGTAGAGCATTGGAATATTGGAACATAAGACGTCGTCGGTCGACAACTAGGGCTTCGAGGTCAGTGTCGAGCGACTGGCTACGCTCCAAGTGGGTTGAGGTTTCTGGGTCCCAGCCCATTGCCCAAGACATCTAAATTTTATCTATAATATGTAATAAACATATAATTCTATGATATTAAATATTATGGAATTAAATATATTCGAAACCATCAGAGCAGGGTCATAAGGAAAAAAGTAAGCAGAGTAAGCCTTGAGCTCTACCGTCATAGATAAAACCCCGCTCCCATACACAGAACTTACGCCGCAGGTTGCGTGTTGACTAACACCCCCAAGTAGTCACCAAACCACTACGTACTACCGCCTTCTCCCGAGAATCTACGCAAGCGATTAGCTAATTTGATCAGAAATGGACGGCCCGCTGGGCGCTAGATCCAACCAAAGCAACAATCCGAATTGGCGCAAGAGGCGAATGGCCTGTTGCTAGGAGCCTTTTTTCGGACTGCCTCAAGATTTCAGGTGATATTCCGGGCAAAAAAATGGGATTGCTGGAATGGATTTTGGGGTTGGGGATATAGTTAGACTTATTTATTGGTTAGGCTTATATTTCGTGAGCAACACGCCAATTTGGGAGGGTAGGAAGTTCAGAAAATTCAAGCGTTATTCAACAGCCTTTTGAAAAACTATTATTCGAAGAAATTCCGTGAGGCGGCTCATAACCTGAAGTCGAACTGTAGGCGGGACTCGAAAGATACCTGGAGACGAAATAACATCTTAAAGCCAACGCCGCTAGCGCTATGTATTTAATCGAATCATTAACTTTGACGTCAAACAGGTCCCCTGCGAGTTCCCGCTAATCGAAATGCTCGAGCCGCATTTTTTTGCTAGAAAAAGGCAATGCCCAAAAATGCGCATGATGGCATGGTTTATCGAATCTAGTGTGAAATGGTTGGAATCTGGATGTGGGACCTGACAAGTGGATGATAAAAAATTTGTGAAGAGTCCGCCAAAATAGTCTAACCGGAAGGCTTATTCCGGTAATCTGGAAGGGGGAGTGGCATCAAGAAAAAACGAAAAGCGACAAGTATCCGGCAGACGGAAATGGTTTTGGATATGTCCTGTCGGTCGATTTTTTCGAGTGTCTGTAAATGTGAGCTTTCTGGATAGTGAAAAGGGTGTAAGGTGTTCGATTTCGGGCTCAGAAGGTTTGTCAGAGATCTTACAAAAGGTTTTCGGCGGCAGTTATAAAAGGAGAATTAAAATATTTGTAAAAACTGTCTGTTCTTATTTTAGCGCAAATGCCATGCCAATATTGCCATCGGCCAACCAGGATATTTCCGATCCTATTCCCCGACGCCGCAGACACCAGGTGAACCAGGCATCCGATCAAAATGTTGTTCACCATTTAGCCTATTTTTCTCACCTGCTATGCCATTTCGAGACGAATGACGCGTGTATAGACGACCATTTACTTGGAACGATAGATGTCGGGAATAGTGGGGACTCAGCTTAGAACCCTACTGAAATGAGAATCGGTTGATATTAAAGCTACTCTCTGGTACCTACCGTAACCCTCCTTGCTATCCCGTGTGCAACCAAAGAGCAACCACAGATTGTGCCTTTAACATGGATTAGAAATAAAACCTGGGTTTAAGCCTGAAAACGTTATATGACAACTTCATCAATGACAACATTTCATTCGGATCGTTTCGGCGAGATAGGGACCCCGAGCCGGTCAGCGGCAAATATCCTTTAAATTCGGGAAGCGCTTCCACGCAGGAAAAATCAACGGACACCACTTTTAGGTTACGCTTCTCCGGCCATCAAATATCGAACCGTCGATCGTGTTTTCGGTTCGAATCCTTCCGGATTGGCCGGCTGATATCTTGGCCTAAGATCTAAAAGCCCCTCGATTTGGGCCGAGGGACAAGACGCCATTTCGCTAACAGCTCAATCGGCTGCCCAAGTAAATGGGGGATGTTGTTTCTGTTGTCCAAAAGCGTCAAAGGGCCATTAGATAGTCTTGCTGACCCTCAGCTGGACGTTCTAAAGCACTAACCCGCCACCCGAACACCAACGCTCCTTCAACGCAATTCTTGTCAAGCCCACCTCTTACAACTTCTAGCGTCATCAAGCTTCATTTCCGCGGCCGTCATTGATTTCCTTACCAACCATTCGTTTCTTGACACCCGACGATTTTTGTCATAAAACGGGGATTGGGGGCCCGCTGAATATATCGCAAATCTAAACTATTTTTGGCCTCCAACATTTCAACACCCACACCCAATTCGAATGCGTGGCCTTCCGGATGAGTGGAAAACATCATCGAACTATTCGATTTTCTGGGGTTATTTTGTGATTTGTCAAGATGGCGGGGCCCATTGTTAATCAACCATCGCAAAAGCAGAACTCAATTAGGACGCCTCCTCCACCATCTCCACACCTTCGAAAAAATGAAAATGTAGTTCTAATTAATTCCACGATTCATTTATTATATAAAGTGCTATGAATTGCTTTTAGAATAGGCCACGTACCCCTCAACGCTGTAAATCAAAACTTACCATGAAGACATTCTTCCGCTTTGTGGATACGCGCGCCGTACCTATAGCTGAAAAGCCCCAACAATCGCCACGTATGCAAATTGTCGGCTTGAACGTAAGTTCTGTTGCCAGCAACCACATGCTTTGTTTAGTTTGACGGATTACCGGATCCGGTGTGGGTTTGTGATAGAACTTTCACAACGGCGACGAATACTATGCCTTTGAGAAAAGGGCAAATTCTACAAGGCAAAGAGGCTGCTGTAAGTGTTTCGATAAATTATTATATATCGTCAATGGGTTTAAGGATACCGTGGTAAAACTCGAGAGCCTACCTATATGCAACAAAGTATTTTGGGGGAGGAGGACGAATGGCAAGGGAAGGGTACCAAGGCCAATTTTTGAAGTAAAACTAACTTTTTCGAATAATCGAACGGCCCATAGCGCATCAAGGCGGAGAAAGGCAATGGCCGAGCTCAAGTCCGAAGTTGGTGATAAATCATTGTCATCGATGTGTTTCCTGTTTCAGAAGCCGAAGCCCTTGCCAGAAATGGTGGCCGAAGAAGCTGATGAGCTAGTCGAGTCGAAAAGCGCTACGATTTTTCCAGTGGTCCGGGCTGCGAGGTCAAAGCAAACTGCTGCCATAAGTGCTGAAGCCATCGAAAGATTCGCTGAGGTAAGTAAGCTTTTCTAAAGCAACGGAAACATCTCATCCATAAAATGAGGATTCGCTCTTTAAGGAGACGTTAAAGTTCGGCTCCGAATCCCTCAGCTAGCCAGACGGTTAAATCTGATAAAAGGTCTCCGTAGACAAACTGTCTAGCCGCCTCAACCGAACCAATCAAAGTTTACATCTAAACTGCCCTTACCGAAAATCCGCCCTGCCCTAACTAGGGAAGTCCAAGATACCCGCAACACGATCGGGCTGAAAATTTGCACAGTTATGGAACCGACCATGCTGATCATCGCCTCATTTTCCGAATTTGCTACAGAGCTTAAATAATTAAGATATTAAACTTTTAAAATGCGCCAAAAACCCGCTACCCTGACCCTGGCTTACTAGAGCGGGTGGGGTTCAAGAGGCCTTTGGGAAGCCCCGATTCCAGAGCTTCGGTAGTCAAGTGGTAAGCGCCTCGCTTCCCAGGTGGAGGGTCCGGGTTCGGACCCGCTTCGCGAATTTTTCTTTTGCTTTTTGCTGATTTTGCGCCGCACATGTGGCGCGTGCCCAGATTGTGTTATGCACACGCATTTACGTACATCCTAGAAATGAAATTCAACGAAATCATAAATTTATGAAAAAGTTCATAGAAAACACTAGTAAAAAAATTGTTAAAACCGGTATTCCGTAATTCCACGGCAGCAACGGGCTCATCTGCGTGTAGCATAAAACACAATCTGGACACGCGCCACATGTGCGGCGCAAAATTAGCAAAAAGCAAACGAAAAATGCGCGGACCGGGTCCGAACCCGGACCCTCCACCTGGGAAGCGAGGCGCTTACCAGTTGACTACCGAAGCTCTGGAAAGGGGGCTTCCCAAAGGCCTCATGAACCCCACCCGCTCTAGTGAGCCAGGGTCAGGGTGGCGCGTTTTTGGCGCATTTTAAAAGTTTAATATCTTAATTATTTAAGCTGGGTAGCAAATTCGGAAAACGAGGCGATGATCAGCATGGTCGGTTCTATAACTGTGCAAATTTTCAACCCGATTCGTGTTGCGGGTATCTTGGACTTCCCTAGTAAGATGTTTTGTCTAGTCGATCCGAATGCCTGCGCAGCGCTACGAAGCGATGAGTAATGGAGCTGTTTATCTAATGGTCAGTTATTTTCGCTGAATATCGATTGCGCTTTTGCCACAGGCTACCGGCTACGCGGCATCACATTTGTTTCTATTGCGCCATTGGGTTCCGGTTTCAGGATTCCCGGCTACTCGTCCCATTGAAGTTATGGTATATCTACGCAACTTATTCCTTCATTTTTCTTTCAGAATTGGGGCCAACCAAATAATCAGATGGCGCTGCCGTTGTGGAGGGGTCCCTTCCAAGTGGCTCAAATCCATGATGCTGATGCTCCCATGGTTCCGTCGTCGTCTCAGACCGACATGGAGTTTATGCTGAATGTCTTGGGTGGAGGCGGAGCTCAAGTAATTTGGGTTATGAATTTGTGAATGCTTCTAGGGAGAAGCCGAGGCGGTTGCAGCCTGGAAAAAGCAGCAACTGACCGACGAGAAGCCAGCAATCCTGAACCCTTGGATCGTGGAAAAGCGGCTGCATCTTTGGCCGGAAGGGGTCTGTTTTTCTTTTTCTATCGTCGCATGTAAATTATTTTTAGCCCGTCAGTTATCCGCTTAGGGAGGAGCCACAGCTTCGTCTGCTCGATCACATCAAGATGAAGGTAACAGATCCATAGCAACTCGGGGTTAGCGGGCGGAGCCCGCTAACCCTTTTTGGGTTGAGGTACCCCCCCACGCGGCTCTTTTTGGGACCTTTACCCGGTTTGAACGGTAACCATGCATCGGATCGTAAAACTAAATATACCACCAGAACCGGCCGCATTTCTTGCATCACATAAGCTTTTTAAATTTTCAAAAAAGTTAATTTTCGAATTTTAATAGCGGTTTTATTTTGTACTCAGAGGGGGGGGGGTCTGCGTTTGTCAGGATGTCTGTGTATCCGCAAAACCTTTGTAGTCGTCGAAAAGTGCCTTCCCATGGACGGTTTTGGCTGAAAATTTGCCCAGGTATTGGCTTAATGCTAATCTCGGACAGGAAGAAGCGTTTTTTTCAAAATAGGCCTTCAAAAAATTTTAATTTAACTTTGAAGTTCAAAATTTAAATTGGAGTCAAAAGGTATCTTGTCGACTTCCGTTGGCGCTGAAATTTCTCATAGTGATGCACTGTACATTGTTTTAATATTAACTGAAGAGATTATCGTAAAATAAAGCTTCTACGTTGAGATACGGCCGGAATACGTGAAAATCTCAGGTCGCAATACGGGGTGCGCGCCCTTTCTGTGTGGGCCTCTCCTTGCCCTCCCCACTAATAGAAGACCCCTATCTCGTCTCCCCCTCCCCCGCCAATATTAACAGACCACACTTGTTACATTATTTTTATCAAACTTATTTGGTTTGGATAGGGCGATTTTAGCACCGAGGATCTACCTTTACGGTAATCACCACGAGCGGCCCCATCCGCGAGCCGATATTTTTGGCTTTGGCTATTTAGGGTCAGCGCCACAGGCAAAAAATCATAATAATACGTGGTAAGAAGCGCCGAAAGGGAAATAATGCAAGTAGTAAAAATCATAAGGGCTTTGACCATGATGTACGGTTATTATAGCGAGGTCCTAACTATTCTTACGATGGAAATCATCATTTCCTGGGTAAAAGCCCCCGAGTAAATACCCAATCCCCAAGTAGAAAGATATGCAGACTAGATGGGTTAGCGCAAATTTTAAGCTTTCCCAATGTGGTATTGAGCCGATAAGAATTAAGTAGCAAGCGTATTTGTGTTGCTTGTTCTATTATAGATAGCTCTAGTTCTTTTGCATAAAGATTAGGTGACGTGGAGAGTGGTTTTGTGGGGGCATTAGTGCGCCTTAGAGCCGGGTTTCTTTTGAGGTCAGGCAGATAATGATAGCGACATCTGCCCTACGCGGGAATAATAAAAATAACCCCTGTTCCCGCCGCCAAAATACAAAAAAAATTCTTCTGCAGACAAGTGGATCATTGTAAGAACAGCGTTCGGTCAAAAAGAGCAAAATTCTTTTTAGCTAAAAAGAGATTCTTTAAAAAAAGGGTTTTTGGGTTCGAAAAAAGAGTGATATTCTCTGATGCAGCAAAAAGCGTCGAATTCCATAACCTCCCAAACCTGAGAAAATTCGAAGGATCAACCAAAAATTGCTGGCACCTAGGAAAAACTCCCTAAATTTTTGCAATTAAGTTTTTTTATTTTCGGCAGATTGAAATGCTCCTGCTCTATTCCTAATAAAAATACAAGCTACTATAATTGCCATAATTATGCTATTTGCAAGCATTGCGGACTCTAGCTTCAACCAATTCGAACGTTCAGCTGGCAAACCGCGTGGGTACTGTGTGATACGAAGTCTAGAAACGAAGGTGTCGGGACGAAGGACATCTAGAAATGGCACAAAAGCTCAAATTTAAAAGTTAATGGTGTTTGAAACTGTGCTTTAATAACCCAGCAATTTTTGGTTGATCCTTCGAATTTTCTCAGGTTTGGGAGGTTATGGAATTCGACGCTTTTTGCTGCATCAGAGAATATCACTCTTTTTTCGAACCCAAAAACCCTTTTTTTAAAGAATCTCTTTTTAGCTAAAAAGATTTACATCTTCACGTTGGGATTTAAGACTAGTCATTTCGAGCCGTGGTGGTGTATGATGCCGGAAATTCTGCCAGAGGTCGATGAAGAGGTGGTAGATGGTGCGGCTTATCACTTTCCTCCTCCAAGGATGGCCACCCCGCCACAGCCTGTGGTAAGTGAAAGTAAGGTCGTTTCGGTAATTTTCGGCGTTCCGTCAATATTTCCGTTAGACAATTCGGATGAATTAATTCTACATTTTAAGTACGATTTGGATATGCTGGGCCAAGACCTTGGCTGTGAGATTGTGGCCCCTTCGAAAGAGAATCAGATTCACGAATTCGAAACCGTCAACAAATCCACGGACAATTGAGGCCAATTCAAGCGTAATTTATTGATGTTATTCCCAATATAATTATATTTTTGCTTTGCAGCTGGTCTGACCTGAGAGCACTACCGTAGCTTTTCACAACTTAAATTTATGTTTTGAACACTGCTAGCCCTGAGATTGGAAAAACAAAAGCCGGAAATATGCGTCATAATGTCTACTACTGGTAATGTAATTCCCGCCATTTTAGCCCGGTCTCCTGATTTCCATTCTAAAATTGAGCAAAACTCGCCGGAAAACGCATCTAACCCGCAGTGAACTTGTTAATCATATCTAACCGTGCCTTAATGCCTCTTGTATGCCATAATAAACATTTACCAACACCCAACAGCTGCTAATCTCCGATCAGTTCCAGTGACTACACTATATGACCTGTTCTGTAGTTTGTTGCGTGATAAGAGGGACAACCCCCGTCCCGTTTTGCCTAGAGATGGCGATCGTTTTTGAAGACGCCAGCCAAATTGGCTTTATTACGGGTTGGTCGTCGCCTTTTGGGCCATATTGGTGATAGTCAACGATTCATGGCCACCTCTATAAAACCGCTCAAAGGTACTTTTAGTGACACAACCATCATTAATCATAAATTCAGGAGTGAAGGTCATCGAGTTCGGCGGTCTAGCCCCAGTTCCACATTGTGGATTGATTTTGGCCGATTTTGGAGCTGATGTTACTGTCATAGAGAAGGTACGACAAATACGCTAATTTCAAAACCAAGTATAGAAAGGTGGCGGTGAAGTGGAACAACGTCTGAATCGAGGAAAGAAATCGATTGAAGTCGACCTAAAATCTAAGGATGATTTGGCTAAAATCCGCGACTCCTGCTTGAATTCTGACGTCATTCTGGATCCTTATCGACCGGGAGTACTGGAAAAGCTTGGGCTGGATCCGGTTGAGCTACTCAAGGTAAGTAGGTACCTCTCAATAAGAGAAAAATTTGTTTAGGAGAATAAAGGCCTCATCGTGTGCCGGCTGACCGGATATGGACAATTCGGACCGATGTCTCAGGAAGCTGGGCATGATATTAACTACGCAGCGATCACCGGTTACAAAAACTATACAAAATTTTTACCTTTTTTCTTCAGGTTTGATGCCAACTCTAGCCGGGCATAATCGTCGACCTTGGCCCCCAGCCAATCTATTGGCTGATTTTGCGGGCGGTGGCTTGACCGCGGCTTTTGGGATTGTTTCCGCTCTTTTTAATCGTAATTCTAATGGTAATAAGCTAACTTCAAATTAAAATAATGGAATCAGGTGGTCACGGCTGTATCATCGACGCCTCCATGACCGAGGGAATGGCTTATTTGGGTACATTTGTTACAATGTACAAGGATATGGATATGCTATGGAATATTCCATACGCTTCCTTCTCCGGGGATTGCCCTATTTACAGGTGGATTCACTCGAGAATTTATCTAATTAATTCATTTAGAACTTATGAAACGAAAGATAATAAGTTCATGTCGGTCGGCGCGTTGGAGCCAAGATTTACTCAAATTCTACTTGATGGTATAACACTCTTTCCAGGATAAAAATCAAAATTAAGCCCTGGACATCGATCTGACCATCGGGGATATTTATTCAAGACCCGCTGAAGTTGTCGAGATCCTCGAAAAGACCTTCAAATCCAAAACCCGCGACGAGTGGACAAAAATATTTGAAGGTATCTGGGTAGCCGAAGCCTATAAAATCTGTCCAGGAAAAGACGCGTGCGTGGCCCCCGTTCTCGACATCCACGAAGCCGGCAATTTTGCTCACAATTCGGCTCGAAAGACGTTTGAGAAGGAGGGGGAGAAGTGGATTCCAGGGCCGGCGCCGAGGCTGTATACCAAGGAAGAGTTCAAAAGGATTACCGAGGCTACAGGGAAATCGAAGCTATAATTAATGATTAATGTTGTATAAATATGATTTGAATGTTGTTTGGGTTGTGTGTTTTCAAAGTGGAGTGTTTATCCTTGAGGGTCGGCTTGGGTGGGGTTAGGGGTCGAATTTCACAAATATTTGTGGGGTTTGAGTAGTTATTATTCTATTGCTGTTAATGAGTAATACCTTAAAATTACACAGAAAAACTGGTGAAATATATCGTTCGGCTACGAAAAACTACAGTGATTACCAGGGTTGGTCACGAAAAGAGCGGGAGCTGGGAGCGGGAGCTGATTTGCGAGCCCCGCTCAAGAGCGGGAGCGGGAGCTGAATATCCTCAGCTCCCGCTCAGCTCCGGCTCTTGAGCCGGCTCTTTTGAAAAAAGAGCGAGAGCCGAACCCCGCTCAACTCAAACCGGATTTGCAAATCAGATACCTATGCAAATAAGGCAATGCAAGGCCAAAAAGATTCAGTTTTATTGGAATTTTGGGAGATTTGCATAAATAACTAATTTGCAGCATCCGGTGGGGTAGAGCAGGGTACGGCTCCCGCTCTTTTCCAATAGAGCCGGCTCAAGAGCTGGTGCTGAGCGGGAGCTGAAAATTTTCAGCTCCCGCTCGGCTCCTGCTCCCGCTCAGCTCCGGCTCAGCGCCGGCTCTCAGAATGACCAACCCTGGTGATTACTGAGATGGTAAAACTTCTCGCTTTTCTTTGGTAGACACTCTTAATTACTTGGATTTATCACAATCCATGAATTTTGGCATATTTAAACAACTATAAAAGTTTCCTCGAATTCCGACACTGCTTTTTCGTGTTGATGCTCATTACGGGGGGGGAAGTAGCTCCTGGATAGGGATGTGGATGGGTCGGCCGGGCTGGCGGGTCCGCTTCCGTTGCTGTCCTCTTTTCCCCTTTTCACCCCCATGCCCCATATTCTCTCGTAATTCTTTCGCTGTCTACCCTCTCCATCTCTTCCATTCTCTATTTCCCACCACAATCGATGTGTCCTCCCAGAGAGAAGAGAGGCCTCTCCACCTGTCTCGTCCTCCCGTCATCGCCTGTTTTCTAAATAATCCACCTCCCCGCAATTCGGACGGGGGGACCCTTGCCCCCTGGGAGACCGTTATTAGTCATTGAGTGGTCAGCTATTTGAATTTCGCGTTGGTGCGTCGAGGTTATCGATAGGATTTCTGCATTTGACGCATCTGTCGCAGCCGTGCCTTTTTTGGGGAACCGGTTTTGGGCTCGCCTTTCGCAATCTGCGTGCCTTCACAGCTCTCTCCTTTTTTTGGGAATGCGGATTCATTTTAGCATTTATGTACGGTTAAAATGTCGGATATACATTATATTATGTAACTTGTATATGTCCGATAAGTTTCTATAGCTAAGGTTACGTTAACTTTTGGACACGTTTTGCTTGTAGGTGGCTAAAATTTGAGTCGTTGATCCAAACCGAGCGAATTTTTCCTTGTTCCAATTCTGAATATGTTAAGATTCTAGAAAAATTTAGACGTTTTGTAGAGGTGGCGGTCCCATGCTATCTTCAGAAGTTAGCTTTTTGGCTAGTGATCTATTTTTTTTTGTTTATATTCTCAAGTGTTTGTGTTAGTCAGCTGACATTCGAATATACCAGTTTTCGTCAGCTATATTGATTCGGGATGGGGTTTTTGACGCCTGACAGATGGAATAGGATCGTGTCGGGGTGTGTGCAGGTCTGTCTGTTGTTGTAGAACGTGGCATTGGGGTGGAATTTTAAATAAGGCTTAGTCATACTTGCTTAGCCTTCGATTTTTTAGCATCCTTTTCATCATATGCGCGGGAAAAACCATATTTTTGCATCAAATCGCTCTAATCAATCGCAGTTCTTTGTTAAGTAAGAGAATTTCCTGTAGTTTTTACCCAATATATTACTATTTTAGACAAACGGTAGAAACTCATAAAGCCGATTCCCACCCAGGTTCAACCCGATTTCACAGAAAAACAGGCCTGCCAAAGTCTGGTGCGGCAATCCCCCCTCGTTGCAGTCACGTGAATGATTCATTCGCCCTTCCCTTTTGGACCCTTTTCATAGAGACCATTCATCCCTTCCGTTCTCTCGATATTATATGCCCCTTCTCACTATCCCGCTGTGATGGCTAAAAATATTTAGAATTTTTTCAGATGTCGGCGGGTCCGTACAACTACAGCTACATTTTCAAGTACATCATCATCGGTGATATGGGTGTCGGCAAGTCATGCTTGCTGCATCAGTTCACCGAAAAGAAATGTGAGTTTGAAAACATGGAAAAGAACTTAGGATAAGTTCTATTGAACCTTAAAAGGGATTAGGAGTAGGTATAATCCCTAGCCGACCCTGATCTCAATGACGGGGCGCATCAATGGCTTAATCCGGATATTAGATTTGCTACAACACTTTCAAGACCATTCAATTAAGAGAGCGCAGGAGATAGAGGGAGAAAGAGAGAGCGAGTGAGTGAGATTGAAACCCACATCCGTGAAAATCACGAAATATTTAAATCTTTTCCAGTCATGGCCGACTGCCCACACACAATCGGCGTCGAATTCGGCACCCGGATTATCGAAGTTAGCGGCCAAAAAATCAAACTACAAATCTGGGACACGGCCGGCCAGGAAAGGTGCGTTTTACTAAAATACAAAAAACACCGCCTAACACCATTAGTCAACCTTATTGCTGGCAAACTACCGCTTTTTGAGGTCGTTCCTATCAAAAAATTGCCACTTTTCTGAGTTCTGTTTATTTTAAAACTAGCACCGAAAGTTAGTCCCTCGTATCCGGGTCACGGACAATGCCCCCACCCCATCCACCGTTGACAGCTTTTTTCAAGGTTCCGCGCTGTGACACGATCGTACTACCGCGGCGCTGCTGGCGCTTTGATGGTCTATGATGTGACCCGGCGGTCGACTTACAACCATCTATCCAGCTGGTTGACTGACGCACGAAACTTGACAAACCCGAATACGGTATGACGGCAAAAAAATAAAAATCTACTATTTTAGGTCATCTTCTTGATCGGGAACAAGTCCGACTTGGAAGCACAGCGTGATGTTTCTTACGAAGAAGCAAAGGCGTTTGCTGATGAGAATGGGTTGACATTTATGGAATGCTCGGCAAAGACGTATGTCAAATGTTATATTTTTTAGCGGTCTTTCTTCTACGATAAAGGGCGTTGATCTTTGGCTAGATACCTTGAATCATCCTACTTTTCAGTGGCGATAATGTCGAGGATGCATTCTTGGAAACTGCTCGGAAGATTTATCAAAATATTCAAGATGGAAGGTACGGAATACTTTTCCTTTTGAGTAAACTCTAAATTTAGCCTTGATCTGAATGCTGCCGATACCGGGGTACAACCAAAGCAGACAGTTCGAGCATCGGCCAGTACGGGAGCACCTAGTGAACGGAAAGAATGCAACTGTTGATTGTAGTATCGTAACAAAAGGTAGTTATTATAAATTAATTTATACCATATCTGTTTTATTAAAAGCTCAGCGCCTTTTTGAGTTGGAGGGGACTTATCATAAAAATGGACTTCTATTTCTTCGATTGTTCGAAAATATGAGCTAATTTAATTATTCAAGCAAGATATATACCTCCTATGTGAGAGGAAATACAGTACTTTTTCACATTGACATCGAACTCAAATTTATTCCACTTTTTCAGCTTGGGGATCCCACGTAATAATCCAAAAAAATGGTGCCCTCCGCCTCGACCACATTCATCTGCCCCCGTTTCGCCTTCTACTCGATGCCGGTCGAGCGACAACTCCTAACCTGTCACTTCATGCCAGTCTCCCTCTCTACCGCCCGGATATATATGAATATCTCTACTTATTTATTTGTTCTTGCTAATGCCCCTTATGGTTCTATGCAAAGGGATTTCCCTGTCAACAGGAGCCCTGGACTTCTGAAAACTGCTGCATCAGACAGCTCTTTCGCGGAAAGGTATTTTGAAGTGAAAAATATGCTTTTCACTTCCTAGTTCCTTTAACCCAACCTCATTTCCTATCTTTCCGGTTGTGTGAATCATATATCCATCCTTTATCTCCCTATCCTGCATGCATCATAAATACCATACCCCGAGTGCTCCTTCCCTTCATGGCGTTTCTCCTCTTCTACCGTACCCTCCATGGCCATCCATCAAAATTGCTCCCACATCGTTAGTAAAGATGAATCAAACGGCGCTTGAGGACAACCCGTTAGTTTTTTGGTCCCCTCCAAAGCATTTATATTCAGTCCGATGTTCGTGTGATAACTGTGCTTCTGTGGTTAAGACCGCACTTTTGCACAAAGAGGCGCCACTTTTACGTTTCAGCTTCTTTAATTTATTCATTTTTTCGAATTGTTTCCGTGCTGGCAAAGATTTATGGAAATAAAGTTTAAAAATGGTGATTTTTTGAAAGCAAACAACATACGAATTTTACAGCCTGCCCTTAACACAGAAAATCTCTTAAATGAAATGGCTATGGCAAGCGATTTTCTATTTGCATACCGCATCAAAATGTGAAAAAGCAATACATTAAGTTACATTATCAAATTGTAAAACATTAAGCCGTAAGACAAGAAAGCCGCTGCGAACGAAAATGCGAATTGTAGGATGCGCTTAACGCGAAAAATCTGATTAATTTATTACCAATGGCTCTTTTTCTAATTTCATACAACATTAAGGTGTGAATGAAGTATGTAATAAATTAAATTGTGATGAATTAACTATGAAAATTTAAATTCAGCTGGCTAGCAGAATAAGCTAAGAAGCCAGTTAAAAACGCCTATGAAGGGCTTCCGCTTCACAAAATCTAAATTTGAATTGCTGGAAATAATTTTTTGCTATTTGGACGTTGCGGTGAGGTGTCGGGGATGCAAGGTGAACAGCTCCCAAGAATCGCCATCAAAGTAGCCCGCCCTCCAGTTTGACGATTTCCTTAGAAAATTTCTTCAAATTTCTTCGACCTGCAGAACCCCGTCCACCCCCCCTCCTTCCTTCACCCTCAATCATTTTAATTCAGCGCCCGAGTGGGTCCTTCCCCCCTCCAAAAAACTGACTTCAGAATGGCCGAGCACCGAGGGGAAACACAGAGATTCGATTAGCTTTTCGACCGACTCTGGGCGGCTAATTGAAAAGTTTTTGGGGAGGCGGGATGTGGCGAATTTGGCACCGGATGGAGGTCCATCCTTGAAGCGACTCGACGGGCCGCGCTTCACTGCCTCGATCATTTTGGGACATTAAAAACCACTTTCGGATGTGGGGGAGGGTGGTTTTAAGGAGGGTTTAGAGTTGGCCACTATACGGGGGCTACGGATGGAGGGTCGACGATTTGATTGCGCATGGATGGGTGGGCATTGGTGCCAATTTCGATAGGATATTAGGGTTGGGATGCAGATTGGTCGCATCTTGGTTTGGAGGGTGGCTTATTGGAGGGTAGAGGGTGTTGTTTGGATGTTTATGTAAATTTTATATTATTTCTTTGAGTCGATCTACCCTGTTAAAAGCGATTACGCGCGATGATCTTACTTTTGTTTTACGTTTCTTAGAATAAAAAAGGCAGATAGGAAACCTCTTTATGCGTTATTTTGGCATTATTCTATCTCGTCCGGTTTCAGTGGAGGTCAACGGTTAGTATTTTAACTTCATTAATTTTATCTGCTATTTTCCATATTTTCTGATAGTTTCGTCAAACAAAAATATTACGTCTGAATATTTTTTCAGATTGCTACTTTGGCACCCCGCCATCAAACCCTACTTGGAACCACTAGTATAACCAACCTGAGCCGTTTTTATAGCCCCCCTTTTTATGCGAGCCCCTGGACCGGCCGGTGGCCATTCGGTGGGCCGCCGGATTTGATTTTGTTCAAATAAAAGATGCAGGGCCTCGCGCAGAAAAGCCGTCCCGCCACAGGGTCAATTCCTAATTTGAATACACACACACTCGCTCGTGTCCCTTCGCCTTCTCCGTGGCCAACCAGGAATCAGAATCTTACACTGGAATTCTGCTTACTATCCATCTTTCAAGTTTTTGATTCATGCGAGGCATTCTGGTTGTAGGCAGTGATTCTTTTTGCATTTGCCATTTCCAAAAACCAAAAACTCCTCCTTTTTCAGCGTTCGACCCCAATTTCATATAGTGTTGAACTCTCCTGCCACCCAGCCCCTGCGGCCTCTTGACAGGGCATATGCTAATTTCACCCCGGGGAGTTCGGATTTTCAATTTCTTGTCTTTCTACCCCCAAAAAGGCCCATAGCCTGGCCAAACGATAACTCTTCGTCTCCCCAACCCCCCCAAGCCAACCAGATTCCATTTCGGCTTCGGGCTCATGTTATCTTTGAAACAATTTCCTTATAGTGGAGGCTTTAAATGTAAAGGGTTTACTTGTTCTATTTGTGCATGTCTTCTCGACAACGCTATTTATGAGAATTGGTTCATCAGATCAAAATCACTTTTAGATGAGTCTCCGGGTACTAAGTTTATTGCTAATTGTTCGAAGAGCTACTGCTACAAATCAGCCATGCTTCTTGAGATGCAAAGACAATTATGTAAGTGATACTTTTAAAATTTCATTTTCATTCCGAAGTGTAAATCTTCAACATATTGCTAAGTAACCACTTTCATAGAGGACCAAATTCGATTTACGGATAGCTCAATTATTCCATAAATATTTCCAAAAACTCTAAAGAGACGTTTACATTTTTTCTTTTTTTTTTAGAAGTTCGCTTTCGGGACCAACCTAATTTGTCAAAAACTCCCGAGGGTTTCTCAACAAACCATCAATCTTTTTTGCCGAAAACTCCCCAACAAAGATGGAACGCCTAACGGGTTAGGGAGTTGCGTTCGGGTAACAAAATAGTTTTATTTTACAAAATCATTTGATCAATGCGTACCAAGCATCGAAGTATAATTAAGAGGTCAAAAAAGCTACAAAAAATACGTCAATGTTTTTAAAATGTTCTAGATGAATGGAATGCAAGAAACAATGTCCGAATCTTCAGCAGAATGGTCGTTAGATATGGTGACGCCACTACAGTCCATGCTATTAGCAGATCCAGGGGTAAAAGGAGGGATGGAGAGGCGGATCGGGAATATTTGCAGGTATATTAGTAGTCAAAAAAGTTACTTTTTAGCCTTAATGATATCTATATGAAATGTCTTAACGCATGCGAGAACGGGCCTGCCAAAGATATTTTGATCACTGGACAGCGGTCTTGGGAGATGATATGCGACGAATTTGGAGCAGATACCGGTGCGTGTAGATGCTAGGATTTTAGTGTTTTTTTAGTTTTTTTTTTGGCTAATCTTATAAAAATTCAATTAATTACAGAATTTCGTTGGGTAGTCCTTCCCTGCTGGGCCGATGTTGGCCGTGAAATGTCAGACCGCTGCGCCGAAGAAGCACAACAACTCCACTCGGAAGTCCTAGGCCTTATGGAAGGGGGGACTTCACAATATGGGGACTGGCCTGGAAGCTCTTTGCAAGTAGGTTTGTTCAAAATTTTCCCCCTTCTCCATTATTTTAGAAGTTCCCACGATTATGACAAATGTTTCGTACGCCAAAACTACGACCGTTGTGGGGTCAATGCCGGAAAATTCGTCATAAAACTGATCCACGTTACTTCACAGTGAGTATTTACTCTTTAGAAGTGTACCTTAATTTTTAGTTCACTGGTGGAGCTGATCAGCAGCACTTCTGGAAGCAAAGATTTACCAAAGACCTGCAAAGACTGGTTGAACCAGAAGGGTCTGGGCCCGAAAGCCAAGCAAAACCGGAAGGAGCGGACATCTTCTGCGAATTTTCTAAATGTCGTCTTGATGTTGTCGTCTGTAGCAACCTTTTTTCTAGTTAGATAGTTGTCTTTGATTGTTATAATTGTTTGCTCACTTAAAAAGCCAAAATTACCTGGAACTTGTGGTTTAATAAATCGAACACTACCCACAGTTTTGATGGAAATCTCGCAAGGGAGCTGTTTTGAATAATTGTAAGTGCTTTTCTCGTTTTCAGAAAAAAACTCATGCCAATTTTTCAAATCTAGAAAAAGATTCCCTGCGCCCTTTGTCTCAGGCGTACGGTAGTGGATGGGGCCGTAACGTTAATTGCGCATAATCGGGGCTGATGCAAATCAATCCCCATGCCAGTGACAAATGCCCATCAAATGGGATTCCTCAACGCCTAGCCTCCCCCAGCCAAACAATATACGATCGGATTCTTGTGGATTTGCATTTTTGGTTCTCGAATCCCGGGATGGGGGGTGGGTGGCAAATCGGGGAATCCCACTGGGAGTCATTTTTGTGTTTCCACACATAATCTCGGATCCATTTCGCGGGGTGATTTATGGGGTGGGCCTTAGGTTTTGTGGCGGAAGGGCATGTGTTGAGTGGGGTTGCTAGTATCCTGACTTTTATTACTATTGGGTTAGGAACCAGGAAGAACCAGGATAAAGGAGATGTTCTTATTCACACCAAATTCCATTTAGAATCTGGGTATACCCAGTTTTCCGGCTAAAAGCTATATTTTTTGGGTCGACCGATTAAGCTTCCGCGCGTTATGCAAATTCACAATTTTTGCATGCAAATCACGGCTTGACCCCGTTTTTTACACCAGGATCATGAAAAAGCGTAAATTGTGCTTATTTGCACGCAAATTATTTGAAATTCTAATAAGGACCGGAGGCTTCAACAAATCCTCAGATTTGATAGTGGACTTGATTTGCATAAAAACAGCTCTAGATAGAAGCTACGGACGCGCATTTTCGCCTCCCTACTCCTTCCCTAAAGCCTCAACTTAGCGCTAAATCAACAAGTAGCTCCTATTCCTGCTACAGATCCCTTACTTCCCCGATCAGATTGCCCATTCAACATCTACAGCAACGGGTTATTTGAAGAACATAATGCCCCCCTCAGATGTCATTCACCACCCAACCTTATCCCCCGCTGTGCCCCCCTTCTTTGGTCGTTCTCTCGGGTTGCCCCACGTACAGTACGGCAAGAGAGAAAGGTTCCGCCCCCCTTGACCGTTGCAACTCGATCCCGACAACCACAAATTAACTCCGGAGGGCTCAACGCCGCGGCTTTGCATAATTGCGTTACATGACCCTTTTGGTACTCGAAATCAAAAGATGCGCATGGGTGTCTTGGGGCCAGCTCGACAATTGGTGGGGAGCGGTTTTGGGATGATTTGAATACGGGAGAATGCAGGAGATTCGCACCAAGATTGAACAAGTTTTTAAAACTTTGTTCAATTCGTGATAATTTAGAATAAATCTGATCTAAAATGCTTTTTATCTTTCCAGATTGACCAAACCCGTTCGAAAATTCATTCATGATAATTATGCTGCACCAGCTTTTTTTGAGTTTCAGGTGCATTTTAAAAATCGCGTAATGTTTTAAAACCTATTTGAACTGTGCTAAAATCTAAATATCTAGGCGCAAAACTGGTAGTGGTTTCTATTGATTCAACCAAAAAAATATGCTAAATAATACTGGATTTAGCGCGACTGTCTCTTAATGAGTTCAAGTATCCAAAACTGAATTAATAAACCTTCCAGTCGCCAGACTACTCCAAAATACCTCAACCCTTCCATGACTCTCGAAACTTCCCTCTTGACCTGACTACGGTAAGCAACCCCGGGGGTTCGCATCTCATCGCCAACCCGAAAGACGCGCCCATCCCTGCTCCTCGCCCGGCAGATTGCCGAGCATAAAATTTTACGGTTGCGAGGAGCATGCGAATGAGTCCGCGAGCTGTGCCCTCGTCGGTGCCCAATCAAGCCCCGCCGGGGCGGCTAGATTATTTTCACTCGGTCGGGCTGAAGTAGCGACTTCCCCCCAACCCCGTACTCTTCAATAAAGGCATGCCGGAAGATTACACCAACGCTTTCAATTATCGTAATTATGGGGTGGGTCTAGATTCCCATTTTGGGCAGTAGAGGCGGGTTGTGTGGGGGGCAATCCGCCTCGTGTTTGGTTCGGGCCGGTTGGGCCACTGGGTGATAATAGCCGGCGGGTTGGTGGATAGAATTTCGACTCTGCCTCTACCACCACGCAGCTGCACACCTCAAGGGGCAATCAGAGGGAGAGCACCTATGGAAGGTTGGTAAATAGCTGAATTTGGATATTGGGTTGAGTGGCCTACGATTTTAGGAGGGGAATCCGGCTTTGGAGGTATATGGAAGTGTGGGTATGCTAATAAACTGGTAGCTTTGCAACCCAGGATAATTTAGAAATGGATTTCACTTAAGATCCCACCTTTTTAAAAATGTTGGATGACAAAAATCTCGAAATGCATTTTGTTAACGTTTCTGTTTGGCTAAACGGGGTCCAAAAAAAGCTCTTTTAGCTAAATTTTTCCAATACCGTAATCGCTCAGCGATTTTCAAAGAACGGGACTTGTTTATAATTTTAAATCTATGGAATAAACTGTACCACATCGCCCAAGCCACAATATCGTCTGAAACCACCCCCTTGTTAGCGCTTATGGAAACTTCCGGTTACCTACAGATTCAAATACCGAACTAATTCTCTAAGGTCCATGGTTACCGAAACTTACCGTCAAATTCACAACGTTTTTCCTCGGAAAGTCAGCTCATACAATAATCCACTGCCTCCCTAACTACAATCTACCCCTCCTGACATCCCCAGCACCTCTACCCTCAACCAAACGCCTCTCACCTCCTCTGACTGAAATATTTCTTCGACTCATGTTTGCCCAGAAGCGCCCCCACCTCCGAGCGATGGCACCTCTCCGCTTTCGGCTCTGGACGAGACTCTCCGAAATTGAATCCTGACTCGGTAATCACTTGAAATGGAATCCGGCACCTCACCTTTCCCTTGGGACCGAAGCAGCGCTACATCTCCCGGCTCGAGCGATGGCCCATGGGCCCTGGGAATTATAGTTGGGGTGGTGGTTGTGCCCATCGAGGGTGTTGGTCAATCAAGTGGTCTGGGTGGGCAATGGGCAAACAATGCATCGGATGCGGTTGGCACCTGCAAATGTATTAACTTAGGAGTTCAATAATAGATTAGGTAGAGAGTATCGGTTGATATTTTCTGGATTCCAGGCACAGTTTAAAGGAATAAATCTAGCATCGAGGGAATCTAGACTACTGTAGGGAATGTTCAGAAAAATACGTGCCGTTTGTAGCGACGTCGAAAAGTGTCCGTTTTTGGGGTTGGGTAACTATTCCAGGCTGTGGACTACCAGCTCTTCTGGTTTTCTGAAATAAAGTTTTTAAGGCATAGTTTTTCCCAACCGGAAACCATAAAAATTGTAAATTTAAGCAGCAGTGACGCGCTAATTATCGTTTCCAAGAAAGTTTGAAAAAATGCAAACTGTTTCCTTTCCTGCCTTTTAGAGAGCTTTCGAATGCCATGAAAATCATCGCGATCCGCGCTTCCTCCTGATCGGTAGTGAGCCGCTTTTTTGGACACCCTGCATTTCCCATCTTCTTTGGAAAAATTTAGATATATCCAGTTCTTGCCCCATTCCCAAATGCAACAATTACAATGTCACTGAAATTTCGGTATTCCACTCCTCCCAAGGGTATTTAAGAAACGAAGAAGGTCGCCACCGAGCCTGCGGGTGATGGGTGTCGGAGAATCGCATGCATTCCAATTGGGAGTGCACAGACCTCCTTCTCCTTCTCCTCCTCCTCAAGCCTGGGCCCTTCCCGCCCCCCCGGGGGCCCTCCGGCAATGATTACCGGCATCCGCATAATCGGCCCCGTCTCACCCCCTCTTCATTTCCGAGGACCCCAATTCGCATATTTTAATGGAGACTCGGCTCCCTCGAATGCATTGGCACGAACCGTTCCTTGCCTATCCGGCTCGGGGAAAAGGACAGAGCGGTTGGGTTTGAAATTTGCATTTTTGCGGGTTTTGGAAGAGAATTCGGGTTTTTGGAATACGGTAACGACGGATCGCTTATTTCAACAATCCTTGATCGAGAGAAAATAAAATTCCAAGTGCCATGTTATTTTGAAATCAGTGCTCATAGCCTCATACCTCAAAATTTATGCTCTTGACTACCAGACACCCATTTCTCCCCCCCTTTTATTACCCATCTTTCAGATTGATTACCGTCCGATTTAGTGCCCCGGTGTGGTCCTTGTATTTTTATGGTTCACTCCCCCCAAAAACACCAGCAAGATAAAGCACAGCTGAAATCTGTTACTCCCCCGAATTCCGATCAACGCCGCATGGCTACACCCGGATTCACGACCCGGCATCCGTTTTAGCTCCCCCAAGCCCTATTAGCTATCAAGCCACTCGTTAATTTACAACTTGCGAACAAACTGTCCGTCCTTTGCCTGTTATCAATCGGCTACTGACAGAATTTCTTTGATCTCACCCGACATTGGGCTGTGATTGTTTCGTGAAGGTTTTGCCGACCTCGAATTCGGATGCTACGTCAAGTCTCGAGGTTTGGCCACTCCTCAAATCCTTAGGGCCGCAATCAGCGGTTGATTTAGGGACCCAGGGAAATCCCCCAATAGGGAGTGTCTAGCGGTTGGGTAGGCTTCGAAAAAGGTTGTACATTCCTAAACTCCCCAAAGTTCCATCAAATCACGGCGCAATTTTGATTCCCCTTTCCTCTTCCTAACTAGTGACCGTAAGGAATTGTAAATTCCAATTGATAAGCTAATCACCGATGTGAGCACTGTAAAATATTTGGATTCGCTGCTTTGGCCACCGCCATGTGGATGATTTCTATAGCTGGTTGAATTGGGGGTGTTGGGCCCCCGGATGATCCCCCTTGGGCCATCTACCCGGGGAGGGCGGGGCCAACCACGACACCGCGATGGCCAATCAACGCTCCCACTCCCCTAGAAGGACCCAAGACCCAGATCCCACCGGATGGGTGGTACCCAGTTCACCTCATTTCCGGAGCACCATAGCCATTTTGCGGAAGATCTGGGTCGTGGGCTTTGAGCTCTATAGAGCTTTACCGTATAATTTTTCGTTACTTCCTCGGCTAGACCTTTCTCATCAACTCACTCGTCTGAATCTCTTTCTAATCTATATCTCATATTTTAAAATAACACCTCAATTTTATGTGACTTTTAAGGAGCTGTTCTAATTTAAGGACTAGTACATCTACTCTTTTGAATAACAATTTCCCCGTCGAGTCCACAATCACAACCCGCCTATAAAATTTCAACTTCATCCATGCCCCACTGCAGATTTCCGAAACCCGAGCACCTCCCGACCTAAACCCGAGTTTTCAGATGAGTTTGCTGAAAGAGTCTAGTCCGCTGCATTCGCTATTTAGCGTCTCCAGCCTGTTGGGCGAGGTCAAAACAGGTACGGATTTTTCATTTAATAGAGGGATTTTTAATAGAAATCTTCTCTTTGGAATACCGCATTGCCATGACTCGAAAAACCAGCCAGTACTTTGTTATAGAGTCAGTATCACCACCACCAGAAGAACCTGAAGGCTCTGAATCTATGCTACAAAAGCTCGCCTCAGCTTTTGCTGCCCAACAAAAATTCCTGCTGATGCAACAAAGTGAGTGCTTTAACTAGATTTTGGGGGAATAGATTCCGGAATCCCCCATATTGCAACTGACGATTTGTGCTAATCTTGAGCCGACGACCTCGGCCACTCATTCCCCATTCAATGCGCTTTTGATGGATGAGCACTCGTCGCGGTTTAGCTGCCTATGAAGCCCCCGAAAGGAGTGAGAAGGGGGGGGGGGACCCTGCGGACTAGCATGGTTGGGGCAAATCTGTCACGGAATGTCCGTCACAACTTCCCCGGTTGGCGATAGATGGCAACTCTGGGGACGAGATAGATGCTTTGGGGGGCAATTTGGTTAAAAGATTGTTCGAATATTAGAGGGAATATGGAGACACGGGAAGAGCTAAGCGGTTAATATTAATAATCCTCCGAGAAGTGAACCTTTTTAATGGAGACAAACCTTGGTAACTTCAAAATCTTAAATTCGGGTTACTCCAAAAATCCACACCCCCCATCAAGATGCAAATCCCAAAGGAACCCACCCAACCAACACCCCATAAGGGTACCCAACCGGATGAAGCCGCCAAAAGACAATAAATTTAGTGTTCGCGCCCCGATTTCCCTATCTGGCTGCCGGGCTGGTGCCAGGCCTACCACCGCTTTTCCCCGGCCTTCCCATGGCCGGCTTCCAAAACCCATTCCTTCGTCAAGGGATGAAGCTCGGGAATCTGCAACGGTTGGCTGAAATGCCGTTCGAAATGCCGAGAGAGGTGATTGGCATGAAATACCCGGGTTCATCGAGTTTCTAGGCTACCCCGGAAGCACCTTCACCTTCAAATATCCCGCCCGCTAGCTTGCATCCTTGTCAAAAATGTTCAAAGGTCTTCTCGACGTCTACAGCTTTGGAGGTATCTGAATGTTCTGAATCCAATACTCTTTTTTACAGCAACACGCCCAAATTCATTCCGTCGAGAAGCAGTTCGAATGTAATCAGTGTGGCAAGACCTTCAAACGATCATCAACATTGTCCACACATCTTCTCATCCATTCTGGTAATCAACCACGCTATTTTCCATAGCCTAGCCTTCATTTCAGACACCCGACCATATCCCTGTGAATACTGTGGCAAGCGCTTTCATCAAAAGAGTGACATGAAGAAGCACACCTACATCCATACAGGTAGTTTAGAAGAGCTTATCCTGTTTTGAATTTATTCCCTGAACACGGCGTGGCGTCGTAAATCAGAATTAGGGAGGCCCGGGGCAGGGGAAGGGTTGGCTAGTGCATCTTTATTACCCCGGAGGCTCGTAAAATCCGTGGAGCCCCACCGTAGCGCTTTATCAATTAACCGGTCACGCTGAAATCAGTGTTTTTCGCCGGGTGGACAGGTTGTAAAGGTTGGCCGTGATTTGTTGGACGTGGGGCTGTACAAACGATTTTTTTAAGTAGAAAACAATCGTTTCAAACGTTTGAAAACATTGCATATTTCACCAGAATCCGAACGCTAAAAGTGAAGATTATACTTTGTAGGCGGCTTGTATAGGTTACCACTACGTCCGGAAAATGCTAATTGTTTCATAGCTACTCGAGGTTGACAGAGATTTTTACAAAAACTTAATTATAATATCGAAATCAGCTGATTTAAACCATTTTTGAAATTTTGCAGTAACCTCGAGAGGACAACGCTTTTAATGTCATACAAATATACCAATAGCTTCTCACTCCATCCAGTTATTACAAAAACAGCGTTACCGAAGTTGTATTTAAATCCACATCAAAGTATTACTTTAATGTATAGTAGGATAGCCAAGCTAAACTTGATCATACCAACCATCTTCCCGGAAATCATTCCATCCCCAACCAATCCATCCTCCCCATCTTGTTGCAGGGTGTCAAAATCCGGAAGGCCCTCACGCGACCCATCTGATTTACGTGTCTTACCCCCCAGCCCCAAGACCCACCCCAAAACCCCAAGGCCCCCCTGCCACACGAATCCGCCGATTATTTGACAGCACGAAAACAAATTAAATCCCGCCACCGCCAATGAGACGGAGGGCCCCCTGTGCCCCCGGGGCCTACGGGAATCCCGGGCAGAGCGAGATTGGACACAACCACCCTCCCCGTGTTCCGGATACCCACACACCCCGAGGAATCATTCGGAAACCAAGCTATGAGAGGGATTTTTTAGGAGAAAAACCACATAAATGTACGGTGTGTGGGAAGGCGTTCTCGCAGAGCAGCAATCTGATCACACATACGCGGAAGCACACCGGGTTCAAGCCGTTTGCGTGTGATATATGTGGACGGACGTTCCAGGTAAGGATATGTTCTGATGCGAGTTTCAGAAAAGTCATTTGTGCAGCGCAGCCCGCAGATTTTTATAAGCTCTACGCTCTCAAAAATGCAAAAGTTCGCCCGATTTTAAGAGCTTTCTTAAAAAAATCGGGAACTTTTAGCCCGGAAACCGGCATAAATCTATCATTTTCGCGGTTTTCTGTCTTGAAAAACGTGAATTAACATATTCCATCCAGAAAAAGAAGAGAACTGCTTATTTTGCTCGTCTTTGAAAAACTTTCGCTACATACCAAAGTATCAAAATCGGGAACTTCTTCCGAGTTGCTTACGTAATGTGCTTTTTTTTTGAGGCATCTTCCCTATCTCCCTATTACTCGCCTGAAATCCCTAAAACCTCATCATTCTCCTTTCAGCGCAAAGTGGACCGTCGCCGCCATCGCGAAACACACCACCCAGGCGCTGCTGAAATCGTCGAAACCCGTAAGTTTTGCCCTCCGACTTTTGCCAGCTGCAGCTCTCCTCCCGCTCCCTGATTAGTTGTTGGGGTTTTGGGGAGCCGTCCCACCACAAGACCTGGCCCAATTCCCCGGTGTGCTCATTGTGCCCCAAGGGGGAAAGTAGTGAGGGTTTGGCCTTGGCCCTGGTTCTAAGTGAGCAATCTTCGAGAATATGAGCTGCCTCGGAAGGATGAGTGGTGGTGGTGGTTGGGTTAGTCTCTGAGGGGGAGGGAGGGGTACCCCGGGAGTCAATTGTCTCAGTTTATGAGCGGGTGTTATGACAGGGGAGGACTGTCTTGGCGACTCGCTCACAATTAGGGCCTAGCCATCTGCCCGATGGATAGACATGGGTTGGGGGGCGACGAAATGGTGTCGAGAAGATACATCCGGGTACTGGGCGATTGTCGCAATTTGCCATGTAGCAATTGCCCAATTGTTGAGAGGAGCGTGGGGTGGAAATTCGATTTTGAGGGGGTAACGGTGATTGATATGGTTATAATTGGTTGTCTAACGTGTTGCAGGAATTGAATGTTTGGGTCTGAATTAAAGGACAGCGAAAATATATTTTATTGGCAAAGTAGACCTTGTTCCTGCTTTTATTGGGTTAATTTTCATAACAACTCTGCAACTGTGTTAAATCGAATACACCAGGAAAGTAGCATACCAACGAAGTAGCCTATTCACGCATAATCCTAGCGCCCGCGAGCTAACCGCTTTCTTAACCCTTAAAGTTAGTAAAAAACAGCAATATGCCATGTACTACTTCCAATAATAAATTTTTCAGCTACTTCCCGATCACCAATTCGCCTCGACCTCTCCCGCAGCTTCTCAAGCCCTTCAATCGAAACAGCCGATGAAGTGATCGCTCGGCTCACCTCACTCCCCACCCAAGTCCTCACCAGCAGCCCCATCAAATGTGAATTCCCAATGCCAGTTACCGTCTCATTCAACCTTGAAGAAGCCTTGAATCTCTCACAAAAATAAGCTCCAAGCAACTTCATGTCAATCTGTATTTTTCAATACCCTACAAAACAATGATCTCCTCCTAGTCCATTCTAGGCTATTTCGCTTGCTATCTCTCACAACCATATCTCACAGCTATTCCATCTCTATGTGCATTTCAGAAGCGCTTCGACTTTTCCCCGAAATCCAAGCGCCGACCCCCGCCACCGGTGTCAACCCCCCATTTTGACCTTTGCTTTATGAGCTTCCATGTACACAGATATCAGATAATAAATGATCTCCATTCTCTCAAAAGCAACTCAATTTAGTTATGCACTCAAAATCAGCGCGTCACCTAAAGACATCCGGAAAGGGCGGAGCTACCAAAAAATGCATGTGCGGCGCAAACTGGGTAGAAGACGGGTTGGAGAGCCAAAGCACGCTAGGGGGAAGACAAAGTGGCCACCTAATTTGCTTGAGGCAGAATTTCCGGATGGCCGCTTTCAAAGGGTTGGGTCACAGCAATACGGGGGTATACTAGTTGATAGTGTGGTTAAGGAAAAAAATTGTAATTTAAAGATTTTAATAGAAAACTTGGCATTCTTCAAGTTTAGAGGAATTCAAAGTTAGGGTAACATCAGATTACCCGATGGATAGGTTAAGGAATTGGAAGAAACCTAAGGATCGGTTTAAGCTACATATAGGATTTAAAAAAGCTAAGCATAAGCTTGCTCCTGATTAGCCTAAAGATTTAAGTTTTAAGCCTAAAATCAAGAAACCCAGTGCAACTTTTGAAATTACGGATTTAATTTTAGAGTATACCTAATATTAAATATACTAAGACTTATTACTAGTAAAACTAGTAACTAGTACAGACCAATGAAGTCCACATTCGAAGGATTACACCAAATTTGGACAGCTAATTGACTTCCCGACCACCGAGCCCAACGCGACCCCCCGAAGGAAAGCCGCATAATCTGCGGATTTCGGCGGTTCCCCCGTTGTTTCATTTGGACCCCCCGCATTGTGCCTACGGTGTTTTGTAATTAGATTCTGGAAGATACGGGAAAGTCATTTCCCTGCGAAGATTAAAGGGTTCGAAATGTAGCCGCGGCTTGAGATTAAGGGATTTGCATGAGGATCCAACCAAAAAGTTCAATGTTGTACCCGGGAGACTTGCAGGGAAATGGAAGATTGTCCGAAAGCACTGTAATACGATGAATATTAATTAATGTTGCTAGCATAATGATGGAAATCAGTAAGTGTAGGGAATCGAAAGGGAAGCGCCTGTATAGTGTAGTTAAACGAATTTTCAGATTAGACAAACTGTCCCCAATGTTATGAAGTTCATCGATTTAGCTAGAAATTGCGCGGTCAATCCAGATTCAGGTTAGTGAATTTTTCAATGTTGGAGATTGGTTTTTGGTTTCGAGCACCAGCTAATCCATCGCATCGATCTATCTTACAATTGAATTAAAATGCGGGAACAAATTTGATTTGTTACTAAATGCTAAATTAAACAAAGACATATCTCAACAAAAAGGCTGTTTACATCTTATTTCAATGGACCCTTTGGATGAGGTCGATTTCCAGATTGATTATAAAAAGAAAACAAAACGCCTCGAGGGGCAGCGCCTCGCATCTAAAATGCGATGCTGACTAATAGAGGGATAGTCCCAAACAGTCCCTCATTTCTACCACACATTTGACTATTGCTTTCACTATGATTTACTATGTATCGATTCTATTAAATAAATAATTCCTAGCATTCGCCTTTGGCAAGAAAGAATTATTTTTGAAAAACTTCGGTGGTGTTTGTACAGAAAAAAACGAGCACTTTTTGCAAAACCCAGAATCTGATCAATCTTTGGCAGCTGTGTTGGCCCAAACGGGACCGATTCACGCGTCTGAATACTGATTGACGTAGGCTTACAAACGCAGACGATATAAATCGGGTGCCAAAATTTCCTTGTATGCACCCACGATCTTTTAATCAGCTGAAAAACTAGTAAATCTTATTGGAATTCTGGCAATAAGCCCCTGCCCTGAAGCATCAAGCAACATCAACATGTTTTAGCGCCGCCTCCGCGATGCTTTCGCCCCTTGAGATGGGCGAAGCGACGTAAGGTTACAGTTTATACAACTCAAGGACAAATTAGATTTCTGCTGGCGATTGGTGGGGATCATGGCAGCGGAAAGAGCGACCTCGCCCAATTCTTTGCAAAATTATATGGAGAACAGCGCACGAACATCATCCATCTTTCTGCGTTCCGACTCGTTCGTTTAGAAACATATTTCTAAATTGACTTTTTTCTTTGCAGCCTCTCTATGGCGCCCGATATGTCATGGCTACTGAACATCGTGGGCTTTTCGAATGTGCCCAGCACTTTGACTGGGACAGGCTCCGATCTGCGATTATCGGACTGAAACAAGGGCTCCAAATCGAGGTTTTAGCTGGGCTCCGTTAATTTACTTTTAAAGCTCCCAATCTATTGCTTCAAGCGTTTCCGCCCCATCGGGGTACGGTTGCTCACTCCGAAGCCGTTCACGATTTTTGTCGGATTTTACGGATGGCCACCTTTTATTTATGACCTGGTTGATCACAAGGCATGTCTAATAAAATTTTTCTAAATCATGCTACCCCAAATGAACCGGGTTTTCCAGCTGTTTCTTTACTCACCTCTGGAGCTGCGAGAGCAACATTATATTTTCCGGGCAATGATGCGGTACGGAATGACTTCGCGAGGTTTGTAAAAAGGATGAATAACCCGAATTAATAATGATTATTACCAGAAGCAGCTGATGATTGGCAGATGGTGAGAAATCTGGAGGGCCGGATGGATGCGAGATCGCACTATTTGGTAGAGCTCGAGATCATCGAATGTTCACAGTGACACTTTTAGTCGGCCAACAGCGCCTTGAGCCGCATCGATAACTACGCTGTGCACTGCGACGCTGTTTTCGCCGGATTATATCAAAAATTGCCCGCCTAATGCAATCACAAACGGGATTTTTCTATTAGCGTGCTTCAAATAATTCCCGAGGATACTCGAAACCCCCGTGCTTGTCTACGTATCTATACTTCAATGTTGCTACAATAAAATTGTCTTTCCGATACGTTAAAGCGATATAATAACACAACCGGCACCGGAAACTTCGATGGCAAACGGCGAAATTGGGATCAGGAGGCTGTGATGCTAAAGCATGACCCAGTACTGTATCGCACTTTCGGGGTCTTCCAGGCGCGTTTCCATTTTTCTGCCTCCCCGCGATTTTCATTTTTCTAAAATTTTTGCAACTTTTCTTTTTCTCGCTTCTTTTGCTATTTTACCGTTCGAGAAATCATATTCTTCAGCTTCATACCTTTAGCAATGCTTTGGAGCTTGTATTAGTATAGGCTTTACTCATTATAACACGGCCGTTCAGATGTATGGGAAGGCGCGCATGAGAGGGGCTTCCCCCACTCCCCAAAAATGTTAAGAGCGCCGCTCTTCTTTAGCTCATAACTTTCCCCCCTGAGCGTATTTTGAAAATCGCCGCTCTAGTTCGATAGAGAAAAAAATTCTGCACATTTTAGTAGAAAAAACTTAGAGGAATAGCGGCTGACAGAGTTTTCCATAGCGTTAAGAGACTAGCCATAGAAAATGTTAAGGATTTTCTCCTTTTTTGCTGATAACTTTGCCCCTGGGTCATATTTCGAAAATCGCCGCTCTAGTTCGATAAAGCAAAAAATTCCCCACAATTTCGTAAAAAAATTTTTATATCATGAAGTGTTGGAAGCGTTTTCTATAGCTTTTAAAGCTCGTGCACGCTCTGAACGGCCGTGATAAGTGGCTAGTTAGCATTCGTTGACTTATCTCTCGCTAGAAACATTCATCTCCGCAAAACAATGGTTTTTCGGTCGTATTTTCGTCAGCCTTTCGTTTTTGCAGTACGTTTTTACGTTTTATACAGACTTTTCCCCTCCATTTTTTACCCAAACCAGTTAGGCGTGGTATTTGGCCCTCCGTCTCTATCCTTTCCCCTCTCTTTCTCTTTGGCTGGCTCTATTCCAAAGCCGCGTTGACCAATCGCCACTCAACTCGTTGCTTTAGGGGGCGGTCCCTTCCCGTTCGGACCATCGCCATTTCTCCACCGATCTTCGCAAGCCGAGGAGAATCTCAGAAGCCATGAAGCTAATTCTACTACTTGCCGGTAAGATTCGCTTTTGTATGTTCTGAAAGGGATGCTGCTTTTAAACCTTTTTTCCCTATCCCCGGTGCTTTCAAAAACGCTGTGTAGTATTTGGCATTGACCTTGACCTAAAAAAATTGGATGGCCGGGTTCGGGGGCATGGATTTTGACCTGTTTAGAAAAGAGTTGGAAGGTTTTACTTATAAATTGTTTGCAGTGATCGGCACGACGCTGGCCTTGTATTCGAAGAAGGATGATGTTGTCGAGCTGACTGAGCAAAATTTCAAGAATCTTGTTATTAACAGCGATGACATCTGGATCGTCGAATTTTATGCTCCTTGGTAAACTTCTATGAATTACGGTGATTTTGTTTTAGGTGCGGACATTGTAAGAACCTGGTCCCGGAGTACAAGAAAGCCGCAACTGCCCTCAAGGGTGTTGTCAAGGTGAGAGCTCGAATTTATGTTTGGTTTCGTTAGCAAAACAGCGTTTTTTTCTGTATTCTATCCTTTATTTTAGATTGGCGCCGTTGATATGACGCAACACCAAGCCGTTGGCAGCCCATACAACGTCAAGGGCTTCCCCACTATCAAGGTGTTCGGTGCCGACAAGAACAAGCCAAGCGATTTCAATGGTAAACTTTTGAACTTTCTTGGTCAGTCTTAGAAAGAGTCAATCAATCGGCAACAGGGTCCACTATTTGCTTTACAGAGCCCTTCGGGGGTCTGTGCTGCTTGGTACTGGCCAGTGGTCAGTACCCGTCTCGCCCTGTGCAAATATCCGCGCACTTATTGGCTCGGTGCTTAAACTGTTCGGGAAATATTTGGAGTTGTCTTGGATGGGGATATACGTCCTGAGGTTGGGACGAAGCCTACGGGAGCGAATGATCCCAGAATATCGCTTGTGATACACCTATCCTTTGTTTTTAGGCCAGCGTACAGCCCAGGCTTTCGTCGACGCGGCTCTTGCTGAGGTCCAAAAGACGGTGAAGGGCCGCCTCGGAGGAAAGGGAGGAAGCTCTTCTGGGTCCCGTGGAGGCTCTGGTGGATCGGGAGGTGGCAATGAAGTCGTTGAGCTGACCGATGCGAACTTTGACGAGGTGATCCCAGGCATGATTTCTTAACTTTTCGATTTTTAGCTTGTGCTCAACTCCAAGGATGTCTGGCTTGTCGAATTCTTTGCCCCATGGTGTGGACATTGCAAGAACCTGGAGCCTCACTGGAAGGCCGCTGCGTCCGAGCTCAAGGGCAAGGTCAAGCTTGGAGCCCTGGATGCGACCGTTCACACCGTTGCCGCTGGAAAGTTCGCTATCCGCGGCTTCCCTACCATCAAGTACTTCGCTCCCGGAAGCGATGTCAATGATGCCGCTGAATACGATGGTGGGCGCACGACTTCTGACATCGTCAACTGGGCGCTGGCTAAGGTAAGCATCTGATTGTGCTTATATGTAGTTTTTTGGCAGCACTCCGAAAACTTGCCACCGCCGGAGGTCAAGGAAGGCTCAACTCAAGCTCTCGTCGACGAAGCCTGCAAAGATAAGCAGCTGTGCATCTTCGCCTTCTTGCCCCACATCCTCGACTGCCAGTCTAAATGCCGCAACGATCACATCGCCACGCTGAAACAACTGGCCGACAAATTCAAGAAGAACGCTTGGGGGTACGGTTGTCTTTTTCCAGCCCAAACTAACTTTTTAGATGGATCTGGACTGAGGGTGGATCTCAAACTGCACTCGAGGAGGCTTTCGGCGTCGGTGGTTTTGGCTATCCCGCCATGGCCGCTCTCAACCCAAGGAAGGGCAAATTCGCTATGCTCAAGGGATCTTTCGGCAAGGTTTGTATTTGATACTGTTAATTTCAATCGATTTGCGGCATTTCTTGGTATGTACTTCTTTTATAGGACGGCATCAACGAGTTCCTTCGCGACTTGAGCTACGGCAAGGGTCAGACTGCGCCGGTGAAGGGTGAAGGGATCCCGAAGATCGACAAACGCGATCCCTGGGATGGAAAGGACGGGCAACTACCGCAGGAAGATGACATCGATCTCTCTGATATCGACCTCGACAAGGAAGAGCTCTAGGCCCTGCAGCATCATCATGCAACTTCTGTGATCGGCATGTGCAATCATGTTTTTTTATTGATTTGTGCTGCCCTTCCCCCTAGTGCCTTCCTTTTATTTTTGTTTCAAGTAAAGTACCCGAAATCGCTACTTGGTGCTAGTGTGGTACGAGTGTATGCCAGTTTCTGCCCTTGACGTCCCACCAATTTCTCAGCCTATGGGTTTTGAGCTCCACAAGAATCGGGCGAATTTGGCATTCTCCTCCACGCTAGCACCACCCTCTGGGGCCCAGTTCCTTCAAATTTTAGTTCCTGACTTGCCGGTCTTAATCGACATGGCCCAAACCATCATCAACGGGCACAAGCCGAGCTAAAGTTTGTAAGGTTCTGGAACCCTTTTCCCCTCCCCTCCCCTTCCTCAGTCCCCCCTCTCTTGCTATATGGGTTTTTAGGCTATATTGCCTTTTTTGGCCTCCATTCCTTTCGGTTGAAGCCATTTGGGTGGATATTTTTCTTTTTTTGTGAATGGTTGGGAGAAATATTTATTTTCTCGTATATTTCTGCAACTACACGTTCATATTTACAACCCGCATTGATATGCACAACATTCAGAAAGACAGAAAGGGATTAACCGGCATTTGAAGCGAATTTAAAAGCGGTCACTGTTCGAGACGGTGCTATTTGATCGTTCATGGCCTTTTAGTTGGGTGCTCACTTCTTTCAGGGAGGTTATCGTCTTCTTGAACCATCTGCAAAATGAGTTGTGGCGAGAAATATTATAGGTTCTACTATTACCACGTAAAATTTTAGCTTTCACTTGGTGTGTCATGGATTTCCCGTATTTTTTCAGCTATCAGACTCACTTTCGGCCAGTATCTCCCGAATCGGAATGCACAGAGGTACTCATTTGATGGCTGAGGTCTTGATTCCTGCACTGGGCTTCGACCAACGCCAACTTCGTCTGCGCCAGTTCCAACTCAACGGCCCTCACGTGCGCTTCCCGTTCTTCCAATTTTGTCAGCAATTCCAATGCGCCTAGTTCAGATTTTTTGCTTTTGCTAAAAATTTACCGGCAGCGTCTCCATTTGGCGTTCGTACTGGGCTGCGATTCTTTTCCCACTGTTCGACACTCGGCCAACACTGATCGCACTGCTGGACACGAGTCTATTTTAGTCGTTTTTGAGTTTTGCGATTACACTAACCACAAATGCTTTCTTTTCCTCGTCAAAGGCCTGCTTCTGCTTGTCGTGCCGTTTATTCAGCTGTGCGTAGAGCTCTTTATATTCCTGGAAACGAGAGACGTTTGGGGGTTTAGGAAAATTCAGTTTGATTAACAACAAAATAACTGGCTATGAGGCACGCCTTTAGCCTAACAAAGACTTACATCTAGCAGCTTTTTATTTCTGCCAGCCTCATCTTCCAACCTTTCGACTTCGCGTCGGCACATTTCTTTGATCTAAATAATCGTTCTGCCTTAATATTTTGGGATAATTACCTGCTCATACTCTGCGTGGAGGTGCTTATTCTCTTCAATAAGGTCGGAATTCTGGCGGGTCAGTCTCTCCACCGTGTTATTCGCGGTTTCGATCTAGAAACTTGAGTCTTAGCGAAGCCTTGTGAGCTACCTGGTCTTCCGCCAAATCCAACTTCTTGCGAAGTTCAATCTTGCTGGTGACCAATTCGTGGGCGAGGTCGTCATTTTCCCGATCTAATCGAAGAATCGTCTCGCAATTTTTCGCGTTTTCTCGCTGAATTATTTTAATCAGGGATTGTTGGCAAGTTTATATACCTGGAGCCGCTTGACCGGATCCTCGCGTATCGCCTCATCCTCCTTGATCTGCATGTATTCACTCTCGTATTTGGATAGGCGCTTGTGGCTGATCTAGAATCGATTTCACGTTAATGGACGCCCATGGGAATGGGAGCCGTTTCGAGGGTCGTCGATATTTGTTGCTGACGCAGCAATGGACCCGCAAAATTTACGTGAGAGGCGAGCGATCCGTTTTTAAAACCGACCTTCATACTGACGGCCTGTTGAATCAGCTTCTTCGCATTTTGTTCCGTTCGGTAGCGTCTTGGTAGGGAAACTCGGAAATATTTTAGAGCTCCTTCGAAGTCGAGCTGGAGCAGGTCTTGCTTAGCATCCTTCAACAGCGCCAGCGAGATGTGAAAAATGGTATTCATACCCTGAAGATATATAATAGTTAGTCAGAGAAAAATTCTCAAACCTCAGCCAAGAACAGATCGACGATAAAGAACACCATTTGGAGCGGGAATTTCGCGGTAAACAGTGTCAAAAACCATTGACTCGCATACATATGCGTTTCAACTCCAATCGCATCGAGATGGGCGGCAAGCTAAAAAACGATTTGAATTATCTAAATATCACCAACCTCTGGTTCGTAATCTTTTATAAGACGGTTGAGCTGATAAAATCTCAAGTGAAGTGAATCAAAGCCTAATTTGAAGAGATCGCGGAGTTGATAATCAAACATGATCTTGACTAAGGTGCAGAAAGCTTGCTCCTCGGGCATCTAAAAGAGATTTTATATGAAATTTCTTGATCACTTACGTGTAATAACAAACTAGCAGCTAGAAAAGAAAGGCCCTGGCAGTAGGACACTTCTTCATCATATAGTGCGTACGCTTTGCTGATTTTATATAGTCCTTCTTGGCCTTCACCACCGGCTTCCTGAATATTTCGATTATTTTTTTATTGTTGACACATACCTTGAAGCGCTCGTGGGCCGGAAATGTTCTATGGATATCACGCATTATAATTTGTTCGGCGGCGCATTCCTAAATCATACATACCGAGATTTGACATTAACGAACCTTTCCTAGCAGAAGGTGGTATGTTTTTATTAGCTCTGGGTCCATGTGAACCTTAGCAAAGAGCTGCCAAACTTCTCCTCGTACCAAATCCGGGACTCCATTGGCCAAAAGCGTCGTCAGCTTCTCCGGTCTATGCCTAAAGCATGCCAATTTGCAAGAGAAAGGGAATCGGATCCTTACCCTTCTTCGTGAGCCTTCCATTCCTTTATACACTCTTGCCATTCGGCTAGTACGTCATCGGACACCTCTCGATTCACATTCCCGGAGCCGGATAGCAATGGTTCGTCGCTATCTAAATGATGATTTTAAGGTCAAAATGTTTTTTTTTTGACAAACCAGATTCATCATCTCCAGTTGGCTGCAGAAGTTGTGCAGGCATTTTTGAGGGAGAGCGCCCAAGTTTGCCCTTCGTTCGCGTTCGTTCGGTCTCAGACTCGATTTGGACGAAGACGAGGGTTCCGTTTGTGCTGTCGTTCGACTTCTAAACGTCGAATTTTGGAAGATTTGAGAAGAGTGAGTTAGGTTTTTGGTGGGTTTTCGGGGGGTCCAACCGACCAGCACCGATGATAGTAAAGGGGGGGATGGAGGGATAGCCATGGCGGAGCTATGTGGACGATGAGCGAGTGAGTGAGGGAGAGCGAGAGAGAGATGGTGGGGGATTTTGTTGGTGGCGTATGGGGGGAGGAGGGAGCTGCTATTGAGAGGAGGGAGCACAGTGTTAAGGGAAGGAACTTCGTTTGCTCTCGCCTAGAGGCCTCTATTCCACCAATTCACCCCCCAAAGGGCCCAACCCCCCAATCCCATTGGTCGTTTTCTAAACAATGACTTGTTTTGAAGGATGGGGGTTGTGTGTCTAACCTCGTTAAAAATATCTGCAAATGACATAACTTTAAAAAAATAACAATATGTCTTTAAAGTATTACTAGACTTTTCAGAATCGAAACCAATGCGGTAATTGTATTCCGAGCTATACTATGGATTAATTCCGTATGGCGCCAACACCTATTGCCACGTCCGTGTCTACATCTTTCCATATGCCTATTGAACTAATTCCCTCTATAACAATTTACCTTTCTCTTAATATAGTAGCTCGGCGTACAGGTAATCGCCTAAAAATTCTTTGAACGTGGTGAATACGCGGCTTACTGGTAAAAGTAGAAAATCACGCATAGCAGCTACTGGGTGGAATTTTTAGCAGTGTCGACTGTGCAGTCATACACTTTTTCCGGCAGTTTTTTTTACTTGGAACGGGGGGGGGGGTGTGATAAGGGGCACGTGAGACGGACGTTAGTGTCTGGAGCTGGGTTGCCACGTTAGGTGTAGCGGCTAGGTCAGGTGGTTTGATCGATAGATAGTTATTCGGGGTGATTGTTTTCGGAAAGTCAATCGATGTAGCTAGTGGAAAAATCTGATTTCCTTTTCCCTCCAACTTCTCATTCAATGATTCAGTTCAATTGCAGGGGTGGTGCCAATCATTTCCGGGACCAGATAACTCCTCTCTGCCCACCTCGCTGTATCGTAATATTAGACTGGCGAGCATTTTGACGCGATGGGCAGCGTTGAGGGGCATTTTTTGGGATAGGCGAATGTGGGCGTCCAGATGGGATGATGGCCAGCCAGCACGTCCAGCCCGCTCTATTCGCCCTGGCCTATTCATCGGGGCCAGCAGGCCGACATTGAGACAACACAAAAACCCATGTAAAACCGTTCGCTCTAGCTGGCCTTGAAATTGCCCCCGAACAGCTGGGGATTGGCTTTTGGATGTTGTTGTTATTGTAGGGGATTTTTGGCTTTTGATTGAGTAAAACCGGGATAGTACAAGATTTAATTGAAATCCGGAAAAATTGGAAGTTTTTAAATATCCCACCTGCAAGCTCAAGTAGAACGTCTCGACCACTGGCACCCGTTGCGTACGGTAAAAGCGCTCGTATTGGTGGTGTACGCGTGCTTTGCATTCCAGTGAAAACCGTATCGGCTCCCCGACTTCCGCCATAATCACATCCAAAGCAATTGTCATAAACACCCGTGTATCTATAAGTACTGTTAACCGAAATTCTGGATTTTTATTCACCTCTTGGCGTCTCCGTATTCAGCACCTCGAAATTGCTCTCTTTCGGGTCCCATAAAGCGGATACCATATAAACAGACGGGTCATGTGGGGATGGAGCCATGCTTTCCATGCCCAACAGCTAAATAAATACTTTAATGCTCGGTGTTTGGGGGGAACTGACCTGCATATCCGAATGTCGTAGATTTCTTCCCGCTGCGAGCAACATTCCAAAGCATTTCTTTATTGTAAGACATCTTCCACTCGCCTAAACCCATCTGACATTATACCCCTTGCAAAACTTGCATACCTGCTTCAAATGCACAACTAGCTTCTTCTTTCGATCTCTTCTAAGTTTAAAGGTGTTGCTTTGCTGCGAGCACAATGTAAATTGCGTCTCCTTGCCAACGGTATCTTCTTCCTAAAAAGCACTAAATTTTGTTTCTGAGCTTACCCTAATCTCTAGAAAGGCTTCGAATTTAAATTCGAGTTGGCTGCCATCTCCTGGACTTGAAGCATCCGTTTCTTTATTGGTGAATGCTTGGGAGAAGCAGTAGAGGGCTCGGCCAGCCTAAAATTATTCGAATCTGATTTGAAATTTTTTTTCGGGGCATACCGTGTCTGGTTGGGATGAACGGAAAACATGACATTGATGGGAGGCGTCTGAAGATCCGGGGTTGTGGTGGGTGAAGGATAGTGCAAAGCAGTTTTTCTGCGGGGTGTCGATGCGGCCGCGTACACAGAATCGGATTCTGGCGACCGGAAATGATGCGAGAGCTGATCCGGATGGGTCGCTTAGTCTAAATTTGATTTTTTTTTGATTTTGAATAAATTTTACTTTGATTTATATGAGTTTATTCCTAACTAACTTACGTTACTGTCCCAGTGACTGTCCGCGGAACTGCCAAAGACACTCGTATTGCTTGATCGGCTTTTTCATCTAGCAACCGCACAATTTTCATCATTTCCCCTTCATCTGATGGATCGCTAATCATGGACGATCCAAGATATTGCATCTATATTTTTGTAAATATTTAATAGGGTTATTGCTTGCTTACATTTTCAAATATCGAGCAATCGTCCAAGTGTCTAGCCGTGGACGGCTCATCGATGGAACGGCTGGGGCCGAATCCATTTAAGCTAGGCAGGGCCCGTGACTCGGCCATTCTCCACAATTCTTCAAGCTGTTCCGTCTCGGCGAAAGAGATTACGTCATCTGAAAGCCAAATATTTGGGTATGATAAAGTATAGAATAGAGAAAGGAAAGCGGAGGTACCATAGACAGCGCCGCAGCCGGCTAAAAACACCCCCAATTATCCCCGCAACCGACTAACGCGCAGTAGGAGCCGCGAAATCGAGAAGCCTAGATAGTAGACCTCCCGAACCCCCCCATTTACCCCCAAGGACCCCCATTTTGACCCCCATCGCAACACCCACCAAAACCCCCAACAGACACCCCTGCCAACCCCCAATGGACCCCCCACTCGAACCCCCCATTCCAACCCCCAAAGACCCCCATTGGGCAAAATTCTGGCTATTTTAAGTTAATGTTTTTAAGGTTTAAAATCGTTTCAGCCTTTTTCAACTTTTTTTTTCAACACCCCTGAAAACCCCCATTCGAACACCCCGCCCAACCCCCACCCTACCCCCCTCGCAACCCCCCTATGACCCCATCCAAACCCCCACAAGTATGGGGGTAAATGGGGGGGTTCGGGAGGTCTACTAGATAGTCTCATTCTTCATCCATCCAGGGTGCTCTCATCCCACGCCCGCGCTTCGAGAGCCATTAGATGACCCCCAAAAAAGGGCAATTTTCTTTCGCCCTTCCAGTGTAGAAACGGCCCTTTCAGACTGAAGCCTTATCTTCCCGGGCCAGAGATTCTTTACGCAACAATGCTAATGCATAAATGAGGAAGATCGCTCGCGAGCCAAGATTCCCACGCCAAGATTCTTTAGAAGGCAACGAAATGGGGGCAAGATCGCGAAAATTTGGCTTCTTTCCACACCAAGGGTCGTGCGAATGGGGTTTGCGAATTAGATGCAGTAATCGGATGAGGGCGCGCGGGCCAACCCGGAAAGAGCGGCAATTCATTTAGAAAATCGATGCTTTTTGCTATTCGAATCCGGAAAAACGAACGTCTAGAGAATGTGGTTTGCGTGGCAATGGGAAAGCAGCATTGCGAAAAAAAATAGGCGAGACGTCTCGAGAGACCTTCGTCACCTAGGAGACTAGAATTTGATTCCGTAGCTTGTGAACGTGGGGAGTTATTAGACATGGCATCCGGTTTGCCGCAGGAATTCCCCAGAAAAACAGGGTGGGACCGTCTGCCCTCGGGGCACCGTCCATTCCGCCAACGGGTTAAGGGACGCTGCGGATTTCTTGGTTGAGGCAGTGGGAGGGGGTAGAGGGCGATCGATGCGCGCCTACTATGGGAAGACTCGGCGGGCTACGTGAACCCACAACAACCCACTCCAGCCCTCCAGCCATCCGAGTCCCAAAAAAACCCGACTGCCCAAGGCTCTAATGAAAAACCAACACTTGGACTCTCTGCCAAACTGCCAAGTGCATAGCTTTTTGCTTTTGCCGGAAATGGCTCCCACATGTTTAATATATTGAGGGAAAGAAATGCTGGCTGGAAAAGACCATGCTGCATCGCAAGCAGTCTTCTCTTCCTAATTCTTTTGCAAAAAAACTTCGTTAGCGTTGAACAACTCCTCCTCCCACTAACGAAGCCCGTTCCTAGCCTCATTGACGAACCCCCGGAACCAAATCATTCCCCCTTTGGCCCAGGCCCTAATCTAATTTGTAAAAATCTCTTTTCTAGAGCTATTTCAGCCATTTCAGCAGCCGAATAACGTCACGTTCCGCAGGCAATATTGACGAAAAAGGGAAATAATTACGGGCAATTATCTCGCGCGGCGTTCCGCTGGGCTTTCCCTACGGGTAGACGCGGAATGGGAATGGGTTCGGGTTTTTACAAGGATCTTGTAATATCCATGCGTTTAAGAAATGTATATAGCGCAGACTTGTTGCTCGTACCTGTGCATTGGTAGTAGTTGGAGACGGATGTCGGGAATTTGGTAGCTAAGGGCGACTCGGGCCCGAGAAACAATGGTTGGGCACCCGCTTCTGGCATCGTGGTCATCATTTTTCACCTGGAAATGGGGTGGTAGGGTAATTATTAAGGAGAGGTGACGTGTAGGAAATGGAAAATGGAGGAAGGAGAAAAAATATCTATGTTAAAAAATTTTTAGACGTATAATACAAAAGTTTATGATTAGGTACGAGCAACCTTAATATTAGAAATATTAGAAATATTATCGATTAGAAATACCTTAAGAAGTTGTAGCCATCCGGTATGCAAATTGGCAGATGATTATACTATTTCACCTTAAAATCGCTCTAAAAAGTCCAGGTAATTAAAACCTTTAAAAGATAGGAAAAATACAAAGTAGCTTAGCCTGAATCCTCAAGGATTCTAAGAGAAACCCGAACGTGTCGTGCCCTAGTCTCACTTCCCCCGGAAAACGAGCCAGACATCAAATGTGTGGGCGGATGATCCGCCGGGTTCATCTCGCCAATTATTTCGGCGTTTCACGGTGTTTTTAGACCAGCTGTGCTAACTGGGCCGTGGCGTCGAGCGGTGAGAAGCCTCTTCCAGAGAGCGCATATTTTAGCCCACGTAAATATTGATTTTCAAAGCTTTTGTTTAGAAAAGGGCTGTCGGGATAAACAAAGTTGGGAAGCGTAAATACGGTCGTTCAGAAGAATCTAGCTTGTGAACAGTAACGGAATTTACAGTGACTGCTAGAAAGACGTTTTTATATATAGATATTTAGAGTTACGGTAGGCCTAAGAAGACAAATTAGAATTCCGGGATTGCGTAATAGATTTTCGGTACTAGATTAAAAATAAAAAAACGTTTTGGGATGGATTTCAGATCTATGGTTTGAAAACGAAAGCGTTTAAATCGACAGTAACAACTGAATTTTAACAAATTTAACGCGTGAATTGATGCTGGCCATGAAGCTTGACCCAAAATGACGAGTATCCACGGAACAAGAAGCCCCCGGCAAAAAGAATGTGCTGAATAAGTAATGCGGCAAAAAGCCGTAAAAGCAGCGGCCAGCAGATTTGAATGAGCTCCAGAAAATGGAACGGAGCGTCGTTTGGAAGGCGAGGTTTTTAATCAAGATGCTCATCGTTTGAGCGGTGTCGAGCCCGAAATGGGGGTTTTGTGTGCGGATGGCAGACAGGAGGGGGGGCAAGGGAGGGGTAGAGGGCGCTCACGGCGAGACAAGTGGCACCGCAGCGAGCCACCGAGCCTGTCCGACTGCCCGATTTTCGCACATTCAACCATTGGAATCGAGTCTTCTCTCCCTCACACATTGAGCTACCGATCGATACCTATTGTTTGGTACGGGATGTAGGAGGCTTTCGGGGTTTTCGAGGTGTCCTACGGAGGGTCCCTGGGGTCTGCTTCACGTTTTATGAGAGGCTGAATGCCGAAACAAAAGATTGCGCGGGGGATGGATGAGGAGTGCGAGGGCCTGGAGAGGATGTAGATTTTGGGTTTGGCATAGTTAGCTAGCTATGCAAGCTTAGCATGCGGGGATTAGGGAGACCGTGACGAACTTTCATTTTCCGCTTGCAAAATTTTCGTCTTATGTTTAGGCATGCTAATTAGGTTTGATAATTTTTACTATATAGATAATTCCAAGAGTTAAATTTAACGATTTCGTATCATTAGCCTTAGCTCTTACGTGGTTGAAAAAAATCGGTTTGAAAAGTTAGGGCACAAAAATCCTGGGCGTAAATTACATTTGCAGAAATTTTAAGCATAAATATGCGAGGCAAAAAGCGGTCAATTAAACATAAATTGATGATTTAAGATTATACTTTTATTATCATTATTAAAGACTTATTAATTGAAGAACCGCAAGTTTTGAATGTAACTAAATTTTAAATGAATAGCGACAGCTGTTTTTGGAAGGATTCGAAACAAACAACGACAAAAATGAGCCAAATTGGCCCGCGCATCCACATTCACTTGCCCTTTACACACGCCAATTTCCTGCTAAATCAATCCCAGCCACGAACCACCATCGCCTTATCACTGAAATCGATACCAAATCAGTGCCAAAACATGCAGAAAGACAAATCGGAACGCAGCCAGCCTCCCGCCTTCCCGCAAGCACACTTTTGGCCCCAGCCCCCCACATTCCATAACCACCCGCGAAGCCACAAAAAGTGTTGGATCGCGTGTGGAATGCTAATAAATACACGCCGTGTTCTTGGCGGCTTAATTACGTCTTGGCAGGCCAGGATACTCCCCGGTGGGTCCACGTCGGCTAATTGCGTGGAACAAGGAGAAGCGTATGTTCGAAGGAGTTAGTAATGGATGGGTGGATGGTTTCTGAAATATGGCGGATGAAAGGGTGAAGTTCGAAAAGTGCGCCCCGCGGGAGGGATGGGTGATGCTGAAGAATAGAGGGGAGAGCGATGTTGAATCGAATCTGATTACCCGCCAGATTAGAGATTCCCACGGGAGCTTTCCGTCGGGGTTGTGGCACTCATTTTTGACGTTTTGGCTGGTGGTTTTGGGGATGTCATGTCAAATGTTTGAGATTTTATGGCTTTTTGGAACCTCATAGCATGAATGCTCAAAAGAAGGATTTAGAAGTGTATGGCCCCGGCAGAATAATTTTTTTGGGATTTTCATACTTCAATAAGCTTCCAAAGGCCTATCGTTTGCTTCTAAGAATCTGTATGAAAAACCAAACCAATTCAAGTGAAAATCAAACCGATTTTGCCTGGCTCCTTTTTTGTTGCAGCCAAATGTTAGTGCGAGCTTTATTCAAAAACTGGCAAAGAGTTTTTCATTTTGCGCCGTTACATCGATCTTTGGCAATTCAAGGTAGCGAAAAAGCCACTCAGGATGCTAACGCAAAGCTTAAACAGAAAAATTTTTTGAATTTTATGAATCGTATATCCTAAAAAGATTTTGTTAAAAAATCGTGGGTTGTTTTATAGGATATCCTTTTTAGTGAGAGAAGTGAAAAAACAATTCTGTACGATAAAATGTAGTACCTTCAAAAATTGAGCACTGACCGAACTGAACAACAATGAGAGTTCAAGTCAACAACAGGGAGGGCGTTCTGGATGATTGTTGATATTAGTGACTGACTGGTGGGGATAGTGGTGGTGTTGGTGAGGACGGTTGAGGACAAAACAGTGTGACAGTCTTTGGAAAGAGGAAGGAAGAAGACGAAGAAGACGAAGGAGAAGGGGAAGGGAAGGAGGGGGACTGGAGCTGTGGGTCTGGCAAACACGGGTTCAGGGTCCTGGTGTTGGAGGGACCTGTCCCCCTGGCTAGAAACCGCCGTTTCTGCAGATGATGATGACGACGACGTTAAGCGACGCTGACGGTCACTGATTGTCAGTTTAGCATTGACAAAAGTGCGAAATTTCGAAATTCCCAAAAACCGCACCACGCTGGTGGCTCGGAGGAAACTAGGAATGGAAATGAGTCTTGCACCATTCGAAAACCAGGAAAACATGCGTCTCCGTACGAAAATTTTTTATCCCTACTGTTATATAACGGATTGCCAAAAATAATCCGCTTTTGAGCACTTAGCATGCAGAAGTTGTATCAATGTCCTGTTATCGCGATACGGTCGTGCATAATTCAGAAAATTAACAACACGTGTTTTCAGTGTATGGTCTAAAATTAAAACAAAAATATCTTAGTAAAAGGCAAAACAGATCTTTGCAGAAATTACTCGCAGCGCAGCTAATACCTTTCTCGCAGCGCTTGACAATTTTCTTGCAAGCGGAGTTCGTCATCATTTATCTACCCTAGACAGGGACGTAGCGTAAGGTGGGCCCCCTGGGCCCGGTGCCCCCCCCCCCCCCCGAAATCGGCCGGGGCCCGAAAATTTCATAAGGGGGGACCCTTATGATTTTTATTTTCTCAAAAATTTTGCTGCCTGCGGCGCTATTTTTTCACGTTTTTACGGCTATTTGTAGAGCTACATAGCCTTGTTTCTACATTTTTTTGCCTGGGGCGCTGTTTTCTTTTTAATTGTTTGAGTTTTTCGGAAAAAATTTTTCGGGGCCCCCCCCCCGAAATTTTTTTCTGGCTGCGCCCCTGACCCTAGACATACTTATAAGTATTTTCTTACCTAATATTTCTTTGTTTCCAGAAGCATGTCGAGCGGTGGGTCTTCAGCAAAAGTTTTTAAGCTAGTAACTTCGGCTTCACCACTCAGACGGTAATTTTTTTTCGAAAAAACCCGAATTTATTCAAAAAAATATGTACTTCTATGCAACACATGTTTATATACCAAAAAATGCAGAACAGAAAACGCGGGCAAATTAACTGAGAATAATCAATCACAATGTAACAAAAAAGCGCAGGTTCATCAAAGACTATATCACTTGTTGGAGGGGTTCACCCGTTAACGAGAGCACTGGGATAAATGTTGTATGTAAATGAGGAGGGGGATATGGTTTGCAAATGGTCACCAGATGTTGTTTGTATAATATTGGAAACTATCATAAAGGCGAGTGGTGAAGGCGTCGCGGCTTTGTTCGATCATTTTGTCGACTTCGGCCTGAAGTTTTCGAGTAGTTAGATTATTTTTATTTAATTTACTTACTTTTAACTGATTTTCGGTGCAATTCATGTGGAAACGAGCTCTCATTGCTTTTACCGTAGCTTCACCACCTCGAAAGCACGGAAGTGGGGAACCGGCTAAAAAGCATATTAATCGAATTAATTTAGAGCTTACCATGCGCCATAATCTCCACAATGTTCATTATCCGCTCGTGGTGTTTTCTGGCGGCTAATAATCCTTGTAGCATGAGGGCACGGTAATACAGAAACATGCTAGAAGAGAGCCCTCCCATCACATCGGTATATTCAGATGTAAGCTGAATTAATTAGGGGAATTTAGACGCGAAAGAAGCTAACTGACCTTGAAGGGTGACGATTCAAATCCCAGATTCTTCGGTGAGGCACTGAGGATAAAGCCAAAATCGATATGGATTAGATGACCTTCGGAATCGACGAGGATATTTCCATTGTGTCTGTAACGAACAAGCAGGTTAATTGGTAACGCTCTACTTACCGATCCTTGACTTGCAAGAAATAACATGCCAGGCTGTACGCGGCACAACTTTCGACAAAGTTCTGTTGAGCCCGGACGAAGTTATCGGAATCTTTGTTGCCGAAGTGTTCTTGGAAATGTGCCAGTAGAGATGGAGGCTCCATTTTTCCTTCTTCGGTGTTGCTGACTTGTTGGTTTCGTTTGATCTAATGAATTTGTATACCAAAAAATGGTCACTTTTTCTACCTGATGTAAAGAGCATGCATCAACAATCGGTTCTATTAATCCAGCATCTTGGGAAAGAACGCAGATTTTGTAGGGACGAATCCACACCGGCACTTTTTCTTCATTCCAGATAACCTAAAAGAGTATTTTGGCCGTTTTGAATGATTTGACCCTACATTCAGCATTTGCAATAGCTGATATGCCAACATCTCTTGCCGCAAATCGTCCCCCGATTTCACAATGACTGGCAACAAATCCCATCCAGCCATCCGACCGTAGGGGCTCGATTGGCGAAGCCTGAATAAAACACGGCATTCAAGAAGGCCCAAGAATATACACGCACCTCTCCTTTTTCTCCTCCCACGGCTCGGACATTGCAAATGCAGACGGATCCTCGGGTGTGTGCCGCATCTGGAATGATGGTTCTGTTTGTGAATGTGGTTAGAGAAAGACAGCCTCCAATCCCATAAGGTTTGATGTAGGCGGAGGATACTAATCTATGCATTTACGGTTCTTCTTTGTACTATGGTCGATCAAATTTATTTAAGATTCTGGTTATACAAAAAAAAATCAGTACTAACCTGTCGTTTTGGTCTTTTTGCAAGATTCTTCAATCTGTTGGATATCTCTCGAGCCGAGATCTTTTCATCCGAGTTGCAACTATCAAGTGATCTCTGCGATAAAGTATCAGAAGCGATATCACACGAGATGCCCTTATCGTCAAACTAAAGACATTTTCAGTATAATAGTTTTTGTAAACTATACTTACCGGTGGCCGGCAATTAGGTGGTGTTTGATTTGTTGAAGATGGATTGCTAGCAGGCCCACGCATTTTTTGATAGATTTCAGCTTCTGTATCACTCCTCTTTGCTGGCACCCTGACTTTTCGAGCAGAATCGCAACGCAGCACTTCCACATAGATGCAATAAGGGGCCTATTTTGAGAATTTTCGATATAAGTTTTTTTTACCTTATCCTTGCTGTTCAACACACAACCGCTATTCTGGGGTATTCTTAGAATGACATGCTGGTCCCAATAGAGTGGCAGCCAGACCCTAGCCGGAAGATTCCCATTGATTACGGCTAATTCGGAGACGAGCCGCCGCGACTGAAAACAAAGTGGGTTTGATAGGAAAAGGGAGACAAACCTTTTCTTCTTTTGTCAGCACTTCCTTTAGGGTATTTCCGATTTGGACGAGGGTTTTGATGAATTCTTTCTCACCTCGTATGCCAAGGTTCTAAATTTAAGGCCATGAATGAAAGAATAAGAGTGATTTTCTTACATCACATTCACAAAATTGTTTTTTAGGTTCTTCAATAAAGCAAGTGCATCCATCATCAAAAGCGTGACCTAAATGCCGAAATAAAATATATAACTACAATTTACCTGTACTCAAATTACCAAAAGATCCCAACGGTCCCATATCACTTCTTGGCCTCAATCTGTGCAGACTGTCTGGGCTTACTAAATTTCGTTGGATTAATCCATTACATGCACTCACACAACGATGTACTAAGACTCCGCGAATGCGTCAACCCCTTCGAATCTTTCGGTCGATTGAGTGTGTTGAGAATCCACTGTCTAGCCAGAAATTTATAGTTGGCTCGGAAGATTGCCAAAATATACCTCAATTTTTCGCCGTGCCGCTTCTCCTCGTATTTCAAGTCCTCACCACCGAAGGCCTCGAGAAGCCAGCAGCACAACAAAGCTACTTGCCCGTTTTCCTCACACCTGAAATTATTTAATAAAAATATTCAAGCCATATTGAGGAAGTATGTAGGTAGCTCTCAACATATTAAACTCAAAGTACTTTTAAAAAGCTCTATCTTGCTTTATCTTTCTCAAACAAGAGGAAACGATTGAGCCCAGCTAGTGAGTAACTAATCCAGTAATCAAACGCGTGAGAAAGCCAATGTTGCGATGCTTGGTCCCAAGAAGCGAGCATCAAAATTATAGGGGAGAAGGGAAGAGGGCCCGCTGCCTCAAAAAACTTCTTTTGCCCCGCTTTCCGAAAGCGCTTCTCGTTGAGGGAAGCCGCTTTAGGGGGGCCTAGGAAGGGGGAATGCCCTCGAAGAATTCGGAACCCCCGATTTAATTCTGGCTTCAAAACAAGGGCTCAGAAGGCCCTGGAGGTTGGGTTCAGTTGTGACAAAAAATTATGCCTGTAATAAAACTGGCTGATGTATCTGGGTGTAAAAGGAGGTAGAGGAGGAAGAGCACCAGACTAGACATTTTTGGGGAAGCCCGAGGGATGGCAATTGGGTTGTGGACGAGCTTTCAATAAATGAATGGCTTGGGGGAGGGGCTGGTGCTCAAAAATGGATAGTAAAAGAATGGCTATGTCGGAGGAGGGCTGGCTATCGAAAGATCTTTGCTTGCTTGTGCTATTGCGAGCCGTATTAAATGGTTTTTGGAGAATTTGAGATTGAGACATGTTTTTGAGGGCTAAATCAGGTCGTAATTCAACGTTGTTTGGTCTTGGGCGTCGCCCTTTTAAAATTGTATCCCCTGGGTGTCCTTCAGAAAACGTGGAAGCGTCGGTAACCGAAGGCGAAATGGGAATCCAGCTAGAGGACCCCAATAGGTCCCAAATCCATCACGACCTACGCCCGAAATGAGGCGCCCGCATTCCGGGGCCCGATTTTCGATGTCACCCTCGTTCCCCCAGAAGCAAATTGCCCGCCCTAGAAGACAATCGTGTGGGCTGCCCAGAATCCAAAAAATCCCGGCAATTATTTCGGTCGAAACTCCCCCCAGATCGCGTCAGGATGGTGGTGGGAGAAGCCACTCTCTGCGCATAATCAAAAATTAGGTTGCTTGTTAGGGGGTGGTCTATGGAAAAGAAGAGAGAGGCCCGGGAAGGGACGGGGGCCAAAATGAGATTTCCTCGTCTCCGGCGACCAGACTCGGGCGTCAAAATCCGCGGAAAATATCTTACGGATGAGTAGGGATGAGTGAGGGTATGGGGACAATATCCCTCCGAGCAGCCGGATAATCAGTTTTTGAAATCCCACAAGGGGCCTGGGAGTCCAAGCCATGGAATGAGGAAGGCGGGACGGTGAGCAAGGGGCAGACAATGGAAAATTCCCGGAACAACTTATTTCACACGATGATTTTCAAATGTCCGTTGATTTTCTTGGGATACCTTTTTGTAATGTAGGGATGAATGGCTTCAGCAACGTCTCCGTGATGGATGTATAAATTAATTAGTTGAGGTATGTAGAAATCAACTTCTTCATCGGGAAAATTGTGAAGCTTTTCACCTGAAATGTTTGATTATTTTGGCCGTTCTTTTATTGATCGAGATTTTATCAATAATAATTAACTGATCGCTTGTAATAAAAAAATTTCATGGATAGTAACTGTAGTTTAAAACATACCCAAATATTGTAAAGTAGATGGATGTGTCGGCCGTTTCCACAAATAAAAGATAGCCAATGAGGTATTAAAATAGGAAGAATCGAAAAATCTCCATAACCAATTTGAACTTGAAGGTGCCACATCAGGGGAAAGCTGAAATTTAGATGATCTCGTAATTTTAAGAACTATTCCACCATATCAATATCCGTTTCCGGATACTTTTTAGGACCTGCAGGGGGTTCTGGGACAGCACTATCGTACTCCGTATCCGAATTATCAGGATTTTTGAATGGAATAAAACAAGAGACAAGATTCGACAGCATCGTTTGATTTGGAATGTCTTTACAGATCTTTCCGGCTGTGGCCCATCGATTTGGAAGGGGGATGGGGTTTGAATGTTGAAGCCGATATATTGGCTGTGCGAATCGGTGGGGGGATGGATGGATCGTATGATCCGAACAAGCGCAATAACTGACGCACAATCCACCCGAATTTCAGACCAAAAGCCTTGTTTTGCCCACCTTGTCTAGCGGTATAGAGTCGTCAGCTTCGAGATCTTTTGACGTGGTCGCCAGCTCTTTGTTGATAAAATTGTCAGCAGCATGGCTAAATTAAATTCATTTTTGAATTGTAAGATATGTATTACCTTAATTCATGCAGATCTGAACTATTTTTCCCGGCTGCAAACGGTAATATTGTCATTTTGGCCATTTCACCTTCCATCTAAACATTCATTAATTAGCATATTAGCTTAAATATGATTTAATAATCAATTCATAATTTTTTTAATGCCATTCAAATCACCTGAGGGTAATACACCTTCCAGGCCAACATTTTCTCGGCACAATTTTTTCGCTAGTTGAGTTGAAAGAGTGTGTGAACAGACAGAGTCACATTGGACTCGAGGGGTGAGTAGCAAATATAGAGGAGAGAGAAGAAAGGGATGGGGGATCCTCTCTGTCTGCCACCTTACACAGTTCTCTGCCAAGGCAATCAAAGGGCAGCCATTGCTATTCGATTACGTCGTGTAATGGGATAGGCCTCGGAAATATGGAAAATAGGAATGGAAGAAGAGCAAAGCGGGAGGAGACTATTGGATGGACGTATCGGCTAAATCTTGCCATTGGAAAGTCGGAGATCGTATCGCTTCGCTAGGTTCTAGGAAAGCATTCCACTACGTTCCCTGACCGTTATTCTACTGTGGGACCCGGCTCTGTATCTACCTTTATCATTAACCATTATTACTATTTTATTACGTATTTTATACGCTTAACGCCGTGGAGGCTTTTATGCTTTGTGCCTTGTCTATTTGGGACTCGTGCGTGGTACCTTGGGCCCTTTTAGCTCTTTTCTCAAAAAGAAACCTGAGTAGAGCGGGCAGTTTTCATGGGCAAACGACAAAAAATGGCGCATATTGTCCGAAAATACTATCAACAATATTATAAAATTGGACAAAGTGATATAGAGGACAAATAAGCAAATTAGCAATAACATAGCAATTTTACAGATCCCCAGATTGTTAAAAACCACTAACCGGAACGCCCGCTTCGGAAGATTTTTTCCAAACGCTCCCGCCAAAACATGCGAAACCCGGAAAAACGAGCCCTTTGTTGCATGGCTCGCGAAAATTGACTCACAAACCTCAAAAGAAGCCGTTGGGGTAAGTTCCTCCGCCTCGGCAGTCCCCGCCGGCGGGCATGAATTCGACCGAACATCGTTGAAGGCGAAACTTCTTCTTCCCACACAACTAAACCTCTATCTCATTTTCAAATTTATCTCATACCCTGAACAAACACCAGTCGCCGGATGACTACAATCTGTGAAACCGCCTACAGAAGTCATCGTCCATCGCTAAAAACAATTCTGAATCACAGGGCCGGTTGGTTGGCCGCAAAGAAAGGGAAACGAGCCGGAAATCGTAGTTTCCCCGGGGTATTATTGAACATGGGAGGGGAAGCCTGGCAATAATTGAGAGCGTGTGACCCCTTTCGACAGTGATTGGGTGCCAAAAATATCAAACTTCAATATTGGTATGAATTTTCGGGATTGGGAGAGCATTTAAGAGGGGTATTGGAGCGGAATATTTTGGGGGGTTAATAAAGAGAGCGGCTTAGAATTGCTCTATGGAACGCTGGGAGGTCGTGATTTGTATCGAGGCGTTGCCACAACGACGTATAATAAGGCACCGCGCGTTAGTTATGTGTCTAAGATTTTCATTGCGTAATGGATACGATGAGGTTGTAGGGGCTATGTTTAGAGGGATAAAACGAGGTTTTCAACGAGTCGATTGCGGCAAGGCAAAAGGGCGCTAGACGGCTGGTTTCTTAGGACACGCGTTCCGCCATCACGAGTCGACGTCAAAGGAGGCTGTATTGGGGTGGCAGCCGCTGTTTTTGGGCGGTTGAACAGCTGAGGAGGGTCGGGTATGATCTGCTATGAAGGCTACAGACTACGACCGCGCCAGTCAGTCGCTGTCTTCCCCCCACATGGCGCCCTCCCCTCCTCCCCCACTGTACCGCATTTGAGCAAACAATGCTAGGAGAGTGTAGAAACGGGGGGCGGAAAGGGGAAAAAGCGCGGCGGCCCGCGTTGCGCACTCTCTCTCTCTCTCTCTCTCTCTCTCTATCTTCCCTCCACAGCGGCCGTAATGAAAGGAGACAATTAATTGCGCTGGAGTTGCATAGCAGATGGGATTTTGCCCCTAGGGAATGATGGTTATGTGAGGAATGCGGCGCATGTATTCCTATTTACGCTTAGCTTTAGGTCTGGTAACACCTTTCCTACATGATGCGAACTCCTATACCACCAAAGATTCCAGTAACAAATCTACGTAATTTTTACGCAAGTTTCAAAAATACAGGGTGTCCAAAAAATTGTTCCGGACTTTGGGCTCGAATAACTTTTGATAGAAGAATATTTCACCGTGCGTTACCATGCCAAAATGCTTAAAAGTGTCTGGAACTCCGATTTAGATCAACTTGATTTTTTCGATTTTTGGCGACGTATCAATACAAATGACACCCGAAAACTGTGCGTTCGGGGAAGTTTAATTTGTATTTTTCTCAGCCGCCTGTGGTGGGGAGTTTCTAATTTTTGCTGCGTAAATTCTTGTAGGCATTAGATAGATACATGCAAAATTTAGGATTTTTCTAAGCTCTGGTTGAAAAGTTATAGCCGACTGAAGTTTAGTATGGAGAAATTTCGTAAATTTCGAGTATTAAAAAAAACCTATGGCGAAAATCCCAAACTAAGTCGTTGTGGATTGCCGACAGACGCTATACTATCACATAAAAAAATTAAAGAATTTTTTGAGACCGGTGATTTTTCGAGTTTTTCAACGACCCCCTGGTCATGGATTTTTTCGAAGTGACAAAACTGAACTTTGAAAAAATATTTCTAAAGTTCCCAACAGAACCTAGGTGCTTTCTTTACTTGGTTGTGTAGGACTAGGGTCCATCTATCATGCAGACAATTTCTAGCTACCGTACCCCTTCGGAAGGGTGCCTTTTAGCCCCTCCAAAACGGTTGGTTCGTGCTATTTCGCAGATCTTTGCGCCAGTCGATAAAATTCAATTGCGCGGCTAGAATTCTTGTCAAAATTTTATTTAATACTACTTAATGGGCGCCTTCTAAGATTCTATTTACAAATTTATTGGGCCATCCGATCTTTCAAAAGAAATTCATGAAAAGCCCAAATATACCCGAATTTGAGGCGACGTAAAAAAATTCTCGAGGCTTTACTAGCCCCGAGTTTTCTGGCATAGACCAAGCTTGAATAGTCAAATAGAACCCATGCAAATACAAAACCTTGTCATGGCAAACGAATTTAGAAGAGCGCCTCAAAGTCGGCTTTTCAAAAACGTTAATTCCGGGTTTTAAATAAAAATTAACCATTAACTTCAGCCAGATCATACCAGAATTCTGTTCTCATACGCTGTTGGATGCGTGCTTTAATTGTATCCACGAAACTCCGGTGATTTTTTCTTTTTCAAAAATTCGATATTCGACCCCGGCCCTCAGTTCCAAAATCGGGCCCCGATGATGGTTTTCCTCTTTCCCTTATAACTTTGTCATTTACCACAGAAACTAAGCCATTTTTCGCCTGCTTCCTTATAATTACTCAGAGAACATTCTAGAATAGAAAAATCTGCATTTTATGGCATTTTTTTCTTGGCATGCTAAAACGCGCTCCAGGCGGGTTACGGTAGAAAACTGAAAATCGCCGTTTTCTCGTTCTTTTCACCATAAAAACGTTTTGATCTTTCGGGAAAACAAATAATAGTAGTTTTTGGTCCCATGCATCAAAATATTTAGAAATTTCCGTGGCTAAATTCAAAAATAAGTTTTTTTGCATATTTTGGGAAGGTGTGTGGCTAGAAATTTGCGAACTTTGGCCCATAGGTGACCCTTACTGGTGTTTACCAATGATAAAATTTTAAGCGAAATCGCAGCTTACGATAAAAAGAAAAACGCCAAAAACAAAAACTACAGTATCCCTCTGGGGCACGTTTTAGCAAGCAATATTAAAATACCATAGAATCAGGTAAAATTTGGTGTTGGGCTAAGGATTATCATTTGGAGACACCATCTGCAAAAGATCAGCCATGGGCAGCGTATTTGAAGCGAGTTGCGAATTAAAAGGCAAAAAGTTGCAAAATAGTGAAATTTGTTTTGCTTGTAAAAAACGAACTAGAGCTTCAAAAATTCTAAGATTTGGGGATTAACTTTCTATAAATATCGGCTATTTTTAGGCCAAAATTCAGAATTTTCCCACCACCCGTTTAAGAACGCACAATTTTCGGTCGTAACCAGCGTCAATAGTACAGTTGTGTACTCAAAAATCGAAAAAATCAAGTTGATCTAAATCGGAGTTCCAGACACTTTTAAGCATTCTGGCATGGTAACGCACGGTGAAATATTCTTCTATCAAAAGTTATTCGAGCCCAAAGTCCGGAACAATTTTTTTGGACACCCTGTATATCCTCGAATGTCATTTTTTAATTAGCTGTATGATTCATTCGCCCAAAATACCAATAATTTATACTCTGTGTTGATGAACAAGATGTGATCACATTATTCAGAACTCATTGGGATCGGACAATTTGAGGACAACAGTTCATCGAATCTATCAAGAGGCATACGATCATTGTTTTTCTATTTCAGAGCAACTTCAAATACCGCCGGGAGCGTATAATCAAGACGAACTTCACCAAAAACAACAGATTCATGCAAAAAAAACCAAACAATTAATCACAGGAAATTCAGATAATCGGTGGGGGGTGGCGATGAGAATTTAGAGAATTGTGAGTGGGGGAACCCGCACAGCAAAAACTAAGCATGGCTTGACGAGAATATTCTGGGGCGCTTTACATGCCTAGAAATTAGATCCAGAATGGAATCAGGATACCCAGGCATTTTTCGAGAACGTCATTAATGTCTAGAAAATCAAAACAAAACACATGAACCGGACGAATACTCATAAAGAATTGAGGGGGGAAGACAACAAGCATGGCGCAATGTCAATGAAAAACTGGGGAAACAACGATTTTGGAAAGTAGAAGGACGTTGCCTGAATTTTTGGAGCAAGATGGTCTGGGAAAATTTTGGAAAGAAATGGGGGGAACGCTGGGGGGATAACAAGGGTCGTAAAGGGGGATGGGGGAGGAAAGCAGGCCGGAAGGATGTTATTGTGAGACGTCCATTTTTTCAGCGCCCTGAAAAACAAATTGGGTTTCGTGGTGAATTGAGGGACTGGTGCATTCAAAGAATTTGTTGAATTTTTGGTTGGACAATTTGGATTTAGTTTTTTAATTGAGGCGTGGAAAGAAGGCGTTAGAACGAAATTCTATATTTATCTGCGATACCGGATGGCATCTGCTCGAGCTTTATTTGAGCGAATTTTCATCGAACCGAATTATCATTAGTTTTTATGGGGTGAAAAACGGGTCAGATAATGCTATCTCAAACAAAAATTCTGCTAAATTGCATAATAATTTCCTAATTAACCCTTTTCTAACAACTTTTTCATCGTTTAAAAACTGACATTTGCCTGTTCCATGACGTGCGTCACGGCGTGGGCGTTCAACGCGTCCAATGTTGTGAATCCAGCATCGCACACCGAGCAAATGTGGGGCCGCTTTGTGACGTGGGTTAGCCAGTGGTCCTGCAGCGCCATCGCATCCACGAAGCGATCACCGCATACCGCACACGGTAACGAACTCAACTGCACGTTGCTCTGCAATAGTTTTTTTTGGTAATAAATGACGTTCCCATTTTCTTAAAAAAGCTTTAATAGAATAATCTTTCATAACGTAGAAACAGCCGTACCTTTATGTCAACCAGCGACGAGATTGAATCAGAACGATGATCCCGTAGCCCGTCAGACGGACTCGGCGGATTGCTGCTCTCTTCTGTATCTGTCAACGGCGAGGCCCTTCCAGCATCCATATCTTTCTCCACTTCCCGAGCTACTACAGGGTGTCCCAAAAAAAAGTGCCCAAGTTTGTCCCCAATTATCTCGAGAAGGAAAGATATTTCACCGTGCGTTACCATGCCAGAATGATTAAATATGTCAGGAATAGGGAAATAACTCAACTTGATTTTTTCGATTTTTGAGTACGCAACTGTACTATTGACGCTGATTACGACCGAAAATTGTGCGTTCTTGAACGGGTGGTGGGAAAATTCTGATTTTTGGCCCAAAAATCGTTGGCATTTGTAGAAAGCTAATGGCCAAATATTAGAATTTTTGAAGCTCCAGTTCTTTTTTTACAAGCAAAACAAATTTCACTGTTTTGTATCTTTTTACATTTTAATTGGCAACTCGCTTCAAATACGCTGCCCATGGCTCACCTTTTGCAGATGGTGTCTCCGAATGATAATCTTTAGCACAACACCAAATTTTACCTGATTCTATGGTATTTTAATATTGCTTGCTAAAACGTGCCCCAGAGGGATACTGTAGCTTTTGTTTTTCGCGGTTTTTTATTTATTGTAAGCTGCGATTTCGCTCAAAATTTTACCATCGGTAAACAATGGTAAGGGGCAGCCATGGGCAAAATATAGCAAATTTCTAGCCACACACTTTCGAAAAATATACAAAAAGCTGATTTTTTAATTTAGCCACGGAAATTTCTAAATATTTTGATGCATGGGACCAAAAACTACTATTATTTGTTTTCCCGAAAGATCAAAACGTTTTTATGGTGAAAAGAACGAGAAAACGGCGATTTTCAGTTTTCTACCGTAACCCGCCTGGAGCGCGTTTTAGCATGCCAAGAAAAAATGCCATAAAATGCAGATTTTTCTCTAGAATGTTCTCTGAGTTGACCCCGATTTTGGACCCGACGCCTGGGCTCGAAAATCGAATTTTTGAAAATGAAAAAGGCACCGGGGTTTGGTGGATACAATTAAAGCACGTATCAAACAGTGTATGAGAGCAGAATTCTGGAATGATCTGGCTGAAGTTAATGGTTGATTTTGATTTAAAACCCGAAAATAACCTTTTTTGAAAAGCCGACTTTGGGGAGCTCTTCTAAATTCGTTTGCCATGAAAAGGTTTTGTATTTGCATGGGTTCTAGTTGACTACCCAAGCTGAGTTTATGCCAGAAAAGTCGGGGCTACTCAAGCCTCGAGAATTTTTTTACCTCGTCCCGAATTCGGGTATATTTGGGCTCTTCATAAATTTCTTTTGAGAGATTGGATGGCCCAATAAATTTGTAAATATAATCATAGAATGCGCCCATTAAGTAGTATTAAATAAAATTATGACAACAATTCCAACCTCTCAATTGAATTTTATAAACTGGCATGAAGGTCTGCGAAATAGCACGAGCCAACCGTTTTGGAGGCGCTAAAAGTCAACCTTCCAAAGGGGTACGGTAGCTAGAAATTGTTGACATAATAGATGGACGCCAGTCCTACACAACGAAGCATAGCAAACGCCGAAATTCTATCTGCAATTTTAGAAATATTTTTCCAAAGTTCAGTTTCGTGACCTCGAAAGAATCCATGACCAGGGGGTCGTCAAAAAACTCAAAAATCCGCGGTTCTGAAATTTTTTTTTTGATATTTTTGTGGGATTGTATCGAGCCTATAGACATGCTAAAACAGCTTATGTTGAGGTTTCCACCATAGGTTTTTGTAATATTCGAAATTTACGAAATTTCTCCATATTAAATTTGAGCACGCTATAACTTGCGAACCTGACCTTCAAAAATTCTAAAATTCCGGATGTGCGTAGGGGCGATCCTTAGGTACATACACTGTAAAAATTGGAAGTGTTCGACCACCAGCAATCCAAAAAAGTGCAAACGAAGTTTTGCCGGAACGCACAGTTTTCGGGTGTCATTTGTATGGGTACGTCGCCAAAAATCGAAAAAATCAAGTTGAGTTATTTCCCTATTCCTGACATATTTAATCATTCTGGCATGGTAACGCACGGTGAAATATGTTTCCTTCTCGAGTTAATTGGGGACAAACTTGGGCACTTTTTTTTGGGACACCCTGTAAGGAATCCGGTTTACAAAAGAATGCCTTCTTGATACCTGGGGCTAGCATGACCATCCCTCGCTGATAGTGCAGATGGAGAAGATGCTGGCGAAGGCTTTCCCGGTTTGGGTATACCGTATCGCAGTGTTTCTTTGGGCACCGAAAATCCTTCCCGTCACGCATTGAGATGTGGTCGGCATGCATGTGGACCTGAAAACCAAAAATTTGAATGGATTGAGGAATCTCAAAAGATCATGAGGATCAGTAAAACATACCTGTAACTCGACATGTGTCTCAAACTGGATTTCACAAAGGATGCATTTGGTTGGGCCTAAAAGCGGGGAAGGTGCATGGCCGTTGCTTGGTCGATGGACAGGGGTGGAAGATGAAGAGCGAAGTGAGTCAAGATCGTCGGAACGTGAGGAACCTAGAACCATTATTGGTTAAATTGACGTGATTGGGCGGGCTTTCAATTGCCACGGGTACTTGTTACGATTGGAGCGGTCAACGATCTTGTAATCAAGTCTGCGTCGCTATTAGGCCGCTAACGAGGCTATCGAATAACAACCCAGGTACCCCATTCCGATTTGTAAGTTTGTAATTTTGACTCGAAAAACCGGTTCCAACTCATAGTTTCTATGTCTTACCTGGTTCGGTCGATTCCCCAGGTGTCGAAGCTTTACTCCATGCATCAGGCACCCTTGGACGATCCATCGAGTCTGCCCGTGGCGGCATCCAAACGTTAGCCGAAATGGTTCTCGTGTGCAGCTCCCGCATCGATACAGCCCCGAACGTCTCGGCCCTTCTCCGATGCATCGGTTCAAGGGAAGGCAGGTTGGAAAAGGAATCGCCGCGTGGTCGCATCGATGGGAAAGGGTCCTCTCTAGAATCACAAGTATGTCTATTAGCATATAGCCACGACAAGCGCTGGAACTTGTAAGATGCTGTACAGAGAACAACGTCCAGTATTGAAATTACATACCTTCTCTTCTTGGGGCTGGGCCCATGGGATGACATGCTTGGCCGCCGGGCTGCAATTCCAGCAAACGCGGCTACTTGTAGGAAGTTCGGGTTGAGCAGTGGAAATGTGACGGTGCTGATGGCGGTGGCTGAGGCTTGAGGTGACGATACGACTGGAGCTGATGGAGCAGTGATTTGGTTGTCCGTCGGCGTTGTGAATGTCGTGGAATCGCTGGTGTTTTCTGAATTCTGCGAATCCGCTTCTGACGTCATCGGCTGATCGCATGCGGGGAATTCAGCGCGGATCGTCTCGACTATTGCTGTAAAAAGAAGATTTACACACTTGGTTAGATCTTACCTAGCAAGCTTTCACGAGCCTTTTCACAATCAGCTGTATCCACATCGGTCAAACAGGCGCCATTGTCTTTTTTCATGATGAGGTTGAGGCTGTCGGCCGGGAGCTTTCCGAGACCTTCCAACTTTACGACGTGGGTCTTGCTTCGGAGGTGCTTGGCGAGGATTCCGTGTTTGCGAAAGCCAATTCCGCAATCACTGCAGAGAAAGGATCTGGAAATTGGGAGCTATGATAAAATCGAAACTATAGAAACCAAATCCATTTGTGCGCTGGGAGAGGATTAGCACGCGATAAAAGCCCCCGAGGGACATTGATTTTTAGATGGCTATTTTCTTGGTGTATTTCAAAGGAAAGCAAAACATACCGAGGGCTGGCTGTGGGGGCGTTTGCAAGGACGGATTGGAGAGTGGTGTCGCCCATAGCTAATGGTTCAGCATCGAGGGGCAACTGTACACCGTGTGCCGTCCACATATGTCGCACAAGCAGCGGCTTCGTCCGAAACGGCTGTCGGCAGTCTGGGCACTAGAAAGGAATAATGGCTTAGTGGCGTTTCCGTTCCCACAAAAGTTCCCGGTTTTAGATAAATATAGCTTGGCAGAACCCCTAAGTTTGAAGTTTTCGTTATAAAAAAGTGCAGATCCACAGAAAATGACGGTCTAACGTTTGTGGACAACAAGTTAAATCATCGCGACATATATTTTTTGAACGAAATTCAGGCTTTATAGGCGCAGCTAACGAATCAAGTTTTGCGTGCTCCTGATTACACGGATCAAAAAAATAAAGCCAAAAACGAAACAGCAAAAAAACTGCAAAACGCGATAAAAACAACAAAGAAAAAACACTGAAAGAGCACACACAAAAATATGCACCTGGAAGACTCTGTTCTTGGCCGTTTGTCGCTCAATGTTGTGTGTGTGTTGATGAAGAGTTAGCTCGGCTTGCTTACGGAAGATTCTGCCACACTGCGTGCAAGGGTGCTCCTAATAAAAAACGAATAAAAAAAGTTTGAAAATGGTTGAGGTCAACTTTGCGGATCCGGAGTAAATACACATGCAAATGACAAATTGTATATCCAAGAAAAGTCGAGTTCTCATTGTTTGTACATTGACGATAGAAGGCTCCAGGATGCCAAAATGCTCGCGCTCTCTTTCTTTCTCTCTTTGTCTCTCTCTTTCAAGGCACTTCACAGCACCCACGATTTTACCGCAAAGTCGACCTCCTCAAACCCCGCAACAACAAAGATAAAAAAGAATCTTTCGAAAGTGGGAGTGTTAACAGGTAGAAGGAAACCAGGAGTAGTATCGTACCTCCTTCGACAGAAATTGGCCGTAGAGGGACGAAGAATCGACGGAAAGGAGCGCCGCTCCAACGGGCATCTCGGAGTTGAGGCTTGTCGCCATCGGATGTAGGAAGACCGGATTCGATGGGGGTAACAACGTTGAAATGAGGGTCGTTGGCGCTGAAACGACAAAATGAGCCGAATAGATGGACTGGCGTAGCGGAAGTAGAAAAAGTAAAAAGAAGTGGAAGAAGATGGAACGGACGGACAGATGGATTCAGAGAAGGGGCTTACGTAGTGAGAGTTAATTAGAAAAGTTGCTGATGGGTATAAAAAAAGGGAGATATAAGGGCGATGAAAACAAACCTTCTTCTTTTGGATCAGCTGGCGGGATTGGAGATGAACTTTGGAGTGCAGCAACGGGTGGTGCGGAGAAGCAGCGCCTTCTGAAAGGGGGGAGGGTTGATTTGATGATATGAAAATCAGACCAGACAATTTTCCGTAGTATGCAACGAACTTACTGTATATCCGCTGTTGGCCATTTACTATTCGGCGTCTCTTCAACAAGTACCCATCGTGATGGTGGTGTATGTGTTGCTCTCTCCTCCAGAATATTCTCTTGTCCATATCCAAGGGTGCTATACGCTGGCAATCTCGTCTCAACTTCTGGATATCCATCCTCATCATCGGAGCTGCTGCAAAAGAACAATTTTACCTCGTACATTTAGCACAAAGGTTTAGCGAGGGGGATATTTAAGCTATAGCCTAAAATATTCTAGAATGGCGCTCTGTGGAGAACTAAGCTCAGGATACCTCGGTTCTTTGCCGTAGCGGGGGTCACGAGCACTGAACAAAACAATAGCAATGAAACACAAGCAAGGAAACATACTTGTGGCCATCCTCGTCAAAGTTGTTCTGCAAATGCAGATCGATGATTTCATCATCGGCGTTGGAGGCAATTTCAAGACGGTCTTCATCTTCGCTGTCAGATGCGTATGACATATCACCTTGGAAAAAGTTTTGGAAATTATTTTTGTAAGTACCTCCAGCCTCAGCAACCTTCTTTCGATGGCTCTTGGAAGCAAGATGTTTGGTGAGGTTGCCTTTTGTTTTGAAGGAGAAATTGCATTGGTTGCACTGGTATGGCCGGACGTCGCTGTGGGACCTAGAATTTCGGGTATGAATATAGCGATTGTATCTAAGTGTACCTGATATGCTTCTTGAGCATGCTTGGCTTTTTACAGCGGATTCCGCATCGATCACAAATATAACGTCCTTTGCCTCGACCTCGGATGTACACATAGACCTCATCGGTACGATGACCACCTGGGGAACGGTAATTTCTTTGCAATTTCAACTAACCAATGACAGTTTCCTTCTTATCAGAAAACTTATTCATGGATGATTCTTTTCGCTCAGGTTTATGGGGCTGTTTGGACTTTCTTGCGGCCTCTTCCTCTAGGGCTTGGATGCTTTCGTGTTTTTGCAGGACAATTGTCGGGATTCTAAATTAAAGGCTTAGGCAATGAAAACGATGACTTACTCAGACGGGGCAGAAGTAGTCGGTTTTGTAGGGGATGTAGGGGATGTATGTACAAGTGGAGGTTCAATTGCTGTAGAAACGGAAGGTTGTGTTGGTTGAATGGCGATTTGTGGAGATGGTTGGGTTGGTTGGGGTGATGGCTGGGGCGCAGAACGGCCGATCACCATTTCAGGAACAATCATTGCGGTTGGGAGCTAAATTTAAGTTTATAGGAAAACATTTGCAGCTCTTTCTAAGATCTCAAATGGGTTTTTGTACAAAGTATGCTAAATTGAACACGTTTGCGATTTTTCGTGATGTTAATGCTTTCAAAACCGCTTCTTCAAACTCCACGGCCAGCCCTACGTGAGAACTACGTTCCGAAAGCTGCTGGTTTTCGCGTCAAACCGATTAATGAATTTAATTTTTTAACACACCTTTTCTTGGTTAGGCCTCTTGGCACCGTATTCGTAGAGGCCATTGGTCGGCCCTTGTTGATTCATGGCGGTGATGAGGGCCAGGTTTTGGTTCTGGCGGAGGCGCAGCTGAAAATTGGGGGCGTTGATCGTCGAGATGATTCTTCAGTTTGGCGGCGGAGAGAGAAGGGGTTGTCGCTCTTTTAAAAAAGGACAGTAAGAAGCGGAGGGGCAGCAGGCTGGGCTTTTTTCTGTGTTAAAAGGTAGTCAGGGGGTTAGCATTTGACTTGGCTTTGTGTATGTGGGTGATGATGGTTTGGGGAAACGCCTAGGCGTATATCTCAAAAATAGTTTTGGCAAAAGCGAGTTTATGATTGGGTTACAAAACTAAAAATCGTTTGACAGCCTCCTAGAGGCCCAGCGTGCGTAGCCGTTGCCCAAAACCCATCAAAAATGATTCGGACAGAATCAGCGACAGGCCACCACGACGGCCCGGACAACGACAGACATATAGTTGAAAATGGATAGGGTCGGACGGTAGTAAACAGTCATGCAAAGAACAAATAACTTCCCCCCAACAAGCGGGTCCCCCGAATTCTCATAAACCCTGATCAAAATATTGGTGGATGACCATCTAGATGTGTACTGTACGTCACGACATGAGCACTGGCCGAGGTACGGTAGAAGAGTAGAGAAGGGGGGTGGTGGGTGTTGCGTGCTTCTCTCAACAACCCGTACATCGGCTCGACATCGGCAGAAGAGACACCCTCGGTTGAATCGGTAGTGGAAGGATGAAGCCGAGTGGGTCAGCATCAGGGTCCTCGACTAGCGCGTACTTCGGCCACTACAACCCGACTCTCCTTTCCCTCCGTACCGGGGACCACAATAAGCATTAGGTTCCATTGTGTTCGATTTAACAAGCTCTGACTCTAAAAATTTCTTGTTCATATGATCCTTCAAAAAATACGTCAGTTCTTATACCTCGAACACAGCGGAAGTATCCCTCCCCAAAAATATCGGAATCCCAGAATTTCTCTAATCAGAAAATACATGGAAACCCAACAGGAAAATTAACCCTCCCCCCAATGAGCCCTGCTACAATCAATCAGGAAAAGCCCCCACATTACCACTACAGCACATTGCGTTGGGAAAGGAAGAGAAGCGAACTGATAATAAAAAACCACCAGAATAACCAGAATGTTAAATCCACCTATTCGTTTTCTCATTATTACTCGCTGTTGCGCTCCCTCCTACTTGCGGATTCTGAAGAATTGAGTGTATGCATGGAAATCCAGGGGATTTTGGAATTGTTTTCATTCTAGTTGTTCGGGCCTTGTTTCTTCCCTTCCCTATTTGATGACTAAATAGGAACGACACATTCTCGAAAGAATTCGAGGGGCTTGCCGGGGGTAGAAGCTAAATCAAAACGGCTAAGCTAGGAAAAAAGCCAAGCAAATTAAAACTGGGGGTAGATAATCAAGGTTCACTCGGTTAGTTAAGCTTTCCATTTGGGGTGGGGGGGGGGGAGGAATATGGCAAAGGGAGCTGTGGGGTTCTTCAAAATAAGTAGGGTTTGCGAGGGAATGGTGTGAGATGATTTGGTTGAGTTTCATACCTTCGTGGAGATCTCCCAAAAGGAAGAATGGGTGACGCGGAGTTGGCCACCTTCACGGTTAGCGGAAGTTACTCGAAAAAACTCCTTGATCCCGGTGCCGGGGGTCATCTGGCAAGTGGAGAGGTACATCTTGTTAAGGTTTTTCTCGACTTCCGTGCCACGGCTCTAAAAAGGGTTACTTATTTTTATTCTTATTTATTCTTATTAGCTATTTTAATCCAAGTCGTACCTTTGGCCAGGAGTTATAGGAGCTCTCGCGCGGCCCTTGCTCCTTTGCAGATGGGAGCAGCCGATGTAGGCAGCAATAAGTATCGGAAGCTAGCGCACGATGACGGTTCGAAAGCTTCTAAGATCAGATATGCGTAAGGGTCATTAAAACCATACCTCTTTGACTTCCTGCTGCTGGGCTGAAACCTGTGTTGGTTCCTTGCTCGCCAACACCAAAGTGTACGGCTTATTGATATCGCCACTCAAAGCTTCCACTGGCTTCTCCAGCTGTGTACGCAGGGCCTCGGCCGAACTTCCAAGTGATGTAGCCTTTGGAACGGGAGGTGGCATCACCTTCATAGCATCCGGGTTGCGAAAGGCAGAGCTGGTCCCCGATTCTTGTTTGATATCGGCTAACCCATTCAGATGCTTCTGTCCTTGGCCATTCTGAAGATGCAGCTGTGCCAAGCTTTGCTGCACATTCGGGCCGCCATTCATGTGGGGGGTTTGTTGCTGGAGCAATTGCTGCTGGCGTTGTTGTTCTTGTTGCTGCAAGGCTTGTTGCTGTTGCAATTGTTGCAAAAAGTTTGGCGGCGCCTGGTTCTGCAGAGCTGATGGTTGTGGCAAGGGCAGCTGGGTGGATGAACCAGGAAGCGATGCCGATCCAGCAGCTTGACTTAGGAATTGTTGTTGTTGGCGTAGAACTTCGGCTTGTTGTTGCTGTTGTTGTGCTAGCAGGACGGCCAATTGCGGCATCTGTGGTTGACCGTTCATTCCGCCTTGGAGACTGAGCAACAAGCTTTGAATAGATGGTGCTGCCGGTTGGAGCTGTCCAAGCTGCTGGATTTGTTGCAGCTGTGCCAGCAATTGTTGGGCGATCAGCGGGTTGTTCTGCTGATTCTGGAGCTGCTGCTGCTGTTGATTGTGCTGTTGCTGTTGTTGTGATGCCACGGCTAACTGGTGAATTGCTGCCTCTTTTTGCATCTGAGTTTGTATTTGTTGTTGTTGCTGTTGCTGGATCAGATGCTGAGCTTGGAGAGCTTGCATATTCTGCAGATTGTTGCCGGCAAGAGATTGATAGCTCTGAATGCTATGAATCGGGATGGAAGGGGCGGTGTTGGCGACGGTCTCGCAGGAGAGAGCAGCTACAGTAGCCCTTCGGGACAATCCGGTGGAAATTCCGGGTGCAAGCTTCCGGGTCTCAGGGATAATCGGAAGCTGTTGGGAGGAGAATTGTTCATCCGTTGGAGCCGGGCTGGCAATGTCCTAAAATGTAAAGGATCAGGTAATTCGGGCAGCAGTTACCGCTTTCGACATCTTATGCGGCTGCTCAGCGACAGCACTCAAAAGGCGGCGTTTCAAGGGGTGACGATGATCAGCAATGATGACCGGCGAATCGCTATTGCGCGAAGTCTGCAAGAAGATTTGCTTATCTAAATATTGCATACCTCTTCAAGCTTCGGCGCCGTCGATGCAGGTGGTGGTCGGCTCATTTCAGCTTTTTTGGTGCACGTCGTTTCGTGCATCATCATCAAGTGAAGGTTGCCAAACTGCGCTTGGCAGTATTGACAGGGGTGGTTGGATGTCGCTAAAAATAATATGATGAAAATTCATAATTTGTACCTGGCCGATCGGAGCGGGAAAGTGGTTGTCCAGATGTGATGGAGCCGGCAGCACCACCATTATAGCTTGGTCCATTTCCGCCACCAAAGGCTTTTACACCTTGTAAGGGTTCGTAGAGGGATTGGCTTCGCGTGGTAGGCATTCGGTGGTGTTCACGTACCCCACTACTTCCGGGGGATGTTCGGGTGGATCCTGAAAATATGTTTGAAATGATTTAATCCTTTAATCTTTTAGTTTGAAAGCTGCTAATGACTTTGGAACTTACCAGATGCAGAATCCATCTCAATGCTCGATTGGGTTGACCGGTGGTATGGTCGCCGCTTTATCATAACTTGTGGCTGCTGGATGATCGCCTCGTTGTCGCTGATCAGCCTAAAAAAGACTATACGCCAAATCCCAAACACGAACCTTGAAATCCGCTCCTGCACCGATAACTCCGACAATTGGTTTCCCGATTTGTCCTGTTGAATCTGAGACCCAGGTGCGTTCGAAGGGTGAACGAGTTCGGGCACAGCTTCCAGCAACCTCGGATTCGGCACCGTCGCTTGGTTCACTGAAATATTGCCCTCTATAGATGGCTGCTGCCTGTCCCATACAAATGCCGGCCATGTTTTTTGTGTCTTTCACTTTGGTCCGCTGTGATACTCTTTCCGCCACGTGGGCAACACATGGGAATCCCACTGGTGTCGTCGTGTTCGGGGCGGTGCCCCCTTTTTGTTGCCCCTATCCTTTTTAGCGTCACCCCCCACAAAAAATGGGTGCTGGACCGAAATTTGATTCTTGGATGGTGGCGAGAATGATTGATGAAGATATTGATCTGATTTTCCGTGATTTCTCGCGCGGTGGGAAGATATTTATGTTTGGGTGGTGGTGGGGCTTGGGGGAGAGACGTCCGGGAAGTCGTTGAACTGTTGACCGTTTGTGTCTTTTTTGAAGTTGTGTGAGAGTCTAGGATGGACGTGAACAAACAGAAGTCGGGCCCCGGAGGGTGCCTCTAGGACGGAGACTAGCACACTTGATCTCCTGTTGCGCGCGTATTGGTGTGAAAGAGGGGGGACTGTATTTAGGGAGGTGTTTGGTTGGGGGAACGAATGTGAAACGTGCGAAAATCGCTTAAAAACTGAGAAAGCTAGGAGGCAGAATAGCTAAGATACTTTTCAGGATATCCTAGGCACTAATTTTTCTGGTTTTTAAAAATAACTAGACGCACCTGGGGGATAATTCGGCCTCGAGTCATGAGCCGACGTAGATGCAGTCGAATGAAAAGCAGAAGTTGATGGAATCGATTGCAAAAGTTGTGGCTGCTGTTGCTGCTGCGAACTGCCGGAGGCCGACTGCTGCTGCTGTTGCTGCTGTTGCGACTGTTCACGTGCCAACTGGGCGGCGGCGAGCTGAAGAAGCTGCGATGTGAAAAGGGGGATGGGATGGAATAAACCGGTGAAGGGCTCATTACCGCCACCTCGCAACTGTCAAGGGAATTCGCGTCACAAGCTTGGGGAACTCCTTTGGAAAATTTCGAAATTTTCCCGTCAGAGTGAAACTGATTTATTCTGGGTGAAACGTAGCGTGCTCCTAATTTTATGTAGTTTAATCGCCAAATTTGATAGTCCCGGTGAGGGCCCCTCAAAATACATAAATCTCAAAAAATCAAACGCAAACCCGGGCGGGAGGTACTGAACTAAACAGGTGGCCCTTATCAGGGCATGTCTCAAAAATGCCGATCTCGAACAGGGTACAAAATTTGTTTCAAGGAGGAGAAGTAGCGCTTTAGAAGTGGAAAAATTTATACCTGATAATACAGCAATGGATTGTTGGCGTTCTGTGGTTGTGGTTGAGCAATTGGCGCGGCCATTTGGGGGGTCGGTGTTGCGATATTCGGGCCGGCCGACGCGGCTACAACTTGCTGTAGTTGGTGGACTTGAGCTTGAGCTTGAGCAGCTTGTTGGGCTTGGGCTTGTTGCAGTTGCTGTTGTTGCAGCAGCTGAAATGCCAATAAATATTAAATTGCCATGGTAAAGAGGTGATAGGGATTGTAATAAAACAAACCTGTATGGCCATAAGAAGCTGTTGGCTTGGCGGTGGTTGGGGTGGTGGAGGGGCGGCGGTCGCTTGCTGCTGAGCAGCTTGCTGTGCTAGGAGAAGTTGGGCCAGCATTTGTTGCATCATTGGATTTTGCATATTAGCTCCTTCTTGTTGCTGCTGTTGTTGTTGCTGATGCTGTTGCTGTGCTTGTGCTTGTTGTTGTTGTTGAAGTATCGCCTCCTGGAAAAATATGTTACTAATATTCTTCCAATCTAGTACAATAGGTTTTGTTTAGATGGATAGAAATCAGGCTGATTTTCAAAAACTTTGCTTTGCGTCCCATTATTTTGCTTTTCACACATTTCACAGTTCATTTTATTGCATGGCCTATCCTGGGTTTCAACACCGTGTCTCGAAACCTACTGCCTAGAATCGATTTTACAGCTGATCTGAAATCAGCGCCCTAAACTCTGCCCTCCCAACCCCATGATTCGCACTTGCCCCCCTTTCCGTCAGCCAGTGCTCGTGCTCTCTGTTTGCGAGATTTTTCGGGAGTGAGGCCATTCCTTGCGAACAGCTGGGGCCGGCACACAGACACCAAGGGCCCAGTCGGGTGCCCAGGGTCTCTGGGCTGTCCGGCTCGGGGTTCTCCCATTTTCTTTTCGCCTTCATTTTCGCCCCTCTTCGTGTGTGTGTGGAGCGGAATGGCGGCGACGTCATCTTCGGCCAGGGCAAGGGCCACACCAGCAAAAAGAGGGGGGCCTCCCCCCCTCTTCCACTCCCGGGGATCGTTCTGAGCCTTGGCGCCGCAGAGAGCACCGACTCGCCCGGTCACATGTTCGAAACGGCGGCTAAACTTCCCCTCATTCTAACCCGCCCCTCGCCCTTTTTGCCCGGGCCGCAACCCCCAGCCAGCAGAGCCCCAGCCACCCGCTGAAAGAGACCGAAAAACGTGAAGAGCACACGCACACACAACGCCTCTGATCAATCGCCGGCCATGAAGCTCGGGAAAAAGTATGAGATGGATACGATTGGGTGGCTGAACAAAGAAACAGGGAATCGTAGCTCAAAGGTTGTTCATGCCCTAAGATCACGATTAAAGTTTATGAGCACACTGGGTTTATCGAAAAGCACAACTCCGCACCACTTCCGGTCAATGCTAATTGCTTAGGTTCACAAAAAATTAAATTTAATGTCGTAAATAGAAATTAGAATTAGATTAAATTAGTAAATAGTTTCGTAAATTCGTCCAATAGCAAAATCAATTGAAGGTAAATTGATTTAAATATCTCTACAAAACTAATATATTATTTTTTTTATGCAGTGTGATACAATTTTTTTATAGAAGCAGACAGGTATCTGATAAACTTTGTAGCAACCGGAACACTTCAAAACACAAAAAATTCATTCCCTGATCCGACCCAGGGCTTTCTAAATTTTTCATGATCATCCCCCCTCAGGACATGCATAAGACCCAAAAGGGCTCGAAAGAAATTTCATCACCTCCCACGACCATCACCCAATAATGTTGCAACTAATCCCACCCCAATTACCCTGCCACCCCCAAAGATTTCCCACCACATCCTCTATCATCCCATTCATAACAAAATCCTTTCCACCCTCAGTCACACCTGCCAAATTAGTGGTTCAACAGCCCGTAGGACCTTCGCTGACATAATGAAAAAATGGCACAAACAACCCGCAAAGAAAAACCAACTCCTCCCAGCGCCTGCGCCCTAATCCGAAACATCCATTTCGGGGTTACCAGGTTAATCCCTTGACTACAAAACGGCAGGTCGACATTCTCGATCGGGGCGGCGCGACTAATTAAAAGTTACTTTTTTTCAGAAATATTTTAGGGATTCGGGGGAAGACCCAAAAGTGTTGACACACTTCGGTTCGTGAGGTTTTCTTGGAATTTCAGCCACCGACGCGCACGTAATGGGTTTTAGATGGCATTCCGGCCGGTTGGAAATGAATGTTTTGATTCGGTCGCGCTGCATCGGAAGCCAGACCTATGGCTAGGAAAGGTTTCTATCATAATAAGAAAAAAGGGTTTTTTACCCGGAGTGCAAGATTTTCTAAATTTCTGAATTTATCGAAACATTTTTGACTACGCCATGGGTCAATTTCGGTGAGCAAATATCCGACGGATTGTCTGGGACCCCGAAAAGGGAGGATAAGCCTCCCTACCCTGCCATTCCAAACTCTACCCTACTCTGGAAATGTAGTGCCATGGGATTGTAGCAGATCTACCGTACTTTGAGACGGTCCGAAATTTTGGGAATTTCTGAATACATGAACAGGATCTGTTTTTCTGAGGGAAATCCAACAGCTTTCCTAGAAAAATACGAAAATTAAAAATGCTTTTGAACAGTCTATAACTTCTGTTGGTCAAAGTATAGGCATTTGAATTCAGGATGAATTTATAAAAATGGGGATCACGAATCCGATGGTCTGCTGATTTAGGCTTTATTGCCTGCCCATTGGCTAGACGAAATCATCAAAGCCCCGTTCATTGAACGCTTCCAAATCAACCCCCTGGAAAAGCCTCCACCTAACCCTTTTTTGGAGTATTCTGGGGTATCCAACAACCGGGGTCGGTCATCAAATTTCCCGGGGCATAGGGACTAATTAAGGCAGCGAACTATCAAGTAAGGGCGGCCCAGAACACGAAGAGGGGAGGGGAGATGAGATCCAAGTTTGGGGCTAGCGGCCAGAAAATATCCCTGGTGAGGACGCTTGGGAGGTTCAAAAAAGAAGAGGCAAATTGCGCTATTTCTCGGAAGAACCGCTGGGTGGGGGGAGATGTGGTGAGCAAGAAACATTTTTGAATAGATGGTAGGAGATGTGTGAATTTGGGAAAAAGGATAAATAGAAGATAATAAATATAGCACGATCTTACTATAAACGAAACCAACCTGTAACTGCTGCTGTAGACTCGGCTGGTACCCGGGAAAAGCGGCCGGCTGAGGTTGTGGGGGGCCGGAAGGCGTCTGCGAGCCCCCCGAGACGAAGGCCATGCCGACGACGGTGGCCCGGGTCAAATCGGGGCCGCCCTGATCCTTCTGCAATAATCCTGTTGTTGACATGATCCCTTAAGCCGCGAAAGGCAGGGCACCGAAGAAAAAGAAAAAAAAGAACGGGCGAGGAGAACGGTGAAAAGAAGAGGAATGGAAGCACGTAAGGAGGTGGGAAATGACAGAAAATACGGGCGGGGATACCCTTTCGTGGCAAACATACAGACACACAACCATGTGTGTATGTGTGGGGGTGCTCGAGGCGGGGCCATCGGGGATTACTTCCTATAATCCGCGCATTTTACCGCACACCACACCATCTAAGGGAGGGGGGAGCAATGCAATGCCTTCAGGCGGTTCGTCTGTGCTATGTGTGAGGGGAGACCTCAGAAGAGGCCATTTACCCACAATTACACCCCGTTATCCCACACACCACCCCAAAATTATAGAGGGTGGGGGTGGGTTGAGAGAGAAAGGAGCCGAGAAAAGGAGTCTAATTTGAGGAGCAATTGCATTCCGCACGGATTCATTTGGCGGATGTTTGGGCTCAAAAAAAATTGGCCTCTGAATTAATCCCGAGGGATCGAGCGGGAGGTCCGATTTTTTTTTTTTGACGCTAATCAAGAACAATAGAAAATTATGGCGAGACTATGGATCGCACATGGCGACGTGACTAATCGAAAAAGCGAGGAAGAGAGAGGTGGGTATTTTCTAGACGAAGAAAAGACAAAAATATTTAAGGAATCCATAAAAACACTAGCAAAATCCGATCGAATTGACTTAGAAAATTGCAAAGTGGAGAACGAATAGATATTCAACTCTAGTGCCGAGAAATACGGTTGACATTATTGACCATTTGCAATTTTACGAATTTATATAACAACCCGGGCCAGACACCGCTTTTTTTTATTATTACAAAACGAAAACGTTTCCCACGCGACCCCGGGCAACTACAATTTTTTTAGAAAAATTCCGCGCGAGAACACGTGATGTTTTTGGGTGGGAGAGCAGAGATTTTTGGGCGCCGCGAAAGTAAGCAAAACACTACGCCCGTTTTCCCATACCAAAGCACATAACTAACAAATTAGAATTGGGGGAGGAGAGGTTTCTGCCTCCGGAAAAGTGGGAAAAGAGGGGGCCGGTGAAGGGAAAATAGGGATATCTGGGTGAGTGATCGGGGCGTCGCACAATCCGGCGCGGGGATTGATCGAAAGCGAGGCAGTCTAAATTTTTGCACTTGATTTTTTCGCCTCGGGACCACACGCAGCAGCTCCAAACATTGCTAGCCAATTTTGGGTGGGTTTTACCCGTTGGGTTGGAGGTCAAGGAGGGGTGCGAGTGTGAGCAGTTCCGCACTTCCCACCCGGCTAGTGCACCCCTACTTGCCCATCGTGCTAAATCGTGCCCCACATTCGGCACAAAGGTCATTTCATAAGGGCTGTTTTGGGCGTGTGGAGCCCGACTGTCTCATGGCCAAACCGAATGGGGTAGGTTTCCGGGGGATATCCATGCTTCTCTTAGCCATTCGAGCCAAGGAAAAAAATGGTTGGAAAGGGAAGAAAGAGGGAGGAAAGAGCGGAAGAACGGAGGCTGGAAAGAGAAAGGCACGTAATGAACCGGAATATCGGATGGGGGAACGTGTTGGATTTGAGGGATGGGTACGTGGGCAGAAAAACAGAGCCGCCTTTTGACGGGGGGATTAAGGAGGAATTGTTAAAACCTTTAATGAATTTTTATAGGCCCGGAAACCTCCAGAATCCCAAACAATTTCTCCATACTAGAATGTACTTTAACCCGTTAATTAGTCATATATTTTACTGTTTCCTTACCCCACCTATCAGCGCTCCCCACGGATTTCCATCACCATCCCAATGCCCCCCTCCCTCGCCGGAATGTTTGTGAAGCACAAATTGATAATAGATAAGCGAGCCCAACCCCCGGGTTGCTGCCCGCATGCCCACATTCATGAGACATCTGTGACCCCAAAATCCACCCACAATCCCAGTCCATATCCCCCCAACAAACCCAATCAATGGCCCTAGGTGCCAGAAATATTCGGCTGGCCAAATCGGTTTGGCAGTTGGCCAGCTAAGAGTAGAAAAACCCGAGGGACGCAAAGGGTTAGATGTCCGAATGGAAAAGTGGAAAGACAGAAGAGAGCTGTGCAACGGGCGAGGTGACGGAGGGTAAAGAGGGAGAGAACCCGAAATCTTTTCGGTGGTGGACGGGTCGCCGGGTCGAGAGATGAGACATAGAGAGAGCGAGAGAAAGATAGAGAAGGGACAGAAACCAAGGGACGAGACTGCTCCTTTGCTCGGGGATGCCCTGATTTCATTAGCCATTGCTCCTAGCGGACCTTAGGCCACAAGGAGCTCAAGAAGAAGAAAGAAATCTAAGAAAAAAAAACGAGGAGCTTCTCTTTGGAGGGTGGAAAGGGCCCCGGGTCGGGGGTTGGTTGTTTCCCGGAAAATGTACCCGGGGCGGACCGGGTATTCGCAATATGGGAACGGCCCGGGTGGCGTTTTGCATTTCCTGCATATCGAAGTGTGGGACCCAATGTCAAAGAAGTATGTGAATAGGGGTGTTCGAGAACTGTGTAGTCAGGGCGAAAAATAGAGATACGAAGTCATTTTTAGAAGCAAAACATCAAAAAAACTTCCATAAATTTTTAACGGTCGAAAAATAAAAATAGCAGCTTTTAACCAGCCGGCACACACCACACTTGTTGGCGTAACAAGGTGCGACCGCGACACCCGACTAAATTACAGCCTTCAGGCGAAATAGGTGCACATGTCCCACCTGCCATATATGAGAACCATGGTTTCCCAGACCAAGTCCACACCCCTCCCTTGCCCCTAAACCACCCGTTCGGTCAATCGATCTCGCATGCAATTGTTTACCATAGGGGCAACCCCAACCCACACAACTCACACATACAGACAGACACATACCCACACACACACACCGTTCTACGATATGCACCTATCCACCCAGCCAACAAAATACATTCAAAATCCTAGGACACACTAACTGCCTTTTTATTTTCACCACCGCACAACGCACACAAAAATCGGTAGTGCAATGTTGTGTCTCCCGCCTAGTCACCAGTTCCGGGAATTACGATTTCCGAGGAGGGAGGATCTTGCAAATAACGCCAATTATTGGTGATTTCGGCGGGCATCTGTTTAGTTGCGATGGGTCAGCCTGGTAAAGATGCCCCCAGGGCATATCCCGACGCTACGAACTATGCAAAAGGCGTCTATCCACCTTAATCCCCGATATTTACATACACCCACGCGGGAGCTGCCAATTATCGGATTTAATGCCCGGGGCCGGCGGTCTAGGTTTTTGCGTATCTGGTGTGCTTTGATATTTGGCGGGTTAGGCGGTCGGGTAATAATGTAACCCATACTGGGTCCCATCCCGCTCCCTCGCTATCTATCAATCCCCGCGTCGAATTTTTCGTGACGTGGCGTGACCGATAGAACGGGGGCACCCACACTGGGAGATGAGACACAACGGGGGTAGCTGGGGGGTTGGGTGGCGATTTTGCGGGGAGGCGGCCCCACGGTGTGCCCCCGGACCTCGGGAGATGAAAACGGGGTAAACATGAGCACATGACAAAATGGTTGGAAGAGGGTCGCAAGATGGAGAAGGACATATATACACACACAAGCACATATGGGTCCCTGGTAGGTCGGCAGGTCGCCGGGGAGGCGAACCAAGCGAGTCCGGCTCCCAGGGCCACCTCAAATTTTTTTGGAAGGTCTCGTGTGGGAGGGGGTGGGCCACGGGCTTCGCGAAATTCCGCACCTTTGCACCCAGAATCGCGACGATGGAACGTGCGCGGGCGGGAGGGCAGAGACATTGGGGACGACTGTCGATGAAATCATACGAGCAGCATAAACACCAAAGATCTACGTGGGAAACCCTGGTGGGGCCTCGAGCCCCAAAATTCGAAACGCATTAATGAAAGTCAATGAATTTCGCAAACGGCTTCCCAAGGGTTTTTCCGCCCTGGCAAGCAATGGGCGATCTGGAAATATGTGGAAGTGTGGTTGAGTGGGGGCTCGCCGTTTCGGAGGGAGCAGGGGTGCTGACAGCACCGAAGCCACCACATCCAATGCAGAGGTATTAGAGAGGCTAGGTTGTCGTGGTTAGAGAGGGGTGGGGCGAGGGGTGCTGACAAAAAATGGAGGGTGTGTGTGGAGAGGGGAGACGCCAGACACTGTATGCGCTCACCCAATTGGGGAGGGCGAGACGGAGGGGGGCTGAGGGTGGAGAGGGAGCGACTGGGAGTTGCTGGGAGAGGATAGGGGGGATGGTGAGCCCCGGCTATTTGGGGGACATTTCGGAAGAGGGAGCTCCCTCTCGTTCTCTTGGGGATAGTCCGTTGTAACGTCTCTTGAGAGATTGGGGTATGGGAAGAGAGGGTGGGCGACTGGAAGGCATCTCTCTCTCTTTCTCGCTCTCTCTCTCTCTCTCTCTTCCTAGACCCCTCACTGCGCGCTCCCCCAATTGAACGGCCGAAGCGAGAGGAATCGGGTCTTTGGGGCAGTCCGAAACGCCGTAAACGTGAGACACACGGGCCAACACAAACAGCCCCGCCAAGCCTCCGGGGTCCACTGGCCCGTCACCCTCCTCCCAGCCGCTCTCTTTTCTCCCCTAGGGGGGCTCCCACGAAAAAAGTTCGGGAAGAAGATGCGGGAAGAAACAGAAGCCAGACCCATCATGGAAAGCGCTGGAATTGGAATCGCGGCACCAAAGATCCGGCGAAAAATTTGGCAGGTTACAAGGCAAATCGCTTGAGGTTACGCTTCCAATTCAAAAGTTCACAGTTATAGCTCGTACTTCCTGAACGTCCCAATCAACCACAAACCTGTTTTGTTGAGCCTACACTTCAAAACTTGGCGCATGTACCCCAGCTCATTATTCCCCACGCAAAAACACACACACCGGATTATAACTTAATCCAACACTTCCGGGACTTTCCACCCACTTTTTTTAGCCATTCCTAGAGGGAAAATTGCCCTCGGTAGCCCCCCGAGGGTGCAAAGCACGGCCAATCCAAAAGGGGCAAATTGCAGCCACCCAATAAACCGCCGACCCAGCTTGATGAATTGACAAGTAGCAAGGAGGGGGTAGGAGGAGGAGGGGAAACGAGATTCCCGCCACCCCCCGCGCTTATTAGATATGCGCTGAAACCCAGCACAAGTTCTCATTGGGCAAACCTATTCGCAAGTTTGCTTATTCAGAAATAGGGATATTTTTGGGTCGTCTGAATGGAATCGGGGCCCTCGTAGTAGAGCGGAGGCAAAAACCTGCTTGCAAAGGTCCCGGAAATGACCCTCAAAATGCGGCATGCAGAATGAGAGAGAGAGAGAGAGAGAGAGAGAGAGAGAGAGAGAGAGAGTAATTATATCTGCAGGAGCAACAACGCCCTGGGCCCCGGATGTCGAGGAAATGAGGGTAGAGTGTTTTGGAACAATCCCAGTACTCCCATTCTGGAATTTTGTTCTGAAAACGTGCCCCATCCGAAAAAAATTGGTTCTCACGAGGCGTATGATAGGAACCCAGCTCTACCTTGCCATTTCGTTTTTTTTTGCACAAACTAACCGATCGGCTGCAAAGATGGCTAAAATCCTGCCGGGGAGCTGGGAGCAAAATGGGATGGGTGAAGAGAAACCCCAAAAACCATGGATCGGAGGGTGGTGAGATTTATGGTATTGACGCAATCGATGAACTTTACCTTTTCTCTCTCGTAGTGGTGGGAGCAAAAAGTGTGTCTCGTTGCACAGTGAAATCGAAGTGCAGTATGGCGGGGTTGGTTTGGTTTAAAATAAAGTTGCGATCGAGAGTTGCGTTCGCTCGGTTTGTTAATAAGGTCGGTGCGCCGTCAAAATTGACTGGTAGGCGCGCCAATTTGATTATGACGCTGCGTCTAGTATACTCTTTGCTGAAAAGAACATTGCCCTTTTCTTGAATGCAGAATTAAACTTGAACCAACGTTTCGAAGGTGCATCTTTGCACGTGCACCCTACTGGCTAGTTCCTCTTTACAGCCCTCAAGGGTGAAGACTGTATTTTCCAGTGCCCGGCTGTGCGCGCCTGTACTTTGGAGGGCGCCCCCGAGAAAAATAGGTTGTACTTGAAGGTATCGGTATTCGACCAATTTCTGCGCAGCGCTCTCTTCCCCCCGCATTCAAGGTCATCACCGCCCTAGAAAGTGTGAGGCTGCGTATGTATGTGTGCAAGAGTAGTACAAAAATAGGCAAACAACCGGGGCAATGAGCGACAGTTTGGTGGAGTGAGGAGGATGAGGTGGAGGAGCGAGATCTATAAGTAAGCGTGCAGTTGAGGATCATCATTTGGGATAGTGGGTGTATGATGCCATATGAATGGATTGGGTGGAATTGCTGCCAAGTGAAAGAGGGATGAGATTGCGATAAGTACGCCCATTACCCTAATGGTATATGCTCGTTTTAACGGTTTTTCTTAGGTGTTTTCTCTCACATCATCAATCAAGCTTTATTGGGGAATTTTGAAAACTGAAAAGGATCCTTTGTCATGGTTTCGTTGTGACCTACCATAAACCCATTTGCGCTGCTCAGCCCATTGAAAATTGGTACCAAGTGCGGCCATTTTCCGTAATGTTTCTTAGTTCGCATTATATTCGTGCAATCCTCCCAGTTCAAATGAAAAATAATGGGACGCAGCAATCGGGGCGTATTGCTCACGTTGGCGACACGGCGCCCGCGTTCGACAGTCAAAATATGAATTCGCTGTCTGATCGGCGTTGGCAATACTATGGCGTGTTCTGGAAAAGCTAGGACTAGGAAGGCAGGATGCTAATTAAATAGTTAAAGGGTTACAAATATCTACTAAATACTATGTCCCATTAACCGGAAACTACACTATAGAGGTATTTCAATAAATTACTAACTTAACAAGTTCAGATTCCGTTGATAGATTTCTTCCCAAAACTCTCTGGACAATCAAAAAAATGCTATCTCCATTGACTGAGACACTTGATGATTTTTCCATCTTTTGGGATCAAATAGTCACCCTACCCCCAGAGAAAAGTGTCGATTCGGTTTGATCGATGTGTTGTCCCAGTCCACATCCCTAGAATCTATATTCTCCAGTCCATACCCACAGATATCGTGTGGTTTCGGGCCGAGTGGATGATGGTATGACGGCCTTCGGGCGGTGGTGGTTGGTGGGGGCCCGAAATCCCCCCGGCTTAACCCAAAATGCCTGGGCGATACCGGCTGGCCGGCTTGGGTATTGTCCACTAGTGTTGGTCAGCTAGTCCGCTACAGCTATGGCTAACATTTCAATGTCACTACTAGTTTTTGGGTTTTTAGCTGGATATGCGGTGGCAGATAATGTTTTTCGAGGTAATTTCTGGCGGTGATTGATTATAAATATTGATAATATATAATAGATAAGCTTAGGCCTTAAAGCGCGCGTTCAGGGAGTTGTACGTATACACCTCTGAGCTTTTGCGACTCTTCTATTTGTAGAAATCTCTCTGCGGAACTAGGTGTATACGTAGCCATTCCTGAGCGAGCTTAACTGAAAGCTACAAGTGCAAATTTTAGATTGTTTCAAAGCCCACCCAAATATTCAAATGGAATGTGTAAAACCTATCGAACGACGCTCCGGAATCAGCGAAGCCGAAGTCGTATCCCATTCACCTAATCGAGGATTTCCTGTTTAGTGCGGAGACCTCTGCGGAAAATGGGCCCCTCACTGCCGAAGCGCCCAATATGACGCCTATCGCAGCCAATGTGATCTTTTTGACCACCCATCTCCCTTGGATATGCCATTGGGTGCTACAGATGGTTTGCCGACACAAAATCGAACCTAGCGAGTTTAGATCGAAACAGATACTTCATGCTCCAACGTTATAAAAGGGAGATCCGGGCGGAAGCGGGGTAAGTATTGCAAAACTTAAGCTCTAATTAAATTACCCTTTAAAAAGGCTTTCACGCGTTTTATCGTAACCCGACCAAAATGCGGGTTCTCGTTTGCGGAAGACTAGTCATTAATCGAGCTTTCCCCTATAATTTGAAAAATTACAGACCTTTGCTAGCACTGATGCCCGCACAAATTCCGATATTTCTAGAACGGAAAAATCGGACTGCGTTGTGGTTGTAGTGCCGTCGATTGGGGTCACACACTACTCGGTAAATGTCACCTGTCTTCGGGAATTCGGAATTCCGCTCACACCTTCGCTGGACAAGAAGTCGCAGGTGATTTGAAATAATTGCGTTTCGGAGAGGGAAGGGTGAATGGAAAGGACAATCGGAGATCTCGTAATATGGAAAATATTGTAAGAAGGTTTAGAACAATACGTGCAGGTAAATGGCAATTTTTAAATGTAGGAATCACCTGCTGGGAAGCTAAAAACCAGATAAAATCCCAGAAGGGGAAATGTAAGCTAAGCTCTGGAGCTCGACAAGCTACAAAACACAAAAATTCTGGGCGAGTCGGGCTGATTCGGAAATTACCAATCCCAGACATGAAATTCAGTGTAATCGCGGACCTAGTAGACCATATTGTCGTAGTTATGTTCCGGCAATATTTAAATTAAGTGAATTTTTAGCCACCAGAGCAACCAGTCACCCATGGCCCAGCAAAAAGCCCCATAAATGAAAACAACTTCTTCGAAGATGAGAAGCCGCTTGCTAGCGATAAAGAGAGCAGTATAAATTCTGGTCCCAGCCGACCACTCAACTCCCAAACCATTGCGCCCATTGGCAAGAACTCCTTTGCGGGAACTATCGAAGTGGTTCCGATGATACCTGATTGTCCAAATGACGAGGTTCCACATGTGCAGATTATAAATGGAGTTCTAGTGAGCTCGCTTTTCAGCTTTTCAAAAATTTCGATTAGGTTGATGGTAAAGCAACCATTGAGATTATTGTGGACAAACCAGAGACATGCGTCCATATTTGTAGAACGAATACGGTAAGTGAGTGCAAAATAAGAAAAATCGATAATTTTAAGTATCTGGATGGAACTCGTCTATCTCTACTTTGCCGGTCAGCATTCTATGATTGGGGCTCTAAAAAGTGCTCGTTCTACCCAGATGCCCTAAATCCCAATGGATACCTAAATTATATCCCGAATCTTATGTCGCTCTACATGGAGAAGATTTGCATCCCGAGTAACCTTACATAGACATAAAAGTAAAATATTTTGAATTTAGCGCCCAGCCTTTCGCATGGATGTGACGAGGCCTTGAAGAGGTACCCACAACACGTGCTATTTGGTCATGCCTCGGATATTACAACGGCTACTAGTCAACAGAATTGCATTGTTCAATGTCTCAACGCCTACGTAAGCAATTCGGTTGCTTGTGAATCGGTGTAATTAGGTAGCTACGTAGTCGAAACGTAGAGATACTAAAAAATCACCCTTTGGTTCTTTAGAAAAAAAACAGAATATAGGATCGATTACTGCTTTTTGAAAAACAGGAGGTTTGAGTGAGGAACTCGGCGAATCCGAAAATAACATCTATTAAAGTCCAAGAAAGCTGTATTTATTTGGATAACAGCATGCAAATTGTAATTTAGCGAGAACGCGGTTTCACCTGCCGCTCCCTGATGCACTATAGTGAATTTGGAATGGCTAATTGCATTCTCAACTTCCACACGAGTACCACAAGAAGCAAATATTTCATGCTGGAATTGCATATAAGTGTAAGAGAAGACAATGTTTATATAATTTATGAATTAGGTGGATTATATTGAGCTTCCGCCTTGTTCTTATAAAACGCCGATAGGGTTGCATGAAGGGAAAACATCTTTGAAAATGCATGACAGTGAAATGATACGGGAAGGATTGCAGGTATCTTCGCAAAATGAACTATAAAATATTTAGTCACAACTAATGAATTACCCAAAAACCAGTTCAGTTCAAGTGAATGGAGATATTAAGCAGCAGCTAAAACCAAAGGTATGAGTAGTGTTGATTTCCTAATTAGAATTTAGGAATCCAACGCCCTCGTCTACGCCCTGCCCCCTGAATTCGATCCTAAACGTTCTCTAGTAGAGCTGGGCCCAGAATCCGATGCGGACCTCAGCAAAAATAACCAGGTCTCAAACCCCCTCCCGGCGCAAATCCGTTACGGTAGGCTCAGAATGACCAGTGACATTTCAGAAAATTCCCGCAAATGAGAAGTGGTCAGACTGGAGCGAATGCGATCCGCTTACCAGCACTAAGAAGCGGAGCCGGATATGTGACGCCGCAACGCTCTGTATTCCAGAATTAAAGGTATTTCGCATACAACCAGCAAACTTGAGAGCCTAAGTTGGCGTGTACCATTGTTACCAAGTATTTTATGGGCACTAAAAGTATGCCCAGACCGGTAATACGGTAGACTGGGGGATCAGCGCGAAGCCGAAATTTGATCCCCAGTTTTCCCTTTTTTTTCCAGATGGAACCATGCTTTTTCAAATCCGAATTTGACAGAGCGCTCCCATTATGGAAAGCCGAACAACGGAGACAAGGTACTTCATTTTTTTTGTAAAATATTCTTCAGATGAAGCCTTTAAAACAGATACAATCAATGTCAGCAAATCAAAGCTCTTTATGCCGGCCCGAGAAAATACAATGCCAAAACTCTACTTTGTCTTTTAATGATACTTTATTTGTACAAAAATCACGATCGATAAAATACCTCTTAAAGTGCTTATGCGGAGACATCGATGGTAAAAACAAATAATAGATATACGGGATACGAGGCGAGATAGATGAGATCACAGATTTGGATGTGAATGATGTGACGTTAGTTGAGCCAATAAAAAAATAGAGCTAATTTAATCAAGTTGTTGTTTCTATACTAGTTGTAATTTCCGAGACATTGATTGCACGGGAGGAGTTTGGTCTTGATCGATGGACTAAAAAATTCATTATTAAAGTTAGGCTTTTGGGATCTACCTGGTTTTGGGGTACCGCCATTGAGCTGAGTTTCCTCAATCTTAGGTGGGCTTTGGATAAGTTTTTCTTCTTCTTCTTTTTCGGTATCTAGGTTTGGATTCTTCGGTATTTGATGAGTTGCCATACCTTCAGCTAATAAGGCATTTCTCCGATTGCGTGGGTTGCAAATTGGTTGCATATCCAATACTTGGGCGTGTCTTCGAACTTGTAATCGAATCTAAATATTTTTATTCCAAGCAACGTTGATAACTATTTAAATAAGGATAACTCAATGCACTACCTGTTCTGCTGGTAATACCCGTCTTCTCTTCTTTGGCAATTTCTCCCGCGCTTGCGTATGCGAATAAAACATTGCAAAATTTGACACGATAACCTAAGCCAATTTCGGAAACGCAATCAACGAAATTATACCGGCACAGGCAATGCAATTGTCAACACACCCATCACGGCACATAGAGATCCAATAAGCCGCCCAAAGGCTGTATGAGGCGTCATGTCACCATATCCAACCTGAAATTACCATATATAGCCCCTCGACCTGCGTATCCACCGCACTCACCGTAGTCATCGTACATATTGCCCACCACAGCCCGAGGGGAATCGATAAAAACTGATTATCCGGATTTGCCTCCGTCTTCTCTGCGTAGTAGACGAGAGCCGCGAAAATGACAATGCCGAGGATGAGAAAGAAAACCTAAGAAGGATTAGCTGGGTGTTGGGGGTACGGTAAATACCAGGAGGATTAGCTCCTTAGCCGATGCCCGGAATGTATGGATGAGAATTTGGAGGCCTCGGTGGTGTTGAGTTAATTTGAAGAGTCGGAATATGCGGATCATGCTCAAGAATTCGACGACATCTTTTGGAGCATTATCCATGATACGGAAAAGAATGGCATCAATATAGAACGATAATGTTGCCACCTAAATTTATTAATTCATTAAAATATATTGACTCTGGTATCTTTAGAAATAAGCACAGAAAATAGCTTACCACATCAATACCATTAATTGGTGACTTCAAAAACCCAAGATATGAAGGGCAAAAAATAAACCGAATGATCAACTCGAACGTGAACCAAATATTACATACATACTCGATCTAAAATTAGAACTTTAAAAAGTTAAAGAGGTATTACATTTGCAAAGGCCGCGTGTGGCTCCGTGGCATTCCGCACGACCCCAAAGTGAATTTGCGAATTATTCAGCGATTTGTGCCATATCACTGGTATTCGAAAGGATTGATGCGTTTTTAGGCAAAATGACACAATGCTAACAACAATGAAGGCTACCGAGACGCCAGCGATTATCTAGAAAATGGCTTAAAATTAAGATGACTTAGAATTTCTTACCTTGGCCCATTTAGATGAATATGGTTCGTCAAATAGGGCCCACATCCGTGGTTTTATCTTCATCCATTTTGTCTTTTTGCCCTTTAATGAGGAGATATACATTTGAATAATTCAGAACACCTGATAAAAATCCTCTTCCCACCCAAATTTTTTCATTACATCCATTTCACGAACTTGCGGATCGTCTTCACGATTATCCACGTCCATTCGGTCAAGGACGGCTAATGTTTCTTGCGTATCTCTAAAAATAAGAATTAATGATTTATATAAAAAATAGTGTCTGTGTGTGTGTCGATTTGCATGCAACTTCCGTCTGTATGTCCGGAGGATAACTCTATAGGGGATGAATGGTATCGGACCAGTTCGCCGAAAACCATCTCGCCGAAAAACCATCTCGCCAAAAACCATTTCGCCGAAAAACCATTTCGCCGAAAACCATCCCGCCGAAAACCATATCGCCGAAAACCATCTCGCCGGAAACCATCTCGCCGAAAACCAACTCGCCGAAAACCTAATTTTGTATGCAAATTTTTTTTCAGGCTTGTTCCAGTTTGGTCTACTACTGGAAAAAACAATGATCATGACTGAACCAATCGGTTTTCGGCCGCAAATCATAGGGGAAGTGTCCGTGCACAAAGACCCTGAAAAAAGCAACTTTCTTTACTTTTTTGTGACCTGGGGGATGACCGCAAATACGCGAAAAAATTTGCATACAAAATTAGATTTTCGGCGAGTTGGTTTTCGGCGAAATGGTTTTCGGCGAGATGGTTTTCGGCGAAATGGTTTTCGGCGAGATGGTTTTCGGCGAAATGGTTTTCGGCGAATTGGTTTTCGGCAAGATGGTTTTCGGCGAGATGGTTTTCGGCGAGATGGTTTTTCGGCGAAATGGTTTTCGGCGAGATGGTTTTTCGGCGAGATGGTTTTCGGCGAGATGGTTTTCGGCGAGATGGTCGGAATTCGGGATGAATATTAGGGTACGTATGATACATCATTAGGTGCGTAATGGCTCTGCGATGACTGCACGCATAACAGAATTATCGAAATACGCTATTTTCGATAATAAAAATAAGTTTTTCTAAAATTTTCGAGAACCCTCTTTGGTAGGAAACAATTAGCATATACCGGAAGCAGAAGAAGAAGCCTATAAAAAGGGATGGAAGGAAATCTTTTCATTTTTGTCAGCTTGATTGAGACTGAATTATGCAAATTTTAAAGTTTCATTTGTCCAAACGGGGCCAGGGTTGAAAAGTCGCGAAGCGGCTTTTCAACCTTGGTTAATGATTTAAAATTTTAATGTAGCATAAACAGATACGTGATTTTATTTCTCATAGAGACTTACTTTGCATGCAACAATTGCATCCAACAGCACGGTTCCGTATCCGAAGCATCAAGGCCCCAATATTGCAATTCTTCTTCAAAAAGCGGCCCACAAACATCGGTGGGATAATGCAACTTTCCCGTTCGATAATAATTCAATACCTAAATCATATTTCTATTTTAAATATCCCTAAATAATATACCTGCCCAAAAACGCCGGGGTGCCGGTCAAAAAAATACTCATTGAGCAACGGATCAAAGTTGGCCAGCGACGGTGTTAATCTGAACCGGATACGGAAAATATCCCCCAAATTTTCACCTTGATAACCGGGTGGCGGGAATTTTCTTGAGTGTAGCGGCGTATGTTTCGTGTCTATGGCCACCGACATTGATCACGATCCGCTCATCCATAGAGGGGCCTGAAAGCCAAAAAATGTGAGATTATAAAAATATGAATTTTTTTACCGTACCATTCTGTGTTAAGAAAAATTATATCAATAATATTTGGTACAGCCAGAGTCCGACGGGTTTTTGAGGGTTTAGAAAAGAGTGTGATCTAGATGGCCGCAAAATGGGAGTGAAATTTTGATAACCGAAGTTATAACTGCAAATTCAGAAAAATGAGCCGGAGCGGATCTGCTAGCCCACACTCGGAATAGGATCAAAGTTAACAAACTTCAAATAGACAAACTTTTTGAATTTAGCGTGAAAAATTAGCTTAAAACTTGCAAACACGTGCCGGATTGAACTACACCCTAAATGAACCCTAAATAAGGGTGAATCAATGCGGAAACACATGCTCGGAATAGGATAAATGACCCTCGGATGCGATGCGCAATTGGCTGACTAGTTGAGCATCACCCCCCTAGCTGTCCAAGATAGGTGCAGAGAAGAAAAAAATTGTGCACGAACCGCTAAGACAAAAAAGAGTAAGCCTAACCCGTTGGGGTAAAAGCTAATTGAAAGTGTTGCGATCTATGGGCTCCCATTGGCGGCATGGACCCTCGAGCGACCCATCAGCGGTGAGAAAAGAACGGGGGGGGGTTCTTGCTGAAATCACTGACCCTTTCACCAGGGGGCTCATTCATCAATTTTTTGAGTGATCTAAAAGCCCAAGGCCCTTACCCGTTCGTGCTGGGAGCAAGAAATAAGATGACAATTCGTGGTTGGGGGGGGGGGATATGACGCTTTGCATTTCAATTTAAAGGCGGCTTCAAGGGGGGGTCTTGGCCCCGGGGTTATGGGCCTGGCGAACGAGGTGCGGCCAAATGAAAAATGAAGAATTATGCCGTAAAATCGAGGGGAAGGGGATGGCGGGGAATGCTTTGAGGATGGTTTCGATGAGGGAAATAGAAATTGGAAATGCGTCAATTTGGATTGGCTAGGAAACACGACACGTTTTCGGGAATTTGAGGCAGCCTATAGGACAAAATGAGACAAATCTAGGTAATCCTCACTAACAACGTCAAGAAAATTCAAGTTCCCATAGGTAAATTAGAAAAGCAAGAATGGGACGGCACAATTCAGATACTTAGAAACATCCTGTAGGTAATTAAATTTTACGTTAAAATTCATTATTCACACCGCTTGCTAAAGTCGCATCGAACTGCGAGTAAATGAGTTGATCACCAAAAATCCATCCATGTCAAAAACCCACGACAAGTGTTCCCCCCTAAACTCATTGAAACGGAGAAGCTCTCGTCGCGACAACCCATTCCCTGCGTCGCTGCCACGAACAAAAAAAGCAAGAAAGAAGAAGACCTCACGAATGAACGCGGGCCAAGGATAGAAAAAGAATAATGCATGCCTTACCTATTAACCGCATAGGACAACGGGGATTTGAGAGAATGAATAATTTATTACTGCTTAATATCATTTCCATTTATGGGTGTTTTGAGGATTACGCCTTGATAATTTGCGGCGATTGTTCTGTCGGCTGTCTACGTTTTTTTTGGAGGTCTGTGTTCATCTCGTGGAAGGATACAAGGTGAATATACAGAAAATCTCAAATTGTTTTCCAACCCATATTTAGCCAATCAAAAAAAAAATAATCCTACGTCAAAACGATTCTATACAATATGCTCTCCGTAATTTTAACGCCAAAAAAAAATCGCCGGCCGCATTACCGAAAACGATTTCTGGTTCCGTTTTGCGGAGACCACAATAAATTATTGGCGCATCCCGAGATGCCTAAAATGGAAATGATGCCCTCCCACCCTCTCCAAGCTACGCGGCCCGTAGTGCCGAAAAAAGAATTGAAGAGATTGGAAGATAGGACTAATGGGATGCTCTTGAGAATTCCATGCTTAGTACCCCCTTGGGTTCGTCTTTTAGTCCGGAACGGGACCCGCGGACCAATAGCAGCGCGAAATTTAGGGTCAAGGATTTTGTTGACGAGACCCAGTCGAGACAGAACGGAAATGGGCGAGAATTTGGAAATGAACGCCGGTCTGGGCGATGTGCTACTTGGAAACGTTCTTTTATCAATGGATTGGGTAAAGAAAAGGTAAAAAGCTAAATGCTAGAATTAAATCATGGATAACTCGGAAATGAGGTAAGGAGAAGGTTCTTATGGTCTTAATCTTGTTGTGAATAAAATTGTATAGACAAAATTAGTACACTTTTGAGGCAAGATGTAGAAACGGTGGATAAGCTTTTTAGGCTAAGTTTCGTATGCGCTGGTCGGGGTAATTTTTATTAAGGTAATAAAGTCGCAACCATAAATTCCGCCAGTCCGGCGCTAAACAATTACAAAAGCCAACCCCAAGGACATTTCGATGCAAAGGAATTGAATGCTATTTGGATTGCGTGACAAAACACCCGCAGTAGCCCCCTAACCACTACATCTGTTTCCTATTCGGGGAATGCCCAGCCTCGGGGGCAACTTTGGCGGCCCAGCGACGAGCCGCGGCCACCACAGCGCCGTCTAGATTTATGAATTTCTTCTGGGTCTTTCTTTCTCCGGTTTGGGCCCTTCCCTTCCTTTCCAACCGCCGATCCGATTGCCGCCTGGAAACAATAAGCAAGCTGGAAAGGAGTATCGCGAGTGGATTCGCTGTTGCGAGGAACAGCAGCGGGGGTAAGGGCAAATGGCTCGCAACAGGAAGTAAAAAAACAAGCAGGCGGACTTAGCAGGGGGCACAAAAGACCAAGTCGTCTAAATTACTAGTTAATTCACAAGTTACCTTCCATAGAACCGCGCGATATATACTAAGAAAATTATTTTCCTCTTGAAAAGATGCACTGTAAAAGTTGTATTTCACAGAGATGCTATCGAAACATACGAGTTCCGGCTAAAATCACGCACGACAGCTGATATTGGCTATTTTCAGTATTGGAAAATTTATATTAGATAGAGAGTGAAAAAAAACATACTAGTAGCTTTTTTACAGCGCAAAAACAGTTCTTGAAGCCATTTCTACGACACGGAGGCTTTGATTCATCCTGTTATTTAATTTCCTTATACGATCCTATATGTACTAGCAATAAAAATTACAGCAAATGGAAACTTGCACGCCTAGGGATAAACTCTCCGCCACCAACCCACCAAATATAATTAGCATAAAATTTCAGGGAGCCCTTTCCGTTTGTCTGGACCACCCGGGCGGGCACGTAAATTGTTTCTCCCCCCTATTGTCATAATTGAATTGCCGGGACATGGCGCCCCCGGAAATAATCACAACAGGTTAGTTTTTAGACCCCCGCCTTGGTTTCTTCGAACTACAAAAGCCGTAGTATTGGATCTGGGTGGGGTTTGGCCGGAACCCCAATGGTACACCGTAAATAGTATGGCTGGCAGCAAAATGCAATTGAAGCAGGAGGATTGCTGCTCGGTGTCTTAGCTTTGCCACCCGCAAAATAGTGTGGCCGATCAGAAAGCACGGAAACTCAAGCCCGTAAATAGTAGCGACCATTGGAATTTGGACGTTCTCAGGGTCCCGGCGGAGAATGGAAATCATGGGTGGATATTTGTCCCCCCTTCCTAGAATGGACATCCCAACAACCGAATTATTTATAACTTTCCGGTAAATTCGAGGAGGGGCCCCACTCCATTTACCCCTTGGCTCGATTAGTCTATGGTATCGCCATTAGGAGGGCAGGGGCGTTTTATAGGGTAGGAAAGTCAGAGGGAGAGCCCGAGACTGGGGTTTATTTATTGGTGTGGGAAATTAAGTTGCGAGTTTCGGGGAGTGAGGCTATTTTGGGATGGCGGAACGGAAGTTTGAGATTATGAATACGCGCCTCTAGGAAAGCTGTAGTGCTAGTACAATACAAAAAAAACCCAAAAAAGTGTTTATTAAAGTTTTTTAGCTATAGACATGTCGATATGGTTAGAAATCGAATAAATACCCCCACCACAGATGTCAAAAGTGAAAGAATATGAGACTGCAAAAAAAGACACCCAATATCATTCATCAATCGGCGCTTTGGCGTAGAGCAGTAGAGCAAGAACAGCTGTTTCCGACAATAAACCAAAAGGGCTTGTTCCGTCTCTCATTCCTTTCCCCTTTCTCCCCTCTTGTTCTTCCCGCGTTTCCAACTTTTACGCTTTTCAACTCCCTCCTACCCGATCCCCCCTGCTTTCTACTGCATTTGCAAAAATCTACACTTGCTGGCCCCAACAATGCATATCGCTTGCCCGTGAGGGTTGTCCCTAAATTCACGTCCACCCAACCACCCCATTCGCTAATTTCTCATTCATGCTAAAATGGCGTGGGTCGCCATGGAAGGAGCGGTGCCCCCGAAATTTCCAATATAAAATTATTGCTCAATCTCCCCTTTCCAATGGCTTCCGTTCCGACAGGACATGGAAATATGTCGGTTCTTTGAAGCTGCCGGGGGTCGTGTAGGTAGGGCCAAGAGCCATAAAAAGAATGTTCAGCCATGAAGTATTACCCCCGGTGTGCAGACGCATCTTAAAATTCTGTCCAAAAATCTTGGAGGGAGCTACGCCTTCGAACTTCCAAGTCGCGTTTCACTTTCCAGGGCTGGAAATTGAGACGCCGCAAAAATTAGAAGGGCCGGCTGAAATTCTAGAAGCTAGTGGTCGAGCTCTTAATTCTTGGCCTTCCTTCGGGTTGATGATAATAGAATAACGAAATTGAAGTAGCACAAATTGTTCGCAGCGGACCCTTGTAGGGTGGAAAAACGGATGGAGCGGCTATTGGATTTTGGGACGGACGAAGGTCCTTCCGTGGAAATGCGCCGACACTTGCTGTCAAAAACAAAATGCTGTCTAAGGAAATGACGACATGAGGGGGAATGGGTGGAAATGTCTGAACAGCTAGGCAGTGTCAATTCAGATTTGTTGATGGATGATTTTTAATTGTTTACCTCCTTTTTCTGAAAAAATATCGCTGCCTCGGCGGGAGCTTCGGCGGGAGGATGCATCGTTGAATCCGGCCGTCAACATTTTGACGTGGTTCACATGAATCTGGTTTCTGAAAAGAAAATATAGAATAGAATAGAAACTACCATAATCTAAATAAGGCGACAAAGCGATAGGAATGCAACAACCAGAACCCTTCCCCCGATTTCTGCCACTAAACTTTTTGGTCCACCCCCGACGAGAATTCAATTTTGTTGTCTGTATGAGATGAAGCACATCTTTTCCCCCTGCTGCCCTCTAAATCTCCCAGCTCCAAAAAAGGGAAGCGCTTCCAGAAGAAGGGATTTTTCTCCCGAACGGCCACTGGCCAACCCGGGAATCTCAATGCTCCGAAGATCTTTTCAGAAGCCGCGAAATTCTGTCTGAGCACGGCGGCGGAACGAGAACGGAAATTGTCGATTCGATGGGTGGGTTCGGGAGGCCAAAATGCCCCGAACGATGGGGGCTCATAATTTTTGGCGGCGCGATGGGGGGACGTCCTGAATAAAGCTGCCAAATAAATTATTTTATTTTCGATGGGGGATCTCCTAGGCGGCGGCGTTGCGGCGTTAATTTTAGGGAGAGGGTTTTATGATGGTGGTTGTAGGGCAGAAGCATGGGGCTTAAATTATGTTTTTATAGGTATCCGACATAGCAGAGTCCGACATCGGCGTTGTGGAAAATATTTCCATATTTCTGAAAAATGGGAAATACATTAAAAAAGTGCCCGTATCGCGCTTTCAAAAAAATCGGTATTTTTATATTCGGTTTTTGCTCCAATCTATTTTTACAGATCATGAAGATGGTATTTTACTAAAGATTATTTTTGTTGCGCCTTTAATTTATCCAAAACGGCGCTTAGATCTTTATCCTTAATGAGACAACATTCGTTAGAGGAAAGGCAGTAATTGCTCGAGCTAAAAATACCAAAAACATTTCGGAAAAGTCATGTAGTGGTAGAATGGTGTCTGACTAGCTAGTGGTTGGCCTTAAGCCCCGACGCCTTCCTCCCCCACCCCATCCAGTTCGTCGAGGAGGGGCCAGAAGCCGGTCCCCCCCCGAAATTGGGCCCATAGAGAAGAAATATCATTGCCCGGCGGGCTCTCAGAAATCCACCAAGATCAAATTCCCCCTTCACACCACCCCCACCCCCTTTACCCGTTTCCCGCCTTCCCCTCCAAAGAAAGTGAACTGATCAACGTTTATTCATGTATTCAAGACTGGCGACCCAGACGGATAAGACATATAGGCAGCACAGAAAAAAACAGACGACAATTTGTGAAAGCGGCAACGCCGAGGGCCCCAGTTGCCCGTGGCGTGCCAAAGTATCACTATACCCAAACAATGGAATTGTGGTGGAGGCATTTGAAACGCCCAGAAATAGAGAGAAAATGGCTATACAGGGTTGTGGAGAGAGAGAAAGATAGATAGAAATTGTTTGCGCAGAAGGATTAAGGAAGTGGAGACAGACAATGTGTTTTTGGAAGTGAGACTCAAATAATTAGGGGTAGGGTCATTCTTTTTTAGAAATTGTATTTGGAGACGTGGACATGTAGTAGGTAATGTGAGTTGTCGTTGGTTTCAGAATTTGCATATACCTAAAAAATACGCAATTATGCAAATTTTCAAGTACGTTACTAGAATAAACATTTTGAAAATTAAGACCCACTCTCAATTTCGTAGTCTCATTCGGTTTTAATGGAGCGGCAGATAGAATTGTTGCCTGTCCATGGTCAGTTCTGATACCGTAGGTACCGGCGGTTGTTCGACCTTCTAAAAATTTAAACAGTAAGCTATACTATCAACGCGTACTAGTTTTCTCCTCGTCTTGATCTTCAGATATCGTGTAAATCGTATCGGCAACAATCTAAAAAATATACAAATTAAAAGTTATCGATACCCTCGAGTTTTTATCATATGCCGTCAACTTTGCCAGCGCACTATTGATCGGCACGGACGCGATAACCGGCAACATCTGCAACCGAATCACCGGTTTGTGGCAATCGTGACAATCGTGATGACATTCGCTATAATTTTTAAAATTCATATAAGATGATGAAATCAACCTGTTATCGACAATATGATAATCTTTCGGGCACGGATGAGACAAGCATTGGTAGCTTCCAAAATTGTTGAAACAAAGTTCAGCACCACCCGTTCCGGCGCATATATTTGGATTCTCGCATTCATCGATATCTAAAAGGAGATGTGTGTCGGGAAGTGGATGCGCAAATTGGTTTCAGGATCTTAATTTAGATATACGCTTTTAAAAGCGGAAGAACCCAATCCGTTCCAATTAACTAATTCCTTCCGGATTTTATTACCTTTACACTTATTGTCTTCACCAAGATAGTATCCTTCCGGACATTGGCATTCGTAGCCACCAATTGTGTTGTGGCACTTCCATTCACATTTCCAATCATGCACGCACTCATCGACATCTAGATACATTGACGAAAGCGTTTCAATTAGAATACCTGTGCATTCATTGACAATCGGATCCCAGTGGAAGCCAGGCCCACATTTATGGTGTTTAGCGTCTTGCACTTTGGTGATGCGATGTTTTACTAAGAATATCTTACATAAGATTTATATTCTTAATCTACCTGCAGCGCAATTTCCATCCCGAGGTGGATGACCATTCGGACATAAACAAATGAAAGAACCGAGTTGGTTGATACACTTCAGATTTGCAGAACATGGATGTTCTTTCTCGCACTCGTTGATGTCTAAAAATTCTTGCGTCATTTCGCACATTCAAAATATTTATTGACAGCGGCTAACCTTAATCGAAATAATTTTGTGGTTTGTTGTGCAAAATACCAATACAATTCTATTATGATGAGCTATGAGCCTTGAAAACAACCACGTATTGGGTCAATCAAATCAATGACATGCAGGGGACTCTTCAAAGTTATCTAACAATCTAAGCCTCAGACTCCAGAGATCCTTTGCAGCTGTTGCTGTGTCACCCTTTGTGGGCGACAATTTTTAGCACGTTCTGCTGGTAACCACTTTATTAGGTGGGCACAAGCCCTAATATAAATATGGTAACTTGGGTATGCGTGTCATTTTGCAAATTAGGTGCAGTTTGCCATGAAAAATTTACCTTCACACATGTCGCTGTGCGAGTTGTACCAAAAGCCGGGTTGGCATGGGTTTCGATCCAAGCAAATGTAGGAGCCTTAATTTTTAAAGGGATTAAGCATCAGCGCCAGATTCCTTACCATCCGTATTCATGCAAAACTCGCTGGCCTGGCATGGATTGTCGTCACATTCATCAATGTCCACACACACGCCGTCATCGAGTTTTGGCCTAATTTGGATGATAAGGGTTCAATTAATTTTGTTCTTACATAAAACCCTTTTCGCACAATGGCTGACATTCATATGTACCATCTAGGTTCTCGCAATTCTCGTACTTATCGCATATCGTGATGTTTCTTTCACATTCATCAATGTCTAAATGCCATCAAATGAATATTTCTTTCAAACGAAACCTGAGCAGTAGCCATTGTCATTCTGTTCGAACCCTTCACCACAGTCGTCTTCTAGATGAGGTTGCACCGTAGCGTTACGATTTCCTTCCAAGAATTCCATTTCCAATCTATAACATCACTTTTATTTGACCCGATCTTCAGCTCATTTCTTAAGACTCGTCATTGAGGATCTAAGTCGTAAAAGTATTGTTGCGGGGGGGGGGGGTATTGTTCGAAAAGCGCATCATATATGTTGCCATGAATTTTTTGATGAGGACCACAAGGGAACGCGATGCTATAAAGGGTGTCTGATCTCTCTGGATATCCCTGAAGTTGCACTATTTTTATCCATCGGGGTTTTGGTGGTTTCCTGGGCTCTTCTTACGTTTTTGGGTATATTTTTCAGTTCTATGATATATATTGGATCTTAGAAAGAACCAAAGGGCTAGGAAAAGCCAAGTTTACTTGTTGTTCTGGAAAAAGCTGGCTGAACACCTAACACGTTTAAACGCGGGGCTCTGGAAAAGGCCTAATCTTTATAAAATCATACCTAATGGATCTGCCAGGTTGAATCTTCAGATCGGTCATGTTGAACTTCAGCTTTTCATAAGTTCTAGAGAATTTGTGATACTTTTTTTCGAATAATTACCCAATATTCACAATCTCATCTCCAACCACCAAGTCGGCTGACCCAACAGCCACAAATTCTCCGGCCGCAATCTCAGTGACCCGGGTTGTCACGTTCTCCAGCTTTGCCTCGTGCTAAAACATATTTTTTGAGCATAAACCAGGGCCTATATGCCGTCACCACGGCGTCTTCATTAGGACCTCCGAATTTCATTTACACATACAAAGCCGGGAGGGGGAACAAAAGCCCCCCTCCGACACACAATACCCCCATATTTGGGTCCAGGTATTCTCAAAACGTCCTGTTGGCGAAATCTCGGGCAAGCAACAATTCTCCCCCTGTTGGCTGCAGAAGGTCTATGTGATTCATTATCACGTGTCCGCTAGTAGAAGAGCTACGGTAATTTTGACGAAATTTTTATCTTCTAAGATCTCATTGCTGTTACTTTCCTTGAATTTTTCTTTAACCTCACCGTGTCATTTTCAAATGGCAAGCTGCCAGAGAATTTTCCGATGATGGGATGGTTCGGATCCGTGCGGTTTACTTTTTGTTCGGCCTAAAAATTGGATTTGCTTTTTCCTCCAAGGTATGATGTTGGAATTCAAAAGCCAGATGTACTTAGCGACGCGTTTTGTAAAAACAAGGCAATAAATCATGGATCCTTTATGCATATCGCGGGGGTTTTGTCTATCAACACCTTGGCTTCCGCTATTTAAGGATATTACCGATGAAGCTACCATATATTTGAATTTCATTTTGGTATGAGGAAGGGTATGCATTATCCTTTACAAGATCCTGGTGACTTCATTACCCTAATTTATCTATTCTGATTCCCACATATTTCCCTCCCCTAATTTTTACAGACCTCATATCGATCTCCTGTGCTGAACTTAAAATCCATCGTCTTCTCATAGATCTCAGGTGTCTGCTCCATATCCGGCAAATGTTTGGCAAGATTCCGGTTCAGCAGTTCTTCAATCAGTTCTCGGGCAGTTTCTGAAAGACGCAGCTGAAGTCTGACTGGATTGGATTCGCATCATCTGGAGATGAGAACAAAGAGAGATGGTGTCGAACAAGATTCGTCACACCCCCGCCTTGTCTATTCCGGAGGATAAGCTCGGGTGTAAAAAATTGAGATAGGAGCAGAATGAACTCCTGCGAATGACACTCAATTAGCGGCCAGGGTTGGGGTTTTGGGGTTTGAGTGGGAAAGGGAGGGTGGAGCTGTATGCGCTGCGTCCGTTTTCGGAGCAGTCATTTCGCAGAACACACCTCCGCCTCCTCCCCTCCCTCATCTACAGATCTCAAACTCGGCCACACACTCACTTTTCGACTTGTTTGGTGCTATGCGCTGTAAGGATGGCGGTGTGGTGAGAGTTTGAAGAATTAGTTGCCCAGTTTTCCCGTCGACAACGTAGCCGGGCAGGATTCCCACCTTCCCTTCGTCCTCTAAAAGTTAAGCAGAATAGCACATGTGCCGAGTACCGTATTCTGCACCTCATTTTGCAAAAGTATTGTTCGCAATTCGTTTTCAATATCAGTTCAAAAGCACCTGCTCTACCTTTCAGTAATGCGCCCCCAATTCATCTGATTTCATACAGCAATTTGCGCCCTATTTTTATTGCGGGAATACGGTACTTAGCCAGATTATTTGTAGGCGTTTTTGAGGAGCGATTTTCACCCTTGTTACCCGAAGCAATGTAACACTAAAAACCAAATAACGTTGGGGCTAAATAAAGCAGAGATCACGGGGGAAGCGTACCGGTATTTTTAAGGAAAACATCATCAAAGCTGGTGCCTAGGGAATTCTTGGCGCGGCATTTGTAGTCGCCCAGATCTTCGGTTACAATTTCCTCGATGTAGAGAGAGTTGTTAGGCTAAATGTTTTGGTTATGAAAAAGTCTGGGTGACGTTGTCACGTTGAGGTCAGTTTATGGGTTGACTAAGGTGTAAATTACCAGGATATAGACGTTGTCAGTCTGAACGAGAGGCTGATCACCCTTCATCCATTTGATATCGGTTGTTAATGGCTGGCCCTCAGCCAGTAGGCAGTCCATCACCACCTCTTCCCCTTCGTCGGCCATTTGTACGGGGTTTGGCACGGCTACTTTCGGGGGTGCGTCGTCGACTTCCATCTGGAATCCACTCTCTTTATTGAGTCTTCTGGGAGGAGGCCCAATATTGAGGACAATTAACCCTCACACAGTCATCACGTATTCCTTTTTGTTTTTCATCAACCTGGAAGTGGGCGTCAGGCGCAAACAAGCCACTTTCAGACTTGAGGTTAGGGGCAATTTGGGCGTCAGGTGGAAAGGTCGAAATTGGCACATTTTGGAAGGATTCTGCGTTTTCATAATATTGTTTAATTTACAGAAAACTCGAATCAGGTCTAGTCAATACAAGCAGTTTCATGAACATTTTTCGGGTGTTTTGATGTTTCTAACCCATATTTTATTTACTTAATTGTACGCTTCTACACTTTCAAAATCATTTCCGCCTCAAATGTTGCGCTCCTTGACCTAGCGAACTTTAAATCAAACCCTCTATTTGTCATCCCACAACCTCGCAAAATTCGCTAAATAACGCGCCACGCGCATTCCTAAGGCGCTCTTCTTCCGCCCATATAATCGCTACGTGCAAACGGCACCCGGGGTGGAATATCCAATTTAAGCATTCGGTCTGCCGCCTCCACGCAATTCGCATTCTTGTCGGCGCCGGGGATATGCTAAGAATTATGGCGCTTTAAAAGGGGCGGATCGTGTTCGTGAATTTATTCTGGCCCCCACAAATCGGCAATCTAAATTCCGAATTTTCCTTGAAATCTTAGGGGGTTTTATCGGATAACAGAAAGATCAAAAGTACCGTATCTTCGGTTTCTATTTGTCAGAGCCCAAAAAAATGTTATTAGAGGGCTTTTAATGGAGGCTGTTTTGATGTTTAGATCGGTGAAAATATACAAAATAGGAGTTGATGGATCGCTTTTGATCCCTTAGATCCGGTTTACTACTTTAAGCTGCATAAAACTACTAATAATACTAGAAAAACGCATACAGGCATCTCCGATTAGCTTTTTGGAAAATTATAACTTCAATTCTGGCAGTTTTTACCACACGAGTAAACTTATTCAATTACAGGGGGGGCGGCGCTTATATTCATAAATAAGACAAGTGATGAGACTTTAAATAAGACAATGAATAATGGCTAGCTACAGTCTACCATTAAGGCGTTCACCCATGAACTTTGAACCCTCAATCCATGTAACGCCCAAATAAGCCGCCATTTTGTTATTCGTACCCAAATTCGCGAGGGGCCAATAGCGTTCTGGGTAGCTAACCCGCATCCGTCCGCTGTGTATTGAATATGTGCATTATCCTCAATTAGTCACTATCCACAACAAGCTTTTCATGAAAGGGTCATCCACCCGCCCCCACCCACACTCTTTCTGGGTCGTCGGGTCGCTGGTCTTCTCAGCTGTTCAGTTGACCCGGGTTGAACTGGGTCTAGAGGCCGAATTTCGGCTTTGTTTCCGGTCTTTTTGGTAGCCCGATAAAATTTTAGAAGAAATTCTGGTGCTGACCCTTAACGGGGGGAAAAGTCCAGTTTTTCCAAGCTCCCTTAGGTGTTCTATAATGGCATACAAACAGCGTTAATCACTCATTCCGCCTCTTTATCTATAAAAAGTTCATATAGTTGTTAAAATTTCGAAAAGCGTACTTAAGGTTCAATAATTTATGATAACTGTTTTTAGAAGTTTTTGGTATCTAAAAACCTAAAACACTCCGAAAAAACTTGGTGTTCTGGCGACAAAAGGTTGAATAGTAAAGTTATGTTCCCCGGTAAGTTTCCTTAATGATCCTAAACCTAACTACTTCTAAAGAAACACTTTCCCCATTAAATTGTTTTCAATTCTGACCGAACTACAGTACCCCAAGCCCTAACGATCCCGAAAATGCAGCTGCCGCCCAAGTTCACGCCAATAATTGTTTCATTACAAGGTTATTGACGTGGGCATCACTCACCAAATGTTTCCTCGTCTTTCGCTTCCTTTTCCCCATACGGCAGTGATATGAGTCGAGCGTCTCAGGCTGAAAACTGACTCTGTGGTCTCGTGAAATACACGCGCAGGCTTTGAGGGTGGGGTGGGCCGAGGTCTGGCCTTAGTCACTCCCTCACTTCACACCTCGCTTCCTACTATCCAATTCTTTTCTAAGGAAATGTTGCTTTCGGGAGGTCAGAAAAAGGTTGTGAGGTATTGTTTTTGCATGAATGTTTTGAGTACCCTAGATGTAGATCTAAATTCACCATTTTCTGCTATTGCTTTTAGGGATTTCCATAGCGGATTTTTATGGTTATTTATATGGTTCTGGACTGCTAGCAGGGGGGGGCTTATTAGCCAATACCTAACTTGCAAATCTTTTAGACTTATATGGTTTATTTCGATACCTTTTTAGCGGTTTTAAATTACCGAATGAAGATAAGCTTTAAGAAGATTGGGATTTTGAATATTTTCTTAGCTGTTTGTACCAAAAACTAATTTGGTAATTCGTAAATACTAAAAATATAAAATTTTTGAAATATAAAAATTTGAGCCTTCGTAGATTTTTGGAGCCAATGACGAATTTCTGCCTCTAACAAGGGAACCACCTAACAAGGGAACCACCTAAGGTCAAGGTGGCGTTTCGTTATGGGACCCAGCCTATTTTGTGTAGAATTTTTTGCTGATTCCGAACCCGCTTTCAATTTTTGCTAAATAGCTCAATTTAAAAAGTTATAGCGATTTTAAGGTCATATCTGTGCCCGCGGGAAGTCATCTGTCACGATGCCCAACTTTTTTATATTAATAGGGCCGTCGATTTTTAATAGCCTGTCTTATAGAGAATTTTTTTCTGATTCGATTGGTATATTTCATTAGTGCGCTACGACCTATCGACGATCACTTACGGGGGTGTGAAATAGGCAATTTTTCACCATTTCCCATACAAAAAACGGAGTCCATACCAAGTATCGTCGATTTTTTCAATTTTCAACAATTTTGAGTTAAATCGTTCATTCGATAGAGAAAATTTTTCTGAATACGATGGCGATATTCGTTTTTGAGGAATCAGACGGGAAAGGCAAGATAAATGACTTTAAAGTTCGAAAATTTGGGAAAAAATGGAACTTTGAAACGCTATAACTTTTTAAATTGGGCTATTTAGCAAAAAATAAAAGCGGATTTGAAATCAGCAAAAAATTCTGCACAAAATAAGCTGGGTCCCATAACGAAACGCCACCTTGACCTTAGGTGGTTCCCTTGTAAGGTCAAGGTGGCGTTTCGTTATGGGACCCAGCCTATTTTGTGTAAAATTTTTTGCTGATTCCGAACCCGCTTTCAATTTTTGCTAAATAGCCCAATTTAAAAAGTTATAGCGATTTTAAGGTCATATCTGTGCCCGCGGGAAGTCATCTGTCACGATGCCCAACTTTTTTGTTTTAATATGCCAATCCATTTTAAATAGCCTATCTTGTAGAGAATTTTTTCTGATTTGATTCGTATATATCATTAGTGCGCTACGACCTATCGACGATCACTTACGGGGGTGTGAAATAGGCAAATTTTCACCATTTCCCATACAAAAAACGGAGTCCATGCCAAGTATCGTCGATTTTTTCAATTTTCAACAATTTTGAGTTAAATAGCTCATTCGATAGAGAAAATTTTTTTGAATACGATGGCGATATTCGTTTTTGAGGAATCAGACGGGAAAGGCAAGATAAATGACTTTGAAGTTCGAAAATTTCGGAAAAAATGGAACTTTGAAACGCTATAACTTTTTAAATTGAGTTATTTAGCAAAAAATAAAAGCGTATTCGAAATCAGCAAAAAATTCTGCACAAAATAAGCTGGGTCTCATAACGAAACGCCACCTTGACCTTAGGTGGTTCCCTTGTAAGTTATTTCTTATCAACGTATGACTGTTTTAAAAGTTGAAAAAAGCAGAAAAATTCGTAAAACGGCCTGTATTTAATTTTCGGGATTGTACAAGGCGACATACCAAAGTTAGGCCCCCGCCCGCTAACAAACCAGCAAAATTAATACTAATTCATTAACGTACCGTCACACTATCCACATCCAACACGACCATTGATCCATTATTGAGCAACACCACCGGCTCGGTAGCAGGATCAATCGGACGATCCCCATGCATCCACGTCATCCCAGATTGTTGAACTTTCCCCCTAGACTCTCATTTGTATAACTCGCGCTTAACGAAGCATCGATAATGCGTCGATTGCAGAAGAGAACGCCATTTCTGATGAGAAACACGTAGTGTCTCTGTCTCTTGGCTTACCCCTACCACCCTCGATTTGCATCGCCGAGACCTCCTATTTTGGACGAGGAGGTCACGAATTATGCCCCCAGCGATGTCAATAACCACTTTTCCCCCTCCTTCAACCCTTAATAAGAAATCTCACCTATCCAGGCAGTCGATCACCGCAATCTTTCGCGTCGGGTACGCTTTTGTAGTGGGCACTGAAAACAAGCAGGATATACGTAGGGCCGTCTAGTTTTCGGGATGTCCCTCGTTTAATTACGCAAATACCGGGATTGGTAATGAAATAATAAAGATGGAGGGATGATAATATTTTTTTTCTATAAGGTCCGGGCTTTTATGCGTCAACCTTTTGTTGGAGCGGTGCGCTATTATCTGGCTATTCCTTCACCTTTTTTTCCGGGGTGGGCGTAAAAGCCATTTTTTATCCCACCCTATGGTCCGGGTAGGGAATATCGGGTTTGACGATGTTAAGAAGTTTTTGGGTTGACGTTTGCTTTTATGAAAAACTAAGAGTATTACGCTAAAATTGCGATGCAAAGAAGTTTTGTAAATTTGCTGGTTTCGTTTTCCAGTTTTGTGTAAAAAATTGGTTAGCGAATCGCATTTCGGCTAGTTCCGGCCATTTAAAGGTTTGCTTCGCGGCGAGTGAGCCCCAGCGCACTTTAATCGGGTGTCCATTGCACTAGTACGTTACTTATTCGTACCGAAACTATACACGATCTTTTTGGGTACTATAGATAAGTTATAACATGCTTTTATTCTTTGTTACCTTCATCATCCTCATAACGATCAGCCGGTGGTTCTGCATAGTCGATAACAGCTGTGCTCAAACTTTCCCCGACACTATTTTGAGCGACGCAGGTGTAGTTGCCGGCGTTGGACTTGTCGTGCATGACCACCTAAAAATGGTCATTTCTCCGGGAGCCGCTCACAAGTTTTGACTTGTCCCTAGCCCGTCCGCACGTAGAACTATGATAGTTTATACAGCAATTATGGGTGCTGCTCGTAATTTCGGGATAAATGGCGGCAGATGGAAATTTTCGTGCAGAAAAGGTTACTTGCTAATTTTGAATTTAGCCTCTTTTTATATGGATTATTTAGCTGCTTGTTAAGGTTATATTAGGTACAGATCGAAATTGGTTTAGGGTCTTACCAAGGTCTATTTATATATTTATTTCTAGCAATTTTTGCCATTCAACTTTTACTAAGAAATTCGATCCAAATTTCCCATTAAAATTTGCAAAGACCAGGAACTCGCGCTAACCACAAAATGACCCACCCCCCTGCTGCCTTTTTGCAACATCCATCTGGCCACTCTTGGCTTTTGGCCCCAACCCTTGGCCGTCCGTCCCCCCAATTTAAGTAGCTTTCGACCCAGTCGACGGGTTGATGTGCTGAGAATTTGTGTTTTTATACGACGCCACCCCCACGTCTTACCAGCCGTTCCCCCCCACCCGAAAAAGAAATTCCGGCAACATGGATGTGTCTATTTGGGAGCCCTGAAAAGCCCGCCTTTCCTTCCAGGTGATGTGGCCCTCGGGTCTCAAATACGGCTTTCACCACGTCCCCTTCCACACCACTACCAAATTACTTTGGGTCCCAATTTTTTTTTGCTCCCCAGTCTTGGCACCTCCCCGAATTACCGTTAGCTGAGAATATCCGGATGCAGCCTTTGGGACGTCGAGTGGCAGGCCATTGTGCTTCCAGCTAATGTCGGGAACTGGGGGTCCTTCCGCGCTAAAAATTGCCAATTCAGAACCTGACGGGCTTTTGGCGTGCACGGATTTAGTCACCCGCTTTCGGGCTATGGGAGGCAATGAATGGAGGATGCTTGCCAAGAATTATGCAGTTTGGGTGACGCATGGCAAAATTTGCAGCCGACGCTGACGCGGCGAGCTTTTGGTAAATTGAAAATTCAAAAGAGTGCAGCAGTTTTTTATCCTTGTAATTTGTAATTTTTCTATTGTCTACCTGCAGGTTAGGGTAACGGATTGGCCGGTGAGCAAATCCGTATCCTTTGGCTGATGGATGAAATGGGGCGGTCCCAAATCGCGTGGCCCTCGAGGGCCCGGCAGACATTTCCATGAGACGTTTGTTCCGTCCAGCGACCGATCCTAATAAGAAAATTGTTTGGTGTCGGTTTTTTCAGTCACGCGACAATAAGGGGGAGGGGCAGCGTTCCGGGGATGGCTAGGCATCGTGCTGTGTTTTTAGTTTTGCTTTTTTGAAAGATTGGTCTGGTGCGTTGGGGGGTCGGGGTCTTTTGTAGGGCTTCTAAATCTTATTTTTCAGAAGATCAGGTATGAGAGGAGATGCGTAAATGGCGGGGATTTATCCTGTGAAGGTCGCAAAATGCCTCGAACGGGTTCTGAACTTTTATATTTTGACGGAGTTTTGACAGCTTGCCACTCGCTCGAGTAATTTTTTAAGCAAACGCTTTACGATACGTTTTGTGGTGTTCGAAAACTTGTTCAAGTACTCATGATGGTTATCAAAATTCTACGTAGTTTGTTTGCAGGATTTTGAGCTAAGCTTGAAAAACCAGCTATTTTTGTCTTTTTTTTTACTTTTGACATTTGTGACAGCCAGCCTAATTATTCTAAAAAAAGCCTATAAAGACCTCATGTACAAAATAAAAAGTTCTCCAGAATGGTATATTACATTAACCTTCCACATAATTGAGAAGACAAGGATTTAAATATTGTATACATCTAAGGCTAAATTTAAAGTATAAGATTCTGACCCCATCCCGTTGAATTGTTAGACACCAATCAGTCCCAATTAACGGGACTAGAAAGTGGCAGTGGGCAGAAGAAGGCTTCTTTACCCTAATGTCTCCCCAATGGAGCATTCCAGTGTTGTCATCGGGTACATCTCCTCTTCCGGGCACAAACGAACTCTTCACTGGTTTTCCCTCCTCATCGCACTCAACCCAGATAGCTTTCGCTCGATCTTGCGGTCCTGTAATTGGCATTTGATGCTAATCTTGGCCGCTAGAGGCGCTTGCCCCCCAAAACATCCATTCCAAAAATAACTTTCGACAAACAGCCACCCAAGTCAAATTTGGCAGCACCTAGGATGGCTAGTGTGTACGTGTACTCATCATTCCCTATATCGTACATTCGTAATTGTACATAAAAACTCCGCGCAAAAAAGCTGGCGAAATTCCTTGAAAGTTCAGTGCTAATTTCAGAAAGTTTGGCGCTTATTTGTGACGGAAGTCCCAGGGGGTACACTAACTCGGTTTGCTGAAATTAGGGTTTTGCGTCTCACTGGGTGGATCGGAACTTACGTATAACAACGAGTCTTCGGGAACCAATTGCCGATCCTGCTTCGCTTTTAGCGATGCAATGATAGAATCCCTCATCATCTGATAGGATGTTCCTTATGGCTAGCGACGTTCCGAGGAGTTGATATTCTAAAAATAACCATTTTTCACCGTTAGCTTGTTATTCTAAGTATTAATGGCACCTTCCACTTATAAAACTTGCTGTCTTTTCTTTACTCCATTATTTTACCACAACCAAAACACGACTAATTTGTTGAGTCTCTTAGACGCATTACACAATCGCCCGCTTTTTCCCTTCTAAGCCCCAGAGAACGTAACAGTCGCTTTCCGGCTTGAAGCGACTATCACCTGTCCTTTCCCAAGTCATATGGTTCATCCGGTTCGCTCGAAAAAATTTGCCCCCAATTATTCGCAACAGCCGAATGCAATTTTTCCACTATTATCGCGGGGCTGGTCACGATAACAGCTGCGTAGCCTCGCGATTTGCCAGGTGGGATCTTGTATCGTAATTTCGATCATTAGTGAGCCCTCACATGGCAATTACACGTTTTGCAATTATTAAACGGGAAGTGATTTAACATATTATTTTGAGGGCGTGAGTTGGAAGTGCTTGGAAGCCCGGCAGGTTCCCTGAAAATGCCGGTGCTTCCCTGGCAAAGTGGGTATCACGTAAATTCCGTGTTATTTTCTAATTTGAGTAACAAGACGTCGGATTTGGAATTGGGGTCTTTTTTGGGGCGGCAGACTTACTTTCGCTGGCGGTAATCTCGGTGCTTGGTGCTCGAACCCAGGAGACAACTGGTTCGGGGTTTCCGGTGGCATTACAATCGAGTAGGACCGTTTCGCGCTCGCTGACGGTGGTGTTGCTCTTTTCAGGGAAGACCGCGGGTGGAACTGAAATTTTTAAATTTATTCCAAAAATTGTAGAATTAATATCATATGGTACCTACAAAAATTTTTGTTGTTTTAGGGACGCAGGCTTTTGTATGAGTTTCCATCTCAAATTAAATTCAAAAAAAATTAGATTTTAACTCCCAGGCCAAATTGAGGGCAATAATATGGGACAAACTGATTTAATTATAGGTAGCTTTTATTACACCCCACTTCTTTTCTCACGACCGCAGGTATGGGAATTCTTTTTACTCTGTTTCACCATGATTAATGGCCTACGCAATTCCCTTCTAATTTGCCATACGAACCATTTATGTGCATATGTCCCCCCAGAGACACCCCAAAAAACTTCCGGCGTTTCCCCCCGGCGCGGGTGTTCGGCGCGATAGCCAACGATAGGTTTGGTTGTTTTCCATGCTTGACCCATCAGAATGGTAGTTCTGATAACTAGCAATCTCCATCAGGGAGCTACCTTTTCCAGAAATCGCTAGAGGGGGCATCTTCTGCATTTTTTGTTATGTCCTACAGTCAAAAGTGCATGGTTTGCTGTAGCGCTTTCAAAAGTGGTGCTCGTCTATTCTTCTAGGGACCAATAAATACGCGTATTTTGCACGTTTCCCCTTGCATCAGCGGATTTTCAAGCATACAGTGTTCGTCTCAAAACAACAGCGTTTTTATGATCCGCAAGGAGTTATTAAAAACGCCAGGGCAGATTATTGCAGAAACATCTGTTTTTGTCTCGATTTTCACCTTACCTGAGGGTATTTAATAGCACTTACTTGTCACAACCAGATCCACATCTTTGTATGAAGTCCCGGCCCAATTTTCCGCACGACATGTGTAAACGCCAGAATCGTTCGATGTGATGGCCTTGAAAAGTGCCGACGATTTTCGGCTATCCGAATTTTCGTCGGTGGCAGCTAAAGCATTACTTTTTAGATTTTCCATTTCGCGATCACTTTCCCGTTGTAAGCAATCATGCAAGATTTTATCTAACATCCAATCATACTTCCGCCCGCAGCCAATTACCATAATCCGCCAGCCATAAATCCGATCACCCACCCCCTACATACCATAAATAACCCAAAAAACCATATCCCACCCGATGCTTTTTCGGCGGTCGGCATTCTTAATACCTATTTCAATTTACTGCCTTCCCAAGGTGGGGGCCATGTCACCGCGATGCGTTCAAAAACAGTTGGGCTGATTGGGGTTGGTGTGCAGGTGATTTTGAGGATTGGTCCCGGGGCATTCTGATGTCAGTTCAAATTTTTTGGGGGGCCACCTCAGAAATTCTCGCCGCACAAAACAGCTAAAGCACACGGTGCTTTTCGATTCTTTGCTATTCGTTCGTTATTGAGGGTATTAGAAATTGGAGCCTGCGCGTGCGTGGGTGTAGCTATCGGATTCTAGTTTCCCATAGTTTGCAATACTAGGGAACGCATTCATAGGGATTATTGAAAAGACGAACTTACTGTGTGGTAGTGATCGATTCTCATTCAGCCACATAATGGTTGGTGGTGGCACTCCAACAGCTTCACACCATAATTCTGTTGATTCTCCCTCCTTCACCACCACGCGTCTCGGCTTATCCGTGATCTTTGGTGGCACTAAAAATTTTTATAAATGCTTCAATTGAAATTTGCAAAAGTCAAACGCTCCTTTGGCATTGCCCCCGACTGGTCCCTCTCCATTCAAAGAGACCACCGGCCAATTTCCTCACCTCCTCCTCCCCCCTTCTGACCCTTGCCCTCCTTCCGCCTTCATTCGGCCAAATTCCTTCCCTTGTGGCAAAGTTTCGCCAAAATCCAAAACCACCATCAAATGCTTCAGAAATAGGACACAAACTGGGCCCCGCAATGCTACACCAAGCTTCGTGCCTCATCGTCTTCCTCAGTGGGATTGGCATCAACTTCGCGATGCGTGAGTTTTTTAGTTAGAAAATCGTGTTTTTATGCATAGCTTAGAGACTAGTAGAGATCTTAAACGTCTGCATAAAAAGCTAGTTAGGATGTTAAGTGCAATAAATAGGCCATTGAGCTTTTTCAGAAGCAACTATTTTTAAGATTAAGTATCTGTATGCTTATTTATCTGATTACCTAATGTCCGATTTTTAGCACCGGTTTACGGCCGATTCGACCCTGACAGGATATTGGAAGGTGTCTATAATATGCGAACGTTCAACGATGATGTCAACCCAGTGGATATCGCTGGCCCAAGGGCTTGGGAAGACCGTATGTAACTCATTAGCCGCATAAGCTAACTCTTAATTTTCAGTCCTATCCGGCTTCAAAAAGTTTGCCCCAGCCGAGAAGGTCGACCTCCCCGACAAGATCGACCTCCCCGGTGAACCATTCGATTACGATAAGGACCTCGACTACGACCCCAAATTGATGGAGGCGCTGGAACAAAGCCTACTACCCCACCCCATCTACCACTCGGCCCCCCAACCCAAGGAGACCCCCGAAAAGCACAATACAAAATCCCGGTAAAAAAGCTCGAAGTGCGCAGAGGCCGGTGCAGAACTCCTGAATAGGACACTCCCCCCGCTAAATCAAGCCCGGATAAAGTGCAGTTCCTCCAGCCCATCCGATTTGCAATATTCCCCCAAGTTATTCTCAACCGGCGCTCCTCACTTCCCCTTAAATTTGGACCCACAACCCGTATGATCTCCCGCGATTTTGTGTAATTATTTCTCAAAATTTCTTGGCCCCTCTCCTGACTTGCGCCTACTGTACGCTCGCTAAACTCCCAGAGGAACACTGCGCTTCATCTTTTTTGCTGTCGGCGCCACAACATTCCTCCCCCCGGACAAAATGACCATCGACACCTTTTTCACACCCCATTTTATTTAGTGTAATAAATTGTTGTGTCCTGTTAGATGACGTTTGGGATTATGCACACATAAGAGCTGTAAGGGTATGCTAAAAGCTCGTTCAGCTCTCGTTAAACGCGGAATATCGATTTCACTGATAAAATACAGATTCGAGGGATTGAAAAATGCACGCATTTGCACATTAATGTCAAGACGTGTGTATCCAGTCTTTTCTTATCAACGTCTGCTTTCTGGTCGATCAATGTTCTGGCCCCCAAATTTCAAAAGGTTGGCGAGACCTTAGTCCACCTTTAACACCAACCCGAAACGAACACCACCCCACCCAGCCTTTCCCTTCCCCCACCCCCAATTACCTCCAACATAGAGCTGGATTTTTTGTGTGACGTTTCCGGCAGAGTTGGCCGCAACACAGCTGTACTCGCCTAAAAAGGATTAGAGGAGTCGCTGCGGGTTTTGAATTCAGGAAGTCAAATAGGTGGAGCGGCGCAAACCTTCATCGCTAAGTCGGGCACTTTGCAGTGAAAGAGCGGATTTGTCTTCGGAAAAGGTGACGCTGGCTGTAGTGGCGACCGGAACCCCATTCTAGAAAAGGGAAGGAGGCTAAGTAGCGAGTTTTAAGTGGATAAGATGGATTAGTGCCAAAGGTCTGGTAAGTTCAGGAAGTATTAGAAAGTTAGGAAGATCGAACGAACCTTATACCAATGTATTATTGGGGAATCGCCTTCAATTTCGCAAGTAATGATGACAGGTTCCGTTTCTGTGGCGTTCATTACATGAGAACCATCTTTTTTAAGGACAGGTGCACCTAAAAAGGAAGATAGAGTTGGAGAATTTTACTTACTGATGGTCTTGACCACATACTCAACATGATCGGTACCAGCGTCATTTTTGGCTGTGCAGCGATAGTTCGATTCTTTACCCTTTGCAGCTTGCGAGAATAGGGTACCGTCCTCAGCTAAAATAAATTACAATACGTTATATATGGGAAAATAAAAATTACCGATTGTGTATCCATCGGCTCCACTGGTGATCGGTTGCTCATTGACGGTCCATGAGATTTCCGGTTCGGGATAACCCTTCACGCCACATTTCAGCGAAAACGGTTGTCCAAGTGGTACAGTGCCCAATTCAGGAGACGTGGTAGTGATTTTAGGTGAAACTTGAAAGAGGCTATTCGTAAACTTCCTCCCACTTACCAAGAACTTCAAGCGTATACGCTTGTTGTGCTTGTCCAGCTTCATTAGTTGCTGAACAAACATAAATTCCAGAATCGCTGCTTCGCGAATCCACAACCTGTCAAAAAACATACATCAATCACCATCTTCAAGTCCTCACCTTCAGTGTCGGCCCTTCAGCATGATACCGTACGCCAGTAATGCCAGTTTCAAGCCGGACACCGTTCCTCAGCCATGAAACAACGGGTTCAGGATGACCGGAAGCCGCACAGCTGATTGTGGCCGTATCACCCTCAATCACTTGTTGCGTGCCACCATTCTCAATTTGTGGTGGTTCTAAAAACAACTGCTACATCAAAAAATCAATACTTACGGACGATATCAACATTGTAGAGCAGCGTATCCTCCCCGGCAACATTTTTCGCGACGCATTTGTATATACCGCGATCAGCAAGAGTAACATTGGTCAATTGGATAAACTTTTTGTCCTTATCCATGACGAGTTCATCGGTAGAAGCTTTGATCTCCACGTCTTTGGCGTACCTAATTTTTTTAGGAGTTTGTGGAAGTTCTTCCCTACCAGGTGTATTCCGGCTCTGGCTTTCCAGTAGCATCACACAGCAAAGTCAAAACTTGGCCAGTTGGTAGGCGTGGGGACATTTCGACGTTGTCACGTTGGATTACCGGGGGTACTGAAAAAAAATGAAATAATATAAAAGCTAGATTTTACCTAGAACATCAACGCTAATGCTGTCGGAAGCCATTCCGACGTCATTTTCGGCCGTACATGTGTAAGTGCCGACGTCAGATTTTTCCAGTTTTGGGATGTCGACGCGGTTGCCTCGCAAGCTGACCCTTGCTCGGAGGTCGTCGAATAGAATTGGGGAACCATTCTTTGACCAGATGAGCCGGGGGTCTGGGTTGCCGCTTCCATTACAGTAAAGCGTGACCGACATTCCGATTGGCTGGATTGGGTCGTCGGAATGGACTTGGACAGTTGGCGGCCCTATAGATCGGATCATTCTAAACGCAATTTGGTACCCACCCCAGACGTCAAGATCAGTTTCCATGTGCGAAACACCAGCATCATTCTCAGCTGTACACGCCCATTGGCCAGCATCTTCAGCCTTTGAAACAATAATCTCGATCGTTTGATTATTATCCGACAATCGATAAGCATCAAAATCTCGCACTTCTTTTCCATCCTAATATTATCCTTTTAAATTTTTATACCCTTCAAACCTTTGTCCATTTTATTGTCGGGAATGGATGGCCAACAACCGGACAATAAATCGACATTGGCTGTCCGGCATGTACCGTAATCTTCCTCTCTGGTGCCTTGGATGGATCCATGGCCGGTGGTGCTAGAATCAACCGGATCTATTAGGCAAAACACTACCACGCATTCAACACCACAATCATGCACAATCGTTTATTAATCAAATTCATAGTATCACACAAGTATTAGTAGTATCACATGCAATATAACACGCGGTGCTTTCACACAATCACACAGCAAATATGCTAGGATCGCTGAGACCAGTTCAAAAAGGTGGAAAGAGATCATTGGGACTTTGAAATTGGGATAGTTTTGGATTTTGCGGTTAATGTCTTTGTCTGTGTCTTCGGTGTTTGCATCTTTTTCGGGGTTTAGGTGCTTCGGTGTTTCCACGGGGTCTTCTAGGGGCAGGGGTGGCTGTACGGTAATAGAGCGCCCTTTGCCGTTCCCATATTCTTCGCTCATGCTCGGCCTTTTTCCGACTCCATTCAGCCATTCTACGATCATATTCAGCCCAAGGGTCTATTGGTGGAGGGGAAGAAGGTATAGGTCTAGGGGTACTTAAGAAGCTACGAAACTCAGGCCAACCCTGATAACTATCAATACGAAAAACATTTGGTTTATCTGAATCAATAGAACCATATTTAGTCGAAATATTAGAAGCTCCAGGTGGCCTCAAATCCACCCGCTCGCGAAAAACTTCTTTGTACGAAATTTGTGCAACACGGACCGTCATTTGAAAAGGCCGTGTACTTTTAGGCCTAGGGGTTGTAGGGGGGCTAGTAGTAGGTGGATGTGCCCTAAGCATCCATTCTGCCAATTGTTGTTGATGTTCGGTTTTCCTTCTCTGTAGATGGATAATCTCACGATCCTTGCACGCCTTCGAGGCGAGCTGCCTACATAGCACTTCGACGGTGAAGTCCAGCGTCGATTCACCAGCACGGTTCATGGCCACGCAAGTATAGGCACCCGCATCATTGACGGTAGAAGATTTGACAGTCATCCGTCGATTATGATTTGAAAACTGGAAACAATGCAATCATATTGGAATTTGTACGCACTTCAACATTTCCCATCGACAACAGCTCCATTGGACGTCCATCCTTAATCCAAGAAACTTCAGCTGGTTCGGTTCCATCCATATGTTTCTTCACTGGGCAGTTCAATGTTAGAATATCGCCTTCACGCTTGTAGATCTTTTGTGGGGCGGTGGTATCCATCGTTGGCGGAGCTAAAGAAGGCTAAACTTAAATTTTTAGCTTACTGAGAACTTCCAAGAAAAAGTCTTCCTCAGCTTTTCCGGCTTTGCTACTGGCAATGCAGGTAAGGCGAGACTGATCGCTCAGGTTCACATTATTCACACGGATTGATTGATTCTTCTGAAATCAAATGAAACTTGTAAATATCTATTAGGCCATACGTTCAAGAATGAATAGTGAGGATCATCCGATTCAATCAACTTTCCATTTTTGGCCCATCGCATTGTTGGAGTAGGGATACCAGCATATGGACATTCCAAAACAATCGACTAAAGCTATAACAAAAAGTTAAGTGATTTTTCACCTTGTTAATAATCGCCAAAGGATTTCCAATAATATTTGACCGATCGATGGTTGGCGCCAAAAGAACCCGGAGCAAAATGTGGACATCAGAAGATCCAGCTTCATTTGAGGCCCGGCAAACAAACTTTCCGCTGTCCTCAATCTTAGCGTTTCGGAGTACAAGTTGCTAAAGTTTAAAAACACATTATTTTCAAAATATTGTGAACAACTTTTCCGTCCGGGCTCATTTGCATGTCCTTTGTCAAAACCAATGCATTTGTGGCTTTTCCATCGCGGTTGTTTAGCCAATTGATTTCAGGGAGTGGATCGGAAGAAACGGGGCATGTGATCGTTACACTTTCTCCAACCAGGACTTCATATTCCACTTGGCCAGTGATATTCAGCTTCGGAGGGGCTATAAAAAGCTGCAGTTACTATGTGGAACCTCACCAATAACTTCCGGCTTGAAGACCGTCGGCAAATTTCCGGCATCATTTGTGGCATTGCAGGTGTAGCGCCGCTCATCACCTTTCTAAAACAAGATCGAAGTTAGGGATAACTGCAATTACCTGGATCTTTGTGATTTGCAAATGCTTTCCATCAATGACTTTGAAGCGACCCTCAATTTTGAACTTTTCGCCATCCTTCAGCCATTCAACCTGAAAATATTTTTAACTCCTTTTCTAAGCGTCGAATCCCACCTTCGGATCCGGATTTCCGAGCACAGGGCAGCTGAGCAAGAGATCTTTCCCTTGCACGACCCTCGGGCTTTGATCGATCGTTTCATTAATGTGTGGTGGGGTGAGAACTTCGACCTAAATTAAAGTCTCTTCAGCCATGACCATTCGGCTTACCGTATACGAGTTCTCAGCCTCGCCCGCCGAATTTTTCGCCACACAACTGTAAGATCCGGCATCACTTCGTCTTGCTTTCACGATCATCATTGTTTCTCCACGTGGGGAAAGAATTAGGTTGTCCATTTCTTCAACATCAAGCGGACGTCCACCACGCAACCATCTGAATTTTAGCGCTTATAAGAGGCTTCCAAATGCCTACTTGATCGTCGGGGTTGGTTGGCCTTCTGCCTTACATTCCAGTCTTGCATTCTCGCCATCAATGACTCGGATCAAGTTGTCGCTCTTTTTGAACCTAGACGCACCTTTAAGGAGAAAGGCCAGTTATTATACCTCGGCTTGACCAGAACATCAACTGCAAAATCAGCTCTGGCTACGCCAGCCTCATTCCTCGCCTCACAAGTATATTTTCCGGCTACAGTGGCATTAGCGGAAGGAATAACCAGTTTTACAGAGTCTTGATCTAAAAAAATATCATTGTACTTGTATATTTATTTTTATTCGTACATTCGTAATTCTCTAAGGCGCTACTTACTTTTCATTAGAACTCCGTCCCGCTTCCAGGTAATCTTTGGTGTGGGATTTCCACTGGCTGCACAGTCAATGGTAAGATCGGTTCCTTCCTTGACTTGAAGCAAGCGCTCATCATTCTCGATCTTTGGAGGGGCTGAAAACCACCAATACTTTAGCTATATGATGCTAACTTACTCAAAACCTGTAGTTGCGCATTAGCTCGTTGCTCTCCAGCACGATTGCTGCCAATACAAGTGTATCTAAACCGACATAAAGCTTTTAATTTTTCCCATTATTACCGTCCAGCATCTTCAGGCTTCGCGTCTTGGATGTGGATAAAGAGTTGCGACTGGATGAGACCATTGTTGTAGGGTTGCCCATCTTTTTGCCACTCAATTTGAGGTGCAGGGCTGCCGGAGACCTCGCACCGGATGGTGATGCCGTGTCCTTCGATGACCTTTAGGTCTTCGGAGACCATTTTCACACTTGGTGGAGCTAAATGGCAAATTTATGCGGGCTTGTGAAAAAATATCTTACAATTCACAGAAAGGAAAGTGTCGGCTTCAGCTTGGCCGGCTTTATTTTCGGCTTTGCAGCTGTAACGGCCAGCATCGGATTGCAATACTCCAGTGATTTTGAGAATTCGGCCACCATCTTCTACCTAAATTAGCTGCTTATGAAGTTTTAGTTAGCAGCGATGAACCTTGACGTTTGGAAGCATCGTTAAAGGCTTTCCATCCCTAGTCCATTCAATAGTGGGTGTCGGAGTACCAGTAGCTTCACATTCCACTTCGACAGTTTGATTTGTGATGACGTCCAACTTTTGGAAAGCTGGCGACAGAATTTTTGGAGCGGCTAAATGTAACTTTTTGCATAAATTTCATTAGCATACTGGCAACAGTGACCCCAAAGAAAGCTTGATCCTCTCCAGCATTATTCTTGGCGGTGCAGGCAAACTGGGCAGTGTCCGATGGTTCTGCGCCCATGATATGAAGCTTGTCTTTGGTGATAGAAAGTTGGAGCCGTTGTGAGGTAGTGATTGGCACTCCATTCTTCGTCCACATGATTTCGGTATGCTCGAGATTTTCCTTAATAATTGTCATTCTAAGTTTTCGCCAAAAATACCGAAATCGGGCATTCCAACGTAGTTGATTGGCCTTCCAAAACGTCCTTTGCTTGATTCGCAATGTCCATTTTTGGTGGCTCTAAATTCATCGAATTCTATTGAACGTTAAAATTTTCCGATTAGCCCGATCAGCCCGCTTTTCGACCCCAAATTTTTGACTTTTTCCTGCCCCTTTTCGACCTGGACCCCTCGCCCCGGGCCCTCCAATTAGGTTTTCTCGCTTCAACAATGAATTTTCTGGGCCGAAAAGGGAGGGCGGACACGCTTACTTTGTGAAAGTTCAATGAAGGGGGGGGGGGCTTTCGGAAAGAGAGGAAAAGAAATGGGGACCCAAGATGGCCTTAGCAGAAGAACCACTCGTGCCAGGGGGCATTGTGTGGCCCGCGCAGCTGGCAGCCAACTTACTCAAAATTTCGACGCGCAGGTCCTTTTCAGCACGGCCTTGCTTGTTTTCGGCGATGCAGGAGTACCTGAATGGAGAATCGAGAAGGCTCCTATCAATTAACGAGACATAGGGTTTTGGTTTTAAACTTAGCACAAGTCGGTTCTGCTCCTTTGAGGGCGGGTCTAGACGGGCCTTCCTTATCCCTTTAAAGGGATACGCCTAGGCTTGTAAGCTTGGTTTAGGATGAACTTAGGCTACTTAGGTTCGCTCATGGTTAGAATCCATATGAAATCAAACGGATCATATGGTTCCGCGCATTACAGATATTTATGTCTCTAAACCCAGAGTCCTAGATTTGAAAGTTTCCAAACCCTTCTCAAAACGATCCCCCCACTCTTTCAGATTGAGTTTCCATGGGTGGATTATTCTGGTTTGCCCCGAGAAGAAGACCTCCCCCCCAAGAGGGTCCAGCCCCCGCATCGAGACGATGGATACGTCCAATTCCGGACGCCAATTTTTCGTCTCCGGTCCACAATTGGGTTTGGCTGGCCTAGGGGGGATGCTGTGTGCTGTGTGTGTATGGAAGGATGCGGGGTGGAGAAGGCCCGCAGGGGGCCCTGTGCAATTTCGAATCCATCACACGCACCGACTATCCCCTGGCAATGGAGAACGATGGATGAGCCCTCGGCACCACCACGCCAAACCACCCTATTCTATGCACTTACCGCGCATTCCCCACCACTCGGGCTTGCCGCCGATTAAATTGGGAATTTGGATAATCGCCGATTTTAGAGAAATTGGAGTCGGAGCAAGGATAGGTGTCATTTAGAGTGGGGGATGCACTTTGAGGGCAAAATAATGAAGACAATCAGTCGCGGTCCCAGGAGGGAAAGGATACAAAAAGCCGGATTCGCAAAGATGGAAGAGTTCAAGTTCGAAAAACTATCTCTGGAAGAGAAAGTGGAGAAAATGATACAGTATCTGATAATTTAGGCCATGGTATCGCAAGTAGATTGCTAGCGAAAATATACTCACCAAATTTCGACGAAAAATGCTACTTTAAACTATCTGTTAGAATAAACCTTGAACCGTTTCAGAGATCCGAAGAACCCCTAAAAACCGTTCATGGAACGTTTCAGTTTTAACTTGGAACGTTTTATTGGAAAATGATAAAAAATGGTTTTTTGAAACCTTGCAATTGTAAGATTTTGATCTTCCTTGAAAAAAAGTTTTTTATGGCACGTTAGCAAACCCTCACACAATTATAGTTGTTCACTCCTCGAGATCCCCAAATGATTTAGATTAACCATCAACCTCCATAAAACTCTACCTTCCAGCGTCCTCCAGAGTAGCTTCCTCAATATGCAATTGTTGCTTGTCATTCATCAACGAGAAGCGCTCATCCATTGCCGTCACATTCATCCGTTGTCCATTCTGAAAAAAGGAGCACCGTTTTTTGTCTCGTAAACCACAGGCTTTCACGCCTTCCACCCCCCGTATTGTTTATGCCGACATGTGTGTGTGCGAGGCGCGCAAAAATCGGCGCTTCGCATGCATCACGAACACATGTCGCGGCAGTCCATTCGACCCATATGTTCTGGGCACAACTCTGTGCTTTTCTCTCCTCCCTTCTCACTGTGTGGCCCATTTATCTCGTTGGAATATGTAGGTGGACAACTTGCCCAATCCGAGCACATGTTTCAATCGAGGGACGGAAGGGGCTACGCCCACTTAATTTAGGTCGAGGCCTGGGAAGACGAAGCTTGCCGTTTAAACTTTCACGGACTTTAGCGGTGTTTTAGGGGGTTTCAATCTGGTTTGGTTTTGTGAAAAAAGCCTTTATAAAGAAGCATCAACGCGGCAATTAGGGCTATTTTGCATTCCCACGCTCTTTGGCGCCTAGAGAAATTTCGCAGATGGGTGTATGCCAGAAAATTTTGATAATGTTTTTTTGCTGCCTTTCTTTTCGCAGGTGTTCAGCAATGTCACCGTTATTTTGAGCAAAATTAGGCAGTTTACAAATTTATTGTTTTTAGGTACGTAGTTTAAATAGCCTTGGTTTCAGTCTCTAGTCAAATTCGAATTATACTAACTAGATTGTCCTTTAAAACTGAACCAGGCCCCTGAAAAACAAGATTTGCATGTCTTTCCTTATTTGCCCCGCACCACCGTATTCCAGACACCCCAACCGATTCCCACATGTTGCCTATATTTCACCCCCACATTTTCTCATTCCCATCCAACGCCTCATCCAATAATTATATCACCCTTGATAAATGGTCATTCTCCGGTCCCAGCACCAGACCCCTGGAGCGCGGTTACAAATGTTCGGCGGGAAATGCCGAAAAGGGGCTGAAAAGGGGGTGGAGAAGGGCTGTTGGGTGGAGGGCGGGGAAGGGGGGATGGGAAGGCGGGACTTTCAGGGTAGAGGGTTGGCCTGTTTGTGGGCCCTCCTCCTGCCCCTCTTTTGCCTTTACCTCCCTCAGCTTAGAACATCATTGCAGATGAAGCCACGACCCCCACCACCTATCATATGGATGCCTGGCATATCACCAATTATTCTAATTCAACTGCTATTTTATGCATTTGTGAATGCGGCGGCATCGGTTTGTACGGAGGGAAGCGTTTGTTCGGAGAGTTCGGCACAGATTTGTCGGAATAATAGGTGAGTTATTTTCATTTCCATATATCCCTAAAACTTGGTCCAGGCCTTTTTCTGGTTTTTATACGACCTAGTACTGCAGAAAAAAAATTGCAAACCCATTATACTCTCTGGGAACCCATCCTAAGCCGAGCCGCCCCCCATCTCAAGACAAAATCTCAGCTCTCACCCTTATTAGCTCGCATTATGGTTTGCAAGGGCCGTGATGGGCATCCAAAAGAGGGGGGATTTGCCCCCATCCGAGCATCATCCTCAGGGCCCACTAAAACCCCGGGCATTGCGTGTCATTGGTAAGGGAAAAGAAAATCCTATGTTTTGGCTGGGCGGCTGCTGGTGAAAGAAATATTTGGGAATTCAGCGTTTTCGTTGCTTTTTTTGGTCGATATATTTAGAAAAAAAAAGTAAAAAACCAGCCGAATGGCAGCCATATCGTTTACAAGGGGTCGCTTTTTAGCAAATAATCGGGTTTTTGATGATCATATCTTAACATTTTAAACAAATATGAAATTCCAAAAATGTCAAATGATCTTGCTATTTAAGAATTTATTTAAGAATTTATTTAAGAAAAAGTCCCGAAAAGTAAAATATTGTAAAGTGTAGAACAAAAAGAGGCAAAATAGCACCTATCAGAGCAAATTTTCTCCCAGACCGATAGTGTCCAACAGTTTTGAGAGATGGGTCCTGTTAAAAATTTGATGCCCGACAGAGTGAGCTATGTCACGTTGTAAAAATTCATCAGCGCCTAAAATGGCTGTTTTTCAGATATAGTAATATCCAAACTATCCTCCCTTATGCACCAAATTCGCGAGGTGCGCAAGGAATATCGCTCACTTTCCACACCCCTCCATTCCCCCGCGCCCAAGAGGCCCTCCCCCAAATTTATTCGTTGGCCCTTGATTAGCATGGCTCACGAGCGCTAGATGGGGGCCAAAATGATTGATATGTGCAGTAAAGCGGGGTGTTTCCCCGAGGCGAAAAGCCCATGTGCCCCCCTCTCGGCGTCCTCCCTTCCACAAACGATCACCCATAAATTTTTGAGAAATCGCGCGAAAGTGGTGGGGGTGGCTAGGGCTCCTCATCTTAATAATAATACCTGTGTATCCGGTGCATTTCGGACGTTACAGTCCGCCGCCATAATCACCCCCCCAATTTTACGCATGGTCGTTTTGTGTTTTTCGCCCGGCCAAGGCGGTGGAGGTAGTTTTTCGAAAATACGGCTTATACGACAGCGCCAACGCAAAAACGGGGGGTGGTTGCCGGAAAACAAAGACAATGAGCGGGGGGAGGAAGCCGAGGGGCGTATTGGTTGGTCAAAACGCGAAAATAGGCACCAATTTGCTAAAGAGGGGGGAGGGGGCATCGTAAATGCAAAGGGGGGGAGAAGCGGCTACATTTGACAATGATGGAAAATACTTGAGAATGTCTGAAAAATATGAAAGTGGCCGAGTTGTGGAAGAATTTGGCAAATAATGTAATTATGATGTTTTAATGTCCCTTTTAACTTCTAAAAAATTCGTGAAAAAATAATTTAATCTTTAGTTCGACACGTGCAGACTTTTTACAACGTTTTTTAACTTGCAAATTAATGATTCGCATTTTTTTTATTTTAGCTATACCCAGAAAACTTTGATTTGAAAACATTCATTGATTTTCTGTCGCATGAGAAATTTAGTTTTTTGATTTTCGTTTTAGAACCAGCAAAATTAGCAATTCCATGTTTTTCTATTCTAAGTAATACCTAGATAGATGAATGACAACCTTTACTCAGCTAATGCTCATAATTTACCATATCGATCTTGTCTGTCCAGGAAGCGCTTCCCGGCCCATTTTAGACTCCCGGAAAGCCTCCTTGGCATTTAGTCTAATGTGGCTTCAAGTGGTCCAAAACCGGGGCCACACCGAATGCCCCCCAGGGAGCGATTGTCCATCCGCGAGGCGGTGGCCCAGGGCCCATCACACCCCCACTAAAGACCCAGCACATGGATCCTGAGGAAACGGATATTCCGGCTGCCTCGGAACCGGAGCTCCGTGAGAGAACGTGCTTGACGGGGGGACGAATTTTGCGAAATTTCTATATGGCTAGTCGGGGCTGTGAGGGAAGGGAAGGATCGGGTTACATTCGTCAGACCATTTTTGGGGAGCCGAGGGCACTTTGTGAGCATTGGAGTGAAGGGATTTTAACGGCAAGATCGGTAAAATCAACCAACAACTGCCTTAGTCCCATTCTAGACCCCCGGCAGCTACGTTTCACCTCATTTTGTATTTCTTTTCAAACCCCCCGCCAACCTTGTTACCCCCCGGTTAATTCGATTGCGTTTTTGGCATCGTGCTTCTGAGCCGGGGGAAGAGATGAGGGTGGAATGTCCACCATTCCAAAGCAGGTATTCCTTTTGGTTCTTTTGGGGGAGGCCGTTGTGGCCCTCGATTCCCCCCTTCTGCTCGGTATAATGATGGCTGTCTGCCGATGGCATATAGGGGGGTAGTGGTTTTGGGGGGCCCGAGACAAGAAATATCGACGCTCGTGTGAAGCATGGCAGGGGAGGGGTTGTGGATAGGTGTGACGGTGTGGTTGTGAGTCAGTGTCGTCGCCTCGGCCGAAACACTCATTTATGGGTTTTTTCGGGAAGATGATAGACATGAGGATAAACATGACCTTTCATCGTTTTGGATCGGGAGAAGGGGTCGGGTTGGAGGGAAGGAGGTAGGAAATCATTGACGAGGTCTTTGTGGGAAATGGGTTCTAGTTAATTAGTTTTCGTTTGGGTCGGAAATAGGGGAGGCTAGGGAAAATGTCTTTAATTCTATGTTAATGGAAAGGGCCCGGTTTATGAATAAATGATGATGAAAAGTTTGAAAACGACTGTTCGCTAGTGGGATATGCATGACTATACCTTGGAGACATACGAATACCCGTATTACCAAGAATTTTCCACGCTAGGCTATCCAGAGGACAGGCACTTTTTATTATAACTCTATATCGGCTTTCTAACAAATATATAGGTTTGTCGCACTTTATCTCTAGTATTCCACACCCAATGTTTCCAATACATCTAACAATTCCACTCCTCCCCCACCTATGCTAGGAAGTGCCAACAAAAAAGCTGCGGCAGCGCTTTGAAAAGCCATTCAAGTGGCAACATTTCCCTCAGCAGTCCCTCAAAAGACCCGCAGGCGGGCCTCTGTCATCCCCTGAAGGGGATGGGCCCACCCTCGTGTCCAACCCTTCCTCCAGCCTTCCCCAAAAAAAGTGTTTGTGCTATGTAGGGGGATGGGCTACAGGCGTCTATTAGCCCTGCGCGTCCTTGAATAATGGACCAGGCAGGTGCTTAGAGGGGGATGGGGGGTGGGGGGCAGGAAATCTGTTTGGCAGTGGATGTGGAGAAAGAAGGGGATGAGGGCCACCCTTTGGCCACAAGATGGATGTGGGTGAGTGGGATTTGGAAATGGTGTTGTTCTGGGTTGGTTGGTGGTACCCTTATTGGTAGTGGTGGGAAAACATCGTCATCGAAAACAACGGTCCTGGGGGACTGTAAACAATAGGGTGGGCGTTTCGACAAACCTCAAATTCGAATCGTTAACGGTCCAGGAAAGCCATGAATCGAAAAATGCCAATTCTGTCATTAGCGAAAAGCCCTTTTTCGTAGGATATTAAAAAACATTATCGAGCTGTGAAGAAGCAGAAAAGTCTCCTTATAAGGAAGCGCCAAACCCAAAACCTCGCGCTTCAATAGTCCAACTTATTGGCGAAATTAAAGCGTGGAGAAGGTTATTAATGTCAAACCTTCCTGAGTACCCTATTCTCCACCCAACCCCTAAATTTTTCAGTTGTATATCAGCCTGCTCCCTCAAGGGCATGGAGCCATGCAAGTGCGACACCGAAGAGGACGACTACTGCTACCTCTGCTGTGGCAACTCGCACTCCCAATGCCTTCCCGCCCATCAGCATAACATCCTCAGGTATATGTTTTTTAGGGTTTGACCCCGACGATCGGCCCATTACACCCCCATATATCTAGTGGGGGGTTTCCGGTGTGGGGGGACCGGCCTCATCCCCGCGATGGGGCACTAGGGGTTGAGGGTTGCGAGTTCGGGCCCTACGCCCCTGGGGCCAGCAGCTGATTTATGTGCGCCAAGACGGCGCCCATTAAGTCCCGGGTCCTTAAGATTTCGAGAGGGTGGTGCGGCCAAATAGGAAGTGTATTCTTGCTTTGACAGGCGCGAGAGTAGATGCGCGGGGGTCGGATAAGAAATGTAAAAATAAAAAAGTAGCTTTCTATAATTTTTATACTAGGCACCGCCTAAATTATTGTCACTTTAGCTAGAATGAAACGCCCGCGCGATAATAGATGCCTCGACTACTTTCCTGATTGCTCTAAACTTTCCCGTTTTTTCAGATCAAATGGTGAACGATGGGAAAGAGAAGCTTGCTCAAGGTGTCGAACCAACATCATTGAGTTGGAAGGTATATCTGGGTTAACATTCTCTCACGCCCCTTTCTCCAGGCCTCCCATGTGACGACAACGACCCGAAACGTCTTTGTATGGCCGAGAAATGCTCAAATTCCGTTTGCAACAACAAACTACCGGGTGCAGTCTGCGACAAGAAGTGAGTCCTGCTCTTCAACATCCTCTCGAACTCACAATTACTATCTTGCTCCTAAATGCAACTTCCGGGAACTACGATGGTCCCTCTAAACGGCAATAAGTCTAACTAGAGGGCCAACGGGGTGCGAGTGAGCTAGTTGGGCAGTAACCAGGGGTCCCCCCGGGGAATAGGAAACTCGCATGCATGCTAAAGCGCCAACTTTCCCCTTCGGGAAACCCAAGGAAACTCGAGGAGGAGTAGGGGGTTGGGGAGGATGGGCTGAAGGAGGCACGAGGGGGTAGAAGAATTAGGGTGAATATTCGATTTCTGTTGCAGCTCATCCCGTTATTTGGGTGGATTAGGCATGGGGGGAGAGATTTTAAAGGGAGTGAGAGTGTATGGCCTGCATTTATAGGAGCCGGATTTTAGAAGGTGCCGAAAAGAACTATAATTAATGTCAGGATCTTATTACGCCTTTTTAGTGCTTCAAATTCAACGCCACAACCTCGGTGGATAGGTTTTTGGCATGTTTACCGGGCAACCCTTACTCTTACTTTTTAACTCTACGAGTCGCAAAACTTAGTCAGTCAACTTTTTGCGTATTATGATAAAAGTTAGCCCACAAACCTCACCCAATTGAATTTGTTCTCTGTCCGACCAAAAATCTCGTAATTCCAAACCCTTGCTGATGATCCCCCTCCTCAAAAGGTGTACATTTAAAATGGTGATGAGCCGATTTGAGGAATTTCTCCATGGGACCCAGCCATTCGTAGTGCCTTTTAAGAGGAAGAGACCCGAGGGGGCGATCATGAGCCGCCTATGTGCTAATGACATCTCTTTCACGCGCTTGTCCGGCCCCAAGAAAACCAATTAGCCATCGGCAGGGCGACGTACAGCCCCGGCCGGCCGCGCTGCTTTTCATATTATTTCCGTTGCATAGAGTCCGACACAAAAAGCGACTGGGGGATGGGTGAGTTATGCGGGGACCTGGATTTAATGGGACTTTTCAAAGGGTTAAATCCTAAAGTTTTTCTCTAAATTCTTTCCTTCGTCAGCCTTTTAAAGAGTTCGTGAAGGAGTGACATATGTTCGCATCCCGCTCAATCGGCAAAATGGAGATATAGCTTTTGCGAAAATTCATTGAATCCTCTTTAGCTACCCTACACAATGTCTTACTTTTCTTAAAGTTATCTTACAAGGCTTTTAGCAGACGTTAAAATACTTAAACGTCCCGACAGATTCCTATCACCCAAAATAGCACAGTTGCTTTTCTGGTCGAGTAGTTAATAAAAACTGAAGCAGGTCTGGGATCAGCGTATGCCTCACAAATTGGGTCTCATGCTGAAATTTCGCACCCACCGAGTGTTTCCAGTCTTAGCCTTAGCCATAACCCCGATAAGGAAACGAAACTAACCCTCTCGAACTCACTTCCATTCCTCATCACCCCACCTTTGGCCACAATCAACCCGTGAGCACATACATCAAAAGCACCCCTACCCATTCCCTTTCACTCCATCGTCCATCATCCACCACCCAACCTCTCTCGCTCGCTAGCGTTGAACGAAGATTGGCTGCGAATAATTCCAGCCCTCACCAACCTCCCAACGAAAAATTGAGCCAGAGAGATCTTCGCCCCCGGCGGGTGACAGCTTGATGGCCAACTGTCCCGCTTCAAGCTGATGGCCGAGATTAGCGGGAGAAAAATTGGGTGCCGTTAGGGTGGTGAGGGGGCAAGGAAAACATGGTTAACGCCGATGGGTTTTGACGAGGAACGGGGTTGACTGTCTTGATGGTAAACCAAAAGCTTGCTAAAATTGGCAATGGCCGGTAACGCTTGAAATACAGCTTATAAGGCACAGCAAGGAAACAAATTCGCGCCATCTTTAGTATAAATAAGCACTAATATGCGTGTAACCCAAGGACCACAATTACTCATTAGAAAGCCCTATCAACTGTACCTGTACTGTAGCAAATTTTTGAAGCAACAGTTTCAAAGTCTCAGCCGGCACTTTCGTACCTTCAAATATCCAAAATTCTCCAAAATCGTAATGCTAATTCACTAATCCACGCTTTTCAGGACTGAAAAGATATGCGTCGAAGACCAATGCGAGAACCCGTGTGCCCGAGTAGCATCACATCTAATGGTCTGCGATTGCCCTGCTATCGATCAAGATACAGGCTTTGCATCTGAAGATAGATGCCAACTTTGTTGTTACGATTTTAATTTGGTAGGAAAATACGGGCCTTCGCTAATCCCATTTTAGAAACCCATCAATAGACGATGTCAAAATGCATTCCGAAAGTACAAGATCGGAAGTTCCAAGAATCGCCCATTCTACCGGGTCGGACTTGACTGCGCCGGCGGCAAGACTTGCAACAGATTTGGTGTCTGTGCATCTTGCCATCTTAAAGTTCCGCTGCTGATTTTTGGACTGATAGCCGCTGTGCGCTTCTTCTAAAGGTCAATTCCCCACCTTCAGCCAAAGTATTGTCGGTTTAGGGGTGCCCGTCGCCGAACAGTCCAACGTCAACGGCCTTCCCACAACAATTGACGGGTGTCGGTTCGTCATGTCGAGGAACCGAGGGGCTTCTGAAAAAAATGTCCACGTTGCCTTCACTTTTTCTTCCCAGTGATCTGTCTGTGATAACTTAAAAAAATGTTCTATACCTAGGACGGAAAGTTCGAAGGTCTTTCTCGCTTCTCCTCCCTCATTCGTGGCCACGCAAACGTATTGGCCGACATCGCTAAGACGGGCTTTCGTAATTTGGACCGTTCGGTTTTCGATCTAAAGATATTAGCAATCAGATTAGGTGGAGTTACCTGCACCGTGCTACTCAGTTCGCCATTTTCAACCGGTTTTCCATTGACAATCCATTTCACTGCAACATTTGGCCCGCCAGATGACACGACGCAGGTCAATGAAATTGAGTCTTCAACCGCTACATTGAGCTTTTCCAATCCTTGATCGAACACCGGAGGACCTTAACACCTTGCATACCTTAATTCGCATTCCAAACCTGTCATCTTAATGACAAAATCCTTGCTCGCTAGCCCGGCCTTATTTGCTGCTCGACAAGTATACCTGCCGCCAGACTCTTAAAAATTATTCATTCAAATTTTCTAGCAAAATTCTACCATTTGACGCCTCGTCGACGATCAATGTCTCATTGTTATTGCTCAGTTTGGCCGTTAGCCCATTCTCCAACCGTACATCATTGTGATACCATTCAATCTGAACAACAAAATATTAATATTATAACGCAAAAATTATTTTGATCTCCCTTGTTCATGGGTTTCCATCCGGTTTTTCCCCCCGATTACACCTATTCACTACCACCCCAACCACACCACTTTCAAATGCCAAACGTTTTTTGGCTCAAATGATATGATAAATTTTACCGTTGGCATTGGCTGTCCCTCGGCGTCGCATTCGATTTGGATTTTGTGGCCTGGGATTACGGTCTGCATATCAGGGGACGACGTGGCTTCGTTGATCGAAGCCGGGACTAGGAGATTGGTCTAATGATATAATTAAAACTTTTCTTACCGAAGACTTTTAGCTCGAACGTTTTGCGAGCTTCTCCAGCCGGGTTCTTGACCACGCAGGTATACCGGCCTGCATCTCCGGTTTTCGCTGATAGGAGGTGCAAACGACGCCCGGAAGACGGGAGCTAAAAACGGGGAATATTTTTAATAACGGCTTTGTATGCCTGTAGGAATGGATTTTCGCGTAGAAGGTCTGGTCCGATGGTCTGACCGGCCTTTTGCCATTCAATTTCGACGCCGGATTCGCTTTCCACCACCTAAACAAGGTTTTTAAATTACCTCTGTTTTTTTACGGACCGGAAATTAGAATTAGAATTAGTATATTTACTAAAGAAATTGAAAAATTATGTTATCCTCAACCGCCTTAAAATTCGTTTTTATACAGCTAAAATTATGGGGATTTCAAGAGCCCTTTCCTATTTCAAATACCTATTTGTTTTATTTAGGCATATTTCGTAGTCTGTTTGCACAAGCACTGTGTTTTGAACCTTACATTGCAATGCAGATCCTGTCTCTCATTCTCGATCACCTCCAAGACCTCGTGCGCATCGCCGGATATCTTTGGAATGCCTGAAAAGGAGGGCGGTCCCGCGGCTTTTACCTCAAGTACGACATGCAGATCCTCTTCCCCGATGAGAGTAGCAAAAGAGGGGCGGAAAATTGAGGGAGAAGCGGGCCCACACAGAAATACTCACTAACAACATCAAGTGTCGTCTCAAGGTCATCAGAGCCCACCGAGTTCGTGGCAATACATGTGTATCGGGCTCGATCCTCGGCTTGGGTGTGGCTAAAAAAAAAGGTATAGTGGATATATCCCTCATTTGGTTTCAAAAAGGGACAATTTTCGGAATTTTGGGGATGGTGGCGGAGCCTTGAGTTTGATGGTGATCAGATGGGAGGATAGGAAACAGGTGGTGAACATACTTTTGTCAGGCTAGTAGGATGACTAGTTGCTTTGTTCTCAGAACAGCGATAAGGAACCAAATTGAATAAAGAAGATGCCGCTATGGATATGCCAAAAGTAATATGTTAAACATACCAAAGAATTTATTTTAGAAAATTGCTTGGTAATTAATACAGTAGTATTTTATCAACCGTCACGTTTTTACAAATTTTCTATTTGTCTCTTTGATTTTTAAAACATACGTTCCAACCCCGAGTAACCGGATACCCGGGGCCTAAATAGGAATTGAGCCGGCGGAAACGAGGACCTACCGCTGGCTGAACCAAAGATAGCGCGGACCACCCCAATATGCCCCCAGGGTGGTCTCTGTACCACCCAGAAAACTAGTGTTTACTACCGAGCCACAAGCCGGAGCAAACCATTAATGCTCAAACAAACCTAATCTGCAGCTGCCTTCCATTGTCCAAAATCACATATCGTGGCCCGGGAACCAGCGTGATACCGTCTCGCAACCTGAAATTTGATTTAGCTAATCGACGCTTTGATTTTTGATTGGCAGCTTTGGTATGGCTGACAAACATCCATTTCCCCTATCCATCTCAACAACATTGATGGAGCATTGTCCCTCCACCCCATCGAGCCGCCCTGATTAAAAATCCCGAAAGCCCATTTCGTCAGCCAATTTGAGGGAGAGAGGGGGAAAGGGGCCGGGAGAACCGATCAACCGTAGACGGAGTGAGGGATGGATTGGGTGGGATGCTTTGTCTAGGTCGGGCGTACTGGTGTGGGCGGCAATTGAGTTTTACTCCCGTTTGCCTCCGTCTCGCCCTCAACCGACCGAGAAATGGCTAGACTGGCTGATCATATTGGAGGGTCGAGAGCTTTCAAGTCCAATCCCTCTTTTACCGTACTGCTTGCCAGGTTATCCGTTTTGCAAAGTGCGTCCGCCTCCTATTCCTTTTCCGCTTTCCGGGGCTGATTGCCCGGGTTGGTGCTATATAAGGCGGGGATGTCGACCTAACTTCACTTGAGCATCATGATCCGGGCAACGGTTCTAGCCGCACTCCTCATCGGAGCTAACTGGTGGGTCTTCTCTTTTATTGAATAATTTTATCTAAGCTAGCCGTCTATTCTCTGGGCCTTTTCAGCTTTCCGTTTTCCTAGTGGCAGCAGACTTGAAAAACTGCAAATTTTGATTACATTTAAAGTAGCTCCAGCCAAGCCACGCGCTAAATAGCACCCTTCTAAAACTATCCATTTCAGCCAGTACGCTTCGTCTGGTGGTTTCGGAGGTAGTTACGGAGGTGGAGCCCAGGCCTACGGCGGAGGACAACAAGCCTACGGAGGACAACAAGGCGGATTCGGAGGAGGCGGCTACCAATCGGCTCCCCAACAGCAGCAAGCCTTCGCCCCTCAGCCCTCGTTCGCCCCTCAACAACCCGCCGGTGGATACTCTGCCCCTCAGGCCGCTCCCCAACAAGTCTTCGAGCAGCCCCAGCAGCAGCAGTACGCCCCTCAGCCGCAGGCCCCCGCCCAGGGTGGATACTCCGCTCCTCAGGCCGCTCCCCAGCAGCAGGTGTTCCAGCAACCTCAACAGCAGTTCGCCCCTCAACAACAGGGAGGATACTCTGCCCCTCAGCAGCAAGTGTTTGAGCAGCCCCAGCAGCAGTTCGCGCCCCAGCAGCAGGCCCCCGTCCAATCTGGTTTCGGAGGAGGATACGCCCAGCCCCAGCAGCAAGCCGGAGGATACGGTGGATTCGGAGGACAACAGCAGACCGGTGGATTCGGAGGTCAAGGAGGATATGCCGCTCCCCAGCAGGCCCCTCAGCAGACCTTCCAACAGGCTCCTCAACAGAGCTTCCAGCAGGCCCCTGTCCAGCAGCCTGCCCAGCTAGCCCCCGTCTACCAGGCTCCCGCCCCTGCTGCCCCGGTCTACCAGCCTCAGGCCCCTGCCCCTGTTGCCGCTCCTGCCCCGGTCTACCAGCCTCAGGCCCCTGCCCCTGTTGCTGCTCCTGCTCCGGTCTACCAGCCTCAGGCCCCTGCCCCTGTTGCTGCTGCCCCAGCCCCGGCTCCCGTCTACCAGCCTGCCCCCGCCCCCGCTCCCGTCGAGGCATCGCCCCCAGCACCAGCCCCAGTTGAGCAGCCCGCCGCCCCGGCTCCCGCTCCTGAGGCCCCTGCCCCAGCCCCTGAAGCCCCGGCCGCCCAGAACTCCTACGGAGACGAGCCCGTCGCCCCTGAGCCCGCCGCCGCCCCGGCCCCCAGCTCCGGCGGATACCGTCACCGCAAGGTCGCCCGCGCCCGCGCCGCCCTCACCCACAACCAGAAGCAGCGCTCGTCCGGCTCCGTCTAAGTTCCCCGCGCGCCCCAGGCAAGACGGGTTTTGTACATTTGCGTACTCTCATGATGCTCACACGAATCTCAATAAACTCTTTTGTATAGAACTGGAGTAATCGAAAACACAGGGTATCCACAGTTGCATTGCAAACAGACACTCTACTTGGAAGACGTCGCCTCTACAGAGGACTTACCACGTGATATTTGGGGCTGGAGAGCCGCTAGCTGGGCAATTCAGGACACTTGGTCTTCCTTCGTTTGTTTGGACTCTTCGGACGATATTGGGGCCATCAAAGGATGGGGCTTCTAAAATGGAATTGGGAGGTTAGAGAATTACTAATTTTATATTAACCTAATAACTTCACGTCAAAATCTCGTTTATCTTCACCGGCAGGATTTTTCGCGATGCAAGTATAGCTTAAAGAAATTGGTTATTCGGTAATACAACAAACCGATCAGCCTCTTCTTTAGTCAACCCAAGGAAATAGAGCTTTTGGCCGTTGGATGATGTCTTGATATTCAGGCCTTCGCTGAGAGGGCGACCATTCTAAACAAAAATAGGCGTAGAAGTTTGTAAAAATTGCCTACCTTGAGCCAAGTGACAGCGGGTTGAGGTTTACCGTACACTGGGCAAGATAGGGTCACGGTACTGCCGGCTACCTCTTCAACGACGGATGGAATGCCGTCTTTGTCAATTCTCGGGGGCGCTAAACGGAAATGCTAATTGGTACATTCAAATATTACTTTTCACAGTTAGCATCACATCTTGTTCAGCTGATCCAGCCACGTTCTTGGCTTCACATGTAAATTGTCCAGCATCTTTGGCCTATAAAAATCCAACTAGCTGATGGAAATTATGGCTTACATTCACTCTAGCGATTTTGATTTCATTCTTGATTAGCTGGGCTGACGGAACGATCTTTCCAATGTTTCGTTCTGTCAATGGTTCTCCATCCTTTAGCCAAGTAATCGTTGGTTCTGGTTTACCAGTTGCCGGGCAGGAGAGAGTAACCGTTTTGTTTTCAATAACGGATCTAAAAACTAAATCCAAAGTCCCAAAGCTATAGCTACCGGTCCTTGTCCTTATCCAGCATAACAATAGCCGGCGGAACAAATACGACAAGCCTATAATCGGCTCGTGTTTCTCCGGCATCATTCTTTACACGGCATGAGTAGCCGGATTCGTCTCGCACCGTTGCACTAAATTATTTAGATAAACAATATCCTATGGGCGGGACCCACTTAAGCAAATGGAGCCGTCGATTATCCTGGGTCGTCGTATATTTCTTCTCGTCGAGCACAAGAGGCTGGAAATCCTTGAGCCTACGAAAGAGTTCATTATACGCCGGTGTTCCTACCAGGTAATTTTTCCTTTGAAGTTTGCATCGAGAATCGGGCATTTGAAGAGAGCTGTTTCCCCTTCTTTCACTTCGACCGAATCTTTGAAGCCAGCAGCGACCGTTGGCTTGGCTAAAGATCGGGTGTTTAATTTTGAGAAAATTTTCACGCTTTTCTAACTTTTTTCTTGTTTCTATGCTATATGTTAGCTAGAGGTTCTGTCGCTAATAATTAAATTATTTCTCCCTAAAACATACTTTCATTCCAAATTGGGACTGAAACAGTTAATTTTTTAAACTCTCCGCCTTCCAAAACTCACTGATAACATCGACATCGAAGGTTATCTCGGCCTCTCCAACTTTATTTTTGGCTTGGCAAGCATACGATCCTTTGTCATTCAGTGAAGCCTTCGCAATCTTGAATTGTTGTCCATCATTCAGAATCAAATTCGTGGAAGTCGAGACGGGCTTTCCATCCTTGTGCCAGACGATCTTCGGATTGGGTTCTCCTTCGACCTCGCAGGGCAGTACGAGTGAGTTGTTTTCCACCACACTATATCCACCGCCCTCGCTGATGATTGTTGGAGGTACTAGACATATTAATCTTTATCTCTGCTAAATTTCCTTACCAAGGACTTTCAATTTGTAGGTTTTTTGTGACTCGCCAGCTCGATTCTTTGCAATACATGTGTACGTGCCTTCATCTTCTTTTTTGGCAGACGCTAGATGCAGATGCGCTCCATCAGCCAATATCTAATTCAGAGCTTGAACGTGTTTAATTAAAATGTCATTACCTGAATATCTTTTTCAAAACCGTTCAATGGCAACGCATGTCTTGTCCAGCTTCTCTCAACCTTTTCATCTTCCGATTCAATAATGCAAGCGAAAGTGAATGGCTTCCCGAGGACAACCTACAAAAAGAAACATAGATGCCAATTACCAATGTTTTCACCTCAATTTCCTGCACATCCTTCACATCAAACTTCGGCTTTTCGACAACGTGCACTTTGAAGGTTTTCTCGGCAGCCCCGGCCTTATTTTTTATGGCACATTTGTAATCACCGGCGTTTTCTGGCTTCACCTTCTCCAGGGCAAGGGTTTGGTTTTCGTTCAGGACCTAAATCCATGAATATAAAATGGATTAATAGTAACCTTTGCATTATCGGGAATCTTGCTACCGCCCATGGTCCATGAAACCTCAGGTTCGGGAGTTCCATCGAATTGGCAGAGAAGTGCGAGTGATTGGTCCTCAATTACTTCAACCATCTCCACAAGCGGTCCACGGATCCTCGGTGGCGCTGAAGTCACGGTTTAGAATTTAAAAGTAATTATACCCAGGACAATCACTTGGAAGTCCCTCGAAACCTGTCCGGCAGGGTTTTTGGCCGTGCAAGTGTAGACATCCTCATGCTCCTTCTTAGCCTCTAGGATCACCAGTTTTGTGCGATCTTGAGAAATGGCGGCTTCGTTTTCCTAAAAGGTTATAGGAAAGGTGGTAGATTCTTACTTCGATATTTCGCCCTTGCTTCCTCCATTGGATATCCACATCATCTCCAGAAACGTTGCAGTTAAGAGTAGCAGTTCTGCCCTCCAGAACTTCAATGATAGTCTTGGCATCAGTGTCTTTGATCTCGGGTGGTGCGACGGTCTCAAATATTTAGATATACATTTTGAAAATAGATTTTGAATACCTGAACAAAGAAGTCTCGGCTAACATTTCCGGCCTTATTCATCACATGGCAGGTGTAACGACTGTGGGCCTTATCATCCTTGTGAATGTTCTCGTAGTTGAGCACGATCTTTTCACCCTCATCGCTATAAATTGTTCATTTTGCTTTATTTCACAAACTATATTCTAATGCACTTTCTAAAAAGTCGAAATCAAAGAATTTGAAACAGCTTACAAAATGGTGACTCCATGCTCTTCTCCGACCGGCTCTCCATCTCTTCTCCACTCTATTTTTGGTTTCGGCTGGCCGCTGACCGGACAGCTCAGACTGTAGTCAAAGCATTTTTTTATGAAGCCTTTTTTCATACCTCAACTGGCTACCCTGGACCACCTGTACGTTCTGATCGAATTGCTTCTCGACAAATTGCGGGGGTTCTGAATCGGGTTTTAATATTTTTCTTTTCGGTCGTTTTTATACCCAGAACAACGACGCGGAATTTCTTCTTGGAGGTTCCGGCATTGTTTGTGACCACACATGTGTATTGCCCATTATTGTGATCGTCGACGTTGACGATGAAGCCCTTGTGGGTTTCGGCAGGGATTTCCATGTTTGAGGGCTTTCCATCACCGTTCGGCTTAAAAATCTGGGTTTAAGGGACTGTAGTGTGGCTTACGAAGGTCCAAGTATGGGTTGAGCGAAGTTCTGACTGTTCTGTTTCTTCACAGGACAGAGTGGCTGATTTTCCTTTCCAAAGTTCCAATACCTCATCGGGGCCAAGTTTTGGAGGGACTGAAAATATTATTTTAAATTCTCCGTTAAATTTCTATTTGGCTCCTCAACATTATTTTCAAAAAATTCAAAAAAAATCTATTCGTTTGGAAATTTATTTACCGTACTTCGATTAGAGTCCTATAGAAAATCACGCGCGCAGTTCTCTAATTCGAACCATACCTTCCATTAATTTCCCCAGTGGCACGGATTGAAGCCAATCACCACTTTTCCAAACCGCTCATGAAGCTCTAATTGGGCCTTGGAATCCGTAAGCTCCCTATAAGACTCCCTATAATCAGCGAGACCCGTGTCCACTACAAGGATACGACCTACCCACCAAAAAAGAATCAAAGAACCGACTCCACCCATGACATTTATCAAAAACTAGCCATCGTCTTGCTTATTTTTGTGCAACATAGGCACGCGACTCATTGGCTAATGTATGAATGGGGTGTGGTCGTGGGTCTCACCGCGACCCTTCCTTTCCTATCCAAATCAACAACATTCCCAGAGCCTTATTAGAAGCTGCATTTTTCTGCCCTGCCCTCTCTATCTCGCTCAACGTCGAACGTCTTCTTTCCAGAGGTTTTGATTGAAATCGCCTTTTGTTATTTCTGCCTCTCTATCTCTCTCTTTTTCTCACGCCACCTCAACCAAACCCCTCGCGCCCGTTGCCTAGCACCAAATTAAGCCCACCCCTCCCCTTTGGCCCACGACGCCGCTTTTCCCCATTTCAATAACAGCCGCTCCCCCCGCCGGGCACATTTATTGAATTCTTTATTCTTTAACTTTTTGATCCTATCTGGAGTTGAAGGGTAAAGGTAAACACGACCTTATTTCAGAAATGAAAATTGATCTGAACATGGGCAATAAGAAGCCGGAGGTACCAACTGAGGAGGTGCCACCAGTTGTTCCGGAGAAGGAATGTCCCAAGAATGAGGAGGCGGTGGTTAAGGATTTTGTAAGTCTTCAACAAAAAAAATCCATGTTTTCTATATTAGGCCGAATTCTGCCGCGCTCGCAATGATGAGGAAGCGGATACGGGGCTGATCGACTGGCGTATGATCGCTAAAGTCAGCCATGCACAGTTTTTGATGGCCATGGTGGGTTAAGCTAATGAAATCGAAGATTATAAAAATGCAGATCTGCTCGACCTGTCTATTGGTTTCGCTCTCACACACCGGGTTCAGCTTTTTGCGCTTTACCTCGTCGGCTTGGGCTACGTACATTCTGTGCACCGCTTACGTTGGGCTACGGGCGTAGGTTTTTAAACTTCTTAAAAAGAATTTCTATAGGAAATTGGCTTAATAAGCTTCATGATCTGTTTTGAACAATAAAAAACAAATGGAATATAGCTAGCGATTTTCCAGGGCTCGTCTACGTCACTACGCCCACCTGGTTGCCTACACCGGAATGGTCAGCTTCCAGACAGTTATCTACATGTCTTCCCTATGCTGGCTCGTCTATTCCCTCTATGCCATCGACTACCAGTACACCTATGCCGGCTACAGTAAGCTACGATCGTTTACACTCTAATATTGACCCAGATCACACCCAGAACCTGACCCTCCTCCTGGCCGTTCTTGAAGTCTCCACCCTAATGGGGACCGTATTCACGGGTGTATTCGGAATGATGACCTGCTGCCGTGGGCTCGGCCGTATGATGGAGGAAATGGACCGTGTGATCATGGTAACCAAATTTAAATAAAACTCTAACTATTTTCACTGTCTAGGGAAATCGCCTAGCCCAAGCCCCGCAGATCACGATCCGCCCGATTGTTTGAGAGCCTCAGCAACAAAATAACTTATTTCTCATGTAAAATTGTTATAATTTCCCTCAAAATTCAACGTAAATCATTAGTCGTTTACAAGTTGTAATTTGGAATCCCCGCCCCTTCAAGCAGCCCAGTGATGAAAAATGATTCTGATATATGCGTAGTTCTGCAATAAACGGGAGTGTTGAAGGGTCCGTCAAGTATTTTGAGAAACGATAACTAAAAGGGAGAGAGAGAGAACGTGAAAAAAAAAGCTTTAGAGAGAGAAAGTGAACACGTAAATTCATAGAATACTTAAAAAACGTAAAGGAACTTACACAAAACCTGCAAGTCTACATCCACATCCAGAGTTCCAGCCTTGTTTTGTGCCACACAATTATACTGTCCGGTATGCTCCGCCGTCGCGCTGTCGATGATCAACTATTTCAGCGATTTCGTATAAAAGCTTACAATTACCGTTTCGCCGTTATTACCCAACCGAATTCCCCGATTACTTGGGTCTTCCTTTCCAAAGATACGCCCATTCACGATCCAGTTTATCGTGGGTTTTGGTAGACCTGACAAGGGGCATCGTTAGGGGGATTATCTTATATAAAAACCTGTGACGGGGCATCCCAGCTCGATTCTTCCTCCTTCCAATACCGTCTCCTTTCTTTTCCACACGCTTTCGTCAATGTTGATGGGGACTGAAGGAGATTAGGAGGTAGTTATTATGTATTCAGGTATTTTTACCAATAACTTCCACATCGAAGGATTTGCTGCTTTCTCCGGCCACATTTCTGGCGATGCATTTATAGACGCCAGCATCGGTGATTCGAGCCTAGATAAAATTTTAATATTTGGCTAATTAAATTTTAGATTTTAAAAGGATAAAAACGCGTGGGCAAACCTTTTCAACATGAAGCCTCCTCTTATCGTCCGAAAATTGTATATTCGGATCAGCTTGCTCCAGCGATAAATCATTCAGCTCCCAAGATATTGTCGGCAACGGTGTAGCGAATACAGGACAATACAGGGAAAACGGATTATCGATCCGTACCACTTCCGTAGTTACAGTATCCTGGTCAGGGATCTCAGGAGGGGCTAAAAAATATTTCCCGAATATGTAACGGCCTTACCAATCACTTCCAATCGAATAACCTTCTCTGCCACACCAGCCGCATTTGTAGCTTTGCACGTATAGTAAGCATCATCTCCCTTTTCGGCATTTTCAAGTACCAGGATACCATCTAAGCAAAACTACGATATTCAAATTGCAGTCACCTGGAGTAACATATGTTCCGGGAGTGTCCTGGATCTGTACCCCCTTCTTGTGCCAAGTAATGATTGGAGTCGGACTTCCGCCAACGAGACAGCTTTAAACATTTAAATTAATTCATCCTTAGGAACAAGATAATTACCGTAGCTCCACTTTATCGCCGGAAACGGCTGTATAGCCGGTGAGGGTTTGATTGTGGATGATTGGGGCCTCTGAAGCGAAAATAGAAATGAACTTGAAACGATACCTTGCACAATGACGTGAGTTTTTCGCTGATCATTGCCGGCGGAATTAGAGGCTGTGCAGGTGTAGTCACCGCGATGCTCGTACTTGGTGTTGTGGATGCGGAGGGTTCCGGAACGATCGACGATTACGATATCATTTGGAATGACCTAAAAGGTATGAAATGTACCCAAACATCAAATGGAAGTGTCAGCAGCGGGACCTACTTGGAAGCCGTCTTTGTCCCAGGTGATCGTTGGCTGTGGTTTTCCTTGGGCTTGGCAGGGAATTTCTAGCGTTAGACCCTGGATAACATCCAAAACACCAGGTGTATCAGAAACGATCTTTGGAGGCGAAGTAACCTGAATCGAAAAAATTATACTTTCTACTTCGACTTACCTTCAGATCGTACTCCAGTTTGTCATCGCCAGCAAGGTTGCTAACATGGCAGGTAAACCTTCCGACGTGCTCGGGGGATACATGGCCGATAAAGAGGGAACCATCAGTGTTGATTTGAACAGACTAAACATTGAATTACAAATACTTGTCAAGATAGCAACGCACCGATCCGAAGAAATCATCACCATCCAAAATTCGTTCCCCGTCAAATTCCCAAACACGATTCGGTGGTGGATTCGTGTCGGCAGGGCATGGTAGGTTGATCGAATGGTTCAGCTTGGCCTCAAAGAAATGGTGGCGGTCAGATCCAAGGATTTTTGGCATCAGATGAACCATCACGTCCACATCCAAATGTTCCGTACCCAGGGAGTTTGTTGCCTCGCACTAGAAAACATCTTGAACTTTCCTTAGACCTACCCTCAGTTTTCCCTTGATATCATTTGCGTCATCGATATGCAAAGTGCCATCCTCATCGACCCAAGCGTCCGTGACAAGCTCGTCATTCATATACCATTTGATTTCCGGCGTCGGCTCGCCAGAAACTCGGCATGGAATTTCAAGAGTGTAGCCTTCGACGAAATTGTAAGACGTCTGTCCGGGCATGATGGTTGGTGGGGCAACGACGTTCAGTTGTGTGACCTAAGACGGTCATAATTTGTAAAGTGGTTTCTTACTTGTTTCGCTTGTCCAGCAGTATTCACAGCGGAGCAGACAAATCTACCAGATGTGGCTCGATCGGTTTTGTGAACTCGAAGTGTGTTGTTGGGCTTAAAATTCGTTTTTCTACGACTATCCCCTCTTGACCTACCAAAATCTGGTATTCCGCGGTATTCGAGGTGATCGGTCTTCCATCCAAACTCCATGTAATAATTGGTGTGGGCTTTCCATCAATATGACATGGCAAATCAACCATATCTCCCTCCCGAATATGAAGTGGTGGTGCTTCAAGCAATTCCGACCCCTCATCATCTGTACTGGCATCAGGGAGACGAACCCTCGGCTTTTCTAAAGATCATCTTCTGGAAAGGCCCCTGATCGGGTCTTCAGATTTTTCAGAACCGATCAGCGATCCTAGCTTTGGTGCTTGGAGGCATGCAAATGCAACAAAACTCGGGGTAAACGCCATGCCATGCTGGTCACTTACTTATCAGATTGACAGCTACATTGATGTTAGCTGTGCCGGCCTGATTCTTGGCTTCACAACGATAGTTGCCCTCATCAGCGGCGGATGCGTCTCGGATCAAAAGTCCGGTGCCACCGCCCTCAACCTGCGTTTGGGTACTGTTACAATTGTGGTTTCGGTAACTTACGATCATCTTTTCTGTCGGAAAAAGTGCTTGGCCATTCTTGAACCATTGAATATCAGGTCTAGGCGTTCCAAGCACGATGATACAGCTGAGACGGAAGTCATGCCCTTCGACAATTTGTTCTTCTGGCGGGACATGGCCCAAGACGGGAGCGACTGAACAGAAAAATTATTTTTCTCTGATTATTTTTAAATACCTAATCCCAAGACCAACACTTGTGTATCACGACGAACCGTGCCATAATCATTGGTGGCGCTACAGGTAAATACGGCATCATCGTGGGCATCCACACCTAATACGTGGAAATTGTGATAATTTACATACTTGAAAGGAAAAGGCTGCCATCCTCAAGTTGCGTATAATATCCGATGCTATCGCCCGGAGCTGGGATCGTTTTTCCATTCACACTCCAGGTAATTTTTGGCTTTGGATGACCAAGGACACGACAGGGAAGAGTGACCTTAAAAGTATACCGTATTTTCTTGATACCTTCGTTAGTGAGAACCACGACTAAACTTTCAGTGGCTAACCTGTTTTTCGATATTCACTCTAACCACTTCAGCTGATGGAATAATCGAAGGTGGTGCTAAAAATCCATTTGACGCCCACAAGCTATCGCTTACATCCAACTTTCACAGTAGCTTGAGCCGCAGCACGGCCCGCCATATTCTCAGCGACGCACTGATATTGCCCGGCATCTTCTGGTTGTACTTGCTGAAACATGCTCTTAAGGTTTAATGCGGATCTCTCACCTTGATCCTTAAAGTCGTCCCAGCAAATTCCATCTTTTCGGGTTTCTGTCCGTAAAGCTGATTGTAGCCGAAGAACCAGGTGATTGTAGGTGCTGGCGTGCCGTCGTAAACCTAATAATCACGACTACGAAAAATCCTGTTTTTCTTACCGTACACGTCAAATCCACATAATCGCCTTGAGTAACCAGTTCTTTCGAAACGCGCAGCTGAACTTGTGGGGGTACTAAAATTTGTTATCATAGTAGAAAAACGAAAACAAGCCTGCAGCCCTGACGTCAACGTAGCCGATCGCAGACCCGGCGGGGTTTTGAGCCCTGCACTCGTAGGTTCCAGCGTCGGCTGTTGTTGCACTACGCACCAGTAGATCATCTAAACAAAAATAGAGAGAATTATTGATAAACTAACTATTGATTCCAATGTATCGATTGTAGTCATTGTCGATCTTTCTGCCATTTTTCGCCCAAATGACTTGGAGTGGAGGATCACCGCTGGCCCGGCAAGAAATGTTGAATGGCTTTTGGAGGGCAAAGTAGAGACGTTGCGGGCTAGTTTGCACATTCGGGGTCTCGTAGACCTATATTTTCAAGAGCTACAGCTCAGGGTTGATTTGCTTACATTCAGAAACGTCTTTTCGATGCTCGTTCCACCTCCATTCCTGGCACGACATTCGTAGGTTCCAACATCAGTTTTCGCGGGCCGCCAAATCACGAGGGTACCGTTGGGGTATACCATCTAGACAGCATTTAGATATATTAAAAGCTAAGATACCGTATTGGTGTTTCTGCCGATTGGTTGCCCGTATCTGTACCACCGGATTTCGGCCGGAGTGACGGATTGCGTACGGCAATGGAAGAAAGCTGGCTGGTTCATGCTTGTAGTCACATTTGACATGCTAGCGATGTGGGGTGGAGGTTCTAGATAGTATTTAAAACATTTACTCATCAAAATTTGCATATTTCAAAATAATTTCCAACCTCTTGTCTCCAAATACGTTCTTGCCGTATGATTTCCATGCGGAGAGCTGACTTCACATGAATAATCTCCGCGTTCTTTTTGGGTAACTTCCCGGATTCTCCAGACCGATGTGTCGGACTCTCTAAAGGGATATTAACGTTGAACCCTAGGGCTATATTCTCAGGCTTTATGGCCCCGACACACACTTTGCAAATCGGCCATCACTTACGAATAGAATAGTGGTGGTCCCAAGTATTCGTCGCCGTGTCTCCACCGCAACGAATAGGGCGTGGAACTTTCGACGGTGCAAGTCAAATTGACTGGCTTGAGTTTATGCAAATTGATTGTATTGTTGATAATTAATACCTTGTTGATGTAGCCGGTCGTGATTTGGGCCATGTAAGCTCTCGGGCCACCCACACTAACCGATCCAATAGCTGTAGGCGCGATTCGTTGGAATTCATAGTCCTAAAGACCATGTAAAAAGGGCAAAAGTATTACCGTATCGTCAACGCCTTTGACTTGCACGAAAAACAGTCCTTTCGGTGGAACAAAGGGCCCGACGAAGTACAGGTTTGGATTGGTTTTTGAGGGGTTTGCCGGTTGAGTGTAAAGGGGATGCCCTGAAACGATGGATCCAGCTTACTTACAATTTACCGTAATAATCAATCAGCGAAATATCTATCGGAGTACCCGGAGGCAACAATCCGGTCATATTAACCATCAAATAAGTCGTTTGGCCTTCCACAGGTCTTGGACGAGCCTAAAAAAAAATCGTTAAACCAGTTTAAAACTCACCAAGTCAATGGTCTCCAACGGCTTTGCCCCAAATCCATATTTGAAGTCGATAGCACCATGTCCAAACACCCGAAGCGTATGACGAAGTCTCGAGTTGGTCGTAATTTGCCAATTTCCAGGCATCGGCTTCTTCAGGCGGATCAGCTTGACGTTCTTCAAATCGATGGTTCCTCCTTCTTTCGAGTAGGTGTATTTATCAATCAGTTGTCCTAAATTACAGTATACAGAGGTCGGTTTCTATTCTTTACCCAATGGATTCCGGATCTGGATCTCCAAAAAATCCTCATCGTCTTTGTCTCCGGATAGGGAAAGGGTCAATTCGGTCATGTGCTGGTCTACAGGGATTTTGCGAACTGTCGTGCCGCCACGATCACGCATTTCGTAGGATAGATGGACCTTCTTCTGCTGCACGGAGTGGCGGACGTATTCCAAGACGGTGCTGACATCGCTTTTTTGCAAGTGGAAGACCTGAAAAATTGCGAGTTTAAGTTAATCCCTAGTTTAAAAACTTGAATCTAAACCTTTAGCTCTTACCTGTCCAAAAGAAGCGGCAGCAATTTTTTCGTAGGTCCTGAAGCCTGGATGGGTCCGGTTGCCACAATCACCAGTCATTACAAAAACCACCTAAGGGAAGGCTTCAGAATTCGGCTAAGTTGTCAAACCGAGCTTTGCTTTTCCTGGATGAGGTTAAGGACTTGCGGTTCCAAATGGTGATCTTTTGAGCGGGCATCGGTGAAGACGTAGATGAAGGACGAAGGCAAGGAGATTTCCAACGCCTTTTTGATTCCTAAAAATGAATGATTGATACCCAGACTGATTTTCTAATTTGCTCTGCCACGAAATTTATGCTTCCTTTTCGACCCCAATAATCCTCTTTTTTCCACACCCTTACAATAAAGCCACCAAATGTTGTGCCGAGGCCGGGGGGGGGGGTGTTGGTCACAGCTCGTTATTTTGATATGTGGCCATTGGATGGTGGATGGGGGTGGGGGAGCTGGACCAGGTGTTGGTCAGGCTGGGTATCGCCCCGGGGAGGCTGAACCCGTTCTTCTTCTCTTCAACACCTCCACCTCCGCTGGTTCTTTTCTGGAGTTGCGGGCAAGGAAATGCAACATCGCCACAATCACACCTCCGCTTGGTGCCTTTCATGGGCAATGGTGTGTGAAATGGGGAAGTGATCCCGGATTGTTGCGTGAAAAAGGGTAGGGTGAGGATTTTTGGCGTGCGCAAAGAATCGAGGAATCAGAACTCGCTATGTGATTCAGACATCCTGCAATAATCAAAAAAATCGTGTTTGTGCGTCCGCTAGAGTTTCCGTAAAATACTCCGATAGGGAAATCTTTGAGGTAAGCAGGATAAGTCTTTAAAGGGCTAGTTCAGCCAATAAAACAAAAGAATTTCCGTGGCCAGGAGTCGAACCCTCTCTGCGTTTTTGTGTCTGCGCCTCCCTCATTTCTCCGATCTCTAATAGCTGCCGTAATGGGGGACTGTTCGGGCGCACTGTGCCTACGTCCATAGTTTCCCAAGGTACCAGCCCAAGCTCCAAAAGTTGAACTAGCCCTTTAAGCGCATAATCGCCTGAAGAAGACCACACACAAAAAAAAAGTTTTTAAAATTTTCAGTGTATCGGGGGGGACCGCCTATTTAAAGGTGCAGAGTGGGTTCTTTGCGTATTTTTGTAATGAGGATTGAGGCCGTAAAGATGTTTTCAATCCTGATATTTCTAAAAACCCACCTGTCAACGTCATTTCCGGACAATCACCACCACCATACACATGCACCTTTCCCAACTGTCGCTGGAAATATAGCGCATCTGTCGTGTCGATGATCTCGCCCAAATCTAAAACAATACAAATTATGTCTTCTCTTCCCCCTGCAACCCCTTCAAAAGATGTGTTTTCCTCCGAATGGTGTACTGGCTACAACAGCATTCTGACTCACCCGACGCCTGGGTATGCTGTGACGAATTTTTGAATGAGCCCTACCAAGCCAGCGCATGGCTCCGATTAATAGACGACAACGGGTCATCTGTCCTCTACGGGAAATACCCGAGAGAGATTTTATAACAGTTTCGCCCTCTAGCCCCCTAGACGTTCTCTTGCCTGGATCGTGGAAAGGGACAAGGACGTAGTTGTAGATGAGCCGTTGCCGCTGGGTCAGCACGGTCTCGTAAATTTTCTTGGCGCCTTGTCGCACTTGTTCCAGGTCGTCGAACATAGAGCCAGTAATGTCAAAGACGAAAGTTAGTGACGAGGTGCCGGGTGGGACCTAGGAAGTATGGGTTTGAGGGAATAATTTGATAAAACTTACCATCGTCGGGTTGACCTCGGCAAGCCCTGCTTTTAGCCCAACGGCTATTAGCAGGGCGAGCAGCGCTCGGGCCCCCATTCTGATTAATGCCGGAAGGCCCTTTTCGAGTAGTGGGCACTGCTTTTGGCTAAATAAAAAATAGTAAATTGTCTCGGCTCCTGCAACGGCGACAGTTGCGGGCCGACACTTGCTTCCTAAGATTGTTGAACCCAGAATCCAGAGCAAAATTTCAATATTCGCGCAAATTTTCGATCGAAATTAGCAATAGGTTTTGCGATACGCAAGAATAAATTCAAAAACATATCTCGACGCGTCTAATAAAGTTTTGAATCAGAGCTCCAATTCACAAGTGTCGGCCGAGAGTACTGGTCCCAGTGATAGTGAAGACATAAGAAGGAAAATAAAAAATACAGATTAGAAAAAGAGTCGCAAAGCGATAACAATTGAGAGAGGTTCAGCCAAAATCAACAAGTTTCGTAAATCAAAAGCTCAATCACTGCGTGCCAATCCACAATGAAGCAAACGACCATCGTCTCTCCGATTGCAATAAGGTAAACCTATGTAGGTTCCCGCCATCAATCAACGCCTCGAGTTGGCTGGCCAGCAATGCCGGTCGCCTCAGGCTGGCTGGTGGTTGAAAAATGATGGGGGTGCAAAAAGTTATCGGGAGGTGGCATGGATAAAGTCGCGACGGACCCCAGATGAAACGGTTAAAGGGGAAGGGCCCACGGGGGCCACAGGAGAAGAATGTTGAAAGGTGTGAGACAACTGTCCTTGCCCATCCCCATGGGCACCTTTGGACAATGTGTGTGAGTGCGGATCGTGTATGTTGTGTGTGGCTGGGGTTGGTAGCCTGGTGAGGATGGAGGGGGCCAATGTCTGGGACGCCATTAATTTTGGCCCTTGTGGAAGGAAGACCTTTTGTCCCCGGTGAACCGAGAGGTTTTTGGGTTTTGGAGGGGAGGAGAAAAGGGGGTGGGGGGATCGATTCGATCAGATGGCGAATACCATATATCAGCGGGGAGGGGGACGCAGTTGCCCTCAAGGGATCATGTAGAAATGTGGCGGAAAGGCGGAGTCGCACCTGGGCCACACGCACGCTTTGTACTACGATGGTCTGGGCCCCTGCCTTGATGGGATCTCTGTGGTGGTCGCATGGCTGGGGGACGACGTGGTCGAGTTGGAGTGAGGTGGGGGAGAAGAACAGTGAGTTATAGCCTGAACGGGTTGGTTGAGATTGATGGTGAGGAAGGAACGGTCGGGTGCAAGGGGAAAATCACAATATATAATGCTGGTATCTTGGAATTTGAAGTTTTTTTTTTGTACGGAGACAATCGGAAGCGGAAGTTGAGTATCCGTGTCTTTTAATCTGAATAACTTCTGGTCAAAAATTTGACAAATACTTCATTTAGAAACTGTCTACGGATACCTGGGATACCTACCGTAACCGTATAGCAAGGATAAACCAAAACTAGCCGTACTGAAACCTGTTTTAAATTATCAGTAAGTAGTAGTAGCTCGGTAATAAGAATTCAGAAAAATACCATTTTTAAACTACTTCCATTCTCACTAGCTAGCTGAGCTCGGCTTCTGCTCCAAAAACCGGAGCACGACCGTATGTCCTCAAGTACTGGCCTGATGACTAATCAATCCCGCGAATCACTCCACCCCCAAAAATACCCAAAGAATGTGGCCATTTCCCACTGATGACTCGTTCTCCAATTCCTGGTGGAGGAGGGCCAATGCCCCAAAAAAAACACGTGGCCTCCGAGTGCTGTCTCTCCCCCCTGGCCCTCCAATAATTTATGGGAAAACGATCAGTGATCGGATCAGGCGAAGTAGGAGGCCCGGAAAAGACCCTCTGCAATGCGTTATAGTTCGTTGATGCTTCTTTGGATGATTGGTTGTGGATATATAGACTTTCTGGGGGTGTGATGATGGCGGTGAGGATATGAGCAGACGTTATGGTGTCCACTAACTGAACAGTCGGACTGACATTCGATCCATTGGCCCTTCCTGGCTGGCCGGGCACCCTCCCCGGATTTACAGCCGCAATTTTAAATTCCAAAGTGCTCTCCGGTTAACGGGGGAACGAGGAAAGGAGGAAAGGATGTGAACTTTCGAACAATGAGGGCTGCCTTCGGGGCAGAGTTGCGTCTAAAAATGACCGCCGGGGACGGGGCGATCAGGTTCGGTGCAGCAAAAACAACTCGATAGGTATGCGACTGCAACAAGAGTGAAAAGGAAAGGGGGCTGCAAAAATAGGTTTAATCTGGATTTTCACTGATGGTCGAGGGAAGGGTATCCGGGAATGGTGGAAAGGGGCGGAGCCGTGACTCGACAAGCCGCCCAAGGGAAGCTCGATTTCCTGTCCCTCGCACCTTTTGTCGGTCGAACAAGGAAAAGATCTTGGACGTAGAATATTTAGGTGTCTGTCAACTTGTAATGGCAAAAACAGTCTAAGTCCTTCAAAAGGTATTCTTAAAAATGGGATCTTGAACGAATTTCAGCGTGCCAAAATCACTCAACGACTACGCTCTTAGGAAAACTCAATCGGTAAGGGCCATTTCTGGCCATTTTTGACTTCACCCAAAACGGCTCCTTGGCAAGTTATCGATTGCATTTTTTGTCCTTTTTGTTCCTTGTAATAGTATGGGTTCAGAAACCTCAACGATTTATCCGTTAATACATAACATTAAAAAGGACACGGGTAGCAGGCCGTGGATAAAAAAAAAGTTTCGTTGGATTACGGGTAAGAGAACTTCATCTGGATGAGAACCTCGCTACGCAACGCCCTGTACCTGGTTCTGCTACCTGAGTCTATGAAAGGGGGTAGAAGCCGGAAAAATGCACTTTTTCCGGATACGGTCGTCGTATCGGAAAAATATACGCCGCACGCGCCTCATCCGAGCCAAATTTAGCGCTCTTCCAAACCCCTTTAAAGTCTTTAATATTGGCAATAAATAATTGGGAACGGTGTACAAAAGTCACTGGACAAATAACTGGCGACATCAATATAGGGAGGATAACATTCGAGCGTTAATGGCTACCGTAGGGAGATAACGAACAAAGGACCAGCATTTGAGGAAACCCCATCACAGTTTGGAACCATGGATAAATGATGAGATAAAGAACAACGATTGCTCCGGAACAAAAATAAAGCGCCAAATGTTGCAAATATGTATAGATGCGAAAATTTGGTGAGACGTGGTGCGAAATAGGTAGAGTATATTTAGGCGAGATATTGGTAGACCTTTGCGTCGTCTTTGTTACGCTGTAGATATTCACGCTCGATGAGCGCTTCGATGCGTTGTTTGATAACGGTGAGTGGGGGCTTGAACCGAGCCTCGATTTGGCGGACTACCTACAAAAAATTCAGGATTAGTTGTGTAACTTCAGCCTACCTCAGAAACGAGGTTGCTGTGATCAAGCTCCTTTCGCGACTTCATAATCCTAACAATCGCACACTCGATCTCGTGCTTCCGGTCATCCTCCACCTTTTCTTTCACCTCGACAGTCTCCTTTTGATTTGCAACCTAGTATGAATCAACTATAATAATTTTGCTGTGGTGTCCGTCAGTCAGTCTGTCAGTCTGTCAGTCTGTCTGAAGCCAACTATAACTCGAAGGGGAAAGGCGCTAGAGCTTAGGTCTCTTCGGATTCGGATAGAGCATGGCCAGAAACCCCTTAAATGATCAAAACATTATAAAAAGGTTTTCGTTTAAATTATTAAAATTAACTTTGAAAGTGGCGCCTTAATAAAACGATTGGGGCCCCTCTCCCCGGGAGGCCACGCCCCCTTTCTCTTCGCCCCTCTTCCCCAGGCCCTTTCCCGCGCCCAAATGCCTTTTTTTGAGTTACTTTAATACTTTTTAATATGTTTTAATTATGTTAATTCGTTATTTAAATCATTTAAAGTGTCGGGATGGAATCTAAGTAGTTTTTTAAGGGGATTTCGGCTATGGGGGGTATCTGAAGCCATCGGGAAGGTATTTTAGTAGTTTTTTAAGGGGATTTCGGCTATTGGGGGTATCTGAAGCCATCGGGAAGGTATTTTGGTAGTTTTTAAGGGGATTTCGGCTATGGGGGGTATCTGAAGCCACCAGGAAGGTATTTTGGTAGTTTTTTTAAGGGGATTTCGGCTATGGGGGGTATCTGAAGCCATCGGGAAGGTATTTTGGTAGTTTTTTAAGGGGATTTCGGCTATGGGGGGTATCTGAAGCCATCGGGAAGGTATTTTAGTAGTTTTTTAAGGGGATTTCGGCTATTGGGGGTATCTGAAGCCATCGGGAAGGTATTTTGGTAGTTTTTAAGGGGATTTCGGCTATGGGGGGTATCTGAAGCCACCAGGAAGGTATTTTGGTAGTTTTTTAAGGGGATTTCGGCTATGGGGGGTATCTGAAGCCATCGGGAAGGTATTTTGGTAGTTTTTTAAGGGATTTCGGCTATGGGGGGTATCTGAAGCCATCGGGAAGGTATTTTGGTAGTTTTTAAGGGGATTTCGGCTATGGGGGGTATCTGAAGCCATCGGGAAGGTATTTTGGTAGTTTTTTAAGGGGATTTCGGCTATGGGGGTATCTGAAGCCATCGGGAAGGTATTTTGGTAGTTTTTAAGGGGATTTCGGCTATGGGGGGTATCTGAAGCCACCAGGAAGGTATTTTGGTAGTTTTTTTAAGGGGATTTCGGCTATGGGGGGTATCTGAAGCCATCGGGAAGGTATTTTGGTAGTTTTTTAAGGGGATTTCGGCTATGGGGGGTATCTGAAGCCATCGGGAAGGTATTTTGGTAGTTTTTTAAGGGGATTTCGGCTATGGGGGGTATCTGAAGCCACCAGGAAGGTATTTTGGTAGTTTTTTTAAGGGGATTTCGGCTATGGGGGTATCTGAAGCCATCGGGAAGGTATTTTGGTAGTTTTTTAAGGGGATTTCGGCTATGGGGGGTATCTGAAGCCATCGGGAAGGTATTTTGGTAGTTTTTAAGGGGATTTCGGCTATGGGGGGTATCTGAAGCCATCGGGAAGGTATTTTGGTAGTTTTTTAAGGGGATTTCGGCTATGGGGGTATCTGAAGCCATCGGGAAGGTATTTTGGTAGTTTTTAAGGGATTTCGGCTATGGGGGGTATCTGAAGCCACCAGGAAGGTATTTTGGTAGTTTTTTAAGGGATTTCGGCTATGGGGGGTATCTGAAGCCATCGGGAAGGTATTTTGGTAGTTTTTAAGGGGATTTCGGCTATGGGGGGGTATCTGAAGCCATCGGGAAGGTATTTTGGTAGTTTTTAAGGGATTTCGGCTATGGGGGGTATCTGAAGCCATCGGGAAGGTATTTTGGTAGTTTTTTAAGGGGATTTCGGCTATGGGGGTATCTGAAGCCATCGGGAAGGTATTTTGGTAGTTTTTAAGGGGATTTCGGCTATGGGGGGTATCTGAAGCCACCAGGAAGGTATTTTGGTAGTTTTTTTAAGGGGATTTCGGCTATGGGGGGTATCTGAAGCCATCGGGAAGGTATTTTGGTAGTTTTTTAAGGGGATTTCGGCTATGGGGGGTATCTGAAGCCACCAGGAAGGTATTTTGGTAGTTTTTTAAGGGGATTTCGGCTATGGGGGGTATCTGAAGCCACCAGGAAGGTATTTTGGTAGTTTTTTTAAGGGGATTTCGGCTATGGGGGGTATCTGAAGCCACCAGGAAGGTATTTTGGTAGTTTTTTAAGGGGATTTCGGCTATGGGGGTATCTGAAGCCATCAGGAAGGTATCTAAGTAGATTAGGTATCTAAGTTTTTGCAAGATATCGAACTTTAGGTATTTGAGTGATCAGCGTGGGTACTGATGAAGGTAGTGATTTAATGTGGTGGCGTAGAACATGGAGGGTAGCCCGAAGGCCAGCCGATTGCAGTCGCGAAGCGGCTGTAATCGGCTGGTTGTAGATATCACGCTATCTGATTCTTACCTTCGTGTCCAAAATAGTCGAGATTTTCACACGAACCAGCTTTGATGTGAACTGATCATTCACATAAAATTCGTCACTTTCTTCTAAAAAAAATTCCTAAATTAGGTTTTTATGAAAAACGAACCAATATCTTTTGTTGCAGCACCATTCCTGACCAAAACTCTTTGCGAAGCTTTGCCCATAGACAAAGACTGGAGCGTTCTTTGCAATTCTTTGTCGTTAATATTTGTTGCGGAAGCTATCTCGGCACAAGTTATGACTTCCTGCAATACATATTATTAGAAGGTGAGCGCGACAAACCTTTGCATTGAAGAGCATAAGTACTGCCATCTGATGGGTACTGACGCAGAGGATCTTGCTCGATTCGTTTACTCGTGATGGTCGCTTCGGGCTGGGCCCAGTGCTAGACATTGGTTCGTCCTAAAAACATTAAGCCACCCTTGAATCCTAAATACCACTGCCGATTTTGGCGTATTGTAGAAGATTGCCTTCACTTCTGCATTACCTAGGTAGGTGTTCAAGGTTAGCCGCCGACCATTATGTTGTCTAAAACAGACTATATTAGTGTGTGCATGAATTATTACTTGAGGTAATATTCACTGAATCCCTTGTACGAAACATCGGCTGCCAATGGCAATGTGCAAATCATTGTTGATACGGGCGTCGGCCATACCCCAGAGGTCAAAACGCGAACTTGTATATCGCATGGGTCAACGCCAGGAACCTAAAACTCTATTTTACAATGTGCAAAATTCCCTACCTCTCTGCTCGCCGACTGATGCTCCTTAAAACCCGTTTGAGCTGTCAGCCAAATTTCACGATCCTTGAACATGCTTTCAAGCTTGCTGGTGTACTGGTAACCGCATTCGAGCTTCAGCCGGCCCACCTGGAATTAGGTATATAATGTTTAGACGGCGATTTAGTTCGTACCATAGCCTTTTCACTGTCATCAGACGATGAACGCTCGTTGAGAAGGCGCTTCGCCAGGAAGCGCTTATAATAACTGAAGCAGGTGTGTATGTTTTAACATAATCCTCTATGAACCCACTGTTCGAAAATGTCCTTATCGGCAAGGTACCGGAACAGCACCATACAGCTGTCGAGGGCCTCGTCAATTTCCTTGTCTTTTAGCTAAAACGATATTTAGATTCTGAGGCGGTTAGCCTACCACCCGATTTCCTTTTTTCAGCTTCTCATCAAGATATGCTGCCAGGAACTCTGGCGAGCGCGGATTTTTGTTGATGAAAGCCGCGAATTCATTGCACACCATCCTTTTGAAATGGATGTCCTTGCAGAACGCCTTGGTTAGAAGATTTTTGCATCTTATGCCTAGTTCCATCAGTTTCTGCAAATATTGGCTTTTCGTGGGTTTCTAATTTGAGATTTACCGTAATGTACTCTACGGGGTCGGCTCTAACTTCGTTTCCCTCACAAGGAGTTGTGATTTGCTCTCCCTTCTCTCGCAACCATGCGGAGGCCGCAGTGCAGATAACCTAATAATATTAATAAATACTATAATATTTTAAACTCACCATTGGTCCGCCCGTCACCCGTGTGAATAGTTTAAACATATTGTGCAAATCTTCTACATGATCCATATTTAGCATAAAAGCCACGCCAGTTCCCTGCATGTTCGCCACATACTGCATATTCGCTTTGATCAGCTCGAGCTCGACAACGTTGAGGACCTAAAGGGTAGGATACCGAACTGAAAAAAAGATTATTACACACCTTACGGGCCGTTCCAGGCTCTAAATAACGATCTGCGCGCACAGCTTCTTCTTCCAGACATCTCGTCACCTAAGAACAACAATTGGAAGAAGATAGGAACGAACAAACCTTGTTTACAAAGTCTGCCGCCGAGTTTCCCTTCAAAAACTCATCGCTCAACTTCTTATAGTAATCGGACGTATTATGCAAAAACTGGTTTTCAAATTCAGTTTCGTAGATCCCGAGGGCGGAGAGCATGGCACAAGCCTGTTTCAGCTGTGACCAGGGGATCGTTTCACCCTGAAAAATGAGGTTTAAATTTAGCTAAAATTGGGTTTTTCCAACAGCAATTATAAAACGTACATTCCTCTCTGCTGCAATCATTAAGAGCATTTCTTCCCGAAGCTTTTCATTCACAAAATCCCAGCGGACGACCTCGTCTTTGAAAATCGAGAGGCCAAGGTTATATACAGGCTCGATTGGCGGTTCTTGGTTTGTGACGTAGACGCGGTCCATATACATCAGAATATCTCTGAAGTACGTTTGTATAAAAGTGCCATGGTGAATGGATTATCGTCTTTGCATTGAATTTGATTTCTAAGCTTCGTTTAATTTTGCTCGTATCAAAAACCAGGAATTCGCGTCGTCGATTGCACCAGGCTGCGCATTAATGATAACGTCAAAAATCATGTGTTAGTAATAAGATTCTATACCTAATCATAACCATTGCAGTTGTGTGATCGGACCATGCCATAATTACCGCTACAAGCAGTCCACCCTCTTGACATGACGATATGCGCTGTCGAACCTAATAAAACTTTCATATTTTCGTCCACCTCGTTTACCTTATTTTTCAAATGTTCCTCAATTACACTTCTCAACCCGTTGTAGAGGCGCTCACCATGTTTGTGCAGGACCTTAATTTGCCTTTTGTATACCCCTGACACTTGTAGGACCCAACCATCGTATATGCATTTCTGTACAGTTCTTCGAAGCTCAGCCCCGAATTGTTCTTGTTCTGAATTTCTTGGATCGCTTTCTTCAGCAGCTCCCAAGTACTAGTTACATATTTTTCGTCCATCGCCGTCTAAATAAAAAAATTAGGTCGGGTGACTCGATCGATATCGCATTCCCTAGCTAATTGCTAGCAAATTACCCCTCCTCGATACTTTACAACAAATTTCTGTTTTAATTAACTATGTATCTGCCATAATTTTTGAAAAACGTAAACTATATCAAAATTAAAAATGAAGAAAATTGCTAATAAAAAGCCGGTCCAGGAACGCGTGCAATAAAAAGGCAAATTGAAGCTTTTACACGGTTTTTCCCAATAACGAGCCGTGAGAAGGCCTAATTGAGGTGTAATTTGCATAATAAAACCTTTTTCTAAAACAGGGTTTAAAAACCAACGGGCAAGCTCTTAATCCTCATTTTTATTGCCGAACTGCCAGAGCCCGAGCCTCGGCTTGAGCTGTGCATCTGAAAATCAGCTTACCATTTCACAGAAAGCGTGCGAATATTACAGAAAACACAATATGCGATTGAATCATAACATTTCGGATGGGCGCTAGATTCTCAAGCGCTTTTTGGGTCTAAATCCGAGCAGCCGCAGGGGGTTATTAAAGGATCATCCGCTCGTATCTTACATTGCGGAGGCGAGGATTTTGGAAATGGGTGGCAAAGGTTTGTCTACTCCATTCTAACCCAATAATCTTTGATAAAAATTAAAAAAAATGCCGTGTAAAAATTTGATTAGGCGCGAACACTGGGATTGGCTGCTATCGATTGAGGGGAGGGGAGGGAACACGAGGAATGAGAGAGACTCGACGATAGCCAGAGACCCAGTCAACCCCATTTTCCTGCCATAAAGGTCACCTCTATCGGAATTTCGCGACGAGTGTGTGCAAAATTATGAAGCGGAGAGGCTCATTGTTAAGTGGTATACTTCAGGATCGAGTAGTTGGATACAGCAACATTTTATTTAGCTAAAATTTAGCAAATAATAAGAAGTTTGGATACGGTAACTAACGGGCTTGCCAATTTATAGCATCTAGGGTGAAAGCTATTCCCTGGGGAAAGTAATAATTGATTGAATTCATAGCCAAAATAGTTTATGGAAATAAGATAATAAACTATATTCGTTTCTTCGGAGTCTCAATAAATTAAAAAATGCCAACCCTGGTATTTTTTGTATTGATTACTGAAAAACCAAAAAAAATGGAAAAGAATGCAAATAATGCAAAAATTATCTGGTTGCAAACCTTAAAATTAAGTCGTTGGAATATCGATCATTTAAATAGGTACGGTAAACGGTTTTTAATGAATCAGAGATTCTGGATCGTCATCGCGACCATCTACATAAATGTTTAAAACCACAAAGACATCAGACAATAATCCATTTGTGTGCTTATCTTTGATCCATAGTACAACCTGCCACAACCTTTTGATCTGAAAACAAATTTTTCTTTGTTCAATGCCACATTTTCGCCGGCGCTGCTTTCATTATAACGCTAATCTGCTCGGTTCACCGTCACTTCCAACTCATCAGGAAACCATTGCATTCTATGGCTGCCGTCCATCGCCAATAGAGACATACAAATTAGTACAAAGTCGGACAGGAAGGATTCCCTACGACGGATTAGCCACCTAATCGACTAACCAGCTCGGGATTTCAGCTCAGTTTTAAAGAAAAATATACGTTCATCCTGCGTCGCGTTTTTGCCTTCATTTCCAAATCCTTGGCCCCTGGGGGTGCTGCCGTTGACCCCAATAACACTTTATATTTTCAGCAATTTCAGCACAATTTCACGTTTTTCAGGCGGCGTCGCTTTTGAAAGACTTCATTTATTTTCGGCATTGAAATCCCGGGGTGGGATAGCGCTGTAAATCCATCTTATCCGCGCTAAAGAGTGCAGGGTTTCAGGTTGATTGCCCAAAACCTCTAGAATTTTTGGCTTTTTTCAGGGAATGTGGGCAAGTAAGCACTCCTCATTTCCATTTGCGCCATCAATCCTTTTTTTCGGTTGTGGGGTATAATTGCCTATCTCCGTTCCAGTCGATCTGGGTGGTCCTTTCCGGTCATCTGAATTTCCCCTTACTTCCTAACCCCCAAAAAAATGGTCTGTCTAGGAAATCAGCAATTAGTTCGGTTTTGGGTGTTAATTTTTTCGTTTTTTAGGCTTATAGAAATTTTGATATAGATTTTTCTTAAAATTTGGTTCTGAACAACTCGAGAGTTTGCGGACAAACTGAACCATCCTGGATGACCCCGCACAACCAATTCATCATGGCACGACATCCATGTCCCGAAATGTTTCCGGCAATTACTGCTGGCGTTAATTTATTCTGGAAGCGGCTATCCCGCCATTTTTCCAGAATCCTCAATGCGAAAAGGTCTACGTAGCGATGGGGGGCCGTCAACAAAAATGTTTTGAGAAAAAACGGCGCGCCGGTTGTGAATTAACGGATAACTTTATGCGCGACCTCTTCATACTAAAGCATTAATGCTTTGATGATAACAGATTCTTCAGCCGGTTTTTGGCGATCCTTGACATCTAGAAAAATCGGGTGTTGAACTCTGTGCCTGTGATTAGCATAATGGGCTGAACTCTTGTGTTGTCATTATCAAAAGGATCTTCTGAATGGCTTGAAGAATGTATGGGAGGGCCAATAGCCTGAAATGTTGTTCATCCCGACCGGATTATCTCGAATTTACGAGAAATGATGACTTTTACTGAGGGGGGATTGGTGGGGAAGGGATGGGGGTTGGTTTCGGATCTCTCAGCATTCTTTCTGTCGCTTCTTAGAATTGTTATTGGTCTTTACTTTGTATTATGGCGTTATTGGAGACAGTCGGTAAGGTTACCGCTTCCGCTATTCCGCTTGTTTTCCTCACATTTCATGGCTATCTTTGGGATCTCTTATTTATGCAGATCTGCCGGCTGGAATCTTCTATTCTAATCGTACACTTCCTTGTAGTAAAACCTACCTCCATGTTAAAACGCTACTTTTAACAAGCCCAACCCTAATTCCGATCGAGCCTTTCCAGCGCGTAACTGCGCGGCGCCTAATTACATGCGTGTTTTTCCAAAAAAAAAAGATAACTATGCGGTGGTCTGGCTGCTGGCTGGCTGAGTGGAGCGGAGAAAAGACGGGAATGGGAGACTTCCCGGATCCAGGCGGGCCAATTAGGGGGGTCAGCAGGTCGACGACGACGACAAGGACGACGACGGCACAACGGAAGGGCTCTCCCTGGGCTGAGCCACAGCATCATGCTTCATTTGGAAGCCCTATTTGCTCGACAACGCTTATTATCCCCTATGCAGGGGGGCGCTTGCACAACAGCATTCACAAAACATGGCTATTTTCTGGCTCATTTATTCCATTCACAAGTAAATTCTCTTGCTCATCGGAATCGAGAAGCCAGAATCCAGAATTTCAGAATTTTCGTTCGATAGGCTGCAGCAACTCTAAACGTCGGAAACGGGACATCAAGGCCGCGCATCCTGTTTCTGGCAATTTTTAGCATCTAAAAAGCCGAAATTTAGGAAATTCTAAATTCTATGTTTCGAGATTCTGACAGGTTTCCGTATAAACAATTTGCTTTTTAATATTTGATCCTATCAATATTTTCGCGCGTATTCGTCCGCCTCACACGCAGCTTTTTGATCGCACCTGACTGCCGTCCTTCCGGGTTTTTTGTTGGTAGAAAGACGCTGGCAACTTCCGGAGTGGATAATCCTCTGTTCCAGATAAACCGCTGGCTTATGACTCAGAAGAAAGGGAAATCCTATTTTGATATAGGAAGAGTTGGCAAACCGTCCCCTGGGGCGGGCCTTACATCCGAGGACGGAATGCAAATCTGAAGCCCCACCCCCCTTTCGTTTTGTCAGCACCATGACACGATGGGAGGGGGTAAGCCGGGTTGTAGCCATCCAAGGGGGCCATCGCGGCCAATTAATTTTGAGGACATGATGACTTCCTCTTCCATGTTCCAGAGGCCATTCCGTAATACGGCAACAACATTCAATACAGCTATTTTTGGCGCTGCCCTGAGGTGGTTCTCTGAATTGTATTCCAGATAGCTCCATAGTGCAGTATTTTTACTATTTCATTTGTATCTCTATAAAGGCATCGATCCGTGCTTTTCAATGCCGATTCAGAGATCCTTGTTTTTATCCTCACGCTCCTCTGCTCCGCGACTTGCATAACTAACTCTTAATTTTTCCTGAAACAAAAATTGTTCCTTATTTCTATTGCTTCCGCCGTCCCTCGCCTTTGCCGGCCGTCAAATAATTAACACTGAGAAAAACGGAAAGGAAAGAGCCGACTGCTCCCTGAAACAAGCTAGCACAGCCCGGCCTGGGGGTTCCCCCTAGGGGCTTTCAAAGAACATAATTGGATCCCGAATTCTTGATTCAGTTATGGGACTTCTCGGCCTCGCTGAGGATGCGTGGGGTGACTTTCATATCAACGATCCGAATTTGAAGGGTTTTTTTGGGAAATCGTTAACGTAGGAAGTTCTTAACGTTGTTGTTTATAAATAGGTTCGACCCTTTCCATAATGGAAGTGGCTGTCCTTCACGGCCATCCGAACTTTTCCAGGGGGCCAGCTGGAGACTATTTTTTGCTGGGGTGGTTTTGACAAATTGTTCATTTTTCTAAACTCGGCTTCATATGTGACCACAGCCATGAAGGGGGTAACATACTTTGTTAACTTTAAATATAGCTCGAGATTTTCGAGCATTTTGCCCTGCCTTAAACTCAAGCACGATACTGAAGCTATATTAAATGGAACGGTTACAATCCTAAGGTCATCATAGTACATTAGATTGACGTCCGGTGGGCGGATAAGTGGCACTTCCGTTTTGCGATGATCCCATTACTTTCGCGGCTGAAAGGCACTCCATCATCGGGCGTTCGGGCATTGGATTCTGGGTTTTGAATTGGGTGGATACTTCCGGTAAGGGGCTTTCACTTGCCAAAGCCTTCTTTAATTTATTTGTGTGGGTTTCTTCCAAAGCTATTGTTAGATTTTTGAGCAAGAAGTACATATTTTCCCCCCTTCTGGGTCAGCTTATAAAAAGGGATTGCGCGGGAGGTGCGTCGTGTGTGGGTTAAGCCAGCTGACTTGGTTTTTCTTTACATCTGGGGGGATTTTGCGTCCGGGTATTGTCATTCCAGCCACCCTTTTCTAGTCATTTTCAGCGTGTTTTATTTTGCCAGGAATCTTTGTTTTGTGCAGCCATTGGATTTTGGATGTAGTTGCTAAAAATTTTGGTCTATAGATTTTAAAATTCTTAAAGGCGTTAATGGCGGCAAAATCTTATACATTTTTAATTTGTTACCAGGGTTGAAAAGCCGCTTCGCGACTTTTCAACCCTGGCCCCCGTCTTACCACCATACTTCGTCACTTTGCATAAACACCCGAATTCCTGTGCAGAAAAATGAAAAGCGCGTCCTCTCGCCCATTATATAGGCTTCCCCCACTTCCGGTGTATGCAAATTGATTCCTAACAAAGAGGCCGAGCGAGATTTTCACAAAAACTCAATTTTAATATCGAAAACAGCTGATTTTCAAAAATCTCATATGTGTGCAGTCGTGTCATGATCATTACGCACCTAAATGACGTATCATACACACCCATAACTTTTTCCCTTATTGAGATACGACTGGAACATACGGACGGAAGTTGCATGCAAATGCACACACACACACACAAACACTATTTTTTTATATATAGTAGGATAGTAGGATTTTGGTTCATTAAGATTTACCCAGCGGTTTAAAAAAAACCGAAAAAATTAAGAATCGTGCATTTAGAAAACCTTGTAAACCGCCCTTCCCCCGCATACTTCCACCCCTTTCACCAAAGTTGCGGATGCCCATCTCCCATTTGCGTCAGCCGACCAACGGAAATTAGCGTTTCTCATAAGGTGTGGGCTGTTGCCTATTGATAAGCGGATATTAGGGAAATACAGCCTGCTGACCACCGAATTCAAGAGTGGGTGAAGCCCCACCTATGCGCTGTGTGGGGGAAGGCCCAAAGCTGGGGGGTCGTCCCAATTTCCTCGCATCCGGCAATTAGCCTCAGGCCGGTGGTGGCGTCGCTACAATCCGCCGATGACTTCTAAGCCGGAATGCCCATCCGAGGAGGCCCATCCGGGGCAGCCCTTCTATCTGAAAGTAGGGAGAGGAGGCCCGCAATGAAATCCGGGACTATCCCCTCCTCTTGGCAATGCCATGCTCATTTATTTTCGCCATTATCACCACATCCTGGCGGTGGAGCCGTTCCACACCACCTAGACTATCGACTTCTTCAGGAATTTGTAGTCGTAAATAATTCTCTGGCCCTCGGCCCGCCTCTCTTCTTCCTTTCTTTTCTAGCTGGTAAGGAGTGGTGGTATTTTTATGTTTTTGTCTTGTTTTTTATGATTGCATTTAGCATGCGATTACTCAGATGTTTCTGTTATTTTTCGTTTAGCTGCTTTTACGTTACGGAATCGTTACGTTTTACGCATACCTAAATTTGGTTTCTCAAATTTTCAAAGGACTTCACTGCCCTATAAAGGTTTTCTAATTTTTTAAAGTTAGCTGTTTATCAAAGCTAATTTGGTTTTTTCATAATTCAAATAAGTCTGGTCAAACCGGAAAAAGTTTGTGGTTTCTTTTGTGTCTTTATTTATCTAGCGAAGCAAGCTTGGGTTTCGAATCATTTAGATATGCGATCTCGACCCATATTTTTTTGCAATCCCTTCATAATAATTCCACTTGATCAAATAATTCCAACAACGACCCTCCACCCCCACTTTCCTGCAATTTCCGCCCCAAATGAGCAGCAACTCTTCTCGGAATAACGGCCCTCAGACAGGTTCATTCAGAACAAAAACCCTGAGGCCCTTCTCCTCACACAGAAACGTTCCAGTTCATCTCATTTCCCTAACCCAATTGATTCTTAATCAATGCTTCTCATTTCTCACTGCATAATTCGTTGGGTCATCGGGCTAGCTGAACCTCCAGCGAGCAAAACATTGCTGCCGAGCCAATGCCACGGTTTATAGACGTTCTTTCCGTCATTCTCTCACACTTCCCCCGATTTGCGGCATACCACCCACCCTAGCAAACGCCTGGGAAACTCCAAAAATGCAATTACAATCGCGACATACCTTTTTCAGAGCATCGCGACATATAATTCGCGCGGGCGAAAAAGACGACTTTGCCCAAATTTTTTCGTTTCTCTCAAATATTTGGCCCTTTCGCCACGAAATCAGTTTTCGGTAGTTTTAACAGTGACCTTTGGCTGCCTAACCCCTTTAAACCAACCCGAAAGCAATCCTCACTTTCCTAGAACAGGATATAAATGAGAATCTCCTGATGCTTCATGCAAAAATAGAACCAACACGCCGCGAGCTATTGGAGCAGCCGAAAAAGACGGGCACAATAAATGGCTGCGATTGGAGGCTCATTAGTCGTGCCTTGCGTAATGGAACCGGAGTGGGTTGAGCCGACGAATCAGCAATTATAAGGGCCTTTTCCCCTTGCATCTCTAGGGCCCCATCCCCCGCACTCCCCAAAGGGCCCCCCTTGTTTCTCGCCTGGGTGCAAAACGACGCTGTTTTACGTTGTTTTCATGTGCAAAAAATTCTCGTTATGGACTTTGAGAAAGGATGGAATAGGCCCCGTATTTTTCAGGCGATGACAGAAAAGCCGCAGGAATGTAGAGCCCCCGAGGTTGACACGACGCTACTGTTCGATGGGCCATTGTCGTTGCTGGTTATTATTTTGGGTAAGGAAATCGTCGAAAAAAAGAAGAAAAATATGATTTTTACATGATGCTGTTTTATGAAGAGCTCGACATATAGCTTATTAAATGGTAAATTAAATTCTGGCCATTAGTAGATTCCTGATTTATGCAAGTTAGCGATCTCCGATTAAAAAAAATTAGAAAACTGAAGACGTTGGTACCCGGAGCTGGGCTTAAAAACGATGACTTTGAATTCAATCAAATTTATTTCCGCACGAGAGTTACTGTGTATGGTTGCAAATTTTATCCTTCTTGGGATAACTTTTCCGCCGGGCACTTCCAGATGTCGCAGAAAGCGTTTTTAGTAGTATTAGATGAGGGGCGTAGTTTTTGCTTGAGTAAATCTCTCCAGCCATCTGGATACCGATAGCCTGATCATCCATTTAAAAAGTAAATCCACTGCACTAACCCCTTGAATCGTTTCGGTACATTCGGTAATACCATTAAGCTGTACAAAACATTATCGGGTTACGGTCGATAGTCACAATCTATCAGCTAATCGCCGAATTTTTCTCACTGATCCCGAGGGGTTTAATCAAGTTGTTTGGAGCCTCGGGGGTTGAATCTATGCGTCAGAATGTGGGGATTAGTCCAGTTTTTCCCCCGGAGATGCCCAAGTAGATTGGAAGGAAAACTTAGTTGCGTCTTGGTAGGATAATCGGCCACAACGATGAAATGCTTGACGAGGTGTTGAAGAGTAATTGAAATTATCGAAAACTACAGCACAATGGATTTTTCAGGCGTGATCGGCAACATGTATTGCCTACGCGTACTCTTCCGTACTTCCATTAATACAGCCATGTTGGTCTCGCTGACAGGTAAGTAAATCGAATTCCTGCGATTTCGCCGAAACCTCATTTTTATGCAAATTATCTTCCGGTAGTTCCGGTTTCCGTCAAAGTCACAGAACGATCAAGAAAGTTGCGGTTAGATTCTGCCAAAAAAAACTGATTAACACTCATGATCGACACTCACTGGAAATTTGCATAAAATTAGAATTTCGGTTTCGGATTTTCAGGGTTTGCGGAGTTGTAGGCCCAGACCCACGAAATCCGCATGATCCTGGTTTAGGTCTCGCCGTCTGGGACATCGTACTCCTACTCTCAACCGGCGCCCATCACTCACTTTGGGCCACTTCGTATTATTTCCAAATATCTACTGAATTTTGGGACCCATGGGCTGTAGCGCTGAACGGGTTGCTCGAATGCGCACAGATCACATCGGTAAGAAATCGATTTTTAGGCAAAAAAATCTATCATTTAGACCTGGATGTTGATCGTTGTGTCGGCTGAGCGGTTCTTTGCCGTGACACGCCCGTTCTCGGCGGCTTCACTACGGGGAAAAGCCAGGCGGCCGAGTTATGCACGACTGATTGGAGGTAAGCTAAAAAGCTGACGTTATTTGAAAGGAGGATATTAACAAACGAAAGCAAAAGGAAGGAAAAGGCAAAAAAATTCGAGTCAAATCGTTTAAGGTCTCATCCGTTTGCCCTTGGTGCTGACAACCGGTGCCTGCTTGTTAACCCTACCCTGCTCTTTTGAATTCCGATTGGCATCCTGCACACTAGATGGACACATTCTTAGCCAGGTTATTTCCCGTTTTTCGTTATCGCAAGGTCTTCAACCTCATCAAGAACGCTCCAATATTATAACCCATAAATTTCAGAAAAACGAAACACCCCTGATGCGAAACCTCTATTATCACGTCTTCTTCCGCACAATCCTTCTCTCCGTGCTGAAGACGTTCGGCCCGTTCATCGTGATCACGATGCTAACGGTATCTACTGTGCGTGGAATGCGTGAATCGATGGACTGTCGAGCATTGATCCTGTTGGAACAGGGAAAGGAGCATCTCTTCGCTGCCGATCAGGACAAAACAAAATCGCTACAGGTATGAACAAACAACAAGATGCTATAAACAGGAAGTTTAGATGATTTCGGTACTGCTACTTGGGAAATTCTTGCTTCTTCGCTGCTGGCCAACGGCCGTGGCTGTCGGAGGGGTAAGTAAATCCTTAGATCCTGAAAAATGCATCTCCACAGGTTTTCTTCGGCTCTGGCATCATTGAACATCTTCTGCCTGCGCATTCGGGGGAGTTCTTGTTACTTCTCAACTCTGCGACAAATTCGTTTGTTTTTGTGGTACTGAAGGCAATGTTCGAATCGAGGAGAATCAAGGTAAAACGGGAAATTGGATTAATCAAACTATTTTTTTTCAGAGAATCCGTCAACGTCATCGTCAGTTGGTGGCCCAACACGCTGAACAAGTGCTAAGCATCGGAAAAATGCTGGCTTCGGATGGGATTCTGAAGAAAACAAGAAATCCGCTCTCAAGCTGGCCAAGCTTCGGCTCAAGGCGGAAAGTGGATGTGGAGGAAAACGTGCAGGTGGCCCTGGTAGAAAATATCGAATTGGAGCAACGGAATTCCGGGCTATCTTTGGCGACGATTGGTAGCCGTAAGAGTACCGAAACACTTTCTTTGTCTTAGACAGATTTTTATATGTTTTTGTTCACGTGCCTGAACTTGTAATTTCGAGCAATATAACTGTCAGTGACGACTTTGTGGCGCGTCACTTGTATTGTATGGGGATAGAAGCTTCTTATTGATTAATGATAGTGATACTTTTGGTTAATACAATTCCTTATAAAGGGTTAAAAAAAAACCTCCCCCGGGGGGGGGGGGGGGGGGATTTTAGAATATTGATTATATTAAAAAAAAAGAGAAAAAAGGGGGAAAAAAAAAAAAATAAAATAAAAAATTTAAAAATAAAAAAAAAAAAAAAAAAAAAAAAAAAAAAAAAAAAAAAAAAAATAAAAAAAAAGAAAAATAAAATTTTTAAAAAAAAAAGAGGAAGGAGGGGGTTTATAATAAAATATAAAAAAAAAAAAAAAAAGGAAAGGGGAAAAAAAAAAATAAAAAAAGAAAAGGGGGTGGTTTTTTTAAGGGGAATAAGGGGGTTGGGGGGGGGGAAAAAAAATTAGGGTCCGGGGGTTCGGGGGGGGGGGGGGGGGGGGGGATTTTTAGGGTAGTAGCTTCGTTCCGGCTTTTGAACAGGCTTCCCATTTAGGTCGTTTAGTTTCCGCGATGCAAATCTCTGTTGCGCTCCCTATTTATGGTACCCTCAAAACCTTGTGATGATATCTGGTTTTGGACGTTTCCGGGATATGTCAAATTATACTATAAACGATCCGTAAGCACCGGGTTGAGCTTGAATATTTTTGTTAATTATCGTGGGCCATCGACTTTTTGGTATACTGCTGCGATAATAATTTCTTGTTCCTTTCTTTTCATATCTCTCCGCCAATAGCTATTTATTGGTCCTACAGTGGTCTCCTTTTCTGAATCGCCATTTTCATTTTTCTCTGATCTCGAATTCAATACCAATTGTCCATATTGTGTAATAATTGTCCGGCTCGCACTTTTTAACAATAAATTTATTTTAAGGAAACGTCTAACGAGAATCGAGACAGGCGTAATTTAAATGAGGACGACGACGACAAAAGTAAATACGGATTAAATCGGCAATGAAAACAAAAAAGAATGTAAATACCAAAGCCAATTACTCCGTTACTTAAAGGAACCTGAAAACTTAGGCCGTAAAAACACTAAAAGAATGCGTATAGTTAGGGGGGATGCCGGCGCCCTTATTGGAAGGAACCGACGCATATCGCTTCTATTAGAGTTTTTACGATGACAAAATAAAAGAGGATGAATAAAACGGGAAAGATATACCCAACCGCAGACTCGAACCACTGACCATTAGCCCCCAACAACTAGACCCCACAATGGAAACACTTCAGAAAAAGTAATAGAAAACAGAAAAGGTACGAAAAATGACTCGCTTTTGCTGGACCAACATTTTTGCCAAAATAACACGCCTATCAAGAGGGAGGGGAGTGAAGGGAGCAAAGAATATTCGCGTAAAATGGACCCACCGACACAAAAACAGAGAAGAACAGATTTATATTTTTATAATCATAAACAAATGAAATTACAGATGATGGATCGCGGGTGGAACTTTTACCCGTGGTGTGCACTTAGTCAACATGATGAAAAGTAACAAGAGGCCGAACAACAACGATGATCGGACATAATCGCAAAAGCGGAAAGTAAATGAACAGGACACACACGGGATACGACCAACAAGGTAACATATAAGGGGGGATTTCTTGGAAACGGAGTCTCTAACAGGGGGAGATCGTGTAGCAGAAACAACTTCTATCGGGGTCACATCGATTGGGGGTTTGGTTCAGCGGTTCACGGCGACCGCGGCGGTTCAAAATATAAAAATGGAAAAATGGAAAATGGTCAAGGGGTGGGGGGATGGGGAAATTACAGATAGATGGTACAGATGGTAACAAAATGATCAAGATGGTACAGATGGTACAGTGGTTTCATATTCACCGATTCGATATTTCGATGGTATCTAGTACGGTTGCGAGTAGGCGTACTGTTGGGGTTGTCCGCCGGCAAATGATTGGACCGTAGTTCCAGGGGCTGCGGGAACGCCACCGGGCTAAAAAAGTAAAGATAGTGAATCCAAATATTATGGTATTTTTAAAGTTAAAACATGTATTTGGAAACAAGTTTTTAAAGCCATATTAAGCAATCAATCTTAAAAACGATACCTGTTGGTATCCGCCGAATTGTTGTGGATTGACGGCTTGTGGCTGGGCTTGGGCTTGACCTGGGTGTCCTTGGCCAGCAACGGTTTGCTTCAGTTGGTTCTCGATCGCGGCAGCCTAAAATCATGAATGCATTTGAAAATTAAAGACACAGTTCTAATGTCAAAAGTAAAAACGGTATAACGCTATTGAGAACGTTCTAACATCGTTCAAAACACTGACCTGCTCAGGCATCCCCATTTGGCGGTAATACTCAGCCCATTGAGCCGAATAATCTGGTTGTCCGGTGCTGGGGTTGATGGCTGGCTGGGCAGATCCCTGGGGCTGTGCCTGTGGCTGGGCCGCCGGGGTGGTTCCAGGGGCGGCGTATTGCTGCTGCTGCACGTAGGGGTTGCTTGCCATCGTCATTTGAGCGTAGGGAGCTGCTTGGGCTTGAGCGGCCGACTGTTGGTTCGCGTCGAAGTACTGCTGTTGCTGCCAACCGTTGGCCATCGGTTGTTGGGCTAGAAAGTGAATTATAGTGAAGGTAGCTAGGATCCGGCAGCTACGCGGTAAAAGATACCGGGAAAATAAATCAGGAAAGGATTAAAAAGCTACCCCGCTGGTTGAAGTTGCCATTCCAGTTATTTCCAGCCATCGGCTGAGCGAATTGGGTAGCAGCGCCGTTGAAGCCAGGCTGTTGTCCATAGGCCATTTGGGTCTGGACAACGGGAGCGCCAGGGCCGGAGAAGGTAGGTACGGGGGTGCCGGGTGCGATGTCGCCAACCTGGAAGAGGAAAGTGTAAAGATTATAATGTGAAACATGAAAACATGTTCTACTTGAAAAGAAATGCTAAAACCTACCTTGATACGGATGATGTGCTGGGCATGATGGATTTGGTAGGGAGTGCCCTTGATGATGAAAACCTTCTCATTGGCATTCGGGGGTGGATCCCGAGACAGTTCGCAGTGCGCGCCGGATTCGTTGTTGATCTAAAGTAAAATATACATTTCTGTCTTTATGCACAACGGATAAACAATGAAAGGCAAATAAAGTTCCGAACAAAAAACCAACCAATTTGATGGTTTCTCCGCCTTTGCCGATGACGAGGCCAGTCTTGTTGGCGGGAACGTGCATGAAGAACGTGTCGGTAGATCCGCCGCCCATCGATTTTTGCACCAACTCGGTGATGAGCTGGGTAGCCTTGTCGATCTGGTCGCGGGTTCCGGAGATGATTGCCGTGCGGTCAGGAGTTGTTTGATCATCTAAAACAAAACATTAAGATGGTATTGTAGGGGGTTTCGGCGATAGCTAGCGAAAGCCAAATCAAAGTCAGACCAAAAAACGTACCGTCAGGTTTGAATTGGATCTTGGTTCCGGTTTCCATTCCCAGTCGCTTGATCATCTCACCGCCCTTGCCGATGATCATACCAACGGATGCCCGCGGGACGATGACTTCTCCACGAGCGGTTGCCTCCGTGCCATAAAGACGGCTGCTGGCCATGCCCTCGGGTCCGCCGGCGATGATGTTCTCGACCAGATTCTTGGCCAGTTCCACCTTGTCCGGGTCGCCCATGATGCGCAGCGGTTTAGCTTGGCCGGTAACCTCTTGGTTATCCTGGATCATCATCATTTTAGCGCCGGATTGTTCTTGAAGTTGGCGGATGGTATCGCCCTGTTTGCCGATGACAAGACCACATTTGTTGGCAGGGATGAGCAGCTCGACGGTGATGCTGCCGGGTCCCGGAGCCTGGACGACCTGGTTTGGTGGTGGACGGTTGCCCGCACGGCTGATGACCTAAAAGGAAACATTATGTATCTCATAGAGATCAGAAAAAGTAAAAAAAAAACGATATGATAAATACCTCATAGATCAACTGCTTGGCGCGTTCAACGGACATCTTGGCTCCTTGAATGGTGCATTGACGTTGACCAGTACCCTCGCTGTCTGGCGACATTTGAACTCGGGCTCCGGATTGCGACTGGATGGCGGAGATCTGCTCGCCACCGCGGCCGATGACTGAAATTGATCAATAACTAGTGTCTAATATCTAGATCACAGAAAAACGTTGATTTCCGACATTTTTCCATCCATTTCATGATACCTTAGTTTTATGTATTCAGCGAACATCCCTATGCGTGCGGGGATTCTCAATTTCGCCTAATTATGCTGCATTTTAGGGCCCGTGTCCGCAAGTGGAAGAGGGGAGGATCGATCGACTGAGGGCCGAGTGGACGCCCGTGTGGGGCCCCTCTTCGTCCAAGATGCTCTCTCTTTCACCCTCTTTCGCTCTCTCGTGTGAGCGCTGACCCTTCGGCCTCCACACAGACATACACGCACGCACGCAAACGCACACACCCTCCCATCGCCCTCGGTGGCACAAAAAGTGGCGCTTTTTTGAGGAATCAAACGGTCCCTGCCCGGATTCTAGTCAAAGCTTTTAGCCGAAAGATGTTTAGTTGGTAGGGATGACGATTTTCAGCACCCGGCGAAAAGCCAAGTGTCGAAACCGCTAGAGAAATACAGACAGCGACCGGCGAATTTTAGAAAATAGCTAATCAAAATTCAATGTAAACAAGTCGGCACTAATACTAAATTTCGGCGCTTCCACAAAAGTATCACATCGTTGCCAACGCCAAAAATTGAGGAGCCAAAGAATTTACCTAGGCCCACGGTGTTATCCGGAACGCTGATGACCTCGACGACATTCTCGTTCATGTTGATGTTCCCGGGCATGGCCTGTGCCATTCCGAACGGAGCTGGAGCCCCCATTCCGGCAGCTGAAAGCTTTCAAATAAATGATTAATCAAGAGTCTTGCATGACACCGGATCTGACCCTATGTAAAATTTTGGTTTATTCAGTCTTGTAATTAGGCTGAACACCAGCAAAAGGCGAATCATCGATTCATCTTTCGCATCCGGGGTTGGGGTACCCTAGCAACGGACGTACCGCTATCCTCAAAAAGGCATGGGATAGACATAAGCATGTCCATATCAGTTTGCGAGCCAATGAATGCGGAACGCTTTGACAGACCAGGGATTAAGCTGACGAATCCCTATAATCCGTCTTCAGATTTGGACATGGGGAACGCGGGTAGGGCGCGGAGGGCGCAGAGAAAGTCCGGCAGGTGCGAGCGCGGTCGATAATTACTCATAATTTCATTTGTGGGGCATGGCACCTTGCGAGTTGCAAAAAGTGGAAGGCGACGTATCATCTCCGCGAAATTGCACCTCAAAATTCATAGCCAGGGTCAATTTCGTCGTTTCCAGGCCGAAACGTTGCGAATGAAAGGTCGAAATCCACGGATTTCCCCTAATCCCGCAATATTAGGTAAGATTTTGCGCTCTAATTTAACACCGACGTTTTAGATGAGCCTGAAAAAGGGTGTTGAGACTCACCATGGAATGGGGCAAATCGCTCCATACTTTACGAGGTCGTGCGAGTGACCGGTGGGTGAAACGAGGGGGACCGGAGAACGGGGGCTATCGATTGATCTGCCCAATGGAGAGCCCCCGCCTAGACACCAGACACACATACATACAGACCGCCCGAAGGGGGGCTCGTTGCCCTCTACCCCCCACCAATCCCGAATACAACACACACAAAAAAACAGCGCCGATTGATCAGCCGAGCGATTAGCACAAAATCACGGGGATAGCTCAAACTAGTTCATAGACATCCGAGATTCACGCTAGATTCGTTCAAAAAGTTTTACAAATGTATACCTCCAATGTTCATCGGCATCATTCCCAGTCCCATCTCCATGTTGCACTTCTTTTTCTCGGGCGAGTCTAAAAAAGAAAATTAAATCGACTCTGGCACCCGGGAATTTTGTGACAAGCCCAACTAATTACACATAACGATAGAAAATGTAAATAAATGGCGAGTCACATATTGAGGACGGCTCAATAATCAACAGCAAAAGGCAAACGGGGCATATTGCAATATTGCAAGGTGGAGCATAGCCGAGAAAACTGCGTCACTCTACGTACAGTCGTCTTCGTCGGTATCGAGTGGACGGCGCTTCTGATGATCACCACCAGCCAAACGAGCGCTTCCGTACTGAAACGTTGGGAAAATCTTATCTGGGCGCTACGAATGGGTCGGAAAGAACTATTATATAAAAATAGAAGCGTACATATGGATCAAAAGCCCAAAAAAGAAAGTCATTGCCAATAAAACGGGTCCAAAAATACTAACGAAAACCGAGTTAATGAACCTGCCACGTAATAGACCACTGTCATCCATGCCTGGACAACAGTAAGCCAAAAAAGTTGAGCTTTTGATCACGTGAAGCTGATTTTTTCAAATTTTGAACTTTGATGCAAGTGAAGTCGACTCACTCACTAATCTTACATCGAATAGGGTAGGCATTTCCCAAAATATCCTTAATTTTCAGGGTTCGGGAGGGGGATCGCAAGCTAGAACGATTTGTGATCTAACTAAACGGCCAAATGCTATAGAAGTTGGCAGATGTCAAGTGCCATATGGGTCCGCGCTCCAGATCACCAAGATCGATACGGTCAAAATTTCGAAATTTGGCGGTAAACAACCTCCCGTGAACACAACACCAATGGATCAACCAGGGTCGACCATTGCCGCAGGCGTTATCTAGTCTAAACCCCTCACGACCTTGCTAATTCGATTTTGGCGCGAAAGTGATGAAATCAATTGTTTTGCGTAATTAATTAAATTCTTTATTCGAATAGCACCCAAATCCGAAAATAATTGATAGAAAATCATAATTGGAGAACAAACTAGCGCGAAAACACACAAAGTCTCTCCCAGCAAAATCACCGAAATCATTATACGCCATGATCAAAACCCGAAATTTTACCGCATGAAAAAGCAACGCATTCGTAAGAATTCAAATTTCATCAATACCAGCAGTAATATTGCAATAATCGATTAATCGACAGCAAATGAAACCATAAATCTGCAGTAATATAGTAATTCACAAATTTCGGTCATTGAAAATATGTATGACAAAACGATCGATTTATTCCCCAAATTACACAAAAATTCAATTCCGCTATAAGAAAGTGCACGTATATGCATTTACTAACAAATTCATCAGCAAAATTCGCGAAAATTCGAATCGAACGCAATTCATGAAATCGGTAATCAATTCTGCGGTAATGGTTATTTTGGGCGGATTGTTATAAGGCTAACGGTATTAAGGGAAACTGACCTCGTTAAAATCGCCAGAGACAAGGCCTGTAGACATGCCCAACGGCAGGAGACTTCGGAAGGTTGTTCGGTTGGGGGAACGGTGAGAATCGATGAGTCAGAAAAGGGTGCTGAGGGGGAAGGCGGCGCGACCGCAACGCGCCTACTAGCCGTTCTGGTAGTCAAAATGGGCGCCCATCGCAACCAAAAGAATGGAACACTGTGGAGATTTTCGAAGGGATTTTGATGCAAAAATAATAACAAAAGCTAATTCGTTCTGTCAGTGCTTGTTTCATCAGACATGTGCTTGGGTCCCATCCCAGCCAGTAAATTGGAGCCAAATGTCGTCTATTCCTCGCTGGCGCAGTAAATTATAGCCATTTGATAGTATTCTTTGGCTAGAAAAAGAGCAGAATTAACCCAAAACTCTCATACGAATGGCTTCAAACAAAATTGCAACGAATAGCAGAAGTTTTTCTATAGTTTTCCTAAAAAAAATTTCCTTTAACAAAAGCTGATTGTTGCTACAAATCAAAGATGTATGTATTTATAATATACGTTTCGCACATGGTTATCAATTTATACCTATTCAGATGGAAATCGAAGACGAGGAATGATGATCACCGGAGAATATAAGCACAAAATTTAATCTAACAATTCTGAGCAATCAGGGAACGCAACTTTTCACCAGCGCCCCATGCCCATCGCGTGTCCGCTGGTGGTTTTTGACAAACATATAAATGGTGGGGATAGTGATCATTACTAGGAAAAATGAAAGACAATGCATAGTCAACCCGTCGGCTTAGTATTTTCCATAATTCAGAATCTTCAAAGTTCTTCTTGAGCGCCATCGTTGCCTCATCTGGCTCTACAGCACATGACGTTCCTTGCTGAATAAAGATTTGGATGAGTTGTGTGAATTTCAGAAGTGCCAATGTATTCTTTTGCTCACCGTTTCATCGTCAGTTTCTTCTCGGTCTTGATGGCGTGAAATAAGAAATATCCGGAGCAACCATTCTGACGGTGGGCCGGGATGTGTGATGCCCCGGAATTCAATTCCCATCACTGTAGACGTACATATCGTAGCAACGGTGACAATGATGATGTTGAAATGGAAATATACAACTGAAAAACGGGAATAAAAGTAAGAAAAAACCTATTTTTTTACGTTATCAAGTGTCTAATCAAACTGAAGGTTTTTGGGCGATGGTCTGGGTATCTTATACAACTTTTAAATCGTTTTTAGTCCATTTTTGGTTGTTTTTCACAGCTATTAATATATTTTCAAATGTTACCTACCCATCAATGGCACTTCTTCCGAGCTATGCGGAACCTTTTCAGCTACAACTAACGATAACACAGCCATCGTCAAAATGGCTGTCACCCCGAGCGTAAATTTTTCCTAACGATAATATTCTCGAAGCCTCTGAATCTGAATACCTGTCGCTCTTCGCGAGTAGAAAAACGTGCAAATAACCCAGCTATAGAAAGCCCGCAAATAATAGCTGATGGCAAGACCAATGAGATCATGTAGAAAAGTGGCTTTCTTCGGATGTTGATCGTATATTCGACCTCTGACACCACCGTGCCCTCGTGCTCATAGGTTGTATCCGTGATTCCAACGCTCTGAATAAATAAAATACGCAAAAACAACGGGCTTACGGTTAATGCCCATTCCTCATTGCAGAGATAATGCTCCAAAACGGGCTTATGAGAAGCATTGAGCAGCAGCTTTCCTTTATCATACCCCCAGGATGCGACCTAATTAAGGTAATTTTGTGTCAAATACAACCCGATTGAATAAACACTGATGTTTAAAATTAAATATTTACCCGTAAAACACATGCCTGGTCGTCAAAAGGAAAATCTTGGATGCCTAAAAGGACGGTATATATTCCAAACTTTCTCGTCCGTACCTAATGTGCACATCACGTTATAAATGGCCGGATACGTGTAGACAACTTTGCCCGTATAGTTGATTTTCACCGGTATTCGAACGTGTTGAAGGAGGTCAGCATGGTCAAGCCTAGAAATAGAAAATATAGATAAAGATAACCTAAACGTACATATTGAAAACGATGGTATCGGGGATCCAGACAGATCCGACGGGGAGCCATGTCATTTCTTGCCCCGAAAAGTTGGCCGGATTCCAGGATAATGAGCTATCGGTCCATTCCTGTAATGGTTAGATTTCATAGGGGTTTCTAGAGATTTGGTTAGATTAAGCAGGTTCTAGTGTGTGTGTGAGAGAGAGAGAGAGAGAGAGAGAGAGAGAGACCGTCTCACCCGAGCCAACATATCTTACCCCTAGAATGGGATCTGCAATCTTCTAAGGCCATTATCACCTTTGCAAAAAGTCTGAAAGATCAACAGACAGAACAGCTGCCCCAGAAAAAACGCAAACGAAACTGACTGAACGGTTACGAGCAGAAAAAAAAGTAGAATGAGCAAATACTGGGTGAAATAATGCCGCTACAAAAATGTTTCCTAAATGTTTCCTGAGATTTGCCCCTATTTTCTCTCGTATATACCAATTTCTTTACCTGTGTAACGTACACTAGCACCCGTATCGTTTGCCTCAATTCATCAACCGCCAGTATATGCACCAATTCCATTTCATACTTCACAATGATTAACCCGTCTGGTGGTGCCGCCCTGGAATTTAACATCATAATATTTTTTTGCCCAAGTTTTCCTTATAAGGCGATGATGGTACTAATTTCAACCCCATTGTCTCTGGTCTAAAAGTGCATCCTCCGTGCTCGTTTACGTATTGTCCGGGAATTCATAGCGGGGTATGGGCCACACCCGGGCAAGTGCAGATCTAGGCGAGTTCTCGTGGATTCCACTCTATACTTCCGCACGTAGCACCCGGGCGATACAAAATAACGACTTACGATATATGTTTACGCTCCAGAAACGTTGTCAGCAGGGTGGAGGTGCCTGAAATATGACGTTTATGGCGATCTTTGTTCTAGATTTACTTTTTTTTTGCTTTTTGGTGGTAGTTATTCTAAATTCAAATAGTTATGAAAAACACCGTATTTTTGGAATATAAGCCTAGAGCAACTAATTTTCAGTTACTCGCGAAGGAGAGTATCTGATATTTTTCGATTTACTAAAATAACGAAAATTATAGGAAAATTGCTAAATTTTGAGAGATGTTATTGATTTCCGCCGGTTTCATCGCTTATAATTTTGAATAGGCTCAGCAAAAAACTTAAACAGGACTGATATTTATATTTTTAGAATTCTGAACAAGGTTTTACAAATTCCAACGAGACTGGAGAATTAGATGAAAGGAAACCCCGTATTTATTTTTGGAACAGGATCTTAATCTTATTACCTTATTGAAGGCATCGCACACAATTTGTAATTTAAGAGTAATGCTATTCATGGAATGGTTTAAATCAGAATTTAACAATACCGTTGGGAAGATATTTATTTTTTTTTGTCAATGATACGATCTCGGTCGGAACTACACCCAATTCTTACTCGGAACTCATTCCAAAGTACTCCCGTACCACGCCATGGTCACCCGACCTCTCATAAATTTAATTTTTCTTCCCCGCCGGAACCTTTCAACCCCGGCCTCCGGAGGCGCCACGCTAAATTGTTCTGCGGATCCACACCTCATATTTATGACCCCTGCTCTTGCTCCCTTGAGACGCCACGGCCTTCGCTCTTCGTCAGCTGGCCCCCGGGATTTTCTTTTACCTAGACACACATTACCAACACCACCCTCGATTCAAATGGCATCCCCCGCCAAGATCAAATACTCCACCCATATGTCTGGCAAAACTGGATATCCTTTTGGGAAAACAATTCTTGGGTCGGGGGTGACTGATGGGTCAGTAGCCATCAACAATCTGCGAAAATCAGCGGTCAATTTTTAGAAAATAGCGTGGAGGTGCAGTCTGGACAGGGTTGCTGGTGCGTAAACAGATAGTGGAGAGGAACGGGGGGAGCAGCTCCTTTGCACGTACAAAGCCCGGTGTCTATGAAATTACCAAAATAGTGTCCGCACGGGTGTGGTGGTGGCTGTGGGGTGGAAAATAGCAAACATTAGTACGACACGGCGGTGATCTTTTGGATGGTTGTGGTTTCAAAGTAAAGATCGGAAAGGGTGTAAGTCATCTTTAAGTTTAAATTCCAAAAAATCATTATAAGGTTTTTTCAAAACACGCTACGGTATAATGGAGGCGATTTAGATACCTTACTGTTCCTCAGGCAAAAAACGTATTCTCCATAACTTAAAAACTTGGTATTATATCAACAAAACTAGGATGTTTCGAATGGTATTGCTGATACTATTATGCGACTATTATCGTAAACCACCTATTCTATAATTTTTAAACTCCAAACTACACTAACTTACTCGGAACATAATGACTCGCCGAAACCGCAGAAAACAAAAGAAATAGTAGGAGGGCGAAGGGCAAGGTGTCCATGTTGTGACCTGAGGCTATGGCCAGGGTGCGGGCCAGAGCTCATCCAAGACCCCCGATTTATGAGGGCTCGTGCCGGAGGGGAGCCCCAGCAGCAGGAGGAGGAGGCCCACCTCTTTCGGCTTTACCCGCATTCTCTCCGGGAACCACACGAGCCCTCAGCGATCGAATTGTAACCAATTCAACGCATTCGACCAACGACCTCAATGGGAATTGTCGAGCATTGCAACAACCCTTTTTTGTATTTCGGGACCTACCAAATTTATTATTTTCAGAAAATAAACGGTTTTTTAAGTAAATAAGCGCTAGTTACTGATTTAACCAAAAACACCGGTTCGCATTTATTTTCATAAATTAATAAAGCTTTTATTTGTCACCATTCGAAGCCAAAAAGGTTCCGTCCCTCTCATATCATTGTCTCAAGCTATTGCATCATATATTTGCCCCCGTAAAACTTTCACTTCACAACTCATCATCCTCCTTTGACACCCATCACTGCGGTGACTATTTTTAGGGTGAGTTCCGGTCTCAAAATATCCCTTCCAGTGTCAAGCGACGAGTAGCATGTGCTAAGCACATTCGATTTTATGACCGGCTGGTCTAGTGGGCACCGCGTGTGTGGCACAGTCGCAGGGAGAGTGAGTAGTACGATTTTTGGTTGTATTGTTTTGATACATCATTCGGTGCCAAAACTATATGAAATTTGTGTTTTAGCAAATATCACGACCGTTTTCAACTTATAAAACTGAATAATAGCCCTGTAGCCTGAAAGAAGCACATCTTTTTGTGTGTTAAGCGATTGAATAATAAAATAGGCGGAAATCACAAGGTGGAAAATCATATAGCTCGTCATTAACATATCATTAACCTTCTTTAGCAGGAATAGTGGTTGCTAATTGTATGTAAATTACGATCGCACATTCCCGATCCGCATACCTATTAGCTTGGTTCATACCCTATCATTTTGGGATTCCTAAATATGTCTATGTCTAGTCCCTCATGTCTATATATATCTTCGAACACCTTCCTGTGAAAGATCACAATCTATCCTAGACCCGAGGATAATATGTGAGAGATTTGACAGAACGGGAAGGAATTTTTCCTGGAAACCGCGTGGCCGGGCTAATCTCTGGCAGACAACAGTTCCACTACATGCTAGCCTGTTTCGGGTAATGAATCTCGAGAGAGGCGTAGGACATATTTCAAACAACAATGTCACAACAGTGTTTTGAGGCCGATTGATACCCTTAGGAAAAACAGTTGTGTGCCGTTCCGAACCTGTTTCCCGCAATAAATCTTCCAGAGTGTCCCCTGGAAGTATAGTAAGCAACAGAGTGATACCATATTGTGTTGAACTTAGTTCGAAGCCGGTCGGACAACAGTTCCGGCATGGGATCGCCAGAGTTTAGTAATGTATCTTGCGGAGATGTGTTGTGACAGATTGGGTAGCAATAAAGTGACAAAGCTTGGTGTTGAACCCAGTTGATGGAAGGTTTGAAAGATCTGATCGGGACGGCCCGTGGAAGAACTCTAGTAAAGTGTGTGTGTGTGTGTCTGAAAAATTCTTTTCGGGTCGGAGCCGGGCGCCCGTATATGTTGGGTTGTTAGAGGTTTCGAGGGAGTACATAAGCCCAAGTATCTTCCAGGGAGTTACCGTGTTCGCTTGGTCATAGTCATAACATCTATTTCGAAGCTATCGGTTTAGGATAAAGCTTATACGGAAATTGACAATGCTGACCATAAAATAGCGATATACTTGCCGTTCTAGTCCGATGATAGGAAGCAGTTGATGTCACTTCTACTCCACGACCATCAGTCATCTAGAAACACCTCAATCGCGTACGAATCCAATGTCTTCGACCAACCCCCCGTTTCAGTCAAAAACTTCCCGTCCACGTTCGCTCAAAAGACGCCCGGTCGACCGGCCATCACCCCCGACCCGGCCCGCATCTATTTCCGTGGTCACCGAAGTGGCGTTGTCACGCGGACCCCCGGCCAATGGAATGCTTGTCCACTAAAAGGTACTGCCAAGGTACCGTAGTTCAAGACGATAAGTATCGGGGTTGGCTCGAAATAGCCGCCCGCCCCACCCATCAGCTCAGCGAGTTTTTGAAAGGTTCGATCAACAGATTAGGGAATGATCCGCTGGTGTATGGTGCCCATTGGTGGATCGTGAAAAATGTGAAGTTTGCTGCATATTTTTGAGAAAAATGGAATTTTTATATCAATTTATGATAATGTTAAGCCTTACCGCGCCATGATAGCATAAAAAAAATTACAGGCTGAACGCTTGTTGGGCGGATGCGTTCGTGTTTTTTCAGGTAATTTCAAGGATTTTAACCAGTCAAAATTGATTTATAGCATTTTTTGTTATTTCTAAATCAAATAAAACTGCTGTGACAAATTACAGTATCCTGCACTCTCTGCCCGATTTTGTTGCTTCAATGCCCTTTGCCCCGGATCCCCCATTCCTGCATTCGAAATCAAGGCCACCCCCTGCTGACTGTAGGCTTTTTGCCTGCAAGCAGGGAAAAGGAGTGCAGACCTTCGAAAATATGGTCCCTTTCCACGAAAGCGTCTCTAAAGATCATCGCGATCGTCCCGGTCGCCGCGATAGACGAGATGGGAAAATGGTTTTGTATAGGAAGTGCCTTCGAAGATGCGATTCCTTTGTGGAGGCAATGTTGTCTGTGACTCGGCGTGCGTTGTGACGTTCTGTTCTTTAAAGGCCGCTCGAAACCGATGGCAAATAAATCGTGGCCGTGGTGTTCATGTTGAGGGAAAGGATGGGGAAAGGGAGGCTGAATAACGGTTTGTCGGAGGTAGACGAGGAAGGAGGAGATGGATCATTGCAGCATGGAACAGATATCCGTACCGTTGTCTTAGCATTATCCTTAAGTGGTCCGAAAATGAAAAACAGAGATTTATCGGCTGGTGGTTTGAGGTGAAGATATTGAGATGGATATGATTTTTGAGGATTTAGCTTTGTAGGTGTGACCGGAAAGAGATTCGATTGGGATGAAAAATACCGTTTCTATTTCATACTGGGACAATCAATCAATTTCTATACATTCTAGACACCATAATGCATTGTTTAAACTCCGTTCCTGTACTCCGCTGATTTCCCCATTGGCAACAGCTTCTCCCTCAACACCTTTCCCTTCCCTCACATGCCCCCTTCCTCATATCGATGAAAGCGTAATATCGATGTCTCAACCCTCCCTCACCAAAAAAGAAAAGGCGACAAAGGATGTATGTATGTGTGTGCGGAGTCGATCCCCTCCATCCTATCGTTCTCCATCAACCTCTACCCCATTGCCATAGGCTTCCCCCAACCATTTCGTCGCTCTTCAAAGGCTGCTGTCCTCCTCGTGGTTGGGCTGGGAGTTCAGGGGATGGCTCCTCTCCACAACGATAAACCGGTCCATTCTCATCTACCAGTCATATCTCCGTTCACATTCACCTAGCGCACTCAATCCGTCTTGGCCAAAATTGGGGGCCCTGAAAATCAAAAAATCGCAGACCAGATCAGTTTACCGGGTTGTCTCCTCGGGGAGATCGAGACAAAGATGGGCTGAAAATAACAAGGCGCCAATGGACGTGCTGTTTGTCCCAGATTGAACCAGGAAGGCAATAAGTTCTATAAAAACTTCACCATAGTGTATAGAATTGCAAAACATCTACCAATTTACCAAATTTACTGTAAAATTTACCAAATTGATTGAGCAATTTTTCAGAAGCCGAAGTTATGCATCTAAAACATTCGAAGACAATCAACCTCATCAATCAGTCCGCCAAGATCAAAAAGTCAGAAATCACTCTTCCCCCATTTCTTCTCCCCAGTTTTTCCCCACCACATGACGCGCTACCTCGAAAATAGCGACTGTTTTCGCTTCAGAAGTTGCCGAGACGCGAGACCTCAGCGGGAGATCTGTACTTCGTAGGTATGGCCCACAACAGACGATTCTGTTGAAGGGGTCACAAGTTGGTGACGTTGTAGAAGGCCGGAAATAGGGGTAGGCGGAGGTGGTGGTCAGGGGATGGAGGACAAATGAATTAGGAAAGGTGTGACTTGAAATTTGTGTCCGGAAGTTGCACAGCAGGAGGGGTAATGGTTGGGAAAATCAGAGAACGGTGAAGGTTGAGGATGAATTTGGTAATATAGGTTGTGAAAGATTTTGGCTTAACCGTTCCGCAGTTTTAAAAAGGTTTTTCACTGACTAATAAGAACCTAAGCCTGCCATTGTCTATCTTCTCACAAAATGCCTCTGCCACTTTGAGTCATCCGATCTTCTCGGCAATCTACCAAACCAGATCTTTCGGTTTGTTTATCAAAATGGGTGTTGTGTTATTTCCGGAAATATCCATTAATGGCTACTGGTTCAGGTTCGGGGGTCGATCATCAGCAGAGAATCGCCACCACCACCCCCCAACTCTCAATTCGGCGAGCCGACATCCGTCTGTCCGGAGCAGTTCTTTTTCTACAGAAGGGGGAAGGAGCGGGGGGAACGAGGAGTGGACACCAATCGGCCGACTTTTGAAGGTGATTGAGCGATGGGCTGCGCTAAAAATGGAGCCACGGGGGGCACAGGGCGCCCCATCGCGAGAGCCTGATACGACGTGACAACGGACTGCTCTTCGAAGGTTCCACACCCGTCCACTGCGGCCGAATGGAGCCGCAGCTGCGGGCGGTAAAAAGATGGCGCAGACCTTTAAAGAATTTATCTTCGCCACTGAGGAGCAGAGAGGCTTTTGCAGAGACTGTCTTGCACGGTTCCCCGGGGAAAAAAAGTGGCTGCAAGGGGGGGGTACTGTAGCTTGGATTTGGGGAAGGCGAGGATGTAGTGGCGAACTGTGATGCACACACTAAACATTGCATCTAGTGATAGGCAAATCTGTTAAAATAATACAAGAGAGTCTTCTATATAAAACTTACGTAAGTTATTCTCTGTACGTCCACCCGTACCGGAAGTAAGCGAAAACCCGATATTCAAGCAAGAATTGACAATTTCTTAGGATATAGTTCCCCGCCTAGCCGGAGAAGACCATTTATATTTATACAAATCTTGACTGTCGACCCCCTAGAGAAAATAATCGACCATTTCATACGTCCCTAATGACATCCCCCAAAATATATTTATATTTAGTTTACACACCGACCTTGTCCTAAGCCCTTTACACTGTTAAAGTGCATTCACGTTCAAAATTACGGTTTGTAAGATGTATCGTGCCCTTTCAACAAGCTCATAGTACGCGCCCAGGCCCGGGGAAGAGCGCGCGCTCGCCCCAATATTTCGCAATTAATGTTCCCGTAAATGATAATTTTGCGAAAGTGCGTTAACGAAATTGGCTTAAGGCCATAGATTAGGTAACGGTTTCGATGAAAGGCGTCTAAAAAAAGGCTGGGCAGTCAGGGCGTTGTTGTTTTTCGCCAATCGGGGTACCGGTGGATCCAAAAATGGCTGGTTGAGAACCAGGACGATCCATCAAACCCAGATGAACCGTAGACGTCGGTGCGTTCAAAAAGCAGTGGGGTTTTGGGATTGGGGGGATCAGTTGTTTCGGGGATACGGTAGTTGTTTCCGGGTCGGATGTAACGTTTAAGGGCGACCCCCAAAAATCATACACGCTTATTAACTAGCAAAATACTTTCCGGATGCCAAAGTTGCAAAATCTGAGAGTCCCTGGGTACACCAACCATTTCCCGTCCCGCCAAAGCAACCGTTTGTCAAAAAGCGCTCGTTCCAAGCGGCACGTTTTTACCACTGCCCTCATTTCTCCATCACACGCACCATTGTCATCCGCAAAAATTGAGGAGAAATTTGCCCGAGCTTATCCACAAGCGCAAAGTGTTTCCACGCGGGCATGGCTCCTCCGCGAACGGCCAACAATGCCCGCGCTTGTTTGCCGTTTGATAGCTCACCCGATCTCAATGGGTCACACCAGCCAAGGGTGCAAACGTTGGCTGTGGAGAGGGAGGAAGATGAGGAGGGAGGAGGAGGGCGAACAGCTGCCAGATTTTATGACCGTTTCTAGAACTCGTAGTTTTTTTGGGGTGCCCTGGCAGGTCCCGAACCGTCAGCAAATATTCGGAAATAGCAACACGGTAGTGGACGAGGAGGGATGGCTCGCCAGACGGCTGGTTGTGACTCAAGCTAGTTACTGTGTTTGGTGTAGGGGGTAGACGAGGGGGGATGTTGAGCACGAGCAAACAGTTAGTGTCATCAGATGGAGCTTGTATCCCAGACATATCACAGATCACTGTATGTCAGGGGGCTTGACGATGTGGGATGTGATCCGGCGTCAGGTGATGGGTTTAGAGAGAAATAAAAAGATACCTTAGAAATCGTATGCCCAAAATGATTTTTTGCACCTACGTCCTAAGCACCTAAAACGAACCATTTCAGATGTCATGTGCCCAAGTCACGCATGCTTCCGCCGACCTCGTGGGAGCCTCTCCTCTTCCCCTTTCCCCCCACCCTCAAAAACGCAACCGTTGCCGATCTACGGAAATACCGAAAAGGCACCCAAAATAGCCCCGCCGCAGGAGGACAGTGCTCCCCGACCCGCTGACGACAAGAAATCTTAAGCACGACCAACAGAAGCCGCCACCCCGGATTGCCCCCATCGCCAATTTGAGAATGATGAATGAGGGGGAACATTTGGGCCAGGAATAGCCACCGTATCCCCCTCCCCTCCTTCCCCATTGCTTTTTCCGTCTCCTTCCACAAAGATGGGGCTCCAATCTTCGTTGAGCGTGTAGTGTATCCTGTAGGATCGGCCGTTGCAATCACATGTTGACGGAATTTCTTTCAGTCAGAAATCACACCACAGACAACCTCAGAAGTTCGACACTAAACCCCCATGGTACGAATTCAATACTTCGCGTCAAAAAACCGATCCTCCAAGGTCTCCATTGTTCCTGAGATATCTGGGGTACGAGAAACGGCTGAACGGAAAGAACCCAAGTGCACTCTTTCAACAAAACCTCTTTCCTTCATTATCGAGAGATCCTCGTGCATTGTGGGAGCGCGGTGTGGATGGTAATATTTATGTTTCTCTCGCCCATACCACATGCCTCCCTCGCTCCGTGCGATTTTGATACCTGTGGGATAATGAGTGTGGATAGCCCATAAATCATGGTGATTTTCGTAATCGTTATCCTGGGGAGCGGCAGCTCCAGATTTTTGTTACCGGCTGACAAAAGGCTGGAATTTTTGCTGGGAACCCGCAGCGGCACCGCAGGGCACTGAAGAAGTAATTAATGAGGGTCGTTATGAAACTTCCGTCGGGACTGTCTTTCAAAAGTTGGAGAAAGAGGGGAGAGAAGGGAGAGAGACAGACAGAGAGATCTTGGGAGTGGGCGGAGATGTCCCGCTGAGCCGGGGTGATCTTCAAAGTTTTGGGGTGGTGGGAGAGCCCTGCCCGCCCACCCAGTCAAAAGGGGGCGGGGCAGCTGACAAGCATATAAGGAGCCTTTCGCCTTCATCCAACCAACATAGTGAATTCTATGCACCAAAGCCCTCACACGGCTCTACACCTATTCCGCATCGATCATGATCCGCTCTCTCTGTTTAGTCGCGTTCGTCGGAAACCTGCTTCTTATTGAAGGTGAGCTTTGAATTAAATTTTTAAAACCGGATTCCCGGCTTCTGAATCCTTTTAAAGACCCTCATTTAATCAATCATTTTCAGCTGGTATCTTCCAAAACCGCGTCAAGCGTCAAGATGTCGAGGCCTACTGCGCCAAGCACACCGAGCATTACACGAAGTTTTGCAACATGCGTGCCGCCGACTTGGACCGCGACACTTTCCTCAAGCTCGCCAAGTTCTGCCCGGCCTACGAAAAGCATTGCGGCGGACCCAGCAAGGTTGACCCGCCAGCCGGCCTTACCGAAGAAATGATCGTCCCTCCTCCTCTCCCTAGGGTTGGTTTTTGACTTATAATTGAATAGGTTTCTAAGAGTCAAACAGTTTTTAAGACATTCGTTAATCGTCCTGATTTCAGAGCGGAGCCCGTCTCGATCTGCCCCTCTCCGGCGGTCGCTCCAACCACGCCTCCCCGAGCCCCGCCGACCGTACCAAGCTCACGGCGGCCATCATCGCTTCGTGCACTCCCGACTGTTCCTCCCCCCACTGCACCACCGAGTGCAAGTGCGCCAACACCCATCCCAAGGTGCACGCCATGTGCAACCCCCCGGCTTCCGCCGAGATGGCCAACACCTGCCAGAGGTGGTACGCCAAGTGCCCCATGTTCCAGCCCGTCCAATATTATTAAAAAGCGACATCCCCGCTGTTGAAGGTGATTCGTGAATTCTGGGGCTTACAACCCCCAGCCTTTACAATCCCTAGCGCTGTCCCTTAAACACCTAGCGCTCGCTTGCTTTGCCCCAAAAACGTGACGAAGCGAGCGCTAATGCTTGCCAGTATCCTGTACATAGTATGCCGTTCTTTTTATCGCCCCCCATACAAGAGCCTCTTTCAAGCAGCGAAATTTTTGCATGAACGAAAACACGGAGCTTCTCCGCTTGCAAGAGTGCTTGGTAGTCGGGAAGTAACAATGTCGATCTCTCGAGTCTGGATCATCTCGCAATAATTGAAAGCTTTGAAAGTGGCCCCTGTTTAGAGAATGTTATGCAACCGATTTATTTAACCCGCCCCAATTCTAATGTATAGAATCTCGTTGTTAGCCGAAATATATGGCAATATCCCAACCACCTTATTATCCCCCCGAGTCCAATGAGTTAGTATTCCCGGTCACTTTCCCCCGAGTAACTCATTCGCATACGGCTACCCCCTGAACTCCCCCATTATGCACTTAGCGATGGAATAAAGATATTTGTTATTAAATGACTTTTATACAACACCTAAATGGCTTCTTACAACACTTGATACCTTTCTGAACACATACACAAGATCACCGCGATTTTCGAAAGGAGCTTTCCAATGGAATGTCTGGCCGAGTCTCTATATCTCTCTCACTATCACTCTCTCACAGACCCTTTCAGCGCCATGGGTTTCTTTAATAATGAATGGGGGGAACGATGGGACGGGGGAACTGAGCCACAATTAGAAGCTGCCCATGGTTATCAATCACGCCAGCGATCTTGAAAGAAGGGCTTTCGCGGGGAGACGCGACTCTCATCCGCTTCGCCCATATCGTCACCCCGCGATGGTCTCTTCTCCCCCACACACAAACTCTAAAAAAAGCGCGGCGACGAACACGTAGCCATTTTTCAGCGACCCGTCGATTAAAAAGATAACCCTTGGGGACGCCGCGCGGCCGAAACGTCGAGGATGAAAAATGATTGATGGGGGCAGATGGGTTCAAGGAAGTTTTATTTTGTTTTTTTCGCGAGTTCCCCCGATCGCTGTCTGGTGTTAAGACGAAAGATCATATACCAAAAATATGTTTGGCTCTCGGAGTATACTAATACTCAAAAAACGTACAATAGGAAACATTGGTTGTTCTACAGACGTTGCCACAACCCTGAAGGTAGAAATATGTAGTGGCATAGAGACAAACGTAACTTATAATTGAGCAACCTTTTCAAACTTGCCAAGTCAATAGCTTTATACCAAAGCTTACTTATAACAATAGTACCTATTAGAAGACGGAAAATCATAGGTCGATTGTCATTTTTTACACGTCCTGAAGTGTTATTGTCTCCATTTGGCTACAGTCTAGCATTTCCAAGGGCAGTCGTTTATTTTCGCCAATCGCCCGGGCGGAAATAGAGTTTTGCTGTGTGAAGGGGAAGGGGAAGAAGGTCTGCAAAAAGTCCAAGCAAGGTGGAAAATTAACATCGAGTAAAGGAAATTCAGGTCAATGTCGAAATTAATGGGGGACAGGCCAAGCGATAGTGTGATGTTCCCATTTTGTAGGTCGAAACCGTCAATTAGCATGCAGAGAAGACTTGAATCCGCAACATATGCAGATGACGATCACGGCCAGGGCTATGATCGTCAATGGCGCCCGAATCATTGGATTAGTGTCCTCGTGAACTTCGTTGAGGCGCAGTAGTATGTATCCCATCAGGAAGAACTGGAAAAGTTAGCTATTTTGAACTTTAGGCGTTACAGTTGCAGTATTTTTACTAGAACAATTTTACTTGGATACATATTCCACAACCACCTATCAAATTATTTTGATTAATCGCTTCAATCAGCAGCAGGAATTTAAAAGGCCGTCCGCGGCTCACCCGGCCTGTCCCCAATATGGCTTGGTACAGTTTTTTTCGACCCTGTTTTTTTGACGTCATCTGAAAGAGCATAGTCGAATTAGTAGGGTGGCGCTATTTTGAGATTTTTAAAAGTTTATTTTCCTAGTTAAATTTGGCGCTAAAGTGGCAAACCTCAAAAAATTATCTCGAAAACTACCAGGCCGAATGGTCTAAAATTTTGTGACTAGGCCTCATTTGGGATGAGGATCATTTTGCTAATACATTGCAAAGCACGAAAATGGTCGGAACATATGCAGAATGCGTACCAAAAACAGTTTTTTGCAGTTTTCGACTTGATGGGTGTTCGGCCGCATCATGAGACTAGCATAGAAAGATGCGCCATTCTTTTCTGCATCGATTGATGTATCTTTTATCAGGCGGCCAGACACCCATTTGCTGGAATATTCCATTTAGTACGCTCAAAACGCACCAAAAATGTACCCGAAAAATGCATAACAAAAAGTTTTCGAATTTTGACGCATGGAAACACATCTATAAGACGAGCTGAAGCTATTGCAAAAAAGAGCAAAAAGAAATAACATTTTTAAAAGGGGTCTGAAATCCGGCAGGAATCGAACCCGGGTCGTGTGCCTGGGAGCTTTGTGGCGCAGTGAGTAGAGCGGCGGCGTGCAAATCCGGAACTGGCGCCAGTTCAATCCCAGACCCCTCCAAAAAGCTGAATTTCGTTTTGCTCTTTTTTGCAATAGCTTCAGCTCGTCTTATAGATGTGTTTCCATGCGTCAAAATTCGAAAACTTTTTGTTATGCATTTTTCGGGTACATTTTTGGTGCGTTTTGAGCGTACTAAATGGAATATTCCAGCAAATGGGTGTTTGGCCGCCTGATAAAAGATACATCAATCGATGCAGAAAAGAATGGTGCATCTTTCTATGCTAGTAGCATGATGCGGCCGAACACCCATCAAGTCGAAAACTGCAAAAAACTGTTTTTGGTACGCATTCTGCATATGTTCCGACCATTTTCGTGCTTTGCAATGTATTAGCAAAATGATCCTCATCCCAAATGAGGCCTAGTCACAAAATTTTAGACCATTCGGCCCGGTAGTTTTCGAGATAATTTTTTGAGGTTTGCCACTTTAGCGCCAAATTTAACTAGGTAAATAAACTTTTAAAAATCTCAAAATAGTGCCACCCTACTAATTCGACTATGCTCTTTCAGATGACGTCAAAAAAACAGGGTCGGAAAAAACTGTACCAAGCCTTGTTCGGGTGACCCACGGACGGCCTTTCAACTTAACCAGCGCTGACCCCCCGCTACGCGGGGGTTTAGCGCTGGTCCTCCCCCACAATTTGAATTTTTAATTTGAATGCAGAATTTGGCTGAATTCCTCGACGGGCGGGCAGACGGACATTAGAAAGTTATATATAGTAGATTGATTTGCGTCGCCTTGCTTGATTCCAAAAATCTATTCGATTTCCGTGATTTTCGCGCAAATTCGCACTTTAAGTCAGAAAATGCTACTTTAAATGGAGTGATGTTAAAAAGTTCATTATAATCCAAAAATTATGTCTGCCAAAAAGATATTAGTTCATGAATTAAATAAATAATCTTGCTTTATTCACTACCCAGAAGAGCCAAAGAATATTATTTTTTTTTTTGCTGATGAGGGGACCTTAAACCAAAACTGATAATCTCCGCGATTTTGACAAAATACTTTTGATTCTTACTCGCTTATTAGCATATTTATCTAAACTACAATTTTCTTCCTATAAACAATCGATACACATACCAGGATTGTCGCGAAAACCACGGACAGCGCAACGTGACGAGTTGAGATCATCGTCACTCGATGGTGAGCGGGTGGGTCAAAAGCTTCCATATCCACTATGTGCTGCGGCGGCCTTGTAAAAAGCGTAATGTAAGCAATAGTTATAGACCCACCTGACCATTGACTTGAGCGTAATGGGGCTAGGAATTGGATGGGCTGGATCAAAGTATGCTGAATGTGGCGGCTCAGGGTGTGCCTCCGGAAATCACTGATTTCCGCAACATTTTTGGTAGCATCGCACTGTCCAAATACTAACGAAGTAAACCAATAAGGCTGAAACACAATATGCAGTGTCCGGTGGGGGAGAGACGCTATGCAAAAACCATATGCCAGTTCGCCCACTCAAACGCTCACGTTAAACAAATCGGGCAGTTCTTTAACCCGGACCAAGTGGAATGCGAATAGGGTAACTTGTGTTAAATACTGCTCAGATATGACACTTGTTTTTGACTCGACAAATCGGTACGCATCTCGTGGACATTTTCCGAAGGTAACCTGATTTGAGCTGATATTTATGGATAGGAATATTTACAATCTAGCATCCTTTATTCGACACGACACTGTGACAACTGGAACCTTCCATAAATTTCCACTAGTTCGTATCTTGCTCTATTAGTAGCGAGAAATTTAGATTTTTGGTGGAAACGCAAATTCTCGGAGCTAGCCTTTTGTATCGGAACCTGAAACAAGAGGTTTTCCTTTCGGAAGTTCCCCGAACACCTGGTAGACCGAAGCGGCGTCTGAAGAACTTTGAATATCGGTTATACAAAGCAAATCGGAACAAAACGATTTCTAGTTTATTTCCACGTAGTGCACAGTAACCCGTAATAGCTAGGTTTTTTCTATCTTTTTGCGTGCATTTTCTAAAACCGTCAGTCTTGATCAGCAACTGGTTGGTTTTACAACAAGGAAAATTAACGCATATCAAGCTTGGCTTCTGCTTTAATAACGAACCATTAGGGGACAATGGAATTCTAGAGCACGACAAATTTTAATACTGAACTACTTTCAAAAAATAATTTGTGGGTGAAAGTGTACTTTTGTAAGCTACTTCTCCCAGCATTGGGACGTATTCTGACAGCCGTACGAACACTAGAAGACGTGGTATCTTCTACAAAAGTCCAATTTGCATGCACTATTAATTGCGCTTCATATCTCCACTATCGTCTTCAGGCGCCTTTTTACCAGCGCCACGTTTAATAAATCGACATTGGGAAACTCGTCATGAAATTTCTCAATCGTGAAGGCTACTATTTTATGAGAAGGTCGCAAAATAATATAACTGGTAATATTTGCATATAAATCACGTCTGTAGTTGTTTTTACTACACAACAACCAGGCCCGTACGAGGGGGGCACCGGGGCACGGGCATTGTTTCGAAACAATTTTTACCTCTAGAAAACCTATTTTCCTAAAATTTTTTGGCCTACGGCGCTCGTTTTCATTAGTGCACCTTTTGGGGGGGAGGTCGTCAAAAATTTTTTGGGTAGGTGCCCCCCGAAATCTCGGCTCCCGTACGGGCCTGACTACAACTAATAAAAATTCGTATTTGTTGCCGTCCCTGCGAATTCGGAAATTTGCATAAGGGCAGTTAGCTCAATCACATCTTGTTCAGTTGTTCGAATAATCGTCTGTGTTGACCAGATCAGCAAAATTGGATAAGATTAAAAAAATGAGTCCTAGAACAGTCTTAGAAAACATACCATACTACAATGAAAATTTCGCAAAAATGACAGCCCTCAAACATAACAGCCCTTTACAATTTTTTTATTGAGCAGATATGATAATTTCAATTTAGAGCTTTGAATGCCTGGCACGAGAATCAGATAAATCGTGTTTGGGCAGTCAGTATTTATACCGTGAAACGGCCACGCTGTGAACCACTAGTCGAAGTCCCTACAGTCTTTGTGTGGCGTTGTCTCCCTTCTTTTTCGCTACTAATCTCCTGCTTTTTTATCTCTTTTATGGTATATCGATAGCAGTAAATATCTCCGTATTTCTCACTGAGGTGTCGTAGTACAGGGCCGAGTCATAAAAAGTCAAGTTTGCACTATCTCGGCAAGAGAAACGAATCGGACTATCGTTACGTTGTCAGAATGCTTAAACATGCTGGGTATGAGGAATAAACAGAACTTACTTTGTATGATTTTTGACGCCGCTCGTTACTTGTTAAAATTCCCTACTTGTTAACATGTTTGAAAATTTCTGGAAAAATAAAACGGGAGGAGGAATATAATTGGATTTTTTGAGGAGCTAGGAGAACCTGTATGGTATCAAAATCATGCTCTTTGGATGCGCTATCAAACCAGTAGTGAAGGATATGCTTCGATTTCACTAACCGACAATAGGAGCTTTCGGAAAATCGTAAAATCATAAAACTAACGTGGGTTAGATCTTCATGTAAAGCTTATTTATGCATTCTGGCAAACTACCGATTCGTTTCCCTTGCCGAGATATTTTAGGAAAACTTTTGTTATGGCCCACCCTGTATGTGAAACCCGACCTTGACTTGATTATCACGGCGTCGCAGGCAGCTACGACAAGCCTATAACGGTGCATGTTGTCAGCATATTTTTTTAGTTACAATGACTTTGTCTATTGGAAGTCTTTGACTACGAAGCTGTGTAGTGGAACTATGTATAGACACCGTCCGACCTTGTGTTCCGCGGTCTTTGTTGCTTTTGAATAAAAATAAACTGTTGTCTCTAAAAATGATGGGGAAAAGATGGCACGAAAGTCGTGACGGAGCCGCGATTCATCATTTCTTGGGAAATTTTGTAAAGTTGATGATGAGCTAAAATATTCGATGAAGCGGGAAAAAATAGGATCACCTGACGCTAAAAAATACAAAATTTTGAATAAAACCCTTTGTAAGCAGCCTGGAAGCCCATGAATCGGAAAAATTCAACTCCACGAAACTTTTATAAAATTTAGACTTTTATGCATTGACAATCCCCATCAGTTTTAATCTTGTGGAGTCCGTTAGTGCGCAACTCGGGTAAAAACCATGTTTCCGTCGTGTGCCGTTTTGGCTTTCCGGGTTAAAATAAATGTAGCAAATCCTCCAGCATTTTTGGCTTTAAGCGGACATATTAGTGCGCTTTCTGGTTGAAGAGCATGTTATCTGACGTATTCACTTCGCCGCTTTTCGATTAGAATAGGCATGAAAAGCATTTTTACATTCTCATTTCCATTGAATACATTAGTGCGTTACTCAGTTAAAAAGCATTCATGTGACATGCTATTTTTGCACTTCCCGACTTTCCATTAAAAAAAGCCCTTAAGCTGATCTTTGAAGCCCCAATTGTTTAATCCGGTTTACTTTTCGTTTTCCCAAATTTGTAGTGGTGTAGTCAGGCAACAGGCATTCCGATGTTTGCCCAAGGCAACACGGATGACCTAACACCCACGGCAGCTCAGCTGTTCTAGTCTTTAGGCCATTTCCAACCCTTCAATCCCATAAATCCATAGCCCGGGGGTATGATAGGCGGGGGTGCTAGCTGACCATCCGAACCTACACAGGGGCGCGCAGTGCGGCCGCGTTGCGTCAAGGGGCGGGGTCGCACGTAGACCCCCGCTTTTTGGCCGCCATCCCGGCGCATTCGCCGATCGTCTCTGACGAAACTCCGTGACTCCTCTACCAGGGTCACGTCTTCCCAAACAAAAATTATTCTAAAAACCCCAAAAAATCTATAAAAACCCCAAAAAACCCAAAAAAATCTACAAAACCCCACAAAACCCCAGCAAAGTCTAAAAAACTTTGTTGTTGAGACTAATATTCGCTAACTAATCAGCAGAAGTCGTCTCGCAAATCAAGGTGAGTACCTTTCGATCGTTATTTAATGATAATGATTGGGATTGGGGAATGATTTAGCTTTGATACGATCCCTTTGATATGAAGCCAACACTAATGTTGTTTTTTTTGCGGACAGGTGGTGCTCTACAAAAGCCATCTGGCTGACCCAGTTTTCCCCTATATTTGTAGCTCCGAAAATGCGACTTTGGTGCATTCACAAAATTATTTCGTATATTTGGGGCCGATATAGATGACCTTTGCACACTATTGCCACCATTGACCTAGTTGGCTCGTATCCAGGGTATCCTGCGGGTAGCTTAATATTCTGGGGCCGGCCTACAAAATTTGAGCCCTGGAAATCGGGGTATATAAACGAGTGTGGTTCGACATCAGCACTCATCTATTCCATACCTTCAACCATTTCATTCCACTAGATCCCCCGGGTAGTTGTTTTCCACCTAGGTGCCGAGTATTGCGAAAACATGTCCTTTGGCCCAGATAATTGTCAACTAAAATATAGGGGAATTTATTCGCGTAAGGGAAAGGGTGCACATTGGCTTATAGGCTGCGGTGTCATATTGTCTTTATCAGGTTGACTCGGTTTTGGGGCTCTCATAAATGGGGCGATATAAAAGAAATTGCATTCTTAGATGTTGACCTTTCTAGATCTTGGGTTAAATCTTTAGCATTTATGAATAAGTAGAAATAAGTTTTATATATAAATATTTCATAAAACTTAAATAGACTGATGAATTATCGGATTTATTGCCACTTAAAAACGTAGTATAGTGATTTAAAATTGCAAACTACATATTGTTAGCTGCCCTTGTCCAAAAATTGCTACTTCTTCAAGCTTTATACCTAATCTACAGCTTTTAATAACATTTCCAATTCAGAATAGCAATGGCCGCCGCCGTGAACGCCGCCCCGATGCCCCCAGTCAACCCGGCCGGAGCCGCCTCGTACTCGATGGCCTCGCTGTACGTTGGTGATCTTCATCCCGACGTCACCGAGTCGATGCTCTTCGACAAGTTCTCCACTGCTGGCCCAGTTCTATCCATCCGTGTCTGCCGTGACGCCATCACCCGTCGTTCGTTGGGCTACGCCTACGTTAACTTCCAGCAGCCAGCCGATGGTAGGTCATGAATTCAAATAGAAACAGTAACTTAAACTCGCCCTCTGGCTAAGCTTTGTATTGGTTTTAAATGTTATAAAATTTGACCTGATTTAAATAGTTTTGAAACTCTTTCCATTGCGTGATGCAATAATTGTATTCCTGGGTTTAATGGATCGGACCGATCTGATCGATAAATGCCTATATATACTTTTACACGGTAAAGAAACAATAACTTAAACTTGTACACTAGCCTAAATTTTAATTGGCTCTGAATGGAATCGATTTTAACACGATTTTAAATAGTTTCGAAACTATGTCTGGTTGCCTTGCGCAATAGATTTTAGTTCCAGATTTAAGTTTTTGTGAAGCCTTTCTGATTTACCAACCAGTTATCAAAGTTAGCTATTAGTAATTATATACCCTAGCTAAACCTTAAAATACCACCTAATTTCAGCCGAACGAGCGCTTGACACGATGAACTTCGATGTTCTGAATGGCAAGCCGATCCGCATCATGTGGTCCAACCGTGACCCGTCCACCCGCCGTGCCGGAACTGGCAACATCTTCATCAAGAACCTCGATAAGACCATCGACAACAAGGCCGTCTATGATACCTTCTCCCTCTTCGGAAATATCCTTTCCTGCAAGGTGGCCCTTGATGAGTCTGGAAACTCCAAGGGATACGGCTTCGTCCACTTCGAGACCGAGGAAGCTGCTCAGCGTGCCATCGACAAGGTCAACAACATGTTGTTGGTCGACAAGCAAGTGTAAGTTCATCTAAATACATTTTGTATATCCGACTACTCGATGAATTTTCGAAACAAAACTTATTTAAACCATTTCAGGTTCGTCGGCAAGTTCCAGACCCGCGCCGTCAGGCAAAAGGAGATCGGCGAGACCGGCAAGAAGTACACCAACGTCTTCGTCAAGAACTTCGGAGAGGAACTCGACCAGGAGAAGCTCCAGGCCCTGTGCGAGAAGTACGGCGAGATCACCTCCATTGCTGTCGCCACCGACGCTGAAGGCAAGAGCAGGGGCTACGGGTTCGTGGCCTTCGCTGATGCTGAATGCGCCGAGAAGGCCGTCGAGGCCCTGAATGACCTGCAGCTCGATGGAACTGACAAGAAGCTGTATGCTGGTCGTGCCCAGAAGAAGGGAGAGCGTTCCGCGGAGCTCAAGAGGTAAAAATTATTAAATAGAAAATTAATATCAATTCTTTCCAGGAAGTTCGAGGCAGCCAAGGCTGAACGCATGCAACGCTACGCCGGAGTCAACCTGTACGTCAAGAACCTCGATGATACCGTCGACGACGAGCTGCTCCGCCAGAAGTTCGAGGAGTTCGGAAAGATCACATCAGCCAAGGTACGTATAATTGATTTTGGCATTCGCATACTTACCCAAGTTTTCCGAAAATCCGGTTTCTTTGGATCTTTCCCGGCGATATCACCAAACAAACCATAACTTTTTATCGGAAGAAGGGGGAGCCCTGTATTTGGGAGGGTTGGGAGGTATGTATGTGTGTTTGTCTGTTAGGGGTGGGCTGACGAAAGAGATGAACGGGGCAGAAGGGAGGGAGGGGGTGTAGAACCGGATGGACCGGGGCAGGCAGAGAAATGAGGCGGACCGAAACTGGGCAGGGAAGCCGATCGGATGGAGGGAGCAGAGAGTGTGTGTGTGTGTGCAGGCCGACGACAGCGTGGCGCGCTTCCAGCCCTTCCCAGCCCAGCACCACCCTTCCGTAGCACAAAGGAACTTGCGGCTAAAAATGTGACCAGGGGGGAGATTTGATGACTGTACGAATTTGAGAGAGGGTAATTGGGATGGCATATTTTAATACGAAAATGTGAAACATTGAAATACCTCTGAAAATCTGAGATGTTTCCTAGAATTCGTAAAAAGGTAGTAAGTGTCAAAGAGTACTAACCTGTCTATGATCAAGTATAACTCCCCACTTTCCAGGTTATGACCGATGAGAACAACCGCTCCAAGGGATTCGGCTTTGTCTGCTTCGAGAAGGCCGAGGAGGCCACCAAGGCGGTCACCGAGATGAACTCGAAGATCATCTGCTCAAAGCCGCTGTACGTCGCCCTGGCCCAGCGCAAAGACGACCGACGTGCCCAGCTCGCCTCCCAGTATATGCAGCGCCTCGCCAACATGCGCCTCTCCGGCCCGATGCCTACCCAGGGAATGTACGGCGGAGCTGGAGGTTTCTACGTCTCGCAGCCCATCCCGGTACGTTTTTAACACGTTAAAACGTGTAGTGAGTCTAGCTTTTGGTATGATTGACTTAATTTAGCTCTCACCTCTTAAGATGGCTTTAATATACATTTTTAGAACCAGCGAGGCAACTTCATGCAAGGCGCCGGTATGCCCGCTGCCATGCGTGGACCCCAGCGCTGGAACGGTGCCATGCCCACCCAGCAGTTCGGACAACCCCCGTTCATCGTCCAAGCCCAGGGATACCAGCGTGGTGGACGCCCCGGCCAGCCCCCGACCGGCCAGCCCCGTCCCCAGCAGTACCAACAGCAGCCCCAGCAGCAAGGAGTCCCCCAGCGCAGCAACCAACCCCAGCGCGTCACCGCTCCGTTCCCCCAGAATGGACGCAGCAACAACCCCAACAACCAGATCGTCGTCGGTGGCCAGGAGCCGCTCACCTCCCACGTTCTCGCCCAGGCTTCCCCACAGGTACGGGATAATTTTGGCATTTCTTCTTTCGTTTTTATAGCTTTTATAGTTTTTAATATAGATTCAGTTAATTGCTCTAAATAATCGAGATTTTTTTCAGGAGCAAAAGCAAATGTTGGGAGAGCGCATCTACACCCTCATCGAGAAGATGTACACCGGAGGCCAGAACGATGCCGGTAAGATCACGGGCATGATGCTGGAGATGGACAACTCTGAGCTGATCATGATCCTCCAAGACAACGACCTCTTCCGCAACAAGGTATGGCTTTTTGCAATTATTTTAATAGTGTATTCGTTTCTGCCTTAATTTGCATAACACACCCAACTTTTCCAGGTCGAGGAAGCCGCCAACGTGCTGAAGCAGGCCGGCCCGAAATAAGCTCGTTCAGCTCGTTTCGATTCACCACCACCCTCACCTCAACGCGCAGCAACTTCTGTCAATGCAAGCCGTCATAGCTCTTCTCCAATTTGCCTTACGCCTTACACACCTTCACCACTACACTTACCCCCCTCCTACCATTTGTTGACTTCTTTATTTTTCCCCCACCCACAACCCATATACCCCACCTGAAAGACCCCCAAAAAATTGTTTGCTTTTGAAATAAACAGGTTATTTATCAAATGGTACTCTGGCTATTGTTAAATACACGGCAGGATTTATGACAGGATATTTTTAGACAGTATTTTGACTTTAAACGAGGGAAAATAGTGTCAAGCTTCTGAGTGACATTTGAAAAATCTGAAACTGAATGCAAACTGAACTGAATTGCTAAACAAGGCGTTGAACAAGATGTTTTACCCAGATAAACCAAACATCAAGAGAGAATATGATAATTAGGGTGCAAAGCCAAAAAAAATAAATTTGTATGGAAAATAATCTTTATGGTTGTCGAGGTTTTTCTTTCTCGAACTTTTCTTAATTAATTTTTGATAGCGTAGTGTATTCATTCTAAATTTCCTTTCCAAATTTAAGTAGATCACGACATTGAATCCCGTTTTTCTTCCCGCGCAAAATTATTATTCCAATTCCACAAGCCCTTTTCCTCTCCTTTCCCTACCCCCAGGCATCATCAATATTTTCCAGACTGTCCGTTTATGACAGTGCGTCGCCAGTTCAACTTCAATTTTGCGACAACGACTAGACGACGGCGAAGCAGCAAACATGTTTATTTGGCCAAATGTTTTTTGCGGCACGACGAATCGACAGCTGGGGTGGCGGTAGAGAGGGGGAAGTGTTTACGAGTGTGCGAGAGACAGAGAGTAAAAAAGGCCTGAGCGGACTGGCGAGAAAATGGACCCGTATCGATTTGGTTCGACAAAGCACAAAATTGGCGCGGATGGGATCAAAGTGAAAACGGAAATATTATAGTATTTCATCGGGGATGGAGGGGATATTTGAGCAGCGGGGCGAATCAATAATCTCGGATCTTGTTGGACGACAGCTCATGCTCAGCTCAGAACTCGGGTGCGGTGGCCTAAAAAGGGATATGACTGATTGTGGGGAGATTGGGGTATAGGAATCGTTAGCTGGAAATGGATAATAAGCTGAATTATATGGGATAAGGAAATGGAAGAAGTAAATCTTTGGAAAGCGGGGCTTTACCGAATTTGTAGGGTTCGTGGTCGAGTTGAATGAATTCAGGTTCATAAACCTACAGTAAATAAAGATTAAATCTTCTTTTTTTTTGCAAAAGCATCTGGATATTTATTTTTTAGAAGATCCCTGGCCTTTATTCTTATTATTTCTTGAAATAAAATCAGTGTTTTGGGTATCACTTTTTGAAAATTCCTCCCACCTTGGTAGTATGAATCAACTCGGCATCCTTGGCATTTTGCCTATTCCTGTTCTTCCTCTTCTTCAGCGCCTGGTAACAGATGCAACACGGCGCGCAGAAGCATAGGATACAACAGCACGAAACCAGCGACGCAATACATAGGAATGTTAGCAGCACCATTCTAAAATATAATTAAAATCCTTTCGTTTTTATTGAACTTACGAGGCAACATTTGGTGCACAAGCGGCTTGCTGATGCGATCCTTCGTTGCAATGATCAGCTACGTAACATTGTCGGAACCAAGATTCGCACCTAAGAAATTGGATATTGAAAATAATTAGAAAATTACTTGTCGACACATACATCCATCTTATCATGGCAAGTAACCCAAATTCCAGAGATCGACGATCCGCCTTCTGCCGCATTTGTAGTCGAAATAATTGCAACTGAAAGCAAATTTAAGGAAATTTGGGCCCATTTATTTCGTAAGTATACATATCTATAGTACAATATTTTTCCACGCTGATAGGCGTGACTTCCGGCTGGTTTCCCCCCATCGTTACCAGTAAACAACAATTGTCAACGTGCATCCCATCCCCCAAAAAAACCCACCAGCAAAAATGAGAATCTCAATTAAAACCCGCATTTTAGGATCTGGGGCGAGATGAAGCGGTTTCGAGATGGAATATGAAAGGGAAATGGGTAAATAATATGTGAGTGTTGGAGGGCCGTGATGTCAAAGGACGATCAATGGCTCTTTGGCTGTGTGTGGTGGGACTAGCTCTCCTCTCCTTTCCAGCCCCTATCCCTCACCCACCAGCCCCCCAGATGCCTGATTTCAGAAAAGGGCTTGTTGTTGCGTCTCGTCTTGCCCTTGAGTCATTCTCACGGAGGGCCCTTTGGGTTGTAGAGGACAACTAGGAGTATGACTGGTTGGGCCACTGTGTCATATACGAGGTGAATATTGATTTCAAGTGGAAGAATTGTCAAAATTGCGAAATTTTTAATTCGTTGGGCCTTGCTCTCACATCTCGGTAGTTTTAAATCGATCATTAGACTAAAAATATGCCTCTGGAATAGTAACCCTCGATCTTTCAAAGTTGTAATTACTAAGCAATCAAACTTTATTCTCTCAAAATTACAAAAAATAGTTTCAAGGGCCGTTGATAGTAAGTGCAATGCCGATACTATATAGATCAACCGCCAATATTATACAAAAGATGGAAATCGGAAGATCGGAACAAGCGGAGGGAGAGCAAGGAAGGCGGAAACGTTCAAAATCATTCATTCACGATACAGATCACCCCTAATTCCGGTCATTTCAATCTGTTCGCGAGGCTCTCTGTTCCCAACAAAGCGCGTTGGCTGACGATACAATTTCAGGATGCACAGCGCAGCTACAGCGCGAGCGGTGATGGCAAGGAGAGACAACGTGGCAAAAGTCAATAAAATTGGGGTCATGCAGCGGATTTCTATAGGTAGTGGGGTAGTGTTCGGGATCGAAGTGCTTGCGGGGGAATCAGTGGTCGCGGGTTTTTGGTCAACGATGATGCTTTCTGGGTCCTCTTCGGCAAGTAGAAGCACAGCCATTTCGTCGTAGAAGGAGAAGCCTTCAACAAGGTCGGCCTGAAAAAAACCCAGTGAGGTAGTCTTCCCGGCCTACCTGGAATTCTATGATCGTATCATTGTAGCCAGAAGTTGTAGTCGTAGTAGTAGTTGTGATTGGTATCAAGGGAGTAGCTTTGTAAAGAGCATTGTAATTTGTGAAGAACCAGTAGAGAATGAAACCAAATCCGACAAGCTGCGCCAGCAAAACGCAGGGCTAAATCAGGGTTAGAAAAAGGTTGCAAACTTGCTGTTGCAAATAGGATTGGAATCTGCGGCTCTCGGATGTTAAACTGTAGCATCATGATGGTTGAAATTGTCAAGAGGATTGAAATGACGATAAGAACCGCCGGGAATACGAGAGCAGCATTGGCCTCGATTCTAAAATTGCCATTCCAACCCGATTTCTTTAACTTACCTTGTCGATATTATTATCAGCAAAGTTAGTAGGATCACTTCAAAGGCCAGTCCAACAATCGTCAAGCCGTACAAGGTACCCTAAACCTCAGCTTTAATACCACAGTAAATACCTTACCGCAAGACGCCTCATTTTCCTGACAACTGTAGCTAGCCAAAATGGGGTAAATTGCACGACTGTACCCAATCGGTGAATCAGAACGCCCGTACCTCATTCAAAACACCCCCGATTCGGACGTATTCTGACTGTGTTAGCGGCCCGTTTGTACGAATAGCTACATTTTAGAACTATCAATTTTATTTCAGCTCAATCTCATAATCACAGGCGCTTGTCGATGAAATATAGGAGTTGATGATGGTGTTTCTGGCAGCCGCATGGATGCGCTTTCGAATTCGTGATTTTTGTTTGAGGCGTATTGAAATGCAAGTGAGAGCAGCAAAGAGTTCCTAAAAACACATTTATTTTTAGGTTTTTTGTTGTTTTTAATTACAATGTTGTCATACCAATAAAGCCATATGCACGCCAACGGCCACGATTTGCCAACCGTTTCTTTCTTCGATCAGCGCTAGCAAACTTATATGAAGGAGTCGGGAACCACACTAAAAACGTTGAAAACCCATCTCAAACTCACAAATACAATCATATGCGGGTACATAAATCCCAGCTTATAATACCAAATCCCTAGTATGGCCAACACAGCTGTTGGCAAAGCAATAATTTCCAGGAGCATGCCAAACTTCAAAAAAGACTATTGATTTTGGGGCTTTCTTACGGATGAGAGAACGATCAGCAACGTCGTCACGCCGATACAATCATAAGTTCCTTGAATAAGAGTCATATTCGTGCCTTCTCTTGCAAGGATTCCAGAAACAACAACATGCGTAGCATTGATTCTATCAACTCCGACAAGAGTAACATCCAGGTCATCGTCATCGATCCCAATAATTCCAGTAAGAGTAATGTTCAGGGAATCGACTCCATTAATCCCAATGATAGTGACATTCAAAGCATCAATTTTCGTAAAGTTAGTTATAGTGACGCCCGTGTCATTGGTTCCAGTAAAGTTGAAACCATTAGTCGCACAAAATTCAGGACGATATTCTCTATTCAAAAACCTGTCTAATTTATTTCAATGCACTCACTTTCCGATAAATCTGAAAATCGTTAGATATCTGGTAAAACACACAAAGGCCGTGATTAAGCCAAGGCAAACGCAGAAAAGAAAAATAGCCTAAAATAAATTCAAGGTTACTAAAATAAATGAACAACAAACCCTAATCGGCCGCACAAGTTGCTTAAAAATTTGGATTAGTTTATATTTACTATGTAGCCTCATTTTCAAATAATTTTGCGGAATGGAGACATTGCAATGTTAGCAGGATGTTGCAGGTGAATCAATGATGACAGCGATTCTATATTTCTCACGAATTGCTGTCCGCTCTTTTCTCGATTGTTGGTGGAGGGGGTGATCAATTTCTCAAATTGTGCGACCCGAAGCTAGTTGGAGGGGACATTTTAAAGGGTTTAACAAGACAATGCAGCCGCTGGGTCCGTGATAATTCCAATATTTTTGAAGATTTTCATGTTTTCCAAGGCCGGGTGATGAAATCGCACAAATAGGCAAGCAGATGCAGCTAGCCCAATTTCGTAATTTTACAGGTTATCACTGGACGGGACGCGGCCCCGCATCTGCCCGCCGGTACTGAAAACGGCCTCGGGCCCTTTTCCGGGTCGCGACACACTATTTAGAGCCATTCCCTTGCGCAACATTCGTCATTCTATCCTCATAACCCGCCAAGCCGCACAACCAAGATGGAAAATCAACCCTTCTACAATTATCTTCTTCGCAATATCCAGCAAACTGCAAACACTCAACTGGGATGGAATGCGTTAAACAAGGTAAGTTTTTGGCTTGCTGTTTTGACCTAGATAGTTAACTCTGCATAGTTCTTTCCGAATGAGCATGACAAGAATATGAAAAGCATTCGATTTTATTGTTGTTATGGTGTACGGCTTTCCCAGTGTATTCTGATTTTTCCTAGCGAAGAAAGCGAATCATAATGTTTTACATTAAGTTTTATTTTAGTTTGATGATCGTGATTACTGGACCCTGCCCTCGCAGAACCTACAGGTCAAACCATTCTTCAAAGAGATTTGCATTGAATTCCAACGATTTGGCAAGTGCACATATGGTGCATACTGCCAATTCACCCACGAGAATCCTCGGCCCGCCGCAACGCGGCAGCAACCGACGAATGAGCGTCTCCAGCCCTCGCCTGAGACATTCTATCTGAACGAACAGGAAAAGATGGAGAAAAGTTTGTAAGTGTTGAACGAAAGGCGTTTAATGGATTAATTTCAGAACCTGGAGTAACGCGATTTGGGAGAATGCCCAAAAAGCCTCTGTCACGAAGGCTGAAAGGGCGCGCCAACCTGAGCCACGACCAACGTACACATCTCCTCCAGGTTTTCGTACCAAGGAAATCCGGAAAAGTAACACACCTTCACCGGATACAGCGGTAAGGACATTTTTTAAAAAATTTTCTCGAGAAACCCGAAATTTTAATTGTCGTAAACCACGTTTAAGGCGGATTTGTACAATATGCAAATTTCACAGATTTACCTAATTTTAAAAGATTAGGGGATACCAAATTACCTACTGTACTTACCAAAACAAGTTTCAAACCGCTGGCGTTCCCGCGCCTTTTTAGACCCTTTTAGACCCCCTCATTTTTTCAAGTAATCCAATGCGTCATTTAGTCGATTGATTTATATCTCTCATTTGTAGCGCGCCGATCAAGAAGTTGAGACTGGGATGTCTAGACTTCCGTACAGCCCACTAGCTTCGCCGCCGGGGCTAACAACAAAGTAAGTGAAAGAAACGATTCTGTAAACTTTTTGCAGGATCCCCAGTTTTTCTCCAAGAGCACCCGCCCGTTCCAATACGAATAAGATGCAGGCCACCTCGAGCGCTCGCAAAGATTCCGGCATCGGCTCTGGGTGAGATTTAATTTTTATAAATTGCGTTCACAAAAGCTTTTGAAATTTATTTTGGTAATCTTTCTATTTTAGTCTCTCCGATAAACTTCGCAAAAATGTCGCGGAACCTGTCCCGAATCAATATAAAACTAGTTACCCCGGGCAATGGGAACAAATCATCCTGCAGTAAGTCCAGCTTAATCGGATTAATTCCTTTTATTACATTACGCGTACTTTTTTGGATTAGGGAATTATGGTATTTAATTCCTATCTGCATTTTTCAGCGCGGGAGTAGCGAATGCGCCATTTTCCGACGAGCCGGTATCTACAGAGGCCACTGTCTACACAAGACGACTCCGCCACGATGGCGATAACGGACTTTACGTTGAAATCGAAGGAAAACCGTATGATCCTGAGATCCATTCATATGATAAGTGGGAGTGCTAGTTTTAATCGCCGGTTTGATATTAAATTTTGGGCAATAAAACTTAATACAATCATCATACCTGAAAAACGCAACCACCCATAAATTCTAATCCTTTTCTATTTTCTAATTGCTACTATTTAAATGATCTGTGACTTCTTTATTCAAGCAAAAGCAAATTAGCTGGAGGTGTCGATCTTGGCAAGACACATGCTGTAGTAGTTGTTGCCAACCTGCGCAACATAGTCGCAGTAGTTGATGTCCTAAAATTATTTTCAAACCCCTCAAAAATTATTTGCCTGGAAGATCTCGCTGGCCTCGAACTGGAAGTCGGCGACGATCATGGCCCATCCCTGGAGGCCGAGGTTGTATTGGAGGGCCTGGAGGATTCCCTGGAAAACATGGAAGTTTTGATACTTCTGAAAAAATACCTTGGCATTGTACTGGGTGACCCTGGTGAGGGCGTTGGCAATGTTGGCGCGGAGGGAATCAGAGACGCAGGCGAAGGCGTTCGGGTCATCGTCAGCTAAACGGGCATCCCAAATACTTCACACTTCTTTATTTTCAGATTTATGTGACCTAGCCTCACTTCTTGCGTACGCTAATTGACACTTGATAAAATGTTCAAAAATTCTCAATAACTTGATTTTAATAGCGGAATTGCTGATTTTAGGAGAATCTACAGTTGTGCGTAGTCATCTCGAGAGCAATACCCATTTAATGACGTAATATATGGACGTTAGGGTTCCTTCCCTATTAAGATACCAGTGGAAAAAGTCCGCTTCGCGGCCCTTTTCCACTGGACCCCGTCTAGGACCCATGAATTCTCTTCCTTTGTTTGAAGCCTGCGGCGCAAGAGCCTGAGTCAAGGAACCATTCTTTGGCCGGCGGCGCAAGAGCCAGCGTTGCGCTCCAACCTTTGAGCCTGCGGCGCCAGCACTACGTCCCCCCCGGATTAGCTGATCTGGGGCAAGGAACCACCATGGCCGCCCCGCCAGAGCCAACGAGCCAGAACTTTCTGCGGCGCTATTTACTGGTTTCCTCCAGAATTTGACCTGGGCGGAGAGCCGAGCCAAGGACCTTTCCTTTCCTGCGGCGCTAGAGCGAGGGCCAGACCTAAATCTCCCATACGGAGAGCCAAGCAATATGTTTGTTTGAAGAATTACCAAAAAGCAAAAAGTAGTCATCGTGCCGGATCCGAACCTTTGAACCCTAGCACCGTGGAGCTGGAGCGCTTCCCTTACACCACAGGGAGTTGGGAGTGCGATGCGGGACGGGCCTCTTCATCCCCTGGAGACCCGGTTGGCGCCGTCTAGCCAATTTACAAAAGTCGATTTTTGAGGTGGAAGATGATCGAATTTGTAAAATCTTATAAGCTGCGCCTAAGAAGCACCATCGATTACATAAGTGGTCCAAATATTAGCCCGACATTCCATCTGGGCTTCGAGTTATGCCCCGGACACCACGGCTATACCCCCAATTTGTTAAGGACTTTTTAGAAAAATGCCCATAAATACTTCACTTTACAAAATCTGCCAAAACCCAGAATTATATCACAGGAGAATGTAATTTTCAATCTGCCCTCCAAAAATTAGCGCCTATTTCCATTTGGCTCCGGAGATATCCTCTGAACAAACCTTTTTTCGGCCAAGCTGTTAAGGATTTTTCACTATTTTGCTTTTAAAACCGTTAAATGGAATTTCGCAAAACAAAAAAATTGGTCACTGACAAATGTGTTTCTCCACCTCCATGCCAAAAATCAGCCGCAAATTCCGCTTGACGGCCGAGAAATCGGCTGTACAGAAAACAAACATACTTTTCTCGCTTATAGGATAGGATACGCAGTACAAACTCATGGAACTTGCATTGAAAGACACAAACAAACACTATTTTTTATTTAGTGATTAAGCATTAATTTTTAGTTAGTCCAATTTTTAGTCTATTTGAATTTTTTTTGAATGTTGTAATCATAACCTTTTAATTTTTAATAAACTAACTCTGGAGCCTGTTCTTGAACATTTCCTTGCTTCGCCTCATCGTGACGCTCGGGGTGCTGGAGTTGCCGAGCAGGACACGCATGTCGGAAACCATAGCGGACGTAGCGAGACATCCATCAAAGCAGAACCATCCAAAACGTTACAACTTAAGAACGTATCGCTGAAACAAACTGTGGGTTCTGGGCAATTCCTCCGGCCGCGAAGTCGGTCATACCAACGGCTTGCTGGGAGACCCAACGTCCACCATTGAGAATGTTACACCCCACTATAAATAGAAATATACAGGTTATATTTAGTAAACCGGAAATTTAAACCAAAAATTTTAGGAAACACGAAACTTACAGCCGGCTTGCGATACGCCAACAAACAAAGCCACCACCAACAGAGTCCTCATCCTGAAAAATTCAAAGTTTTAGTCTTTCTAAAAAAAAACTCCAAAACACGCTCGGGCCTTCTGAGCCGTGCCGGCAAGACTCAACATTGCTTATCACCCCGTACAAAAATCATACGTAGCTTAGAAACGTCAGGAAGCGCGGAAAAAGCATGATAAAGTGGAGAATCAGCGGGTTCTACAACGGGCTTCCGCTGATAATTCATGGGAGCCTGGCAGGTGCGTAGTGCTGGAGCTCCGCTGATTAGCACTCGCTGGTCGGTCGCGTTGTTTTCTAAAACCTGTGTAGTTCTCCCCGGAAGGCCTTCCAACCTAAAAACCATTTTCAGGGATGTTGAGGTTCGCTGTTGCCAGTGTGCTGCTCGCCTTGGCGGTGGCTGATACTTGTAAGTTAGCAAAAAAATAGCTAAGTCCCTTTAGTCTGCAACTATGCCATCACTGGCGACGAGATTCTGGTCGAGGCCGTCCCGATTGGAACCTATGAGACTTCCGGAAACGACCGGGCTCGGTACGTTTTTTTCTGATTATTGCAAGGGGTTTTCAGATCCTCGTGGTGCATCGCTGGCTGCAACAGCAAGGTCTCCGTCAAGGGCACCCTTCTCCTTCTACCAGCCAATGGAACCACCCGTAAGTCAGAATTTAACTTCAACAACAACCATATATCAGCCACCTACAAGATGCACCGCCACGCCAGCATGAAAGACCGCACCCTCTACCGCGAGATCTACGACCAGAAGTCCGGCGCCTTCATCAAGTCCTCGGTCGGCGACAGCGACAACAGTATGTTAATCTTTTAAGGCAGTATCCGCTTTCAGCTTTCTGCATTGACCCGGTCGTGGCCGCCCAGGTTGACGCCGTCTTCGACAAGTACAACAACGTCGACAACATCGTTAAGGGACTGAACACCACCATCAACAAGCCGGGATGGGCGTATCTTGTTATTGAGGTATCAATACAAAAAATTTATGTAAATGAGTTTGTAGCACGTTGACGATTCTGTCGGAGAGGGAGCTAACCTGAAGTATGACACCAACTTCTGCTACAAGAACGTTTTCAAGGTTGGTTTTTTGAAGGGTTACGCACTATTAAATAATGTAGCATGATTAATATTCATTGTACAAACATGTACAATACATATTTTAGCAAATCGGCAACCAATACTACTTCTTCGATGTCGTCGCCATGGCCGTCGATGACCGAAACATCTAACCATAAAGTCGTTCTCGTTGCAAATAAACGTCAGCTGAACGCTTATTTGAACCAGGAAGCCCACACCCACAAAACAGGACGATCGCTAGTACAGCCTTCAATGGAAGACCGCCAGAGGGGCCAAAAATAGAAACATGACCGTGGAAAGGGCGGCTCCGGCTCACAATGGTGCTCCAGGCGCGCCGCCCGTGCAAACATCACACTTTGCCGGAATTTCGCCCGAACTCCAGAACCGTTTGGTCAACCCGATTATAACGCATGTTTTCGGTGTGGGTGCGCGCATTGATGGGTTGCGGTTTGGGTCAATTGGGCCTTTTGAAATCAGTCTCATTAAGATTCAGTAATCAAGTCATCATTACGAATCAGTAGTTTTCGAAATTTCGGACGGCATCAAAACTTAAGCTCTATCATATGGCTAATCACATATCAAAATCCATTTTCCAAAATGCCAAGACGGCAAACTCCATTCCTTTTTTTGAAGACAACTAGTTTCTGGAGAATGTACATTTCGAGATCCTTACACTCTTATTTTTCGATCTTCCTAAATTCTCATAGCCAAAAGTCTTCAAACTGGACAGCTTTTCCCCCGCCTTTCCCTCCACCGTCCTTTCCTACCAGCACAGATATTGATCTCATGCTACAAGTTCCAGATCCCCCGCTTCAGCTTTTAGCTACAGTGAATTGGAATCCGCATGGTCTGCAGGGCAGCCGTGTGAAAACAGAATTCTTTTTGTCGGAAACGCTGCATACCGGGGCTGGGGGTGGTGAGGGCGTTTTTCATAGATGGTTGGCCCGGGGGGGGATGATCCCCCGGTGATCGGCTCGGGTGGGAAGCCTCCCTCAACTGGTCCACCTGTGCTTCGGATACAGCCTCATCCTCCCCCCACCCTCCCTTCAGAGGGGAGCGGCAGTACAGGCTTTTCTCTATACACAAAACCCCCCGACGGCGATGCCAAGGTGGTCTGACTGTTCTTCTTTGACTTGTCTCTTCCCATCCGCCCATCATCGTGGTTGTAGACACCTTACGCTCGCCTCAAAGCGGGGGGGGGGGGGGCTGGTTTGTACTCTGCCCGTACCTTTACAACATACGGCTTTTCCTTTTGGCGAGCGATGTGGCGGTTGTGACATGAAATTTAGTTTATCAACATTTTAACGGGGCTGGAATGATCGTTTTTAGTCCAGCTTTAGATAAAAAAGCTAAGCAAGCAATGAATAAGTCATGATCTATCCAAGCACCATCCTCTTCAAATTAAGAAAACATCAGAATATATTTGTCTTTTTCCAGGACATCTGTGTAACGTATATAATGTTATTTTTCTATATAAATACATACATTTTATATCATCTCTCTGATTTTAATTTTCAAAAATTTGGTCTGCGACGCACGGTTTTCATTTTTTAAAGCTGCCCCCCCCCTCCGTAGAAATGGGGTCCGTTTCGGCCCTGCATTTACACCTCGCGGAACCCCGTGGCACTATCGCATTCTAGAGAACGGCTAAGCTAAGTTGCTGTGAGTAGAATTTTTAAATAAATTGAAAAATCGACTTTGTCCTGAAGCGTTTCCATTTGAAAAAATCCCAATCACGTCCAGAAAAGTAGAGAGGCCCTTTTTGATTTTTGCTCTACACGAAAAAGGCTTTTCCGGAAGCAGAAGTGACCACCGCTCATTTAACCAATTAAAATATTTAGCGAGAGTTTAGAACGCGCTTTTGCTGCTTTCCAATGAATAAACCTAGCCGATGATCGTTTCTCTATCCGACCACGTGAAAAAGAAACACCAGAATCCTGAATACCTGTCATTTCACGACGATGCCGACACGATGGTGCCAAAGGGAAACTGTTCGCTGGTGGTCAATCCGGTAGCCTTTCCCCAATGGCCTACAGCCACCCCCTGAGGGCTAGTTTGCCCACAGCTCATGCTCCCCAAGTCACCCAGTTTTTTGTGGCTGCGGCGAAAATTGCGCGTGCCGACGCTTAACATAGTGCAAGTCCAGTCAGTTTTAGGGTTGTCCACAGTTTTGGGCGGCGATTTGCTTAAAAATGAGCTATAGATATTTTTGGGTTGAGCTCCAGGTATTTGTATAAATTTTATTATTGCGTGAAACGTTCTATTTTACTCATATTTATAATATTCTATTTATGCTCGCCAGCCCCGACCGAACAGGCGTTTGACGATTTCCATCAAAAATCACCCAATGTCAACCGACCTCAAAACACTCCTCATGCTCACCTGTTTCAAGCTAGACCTTGCCCCTACATGGTGTCTATTCCCAATGGCACAAACAGTCATACATCTACCTCATTTTCTTCGCTAAACGCAAAGGTCGCAAGTGCAAAAACGAGTCTGCCGCTCGGCACGCTTTTTCCTCGAGACTCGCGCCTCATATTAACAGTTTATCGTCCGCCGCTCGGCAGTTTTTTGAGACTCGAGAGTGGCTACCCATTGCGGGGTAGGGCTGTTACGACAATCGTACTCGACTTGACGGAACACAACGACACTCGACGGCGATATGCCATCGGGGCCGACCTCAATCTTCGGTTTCATTGAGCCGTCAGCAGGATCCAGTTCTCGATCCAAGGATCTCCCTTTTTCTGTACGATAATAGCCACCAAGAACATGCCAATTGCTGCCCCCGGTGAACCGTAGATCCTCCTTGAAATTAGTACTAATCCCACTTGGTAGCCAGTGCGGTGGTGTTTTGCCACGCATGGTTGTGTTTATTCAATTAGATAGGTCGATCACTTTTTGTGACTTTTGGCACTTCGCAGTATATCTTCTGAAGAGTTAATGCCTCAGCTACTTTGAATATTCTAGTCTACCCTTACTCAAAGCTTTCCCTAGCCACGAAACAGGTTCGATTCCCAAAATCCGTGCCAATAGACCTTTGCCAATCTCTCCAAACCAGTAACAATCTCTCCGCTAAATTTGCCATTTAATCCTGACAGCTTCGCTTCCAAATCCTTCCCAAACTTCCTCCTATGCTGCACGTCTAGACTTCAAAAGTCTCACCTCCTGCCTCGATTTCAAATCTGCCATAACCGCCACCCACGTCCTTGTCACTTGAAACATTTCAAGTCCGATATTCCAAAACAGAACTCCCCTCCCTACTTTCCCACAACGAAATCAGTGGCTACCAAAAGTTTGTTTCAACCATTGCATAGCCCTCTCGACTCCTTATCGAACTGTATTTGTTTAGCGTGAGTCTCGGCATCTTTTTCTTATCCCCCTTTTTCCATTGATCCTCCTCCACACCACTGCCTCAGCAACGGCACTTTCACCTTCATCTTCCCCCTTCCACTTCGTGTCATGCCACAGGGCAATCGCTAGCTTGAATCTCGGTCCCATCGTCCCCCAATCGTCCTGCCTTCGAAATCGAAACCGTCACCCATGTTCCCTTTTTCGTCTGCCAATTCAGCCTGCCCCTCGGCTACCAATGGCTTGCTAGGCGGGTCAAGTTTTTCCAGGCAGCGCTTCGATTTTTCGGGGTTGCTGCCAAGAAAATAGTTTGTCTCTCTCTGCTTCAATAATTTTTCGACGTCTTTCTTTGTTATATTTTTTCCGGGTAGTTGAACTCGTGGTTTGCTCGAAATTTTGGCGATGACTCATCTCTTTGTAGTGGGGCTTTATAACTTCGGCTTCAAGGGAGTGCTCATCCACAGCGTCATCGTCAGGTTTGTATAAATTGATAATTAAAGGCTTCATATATCTTTCCTCGAGTCAATTTTTATAGAGTGCTTTTCTACGGTAATTTTTCAAACAAAGTCATTACAGTACTTGAGAATATATAACCTTTAGCAAGGAGGAGTTTTAGAAAAAACCTATTTGGAGAAAATATGTCTTTTCTCTTAGAATAGCCGCTTATTAAAGAATGCTAAAATAAAAACATCATCTTAAAAATCTTTCGACAATTATATAATTTAATTCAACTAATTTTTTGGAGGCAAAAATCGATAAATACTACGTTCAACTCTAAATTTATAGGTGACGACCCCGAGCCTCCCCCCAGATGAGATGAAGCTGTGGGCCCTTCTTTTCATATCATTCACCCAGGTCAGTTGCCCCTCTCATCCCCACCACTCACCCCTCACTAAAGCCAAACCATACCATGGCAATTCTGAGTTCTCTTTCTACGGACAATAAAGACCCTCTCCGGATGAGACCGGCTGGCATCCCCCCCACCTCAACGATTGGGTGGAAACCTGTCGAGTAGCTGAAAAGCCGGGTCAGCCGTACCTCCTGCTCCTCTCATCTCCTTTTCCCTACAGACCCCCCACAGCGATTTTTGGCACGCGCCCTTGAATTGGTGGGGAAGCGTGTGACCGAAGGGTTGATGTCGGTCTGACTCACAATAGCCCCAAGCATTATCGGAAAAGGATGACGGGGCAAGGTCATCAAGTAGGAAAGTGTTAGGCTATAGTGACTTGAAGCTCTTGGGGGGGGGGGGGCCTTGTCCCAGATTTTTTATTGTTTGTGCCATTTTCTGATATTCTATTAATACTTTTCGATAAAGAGTCAAAATATGCGTAAAGTTAGATCGTCGCCCACAAAAAACTGCAATTTAATTGAATGGTAGATGAAAAAGTCGTAAAGTGAACAAGCAAAAATACTGGATAATTTCAGGCATTTCATCATCGATTAACGAAAAGAGAGCTCCACCATGTGTTCGGCGTCAATGAATACCATGAAGTAACTTCCATTATAAATAGTCTTATTTAGAATTTAAGGTACCTGAATACCACCTGATCAAAACAACAAAGGACCGCTCCGACGATAAGCTCCTCCTCCAATTTCAAGCCTGGAACGAGACCTACGAGGCCGAACTTTATCCGAATAGGAAATTGATTTCACCTCATGTAGTAGGCGATCATACCAATTCTCAAACGCTCCTTTGAGGTATCAATTACACGCCATGGTGAGAATTCTACGAAGGAAAACGGGTTAAACCTTGATTATTCGTGCCATTATATGGGGAAGGTATCTTCAAGCTTCTTTCGGGGTTTCATTAAATTTAGGTTGTATCCCATGGCAATGCTCCAGTTGCCATGTCAGATTGCCGAACCATGATGGGGACATTAGTCCTTGATAAACATTTTCTGGTACTTCAGACAATTCCACAGCGGATGCACGCCGAGCAGGTTGTTTTTGAGTTTCAGCTTCACCATCCCTTGTTCTGGTTTGCGTTTTGTTTGCGCCCGAGGGGGTGAAGGTCGCCGAATGGAAATCTCGTTTTCAGGAGGAAAAACATCTCGTTTTTAAAAGGGAAGCTTCTTTGTTGACATCGCTGGAGAGGACTATTGAAGAGGAATTGGTGAAAGTGAATGAAGTAGCCGCAGATTTTTGTGATACTAGTGAGTCGAACGACGAAGAGCTGACAGGTTCGCTTTTGCACACATGCGCTGCTTTCAAGAAGAGGAGGATAAGGAAAGACATTTTGTTAAAAAAAAGAAATATTAGTCATACCTTATTCTCCACTTCGATCACCCCACCAAACGTAAATGTTGTCATATTGTCTGTCTGTATATCATAGAAAATAATGGTATGTACTATATGTAAGGTAAGAGAGTGGCTTTCTATCGCTTTGCTTTTGTGGGCCCCCTATGTTCGCATCAAATCCATCTATTGCATGCTTCCGATTCCCAGAGCCCCTTTTTAGCTGATCTATTCTCGCTAAACTACACTGTTCCTCCCGCCGGCCAGCTTGATTCCCCTTTTATCTTCCCGCAACTCGATCCGATCACTTTGGAAATTGGTCTATTTCTGGATTCGAAGCTCTATGAACATTTTAAGAGGTACCTTAATGCTCATCGTATTATTTTTTCTGTTTTTAGGGAATACATTCAAGATGCCGAACAGCATTTGCTCGATTTTTCGTTGGCGCTGATCAACAACGTTTATGTGCTTTATCAGCAGCCAACGTTGAGTCCGAACCTGGATATTGTTATTGTACGATATGAATTATGGAAAACACAGCCGGTAGGATTAGTCTGGCTTTCCTGAAAACATCCGTTATTTTAGAGGAATTTGCATACCTCGCTTCATAAAAACGGACAAGCTCAATCACTGTTGGATGCTTTTTGTCGACACCAGGTTACTCTAATTTTCAATCAAATTACGAGAATATAGTCTGCCGTCAATCCTGGATCGGATTTAACGGACAATGGGCATTGGGATCACGGAGTGCTACTTACTGGCTATGATATCTATCATACCACAGCTTCAGGTAGGCGTAGTGCTTACTTCAAACAAATGCCTTTTCCAGTGGCCGGTGTCGCACCGGTAGCTAGAATGTGCGATCCGCTATTTGCTTGTAGCTTGGTAGAAGGACTGCATCTTGGAAGAAGCTTCGTATTGGCGCATGAAATGGGCCATAAGTAAGCAACATATCTGGACAATAGCAACCAATTTGCTTTAGTATGGGAATGGTGCACGATGGTGTCCAGAACCAATGTTCGAGGTCGTGCTGCTTGATGTCGGCGGTCAATGGAGCCGGCAAAACGCAATGGAGTGAATGTTCTGTCCGCGAATTTAATGCCTTCCTGCTGCAGCTCGAGTAAGCTTTTCGTGACAAATATGATGTAAATTCCAGTGAATCTGGCCGAGGAAATTGTCTACGCGACTCAAACAATGGTATTCAAAGCCATAATCACCTTGCTGGTAAGCCTGAAAACTCCAAAAACGACGAAAAAATTTAGACGGTCGGTTGCCTGGCCAGCGTTTCACTGCGGACCAGCAATGCGGATATTTCTGGGGTCGTGACTACATCGTGGAAATTCCGAACGGAAGATCAATGGATGATATTTGTCGAATATTATGGTGCGGAAATAGTGGATCGACAATTTCTACAGCCCATCCAGCCTTAGAGGGTAGTTGGTGCGGCGCTAACAAAGTGAGAAGCTAGCAAATAATTAATAGAATGCAATGTGCAAAGTTGTATTCATAAATTCTAGTGGTGCATCGAGGGTAGATGTCGAGCTTGGCCATATGGAGCCCCACCAGCACCTGTCCATGGTGGTTGGAGTGAATGGTCTGCCGGCGACATTGGGCAAGAATATCTAATTTTTGCAAACAAAAATAATTCAGTTGCCCAGTGCAGCAATGCCATATTTCTGGAAGTATCGCGATTAAGGGCCAGCATCGTGATTGTGTTAACCCAGCGTAAGGTTGTTTTAGACAGGACGAATTCCGTTATAGACCAAATAATGGAGGACGCACTTGCATTGGATCACCGATCCGAGGTCTAATTTGCGGGAAATCACATTCAGACTGTCGTGGACTAGATCGACAAGACTTTGGAGATAGGGTAGCCGACGTTTTTGAGAAATAACAATAAGATCATATTCTCTAGGTATGCTCGTCGATTAAAAATGATCCGACCAAGCCAGACCGACAACTCACCGGAGATAGCTTTTTACGTACGTTTCACTACCATAAATCGTATTCTCAAAAATAGACGATTCGCAACCCTGCAAAGTTTGGTGCCATCTCCTTGACTCCGAGTTGATCCGGAATAAGGGAACTTTCCCGGATGGATCACCATGCGGGCCGGATATGTATTGTATCAGTGGTGCCTGTTTGGTAAGTTATATTCTATCAATTTTAGCATTGAATTTAGGCACTTGGCTGTGGCAATAAAGCTGTAGTGGAAAATCAGCAGGATTGTCCTGATGGGGAGAAGAATTCTCACTGGGGAAAATGGTCATCCTGGAGCGAGTGCAGGTTTAGAAAATTTCGAAAATTCATAACAAAACCTATATTTAGCAAATCGTGTGGCCAAAACGGACGTCAAACTCGCTTAAGAGTATGTAAAGGATCTCGTTGTGCCGGTCCTCCAGAAGAATCCAGAGAATGTGACCCAGTCCCGCCATCATGCGAGGAGGTATCCTACTGTAGTCTTGCATACTATATCCTAAAAAGTGTGATTTTCTCATCAAAACAAACAATTTGCTAACCGTGTGCACACACCGTATTTAGGCCTGGCATTGGCTGCCTTTTGCTGCGGCGGCAAAAACCCACGAGCAACATAGTGTAATACCAATTAACTCATTTATTACTGTCCCCCTCTTCCTGCTTTTTTAAACTTTTTGAGACGGGTTCTGGGGCTTTGATTGCCAGTTTCAAGTAACCGTTTTCTGGATTGAGACTAACCGTTTGCTGTTTTTAGGTAGGATCGTGGAGTCCGTGGTCTCCGTGTAACAAAAAGTGTGGTGACGGGGAACAGGTTAGAAAAATATTAGCAGCAAGATTGAGAACGATGTTAGGTGCGATCTCGGGATTGTTTGGCAACGGAATGTACAAAGCCGTTACAAGAAACCAGGAAGTGTTCAAACGTAATTTTTATCTCGAAATTTTTGATAAGATTGTTAGGGAGCATGTTATAGCGACTGGTCTGAATGGTCGATATGCTCGGTTTCGTGTGGTAGCGGTGAAAGGTATTTCCCGAATTTTAATTTTCCTTTATAAATGACTTGCTTCAGGCGAAGAAAGCGAGTGTGTGCACTTCCGGAAAGTGAATTTTGCACAGAATCTCTGGTGGAACTTGAGAAATGTAACGAAGAAGTAATTTTTATATTTATGACCCAGCAAGTTTGATGTTTTTTAGAAATGCGTGGAAGAATCGTGGGGTGACTGGCTACCCTGCAGTGTATCCTGCGGAGTTGGTTTCCAAATTCGTGAACGACTCTGTAACGGTGTTCTGTGCTCCGGTGGAAATAAACAAGCCCGGACTTGTAATGAACAGGTACCGAAACTTAATAAGTTTTTTTCACGATTATCCTAGCTTTGTCCCGCCTCTGACAACCTCCCCTTCTCATTATCTGAATGGTCAAGCTGGTCGACCTGTAGTGAAACTTGTGGAATCGGGGTTCAGCTGCGGATGCGAAATTGCGAGCAAGGTAATTTCTGACATTTAAAGAGATGAGGACGGCATCTGTTGAACCCCCCTTGGGGAGGGGGGGTTCAACAGGTCCCGCGGCGATCTCGCGCGAGAGAGGGCTCCCAGGGGAGAGGCGCAGAGACATTTTCTTTCCCTCGCGTAATCGATTGACTTATGCCGCCCCTATCTCTTTAAGGTATATTCCTGCTGCTTAGGTTCATGCCCAGTGAGTGCTCGCTTGTCGGAGCGGAAACGATGTGTGATGGGTCCGTGCCCGCTCTGGTCTGAATGGGGCCCATGGTCGATTTGTCCATCTTGCGACAGGTACCCCTTCCATATTCTTCTTATTTGTTTTAGTCGCCTGGAACAAACTAGAACTCGTACTTGCTCAAATCCTATAGGGACGGAGGTGCAATGCAAAGGTGGAATTTATCTTAATTTCGAAATATTTTTTAGGTGAATCCCTGGAAGCTCGTGGATGCGATAGATCATGCAAAGTTGGGGCAGAGATTATCACACTAGAAGGAAAACACAAAATCGAGAAATCAGGAGGCGAAGTAAGGCTTTTATTTGAGCCAAACCGGGTCCCTTTAGGATTGGGGCGAGTGGCAAGCGTGGTCTGAGTGCTCGGCCTCGTGTGGTGGCGGTGCAAAGAGAAGGTCGGTTCCCGAGTGCCCTCTCCCCGTTGGTGAGATGGCCGAGTGGTCTAAGGCGCTGGTTTAAGGCACCAGTCTCTCCGGAGGCGTGGGTTCGAATCCCACTCTCATCAGACCTTTTGCTTTTTTTGGGTAGAGCTTTATATATAAACTGTTTTTGGTGGAAGTGGAGTTTCTTTTAGGCTTCAATCTACAATTTATTTAGAAAAATCAGGCAAAAAGTTCGATGGTGGGAATACGGCCTATATACTTTAAATTACACGAAAAAAATCCTTTGAAAAACGATTTGCAAGAATTCGGTTGATAGCGGTTGATAGCGGCCAAAATCGTCCACTTCGAAATTTTTTCAGGACTAGGTTATGCTTCTCCTCAAACTGCAAAGCTCCAATCGAATACCAACGAGAAAATTGTAATGAACAAGCTTGCGATGCCATACAAGGTATTTACTAAACAAAAAAACAAGCCACCATCATCTTACTTTTAGATCTCTTATGGTCCCATTGGTCTGAATGGTCTGAATGTACGCCAGAATGCGGGGTAAGAATTCCAAACCACAATCCTGAATTTCAAAAAAATTCCAGCATGGAAAGCGGACACGTTCACGACATTGTCGTTCGATATTTTCTTTTGGCTGTTCTGGAGCTTCGGAGCAAGCAGAGCCATGTTATTCCACTTGCAAACGCACGGCCCGACAGATAGAGGGTAGGCCAAGTGGGGCAGGAGGGAAGGGGCGGGGCAATTTGTATGTCGGGCTCTCTCTCGCCCTACCCCAGCGCCTCATTGGCTCAGTGGCAGAGCGTCTGTCTAGTAAACAGAAGGTCGCTGGTTCGATTCCAGCATGAGGCACCAACTTTTTGCTTTTTTACCAATTGGTGAGGCATCTGTCCAGATAGATAGCTTTGTCGTTTTAGCGGGTGTAAACTAGTATTTTTCTGAGTTTTGATGTACTATTCCTGGGAAAGGAACTGTAGACCTACCGCAGCGTTAAGAGGAATAATTCTTTGACACACGTTCAAATGGTCTTACACTTCTTAATTCAGAAATCTTGAATACTGTACCATATCCATAACATATTTTAGCACCGGAATGGTCAGACTGGTCCGCCTGGTCGTCGTGTTCCTGCTTCACTTTAACCGAAACACGACGTCGCTACTGCCGCATCGCAGATCCGTCAATGCAGGGCTTCTGCTCGGGCCCTATCTTGGAGCAGAGGAAGTGTAGCCCATCGGTAAATTAATTAATAGAATTTCTAAAATGTTGTTTCAGACGTGTACGGCAATCAATGGCGGCTGGTCGGATTGGTCGTCTTGGTCGGAATGTTCAAGGGATTGTGATGGGACGGGGCATCAAATTAGGAATCGAATGTGCAGCAAGCCGTTGCCAGTCAATCGGTTTGTAAAAAAAACCAAATACAAAATGGAGATTTAGTGGGTCCTATTGTACCGGTTATTCCTTCGACCAGAAGAGCTGTACGGCAGAACGTAAATGTGGAGAGAAGGTAAGAAATGACGAGAGCTTTTAAAAAAAACTATTTTTCAGGTGGATGGTGGTTGGTCCGAATGGACAGTTTGGTCTGAATGCTCTGACAACTGCAACAATGGACACAAAAGTCGAACTCGGTATGATTTATGCAGGAAAACATAATTTATGTTTTTAGATATTGCTCGAATCCCCGACCCACCAACGGCGGCTCCCAATGTTTCGGCTCCGATTTCGAGCTCGAACCATGTGGCGACCGCTCAAAATGTCCACAAAACTGTAAGTCCTATGGCATCACTCAAGCACGTCGCACCCCATCTTCAGTTCGCATGCATTCTTTGGTTCGCTTTTTAGCCGAAGATCCTTGGTGGTCGCCGTGGTCGGATTGGTCTACATGTCCGGCTCGCGGTTGCGGGTTTAGCGTCCAGGAGCGGGCGCGTATATGTCGTGGTGGATCTGCAGACCCTTCAAATACCTGCAAAGGACTTGCACATATGACATCTCCCTGTCCTACGCAGCCCTGTCCACGTGAGCACTTCTGCTTTCTTTTATTATGTTTTTTCATGCCAGGAATTTTCGCATGATCAAAACTTTTCACTTTAGTCCTTGGTTTTTAGATACTACTATATTTGGTTTACTGGATTTTAAAAGCGAGAGGAAAAGAAGAGAGACACGGAGAGAAAGTGAGAGGGAGACGGATAGAGGCGGAGAGCGACAAAGGAGAGAGAGAGAGAGAGAGAGAGAGAGAGAGAGAGAGAGAGAATTATATTTAGAATTCCTTCTTCCGTCTAAACCTTTCACAATTTTTTAGAGAGCGTTGATGGAGGCTGGAGCGAATGGTCTGATTGGTCCAGATGTACATCAAATTGTGGAATTGGTCTTAAAACTAGGTATCACGAGTTTATAATGAAAAATACACCTTTCCCCTAGGTCCCGAGAATGCATCCCACCCGTAAATGGTGGTGCCCCCTGCTTTGGCCGCTCTTCCGAAGTGGCCAAATGCACAAACGAGCTAGATGTATGCACAGCTACTGTAGCCCATCTCAATATGCTTGACAAATTCTACAAAGTTGTTGTCATCTGAATCTAATATCTGCATATTCCTCAGCCACTGTTCCGAGTCTTTCCCTCATAGCCATTCCGCCCCCGCCAAAAATCCCGGTTGCCCTACCATTTCTGCCACGTATCTCACCATTTTCTGATTTCCCAGGGACTCGCAATTCACTAGCTTTACTTCATTCTAAATATTGCCTCCGGAACTTGTGTCTTTTTCTGGTATTTATTAAACTCTTTCTTCGGTTGCCGGCTTGGGTGTTGCGAGTTCTTCGCCAAAGCGGTCATATTTGAATACGAGTGTTAGCTTGTGACTAGTATATGTGTCGTAATTTATGAGTTATATTTATTACTGGGTTGTATGTAAATAAAAGATGGATTGCTTTAATTTTTAATGGTTTTGTAATGCTATTGAAGGGAGGGGGTGGGAGTGAGGGGGGAAAGGAAAGGGGTATTACGTGGTGCGAGTGCCACGGGAGTCCCCCTATTTTATGAAAGGCCGCCGATTTTCTCCCCTTCTGGCCCATAAGCGCTTCCGGTGGCACACCTGGGGGCACACGATCGATGTCGTTGGAAGAAGCATATGGATGATACAACGACGTCTTCTGTTTTCGGGGCTTTTGGGGGATTATAAATTATTCACGGCTGCGGTAACACCGCCTATCTTAAAATTACTTCAGTTGTGACCTTACTTGCTTTTGATGGATAATAGCAGTTAATTTATTATTATACGAAGAATGTTAATTTAATTACAATCTTTATCTAATTTGCATATCTGGACATCATTAATGCGCTGATCTACCGCTTTATTAGGGGCCCTTTTTGTTTACAAGGAAACATTTTTGGTGAGAATCCAATTTCCCACACGGTACGAAGGCTAGCTTATGCATAAATTTGCGATTTTTTCTGTTTTTCGGATTTAGTCTCAAAATCAGCAATGTAGTAAGACGAAAAAGAGTAAGGAGGCTAACTATATTTAATTTAACCTGCGCATGAAAAATGGAGGTGGAAAGCTGGATCAGGGTCAAACAATTTTGTTCTTATTATGATTGCATAATTCCCATTTCATGTAATTCTTACCGGTTGAATGAAGCAGTCAAATTAGATTATGACCTAAACCCTATAAACCCCCGCTTAAGATACCCCCCTAAAAAAAACAACTTAAATATCAACCTAAATACAAGAACCCCCCAAACAAAAAAAAAAACGCCGGGGGGAAGGGGAGAAGAAAGAAATAATTTTTCCAAAAGGGGGCCCCGGGGAAAATTGTTAAAAAATTTTTTTTTTTTTTTTTGTTTTGGGGTGTTTGGTTTTTTGGGGGGGGGGGAGGGGGGGGGGTGAAATTATTATAGTTGATAGACGCCAATTATCATTTGTATGCCCATTTATAAGTCGCTCGGCAATAACTCTACGGCTTATGCATCCTCACAATTTTTAACCCTCTAAGCACCTCCATCCAATAACTCCAATTCCAGAAATCCACCAAAAAAGCGCACCCGAAGTGTATACAGTTGATGCGGGAGTGAGCAGAAGGTGGCTATCCGGCAAAGCTGGACGGCTGCTTAGGGACGGCCACCGATGGGCCGCTACCACGATACACAGCCCGTCTCGGGTGGGCCTGAATCTTTCACCCCCCCTCACCGCTTCTCCAAGCTATAGCAGCAACACTGAAGGCTTTTCCCGGCCTCGTACGCACTACGCAGAACACCCTCATCCATACATATATACCCAAAACAACGCCCTGTTGCCATGTGGCTTCCGGGCTAGTGGTGACTGCCGATTTTTTACCTAGCTTTTGCTTGCAGCCTGGTAATGCAGGAGGCTTATTTTTATACAGTTACTTTTAGATACCTTTGAAATTCGTTAATTGCAGTTTTAGCCTACATATGTCAAGCTATATTTAGGCTATACCGGCCATATTCCTGGCGCCCGTTGGCAAGTTGGAGCTCGATCGTCTAGCATGAATTCGTAAGTTTAATGGAAGGATCACCTGTATACAGTTATACTATTACAATGTTTTACTAAGATAATAATGCCATGATAATTCTCTTTAGACTCAACCAACCCTTCAACCAATCCACTAGCCTCCAAGGACAATCGGCTCAAAATGTTGGTCACATTGCCAACTTTTTCTACCTTGCATTTTCAACCCCTTTAGAGCACGGATAAGATCCGTAAAGTTTGCTCAATTTGTGGCCAATACCATGGTAAAGATGTGGAAGATCCACTTGATGTAAATTTTGCTGAGCCATACTTTTGTTGTCCCAATTTGTTACAATCCCGTGGAACAGCACCGCAGGAAGAAGAGATACGTTTTAGGAGAGTGCAGCACATCGGCCGAATCAAACAGGGTTGCAGCCTGGGCAGAATGGGCCTATGCAGCCGTTGCCGCAACTTGATATGCCGAACGGGCAGCAAAATGTATGTTAGAATTTTTATATTTTTGTTTAAGGTTTGGGAACCAAAATCTGAGAATGAATGGTTGATTATGGAATTTTTTTGCCATTTTTTAATAGTTTTATAGTTTTTTAGTAGTTATAGTTCTTTTTTTATAGTTTAAGCCGCAGAATTTTCTTTTTATTACTTTTAAAGAATTATTTTTTATTTTCAGAGCGTCCCACAATATCAATATCCAAACTACGGATTTGGCCAGCCTTCCGTGTCTTTCATGAGTCAGGGTCCTATGTCGCCTATTTCACCACAGGTAATGTATTAATAAAAATATCTTCCATTGAAGAGCTATTTTTGACATAATTTTCAATTGTACAAAGAAAAATTACTGTCTGTTCGATTTACTGTTTGTGCTAATTTCTTGCCTCATCCTCCTCACTTTATCGGGCCTAGGAAATTTTTATTAGGTATTTTTAACTTGTTCCCTACCTATCTGTGTATCAGAATAAGATGTGGATCCTCGACTTCTAATTCTGCGAATTTACCGCAGTTTTTCAGATGTTCCAAAATATCCAAAACTACGCCGGCTCACTTGCTCAAACGGGCCAAGCCCTCGCCAACAGCGCACAAGCGTTAGCCCAAGAGGTGCAGATAGTGCAGAATATGGGGTGAGTGGGTCTCTTTATTCTTTCCCCTCATTGTCTTTTCACCCATCAAAGGTCCAAAGATCTTGGCTGGTTGGTCATGGGGGGTCTGTCGTTGTCGTTTTGTGCCGCCCCCGTTTTGGTTAGAAGCTTCTTCTTTTCTCTTCTAGGATGGTGTCAACGCCGTTCCCCGGCAACAGTCTTCAGGGATTCCAGCCGTCGCCGCTCTCCGGTTCGTTTCTTCTTAATTATCATCCTTTCGAGCTGTCCGCCTCTCACTACTATACTCTTTAGTTTGGAGCTGAGATTTGGATTCGTAGTCTTTTGTTGATTAGTTCACAGTTGTTGTTTAGCTATGGTTTGTTTCCAATTGTATTTAACGTCCAGCTCCACTTAGGTTTCTCGGGCCATCAAAAAATCTAAATTTTTTAGGCGACGGCATGATAGGCAGTGCAGTGCCTATGCCCTATAGTGATTCCCAAATCAGCCAATTTGGGTTCAATTCTCAGGGTATGCCGGTGAGGATCCCGACCGAAATGCAGCAGGTATCAGAACATAATGTAACAAAACATGTGATAATAGCAATACGCGCAACAACAGTCCCAACAGCGGGTCCAAAATGCCGATGGTAGCTACACCGTCTTTACCACAACTAGGCAACGCGGCCAACGAGCCGGGCAAGGGCAAGGACAAGGACAGAATGGGGTATCGTGTCGATATTTTTGCACTAATTTGTCTTATAGGAAGCAAATCGGAATCCGCGGGAACAAACCCGAACTAATGTGGGCGAGCAGCAAAGACGTGCGAAATCCGTGCCTAGAAGTATAAATTTTGAGCGCGCATTCCAAGGATCTTTAGAAATCGAAAAAGACCCATTCGAGGGGCTTGAAGGAGGATTGTATTCAAAAGGAGAAGTTGCTAGGAATCGGGTAAGTAGAGATATAAAAAATCAAAGACGAACTACAAGGAACGACGTGAATTGGCGGCGCGCGGATTGCCGGTTCAGGGCGGTGATTGGCGGACAACTGATCGGGGTCGAGGCGGTGGGGGTGGAGGAGGCGTTGGAGGAGGTGGAGGTGGTACTGATCGAGCCCGGCGGGGTGTACAAGCACTGGCGGCTCCGGGCGGGCAAGGCGGAGGCGAAAATGGCCAAGAATTGGGCCCGGATGGTGTGCCATTGGATGGAACGCTTGGAGCGAGCTTTAGAAATCGGGTAGGTGGTATTTTTAACGCTATATCGCTTGAAATTCTGTCTTAAAATATTTGTGTCCTCCTATCCTGCAATTAAATTCATTCCGTCTTAGAACTATCTCGAGGATGAAGAAGAAGATCAAGTCCCTGCGGCAGGTTACAGTGGTCATATACCAGGTTGTAACTTTTTAATAGACTTTTCTGAACCATCATTTAAGCCTACAAACGCATCAGTGTCGGCAAAAATTTCCACACCGCCGCCCTCGAGGCCAAAAAGGAATACATCAAGCAGAGATATGGCGAGAAAGGTTTGTTCAAACGATCAATCAATCACCACGATCCCTTGTAGATCTTGGTGACAGCGTGCAAGCTGTCCGGGGAGGCGTCCAATTTGACGAGAGCAGCCCTGATTGGCTTAATCCACAGCTACAAAACATGGCCATCTCTGGGCAGCAGAATTTGCAATCGAACGCTCAGAATCTTGGGCACAACGTGGGTGAAAAGATTTGAGGAATAACATCCGCTTACAAGCATGTAGTGTGTGTCGTGATATAGCTTCCTTTAAGATCTAAAATTCTGAACAAATCCATACCTTAAAAAATATACAACACCCAAAAAAAATAGGCAAACCTGCCCTTTTAGAGCGCATTTCTCGAAAAATCTTATTGTTTAAAAGCTTAAATTTGGTCAGAATTTTAAGCGCTATCAAATAAGCCACAAGGTCCCTCAATAACTAAAAGATACACCTTTTTAGGTCCATCAATACGCAAATGAATACGCGCAACAAGGACAAAACTACATCCAGCAAGGCCAAAACTACGTCCACCAGCTGGGCCAGGGCATGCAACCGAGTCGCTCGATGAACAACGTCCAGCAGTATGCTAATTACAACCCCCAGAACTATCAACATAACGTCCAAAATCTTCCATACTGATCTTTCCATTTTTTGCCTTCTCATCTGTCGCGTGCCATACCCATTTTCGTGCCAAATCGATTTTATTAGTTTTCGCTAGTTGGGGGCTTTATCTTCATCTGTATCATTCTTGGGTCTCTCTTTCACAATCTTTAAAGCTTTATCTCAAATGACCTGCATAGTGTTAATATGTTCACATTTTCGGTAGGAGCTTCTTGAGCGGATCGTTTTCTGTATCTTTGGCCACCGAGTCTTCTTTCAGAGGTGTGTCCGAGTTCCCGTAAAACATGCCGATTACCGGGCTGCCTGGAATAAATATAAAAATATGGCACTGGTTCGTTATTGAAAAATAAAATATCGATAAGCTATTTTAGGGTAGGGTAATTTCCGTAATCTTTGCCGTAGGTACCATAATTTAATAAAAGATATGGCAACAGATTTGAACTAATATAGATTCGGCTATGGCGTAAACCTATTTTAGCTTTTTTGAATTTTAGTATTTTATTTTCGACTCGAGAAAATACTGTAGAACTTTCAAACTTACTGTATGAACCGTAATGCATACCTCCAATACTTCCCACAAAATCTGGCGGCTTCAAATCCATCGGCGGTGGCGTCGTATCCGCCAACAAACTACAAGCCAACGCGAATACCACCAAAATTAGCATCATCGCGCCCGAATTGCCCGTCTTGTTGTGTCCACCACCCGGGCAACCAACTGGTCTTGTCGTTCAAATATAGTGCTGCGTATCTATCTATCGTCCAGTTGATAGAGAAACAGGGTGTGCCGATCAGATGTGTTGGGGGGTTGGGTCAGTCAGTCCCTCCAAACGGTCCCGGTCAAACGCCGGGCGGAGATTTTGGCGACATGTCGGCGCCTCGTACCGGGCATTTCCTGTCGACAGTCCACCCGAAACGAAACGCAAAATATCCCTCATCCTCGTCCTGGACCCGCCAGTCCCGCAATACACGCACAGAAATCGCCTATCAATTAGTGCCAAAACGGGGGGTGGAGGGCTGGCTCCCGTGTTTTTTCTCGGCCATCAGGTCTTTTTTTGGGAGGGTTCCGCGATTGCCCTACAAACGACTCGCTGGCGTCGGTGTGTGTGGGCTCAACAGTCTGATCTTTGTTAGAAAATAGGGTTACGGTATGAGGGTGGCTAATATTGAACACGGGGTCAGACCCAAAAAAATCTACAACCAAGAATATCTCTGGTCATGTCTTGCACACCCCTTTAATGAGAATCTATATCGAAAAAAACCGCCCAAACTCCTGATCTCAAAAATTGATTCAGATATTATTTTGATTGAGCAATAGAATAGCATCTGTACAAGATGGAATATATAAAAGTAATCTCGAAAAATCCTTTAAAATTGGAGAATGACATCCTATTGAGCGCGAGTCAGATAGTAGCTCCAGTAAATGATGTTAAAAAGGGTGAATAGAAATGGGAAAGTGATGATGCTCCACCGATCGATGTCTTCGCAAGTGATTTTCTTTTTGGTGAACGAAAATCTGGGTGTTTTGTGCTTTTTGGGGAAGCTGGGTGTTGAGTTGTCTTCGAGGAGGAGCATGCTTTCCGCGACGCTAAATAGTTTGCGTTATAAGCTAATATTAAATTATTACCCTTCAGATATATGGCGACCAGTCCCTGAGTCTGTCGAAACCACAATCCGTTTTCTCGTACGTGGATCTCCCAGGTCTAAAAAAAAGTTGAGATAAATATAGCTGTAGTTTTTCGTAAAAAACCACTTCAACCGTTTTCACGAACTGTCAAATGCGAGCTGTTCAGCCTGTGGAAAATGCACACCTCTACACAGGACACAAGGGCCTAGGATAGGATAATACCGGCGCCACACCACTAAACGTAAAAAAGCGCGCACCCCTGATCCCCACCTGTACTACCGTAATGTTTGATTGAAGGTCTCTGCACACCTTCATCTGGTGGCATATGATTTCGGCAGATGCGAGGTGACATTGGTGATAGGGTCAACGGCATATTGGCAGAACCGGAAAGGGATCTTGATCGGCCTCGCGACGTTGGAGATGTAGAAGACTCTTGTTTTTTCTGTAGTTTATAGTGGTTACACATTGTGAAGATCTTACCTCTTGTCGAGCGCTCATCGCTCCAATAAATGCCAATTCTATTAAAGAACAAAATACAAATGTAAGGCACACCAGCATCCAGACATCTGGAATTTTTATACCTTCAAAAATTGATACAACTTACCTAAAGCCTTTACATACGAAACCCTGGGCAAATTTCTCATAATATTTCCAAATTGAAACGTCAATGCTAGCAAAGAATTGACACCGAGCATCGTTCGGGCAGGAATCATCTTTGGGCCAAGGCAAAATGAAATCCAGCTAAAAATAGGGAGTATACCTTAATTGTATTACCTGATAAATATTGTAAGATATGTGGGGATGTAGGCTTGAAAAATGTACCATCCATAGCGACGGGAAAATGTGAAGTGCATTGTTAATTCATTCCAAACACCGGCTGGATAAATCTAAAAATTCGTTAACTTTCTGGGGAGCGTCAAAAAACTTTTAAGATAATTTATAATGTTGTTTTAATTAGCTTACTTCATGCTTTAGTGACGTTGAATAATTTGTTAATACAAAATCCGGCAGTACGATAGTTTCCTTCAATAATATCAATGGACCAGTGGGTGAATTATGCCATTTCATGTCGACCTAGGTAATAAAATATACCTTAATAAGTTGTTTACCTCTTGATTATTATAACTAAAAGAATTTAACGTCAAATAGCATCCCTGCTGGTCCATGGGAAATGAACTAAATAAATTATTATGTGAAAATTTGGTTTTAAAGATTACCTAAAATCCATAGCACAAGGGCCACGGACCTGCACCCTATAATTCACCCATACAGTCCCATTTGGATATATCATCAGAAAGACATTTTTGAAGGGAGAAGTATGAATTCGGGCCGTCTTACTGTTGATGAATACGGTATTTGGCTTCCAGATTTTATCGAGAATCTGAAAAAGATATTATTTTATCTGAATTTGTGGTATACCTCGGAATTTAAGGATAAATTGAATTTGCATGGATTTAAATGATCGTATTTCAAAGCTTGATCGATCCATAATTCGGTGACATAAATATCCATGTCAAAATCGGATGCCAATTCATTGACGGCATTCACTTCTTGGACCCAGACCTAAAAAAGGCCGGTAGATTATGTCTTAATTTTGAGTTACCTCAATCCATACATCAACTCCCGTCTCACTAGGCGTTTTGAAAGATTTATAGCTTGCTTGCAGTTTTTCGATAATATTTTTATCGCTGGTACATCCGGTCTCTTCTTCTAGCCAAGCTGGTGTTTCGATCACAGCCGGGGATGACTGATCATGGCCTCGTGGGAATAGTTCATTCTCCTAAAAAAGAATTTATTAGATTAAATTTTCCGATTATTTATTCTGGTAGTGGTAAGTTTCCAAAGTCACTCGTGCAGGTAAGAAACGGGGTTTGAAAACGAACAAAATCAGGATTGGGCTATGGTCAGTGATAGTTAAAAAAAGTTGATGGGGTAAGAAAAAACCAAATTCTAAATGTCGTAAGTCCCACACTCTCATTCGGAGCAGCAGTGCTTGTTGAGTGAATGGCACTCGCGAGCCTGAGTCTCTCTTGCTCTACCTCCCGATATCGTTCCCGCAGTTGGTTCAGGATTATATTGTTTTGCATATAGAGCTTCCAATAGTAGCTCTGAATTAAAGGGTGTTAACATTTCAAAAGGGTTTATTCTTAATTGTACGGCAATAATTTTTTAAGCTTAAAATCTATGACAATATTTAAAAAATGTATTTGGGCTTTTCCGGTTTTTGCTTCCAAAAACCCACCTCAATATCCCCAGAATTATTCTGCGATCCAGAATCTGTGTCATCGTGGCTTTGAGCCAACAGCGTATTCCGCGATTTCCGGCGCCGGTGTTCTGGCGTATTCGTAGAGGGTGTACTGCTCGTACTAGCGGTGGACGTGGTGGCTGCCCTCTCCTCGGCCACAACCGGGAGAAGCACAGCTGCCCAAAGCGTCAGGAGCACCGGGGCGCGCATCCACAATCGGATCGCATCCGAACCGGGTCACCCGAGCTTTTTAGAATCTGAAATTGGCGCATTAAGCAAGTTATGTGAACCTTAATCAAAACTTAAGGTTATGCAGAAATTAAATCGAGTTGTCATTTGAAGGTGTTGAGGAATTTTAATTTGAAAGTCCGAAGTCATTTAAACCACTAATGCAAAATGAGAAAAACAGGAGAATTCCCAACAGAAAGAAGCCGTGCTCACCTCAATTAAAATAATTAAGGATCTTGAATGGAATATTGTGTCTAAAAGGTATAAAAGATTCCTGCAAAGAAGCCCTAAGCAGCGTATCTTCATAAAAATAGATAAATAAAATTGCCTAAAGACAAATTGATACAGCGAGAATGAGAAATGGAAAAACTGGCAGAATTCGAGATCAAAAAGACGCTTTGATTGAACCTGGCTAGAACGGATGGCCATTGGGTCAAATCCAGAGTCGCACGCTTATTAGGCAAATTCGCCCGGCGAGTCAGCGAAGGTGGCGCCGGGCCAGGTAACCCAGAAAAAACAGCCGGACTTGAGGTCAAGCTTTTGCTCTGTCTGGCCCACTTCCGACCCCAAATTATAAATCGAAAACTCAAGGAAGGGGGACAGCCTAAATAAAGGGGACTGAGGAACCGTTTTTCACTTTCTACTTGCTAAAGAAGAGACATAATTTATACGCAGCATGCAAATTGAAGACGGGGCCAGGGTTGCAAAGCCGCGAAGCGGTTTCCCCTAGTCAAAACTTAAAATTAAGACCCTCAAACAATTCCGTCTATTCATTCTAGCCGCTACACGTTACCTACTCGCAACTAAACACCCACCCCACCCCCAAAAACCTTTCAATCTCTATCCTGTCAAACACATAATTACAAGCCACCCCGAGGCTTACGTCCGAAAACCATAAAAAGAGTTTAACCCACCCACCTCCCCCACACGTGGCCGATGTCTTGTGGATGGATAATGAGGGTAGGGGGTTAGGGGGAAGTTGGCAGCAAAAAGAGACGATTTCGACCCCATTCTGACCAGCCTGGATAACTATCTACGTAATCAACCCCCCCTATGAAGTTTCATTCAACGACGATAATTATTTAGCTGGTTGCCAGTTGCCAGCCTAGGTGCCCAAATGGCGTAATTACCAGAATTCGGCAGATAATTACCACACAGAGTGGTATGAGAATTGTGTTCTTGGGACATAGGGCTTTTCCACTTTTGGGCTTTCTTATTTGAATGGGGGGAAGATTGTGTTATGAATATTTTGGTTGTGGGCTGAAACCTGATCTGACTCTGATTCTAAAATCTAGGCGGGGCGAAGGGGCCGTTCATAAAGTTTATGGATTATTTATCGAAAAAGAGAGGATGTCTGTCTGGGTGGACAAGCTTGCATAGTTTATCAGTTTCTTTAACTTGTTAAAAGGATACAGTGCTTTATCGCTATTATTAAGATCGGGGAGGAAAAATTTCGGTACACTTGGGGTGAGCTAAAATAAAGTGAGGCTATTTGTTCCTAATATTTGGAGTTGCTGTGGAATTTCATTAGTGCCACTAAATACAGCGTTAAAAACTGTGCTAAATTATTTTTTTACGGCGCGGCACAACCATAACTACAACTATTTTTCTGATAAGGTACGTTCGCTTTCCCCGGATTCCACCCCTCACCCCCTGCCATGCTGGTTGTAACGTAATTTTTGTGTTTTTTTTGGTTAGTAGACGGAATGAAGGCAAGGGAAATCAAATGACACAAAGTTCTAAAGATCTCTACTTCCAAAATATTGATTGACCAAAAATCACCCGACACCAATAAGGAGGCGGGCATTAAAGCGGAAGCGCAAGTTCAGCGAACCCCAAAGCGGCGCCCCCCACCCAACCCGTCCACCACCAGCACGTCATGATGCCATTCCGGGGCGGTAGGAGGCGGCTGTCAGCTCGGAACGACGAAATTTATCCCCAAATTGAGCAAGCCGAGTGCCCGTGATTTACGCTCGGGCTGAAATTGGGAGGAACGGCTAGGAAGGGGGCGATTGGGGGGTGGGCCAAATTGGAAGAAGCGCTTCAGAAAATGGGGTTTTGAGGGTGTGGCATGGGGGTGTGATCAACACCTAGAAGGTGATTGATGAGGATTTAGAATTATTGCAAGACTCTGGACGTTTTGACAATACGGTTAAGCTTCCTTGAAAAATTGTTTTGCGGTAAATTCACATGCAGATCTTACTGCGCAGATGCTAACAACACACGGTCCGTTTGAATAAACGATCCGTCGCATGCCATGGTTTCCCGATGAGCCGGTTGGCCAAGCTTCCCATAAAAAACTAAAATTTAACTTAAGCGGCTTAACTCAGAGGGCAATATTTGATTTCGTTCGGTTATTGAAAGTTCTCAGCCATCTCGAGTCCATTACGCACCTAATGACACATCAAAGTTGCGTGTTTTTACAGTTTTTCTCTGCGATATGGTAAGCTAGGGAGAAAAGTATGATCAGCGTTTGACAAAGGCATTTAAGTTATACATCGTCTCAATCAAGCATGGACCAAACCATCAAAAGCCTCAAACGCATATAACAGCCGAGTATGACCGCTTCAACACCTTACACTACAACACCCCCCCATCTACCCCGCCATGGCGACAACTGTGCCCCTTTTTACCTCCCACTAATTAATAGTAGCGACGTGTAAAAAAGTGCAACTGATCGGGACCGCCGATCAATGATTTATTAAGTGGGCTCGCGATGGATGAGCCGGGTGCTGGTAATGGATTTCCGGGGGGGGGGCAAATTAGTCGCTAGAAGGGGGGAGCCACCAGGGTTTTAAAAAAATGGTTTTTGCCGTCTGGAATAATCCTTTACCGGTAATAAATCGAAAACTGTGTTTAGGGACAAAGAGTTTTTGGAAGCGGCAGTTTTCAAGGCTAAGAGTTTTTCAGGTAGAAAATTGCTGGGATCTAAACATTATCGGGATCGTGAATGCGACAAAATTAAATTTTTTTAGTTAACTGATTTCGGAATAGAGAAGCTAATTCCTAGCCGCCACCACCCTGTAGATGTTTGACATTTCTCTGAGGAAGGGGAACATTCTAGTAGTGCAAAAACTAGCGCGGCCTTCAAGACAATACGGGGAACTAGAAGTCCATGTGCTGGCCGGGAACTCACAACATCGGCCCCGATTGGCGGTAATAATTGTCGGCACGGGGCAGCTAAGAGAATGGCTTCAAAGTCGACGCAGCTAGTCGTCCTCCCCCTTCCCCCACTCGTTCTCCAGTTTGTGTTTGGCCGACGACTTGAAAAAGCAGAGCCCAAGGGCGGGAAGGTTTTAATCGTCGGTTCCGGGCCCGGGGGCAAGGGGCTTCTCAGCCGGCCACTCAAAATGCTCCAGCTCCTCCAGAATGCCCCCCTCGGCCATTCGATTAGCTTTGCCGTAGGGTTGACCATTATACGACCCCCTGACGTTGTCCCAACCCTGATTTTTAGGGAGGTGGGAAAAAGCGATTGAAATGCCATTTCCCCTTCTATCGTCTAGGGAGGGGGATAGACGGGAATTTGCTATGCTATTTGAAAATTAAAAGAAAATACATTGGAACTGAAAAGTTTAACAATTCATCAAAGATCAAAAAAGAGAGCTAAGGTACTTATTCAATTAGGCAGAAATTTTCTATTCCAAAAGTTAATTAGCTTTCCAAAAATTTCGGAGTACTGCAACGATCAAATAATCGATCGATTTTCTGAAATTGCTAGGAATTAAGCGCATATAATTTCCGTATTCAAATTTGGGCGTCAGGGATCTCTTTGCAATCATTTAGCATAATTCATTTTTCGCATAACGTTAGTAAACCGGCAAAAAAATCAAAGCCACGTGACGTCCCTAACGCTTCTGATACCTGGCGACAACCCACACTTTTTACAACAAAAATTCTCTTCACCCGGGGCGACAAAATAAAGTGCGTGAGCAAGCGCGGTACAACAGCAGCCACAATTTCGTAGCCGATGAATGGCGTGGGGAAAAAGGCGGTCTAGCCAAAATCGAATTTACGGAAAATCGAGACATTACGGGTATCTTATTAATTTTTGGAAGTCTCAAAGACCATGAGGTCCAGGCAACAGAAGCAAAGCTGCAAGTGAGGTGGTCAAGAAGTCGTTATAATACTACCCATGAAAACATGGGTTGCATACAAACAATTGTGGATGCCATTGTCCGGGGAGGAGGGTCTGGTGCTTTGGCCCCTTCAACCACCTTTCAAGCACTTCCACGCAATGCTTCTTTTGCTGAAATTCCAGCAGCCGTTCGTCCCATTCTTGAACTTTTTGGAACATTTGAGACAAGAAATTAGTGACGCGATTAAGTGGAGGACGTAGGTACTTGTGTTTTCGGGCAGATTTTGTAGTTAGACTTCAGAAAAGGATAGAATACGGCAAAGCGAAGTGCTCCGAACGTTTCCACCGAGTCCAAAAGAAGACGAGCTGCATTCTGAAAATGAAAAATGGCGATTTGTTCGGGAAATAAATCGAAGAGGCTAGCGTGCGTCCCCGAAAAAACCCTCGGGGGCCAAGTAGAATGTGGGTGGGGGGTAAGCTCCTCTGCCCGGGGATTAGAGGCTCATGACACCACACCGAACTCGCAAGTTTTTCTGGCGTTCCTTGAGTGGCGCAGAGCCCCCCGGAAATGGCAGCCAGGTTTTGGGTCGGGTGGAGAAGGGAAGAAGCCACGAGGGTTTCGTCAAAAATGGGGTTGAACGTTAAAATTGGAACCGGAAGACAAATAGTCTAAAAATTTGGAAAATATATTTCGAAAATGCAAATTTTAAAGCTCTAGAGGAAATATGGAAAGATTATGGATTCAGTGAGCCAGGTGGCGCCTAAGTGGGGGCAGTGATTTTTCCCCGATTCTTCTTGTTCCTTTTTTAGATGAACTCTCGAACTTGGTTTTTTGTTATTCAGCATCAATAAAACCTATATTACATTATAAAGCTTTATCCCATCAATTCAAATTCCTTGACCAACAAACCACCACCGTCTCGATGACTATCCCATACTTTCAGTCTATTCTGCAACCGTCGAATCACACCATATTTACGGGTGAACACAGCCCATCCTGTAGTACCCTCTTATGAAAATCGCTACCCCCTCATCGAGCACCCCATTTCCAAAGTTGAAGGGGTTAGCCGACGGGTCTGCAGGCCACATTGCTGGGGCCTGGAGGCCGTTCGGGCCCCCAGGGCCCAGGCACAAAAAATTGGACGATGAGAGCCATGTCAACACTCGACCTTCCTGCCCGGACATGGCCACACATGTCGCCTCCGCCCTCCAGTTCTCAAACAGATCCATTCCGCATATCGCCATTTCCTATTTCCGCGTTTTGGTTTGGGCTTGCGTCTTGCTATTTTACTGGGTTTTATATAGAACTTTATTTCCTTGAATATAAGCCCAGCCGATTTGCTTTTTTAATTACAATGAACTGGGGCTTCTGGCAGGGGATTGCATATTTTTTTTGAGCGCCCAAAATTTCGAGGATAGGAGGTATAAAACTATATTTTGATAGTTTCCATCGGTTTTTTGGTTTGAAACCGGTTTAAATGCTTAATAATATCAGGGTAACATAATACTTTTTCAGACGTTTTATTTTGACGCAAAACAACCGGGCTTTAGGCTTTTTGCCCGCACCAAAGGGATATTTTAGTAAATGGGACTTATATTACAAGAAATCGTCATATACGGTCATTCGTTCCCAGTATCCCGAAATTAGAACCTGTTCTTTGTTTTAAATGGACAGACTTTCCTGAAAAACCAAGCATTACTCCAAAACTCTCGACCTCCAAACACCAAAAAAATATTCGTATCCGATCCGCTCCACTGAACACCTCTGAAGGCTCATCAATTTACGCGCCAGCCGATGATTCCTTATTTGCACAACCCTTACTCATTGACCGCCCATGGTCACGCATCGTCTCGAATTTGCATATTTTTCGGCCTTCACCCCCCCCGCACCATCGGTGTACCATTTCAGGCCCAACAACGATGAAGCCCCATTTTATATTTCTCGCTTTGTTAGCGGTGGCTAATGCTGGCTTCTATGATAGTGCATGTCCTGGAAAACGCTTATCAATAGGTGGTACGTTTCTACAATAATTTTTCTGATCCTTTTTTAGCCTGTTTGGCAGGCCTATGTCCTGCTGGTTCGGAATGCATTGGCAGTTTTTGTTGTAAAACGAAGAAGGTTGAATCCGGTAATAAAACAGGGGAGGAGGAAATTGAGGAAGAAGGGAGCCCTGAGTTTGGAACTTGTTTGAGTGGTTACCATGCTATCGGAGGTATTAATATTCCTAGCAACTATAGTTAATTCTTAGAATGCATCTCCGATACTTGCCCTGATGGCTATATCTGTGAGGACATGAAGTGTTGTAGTAAGTTTGGTTTGTACTTTAAATCCTTTGTTTTCCATATAAAATTTCGTATCCTAGGTAAAATCACCAGGGATCGAAATGAGACAGGTTGGAATTAATAACCCCGCAATTTCCAGAAATCATTAACAACATCCGTGTGTTTACCCTGCGACCTGTGAAAATTAGCGAAGCCACTAAACTCCTAACAACAGAACCTCCTACTACTGAAAGCTCTGGAAGCGAGGAAGAGCTACTAACAAATAACGGTTTCGCTTACCCCACCCGGAAGCATTGTATTTTTAGTGACTCAACCCGATGAATCGGATGAGAATGAGATCGAACAGCTAAAGAAGGAATACCAAAAACTAAAAGAATTATTGGAAAAGAAGATGAAATCGAAATGGATTACTACTACGCGGGCCACAACTGAAGAGACTACGGTATTTGATTTACTCAGCAAGACAAAGCTAGACGCCTGTTTAGGTTCCCTCGACGACAACAGAGGAAGAAGTTAGGAAAGAAGAATCCTCGGAAGAAGCCGTAGAGCCCACTGAAAAGGAGGAAAAGGAAAAATCGGAGGAGCTTGAGGACACGACTGAAGCTCCGACGAGCACTACCAGACTGGTGCTGAGGAAGTTGTCGCCAACAACGACATCTACCTCCACTACCACGACCACTACACCAACCACAACTACAGAAGAGGAAGAAACAACTACTGAAGATGAGAAACTTCTATGCCCAGTTGGAGGGCCCATCGGAGGTGAGTACCACAAATTGAACCTTAACTCCGTATGTTTAGAATGCATCAGTAATCAATGTCCGGAGGGTCATACCTGCTATAACAACTATTGTTGTAAGTTAAATCCTCTGATATCAAATTCTCCGTTAATTTAAGGTATTCTGACACCGGAACTCAACTGCACCGATAGCCTGAATAATTGCAAGCAGGAGCTCTGTGATCGCCGTGGTTATAAAGATTTTATGACTCGTCAATGCGCGAAGACCTGTGCCCGCTGTCATTTTATTGTAAGTTTTAAGCTTTTACACCTCTCTCTTAACTCTATATATCTTAAATTCTCTTTAGCTGGGCGAAAAGATTGAATGCCGTGACCGAAGGACAGATTGTGCTGAATGGGCTGCCGAAGGTTTTTGTCAATCCACCCTCTACACCACTCGCCAAAAAATGAAATTCTGTGGTAAAAGCTGTAAGTTATGCTAGCGGATTGTCAGTCCGTATTACCTCTCCACAATTCCCGTGTGTGATCCACATTCCGTGTTTTCTTCTGTGAAGAATCTGTACAGCCATTGAATAAATTGTTTATTCAAATGTTTGACGAGTGCTCTAGGAATCTTGGCTCTGACGAAGCCTCCGAATTTCCGCATCTTTCTCGCCGGCTTTGATTTTTTGAAACATTGATTGGAAGTCTTCTTCGACACGTGAAAGGAATCTAAATTATCATTCCTATTTGAAAGTATGGATTACTTTTGTTCGACGCCCCGATGTTTAAATCGTCCATTCCAGACTCCTTCGTTTACCAAGGTGATCTAAATATTCGGCTCTTGCAATTTTTCCTGGAGATTACCGCTTGCCCATGATAAAAATCGTTGGCGTGTCGAAGGGCAAGACACAGCAGAGCGCACAGAATAATGATGATCCAGATCTCACTCTTGAATTCACGGCTTGCCTCATTTGTTGCAAGCTCACTGAGGTTGAAAACGGGTCTTTCTGAGATATTTAATTATGGATTTATTAGATCCCTAACCATCTTCTTCATGCAATAATTCCAATTTTCCGGCCGATTTCCATGATGAAATATCTATATGGTTATATCGATGCAATTCAATTAGTCTACCTACTAAACAAAGGGAATTCGGGCTCGGAATATCGTTGGGCTGGTTGTGAAAAGCCTTTCACGAAATATAGGAGATCGCATATCAGGAACAATTGAAATAAATACAAATAGTTGAGCATGGCTTATGGGGTGAGTGTAATGATGGTTTGAATGTGGGCGTATTGGGGTGGGCTTCTCGTGGCGATCCCGACATTTCTGACAGAACTGTACACAATCTCCCTCCTTTCATCGCCCACACCACATACCCACAAACGGACCAACGAAAAGACGAACGAATCAAGCATGAACTTGCTATCTCTCACACTCCTCTCTCTCTCTCTCTCCCTCTCTCTCTCTCTCCCGCTCACTCTCACTCTTTTTTCACTAGCATATTTCTTAGTTTTGGTTCAAGTCCTGAAAACTCCAAAAAATTTATCGTTAACAAATTAGGGAAAATGCCAAATGTCCAATGGGATTATGTATAACAAAAAACGCAACATAACGATGAGATCTGGATTAGATGGTGAAATTTGATTAGAATACCGCGACAAGAATGAACAAATAAGTAGCTTAACAAAAATTGTGGATTTTCAATATATTTTAAATCTTCGGGCGAGGATCCATCTTGTATAAAGCCTTGAGTCGCTCCTGGTCCTCGGTGATCATACGGCTGAGCGAGGTTTGCGGCGGTTCCAGGCTGGAAATGAAAAATCAATAAAAATCGAGTGCAAGGACTTGCAAAGTTTAGGTTAAAATTTTAGGCTTACCTCATCTCTAAAGGAGTTGGCTCGAAAGGTTTCCACGCCTTCAGCCAGTCCTCCGTCAAGCGATCTTCCATCCAACTGCAGGAGATATCAGGAACCACACTAAATTAGATGTTCCATTAAATAACTTGCTTAGAGAAATAATAAAAATTATCATGATTTTACATATTCGGAAATAAAAATTCTGATTTGAAACCGTACCTTGCCCGGAATCGGAATGGGTTGAAGCCGCTTGAGCCGGAACCACAGTCGGAGAAATCGTCGAGTTTCGATTCCTTATGCTAAATAGTTATAGTATTTGTATGTAGTTGGCAGAAAGCTAGGACTTATTGCTAATTATTGCTACTTTAACTTACCCCTCCTTCATTGTTCGATGGCCAAGTCGATTGTTGGCTTTTTTCGGAAGTGTCAGAAGCAGATCCATTTGAAGACGCTCGCATCCGGTGTAGTCTGTAAATCCTTAGATTATATTTCGAAGGGCTAGAGATATATTAACGCTTGAGACTCTAAGAAGCGTTTTAAAGAAAAATTACCGCTCAGCCTCCGTAGCCACCTCATCCTCATGGATGTCAACGATCTCGAAACCCAACGCTGGGGTGATTCTTCCAGCCGCCAGCAACGCATCGTATTTCATTTTCGGCATTCCCTTGTAGAGTTTGTGCTCGAATTGGCATCTCGTGCCATAGCGACACCAGCCCGACTCCGAGAACTTGTTGCAGGGCATGGATTTGTACTTGGGGTGCTTCTGTTGGCGTTCGTTGGGGTCGCGGAGTTCTTGGACTCCATGGGCGTATGTGCAATTTTGGCCGTACGAGCAGTGACCATGGAGGAATTCGCGGCATAGAGAGGTTTTGAAGGCTGCTTGTTTTCGCTGGACTCTGACGACATTGTAGGTGTTGATGCGCTGCGAAACGGGGTCGTTTTCAGTAAACATCTCTGTCTGAAAACGGTTGGCATTGTTAATGTTGGCTGTTAATATTATGTTTAGTAGTTTTGTCGGTAATCCTGTATCTTAATTAATAGTATTTATCTTAGGGCCTTCTTAATATATATTACTCTTAATATTTAGGGTGGTGGGGAGGCCGACGGCTAAAATTTTTATGGTTTTGGCTTTAGGAATTGTTAACATGGCCTAATAAACTTCAAGTGAAGTCTTTTAATTTTGCATGACTTTAAGAAGTTTAAAGCCAAATATTTTTTAAGATCGGTTGATTTTAAATATTAAGGTCAAGCTTATTAAGGACAAAGGCGTTTAAAATATTAAAAGAAAGCCGAATAAACCCCAAAAGAGTATAAAACATAAATAACAACATTTTTATAGTGAAAAAGTTTTACAAATACCCTTGATAGCGGAAAATAGAGCGTCATTTATTTTTCAAACCGTCAATTTCGATAATAGTATTAAATACATAGTTAATATGAAAATTTGCTTAATTTAAACTAACCTGACGAGCTGAAATCGGCTGGGAGATCATCGTAGTGGCAGAGGAAGATTGGATGAGGTTGGGAATAATGAGTTGACACATTCTGAATTTGTGCCCTTCTGTGGGTGAGCAGATCCGCCGATGAGAGTCTGGTGTGCCCTCGGGCAAAACAGTTGTTCTCCGAGTCTGCTTTATTGCTGATAAGCGCTTACTGCACTAAAGGCACACATCAAACTTTGGGCGGTAATTCCCTAGTGCTGTCCCAGAACATCTGTCGATTTTTGAATTTTCAAAAATTCTGATAGAATGGCAGTGATTTTTTTTTATCATTTTAAAGTATAAAAATCTGTCTACAATACGGCACTGATACATCTGTTTTAACTTTAACATTCAATACAATGGTATTGATTTTTCTATTTTGTTAAATTATACAAATTCGGTTTGTTGTTGCTGTGAACACGGATTCCTTTTTAAATTTATAAAATCATAAAATTTTTGATGTTTTGCCAACTTTTTACTATGCGCAATTTTTCAAATTCCTGCGTTTGAATCTTCGTTTACTTTCTGCCTTTTTTTTTGGAAATATAACTTTATGATAACAAACCCTTAACACAGATGTAGCACAATCGGGAGAGCTGGTTGGGGAAAAATAAGAAAGAGCTGGGAATCGCATTATACGTCATAACAATTGAAACCCGTGATTCTACACACATACAGTATTGAACACGTTGGACACGTCACAAATTGCCGAACCCATCCCGGGCGAAAGAACGCGCAAAAACACAAAACACCCATAATTGATTTGACGGAGAACAAGGGGGGGGAGCTAATGCTGTGTGATAAAGGAAACAGGAAATATTGAGCAACAACAATGAAAATAATATTAAAGTTAAATTAAAAGTTATGCGTCCAACTTCGAATACCGCATGCCATTGCGGCCTTCCGTGGTTTCACCGGTGCTGGCAGTTGGCTAAAAAATGAATTTCTCGATGTAAATTAGCATAACTTGAAGATGGAATCTTGGAATTTGGAGTATTACAAAAATTCGAAACACTAAAAATTTAATCGATTTTTTTCATAATGCATGCCGATTCAGTTTATACATGTTTTCTGAAAAGTTCATGCAAGTATGAATCCATTTAGAAATCAGCCATGCATTACAAAATAGGAGAAGTTTATAGTTCGACTACGTTTTTACGAATGCTAAACTTACAACTAAACGTTCCAAGTTAAAGTCTACAAAATTGGTTTTTATCACCTATTTCTAACAATCAGTAGTAGTCTTTGAAAATTTTGGAGGTTATAATAAAAATTGCTTAAAAATTTACCTGAAGTTCATGGCTATGCCATTCCAAATCGGCATCGCTGCTCCTTCCAAGTCCTCTGATCTCGACCTCGTTGCTGTAGCTATAAAACCCAAAGAGTCTGGATTATTTGAGGAATCCTTACGCTGGGTTTTCAAAAGCAACCGTTGGGTCGTTGCCAGTATATCGTGGCTTCTTGAAAAGCGCTGGAACAAGACTGGATCCCCTTCCGATGAAAATCAAGACTAAAAACATGTATTAGAACAAACATATCTGATTGTCTTACCAATAACTACTCCTCCACAACAGAAAAGCAGGATCAAAATCAGAGCAAACGAGCTGAGCCCACCGCCGGGTTTTGCTGTAATAAAAAAGTTTTGTTCGTTAGAATAGGCTCTTACAGTAAGCGGTGTCGTCCATTTTTAAGTAGGCAATTGGGGAATGCCCAAAAGCATTCCCTGAGATCACGCCGACTTCATATTCAGCCCCGGGCTCAACATCCAAATCCACCGAATTCGATGTAGTTTTTACCACCTCGAAGTCGCCTAAAGTCACTTTTAGAGCAGATATGGTAGACTTTACCATCGTCCCCGGCTTTCTTGTAATAAACTGCATAGAAAACCAAGTTATTGGCAGCAGAGGGATCGTTCCAGGAAATCTGAAGAACCGTTGGACTTGGACAATTGATTGAACATACTCGAACTTTGCCTTCGTCGACCACTTTGTAGATAACGTTGGTCGGTTGTTGCGGGCTGCGCTCATGGCTTTTCACGAAGCATGACATGATACGAGTGGCATACTACCATCGGGAGTTTAGATAGAGATCGGATTACGGTACCTTTGTACAATCGACCTCGTCAGAGACGGAATCTCCAGAACAAAGTGAGAGACATCGTCCCTTAACCCCAGAACGGATGCAACAATCTGAGTGGTCGGTCACGTCTTCAGCACAAGCCAGCAGTGATTTTTCGTGACCCAAACAAGAAGTGTTTGACGGGACCTATTGTGTGGCATATATAATTAGAAGAGAAATTTGTTACCTTTCCAATTGAACAGACCTCTAGACAATCACCGGTGACTTGCTTATCAACACAGCAGTTGAAGATCTTTCTCGGATTTTGAGGCAAGTCACTCTGAAGCCGGTAAATTAGACATTATTCAGTCTTCATACCGGTTTCTCGGTTATGAGTTCTGCAACTGCCTGAGATGTCGTTCCATTCCTCTCCGCAATACAATGGTATTGCCCGGGCCCGGCAGCTGTGGCGTTTTTCAGCTAAAAATAGACGTTTTGATATTTTCTAGGTCACTCACAATCAAGTTATATTGATAGGTATGGAGTGCCGGGTTACGGATGCTGATGTGCTCACCACTGCCATGACCGACAATCAAATTATCCTTAAACGACCTTAATTGGTTTAGGGATACTGTCTACCTTTTCGAAGTGCACAGCCGGAATCGGGAATCCAGATACGGTACACGAAATCTTTGCGCTCATATCGTCGAAAGCGTGAACTATCCCACGGTCCATTTGGGCGATAGGACCAACTAAATATCTTTTTTTTTCAAAGAGTCTAACTTTTGAAACTTACACATAACCAAAATATTCCGCATCTGAACATTCTGACGACCCTCCGAGTCCGATACCATACAAGCGATTGTATCAAGCTCTTTGGTGACCTTCAGGTTCATTGAGACAAACAGCATGCCCTTGTCGTTTCTCTTCTAAACTCGTAATTTTACGAGCATCGTGTTCAATACTTGCCTGTTGATTGCCTGCCGTAATCTCCAGTGTCAAGTTTTGCCCTTTGTACTCATTTTCGAGACTGCATTCCACGGTAATATCTTGCTCGATCTTGTACACGGTAGTATCGGGCATGACTTTTGTTTTTGGTTCCGGTAAGCCCATCGAGTCTTGAAGTTTTGATCAGCATAATTACGGACCAGTTCATACCTTGTTGAGCCAAGATTGTCAGAATCGATGAACTCGGTGAAGTATTCACTTCAAGCTTCGGGAAAGTGGCTGTCACGTAGACCATATATCGTCGATCTTCTACCAGATCCAACACAGCCCATGTGTTGTTGGTTTTCTTCTGAAAAATTAAGTGTTGATTGGTGATAGTTAGAATAATTGAGTAACCCCAAAAGGGTTCGAGACGCGCAAAACTTAGGTTGTGAAAGAAAGGGTAAGCAAGCAATGTAACACACAAAGGGTTTGGTTTACCTCTCTGAACTCCACCGTGTTCTATAAAGAATTTAATATAATGCGGGCAAAATGCTGATCATTTTTGACAATATTACAGCTTTTTGGCCTTCATTTCAATATGTATAAAGCTTTAAAAAATTTGAAAACACAATGAATTCAGAGGTACTGGTTAGTCTCAAATCTAGCTTTTCTAGTTTTGCAGTTTAATCTAGTAATCTAACTAACTAACTAACTTTCTAACAACAAAAATAAAACAGTTTTTTTTTTTATTAAAGCTCTTCACCTACCGTAGCCCATTCCGTCCCCGCTTCCGCATTGACCAAGCTGACGGTATATTCGCCCTTTCCAGAAAGCGGCGATCCGTCTTTATGGGTGGTAACGGCATTCCACGTCAAATTGATTTTGGCTCCGTTATTCCAGACGATTCGTAGGTTGCTGGGAGCTGCTGGTTCAAGTGGGGCCGAATCTAAGAAGAAAAAAGACCCGTATTTTTTACATTTTCAAGTTCTTACTCTCATTATCGGTGGCCAAGGTCAAGTTCCAGGACGGCGGGCTGCTGCCAGCGGTGTTGAAAGCAATTACCCGTGCGACATATTGGGTGGAAGTATTGAGATTCGGGAACGTGATCGTGGTCGCGGTGACGTTCGTGCGATTCAGTAGTCGATGTTCGTTGTCGTTGAAGAACTACAATGACGAGAATATGGACTTTTTTAGCCTAATAGATACCTGAACTTCATAAGTATCGGCATTGCCTGCGACATCCCAGGTGATCGTCGCTTGTGTCTCGTTGACGAAGGTGGTATGAAGATTTCGGACAAGTCCCGGCAGGCGAGATCGGTGTGAAGCGTAGCAATACATCAATTGTGCAGAGTATTTCATGCAGGTTTCAGGAACCTAAAATCAAATTATTAGTCCAAGACTACAATCAAACAATTTTTGAAGCCGCAAACAACCTAACCTGGAACGGATGCCGACAACCCGGAAGACATTCCGCTGGCAAGCTGCTCTCCTCGCAGCAACGAGTATGATCATGACCTTCAGATCCACATTGTACCCACTAAAAACAAGGCTTGGTTCGTTTTAAATTTTTCGTTACCGTGTTCAGGTCTTTGCCACAAGTTGTCGGCAATCTTGTGGCATTGTAGCGACAAGCATCCAGGCAATCACCCTTCATGTCCCGTAGCTCGCAGCACGAGTTGAATTGATTGGATGTTGGATCGGCTACAAAAAGTTTATAATTAACATAGATGCCTTACCTTCCGGGCAGCAATAACCATCATCAAGGAATTCATAGCACATGTAGCCGATAGGACATGGGTGCGATTTTTCGTGGCAGAGAACCGGGCGCCCGTCATTGAGCATAAGGGGTTCACCTAAAATTTACATTTGGAATATTCAAAAGGTATGTTACGCGGTTGCCCGTTTTTAACTTACCAATTGGGCAAATATCTTGATTCGGAGTCAATGTCTGGAACAACAACGTCGTAGATGGTAGAGATTGCCCCTTCTCAGAGTGCGATCGAACCGAAACGGCATACGAGGCATCCGCTTCTAAGCCCTCCAAATTGTAGGGAGATTTTGCATCAGAAATCTAGAATTTCCCAAATTTTCTCATCTTGTTTTTTTTGTCTATGCCTGAATAATGTCCGCTCCATGCACGTTACGCCTCAAAATGATCGTGTAGTTCTCAACCAGGTGCTTGTTGGCCAAAGGTTCTTTCCAGTGAATACGGGCACTAAAACCCAATTATCTAGTCTATTTAAACCAGTTATACCTATTTGTTGTAATTCTATCAATGGTGACATTGACTGGAGGGGAGGGGTGGGTTTCTAAATTTTTTTGCACACGGAAACTTGGTTAGTTTGTACCGTATCCTTCTCGCATACATTGATAGATAGTGTCCAGATCCAAACTGAGACAAAGCATCGAATCCATACTAAAATGGTTTTTTATCATTTTTAAGTTGGATTACGATACCTCAGCTCTTCCGTGGTGCCAGAGCAAACCGGAAGACATTCCTTTTGAACTCCGAGGCGAACGCAGCACTCGGTGTGATTCCGGCCATCAGCAATGCATGGGGATACCTAATTTCATGATTTGAGTATCCAAAAATGATCCTACTTTTGGCCATTCATGCCGGCAACTTGTCGAAATCGAGATCGTTTCGAAAATGTTAATATGATGAGTCGGATCGCACATTTTTGAAGCGCAATGGTCATCAACTTTCGCATCTTTGCAACATTCTAAAACCTGTATGAATTTTTATCGGTCTTTGACGTACTCTGGCTATTCGGTAGCGATCCATTATTCGAGATGACGTGAACATTCGTTGAGGTCAGACTTCGCGTCGAGGGCACCGATTGCCCTAAAGAACCCTAGATCCCGATATAACCCATTCCATACCGTAATCGTTTGTAGCGATCACATAGATCGCATATCTCGTGGCACTTCTCAAATTTGTCAACGTGTAGCATGTTCCATTAGTCGTGGCCTAAGACTCGTAAATTTAAATCACGACATCCTGTCCACTTTCACTACCGGAACTTGGTGAGGGGATGGAACGAGAGAAATTTGTCTCAGTTCCATTTTTTCTTGTAGGGTTCTGTACCTCGCTCAGAAAGCGGGACTTCCTCCTTTTTCTCAAAGTACGATGCAATTATATCAGGGAGGGATATCTCAGCCCGAAAACCGCACCCCGTCCAGGGCTGTCATTTCTCATTTCTTGTGGGGAGCGACTCACGACGGGACCCGGCCGGCCTATCCCTACTACACAAACCCAATCACATATTGTTCCCATCCCGACGTTTCTATATATTGAATGCTGTGTGTGGTGACGTAAGTAATAATATTTGGAGTTTTGTTTAGAACAAAAATACCGACCTCTTCATAAGTAAATTCCCGTACACTTGTGGTATTCGAGTTTTCATTTCTGGACACCATCACGACGGTTTGGCGCTTGGCAAAAGCCTTCTTCGAGGGATCAAAGCTGATCTCTGTTTCACTTGCCGACATGCTCCCTTAAAATCATTGATGTTGCTCAATAAACGACGAACTTCGTTTTCTGATTTGTCCGGATTTCGATACCGACAGTGTAATTCGGTCTTCGGTCTGAATTTTTGTGGTGTCGCCTGAATAAATATATTAATTAACCCGTTTCGATCATAAAAATTACGTTTTGTGAGCTGAGGTTTGCCGGAGGTTCTGGTCGATTCATCAGTTTCTTTAATATCGTAATCGTCGTCGATAATATCCGTCAACTCTCCATAATCACCCGACATAAATGGTAGGTCGATAGCCGCGCTAAATAGTCTAATAAATATCTTTGGTTAGGAAATGTTCGCGTATAAAAATACATGCAATAAACAGAGTGCAATTGAATACATACCCATCGAGTCCTGGCAAAAATGAAATGGCTGGTAGTTGCTTGTAGAAAATTGTATAATTCTTCACTGGAAAATCCTTGTTGGTGGGCTGAAAATGATCGAAATTCTTTAAAATTAGGGACAAAATTCTTGAAATTCCTTAAATTCCTACCTGAACTTTCGGGGGTTGCCAACAGACGGATAATTTGTCGTGTTCAACAGCGTTCACGATAATTTCTTCTGGTGGATCGGGATATGGCACTGAAATGCATGACATTTCAATTGTCACATTATTAAATTATTTATTCAGGGAAATGGGGGGTGTCAAATGGAAATGTGAAATCCTAATGACAATGGGAGTATTTATGGGGGAGGTGCATGCAACATACGGTAGGCTCGATTGTAGCATTCGAAGATTTCGGGGAGGTAGTAGAGGCATAAACGATGGGATCTTCTTAGCATCTAAAGGTATTAAAATAATTTTATGTGTCTTTAAAGCGTTATACCTGGAAGTCACCACTACAAAAATCGTAGCAGAATGAAGGAACCATTTGGGCTTTACAACAGTGAACGTGGCTTCGTTTTCCACCATCAGTAGCACACGATAAAAAGTGCTTGTAGTCATCGGTTTTACAGCTTAATTAAGAACATTGATTTTTTTGAAAACCGTAACTCACCTTGTTGGATCAAAATGGTAGGATCCCATGTCCGATGGTTTGCACATGGCCTTACACATATTCGAAATTCCCTTATCCTCGCAACACTGCGAATGATCGTAAGAAATATTTTCGTGGAACCCTCCATTCAAGCCGGATTCTAAAAAAAACATTTTTATCTCGATTAATTGTTATTTACTTACCAAGAACCTCGACCTGGAATTCAAGCTGCTCACTGGTATTTTGAATCTGGCATCGATATCGACCGCTGTCCTATGAAAATGAGAGATTAAATAAAATATACGTTTCAAACCTCAAAGGTTAAGTTTCTCAAAATTAGAGAATAGTCTTCCCTCTTACAAGCACAACATTGGCTATCCACGCATGAATGTCCCTCTTCGCAATCGGCCGACGTTTTGCACTCGTCTTTGCAACCTAAAAAAACCCTATTAAATTTTTAGAGTCAGCGGCCAACCTCTTTTGTCATCGATATCAACATTGTGGTTTAGCACAAATCCCGCCTCATCGATGCCCGAATTTGTTTGGAATTCAAGGCCAGAATATAGGAGAATATCATCCTTGTACCATAGGACCTACAAAAGTTAATTTTTTTAGGAAACTCCGGTGTCATATTTTACCTTATCCGAACAGGTATCGGTAACGACACATTGTAATTGGCTGGCAAATCCTTGGATAACATTTAAAAATCTAGAATTATTGAATTAATGGGGATCTTGAAGTAATACCCTTGGTCGTCTGTCGTCAAATGTCCCACACCCTCCCCCTGGCTTCCGGCTACTAATGAAAGTAGCAGAAGCTCAAGGAGCATCCTAAAATATTGAAACAGTTAAAAATTATTTGCCAATATTTTAAAATTAAAATGAAGCTATTACGAAAATAAATCGGTGGTGTGAAATCATGAAAGAATTAGAACGAGAGCAATATGAAAAAACGGGAGATCGCGTATGATCGAGCGTCTGGTCAGATTTTCGTAAAAGGATTGGGATAGCATGTAGTTGGCTGGGGGGAAATGGCTGAGTCAAGGGATAAAGTCGGCGGGTCCGCGGGAGGTGGTGGCGGAAAAAAGCGGCGGGTGCGGGTCGTTAGGTGGTAAAAAAATTTAGAGGTCGAGGGCAAAAGTAGTTAAAATTTATCTCGGTTTATCAAGGTTACGGTTGTTCGAATATTTAGTCAGGCAAATGTTATCTAACATGCAAATGAGTCTATATAATTTCTACAGTAGGCAGTAGAAATCGGTCATGGGGAACGAGTGGATTGAGCATCTATAGATCTACAGGGAATTACCGGTGAAAATATCCAATACCACGCTTGATAAAGCTTAAAATCCCGAACAAGCTGTTGCTTTAAAAACGACAACGGATTCGAGGAAAAGCCTCTAAAAATCTACCTCTGGTTAAGCGTCGGTCAAAAAAAAATTGATCCTTTCAAAACCGTGTTTTTTTTTGAGGATGCCTTTTGTTCAGGAGCTTCTTAAAGATGAGACTCGTTCAAAAATTTAAACATCAATGAATGCGCTATACCATGACGCGAAACGTCAAGACCACCTAGACTCTACGCATTGACAGAAGAAATATGACTGTCCGGTCCCTTTAACAACCTTAATAACAGAAACTGGAACGTTGTCTTATTTGGAAAGTGTCCCAAATAGTTCGGGGGCAAAGAGGGGGATGGCTGCTTTGTGAGAAAATCCAGGTGGAGGGGAGAGCCGGTCAAGGCCAACACCGGGCTGAACCTAGTGAACTGGGTGGGGGGGGACTGGCAGTAACACCATGGATGGAAATGGGTGAGCAGAAGGTGGATTGGATCTGGGAGGTATGTTAAGGAGAGTGTCTATAGCTACAGTACGACACATACTTTCCCCCGCATATCATAACGTGACATTGAGAATCGTGAAAAGAGGTTGGAGAAAGGGCCGGGCATGTCGGGACCGGTTTGTAGCAATAGGGAATGGTTGGCCGGGGGTTGTGTGTAGTTTTTGATGAAATATGTTAGATTCTGTGGGGGAGGTGTAGAAATTGGGGCATCAAGAGCGTGTGGCATAGATTGTTTATGTTGGGAGGAATGTTTGGCGAACAGGGGAGTGCCGTAAAAAGTGGAAGTCGCAACAATGGGCAAGCTTTTGATCGTTAGTTGAGATCAGATGTTTAGAGGAATTTTTTTATTGGGTATTACTTCGCAATCACGTATTTTGGAAAAAAAACCCCCACATATTCGGAAACTACACGTGCGGAAAGTCATGTGTTCGAAAACATCTGCTCGAAAAATTTGCATATGGACTCTAGAAATTCGAGTAAAATGACATTTATAAAAAAATCTTGGCAAGGTTGCGTTTTCGAACATCTTATTTTTGAACAGTCGAATTTCCAGATGTTCAATCAGTACGTGTGATATTTCGAACAGGTTTTTCAACCACCCGTCTCATCCCATTTAAATGTAAATTCCGGAAATCTAAAACACAATGACGTAAAAAACGGGTTGACGCTATTAGCATGCAACCTTGGGTTAGGGCTGACTAGTCGTGTGCCCCCGGACCGGGCGGGTAGAGTAGTATAGCCTGCGGGTTCAAAAGGATTGGAGATCGATATCTGACGGAGAGTAATGGTTTGACAGCCCTGAATACTCAGATTCGGCACGCCAAATTGGAATGGGTGACCGGCTAAAAAGGTTTTTTGGCTCTGTGTGAGTGGATTCGACAATGAGTGGAGGGTGGTTCCCTGGAGGCAGGTAAGGAAATCCGGTTTTTTACTGGACATTTGGAAGGTGGGAAGGATTTTTGGGAGAGGACGGTAAAAGAGGGAACAGCAAAGAGGGGATGCATACAATTAGAGGATCATTCTCAACAGCACGATTTAGATAAGAAGATCTGATTAAGCTTCTGATTCTTATTCAAATTAGTGCCAAAAAAGAGCTATTTTTTATATCCTGTTGTGCTAGAAACTAACTCTGCCCTTATTTGGACGTAAATTATTGGATATTTGAAAACTCTAAGTCAACAGATTTTAAGCCAGATTTTCAAATAAAAGCAGCACTAACATAAATAGTTAAGCATGCATAAACTTTAGATTAAAGGCAAAGAAGCCACTTATGCATCGACAAAATTACCAGAATAAAATCAAAAAAAAATCCTCCAATATTTCCTGCAAACACTAGCCTCGTGCTCAACAAAAAAACTCTCGAAATGAAGCCTTCCTATTCGCTAGAATGGATCGATAGCCGCCCCCAGGGGGCTAAGTGGAAGATCAAGTGAAGAGAAAACAGTAAGCCGGTGCGGGTAGGGACAGTCCCGGGGGGTTGGTGGACAAACAACTGCAGCATCGACGGGTCGGACAGGGTTGTTGGAGAACCCGGAACCCTCGTTGGGGTTGACCCTCTTTGGAAACCTACACCACCCAATACAATGAAGGGCCCTTTCACTCGGCCCTTGCGAGGCCATGATCAAAAGAGACACCATAATTTATAGAGCAAACATCAAAAAATCAACCACGTGATGGGATTTTCATTTATCCCCGGGGTCGTAAACCATTTCGGGGTTACCGTAAAAATCGGTCAAATGGGATTTCGTACCGAGTCGCCAACGTGACAATTGTCGCGCTTTAAAATGGGTAGGAAATCCGGGAAATAGAAATTAGAATTTTTCTTTTTTTTTAAATATTAGCTTTGCCAGAAATTTTCAAAAACAGACTTAGTTTTATAATTTGCGGCTTCAGTTGAATGCTATACTATTGGCTGTGCTGTGCTTATGGCTGAATACAAACACGAGAAAATAAAAGACAACCTTGAGAGCTTTTTCAAGGAAGCATCAATGCAGCTGGACGGTGTGGAGCAAAGGCCGAGGAGCGTGGGCGTGAGTCAAATCGAGGGTGTTGGGGGCGGGGCTTCATCAAAAGTAGCTGCGGAGGCGAAGGATGGGCAGATTTTTAGGGAGCTTCTGGGGGAGGAAAGGTCTATTTAGATCTGGAATAATTAGATCAAAATTAATAATAGTAGTTGGAAACGATATGATTTTTTTATGGCTCTTTAGGGAGTCGGCTTGACATCGAAATGAAACAGGTTTGTTACTTGTTCTACACATTTTTATGCACACTATTAGACACACAATATTTTGATACCTTAGAATTATGGTTTCCTCGTTTAATAGTCCATTTCCCCCTGGTTTTCATCACAACGAGTAGCTCTCCCCCGTGAACAGTCACCCTCCCAGCTGTCGGCTAAAAGCTTCACGAGTTGCGAGTCATTTTTCCGGCGAGATCGGATCGGCGATCGGGGGCGTGTGGAGAGTGAGCCCCAATCAATGTGTCGTGCACCGGGGTCAAACCTTACAAGGCCGATTCAGACCCCCTTTATCCACAGCCGATAGTCCTCCACAAACCGCTTCATCCCCATAATTAAACTACGGAGCAATTCCCTATATCTCAAGGTGTTTCGAAAAATCAGGAGTTGAAGGTATCAAACTAAGAAAAAAATGGCGAGAGGATGCACAAAGCAACGGAAGAAGCTTTCAGAGCTATTGCAAGAGTTTTTTTCCGGCCTCCAAGCCCGGAAACGGCTCTTCTGGTGAAAATTGAAAAACGGAGATAAGGATCAAAACAATTTGTATGTGGTAACACGAAATTATCATCAACTGATGAACCTTCATAGCTTGAAAAATTGGCTTAGAATCCCAACCATATCCTTGGATTACGGTATTTTAAAGAAATGTAAGATATGTATCTTCATGCACTCCCCTGGCCAATTTCAAAAACAGCACAAAACCCCCAGAAAATTTGAACGCGATTGCCCTGGCGATGCACCCGTTTTTCCAAAATGAGTCAAGACATTCTTGCTGTCTTGAGAACGAAGGAAGAGGAAGGGAGGGCCGGAGGGATGCCTTTGGCTTTTTACGTGGGAAGGCAATCCCAGAGAGCGCATCAAGCGAAAAAAAATCGGCATTTGGCGGCAGGTCTTACTTTTGGGAAAGTACAGCGGAGGGTACTGTACCATAAGACTTTGTAGATAAAGGCTTTGTAAGACTTTATGGCGTAAGTAAATTGCGGATTTTTACGGATGATAAAACCATCCACGCACGCAACAACATGAAAATTTTGAAATGCCAACGGAAAATGACGAGCTTCGGGGGGTATACGTGAAATTCGTGGCCTAAGGGAGGAATGAGACATGTGGGCACGCTTTTTTGCAACATCAACAGCTGGGAGGAATGCAACATAAGAGGCCAGAGCCATGGAAAAGCCGCGGCTTTTCCCCCACAAAATGAAGAATTTTCAATTAAATCGGCCGTGTAACTTTCGGCGGTTAAAATCTTAAATCCCTGTCAAATAAGGCTTTGGGGACAAACGCGGGAAGCTATTCGAATTTGAGCCCAAGTGGGAGGAAGATAAAAAAGGAGGGACGCTTTTTGGGGAAGCTGGGTGGGACACGACGGGAGATGAGAAGGAGTGGATGGAAAAGGGGGGCCCATAGGGACACTGAGTGGAGAAGGGGGCCCAGAAAAGGCACACAAACACATAGCCCACAACACTTTTCCTCCTTTCTATCTCTAACCGCTGTTCCTCTCACTTCCACCTCGCAACACTGGCGAGGGGGGTCTTTCTTCAGCGGCCAATTTGGAGCTGCTTCTTGGGGGAAGCGATAAACATGCATTTGAAGCGCATAATCTTGGGATTTTGAGGGGGAATAGAGGGATTTGTGGGAACCGACATTGTGAGTAGATATAATGGTTAGAAAAGACAACAAAAAGCAGTATTCAACACAATAAAAGCATATATAAAATAGTGTTAGAGAAAGAGATCGAATGAATCATCGAAAAAAACGACAAAAACGCTAATACCCGTTGCAGGCGGTTAGTGGACCCTTTGTGTAGTTGGATCGCCGAAAAACACAGGTTTTTCCGACATGTGATTGGCAGCCGTACAATAGCTACCGAAAAAGAGCGTTGTAAATAAGCAAACCATTTTTCTGCCCTTCCAGGCGATAGGGGATAGTTGCCAAGCAAAAAAATAAAAAATAAAATAAATATATTGGGAAGCAATCCAATGACGCGTACAAACCCAGCATGACAAAGAACATTTGTTATCTACGAATCATTTTTAAACATTGTTAATTTAACGGTAACTTGACCTCGAATCGGTCCAACAACGATAACCATGCGATTGGCGTTCGCAACATTGAGACGGAACGAAGATAAATACGCGGCTCTTATCAAAGTGAAACCCCCACATTGGGCCTGGCAACCGAACAAAGAATGCTAATGCAACGTTCGGTCTAGACCACGGAACTTGGGCGAAATCTTGAAAGGCCCACGCCGCTAGGTTACATGAATATTCTGGCCTTGCGCCGGCTTTTAGGGCTTGAAGATATTCCAGAAACAAACGAGGCTATTTATTGGGATGCTAGGGAAAAACACTAATGATCTAGGATAGAACGAGGATGTTATAGTTTTCACAAATGAGGAATAGCGGAGAACGCTTAAATATCTAGCAACTAACTTAAATTAAGTAAGTAATTTATGAAAATTAATTTTTTTAATTTTTGACAAATCATCAAAAAACGACTCAAAGGATTAATTTGGGCCGGGAAAAACGTAAGTTTAAAGTACTAATATAGAAAAAATTGGTCTAAATATGGCCAGAAGGTGCCTGGGAGAAAGCCGATTTCGGTATTTTTCATATGTACGATATTTTAAAAATGGAAAATGGACAAAATGGAAATGCTGCTCGCAACTATACAAGGGTATTGCTTTTAGGCAAACGAAGCCCTACTTAAAACTATATAAAATTTCTAGGGCGATAGTCGATACCACCAAATGCATTGAATGAACGCCCGACTACGGATGTTATCATCTGACCGTGGGAATTCCCTCCCAGGGTCCCCGGATGGAAAGCGACCCACTAGTCAACACAGAATTAGCGTCCCACACGACCAGGTGGATTTGTTATGGCTGGTAGGATGACCACTAGAGCTGCTGTATCCGGGGTGACCAAAAGGTGCACAGAATAGCATCACCTCCCCCGCCACAACCACTCCGGAACGACACGACTAATTGCGACTCCATTTCGCGAACGCCCAACCCAAATTACCCGGCCTCGTGTCCCGCAAAACCAAAAAGTCACACAGCTGGTGCTCCAGTCCACCACACGGATTGGGCCGGAAAAACATGGGGTTCACGGAATAGAGCTGCACGATTTTTCAGCATTTCGGCAATTTTTCAGCAATGGATGGATACACGCTGTGCGCATGGCTGGCAAAATGGAAATGTGAAAAATAGCTGTCTGGACGATTATTAAATGCGTTTTAAATTTTTACTGGGCGGCTTAGAAAATCTGTTATAATTAAATATTGGATAAATCAGTTAACCTCGGCGGAGGCTTTAGCTCCCGTTCATACATGGGCTTCCAACTGAAAGTGCGAAAATAGATCTCGACGTTTTAAAAAATACATTAAAAAAACTTTTATTCGCTTTATAAAATTATAATTTTACATTGAAACGAATAAATTAATCAACCTCCAATAGCGGCTTCAACTCCGGATTTTTATCCCTTGCTCGTTTCGCGGCAATACATTTGTAGAGGAAGATGATATTGCTCAACAAAAGCACAATAATCGTGACGATGAACCAGGCTAAAAATTGAAAATTAACACATAAATGTTTCATGAATATCTTATTTTTTTAAAGGTGTGCATCTACCTATTGTCGAGTCATTATGCCCCTCAACTGGTCCCCAACCTACACAATATTCGAACCATTGCGCGTTTGAAAACCTTAAAAAAATATAGTTAAAACGAAAATTCCTGATTCACCTCCTACTCCCATAAAGCTCGATAAATTTCGTATATTTACAAGGCTCCCCGCATAATTCCATACTCTCGACCACCAGCGTATCCCCAGACTCTTTCGCGAATTTCGCCTGAAATTTGATTTGTCGCCAGAATGCGTTTACCTGAACAATCAGCTCCCCATCGGCCATCCGGTGAAGTTCGAACACTACGTACGCACTGAATGTTGGCAACTTTGCCCTCACATTTGGCATTGCGAATTCACGGCCCAGTGTAAGAAGATTTGTATCGTGCTAGAATTTTTAATAAATCGTCTACAAAATAAATACCCCAGAAAAGAGAACAATCTTATTTCGCTTCTCAGGTGCTCTTGAAAGGTGACCGGAAAATTCATCGAGAACACGATTAACGTGCCAAGCTAAAAAATCTAGAATATTTTGGATTTGCACTTACTCCCTGATGTTGGCCTAGTATGCGCAATCATCGATTTGTGAATGAAATTAGTTAGATTCTCGAGTTTATTGAATAACGATGGGGTCAACCAATTGGGTGGTGGGTAACGGGTATCGTTGATTTTTACCTAAAAAATCAAAACTGAACTTGATAGCAAAACAAACCCTTGTATACAGCGAGTCAGCAAGATCGTTGAGAATTTTTGCATTCGGGACATCGTCGACAAACGTATTGGCTTTTAGGAGGTTGAGAAGAGATGGATCCACATGGGTTAATATACCGACGAACTCCTTGGAAGTGAGAATGGATTTTCGGGCCTTTGGGCAATCGTCAAGGATGGCTAATGAGACCTAAACCATATATTTAAAAATGTAAAAACTATCCACCTGTTTCAAAATAGGCTCCTCATGAAGAGGAATAGCCTGCCAGGCCAATTCTGGATTCCAGAGTTGTTCTCCGGTTGGTGGGAATAGGCCTGAAGAAAGTGATTTTCAATGATTTCTTACCGGCTGTGGCCATTTGCGCACTAACGGATGTTCGATTGTCCTCATCAAAATAGACTCGAACCTGTCGTCATCAATTAGGAAAGTAAACACCATTACCTCGTGCGGGATATAGGTTGGGCCGAGAAATTCTCCATATTCCTCTAACAAAGCTTTTCCTATTTGATATTCCATTTTTTGGCCGTTCTAAAAAATCTAGATTATTGCTTCGTTCAAAATTAATTCACCACTGTCAACTCGCCGTCCTCATACGGAAAATTCTTAGCAAAATCCGGAGGGTCGCTGGGTAATCTCCGAAAATGGGAAGGGGCCCGCTCACCATGGCGGAACCACTAAATTAGCTTCTTTTCTTGAAATTTCGAAACGCAGACCAACCACTTGAACAAACAGTAATTCTGCGGAGAGCCCAGCTAAAAATTGGAATAATAGAAATAATATAAAATGTTTTGCAGGAATTTGACAAGGATGCATAGCGAGGGGGTCGTGCCTTAACAACCCGTTATCACCGAAAACAGGCGTCCCATTTGATGCTGCTGTTTAGTGATACCCGGCTGCACAACCAACAAACAATAACCTACAAAAATTGTGGGATTTATTTAAATCAACATTGGATCGATAGTCAATGTTTTTTTTTTGATTCTCAGGCGTTAATGCGTATCTTTCATGACAGTACCAAGGAATTTATTCGAATCGAATAGCATGTCAATACATCAAAATTCAAGCAATCCATTAAGTGAAGCTGAGATCATTTTTGAAAAAGACATTCATTCAACGCATTCATTCTTGCGCCTCATCGACGGATGTTTCATTAATCGTGGTAAGCTGTAGTTTAATGTACTAGATTCTAAGTTGAGGCTTACATGGTGTGCTTCACTGGAAGCGGCCATTTCAATCACATCATCTTCATCACCAGCGTCGATTGATTGTACACCAAGTGAACCCATCGAAGCCAAGATTAGGCCCTGGGTTGTATTCTTTGCCGGTTGTTTCTTTGATTTTTTGAACATTCCCCTTCTTGCCCTGAAATAAAATTAAATAAGATGCATTAAGACAAATGATTTAATGCAATATTTAGCGTTTTCACCTAGTATCGGGCAGTTTATTAGCCCTTTCTTGCAAAACTCGTAGTTGACTATGCGCTTTTTTCGTCTCTCGTCTCACTGGCACATCATCATCTTCTTTTAGGTTTCGATCAGCATAGAACTAGAAACACGGTTATGAGCATCATAAAAAGAGTACATTCTGATTGCTGCCCTTCGCCAACAGCTTCCTGATTTCCATCGAATCATTGGCAATATTATCCGTTTCCCGATCGATGTCACTCTTTTTCCTATGAGAAATTCCACCGCTATGATCAAGCAGGCTTCGAGTGAAATCACCCCTGAATTCAGAATATTAGTGTAGAATTTTATAAAGTTACTCTTCAGCCACTTGCTCAGTCGCATCTTGGCATTTAAAGGAATTGGTGGAAGCTGATTTTCGGATTTCATCTCTAAAAAGCAGCAGGGTCATCTTTTTATTATGGATTATTATACAATTATGCGTTATTATACAATTACAAGATAATTAATACACTTGCGTGAACATTACCTCAATTGCTCCTCCCGATTGATCACCAACAACTTATTCTGCCTATCCTTGGTCTTGTAGTCCTTTTCGAGAATTGGACGAATGTAACGTTTTGATAGGGCACTGGCTTGGTTCTAATAAATCAGCTTGAAGTTAGGGAGTTTATGATACCATGACGCTGCCCTTGTACCCGACCAAGTCTTCAATTCCCTGTGACATGTGGATAATCATTCCGCGATTGAACTCGTTGAACATGCGGAAGTGATCTTCTTGCTTTGCCAGGCGGATGTTGAGGTATTGGACAATAGGTTTGATCGTGGCGCCCTGGTTTTTTTGTTTAAAAATGCTGTGCTCCAATACCTGTATGAAAACCGTAAATAGAATTACGACGTAGGTGGCAGATAATAAGGTGTTTTTGATCGGTACGTCATCACTTATCATGAAAACCAGAGAAAATGATATAGCTCCTCGAAGGCCACCATAAGCCTTAAACCCAAAAAAAAATTTAAAAACACATTTTCCATACCATGATCAACTGCTCTTGGAAGCTAATATACCGTACTCCACCCGTAAATTGATTAACAAAATAGGTGAGGAAGAAAACAACTAAAACATCTTTTCTTTTCTCTGGTCCGGGTCCCTCTACCAAGTATCCTCGCGATCTGACATAAAATCAGTGCAAACAGCGAGAACACCGGGTGCCAATCGCTCCAGAACCATCCCCGCTCGTTCACCAACATTACGCCAAGAATGATAAAGATTAGAGATTCTGTCACTGAACTGAAAGAGCGCCCAACTTTAGAAAAGCTTGCTGCTCTCACCTGGCCACTTTGGCGAAATAGGTGACCGAGATGTAGGATTTGTAAGAGATGTTTGGGCATGTGTAATGGGTTTGGAAAAGGCCGCAGGCGATTAGGCTATAAATAACAAGGTATCGTTAGACAGTTTAAAAAGCTTTACGTACGCTATGAGACCGGAAAAGTGGAACATCTCGGCGACGATGAAAGAGAGGTAGGCGGTACCGAATAGTATGACTGGTTCCACGACTAAACATGGTATTATATTGCATATTTTTTTTCTATGCTAATTGTTAAATCATCAACCCTATTTCATAATTTTATGTATTATTAGTCTCTATTCTTCTAAACCTAAATTTTAAAGTGAAAAACCGATAGAATTGGTCGAAATCGATCCATTAGATTCTATATTTTTGCTTTGTTTCTGGATCAAATGTACATAACTCCTCCTCCTAATCAAATATTGCTTACAAGGTAATTGAAAAAAAATAGGATTCCACGGTATTTAATTTTTGAAAGATGTAAGGAATTTTCAAACAATATTTCGATCTCCTTTACCTCGCACATGTTCCGTAAATTTTGTGACAAAAGCCGACATGGCACCACAAAACAACCCGATCGCCAGTCCACCAAGGGCCACACACAAAAAGGCGAGAAGACCCATCAGACACTAAACCACAATTATTTGCACATTTTACAACCAATCACGACGGCTCCGTTGCCCCCCTTCAGCCCGGAAAAGGTGTCTAGAGGGGGAGAAGCCATCGCGATAGATAGGGTGAATGGAATAGATCCTTTGAGAAAAAGAGTAGTAAAAAGGAATAACCCTGGGTGCTTACGTCCAAAAACCGAATTGAGGGCAGGTCCTTGAACTCGATGACCAAATTGTAGCAGACAACGGTGACGGCATCTAAAAAAGGTATTATTGAACACAAGTTCATTTCCTTTCTAAATTCAATAGGATTTCTTTAGAAATCATTTTTGATGAGCCACCCCTCCAGTTATCAAGGCATCGAAAAACAGCGCTTGCGTTAACAGCCACTTGAAAATCACCATTTAATAGCGACTCCCCAAACACCATAAAATAAAGCACTTTGTTCACGCCAACTTCTTGGAAGATTGCCAGCACCTAAAGATTATTTGGAATGCACCCTAGGAGCTTCGAATACCGCCACCGGATCGACGGCTGCGATTAGTGAAGCAAAGATTAGACAATCAAGCGGATCAATCTAAAATATCTTCTTTTTCTTTGGTTATTTTGCTTACTGTAATCCCATCAATAAATCCAAATTCCGAAACAGTAATTAGCCCTCCACCAATGATGATAATATTCAAAACAGTACCCTAAAACACACTGAAAAATTGGAGATAACACCCCACCACAACAGCATAAATCAAGATCGTCCCCAGATTTTCGATAAACGCTTGGTCTTTTAACGAATAGGCCGATTCCAAGATGATACTAAATTATTTTTGTGGCGCAAGAAAAATTTGGGTTACGGTGGCAGTAGCATAAAGAAGAAGGTCCGGGAATCAAATTCGAGGAATTTGACGGACTCGTGGGTTTCATCATAGCTGCAGAAATATCAAAGTTTGGACATAAAAGTTTCTAAATACAGGAATGCAAGTCCGAGGAGGGCTCCTGTGAGGATGAGACAGCATGACTCGGGCATGATTCTTTGCAGCCAATAGGTGTGATGGTAGCCTAAAAATATATCGTTGCGAGAAGTAGGAGAGCTACCTAGTTTGAACAACCCAACAACAATTACAAAAATTGTCATGACCAGCGGCTCCCGGACGTATTCAAATTTGAAATTAGCCACCTGAAATTGTAGAAAGGTTGAGCGATTGATTTCTACCCACCTTGACGCCATGGTGGTGTGCCGTATGGTTAGATTCTACCGTACTATCATTCTGCCCGCCAACTTCATGATGTCCTTCGTGGAAGTCCTTCAAAAACTCCGCAACCACGGCGCTTCCAAATAAAAGCAAGACCAAGACTAGGTACCGCATCACACAATTCCCTATCGTTGGACGCTGTCCGGGTGGGATTCAGTTAGATGGGGGCCTGTAGGGGGGGAAGCGTGAATGAGCCGACGGCGGGCCTTGTCACACCCATCAAAAACGAATAAAACATACAAGACCTGATAAAACCAGCTCCCATCCAACAAATGAACGTGTTGGACGTGTGCACCATTTTTGAAATTGTCAACATTCCAGGGATGGTCATTTGGGTGTGAGGTGGGTGATGAGTGGTGCCGGATCCAGAGACGGTGATTTGAATAATTGCACACGTTTGTGTAGCGATGTTTTATTTATTTGCTTTCAAAATTATCGTTTGTTGAGCGTCTTAAAAACTTGTTGAAATAGCACTTAAAGCCGACGATATTTTTTGTTATTCAGGCATTCGGTTGATCTGCTTCGAAAAAGAGCTGAAATCTCGTAAGTCCAATAAAAACTTACTTACCGTGTTGGCTCGTTACTTTCTTATTTTTATTTCCGATTCTCAGGGATTTAAAGCAGATTCTCTTAATTTTTACTTTATTTCTTTCGGATTTATGATAAAATTAATGTTTTGAGAATCCATGTGCCTACATTTAGAATATTATATATCAATAATTCAGGCTAATTTGTTTATAAATCCGTATTAATACTGAAATAAATGTCCTACTAATTTTCGTGCCACCACATTGAATGCGAAATCTCAGCCCCGGCGTAGGCGACAACGTTTTGACAGCTGTGATAACAACGAGCGAGCACTCATTCCTTTTACGAGTTTCCACCTCAACGCATATGATTTTCGGGCAGCTGCTGTACATCAACCCCACAGTTTAACGGGTTTTGCTGGCCTTGCAAGTAGCCGAAATTACTTTAGTTCATTTGCATCCTGACTACCATCATAAATAAGGGTTCAACCAAACATGAGTCATACGGTAACAAAAGTGTTTTATCTAGCAATTTTGGCAAAACCTTGGAGAGCACAGCAGGCTGAGTCACAAAACGCGGAAGGGAAGATTTTACAGAAAAACTGTTCAAAGGGGGGTGAGAGGGGTGGGCTTGGGGGTAGCCGGGGGGAGTAGTTATTCACCAGAAAATGCTCTTCTTCTCCTGATCCGGTCTCAGGTAGATGATGTTTGGGAGACGGAGGCCGATTCTCCGCTTTTCCATCTCGTGGTGGGGTAGAGGCTTGATGTGTAGAATATTGGGGAGTCGTAGACCTGCAAAAATAAGGTTTTGCCTGATTGTTGTTGCTGGAAATATTAAGTTGTTCCGAAAGTTCTTGCGGTTTTTTGTTTCGGAAGGTTTTTCGAGCTAGGCTTCGATGCCACAGCTCATTCCGGGATATCATTTTGAAGGATTTTAGATGCTCTATCTGCTAAATATGCTAATCTTTTTTGAAACAATTTGTTAATTTTTTACAAGGGCCGGAAGATAGGGTCAAAATCGGCCGATTTTCTTGTTTTGCTTGAAGCTCACAGGGGAAGTGGCGGGCAGTTCTTTTAATATTTGCGAATGATAGAGCTGATCGAGTACTACAAAAACCATGCAAAGAAATTTATTAAAAAAATATCCAAATCGAGGTGTAAAGTCGCAAAATTTGTTGGGTTAATGACCGGCTTGGATTACCAAATTCCAGTTTCAAGCCAAATAAACCCGCCAATTGCTCCTGTCATCTTTCCAGCGCCTGGATATGACTTTTGTAATTATTTCAAACTGTTACCTAACAAACTGAACAAACAAAGAAATAATCAACGACGTTTCTTCAAAATTGAGGTACCAAATTTTGCGACTGTACACCTCAATTTGAATATATTTTTTAATAAATTTCTTGGCATGGTTTTTGTAGTACTCGATCAGCTCTATCATTCGCAAATCTTAAAAGAACTGCCCGCCACTTCCCCTGTGAGCTTCAAGCAAAACAAGAAAATCGGCCGATTTTGACCCTATCTTCGGACCCTTGTAAAAAATTAACAAATTGTTTCTAAAAAAGATTAGCATATTTAGCAGATAGAGCATCTAAAATCCTTCAAAATGATATCCCGGAATCAGCTGTGGCATCGAAGCCTAGCTCGAAAAACCTTCCGAAACAAAAAACCGCAAGAACTTTCGGAACAACCTAATAACTGGAACATTGAAACTCATCTTAGTCACTCTTCTATGTTATAAAAAGCTACGAAAACAAGCCATTATTGCAGGATTTTCATTTCCTTTTTTAGAGCAAACTATACCTATCCGCCGTTTCTCTAGCCGTGCTTGATAGTGGAATCCGTTGACTGGCAGGCACATTAGAAGAAGGGTGAGCCAAGTGAGCAATCGGATCCACATGCTAGAAAATTCTTACGGTTTCAATAATTTTGGTAAAATGAGATCGGGAAGAGAGCGCGCTTTATAAAAGTAATGACGGGGGTGAGACCGGCGTACCTCCTTCTCGATTTCCGGCACCTCTAAGAAGGAAGCGACCAAAAGACCACTTAAAACATCATGGCTTAATCGGCTTTGGGAAGGATTAGGGGAGAGTAGGTGTTGTATTTTAGGAAATGACTAGGATTCGTAGTAAAGGGTTGTTTTTAATGATTCGTAGGGTTAGGGCTTGATAATAACCAATGTATTAAGTGCGACCCAAAACCGGGCGCTACTCGGTCTTGGGTCGCACTTAAATTTTGGATTTAAAAGGCAGATTGAAGGAGTTTTAGGTATGGAGGAAATGTATATTTAAAATGGCCGAAGTCATCTAAGTATTTCGATACGTAAAAGAGCATTCAAAAGGTGGAAGCACTTTTAGTACCGTGACGCCAAGGGAATATTTTAAGGGCAAGGTTATTCGAATAAATTTCACAATTTTTACTGTATCGTGGCCTATAAAGATCTAAAATAAAGTACTATCTACAAAGGAGAGCTACAAAACTCCTATGACCCAGCGCTAGCTTATATACCACCAGCCAAAGCGCGATACAACATCATTTCAAACGCTAAATACTTTGATAGAGGCTATGTTTAGCCATTCCAAATGCCTGCAAAATCTTCCCAGCCGATTTATATACCAGAAAATGCTATATGCAGATCCAAAATGACGGTATCGCATCATCGGGCTGACAGCAAAAGATGAGTGGCGCTTGAGTCGAGATGCCAAGCCTCGCCCAACCACCATCTGAGTACTTCCAATTACACTTGGCATTCCACTTGGGCACCGCCAGTCATTTGCATAATGGGCCGTTGTCTTTGCGGGTGAGTCCCATCTTTCTTGGTTGCCCAGTCTCAACCACTTATGTTTCCCCCCACCCATCCGTTAGGCGCTTTCACGTAGATCTCGTTGACGAAGAGAAGGGAAAGCAATAATTGATGTCCGATTCCCGTTACCACCCACCAGCCGCTTCCTCTAAAAAAGAGAAGGAGGGAAGACAGACTAGTACCTATTCGGGTAGTTTGGATGAAGACGTAAATAGAACGGTGACGGAGATGGTGGAGGTGGGGGGATGGGCGGTTTGGTAAGTTTTTGGGATGATGCGGGCTGGATGATGTTATGCACGGTTTTTGGATTTTGGAGGTAGGAGCAGCCACCGGAAGTAGGAAAACAAGGAATTCCTGGTAACCTAGTAGGGGCCATGGGCGGCAAGCTATCGAATGTGCTGAACAAAGAAAGGTAAATTACGCGATATCATCCGTCATTGCATCGACCAGGATTTTGCATTGAAAAATAAATAAACAAAATCAAAAAGGGCGACGTTTTGATTTTGTTGAGAGTACGAGTTTTAACTCAATCCATAAAAATATAGCTCTTGGTGTCGAAACACTGAATCTGCCAAAAATGCCGAACCTTAAATAGCCGATCTCCTCCCGCCGCCCAATTCCTGTTCTTCTTCCCAGAATTCACACCATGATCCGTCTGGCTACACTTCTTCGAAGGGCACACCTCTTTTAAAATGTATTCTGCAACTAAGCCCGTGGACATGTTTTCCCAGATTGGGCTCGGATTTTCCGGATTGACACTTTTGGGTCTCAAAGGCCATTCCGAGGATGAGAACGGAAAATAGCGACCCATAAAAGAACCAAGCTCATTGGTTGTACTGTGCGTTAGGTAATTTTAGGCGTTTTAAAGTATCAGAAAAGCTCGTCACAATTAGCATAACTACGGTTTTAGAGTTAGCTTAGATAATCTCTACTCTATCTAGCCTGTGACCACTCCCTCCTCCGTTTTTGCATCAGGTTCCCGGTTGTCTTATTCCCAATTGTGGATGAGTTCTGATCTAGATGGGCCTGCCTTACCGCTTTAAGAGAAATTTCTCAATCTTTGTACCAGGATGATAGTAGTGGTCAGTTTGGTAATATGATCCTAGTCACTTAGGGCCCTTCCTTGCACTTGCGCATTGAAGCTCGGCCGGAAATGGCGATGGAGAGGGTCATTGAAGATATTGCTAGATATTCCCAGCTGAAGCAGGGTCTTCTGGTGATGATTTTACTATATTAGTGTGACAGTACTCTTAATATATTTTAACAAATTGTTTATTGTTTTCCAGCCGAGCCAAGTCCAACCCAGTTATCCACCCAGGCTCAGTTTATCCCGAACGACCTCAAAAAGTACATTTTGAAACTCAGCTCTATCCCAACATGTTGCCATCTTTTCATTTTCTTCTCCTATGTGGGGGAGGTTTCGGGGTAACTCATTTATAGGTGTTCGGCCCCCACACACGTGAATCCTCCTCAAGACCGACGTCTGGGGGACCCCTGAAAGTCCTGATTGTGTTATTTCGTTGGGTTTCTAAGGGTAGAGGCTCCTGCCTGGCTCCCTTATGGGTATTCCCCCTGCTTGCCTTCCCTACTGGAGGAGAAGCCCCCACTAATGGACCGAAAGACGTAGAGGAAAACAAGGAACCTTTCACGTAGTGAGGAGAAGGAGGAATAGGGTGGAGCTCTGTACTTTATTTCTTTAGTTATACATCTTGTGATCGACTCGGGCCTCTTCTTGATAATATCGAAATAGGTTTTCCAGGATTAAATTTTTACAGAATAACCGGATGTCAGCCTTTTCTAACCCTTTAAAATTGCTTTTGAACTGTAACGAAATAAACTTGTATTTCCAAAGCTGTTATTACAACATCTATTCTTTTCCATCCAGGAACGACCATTCCAACCAAACGCCGTCCCAATCCCATCTGAATCGCTTCGTTTGATCCAATTTCCAGGAGGCAATCAACGCAAGCCCTCGTTTGTCGTCCTCCCCAAAAAAGGGATGTGCTTTTTGGTAGCCCTACGTCCGTAAAAGTCACACGGGCAGCTGAGACCTTTGTAAGAACGCATTAGATGGGGAAATTCCCAAAGGTCCGGATTCTAATTTTAGCCTGGTATTTCGACAATGGGGCTGGCGAAAACTAGCTTCGCCTCTCGAAAACTCCAATCCTTTCTTCCCGCTACAACACAATTCGATCACTTTTTCTAGTCCCTAACTTTACTCTTGCTGAAATACAATTCCTTGCCTTACAGAATTGAAACTTGGCCCCTTCCTTCCGGTAAACTCTCCCATAGATCAGAGAAGTTGCGTGTTAGCGTCGTGCCCTCCACCCCATGGCATTCCTTCATTTCCAGCCCCCATTTTTTCGCCCTCAGCCAGTCCAGACGCCCTTCCTTCATTTTCCACGCCTTAACAACCCCCTGAAATGGCCAACCACCACGGAATAACCACAGCAAGAAATGAGGAACCAGTGTCAAGTGATACGCCCCCAGCCAGAAAGCGTAATTGAAAAGTTCACACATCGTCTTCGTATTTTATACGGCTTGTTTACGTAGAGGGGTATCGTCTAGCTGAATGTAAGTGGATTATAAAGGCAAGACGGTTTTCTGTTTTTGGGTAAAGCGGGTTCGTCTCGAACCGCCTATCCAACACAAAAAACGCCCAATAATTTAATTGAACCCTCGCAGGGACGGGTGCCCAAAGCTTTCAAATTCCAATTCCCCTGGACCGACGCGACCAGCTGCCTCTAAACTAAAGCTAGCCGAAATACGTGCGGAGACATGTACAGGTAATTTAAATAAAGTTAAAACGGGGCAATAGGATGATTCTAGTTGCGTGATTCTATCTTAAACTACGGATAAAATGAATTTGTTTTTGCATTAACGCACTAGTCTTCTATATGTCCAAGTGATTTCCGTAATGACTAAAAATGTGAACTTTTTCTAGAATGATTCCAGTTTTAACTTTTTCTTGACATGTACGATTCCAACCCCCATCTGTACTCACTTTGTATGCTCCCCTGAGGAACCAACTCCCCAAAAATCTGTAGCTTTCCACCAAAACCTTTCACCCTAATTGCCACTTGGACCGTAAACTTTATAGTCTACCCTTCGTCCACTCCCCCAAACAATAAAACGCAACCACATCGTCGACCCGCCTACCCCCGGCATGTAGCAAAGCACAACTCCCACCCTCGTCTCAATTCCTCCACAAAAATTTTGTTTACATTTGCCCATCATCGAGTAGCAAGAAAGAGACATGGGTGGGAGGAGTTGGGCTCGCATTTTTATAGCCGGGCTTTGATGTTAGGGGGAGTAGGGATGGGGGACCTTTTTGAGAGTTGAAAGAGTTTCTGGTTGGGCCTTTGTCTTGAAGCAATGTCTCGGAAGGCCCACCGTTCCCCTTCGCCAGTTTGGGGGGCTACACCAATGAACCCTAACGAGGTCCCCCGGGATCGCTGGACATTTTTTGCCCTAAAAGGCAGGCGATTCAAAAAAATTTTTCAATTGTTTTGTCATCATTTTATAGGATACCAGTTTGGGTTTCAGATGTAAACTGCTGGACTGCTAGCGGGTGCCCGGTTTAGCGGGGAAACCAATTTTTTTCCTATATCCCGTACAGCCCGCTAACGAAATACGTTTTCATAGCGTTTTACATTGTTTTTAAACGTAAAAATCACATAAAATTACAACATTTTATTTATATTTAACTATTTTGGAAAAAATGGATAAAAAGGATCAATTCTAAAGATAACATTTTAAAATTATATAGCTTTCCAAGACCAAAAACTACCGAAAACACTATATAAAAATACGGCATATATTATTAACAAGCAGAGTAGGCGGAAGCACAAAAAGTAGCTTTCCCCACCAACAATTCAGTTTCAATCGAAAATTTTGTGATAAAGATTTTCCTAGATCCAACTACTGTATCGGAATGTAATTCAGAATTAATTTTTAATATTTTCCAAAATGCAGCTGCAGAATCTCCATGTCTATTTGCAAAAGACCTTTTTTAGTCTAGACCGCCCAGCTGTCGAATCCCAAAAATGACGCATCCTCTTTTAGTCCGCGCCATTTAGGGCATTCCAAATTCCCGGCCATCGCGCACGACGCTTCGCCCCCCTTTTTCGTCATTGCCGAAATGCGTAGGCCAAGCGTTTCTTTGTTTTCTTTTACCAACCAGTCTTGTTTGAATTGCTGTTAATTGTTGCCCTAAAACAATGGGCTGTAGATGCAACATCAGAGCAATAGGATAATAACGGCTTTCAGCTTACGTCTGGCGGGGTGTTCGGAATGTGGCCATTTTTGGTTGTTTGTATTTTTTTCCAGGGCGTCAAAATAGAAAAGAAAATCGGGTTTAAAAGGTTTCGGGTCAGTGGATGGCGTTTTACACCTTCTCTATGCAAAACGCAAAACATATGTTGTCAAGTGGCTATACTAGCTAGCGCTGTTTAAAGTCTTGCTGCTGGCTTCAAGTTCTCAGTATGTATATGCTATTTGTAAGCACTGTAGATTAGATAGCGTGTCCTATTAGTGCGTCGAAATGTATTTGTCTTTTTGGCGCGCTAATAGTCCAAGGAAGCTAAATAAACAAAATTAAAATAACACAACCCCCCCTCATTCCACTAACGACCAAATGACGGTTGCGATATTTGATTCCACTTCCTCCCCCAGGATTACCAGTTAGAAGAACGGCAAGAAGGGTCCGGATTTTTTCCCGTCGGTTGCCGAGAGGGCTTTGTGGTTTGGCGGTGTTCTGTGTGAATGCGCCGAAATGAATTGCCAGGGAGAGGGGGGAGATGCGCTGGTCCCTAACCACTTTTCCACCGGGAAATCTATCAACCACCCTCAATCCGTCGTATGTCTGGGACAGATCCCTTTAACAGCACAGAGTTGTTGGGCAACGATTTTTCATTGGTTAATTGGTGTTGTCTAATTGGATTTTTCGGGGGGTAGGCTAAAGGTTTCGCGCTTTTAATTGGGGGTAGGTCCAGAAAATTTCACCTGGGGGGCTGACGGGTCGAAGTAATTTGAAAGAAAGCAGAAATCGTTGGTAGCGAATTTCAAAAATGCCTTTTAAATTACCTTAAGCGTCAATAGGTTTGTTCAAATTGGATGGAGACTGATTCTGAATTTATTAAAATATATGATTTCGTAAGGCTGTTTTATAATTTACGACATTAATTTCGAAATTCCTCGTCCCTCCCGTTTTTGCAGAAGATTGTTTTGATGCGCCATTTCACCAACGCTGATCCGGATGCCCCTGGCGGATGCCCAAATTCCGGCTAATTTCTTTTTGCGGCCCCAAATTCGGGGGCTCAGAACCTCGCCTCAACCCCTAAAAATCCCCCTATTTTATCTTTTTTTTTGAAGTGCTGTGACCTCAGCAAGTCCACCGGCTGCCAGGGCCCGGATTTATATGCAGCAGATATGCGGGTATTGTGGCGGAAATGGCTGGGGAGCAAGAGCTATCGGGTAGAGACTTCCCCGGGTCTCGGGCCCTCGAGAGCAATGCATAATTTATCGGTAGGGCAACATGGGTTTCATGCCCCAAAGACGAACGATTAGACGCCCCGTTGTGCCCGGTTTTCTATTAATAAGTACTGTATCTTTGAGGGTTGTTTGGGAACCTTAGCATTAATCATTAAAATCATTGAAAAATCGTTATACTTATTATTCCCATTGTTTCTACAAAAATTCCTGACTTTTTAAGCCAAATTTTGTGGAATGTTAGATGCCTTTCTGACCTTTGATGCTCCACAATTGTTTATTAATTCAGCCCATCTTTTGGTCTCTTATACGACGTCGCCCACCTTCTGGAAAACCCCCATAAATCAACCCAATGGCCCACAGGAACCAAAACCCTTGTCCCAGCCGATTAGACACTGTTTTTCAGGGTCCATTCCCGTCTTTGCTAGTAACTCTTTCAAGCGAACAACTGTCAACTAGCCATGTCTTCCGCATGCACTCTCCGATCCACACCTGTCAAATTTCAAACGTCCCCGCTCTCGGGTTCGGGAAGTTCGACTGAAATTACGGCTGGCTGGCGAAGGGGCGTATGGGTGGCCCAAGAAAACTTTGAACTTGCCGTCACTTTCAAGGCTTGCTAGACGTTACTAAGATTTTTATAAATTCTCGGCAAAATTCTTGAAAAGCGTAATTGCCGTTCCGCCAATTTGCTCTTGAAATAGTACAATTTCTCTCTAAAATTCTACTATAATTTATGAATTTACCTAACCCCTCCCGATCGACTGGGATTCTTATTTCTCGAGGAAATTTTAGAAAGAAGGTTTTTTATAGAACTCCTGTAAAACCTTGCCTAATTTTCACTATTCATAAAGTACGATTAAGCCCTAAAACCACTCTTCATCCACCCATCTCTTCTTAATCCCAAAATCATAAAATTCTGTTGACGGATCAACGTTTTTAATTCGCCACAAAATTATAGAAACTATTCTACATTGTGCTCGTCTTTCCGTTTTACATAGCTCGGTTTCACATCATTCTAGAAAACGAACGCCAACCTACCAATTTACCCTCCCATCTTCCCCACTCAATCCAAAAATCTCATAAAATTTGGTTCCGCATCCCCCTTCCCCGAACTCATTTACCATGCATTTCCTCGAGCGTTCCACCAGGAGAGGCATCACCGCAAATTTGTAAAGAATGTTTTCGCGCTGGGCGTTTGCCATTCACCCTTCTTTTTCCTCCACCCCCGAAAATTCGGAACGGTCCTATGTTGCTAATTCCTCGCGCTGATCCCCGTCACATGGGCGAGAAAAGGGGGGAATTCTTGGGACCTCCTTTTGGACCCTTTGTGCAGCCAGTGTTCCCACAAAGTTTTTGCTCTCAACGAGCCCTCGATGTATCGCATTTCATACGTTGGCCTCTTTCTGTGAATTCTGTATATAGTGGCCTGATTGGGTGTGTGGAGGCGTGCATTTATTGGGATAGATTTTCGACGCCTTTCTCGTAGATTCAAGACTTCGGACGCCAATTGGGAAGACATTCTGATGGAGGCGGCAAAACACGATGAGAAGCCCATGTGGATTTACGTGATTTTCCGGAAGAATCATTGCTCTGGCCATGAGAAGGTAGGTAGACCCCAAAAATTCTAACCTGATTTTTTCCTTTTTCAGATGACTGTAAATATTTCATTTGACGGCCCAGTTTTTTGGACTCGCCAAGTCGCCTACATCTATTGTTGCAGTTGCCATTTTGAACTTCATGAAGTTAGTTATATTTTTCAAGTAATTTTTAACATTTGCTAAGTTCATTGAGCCGTTCGAGCTTTTTATTTGACAAATGAGTGACGGGCGAGTTGTTGACAAGAACACCGAGGTGGCCAAAAGGCCGCCTTACTGGATGAATGATGGGAAACAAATGTCGAACACTTGCACAAAACCTAAGCTTGATGCTTTGACAGGGGGGCAGGTCGAGAAAAAGTAGCGGATGGGTTGGGCGTTCGACTTTTCGAGGAAAAGGGAATATGATATCGGGGAAAATAAATTTTGGAAAGAGCACGGCGTATGGTTTTTTCGATAGAATCGACCGTACTTTCCAATTAAGCCAAAAATATACAACTGTTTTTTTCTTTGATTAGAAAGATTCAATGTTGAGTAACAAAGCTCAATTATCACGCTCTATTCCAGAATCCCCTCCTCACAATCCTGCATAAATTCGAAGCAAGAGTGGAGCGAGTGTGCCTGGTCGATACCCCCGTTGATTATGCATTCCTCCCGGATTCCATTTTTGCCTACATGGCCCGCTCAATGCCCAAGCTACAGGTTATTAGGGAGGCGGAAATGCTTGAAAGTGGCTTTAGTTTGTCTATTTGCGGGAGCTCGATTTGGAGAAAATCAATCGAGGGACCGTGGCGGAGTTGGCTGTACACAGGAGTTTGAAGAAGGTTAGGGTTTAGAAAATTAGATTCATCATTGAATATTTTTAGGTGATCGTGCACAAATGCCGAAATTACGAGGTGCTTGAAGATTTCCGTAATCTGCCCCAGCTGCTGGTTGTCAAGGGTGAAATTCAAGGACTTCGGGTACGTCAAAATTCAAACTTAATTTAGCATTTTTAGGTTTGATTAATAAAACAAGTATTTTTAGAGATAAAGAAATAATTATAAATTTTAATTTTTCAAATATAAACCCCTAAATTCAGTCAATGCTTGGCGGAGACCCAGATGCACCCCCGGAAAGCCTGCCAAGCTCGATGACCACTTCAACTTCAACCAACTCCGAAGCGTCAGAACTGTCTGAACGCCTTCAACATGTTTCGGTCTCACAGAGCCCATAAACTCTTTGGAATTACTATTATTATTATTATCTATTTTCCAAATCCTGCCGTGCCACACTTTGTCCAGCATCTCCCATTGACAATTCTTTTCCTCCAAACGGGTACCCTGTTCGGAGCGCTTTATCATCTTATCTAACCCTTTCATTTCCTATGTTTCTCAACTTGTAAGCTCTATTGATTTGCATTTTTCGTTCAGTATTTCATAAACTTGATTGGGACTATATATTATTGCATTAGCGTTAATGCGCGCTACATTTAGTAAAGCTTCAATTCCGGAAATAAATTCTTTTTCTATCACAGGTAAACGCAAAATATGTGGGGGTTGGGGGAGAGATATGGCAAAATAGTGGTTGATTGATGGATGGGTTTGTACCAGAAAAAGGGTAACGGTTGGTAACATTAAGTTATATAAAGTTTCGTTTAATTGAGTGGTAATTCAATATGGCAGTATTAAGGTGATATATTAGTAAGTGAAGAGCAATGGTAAGTAAGGAATACTTGAGTCATTTTGGGTTTGTCATTTCCTAAACATCAGTGGGCACGAGGGCATTGTTGTAGAAGGCGTTGGCTAAACGATAAAGTCTAAATCTTATAGAATGCTGGATTGTGAGTTACCACTAGCGATGTCAGGGCTAAAGTGGACTTGGGATTCATGGCGTTGGCGGGAGTGTCTGGAAATTATCATTTTATTTTAGCATTTTTTAATGATTGCAAAAAACTGCTTAAACCTACCCATTAGATTCCTGTGGATAATCAACGGTTTCAGGGGGTGGCGTTTGTGGACAATGCTCAATATCGGCAATAATAGAGACCGAGAGGATGAATTTTTCACTAGAAAATGTATTAAACCTTTTGTTAGATAACTTACTTCGGATCATACTGCCGACACAGCGCTACAAGTGACGGCTCCTTACGCTCAGAAATTAGGGCAGCGGTGGTATAGTAGAAAAGCAGGTATTGCATCGGAACAACTTCCAACGCAGCCCAGCCATGAGTTACATAGGCCCTAGCTTGCTCCGGGCTCGCCAATCGGATGTTGACGGATCCTAAAAATTTAATATTATATAAAAAAATAGTGTCTGTGTGTGTGTGTGTGTATGACACTTTGCATGCAACTTCCGTCAGCGTGTCCGGAGGATATCTCGATAGGGGATGCATTGTTAGGTATGTATGATACGTCATTAGGTGCGTAATGGCTCTGGGATGACTGCAAGCATATCAGATTTTGCAAATTATGCTATTTTCGACATTAAACTTAGGTTTTTGTGAAATTTTAGGGCACCCTCTTTGTTAGGAAACAATTTGAATACGCCGGAAGTGGTGGTGGTCTATATTAAGGGGCAGAGGGAGCGTTTTTCATTATTTTTTCATCGCAGCCCGGGCGAATTATGCAAAGTGAAGAATATCATGGGCTCAAACGGGGCCAGGGTTGAAAAGTCGCGTAGCGGCTTTTCAACCCTGGTTTAATATTAACATCCGATATCTTTTAAATTGTTATAATTTAATTCTTACCGCGTCCTCTCGCTGAATAGCCTTCTCGCGCTATTTTACTCATGTAAAGCTGGGCTTGAGGGTCGTCGCGAACCTAAAAATGACCAGTCATTAGTGCGTATTACCGTCTTACCTTCATGATAACATCTTTGCACAGTGTATTGATTCGTGCATATGAGCATCGACCCTGGTGTTTCTGAAATTGCTTGTATGCCTGAATCCTCTTTATTTCTTACCGGCCAATCCCTCACTCGACAATTTCGGCTACAGTAGTAAGAATAACAGTGCTTGCACGAGACGTAGTGCATTCGGGCCGTTGGTAGCTCCTTTGTTTTATGGCAATGTGAGCATCGGACGAAAAGCTTCTCTTTCTAAATAGTGTCATTATGAGGTCATTTTTTGTAGTTTGGAATGATTAATATTACTTTAAATTGATTTTATCCCACGCGCTCATATCAAGAAGCTATTGCGCCCGAGGCGAGATTGCACCACCCGCGGCATTCCAAACAGGTTCGTTCCCCGCACACTCATTAGCCTCCCGCAATCCTCTCCTAACATGCGTTCGTGGTGTAATGGTCAGCATGGATGCCTTCCAAGCATTCGACGGGGGTTCGATTCCCCCCGAACGCAAAGTTTTTTGCTTTTTGGGGCCACGTTGCGGAAGACTTTGCTACATACTAGAAATGTCTTTTTATTGCTTTTTGATCAGTTTTACATCTACTAAACGACGCTTTTTTACTTTGGGTCAAGGCATGGCTTACAAACCTGCAACAAAGCCTCGGCCCGTTCCGGTTGCTGTACAACTTGGTCCATCAGCATATAATTCTTGGTGTAAATCGATGGACCATCATAGTTGGCCGTATATTCGCCTTGCGGAATCCTAAGTAGCATATGTAAGATACTAAAACAACCATTTCATACCCATCGGCGACGTATCCCGTTTCTCTTGGGGCTGTTTGTTGGAAGATTGAGTCGAGAACTTCTTCGATGGTGACTCTGCCGCCATAGCGGACGCTGGAACCTCCTAAGAAACGGAAAAAGTATTTAGAAGTATTTTTGTTTTGTTTTACCATAGCTCTTTCGTGGACCAACAAAGGTATCGGCTACCTCAACGACTTTAGAAGCACGACTGCGGCCTAGATTCCAGGACTCCGGGACCTATTTAACGTTTTGAGGGTAAATAGATAGAACTGAACCTCAGAGACAGTGTATCCTGGTAGGTTACGGTGACCCTCCAGACTTTGTCTGCTATCGGAGCGCGAAACAGCGATTACCTGGATGAAACATTGAGGCTGGTTTTTCTGGGAGGGAGGTAAATTATGAAGGATGCGTTACGATTAGTCTATTTTTATCTGAATAATATACGATAAAATTCCGGGATTTTTGTTTTCAAGGAAAATATAATCTTTTTGTTTACAAGCTTTTCCGTCAAGCACCTCGTCAAAAAACGTTGTTCAAGAAGCTCAAGGACAATTTAAAAAATATTATGGAACTATATACAATTTTTTATATAAATCTTTCAAAATCCAGTTTATCATTCCAACTTAAAATTGTGGGATAGGTATGGAAATGTTAACTAAATAGAACCTCGTGCGAGACGGTTCGCCGGGGTGCAGGCATTGGGGCTGTCCGGAGAGCCTAAACAAAACGAAACCTCCACCAATAACATATCCGATTATATTATTCATATTGTCTCTGTTTCAGCATGTTAATCGGATCATCCCGATCCAATTCTGATTGTTGATGTGCGTGGTAGCCGGGATAGGGTGCGCCCTAACGTTACAACACATATAAAACAATACCCGGACGTGAAGCTCCCACCCCAAAAATAACGTCAAACGATAAAATTTTATTTCCAAAAGGACATGAAGCGATAAAAATTGAAGCAAACAGGACGGCCCCCAAAGCAGCCAGAAGGAGCATTGCGGAAAGGGAAAAATAAAAAATAAATGTAATTCTGCTCTACACATACGGATGGAAAAGCCAAGCTAATTCTAAGGGCAGGCCCATAATATATCACAAAGCTTACAAAAGGTACATCACGTGGACTTGCACAGAAAAAAAATGCTCAAAGGGAAATGGCGTCAAAACGGGCGGGAGGGCAGCGAAATTTGCGTATTATTCTTTGAAGAGTTGAAACGTTTTTGAAATTTGGTGTGTAGATAGTTTGTTGAGAAGTGCAACATGCGGGGATAGAATAGGGGGAGAGGGGAAAGGCACAGGTTTTGAAAAAGGGGAATAGGGTTGAAGTGGCCGGGTGGGTCGGTAGCTGTGGTGATAAGATTTATTGGAAACATTGTTGGGCGTTTTCCCCAATTGTCAGAGAAACGTCAAAAGCGCCAAATAGGCAAAAAATTTCAAATTTTGCATAATTAAAGCCACTTCAACCCTAATAAGCGACAGAGGGTAGGGGGTAAGAGGAAACATGCATGCCACAAGCACCCAAAAATCAGTTTCGACACGCCCAGGGTCTTTTTATAGAGCGACTACCTGGCGAGGTGGCTCCATTTGGTGAAGAGATGTGCGACTCCTCCTAACATCCTCAATTTCATCCCGATACCGATCGAACATTCCGCGTGGAATGAATGGTTCCATCGGGGTGGTTGTGGCGGATTGTGTCGCACGATAATCATATCCGGATGTAGCCCGTGGTAGCGTCATATCAACGTCAGTGGGACGCACGGTCGGACGATTTTCACGATACCTAAAAGAGAGCTCTCAAAAATTTTAGGAAAATAAGCTCAAAAGATGTGTGCAGTGTGTGAAGAGTTAAAAATAAGCAAAAAGCATACAACTTTAACGTTGCAATTTTCTCCGCCAAATTCAGCAACTGCTGTTAGCTCCCTAACGACCCAATGGCTAGTTGCCAACATTTGAGCGATAAGCCAAGAATAAGCTAGCTGGCTGTCGCACACACCTCGACTCTCTAGCATAGAAAAACAGTTCTCTACGGCCTACATGCCTGGCACGTCGACTGAAGGAGGAGTTGAGGAAGCTTCTACTAGACCATTTTTAACTTACCAATCCGGAATCGGGAGTCGTTCGGTACTCTTGCGGAATCGGAGTTCATGCTCAGAGATACGTTGCGTACTACGAGGGGATGGGGCCATCTTCTGGAGCTCGTTCTCCGGCGCTAAGGTCTCCTCCCGTTGGCTGAAATCGAAATATGAGATGGGACTGGCAAATCGGGGCTTCTTGGGGCGAGTCATATAAACTCGACAAACATGCCGCGAGGGCTTTATCTGGGAATTTGTATAGTCGAAGACTTGCGGGCTGGTATGCAAACTTACAGCCTGTCCAAGAGATAGTCGGCGCTCTTGCTCCTGGTGTGGCTCACTTCTTCGCCTCGATCGAGGTAATCCCGTCGGCTTTGACGATGGTAATCAACCACACTACCAGATCGACGATGAACGTCATCCAAATTCGTCTCTTCCACCTAAAGGCCACAGTTCGACATGAACAATAGATTTTTAGGGGTTGAGGATAGCAATTATCATTCCCATAGTTCCCTGATCAGTTCGATTATTTTTGCAGGGAAAGATGCTTCATTCGCTTTATAAAAATGCTCCGACACTTTGCCCGCGAGTAAGTTAGAACAAGCCGATATTAATTTGAGGCATGCAAAAAATGGGTTTTTTTATTTTCTAAATGCCTTTCGGCAGGTATGAACGAGACAAGAATCAGCACGTTTACAGACATAAAAACATTTCCAGGGTTTTCTCAGCTTACTAATATCTTTTAAACATTTTCAGGCTCCTAATTTCGCATAAAATGCTTTAAGTAAAACTTCCATGCTCGAGAATTCATTTTCAAAATTTAATTTTTTTAATTACATGCCAAAACATGCTTTCCTAAGATGAAACTCAATTTTGGAAATCAGAATCCTGGTAGAGACATAAAAAGCAAGCATAAGGGCAGGCTTTCTACTACTATATATTAGATTAATTAGACGCGTTAGTACAAGCAGCGGGCTGGAGCTAAGGGGCACGTTTTAGCTTGGGGTAAGGGCTGTTAGCATTTTTGAGTATGCATATGGGGATGCAAGCGGACCTGGCGAACATCGGTGGCAAAATCGGGCCGCCCAGTGTCGATATCCGTCTCGAGATATGATGTTGAGAAGTGCCGTTGCCTACTGTAGAGATTCGGCTGCGACAACCGGTTCCGATAGTTGGCATACTTCCGCTCAGCCACCTCCAGCAATCGATCAAATTCCTGGCATAAGCACATCGGTTTTGTAGGGGGAAAAGCGAACAACGACACGCGCGTCCTCCGCACTACTACTAACACCCAAAATATATATAGTGACAGGAAAAGCCAACGACACGACGACTATAGATATACCACGAGGAAAGTGTCAGCGGAGTTTTTGGAGGCGAGTAGCGTTTCGGCCAGCGAAAAAACGAAGCAACCAAGGAACTATGAAGGAGTAGGGGGGAGGAACTGAAGTATTTTCGTTCAATTTGGGTTTTGAAAAATGAAATTGGTTTGATGAACCAAATTATGGAATAAAGCGTGCTTTGGGTAATGAAATAATTGTTAAAAACTAACAGCTAAAAGAGCTGTACTACAGGGTGTTCCAAAAAAAAAAGGTCCAAGTTTGTCCCCGAATAACTCGAGAAGGAAACATATTTCACCGTGCGTTACCATGCCAGAATGCTTAAATATGTCAGGAATAGGGAAATAACTCAACTTGATTTTTTCGATTTTTGGCGACGTACCCATACAAATGACACCCGAAAACTGTGCGTTCCGTCAAAACTTCGTTTGCACTTTTTTGGATTGCTGGTGGTCGAACACTTTCAATTTTTACAGTGTAGGTACCTAAGGACTGCCCCTACGCACATCCGGAATTTTGGAATTTTCGAAGGTCTGGTTGGCAAGTTATAGCGTGCTCAAATTTAATATGGAGAAATTTCGCAAAATTCGAATATTACAAAAACCTATGGTGGAAACCTCAAAATAGGTTGTTCTGGAATACCTAAAAGCTCTGTACAATCGCACAAACACTTCAAAGATTTTTTTTAGATTAATGAATTTTCAAGTTTTTCAACGACCCCCTGGTCATGGATTTTTAGAGGTCACGAAACTGAACTTTGGGTGTTTGCTTTGCTTTTAGTTGTGTAGTACTGGGGTCCATCTATCATGTAGACAATTTCTAGCTACCGTACCCCTTTGGAAGGTTGTCTTTTAGCGCCTCCAAAACGGTTGGTTCGTGCTATTTCACAGACCTTTGTGCCAGCCTATAAAAGTCATTTGCGCGGCTAGAATTATTATCATAATTTTATTTGATACTGCTTAACGGGCGCATTCTAAGATTAATTTTACAAATTTATTGGGCCATCCCAATCTCTCAAAAGAAATTCATGAAAAGTGCAAATATACCCGAATTCGAGGCGACGTAAAAAAATTCTCGAAGCTCTAGTAGCCTCGACTTTTCTGGCATAGACCAAGCCTGGACAGTCAACTAGAACCCATGCAAATACAAGAACTTTTCATGGCAAACGAATTTAGAAGAGCTCCCCAAAGTCGGCTTTTCAAAAACGTTATTTTTGGGTTTTAAATCAAAATGAACCATTAACTTCAGCCAGATCATTCCAGAATTCTGTTCTCCTAGACAGTTGAATGTGTGCTTTAATTATATCCACCAAACCACGGTGCCTTTTTCATTTTCAAAAATTCGATACTCGACCCCGGAACTCGGATCCAAAATCGGGCCCCTTGGAGGGTTTTCCGCTTTCCCTTATAACTTTGTTATTTACCACAGAAAGTAAGTAATTTTTTGCCTGCGTTCTCATAATCACCCAGCGAACATTCTAAAGTTGAAAACTTGGCATTTTATGGAATTTTGTCTTGGCATGCTAAAACGCGCTCTAGGCGGGTTACTGTAGAAATCATAAAATCGCCGTTTTCTCGATCTTTTCACCATAGAAACCTTTAGATCTTTCAGGAAAACAAATAATAGTAGTTTTTGGTCCGATGCATCAAAATATTTAGACATTTCCGTGGCTAAATTCAAAAACAAGTTTTTTGCATATTTTGGGAAAGTGTATGGCTAGAACTTCGCGGTATTTAGCCGATAGCTGCCCCTTACTATTATTGACCAATGATAAAATTTTAAGCGAAATCGCAGCTTACAATAAAAAGAAAAACGCGAAAAACGAAAACTACAGTATCCCTCTGGGGCACGTTTTAGCAAGCAATATTAAAATACCATAGAATCAGGTGAAAATTGGTGTTGTGCCAAAGATTATCATCTGGAGACACTATTTACAAAAGATCAGCCACATTCAGCCAATTTGAAGGGCGTTGCGAATTAAAATGTAAAAAAATGCCGAATAGTGAAATTTGTTTTGTTTGTAAAAAAAGAATTAGAGCTTGAAAAATTCTAAGACTTGGCCATTACCTTTCTACAAATGTCAACTATTTTTCGGCCAAAAATCAGAATTTTCCCACCACCCATTCAAGAACGCACAATTTTCGGTCGTAACCAGCGTCAATAGTACAGTTGCGTACTCAAAAATCGAAAAAATCAAGTTGAGTTATTTCCCTATTCCTGACATATTTAAGCATTCTGGCATGGTAACGCACGGTGAAATATGTTTCCTTCTCGAGTTATTCGGGGACACACTTGGACCTTTTTTTTGGAACACCCTGTATGCAAAAAAACCGTCTATAAAACCAAAGCACGCGCGGAAAATGAAATGAGAATTGAAGGCAAGTAGAAAATGACCAACCTGACTGTATGGAGACGGTCCGACACGTGGGTACGGTACGTTGATATCTTCGGGGCGGCTGGAGAATTGGCCTGAATGGAACTTCTGGAGGAGGGGTCCGCGGAGTTCCGGTCTCGGGCGCATCTCGTCATGCTGCGAGCGCCATGCCGAGTCTGCAACATCACCAAGGTGCTCATGCCACGGACATTTTGACATGCCAATTTTTTTGAAATTAAGTTTTTCTAGTATTGTACCACGTTTTTTCTTCTTTGGATGTGAATTATATTTGCTACGTATCTATACGCCACGTCTAAATAATGGACTAATTAGAATCCAAGGTATTTTATACATGGCAAAATTACTTTTTTTGCGTTTCGCATCCTAATTAGCATCTTATTTTGAGTCGCATCTATATACCTATGAATATAATAAAATATCAACTATGGATTAAGACTTTCTAATTTGGAAAAACAACTGAATCCGCCAATGATTTTATCTTTTTATAAAACCAAAAACTAGGTAACGTAAATTGACAAAACCCTTGAAAATTGATTAGGTACAACTATTTAATAAAAACTTTTCGAATTGGTCATCAATGATCTTGCGATTCGTAATTTCCCCCCATTTCCAGACCCCTAACGTCAAACCGTTTGTTACCAATTCCCCAATTATAATTCCACGCATCTCTCTGTATTTGTTTTCCTCTGTATTCTCCCCCCATCCCCCCCGCCATCCGCTTTTCCATTCTATATTTTGCTTTGTCTGGCAGACAGCCGGCCCCCCGAATTCCCACCACCTAAATGGAGCGCGGGCGCGAAATAAAAAAGAAACGTGACGCACAATATGCAGCAGCCCAGCCAAAAAGAAAAATCATAATATAAAAATGTATAGCCCAAACATGCAGCTATATATGTACAACCCTAACACCGCCAAATTCCAAATATAATATATGGGTACAAGCATGCTAATGAATGCATTTCTTTCCGTTTTAGGGTTTATTTTTTTCAGGGGGGAAGGGTTTCAGTGCAGTTTCGAGTATGTTAGGTCCTTGATAGAAAGCATTTATCAGAAAAATTTTAACAAATACGAAAATATGCATAGTTGCTCCGCCGCGTGTCGGCTGTCTGCGGAGGGGGGATTAATTTGAAGCCAGTGGAAGGTTTTTTTTAATGAAGCCATCCAAAAGGTGGGTATAAGGGTCACGCCAAAAGTGTCTTTTTAAGAGGGTACTGCTTTTTGTATAAAACGAGGGATAGAAAAGCGTTTTGTCTACGGTGCACTAGAATTCCTAGCCGATATATAGGGGGGACAGAAAGAAATGCACTCATCAGCTGTGATAGTAAAAGAAGCGGTGAATCGGGAGGTGTTGGCGGGTGTTGTGTTTCGGACGCATCGACATTTGTGCAAGTGGCGCCGCGGCGGCACGGGGGGGAGATGCAAATTTATTTTGCGGACCGACACCCGAACGAGCCGATCCGAAAATACGTTCACAACCCAAGAAGAAAACACGGACATTTAGTACAAAGAGTGCTGAAAATTGGATGGATGGGAGTTTTGAGAAAGTGCGATCGGTTTTTAGGAGAAAGATACTTTTGTTCTGGCAGCTCAAAAGCCTGAGTTCACACGGTTACAAAGTGATTGGGGCCGGGAGGGCGTAATGCCTAAAATGCGTCGCGAGGTTATTTTTCGAATGATGCCTATAAATCACCAGGGTGTAGATGATGGGTGGGAGGGGGAGAAAGAGAGAATATAGCCAAGGGCTACAATTATACATGCAACATTGGGTCCATGCAAGCGTATGTGCGCGCTCGTGTCGCAAAAACGGGGTAGATGGGATGGCGATCACAGGAGGGTTGGGGGGAAGGCTATGCTAGAATAACTAGGCAAAGCTATCAGATATGTAAAGCTAGTCATCAAAAGATATTGTCGCGGAGTGTGGTGGGGGATGGTGATGGTAATCAGGGCGCAGGGAGTGTGTATGTGTTCTTCACATTACGATACCTTGCGACGACTCGGGTTGGCCGGTGATGAAGTCGCGGCGGGCTTTTTCGACCTTGGACTTGAGGCGAGAGTTGCGGGCAGAGTTTGAGCGGTTGAGATCATCGACTCTGCAAGAGTCACATAAATTTTGGTGCTAGGATTTTCACATACCTCTGACTATACATCCGTTCCCTCCGCTCTTCCTCGTTTGTCACGTCAAGTGGCGACTCGCGATAACCAATGGCACCAAGTGATGTTCCACCAAGCCCAATTGGATAAGTTCGGGTGTGATCATCAATGAACAAGTTACGATCCACACGCTCGATCACCTAATCAACGATTATTTTCATGCCACCACGTCCATACCTGGCGTTCGACCTTGGTCGTGTATTCCGCTCCAGGACCCGACAAGTTTTCGCGGCTGAAGTAAGCCGGCCGGACGAGCTTTCCAAGCGTTTCAGGCGAGGTCAAATCGTTCCTCTTCCTCTCCCGGGCCTCCTTCAACTCCAGAAGACGCCTCTTCTCGATCTCGAAACGCTCCTTCTCGGATTTCTCACGGATCAGGTGATCCAAATGTTCACGAGAGCGCCGATCATCCTAAAGTTGAAATGGTTATAATCAGAGTTACCAATGCTTTCCATGGATCCATCCCACTATAGAGCTTGCAACAAAAATGCTACCTTTCTACGATTCTCCTCTCGGACAATGGCTTCAATGCGTTCCTTTTCACGGATCTCTTGGTTTCGCCTTTCGCGGTCTTTCAGATCACGAAGTTGGCGTTCCTCGTCCTCACGTTCTCGGTCCCGTCGTTCAGCTTCTTTGCGCTCCCATTCCTTCAGCTCAATGGCCCGGCGCTCAAGCTCTGCCCGTTCGCGGTCACGGTCGATTTCGGCCTGAATTAGATGGATGGTTTTACCATATTTCTCAGTCTACTAAGAATGGAAAGGCCGAAAATTACCTGTCGTTGGCGGTCACGGTCGTTCTTCAGTCGCTCAAGTTCGGCAAGCCTCTTCGCTTCAACATCTTCTTCAGCTCGCCTTTGTCGTTCTCGCTCAATGGCAGCTTGGCGCTCTCGCTCGCGTCGCTCACGTTCCCGGCGCTCCTCTTCCTGGCGTTGGCGTTCACGGAGCTCATCTTCCTGACGCTCACGATCACGGCGCTCACGTTCACCTCGTTGAGCGGCAATCAACTCTTGCTCGCGAAGCTCGGCATCCCGGCGTTGGCGCTCACGAGCTTCGAACTCGATCCGTTCCTTCTCGAGACGTTCTTGTTCGAGGCGGATTCGCTCAAGTCGATCGCGCTCCTCCATCTCTTCAAGTCGTCGAAGCCGCTCTCTTTCCTCGGCTTGCCGCTGGATATCAGCCAAAAGCTCTCGCTCGCGGCGCTCCTCTTCTCGCCGACGGGCTTCCTTGGCCTCATCTTCAAGACGCTCACGCTCCCGGGCTTCCGCTTCCCGGCGAGCAAGTTCGAGGGCCTCGCGTTCTTTTCGCTCCAGCTCACGGCGTTCAAGCTCTAAAAAATAATGGGTTTGCTTCAATAAAATTAGTAGATAAAATATTCTGAAGAGTCGTCCCGATAGCTTACCAATGCGTTCAAGCTCCTCGCGCTCCAGCTGCAGTCGGCGTTGCTCCTCCAGCTCACGTTCACGATCCTGTCGCTCCCGTTCCAAGCGCTCTCGCTTGATTCGCTCGATTCGCTCTATCTCGATGCGTTCACGCTCCAGCCGTTCACGCTCAATTCTAAAAAATAAGGATTTCAATCAAGAGATATAGGGAATTTACGACCTTTCTCTAGCTAACCATTCAGCATTTGTATTTGGGTCATATGATCGGGGGTGACGATGCGTGCGCTCAGTATGATTATACTGTTGCAGCTGAATCATAGGTGACGGGGAAATGGCACGAGGCGGTGGGTATCTGGGGCTGGGACCGGGCAGATGTTCACTTTCCGAATATTTATGATGTTCCTTAATAATAGCAGGGATTCGACCCTCATTAGCAAGTCGTACAATATCTTCTTGGCTGCTTGGTCTTGCATTCTTGATAGAATAGATAGGTTGAGGCACTTTCTTCTTGACGCTAGTCTTCGTCTGTTGAACAGATTTGACAAAAGTGACCTTCTTGACTTCGACCACCATGGCTGTACGGTGTGCGAATACAGGAAGCGGGGCTCTTCCCCTTGCTTCCAGCCCCCCTGTGGGACAATCAATGTCGTTGTGATTCATGCCGAATTCGGCTCTCCACGCCCCCCCGCCGCCCGGATCATTTGCATTCGATGAAGCGTTGCCGTTATACGGGCATACACACACGCTACGGTGCCACGCTATCCCCCCTCCACCCCTACCCCTCTCTTTCTCCCCGCTCAATGTTTTGTCGTACAGAAAACAAACAGAAATTGGCGCTGGCTTTTCCCCGGGGTACGTCGATTCAGAAAACCATCTGTACTTTGGTGAAAAGTGAAAATAACCACCTCTCGCGCTCAACTCGCTCGAGTTCCTCACGCTCGCGACGAATACGTTCTTCTTCAAGGCGCTTTCGTTCGCGTTCAATACGCTCACGCTCGATGCGTTCTTCTTCGATACGGATGCGTTCGAGGCGCTCGCGTTCCGCTTGACGTCTACGCTCAAGTTCCTAGGAAAATCGCATTAAATTTGCAGATGAAGTTAAATTACCTGCTCCTCCAAAGCCCTCCTCTCGGCTTCACGGGCATCCCATTCCGCGCGTCGAAGGCGTTCAATACGTTCTCGTTCAGCACGGTCGCGATCAATACGATCTTTCTCATTGCGTTCCCGCTCATGTTGAACGGTTTCGAGCTCCCTTTCCTTGCGCTCCCAGTCTTTTCTTAGGATTTCAAGGCGTTCTTTTTCCTTGCGGTCCCATTCACGACGGAGGTCATCTTCCCGTCGACGCCGGAGTTCTTCTTCGCCACGACGGCGTTCCTGGGCTTCACGGATCCTTCTCTCCTCTTCTTCGACCTAGATTGAAAACTTTAGGAATATGGCGGGCTGGGCTTACATTTTTCGTAACGTTATAACGATATTCGACTTCCTTGGTCTCGCGGGTATTCGGGTCTGGGTACGAGACATATCTAAAATATATAGATGTTTTTGAATAGTTTTTTATTCAAATACCGTTCGATAGGGCTGCTTCGTCCAAGTGGCGGCTGTGACAATGTCTCTTGGCTACGAGTGATCACCGTTCGTGAGATAACCTAAAGATAAAAATGGGCTCTGCTGTAAAATCCCAAATTAGCAATAAGTTGTGCAATTTTTGTAGTGGCTTAGAAAAATCTGGATATTTTAATCGATTAGTTTTAGTTCATAGCAAACTGAATATGGGGGAATGGCATTCTTGTTGTGTCGGGGGTTTTTTTGTCGTTATTTACCTCATCGGAAAATAGGTTCAAGCGTACACGCTAAAATGAGGGATGGGATGGGATGGAAAGATATGATGAAGCGGGGGGTAGGAGATAGTAAAGAAGTTGAGGTGAAAAATAAATGTATTTTTTTTTATTCGCAAAGGTTGGTTTTGGAAAGAGCTAAGTTTTAGGTAGAAATTAATTGTTTTGGGCTTACCTCTCTGCGGTAGTACTCATCGCCAAGGTCTGGCCGCGGATCGTACCCAGATGATGGCATTAGGGCTCGGGAATAATCGACGGAAGATGCGGCAGCCGATGGAGCCCGATGGACCGGGATCTCACGGATCGTCGACCGGGACGGAGCTGGCTCCGACAATAGGTCTTCTCGCGAATACGACTGAAAAATGGAAAGTGAATAGAATCATACTTTAAATATATAGAAAAACGGTTGAAAATCTACTGGCCGCGACTAGCATCATCATCATCAATTTTTATAGTTTCCTTAAATTAAACTGGATACAATCACAAAAGAAACAACAATCCCAAAAAGCCATAACGAGCTGTTTTTATATTCCATGAAGTTTTTGTATATATTCAAAGACTTTCTTTCGGGAAAATTACCTTAATTCCCTCCAAATACTGCGAAATCATTAGCAAGTTTAATAAGCGCGCAAAAACTAAACAGAACCACTCCCAAAGCCCTGCCTCTTTAGCCTACCTGAATGGCAATAGTAATGTCAATGGCCTTCCCCACCCCACGTCTGCCTACTACTACTACTACCTCACCCAGCAATTTACCAACCCAACTCAACGGCAAAGACCTAAAATATGGCAATAGACCGAGAAAGACGCCGAGCCATTCCAATGGTCGTTTAGGGCCCAAAACAAGCCTACAAGCGTCGCGATCGAGATAAGCTATCAAGGCAGTGAATCACCGCTGGGCTGTTGTTGCCAGCTGGTCCGCCCCAAATTCAAAAATGTGGGTGACGAATGAAGTTCGGGAATGCGGCTCGAGATCTGGGTTTGGGGAATGTGAGGCGCGGGGAGGCTCGGCGGGTGGCGCTGGCCGGGGGCTCCTCAGAATATTTGTTGTAAGGAGGATGAGGAGGGGTCTTCGGATCTACACGAGATGTCCTTGGATCTAGGGTGAGTAGGAAGGAGGAAGAGGAGGAAGAGGAGGAGGAGAGGCTGTCAATGCAGGTCAGCGCACCCCATTCCGACCCTCAGCTAAATGCCTCGTGAGAGCCGAAAAAACCCATGGGGGGGCGAGCAAGCACTATAGCCCTCAGACCGTTAGACATTGAAAATTGCGCGTCATTCTGTGGTTGGTTACGACTGGATGAGATGGAATGAGATTTGAACCGGTATGAACTGTTTTAAAGGCACTGGGAAGTCAAAAATCAAGGCATGACGTTTTTAGATATTCAAATTTCTGTGATGGAGTCTTACATTTAGGCGACAAATATTTTTGAACGTTAATTTGCATTTAGTAAAGTCGACAAGATTAAATTCAGCGAAATAAACATTAGAACTTTTAATGGTAGTCGACAAGAGCTTCTGATTCAAAATACAAATATAAGGATTTCTCAGATAGCCAAGGCCCATCATCAAAAATAACAACGTACATCACCCACCTAACAAGATGCTGAACTATCCAAAACCCAAACCTAAGCCCCAAAATACGTAAAAGCCGCCCCGTCGTCGTAAAGTGCGCCACACAAAATTCAGCAACAAACCAACACCACGGAAACGCGGCCTCTGCCAGTGAGTCATAAGACCCAAAGGTATGGGAGCGCCCGCCATTTTTCGAAGGCAACGCTGGGCCCCAGAGACGAACCCGAGTTTGATTCCGGGAGGCCCACGGCGCTCATGAGTCGAGCGCAAACAAAACAACGCGCTTTTTCTCCAAGCGCGAGGGCTGGCACAGGGCAACGGAACTTTCCTATCCCAAGTCTCTGCGGGGTTTCCACAGGAAAAAGGTAGGACGTAACAGATGTAGAATGATGCCCCGAGAAGTGACTGGAATGGGATGGGTGGACAGTTGTGACGCTGGACGCGCGGACGATATGTTTGTTTGGGGGGTGGAGGAGCCATAGGTATGGCATCGACGTCCGGTTGGTTGCCAAGTTTTCTTTCGTTGAACAGCCGGGTGCGTCGGGGTGGGGTGGGGGGGGGGGAAGGGGGCTTTTGGTGGATGGCCAAACAGGAATGAAAACAATAGATGAAGGAAATTGAAGGGTAGAGGTTTGGGCAGCAGGTGGGAAGAGATGGGGTGGGTCCCGGGAAAGAGTGGCAGAGCGGAATGTTTGGAATGGATAAATAAAGTTTAGGTAATTTGAGGCGAGGGTTAATGATGATTGCTCGAGAGATGGGATCGAAAATCAAAAAAGGGAAAGTTTTGGCAGCAGAGACCAATAGCGGAAAGCTTTAGCGCGCTGAACCACGCTAGGCTAGCATAACCTAGCGATCCAAAAACCCCTGTACCAACCCATGACCTCGAAACCATTCTGAAATCCGAATTTTCAGAAGCAAAAGAAGGCCGAGCAGGTATGGGACGGGTGGTTGAGGGCTGAAGGGGAATGCAGGGCAGCAAGGACAATGCCTGGAGACCTTGGTGAAGACGGCCCTGGGGGAGGAGGAGATGGTGGTAGAAGAAGGAGGAGGTGAGGAAGGAGGAGGAACCAACGGGGGAGGAGGTAGAATGGGCGCCCCCACCCGCCTTCCACCCCGAGCGGGTGGGGGGGGTTGCCCGCCCCGCGCACCTCGAATTATCCATACGCCATGCTCAATAAGCCGCCACGAATTGGCCAGGGGCAAAAGATGGAAGGTGGGGGGTGGTCGTAGATCGGTGTGGGAGATCAATGATGGGTAGAGGGAGAGAGTGGTAAGGTATTGCTTACTAGGGAAGTATCTGAACTTGCCATCGAACTTCGAGAACTCAGATACACCATTCGAGCGCCGGACAAGAGGATTCCAAATATGTAATAAAATCAACGGGAGCGCATAACGGTAAAAAGTTATGAGCAATTTAAGTTTTACATCGAAATCCGCCGCCGCGAGAAGAGCCCCTCCCCGAGCACCCTGTGCATCGGTCTCGTGGCCTAGTGGTGTGCGCATGGGTCTCTGGTCTGTATGACCAGGGTTCGGATCCCCTCACGATTTTTATTTTTTGCTTTTTGATCAGTTCTTACTTTTTGGATGTCCAAACTCGGGAATAAGTTTTTCTTCACTGTGTGGCCCCTAAAAAGCACCAGTGATGATAAAATAACCTCCGGCAACAAAACCAGGATTGGACGCTCTCTTTATCAAAGTTGGCAAAATCGTCGGAAACTGCCTTTTTAAGGCTCTGTGCGAATTCGAAGAATTTAATTTGTCAAAAATGGAACAGTACATCTTGATGAGCAGAAAATTCCCTTTAGAATGAGCTATCTTACCTGCGCTTTACGCCAAATTCTCGAAAAGTCTTCGGCTAGCTGGCCATACCCTACCCTTACTCTGCATTAAATAAATATTTTTTTGCGGAAATTTTTGGCAGCCGTATGTAATATAGCTCATTTAAAAGAGCTTTCTTTGTTGAACAAGGAGCACTAATCTGTTTAGACTAAATTCCATTCCGCGGGATAATACAGGGTCTCAAAGATGCTGTTTTTCGTCATTTTGCCGACTTTGAGCCCTCATAACTTTTTACCGTTATGCGCTCCCGGTGATTTTATTACAAATTTGGAATCCTCGCGTCACGGCGCGTCGAATGGTATATCTGACTTCTCAAGGTTCGATGGCAAGTTCAGATACTTTCCCTAGTTAGAACGTATGGGTATCTATAGGTTTGAAAAATTCATGTTCTAGCAGAAGCTGAATCGAATTTGCTTACTGTGTTCTAAAGTAATTTGATGTACTTTCCGCCCTGCCGTCCCTTCAAAATCTCAAAAAGCACATTAATAGTGAACGGCGATCCTGAGAGCCCCCTTATACCTCCCAATTGACCACCGATCTGCAGCTCATTGAATTCTCCAATTTCTTCCCACCATTCCTTCCTTCGACCACCACCACCCTAATCAAACGCCACATTTCTAAACAAACACCCCCGAGCCCTTCCCTTTCCCCCACCGCGTCCCAACATGCAAATCTCTCGAAATTCGCCGGGGGCCGGGCCCGAGGGGCTCGAAGCTGGGGCTAATATTCTTGTGTGAGGTGCTGAAGGTGGGTGGTGGAATGGCCGAAGAGGAAAAGAGGGGGGTTGTGGTGAAGCTTGTTTGATGGTTGGGACACCCAAGAGGCTCCACAAATAAAGCATTGACACCGAACCCTGGACACTAGGTTCGCCTTCCACCGGCACACACACACGGGAGACACAAACAATGTAACACCGGGGGTGGCTAGTGAATCGGCTAGTGAAATTAGGCGTGTGCTATGGCAAATATACTGTTAATTAGCATAGCAGATTAGATGGCAAATCCATGCAACTAATTATCATATAAGTTTTTGGCTGGTATTTTGACGACGGCGATCAAATGCGCACTGCCTTGCAATGCCCCCTTCCACTTAATCCCACTAAAGCTATCACGTTACATTTCTCCCCCAAAAAAAGCGTGCCGTCAGCAGGGAGCGCCCCGTTGCCAGCCGATCCTGAATCAGAGTTGTGTCACTGAGATTCGTGGGCTGGGCGGCCTCTCGATGAAGCACCGGGGCTGCAAAAGCAATTCCGATAAGGCGACGGCAGGCATGCTCGCGAGGATCGATAGAGGATCGTCCGCGAATTTCGCAGGGTTTCATGGATTTTGATGGGAATTTCGGCAGGGGCGGTGTAATGGAATCAACCAAAAACGGCAACAACAAAAAGTATAAACCAGCAATGCCAGGAATATGCAAATCGGATCCTCTAGTCAAAATCCGGCGCCTCAGCGGGGTATCGACTGGCGCCCAAAGCTTATCATACGGCTTATTGTTGCCTGGAGATGCCGAGGGGGAGGGCTAGATGATCTAAGAGAGAGTGTGTCGAGTCGGCTCAACGACCGAGCGTCTCGGGGCGAAGGAATGCAAAAATAATCCGCCTCGGCCTGCGGGCGGCAATCTTTCAGCTAGGGGGGAGGGGAAAGAAAACGGCTCGATCAGCTGGGAAAACCGCTGGCTGGGACTAAGTTTTTGAGGAGGGTTTTTGGCGCAGCGCATTGTTTTTTTTGGGCGGAAATGAATCAGAAGTAGGAGGAGAGTGTTCTTGATTAAAGTTGCGGCGTGTTTTGGAAAATTGTGATTCATTGGACTAGTGGAGGAAAAGTAAGGGGGGAAGGAAGAAAAACAGTCGAGTGAGTAGATACTATTGGCGGGTTCAAAAGTAATAGAGCTAAAATAAAAATATAATCAAAGTAAAATCAATCGCAAATAACGGAGATTTATAAATATTTTCTTTCCATGAGCAGCAGAGCAACGAAACTTACAAATAAAGAATAGTGCTTCAAAAGCGCCGAAAAAGGCCCTGCAAACCCGTTTTAAAGGTCGAAAGGACCGCAATTATAGCCGAGGGAATCCGAGCGGACGTTCCAGCCACAAGGGCCAAGTGAACGAGCGCGCAGGTGGCGGTAGTGGTGCGGTCCCGTTAGGGCCCATGTACGGACCCACACACGGGTAAACAACCACCACTGGTGACGACGATCAATGCGTGCGGGGAACGAAAGAGCCCTCCCCAAATGATACAGGTAATATTGGACTGGGTCTCCCCCCTTGGGCCACTAGCTCTAGGTTGGTGAGAGTGCAAATATCCCCTCAGCATGGGCAACCCGGAGCCAGCTATCGAGTTAGCTCCCCGAAAGCAACTTGGGAGGTATCGACCGGTATAATTTTATGTGGTCGGATTTTTACCTGACCGAATTTTACTTCTCAAAAATTTAACAATTTTTAATTTTTAATTTTGTAGTAATTATTCGGTGCGGTAAAATCCGTTCAGATTAAAATTGGATACGCTTAAATCGATTCGTTGGCAATGAAACCTATAAACCATATAAAACTTCCTATTCTGATAGTTTCAAAATCACGCTGCTTCCGGCCTACCTCAAGCCCCAAGCTTCAACGCCAAATTTCTCGCCACCCCGTCTATTTACCAACGTTGCCAATCAGGGTCCCGCTACGAATGTTTTTGCGTTTTTGCGTCCCGGCACAGTTTTCTATTTTCTAAGCGTGGAAAAGCGGGCTCGGAGGGAAAGATCCGGGGAAAAGACTTACTTTTGTGCTGCCACCGACCGTCGGCGGATGGGTGACGGTGTAGTTGGGAGGTGGCGGAGGTGGCGCCTCCATTGGTGGGGAGTAGGCGCCTGGAAAATTAAATTATAACAGTTTGTACTTGCATGAGGAAATGCCACTTTACAATGATTCGACAACATCAAAAAAATCAGAATTTGCTAGAAAACAGTCGTAGCCTCCATAATCAATTCTGCCCGCTCTGCCAAAAATTTGCGCCGAAACCGTCCAGAGATAAGGAGAAACCTTTCAAGAAGCAGAATCGGTTTAAGAAATCAATAATGCAATTGAAATTGGCCTAAGATAATAAAATAAAAATAAAATCTAGTTGAAAACGTCCAAAACTTTTCACAACAAGTTTCAGCCAAATACGGGTGGTCGACGATTCTCGACTGCAGCCTAATCAGGCGTGAAACTTGGATTTTTGGGCGGGGAAACCACAAAAATTCGTCCTTAAAATTTGCTGCACGTTTATGCAATTTGGTATATTCAAAAAAAATCTGCTACTTATTAGCGTGGGATAGAGAAATCAAGATGCCAGCAAAAATCAAATAATTCCCGCGTTGATCCTTCAAAAACCTTGGAAACTGTCAGATCGATCGGAACTAGCAAGTGCCAAGCGCGAAGGGTAGATGGAAATGAATGGGAGGTGAGAGGGATGGGGGACAACGTTCGTTCGTTCGTTCGAAATGGCTGCTGCCGGACGCTTTGGGGATGGTGGATGCAATGAGCGCGAAGGCCATTGAAGGAAAAGGGAAGGAGAAAGGGACAGAGACTGGTTTGCCCTTCAGCCACTAGCCACCACAACAACTATCAACAGTTTTAGCCTCATTTTAGCTAGGGGATGGGTGCGTGGGTTGGGTAATGGAATGTTTGGGATTTGGCGATTGGCCAAAATCGAGAGAATCAAATATCAGTTGGCCAAAATGTGGCGATTTTAAAGAGGTTGGTAATTAGAATATTGGAACTATACCTAGCATTGCCTACATAGAGATCAGGTTGCAAATAATTAGAGTAGAATACAAAGCGGAGAAGACAAAAGAAATTTCGATAAATAAAATATACATCGAGATAAAATTTATGTAAATGCAGAGTCAAAACTATTTTGAAGTTTGTATCTGGCATTCCAAGTAACCTGTTATTCCGATGAAGCGTCTAGATGCGTAACATTTATAGCCTTAACGAGCTTCATTGCAGAAAAACGTGAGCAACAAGAAATTTGAATACCGTTATCGTAACAGTAAGTGACCCCTGCAGAAAGGAAATTTAAAGCGAATCGAGAAGACATAATTTTCCTATACTTTAAGGGTTGCAAAAATGGCTTCACCGGACAGCACATGCCACAAGCACAGAAAAACCGTGGGCGTCGCCCAAGCCAAACCTTTTTTCATCTCCTTGCTAAACCTTGCCGATGCACGCTGAGCACATGCGCGCCGCGATTCCCCCTTTACGAGCACAAACATTCGCGGCCAAGGCGAATCGTGGAATTCGTATCGTCGCTTTGGTTGGCCAGGGGTTCGGGGGGCAGTGGTGTCGTCGGGGCGGCTTGTCAACACCCCTCGGGGGGGCTATTGTGAGTAATCTGCCAAAGCTCTTGGTGGGGGGCACCACGGATCAAGAGGTGCCGGATAGGGGCGGGAGAGTGAAGGGGGGAGGTAAAGCCCGTCGTTGCCCCAGGTGACTGAATAATGGTGGGTGGCTAATTTGAATAATTAGTTGTGGGCGGCGGGGTGTCGAGAGGAGGTAAGTGTGAGTTTGAGAATGGACAATGGGCGAGGAATGGAGTGGTGGGGAATTGGTATAACGCTGGGCTTTTTTTTAGTGTCGAAGAAGCGGCAGGTGCTTCAGAACAGCAAAAATGGCCATTAGAAAAACAGTATATTCTAGAACAATTAAGATTGTATTTCGACGATTACTGAAAAGTGGTCAGGAAATCTTAATTTGCTGCTATTTTCTGAATTAGCTATGGAAGATAAATCGTTAATCATAGATGCGCTATATTACTTTTTGCGCATTTATTCATGATAGTCAGAATTTCTACTCAATAAATTCAAATTCGCTGTGTGTTATGTCTATTAGTGCGCCGTTATGACAAACTTGGTATGGAAAGCACTAAATAAATCATACAATCGTGACTAGCAAAACTGGCGGAACGAAACAAGCAGAATCCGAAGAAGAAGAATAGAAGATATAAAGCAAAATAAAAGCTTAATCCAACCGTTCACAGGCTACAGTGACACCCCCGGGCTGGTGGTATGGAGAGTAAATGAAATGGGGTCGCAGCGGCTTGGTGCGAGGGTGCGATCGGAACCTTAGCACAAGGTTCGCAGTCCCCCTCTACCCTCACCCATCCACCCCTCTGCCTCGAATTGTTTGTCCATACCATCCCCTTATGGCTTTGCGGGAAGCGGTCGACCACGGAAGACGACACGGAAGCCTCAGTTTGTTTGGTCACCATAACCCATCTCACTCCCCACACCACCACCACCAACCGGCTGGCTCGAACCAGGCCCAAGTCGGAAACAACGAATGGGCATTGGGATGGGAGTTGGGTATGAGATATGGGGAAAGTTTGCTGAGGAGTAGGATATTCCAGAGATACTTTAAGGTGATTTGTTCGAAAACTCCAAAAAGTCATCCAAAACCCACAAAAAAAATTTAAATCTCCATTTGGTATGATCTTAAAATATACAAAAACAGTATAAGAGGGAAAGGCGCAACTATGTGCTGGAAGCGGAAGGTCGGCATGAGATATGCTAGACAATTTAATGGATACTCCCCGGAAACGGGTTCAAAGTTCATTAAGATCTCTCAAAAAAAATTGAATTGTCAATCTAATCTTAACTTAAACTATATGCACACATTATAAAAGCCCAGATAGAACAAGGTACCGACGATGATGAAGGTTGACATGATATATCAGAAAAATTTTGCGACTTATACCAAAACTTGATGAAGAAATAACTTGGTTAGTAAACGGACTCAACAGCAACTCAAAACCTCCCAATAAATTGCAAATATCTATTTGGTATGAACTCAAAATAAAAAGACACTTATAAGATAGATTCCCGACATCAACTTCAACTACAAGTTTTTATAGACTAACCCACTAGAAAATCCGGGATTCCCGCGCAAATCTGTTTGTCTAAATCCGCTACCAAACTTTCACTCCACCCTCCCCCATTGAACATGTTTTCGCTCAGCATCTCCGTTTCAGCAGCAACCCCGTCTTTTTCTCAAGGTCCTCTCCTCCCCGGAAAAATGGCTCATTCCCCCCTTATCTTCGTCCATTAAAACGGTGGCAGAGGTGCGGGGGCATGGCATAGGGTAGGAGATGAAAATAAGAGGGCGATGAGCTTTTTTGGCGATGGTTCAAGTTTAGGTCACGTATATTTAATAGGTTTTATAGAAAGGTATCAAAGACCCACCATCTTCATGGGCACTTCGCATGTGACTCATCGCGGCGTCGCCATAAGTTTGACCATATCTAGCAGCACGTCGCATCGCCCCGTCAATATCCACTTCGAGATCGGGGCTCTAAAACGAGGCTTATTGTTAAAGTGGCAAACTTAAAGTGTCCAAACTTTAAAATGTTAAAATTCTCGATGAGCTAAAATTCCTAAAGGCGAATTCTCAGAATTTTGAGAAACAATTCCTCAATAGAATAATCGCGATGTTTCATAATGTCGGAATTTTAATATGACGAACTCTTTGTTTTTTGTATTTTAGTTTGAGGCGGGAGATTTGTTCATGGTAAACTTCGATATATAAAAATTCGATATCAGGAAATCTCGGCATTAAGGAACGTCGGCATTTTCAAAATTCGATTATCAAATTTCGACATGAATACACTAAAAAACTGATGGAAAATTCTAAGAATACAGTGCTAAAGAAGTAACCGCTACTGTACTATACCTCTTGCCGTAACGACGTTGACTTGCGGGTTACGGTGGTAGTGAAAGTGGTATTGGATGGGATCACCACCTCGTCGTCTTGGCTCGCTTCTTTTGGGCTGGCTTGCTTGGAACCGAATGTGGGAACCGCATAGTTTCCCGTGTTCCCCGGTCGCGTGTACGAAAATGCCGACGGGCCGTTACCGGAGGGGATCTGAAAAAAACAACATACATGATAAATAAAAATCACAAATTTTCAAAAATAAGTAAAAAACAAATTTTAAAGGTTCTATAAAAAATAACAAAAAAAAACCATCAAAAAGCTATAAAGGTTCGAACCCGGAGCGTTAATTCGACTTTAGCGGTTTGAATTGGTTTGGGTGGTTTTGAAGACTAAAAAAATTATTATACATGTGTTTAAAAATAATAAAACGTTGTGTAATCAAATGAACTATACCTTTGCGGGGCTGCTCGGCCCCGTGTTGTGCGGTGGTGGTGGAGGCGGAGGTGGCGGTAAATCCAAGGGTGGTGAAGGTGGAGGCATCATTGGTCGCGAACCACTAAAAAATAAATAATAGATATTGAAGCTAATCTTTAGCGTCTACAAATAACAACAAAGCAAGACTAGTCAAGGCAAGTGAACTGTTGTGAGTTGTATACAGGCGGCTGGGAGGGATCGCCCAGCGGGTGGCCTTTCGCCGCCCGAAAACGATCCTCAGATGCATATCTCCGGACGGGTTTGACCGATCTGTGCCTCCTCCTCCATCCACAACCTCCACCTCCAATTGCCCTCCTCATGGCGTCAGGGGTAGCACTATTCTGAGACGTGCCAGCCGCGTGGATCATATCCTTAACCGGGGGCGAGAATCTTATTTGCATACCCGCGCAAAACTCGCAATGGAACCTCGTATAAACCCTTGATACATGATATCAATCTTTTCTTTGAGAGTAGGGAGAGCTAGTCAGTCCTAGTGAGCAAGAGATGCGGCTAAGAGCAGAAACAAAAATAAGAGGGATTGCAAACGGTTATTGCGAAACTCCAAAAACGGTTTTGCTTTCACAAACAGATTATTTTCAGCCATTTGCTGCAACCAAATCCGATTTGTCAACTCCCAAAGAACTTTGGCTTTGTTTCTAAAGGGTTAAAAATAGCGGAATTTTGCAGAATTTTTAAAGGTCTTACCTCATCTGCTGTTCCACGATCAGCGACTCGTCAATCGGTTGGCTCGTATCCAACACCGAATCCCTCGATTGGTCCAAGGTGATGGAGACCGAGGCCAGGGATTGTGTCTCTTCAAGCTCCCTGCAAATCCATGCATGCTTCATGTTAAAAAGTGCATTATTTGCATACTATATAGATAAATTTTTTGCAGAGTTCAGATGAGTAATTTAATTTATTAAATCACTTCCCCGGGTCCAAAATTCCGAGAACGATAGGCAAAAACAAGGGGATAAGGGGAAAAGGCTAATCCTGACCAAAAAAATATATCATTCCAAATTGTTCAAAAAGGCTGCGCCCTAAGATTCTAGTTGTGCAAATCTTGATAGATAAGTTAATTCTTGAGCCCCTAAATTATTCAAATAGGTAATTGCCATAATAAAGCGCTGATTAGATCTAGACGAGAAAACTAACTAGCCTAGCATACCCTCGAAACGCAACAATCGTGAGTGAGCATGATCCCAGACTCAGCAACGACTTAACGGATATGAGGGAGAGAGCGGAATGAGCCGGATTGAAATGGCCGATGAAGGCATCGAGGCAGAGGTCACCGGGGCTATTTGTCCCAAACACCTTTCCACCCATCTATCCCATGCACAAGCCCTCCTTTTCCATCTTCACTTCACGGGGGGCCCTTATCGTACTGTCAGGGGGGACAACGCCGGGGCACATAGCCAAAGAAGGGCCGAAACCATTGATTTAGAGCGACGCCCACCCTTCGCGCTTACACTCATGGCAAATAAAAGAATGGGGGCTTGATGTTGAACCAAGCGAGCGATGCTAGCAAGTGTGGGCTTGGGATTTATGGGCAAAAGTGAAAAGATAAAAATGGCAACATAAATTGAAGGATTTTTTAGGGCCTGTAAAAGATAAACGAAGAAAGTTTTTTGTGCTCAAAGACATATTTTCGTCAATTATTGATAGCAAAAAGGCCCTGAAATTCGGAATTTGCATGCCCAGGAAAGAAAGAAAGCGAGTCAGGGAATACCTAAAAGACTTAGGGAGGCTTCCTTATTACCTACGCAGTAAAAGCCCTTTTCCGCTATTTTTTCATGTTGAAAAGTCGCTAAAATTTTAAATTTGCATAAATTAACGTAGAAAATAAAGCTGCCAGTTAGAAAATAGATAAAGCTGCAAAAACTACTATTAAAATCCGCTTTGTCAAATTAATAATCGTGAAAAATCGATAAAATCGTAAATCTACATAACCGGACCGACAGAATAAAGCTTTGAGTCAGAAAACGAGGACCAACGGCTGGCTGTGTGTGGGGCGACAGCAAATGTTTTGCATGAGGTGCATAATCCGAATGCTGGAACACCTGGCCTATCCATCCAACCCTAGGGGGTACCACAAATAAAGCATCAATATTACCCTCGGACCGGTTGGCTGTCAAACGGGCAATTTTCCGAACTTACTAAACTTTATAAAACTACAAAATTGTATTTTTTTATGGTTAAAGTATCGTATTTCAGTTTTCTATTAATTTCCTTGCTTATACTAGATATTTGCATAGTATCATGCAGTATGAAATCTTAGAAACTAAGAGATTTAAGTGGCATCCGGAGTCCAAGGGAAATTCGACCCGAGAGTGAAGATGGAAAACCAACAGAACGCAAAGTGGAATTTAAAACAACGCAATGTCAACAGCGATCCAGCTAGAAATCCAACAAATGGGATTAACTTACATATCCGGGACGGGTTTCGTTTCCTCGTGGTAAACAATCTCTTCCGTTTGATCTCGGTCGGCGTCGCGAGGCTAAAATTATTGGATTTGAATTCGGAAAAAATTAGGATGGGGGTTGCTCAGGATAAAAATCTCAATATCTAGGTAAGGCATTTTTTAGACAATAAATAGTTTGAAACGTTTTTTAATAATTGTCTACAGCAATGGGATGGATCAAATAGACTGATAATGCTGTTGTTTACAAGAATGCCTTGGCCCTCGAGTGCCTCTGATAAGCGGGGGCAACCACGGAGTAAAGGAATGCACAGAATCTCCAAACTAATCGCCGATTAAATTAAATACCTTTAAGGGAAAAGTATACAGTTTAGAACAAAGCAGACGCCTGGGGGGAAAGCTGGCCCATTTTCCCACAAGGGGGGGGGCATTGACCCGGTCGATCATATTGATCATTTAGCCGGGGCCGAAATGCCAGGATTCGGGGTGTTGAATGCCAATGAGAAAGGCAAGTGAAAGTAATAACTTACCGTATGAAGTTCTTGGAGGTAGGAGGGGTCGAGGTTTTCCTCGATCTCCCGGGATTCCGCCATCATCTGGCTTAAAATGGAGTGCTGCTCGGGTACGTGATGGGGTGTTTCGCTCTGGAAAATATGATTAGACTCTGGAAAAGCGCTTTGAAATAAAATTTGAAGATTTTACTTTTAAATTTAAAGCTATTTAGTTGGCAGGTATGAACAACGAACTATTCCATGCTTAGAAAGCATGTTTTCTGCGTGATATATAACTCAGCCACAATATAATGCATCAAAATTGATCATTTTAGCAGAATTTCGTAGAACCAGATTTGAATCCAGTGCTAAAGCTTCTGGCTAGTTGCCAAACGTTGAAGTAACCAGTGAACACTTATGGTTGGTCCACCCCTTTACGGGTAATTTACAAATTTCCGGTCCGAACGAATGCGCACCACCACAACCCCGCGAATAAGAAAGAGGGCAACAAATAACCCCAGTAGAGAGTGAGTGTCTATTCAACCAAAGAATGAGGCTAGGCGGTGCCAATTTTGGATTGAATTGGAATGGAGAATGCACAAAAATAAGATTGAAAAATAGGAAACAAGCTTACTTCAGGTCTGTCGCTTTGGGAAAGTTGAATAAGGCCTTTGAGCAAATCTTGAGATGGCGGTGGGGAGATCGGCTCCTCGATGATCGGCCCTTCTGAGTGGACGACAGTGTGCTAAATAGATTAAATCAGCTTAACTTTAAAATGTTAAAAGTTTTATGCAAAATATGCAAAAAGCAAATGCTAAAAATATATGCCAATGCAAATTCAAATTCACGGTCATCGCACAATTCAAAAAGCGACAGCCGGTTTTCCAGGTATGGATCCGATTTTTTAATTATTGGAGCTGGCAATGAGACAGACAGGGATGACTAACCCGAAATCGTCGTTCTCTCAAAATTACGAGCCCCCGAAAAATCGCACTCTTCCCCCCGAAACGCCGTCTGACTCAGAGCCCCCGAAATGTGAATTGATCGTACTATGCCCAATTCTAGGCACAACATGCATCCAAAACAAAACGAAAAATACTAGCTGCGATGTTGGGTCGAGGGAAAGCCGTTTTTTATTAGCCTAGTCTAGAGGGGGAGGTGAAGGGGGAAAGCGACCATGTCGATACATGGCGTCAAAAGGTGGGCGAGCGTGCGCAGGATGGACAAGAGCCCTTGTTGTATGCCGGTTCGTTCTGACTCAGGACCGACAAGACCTTTCACCCCCTCCGCTAGCACCTCATTTCGCCTTCGGGGGGAATGGTATGTAAATAAGAGCAAGAAAAACGTGGTATGCGCTTTGTTTCGGTGGATTGAAATAATTCCAGAGATCCGCAACACAAAGTATTTTCTGGTATTTCTGTTCCTTTTAAAGTTTCAATATAGAAATACGATGTACTAAATCTATGAATACGATATACTAGTCTCGATTTTGCATAAGTACGACCGCCGATTTGCGATCGAATTTAATCGCCAAACTGCGTGCGCCAAAACGGGTTCTGGCTGGCAATTCCAAAATTTGCATCCAAAAGCAAAAAAGCGATTGTTTAAAGATATCGAAAATAAATAGAAATTATTGACCTTATACCAGCGATAATAATAATATTTAAACTCCTAAATGACCAAATAATTTTGTAGGTCTTGACGACCATAAAATCTAACCTCAATCCGCTCTTCAGACACTTTCACTGGCTTCTCTTCCGACCCCTCGATTTTTGTTTCCATCTTAACTTCCTTCACTGTCAATTCACCCTCAGAGATCTTCGATTCGTCCTCCTCTTTCGGCTCGCCGAGCTCAACCTAGAACATTTCACATTTGAATTGCTGTGAAGCATGCAACCGGGAAAAAGCGGCCTTCAAGTGTTATGCAGCGGAAAAGGTGCCAAAGCCAAAAAGGGATATCCTTTAGAAGCCCACGGAAAAATTGTATTTAAATATAAGGAATGCCGACAAGCCGAGAATGGTGGACAGGGGTAACGCGGAGCACCTACTTCGGCCCTAATTGGCACCAAAATTGAAGTGGTGAACTCGCTTTTTGCTGGATTCACGGTGACCTGGATGTGAAATGGAGCGTTTTGGTGGTTTGGTTTTAAACAACACGATATATAATTAGAAATTCTATAGCAAAAATTCTATAAATGCCACTAGTAACCATCAACGCTAATTTTGAATTTTAAAAAGATGTAGATATTATCTGAAACCAGATCTATCATAATCTTAACTTTGACGCTTAGATTAACTTTTATTAATAAATTAAAATGCTTATAATCTTCGTTTTGTATTTCCTTATGCTAGCAAGGAAGATAAAATGGATAAACCAAAATTAGAGTAATAAAAATTAGGAGTCTAGCGAGACAGGTTCAAAAACTAGAATTTCTTAGAAAACAAATAACTTCCAAAAACCCGAAAATCGTGCAAATTTACCATAGAAGGAAGGCTGGTCTCGGCGACTGGCTGCAGCACACCGGCAAATGGGCTAACCGAGCCTTTCGGAACCTAAAAAGAGAAAAGTAGAGATAGATATTTCGGGGGTCCCGCGACAAACCTGTTCAATGTTTTTCTCGATGTTTCCCTCAATGACTGTACGCGGCGAGGCAAAAGAGGCGCTGGATATTGAGCGTAGGTCGTCCGATTCCTCCTGGAAATTGAAGGGGAAGGTGTTGCTTTTTGCGGGAGGTGGGTGGGGATTCGGAGAAATTTGCATCGGGGGTCGAGGGGATTGGATTGGAAGGTTCTTGTCGCGTTAAGCATTGAAAATGAAAGTGTAAAGAGGGCTTATAGCTAATATTTTCAAAAACAGGGTTATTAAATCTCACCATGTCGCCTGCCATTCTATCGAAATCCTTCTACCTTCCAAGCCTATTTTGCCAACAAAAAAAATTTCCGTACGGAAACCATTTAGAATTTTTCAATTTCAAAATAAGAAACTTATTATAAAACATCAGAATACGGTAGTTTTCGGATCAAATTTAGCCCGAGGTCATATGCACGACTTGACGTATTTCGATCCAATCTCGTACACACAAGCATTATTTTTCGACAAAGCTCAAAGACCATCGACCGCTAGGAATCTCTCGGGTTTCATTAATGCCCAGATATTCCCGTACATTCCGGTCTAGACGGCTTCAAATCAATGACGAATCGTAATGAACGAGTGCGTGAGGGCGAGAGGTAACGGAATGGTATGTGGATCAGGCCGGATTGTCCGGGGAAGGGTGGCCGTGGGATGGGTGGAGGTGCCCTTTTTGGGCATTATTTGGAGAGGTCAAGGCGGGGTCACCTCTGCCACCCTCGTCTACCATCAACCATATACAGGTAGACAGAGAGATATACAGAAAGAGGGAGAGAGACAGACAACCTCAAATAAGACACATCACCGTCAGGGGTGGTGACCGGCCAGATTAAAGGGATGGCATCGGGGAGGATTGAGGGGGCGCACAAATAATGATTGATAGATTTTAGTACCAGGATCAGCGTAAAATGGAGAGGTTTGTCAATAAATGGGGTTGGTTAGATATAAAGAGGAATAGGAAATAGAGTTATAAATCGTAGATATTTTTATTTACCATTTCTAATTTATTGGGCAAGCTAACAAAAAATTCATGGTTTTGAAAGATTAGCATGATTGGATTTCACCATTTTTGTTTGCGAAAATTGATTTAGCATAATTTTGATTCAGGGCAACTTTACATTGGAATTGCCTCGCTATTTCATGCGTATAGGTTGCCATTGTGGACCTAATCAAGCTGCTGAATTCAACGAATGCAAATTCGCCCACATAAAATTACGTCAAATCAAAATTACCTCAAGCCGAGGTCGTTCGAATGGAAATAATGTCGAATAAAAATTACGCCAATCAAATTATACAAAGTGACCCTGAACCGTTTTCGAAACCACCGTAAATCCAGAAAAAAAGATAAAAAGAAAAAATATACCAATACTTTCATATGCGTTCACACCGCACGACCCAAAAGCGCAAATGCGTGAAAGCCGGCTGCCCGCACCGCAGCCCAAGGATGGCAAACATGCACACACATGCAGGCAAGACATTCAAATGGCACCCAAACAATCAACCCAAAAGCCCCTTCACATGGCGCGCTGGGCCAAGAACTCTTTGTTCAACTGCAGGAAAGTTGATGTTGATTTTTGCTTTCAAAAAGGATCGATGTCAAAATTTGGAACCTAGCAAGGTCAGCGGTTCATTACAACCTCTAGCCCATATACGGGGCCCAGGATTATAACCCCATAACTGCCAATGATCGGGCTGGACGCCGATCGGTGCAGGTCAAATGGAGAGATGACGAATAGTGAATGGAATGAGGAATGAAGGAAGGGATTGGCGGATAATAAATTAGTAAAAAAGGAAGATACTCACCTCAATAATGGCATCCAGGTAACCGCCGGTTTTAGCAATGTTTGCTTGGACTAGTGATGGGACTGGAGGTGTTGGGCGTTCCTGGAAGTTCAAATTTAGGTTTTGTCATTTTTGGCTCAGGTTTATAGGTCCTTTTTGTTATATTAGAAAGCATTTAGTCATCTAGCTGTTGCTATCCATCACCACCATAACATAGATTAAAGAAATCAACAATTTGAATTTTGAAACCTTTAACATATTTTTTAAATTAAAATAAGCTCGCTATCACCCCTTATGATGAATTTTAAAGAGCATAGAACTTATTGGAATCTTTAATTGTTACGAAATAAAATCAAAAAAATTTGATTGATGCCTACTAAAATAAAATAAAGTTAAATCAAACATTTTTTAACAAGAATAAATTTTAAGATTTTAAGAATAAATAAAAATGATTGTTCTTTCTCTGGCTTTCTCTTCTCTCTCTCTCTCTCTCTCTCTCTCTCTCTCTCTCTATCTATCTATCTCGGTCTCTCTCTCTACTTTCCCCATTTCATACTTTACATTTTCAAGCCGTACCTCGCCATCGCTGCTCGAAGACGATGTTGGCATGCTATCAGTGGAGAGCATGGAGAGGAGGGATGATGGCCCAGGCACTTGAGGGTCCATCTGAAACACTCGGGACATCGCCTAACAAAACAGATAGTTTACAGGGCAATTCATAAAAACGACGCCTGAACGTCAGCACTTTCGCCAAATTACAGTCTACCAGAATCCACTCAGGAAGGCTAACTTTAAAACTACAGGGAAAGGGTATGGGGAGCTTCATTAAAATAACGCAAAAAAAGGAAAGCAGCTCCTTTACAAGAAAAAATAGTGGTTGTCTCGACAGGCAGTGTGCGGTGCGATAATGGACTTAGTGTCCTTGAGGTTTTCCTCAGAAGTGCGAGATCAATTGGCTGGGAACGGCCCGAGATGGGTGGGGGACACAGCTTGCTCGAGCTACTCACTCGATTTAATCGCAACAGAGATACTGCTTTTTTTGTCATTGGCGATTTGAGTAATGTGTGGGGGATGGAAGGAGGGGGGGAGAATTTGAGAGAATTACTGGTAGCAGGGAGGTCGAAGAGGGGGAAGATATCGGTCAAGTGTTATGTTGTGGACTCGGCTAGGAGGAAGCCGGAAATGTGGTTAGGGTTTTCAAAAAGTAGACTGTTTCTAAGACTTTACCAAGCGATTTCTAGCGCTCACGCTGTTTATCTTTCCTTACTAAGACATTGTTTGCATAAATAGCGATTTTCACAGCATCTTCGTTCAAAATTCCCAGCTAAAAATGTTAATTTTGCCTTTACTAATAATCCATTTTTGCATAGCGCAATTAACCTAATTATGCATAATTAAAGATATTGGCATATTGCGTACCAATTTCCGACTCAAAGATTTGAATTATCAAAAAAATATTTATTAGTTGATAGAAAATTTGGAAATATTGGCTTTAAAACAACTTAATAATACGTAATCGTAAGAGTCCCTCAAAATTGCGATAAAATTGCTACAAACCCTACATAGCTCCATACATAGGCTTGAACTAACCCACATGAAAAGTCAAGGCCAAAGCTAAGGCAAAAAAGGAGTCTCGAGCACTCAGGCTTGCAAGAACCACCCATCCATTTCTCTGAAGAGATGTCTCTTTGGGAGCAAGGGTTCAAATCGGCTCAAGTAGCATAAGAGCGCCCCCTAGAGCCTAAATTATTTTCCGGGAGCACAAGCTGAACAGCTCCTAGCTAACCCCGAAACCATGCAGCCCTTATGATTGGCTCCCATCCAAGCAGATTTAAGGGGGACGATTCGAGGCACAATAGCATTTCTGCACACATAGCCCCTTATTGTTAGCCCCACGAACGGCGTCACCCCGAGCTAGTGAAAGCTTTGGGAGATGAGCAAAATATGGACCGGACCGAACGGACCGTTTATTTTGGATTAGCTTTTGAGGATGAAAAATTGGTCAAGCGGCGCCTTTAGAGCTACTAGGAAGGCTGTAAAGTAGCGAGAAAAGAAAAAAGACAATTGGAAAATCATCTGATAAGCAAATCAATTCGAAATTTATATGTAAATTGAGGAACCATTACGGATATATAGGTAATAATAATAATAATAAAAGAAATCACGATTTCGGGGATAAAAATTTACATAAATCAGAGCCACAAAACAGTAATCAATTGAACAAAAATTACAATTTTTTATGCAAGAAATAGCGATCGGCTTACCTTGGAATATCCTCCTTCCTCCATCTCTTCTAAATCTTCCTCGTCTTCCTTCTCCTTTTCCTTTATTGTTGCCGGGAAGACGAACAAACGCCAAGCGAGGACGACCGCCTAAAAGAGCTTTACCCTGCTGCCCAATAAATACCAAAATCGCAGCTATTAACAATATGATCAAAATCATAGATCGGACAGTACTATTTTTAGGGATCGACTAGGGCAAGAACGGTAACCTAGTTAATTCTAGCATGACAAAGGCAGGGAATTTTGATTAATTCCGTGTGACTTCTAAACTGGGCCAGCGCTCAACCTTAAATCTAAAAAAAACCGAGATCTTAGCTATAAAAAAATAAATTATGAGCCGTAGGAAACGAAACGGAAGCGGATGTTTTGGCCATGAATCAGCGAGATTGGCGCGGAAGGGTGAGAAAGTTTCATGAAGGAGGAGGATGAGGCGGAGGAATGGGACACTGTTCCCGATGGGGTACAACACTCAAAAACATGATGTTTGAGGTGGAGAAGAGGTGGGAAGGGAAGGACTGTAGAGGAGGACTCTCGACGATGAGGTTTATTATTTCTCGCGCCCCACACCCGAACGCGACCATTGTCTGGTTGGAATGGACGGGGGGACGGGGGAAAATGAAGGGGTTGCGGGCTGCGTGCCAATGCCCTGTATTTCTGAATACGTTGACATCGTTTTTTATAGGCGGGACGGGGGTCTGCTTCGTTGAGAAGCTGTCGCGTTTGAGGGGTCAGACTCATGCACTTACATAGTTACTACATACAGAAATATAGGAAAAGTATTTTTAATATAGAACAGCACCCCTTATAAACCTTTGAACAGGAGCAAGGCTAGAAAATTGGTTAGATCTTCTCATCAATTAATTCAATCAGTTACCGTAGCTGTTTTAATAAAATCCTCTATTTCATAAAACCCTCGTTGCACTAAAAAAATCAACCACCACACTATAAATAAACCCGCATTTAATAAATTCAGTTAAAAACGTTTAGAGCAGTCAAATTACTGGAATGGTCAAAATCCATGAATGTACCTTAAAATTTTGATGTTTTAGTCGTCTGAAAAACATACTGGGTGTCCAAAAAAAAGCACCCCCCTCTAGCGGTCCGTGGTAAGCTCAGATCAGGATGATTTTGATACCATTCGAAAGCCCGCGAAAAGGCGAGAAAACAAGCGGGCTTCATTTTCTAAAATTTCTTCTGATTCGTCCGATATTCGGCGTTTTTCTAAAAAACAGGTATCCTTTCAATAGGAATTTTGCAATTAGCATGCGGATCTCGCGTAAATCTGCCGTTTTCATGGAATTTGGAGGTAAAATTCGCCAATAAAAATACATAATAAAGAAAATGAACCCTCCATGTTTTCTCGCCTTTTCGAGAGCTTTCGATAGATACCTAAACGGCGTGAATCGGACACGTCTGCGCGCCGCTAGAGAAGGGTGCTTTTTTTTGGGACACCCTGTAGATCAAAAATACAACCAAATTCATTAAATAGTTGAATTCAATAATAATTAATACCAATTTAATAAAAAAAAGGTGATGAGAAATTGCCTTCAAAAAATTTAAAGCAAAAGAGCAGCTGAAGGAAAGAGCTCATCGAATCAAAAAGTCAAACAACTAAGTTCATGATCCATTTTAAAAATTATTTTATTTATATTTTAGCCATAAAAATTAATACGATAATTACGCATCAGCTATAAACTGATCTTACACCGACAAAAACCCGGCCCGAAAATGGCCATCGAATTCGTCGGCCTGAATTGATTGACTTTGTGTGGGGGTAGGATCAGCAGCTGTGCAAAAGGTGCGCATCAGTGCGAGAGAGGGGGTAAATAGTGGCTATGAGAGGGTCGTCGTCGTGATAAAACCCATCCCTTCCCGTCCACCTTCACCGGGGCCACTATTGTTCTAGGGTCAACGATAGTCTGGACGCGCTAAGGAGAAGCCCAGTTTCAATAAAAAGGCGCAAACCCCGAGAAAGTATCACAACGCCGTTTTCAATTAGATAATTTTGGAGCAGAGAACGCATTGCCAAAAAAAACTGTCCAAAACAAGCTATAAAAATTCCGATGAAATCCTATGTACAGTTCTGCGGCCAGGGCAAAAGATGCTGCCAAAAATCCATACCCCAAGCGCGCCTGAATTTTTGCATAAATTCAGAAGTCGTATCAACTGCACCCGCCACCCCGCATCTATTTCACTCCCACTAACCCCCCGGACATCCCTACAACAAATGATACCCCGATTTTATCTATGGATATTTGAGAGAAACTGGCCCGCACACGCGACACTCCAATTTACGATCACACCCGGGCGCGGATACCGATCGGGGGGGAAACGCGCCCCGCGCTGTGATTAATCGGGGGAAACACACTTTCGACAAACGCCTCATTCAAATTTCCCGGTCGAGAACGAACAGAAACAATGTTCCGGAAGTTTCGGGAGAAGAGAAGGACAGAAGTGAAACAATTCGTAAAGCAAGGTATTGGCCGGTTTAAAATGGTCGGAACTAATTAAATGATAGAATTTCAAATTTTGTTAAACCAACTATTAACGCAGTAAATGCGGCATGTAGAAACCCATCAAAGGGTGCTCGCTCGTTGAAATTCGATTTCTTTTTGGGAATATTTGAGACCCGTAGGGGCCGTGAAGAGGATTGCAGCGGAATATTGTTGCCATTCCGGTCCGTCGAATAGGCTTGGATCATTTTTAGGGGCCAGAGAATATCGCTCGTTTATTCGTTGTACTCGTTCGTCATTGGTGTATCTGAAACGGCAAAATTGATCAAAGGAATTGGATGGGATGCGGCGGTGCAAAGCCATTATTTACTTAGTATGTTGGACCAGGAATTTAACGGCTTATTTGCCTTTTAGAGTGTAGCTTTTGCGAGCAATTAAAGGGATATTTCAAGGTTTAGGTTATAAGAAAAGAGAACACCCTAAATTACTAACGATGGGCCCACTTCGAGCGTTTCGCTAATCGGCCTACGAGGGCGGCGCAGAAGGGGGACGACTATTTGAACTTTAGCTAAGTTTCACCCTGCCGAAAATAAGCAGCTTCTGATATCGGGAATCAGGTGGGGGAGGCCCGTGCTCAAACGATACCGTCACGGAATTGTGTATGCAAATCTGGGCGGAAATCGAGGGGGTGTGGACAAACAATTGGCAAGTGAGAGAGGGACGATAAATTGATCGGAACGGCTATGAATTTTTAAAATCCGTAGTTATAGCGATGGAACAGTAACTCAGTAGAAACGCAACATCTCTTAATTGATTGGAATTAGATTTTTTAAAGAAATCAGACGTTATTTCTCTAAAGCCGTAGCTTTATTTTTCTATAACTTTCTTCAAAGCAAAAACCAAGAAAGATGGCCGCCTTAGCGCCATGTGAAGGCAAACAATTGGCAGAAGAGTGCCTGGTTCAAGTCCGCACAAGAAAAACTGGCAGATCTCCAACAACTGCCTCCTTCACTAACCTATCTGATCAAATCCCCCAAACACCAAGCTACAGTCAAGTTTCGAAAACATTCTATTGTCGTTCCTCAAGCCATCTCTATTTGTGCTGCCCTAAAAAGTCTAGCCCGAATTTTGAGCCTAATGCAAACATGACCCGGCTTTACCCCGAACTAGGTTTATGCGTTTTTTTTCGCCGGGAGATCAATTCATGTTCGACGGGTTCGTGAGGGAAAAGGACATGGAAAAATAGATCGCTTTTCGGCCTTATCGCCGGGCCATGGCATTCAAACTCGGCACAATGCCCGCAGAAAAATAGTTGTGAGTGCTTATAGATCAGCGGAAAGGGGGGTTGGAACAGAAAAAGCAACAGCGCTTTTGAATCGAATTGAAGAAACATTTCACTTAATGAAAGGGAAATTGGAATGCTATTTAATCATCGCTATAATCGTCTGGGTGAAAATTCGGGGCTTAGAAAATAGGATTCTATGATGAAAACTTTGGAAATGGCGACCCATTGGGAACATGTCGGTCCATATTGAATTTCACTAGGTTTGAATCCGACGAGGGAGGCTAAAAATAAAACGATTGGAGGTGTGGAGCGGATGGAAAGTAGTTTCTATCACCGGGTAGATTATCCAAAATGGGAAGGATTTTGTATTTATTTGATTCTTAGAGATTTTGCGGATTTTGGTGGTTTGATAAAATTGCGATAAACCTACCGATTTATTTACATTTTCTTCTAAGGAAATATTTATTTAACGTTAACTTACAGCTGTATAGAATTCCTGAAAAATAAAAATTTTTTTAGAGTAATTCGCGCGTTTTCTATCGGTATCAGAATTTTTGAAAGAATTTGGTTTTAGATTGAAAGAAGCTTACAGAATTTTAACGAAGAGCGAAAATTTCCGCCACATGCCCAATAAAACATGGTATTTCCACTCGAAATTGCTCGGGATGTGGCTGTCCTAGCGATACGGAAAAAGGTATACAGACTAACACTAACAGAACCCCCCAAATCTGATTTCCTTAACGTAAAGCTAAGCATAATCTTATTTGCACCCATGCTCCAAAGTTCCAGCCCGAACAACCCGCGAAAAAATGAGAAATAACGGGTGGTTCACCCCGGATGGCGCCGGATATGTTGGACCGGACGGTTTATTGCAGTGTGTGGGGGCTGGAGGGCGTCAATACCGAAGGAAGAAGAAGCTCTATTGGCCTTCAACCCCTGGAGCACGCCACTGTCCCTCTCTCCTTCTACCGTCCCTCTATATTTGGACATCTCCCCCCTACCCTGGCGGCTCCTTCATTTACTTTTTCGCCCACCCCGCTACGCCCTTCGCGCAAAACAAAAGGATAAGTCTATGGGGTGGGAGGGGGGATGGGTGGGTAGTTGCAATTTGGGCGAGGTTTTTGGGAAAGTTCAAAATGTTGACGTGCGTTGGGTTTAATATAGGGGCTTAAGTTCTGGAAATGATGAGGAGAAAGGGCATCAAGAAACGTACTTCAATATTAAAGGGATAGGGAAGGCCTAGATCAAGGCGCATCCATAACTGCCAACGTGCCAACCGGAAATGCCAATGCAAAAAATGAGCAGAGAGTGGGACGAGGCAGCAGAGAGCAGAGAAGTTTAATGCTAATTTTTAGAACTAAAGCCCGCTTTATGATAATTTTTCCTGAGCTTTCCCGATCGCTTTAAGAACTGGGTATTAAATGGAGACACTACGATCGATGGTACTACCAGAAACCAGGGTGTTCCGACAGTGACCGGATAGCTCTAACTCCTTCGTAAAAGGCATCCGACTAACTGCTGTGAATCGGCAGGTGATTCATTCAAAGGAATGGTGAGCACGATACTGTTTTTCGGAGTTAATTATCTACCGAAAATACGAGAGCTTTTAATCAATAGTGAAAGCCAAAGCAGGAACTCAAGCCAATATCCCCCAGATATCAATCGCGCAAATGATAGGCAAATTCTCACCTGTGCACATACATACACTCCCGACAGTCGATCCACAGCTCGTTTACATGAAAGGGAAGTGTGTCGTGGCCTTGGAAATATCACTCTTCCATCTCGACGACCCTCCCGGCCTATTTGCGTCGAAATGCAGCTGCATGAGGAGGAGCCGATGAGATCCGGGTCACCGATTTTCAACGGCCGTGGCATGGCGGGAGGGTGTTCGTGTTGACGAGGTGTCCGACGATGGCGATTTGAAGGCGGATAATGAGATCCGGGGGAAGAAATCCAGCAAATGAGAGATGGGGGGTGGATTTTGGCATTAGGCCAAAGCGTGCCACTGGCGTATAGATGGTTTTCAATATATAGACCCAGGAAATAAATTGGGTTTACATAAGTTTTGAGGGTCAAGCCTTTGCAAATACCGTATTCCCTTTAATATAAGCGCCTGTCGTTCGCAATTTTTAAAGAGGTGTTTAGAGTTTTAAATAGGTCAATGATAATTTTATTTGAGCTTTATGACGGCTTGCTGTAAAAAATTAGGGTCTAAAAATGTGCTCGATGGCTTCAATCGTTTAATTTTACCCTTGAATTTCGGCCTCCTTTGCTCAAAAAAGTACGAAAATAGCAAAAGAATTAGAGACTTTTCCTCTAAAAAATTCCCTTTAGGGCGATTAAAAAAGAAACCCTCGACTTATATTAGAGGAAATAAGTATATGAAAAACCTTGTATATTTTTTTAATTGTGCACTTTAACAGTTGAAAGCCCATTGGTCCTCATTTCGGACTAAACTCTTTTTACCGCGCCAAAAAAATCCGACCATTTCAAACCAAGCAACAACACATCGGCGCAAAGAACAAACAGACAAACACCGGAAACAAAAGACGTGGGATCGAACCGATCCCCCGCCAACCCGTCCCAAAAGCCAGGTCGCCTGGGTCGGCCTCTATTGCAATATATCCGATTTCCAGGGGCACAGCACCGAATAGAGAAGCGATAGCCAAAACAATGCGCCCAGCAACATTGCAGCGTGGGGTTGGTAAAGGGACCCCCAAAAGCTCGGTGGCTGGCCCCCGGGGCCGCTGCGCCCCCCAGAGCCCCCCCGGGTAATTTGCTCAAATATTTGCGGTGCTTCCTGGGCTTGTCGACAAGTCCCCTCCTCCTCCCATCCACGTACATTTGCATTGTGCCCCCGGGTCTGTGCTTCCTCTTGCTACAGGACGCCTAGCTAGCCTCTACCATTGCTACCACCGTTCCTGCAAACGAACGCGGGGCAATGGGCCATGAAGGCATATCTGGGTGGTGGAGAGGTCACGGTGCGAAGATTGGCGGAGAGAAGGACGAAAGTGACTCCGTTTTTAGGAATGTTGGCAATGATTGCATATCGGAATTTCGCCTTTTTAATATCTCGAATTTGCCCTATTGAAATTCTCAGGCTTCTTACCTTGAAAAATCGCGTGTTTTCAAAATTTCAGAGCGAATCCTGCGTTTCAAACATCACGAACTTACATAATCACGAATTTTCATAATTCCGACATTCTTTGAAGCTGATGGACCCAAAAGAACCGGGAAATTCACATCAAGCGTGATTTGGAAAAGCGTGATTTAGAAAATCCGAGATCTTGGAAATTCGATATGCCGATTTTCCTGGTCCTGAGATGTTCACGGTGCGTAGGGCGTCTAGCAAATCTGCTAGATGCTCTCCATGTTTGGGCTTTGGGTATATAGTGTACTTTCAAAACTCAAAATGCTGCAAAATCTGATGTGTTGCCTTTATCACTTTATAACTCCTTAAAAAGGTGTACAGACATCTGGCTTCTCCGTATTCACGTCGAAACCAATTGCGATAATGTGCTCGAACTCGTTATTTGGCAATCACAACCAGTGCTACTCTGTACAGTTATTTGCTTCCATCCGGAATCTGATTGGACCATAACGGCTACCGGCTGGGTGATCAAGCGACAAGTGCCGAAGCCTGAAATTGATATATTTGCTTTATTGACACGGCTTATTCTTACTTATTAAATAATTTATGCCAACCTAGTAAAGAAGGGTTAAAGCGAAACGCTATTTTTCCATAAAACCAACTTGACAAGCACGTATTGTCCGAGTCCACACAACCGATCTCATTGATATAACGGGGAAAGTAGCTGCTTGGCAACTGACGAAAACTGAATGAACGGGTTAAAGCAGAAAGCCAAGGAACCAACCGCCAGCACAGACTGCATAAACCACACCAATTGCCGCTACCCGAAAGCACATTCCCTTTTTGGTAACATTCGACGTTCGCGACGGTACCGAGGAGCGCTGCAATAGATAAACTGATCTAAGAAACAACAAAAAACATAAGAATACTGGTTACGTTAAAAGGGCGCATCAGCTTTATATTGTTTCAATTCGGTTTTCAAAGCCTACTCGAATTTGTCGCCGCTTGCCTCTTCCCTCGGCTTGACGTAGCCGAAAACGTCTTCTGAATCTGCGAAACCAATGATGGATTCGGGGGCGAGGTTTCGATATTTTGTTGCAGAACACAACTCGAGTTCAGCGTGGAATGGAGATCCCTGAAATTAAACAAAATTGATAGAGTATCCCCCGCTGTAAAAACTATTACTAAAAGTAAACTCACGCAACGTCGCGCCAGTCTTGATCCCCTTGTCGTGCGAATTGATTAACAATGTTCAGCCAGCAGCCAGAGCATTCCAGTGTGTTACAGTTGCTCGGCAGCAACGTCATATTCTTGTTCTCGGCAGCTGTTGGTGGTGTGCCCGTGTCCCCATCAAGCATCTAAAATCTTGGCTTCAAAAATAAATAAATAGTCTACCGCTACCAACGTTGACCCATCCTTCCGCAGCAAATTCGGGAACGTATTCATTGCTTCATTTAAACTAGAAGCCATCTTGCTGGTATCGAACGACATTACATTCGTACTTTCTAAAAATTAAGTATTCCTTGATAGTTAAAGTAGTGCATACGTGGACATGTGTTAGGAGCTGCTGCAGTAGGACTCGGCGCTGGACCTGGAGGGCTGGGCGCCGCATCATCCTAAAACAATTGTACTGTTAGAGGTTTAATAAACCTGAGGTGGCATGGGACTTGGGTTTGGCACATTAGCAGCGGCAACACTGGGGCTATTAATGCGAGGAGCACTTGGACGGGAAGTTGGGGGGTTAGCTGGTCTTCCAGTCATCGGATTGACTTGGGGAGCAGGGGTGGGCTGATTTCTGGGCGGTGGAGTGGCGTTCAGGTTTGGGTTCAACCGGACAGAAGGAGCCGGAGATCGGGTCGGAATATTAGGTCCCGGGGCTGGATTTGGCGCTGGGTTAGGTCCGGGTTGTGGTCTCGGGCCCGGTTGAGGGTTGGGTCCAGGTTGAGGATTTGGGCCTGGGGTTGGTTGTGGTCCTGGGGAGGGCATTGGCCCGGGTCTTGGAGGTGGACCGGGATTCGGATTCGGTCCTGGAGATGGGTGTGGGCCAGGTGATGGCATAGGGCCTGGAGATGGCATCGGCCCAGGGCCAGGTTCTGGACCTGGACCCGGGCCTGGGTTTGGGCCAGGTCCAGGCCATGGATTTGGCCCTGGGCTTGGACCTGGACCCGGCCCTGGGCCTGGACCTGGACCCGGACCGGGAACGGGACCCGGCCATGGGTTCGGCCCTGGGCCTGGACCTGGACCCGGCCCTGGGCCTGGACCTGGACGCGGCCCTGGTCCTGGTGACGGCCAAGGGTTGGGCCCTGGGGAAGGTATTCTACCTGGACCGGGCCCAGGCCCTTCTCCTCCATTTGGATTGGGAATAGGGCCTGCTGACGGACCGGGTCTTGGACCAGCGCCTCCCATCGAACCAGAAAAAGAATTCTTGTTCGGGTTCGGCATAGCAGCTTGACCATTATTCGTTGGCGGTCGCCCGTTCGGCATCTGATTTTGAATATTATTTCTTTGAGGCTGTTGCTGCTGTAACGGTTGTTGCTGTTGCCTGACAGGTTGTTGAATGTTCCGATTCTGCGCCCCTTGATTATTCATAGGGCGCTGCTGAAAATTTTGCTGCTGCTGTTGGGGGCGAAAGTTTTGCTGTTGAGGGCGGAAATTTTGGTTCTGGTTATTGATCCTTTGTTGTTGGACCTGAGGCCTTACTTGTTGTTGTTGGGCGGGTCTTGGTTGTTGTACGCCTCCTCCACCGCCAGCACCACCTCTTCCACCGCCAGGTCCCTGTGCCGTGATTATAGTGATTGTAGAAATGGCCAATAGGAATAAGGGGATTTTCATCGTTGGGCTTCGTGGGAGGAGGTAGTGGAGTCGTTGGCAGCGGGGTTAGATCGACTGGGGAATTGTACTCCCATTGAATACATACATACACTCGAGTGTCCTGGAGTCAAACAGCTGCCAGAGTACACAGACTGTGGTTTACAGAGACTACTGACCGCACAATGGTCTTCTTAGTGGAAATGGGTGGGGGGATTGGTTTTAGAAGAACTTGATGAATCATATGTTAGTTGGGATGGGATTGGATCAACAAGAATCCTGTGCGAATCTAACGATGTGTCATGGGCTGTAGTAAATAAAATTGGAGTTCTATTTAGTTAAGTTTTTCGCCATTTTCAACTCGATAATTTGAAGTCGGAAGCCATTTTAACAGGTTTGGAAGTGAGATCTTGCGCGGGATCGGAACAGATTTCGAAATATCTCATTCAGCACGCACCGTTTTGCGTCAACCTCTGAAACACTCATTTATGGTTTCTAGCGTAGCTTAATCGGGGACCAAGATTCAATTGCTCGCCGAAAACTTGTCCCCCACCCAATTGGTCCAATTTTTCCGGTGCACGAGGGTAGTCTGCGGAACGCTCAGTTTACCCCGGCTCAAAGAACCCCCGCAGTGATGATGTCCATCAATGAATCCGTTCGGATTGGCCTCGACTTCCAGGACCATCTTTTTGTCTACGAGGTCTGCTGTCTGCCAATCCTGATCATCGTCCACTTCTTCACCTTCTACTTGATTATTTGGCAAACCCCAAAAGTGATGTATGAATATAGAAAATATCTGCTTATGGTTCAGGTAATCAATTTCATGAAAAACAAAACTTTTTTCAGACACTTATGTTGTGGTGGGAACTGGTTTATCATATGTTGATTCGACCGATGTTTTTCTATCCCTACATGGCTTCCGGTTGTACTGGCTTGTTGAGTCGTTATTTCGGGCTCGGCTGCCACTACCAATGTGTAAGGATTTATGTTAAGCTAGTAACTGTTTTAGTGTGCTCTAATTGGTACTTTATTTTTTATTCTGACCGCTTTAAATTCGACGATGGTCTATCGTCGTAACCAAATGACACCACCTGGGCGCTGGAAGTTGTCAAGGGCCCAACTGGGCGCCATCCACATGACCGGTTATATTTTTACAATCGCGAATATAGTATTTTTCATCGTTGGTGGTGGTGAATACATGAACGAGGTATTAAAATTTAAATTCCACGTACCAAAGCTTAGATTCCATTTGTTGATCCTCGGATGGCGGATGTGACAACAGTCATCTACCATATGGGAACTTTGACCGAGATCTGGTTTGTCATACTGTTCGCAGTGGTAATATGGATACTCCTCTTCGCTGCGTTATTCATTATTTCAATCTATTGTCAACTGTCGAAAATTAAAAGCATCATGAATGAGCGCACATTTGAATTGCAGAAGACTTTTGGGAAAGTGCTGGTGAAACAGGTAATAAAAGGAATTTTTTTTTGTACCGGTTTTTCAGCTTCTCTCGATGGTGTTTATATTGGTTCTCCCCTTGACGATCAATTTCGTTGCTGTATTTTCGGAGTCAGAAGATATAAGTAAGGTTTTTATCGAATGCTTGTAAGAGTGTTCAGCATTCCTACAAACTTTGACGGTGGTACCCTCCTTCTTTTCGATGACATACACTGTGATATTGATCATATCGACTCCAGTCTACCGAAACGCCACTGTGGCCATTGTGACCGGGCAGAAGTATCAGAGGTTACCAAGGAAGTCTGTATCCGTATCCACCATCATGGTTCAATAAACACTGAAGCCGAGAACTGAAATCACCGTTGCCGTGCGGAAATAAGATTAGACGCAAAAATGGCCCAGGTTGTGAAATACGGGCCTCGGTTTTTGTAAAGGCCGCACTTTCACAGAGCGCAGCGGGCATTAATACATATCGTCTATTACAAAAATTACATAACTCCATCAGAAATTTTATAAACATCTATCGGAAGAATTTCAAATTAAATCTGCAAAAAATTTAATTAAGGTCCTTTCTGGTCTGGTACACCAATCCCATCTTTCCAGACAATGGAAAGCTGGATGAGCCTCCATTGGGCGTAATCCAACCCAACTATATCACCCGTCACAAAAAACACAAGGCTCCGCTGTCCTCTAATTCCCCCTAGACCACCCCGAATAGCAATTATTGGCCGCCTTCCGGTAAATAGGTTTCGTGTCATGCCGGTGAATTAGCGTGCCCCTGGCCCCCCTGCAGCCGGTCCAGATATTTATTCTCATCTCCCCGGCCAAAGAAAGGATGCCAATGAACGTCGATCAAGCCGTCACATTTGGCCTTGATTTCGTATTTGGACCAGCATTAATCATCAATTATGTGATGTCACCATGGTCTCTAGTCATGCATCTTTTTGCTATATATATTATTCTCAAATACAGCCCTAAGGAAATGAGAGAGTATCGGAAATATTTGATCAGCAGCCAGGTGTCGTAGCTATTACATTTTATTTAAAGTTCTAAAAATTTTAGCTCTGGTTACTACTTTGTGATATAACTTTTAATGATCTGATCCGCCCGGTATTTTTCTTCCCTACAATGGTTTGTGGTTGCACTGGATTGTTCAGTGAATTCTTCCACATTGGATGCGCCATGCAAAATGTAAGTTTTCTGTAATATTTAAACCCTGTTAAGAATGTGATCTTCCTGATATTATCTTTGGTATTTACGACATTATCAAGCATGATGTTATACCGCAGAAAAGCCATGGCACGACCCGGGGGTATATTTGCCTCCGCGACGCTCAGTAACATTATCTTAATTATTGGAGGTATACTCCAGGGTGGAAATTGCATTGTATTACTGCTTGCCGGGTTGGAAATGAAGGAGGTAAGAATGCTTGCATTATCTGTAATTCTCATCTAGGCACAAGCGTCCGATCCGCGACTTGCAATTGTAACGACAGTTCAATACGAACTAACCACACTAATGGATTGTTGGTTTATCGGGTTACTGATTTTCGCCGTCTGGGACGGGATCTGCCTCTCAATTTTCGTGTTTTCGATATTCTTTCAACTGGCTGCAGATAAAGAAAGGTTGTCTCCAAAAACTTTTCATATGCAAAAGGAGTTCGCGATGGTCTTGCTGCTCAAGGTTACTCTCGTTTTTATCACAACATATTTTTTTCCAATATATAGTTATCCGGGAGTATGATATTCCTAGCCGCTCCACTGGCAATCTCGTTTCTTTTGCTCTACATGCAAAATGTTGAGCATGGTATGTCTTGCAGGGATGAGGGTCGACATTTTTAGTCTTTTATCACTATTTGTCGTTGGTTCCGGTGTTGCATTCGACTGTTTATACAGCGTTGTTGCTGGGGAAGACGCGTGTTTATCGACGAGCATTGATTGCAATTTTTTTGCCCGGGACTGCGCGGAGGACGTCGTCGATAGTTCATCAATCAGTATGTGAAGAAGGCAAACATTGACGGTGTTTTTTATATGCTTGAAATAAAGCCTCAAACAATCTTTTGGATGACTTTGTTTGTGGCGTTTGTACCCTGGAATCAAATTTTGTCCCGATAGAAAACCTTGTTAGGCTACGATAACAACGCGTACTTTACTGGCCAAACGTCTGCTTTTCCAGTTTATCAATCCAAAATAAGCATTTACATAACTTTCTCATCTTCGACAATTCAAAACCAAAAAACATGCACAAACACACACATAATTTCATAAAGCGATAGCCAGCTCGCGCTAGCTGCGTCGGTAAGTGAGACCTCATGAGAAGCACCAAGATCTAGGGGAGTAGAAGTGACAAGAAGTGAACGCTTTGCACGTGGAGGCTGTGGTTGAGACCTGGCGTTGGGACCCAGTTTTTGGTGTGGGAGGGTATAGGGGACAGGAAAGTGGGGGTGGGAAAGCTTATAAGCATAGGGGTACAGCTTTTCGCAGTGGCGGGTGAGAGATACTTTGGTGGTAGGGGGTATAAAGCCAAAAGCGGGATCAAAAGAGGAGTGGGTGTAAATCTTTGGGCGGCAATTGGACTAGAGGGTTTAAAAAGGGTAGAAATTGGGGGAAAAGGAGAGCGCCTCTGGGTCTGTCTAGCGGCTGTTGGTGCTATCCGGATAGCTGGCGAGGCTTCGCGGCCGGTCTAGGTGGAAAGTGATCTCAACATTGTCGGTTTTGGTTGGCGTCCATGGAGGCTCGGAGACGGACATCCTGACTACCTGGAATTGCGGTTATTGCATGGGGTAAGTTTAAATTGATTGAATTTGAGGGTTTATCTCAATCTCATTCTCTCTCTCTCAATCTCTCTCTCTCTCTCTCTCTCTCTCTCTCTCACGCCCTCCCTTTATTTGTCTATCCTAATTTGAGGGATTGGGGATCAAGAATTTGATCTATCGTAAATAATTTTGCATGAAATTACATGTTGCAAAGCGCAAAGCGCTCGTATTGAAATCAAACGACAATTAGAAAATATAAAAACACCCCAAAAACCATACCTCGGTGCTACTCTGTCGCAACGTACTCAACTCATGATCAGCCGACGATGAACGTCCGGCACCACTTCTTCTTGTGCTGCAAACAAAGAAACCATTTTATTTGCTTTAATTTGGGCTACTTGCTTCCATCACTAAAGTTGGCCTCGCGATACGGATACAATGGGCGACTCTGCCCGATCGGGATATTGACCAGGAACTTTTTGATCGTCAATCGATATGGGGCATAGATCAGGGCCGTGATGACCGGGTTGATGATCTGGAAAAACGCCCCTAGTTCTCTTTCTGATGAAAAGTTCGGTACCGGGTTCAAGGTCAGCAAATAGAGCAGCACCCAGGCGAGCCAGTTGACGACGTTCTTCTGCACGCAGTTCAGTTGGTTCCAACTGCAAAGGGCACATTTCCCGAGGATAGGCCAATATTTTTTCGCTATCTGCTATCCCCCCAAGAGCCGACGGGAATTTCCCGGTGAAGCCAAATATTTGGAAAGAAAGTGCTTTTGCTAGTCTCACCTAAAAACATGGAGCCGAGCCAAGTTCATCACGCGATAGGGCAACAAACTGAACGAAGTCCAGGCAGTTGTGGCAAAGATGAACACCAACGATTTGATCTGAAAAGGCCATTGGATCAGAATTTGGTGCTGAAACTACCTTTTTCCGGAAAGCATGAGTTTCCGTTACACTTCCTCCAACAATTGTGGCCGACCGTTTTTGCCTTGTTAATTGGAATAGATAGACAGATACAATCATTGACGATAGGCATGGCAGCACGCAGAAGAGCAGCAAAAACGTCTCGTAGTGGAAATTCTTTTCTCGGTTCATCTAACAAAAATAAGCAAAAAAAATACGTTGTCAAACCTGTAGGAAGCATTGGTCGTCGATGAAAACCACCCCATCTATCCAGCAGTAAGAAATGAAACTGAAATTGCAATTTCTCCTTTCGCACTTCCGATTTATACCCTATGCTAATAAGCCAAATTGCTAAGCAAAAACCAGCTGCTCTCTGCTTTGACATTGCCCGATCATAAGCAAGCGGCCATCGGAAATAGATTAGCTGCAAGAAAGAGATTGATTAATGGCCATGGGGAGAAGTTTTTACTTTATCAATGTTGAGCATAGTGAGCGATAGGCCGGAAACAGCCAATCCCAGCCAATTGAAATAATGAACGATGCCGCACAGCTCACGCTGGTGCAGAAAATCGTGTTTCCGGATCAGCAGCTCGTTCGGGTGGCAAAATACTAGAAAGAAAGCAATAAATCTTGTGTTTCTTTAGCTCACCTGTCAAAATCAAGTCACCGACAGTCATATTAATAATAAAAAGGTGCATTGTATCGCCGCTGCGCCGGAAGAGTTTAAATGCACAAAAGATGACCATCACATTGAAGACAGTGGCTGCCATAGAGGAGGCAAGGATCAGGTCATCTGTCTGAAGGAAAGAGGGGTTAGTGGGGAGTACGGTACTTACTGTATTTTGGAAAACATTGAAGGAGGGGTTTGTGAAGCAGGAGGTGTTCATTTCTTCGGTTAGTTCGGCAATATCCTCAACGATTGTGCCGTTTAGTTCTTCCATAATTTTTGGATTATCGTGTGGGCATTCCTGGAATAATAATTTATATTTAAAATTACAATCGATAAAACAGATATAAAGTTTCTAACAAAAAATGGATATCACTAAATTTGAAAAATTTTAGTTTGCATTCAGATTCGGGGTTTGCAGTTTCTGTTGATGATATCATTAATGTAAAAAACTAAGTAAGCTTACTCCTGTAGAAGGGCCCAGCTGATCGAAGTCAGAGGGCCCAGGGGTCGACCCCTGGTGCTGTCCGAGAGTCAACAGAACACATGACAACCGGCAAAAATACAAGGGACGGCGACACGCCGGCGACGACCGCCCCTCATTCTGTTCTGTTCCATCCGTGTGCACACAGACAGACTTGAGGCGCCACACTCATTTAACCTCCACCCACCCATCACCAGCAGTCAAATGATTATCGCTTGAAGGGCTTAACGATCAATTAAGGGCTTTTCTAAAATTTTGATGGTTCAGAGTCAGAAGATCAGAAGTATATGAACTTTGGGTTTAAGCGCGTCACCAGCTCCCCTTTCGAGGGCACTTAGAAAAGTTTGCAAGCGCTCGACGATACTGTGTGGGCGCGTCGCATGAACGCGCCCTCTATCCCTAACCTTACACGCATGCAAAAAAAAATGGTGTTTAAAATAGCTGCTTTAACAGATTAAGCTTTATATCCTGAATCATTTGTAATTATAATACATATACAACAGCCGATTTAATGCCAAACTACAATATGATCATACGACTGCGAAGACGCCCCGTAAACGTTCCACGCCGAACCATAAGCTCATTCCCAGGCTCTCCCACGCATTTCGACCCCTCCCCCTCCCATCAGCATGCCCCATTCGCCATTTCTATTTGCACGGTAGCATTTTGAACTTCTAAGGCGGACATGCCCAAACAAACGGTTCAACAAGAAGCGATATTAAGGAAGGTACAGAGGGGGAGCAGGAGGTTTGGAGAAGATTTAGGAAGTACGCTGTCGGAAGGGGGAGGATTGTGAGAAAGTACTGCTACAAGAATGTTACTGTTCAAAAAAATTAGTAACAAAGGTGGGTTGTAGCCCGCTACCTCTGGTATTACGTAAAATGCCGAAATACGGATGTGCATAGATAAAAGCCACTTCCAGATACTCAATAACCTATTCCAGGCTTCCGCAAAGTAAGAGAAGATTTTATACAAGTAATAGGAACTCTATAAATCGTAACAAAAAGACCAAAAAATTAACACCAGATCATTACGGTGTACGCAAAACACAGCAGGGTACAAGAAAGCCCCCCCCTCGACCCATGCCAAGTCCATAAAAAATTATCAAACCCTCCCGGCGGCTCGGGGCAGACACGGTGGTGTCGGTGATTCTATTTTAGTGCTTCCGATGCCATTTCTACCCGAGTCAAGTGCTGTTTTAATTGGAAGGCCGATAAACACGAAAGAGAGCCGCCCTGTCGGTGTGTTCGGTGGAGGGCTGTAAAAGGCGAGGGTGGTGGGTGTGAGAGTGGAGTGCCGGCGGGGTGGTTTTGGATAAACTATTTGTTGCCCGTCAAATCAAAACCTGGCACGCTGCCAATCGGACATTAAACCTTGTTGTGAGGTAATAAATGGGTGGGGTTTTTGGTGTCGGCACAGGTCGTGAATTTGCAGGACGTGGCATGGGTCTGACATGGATCGTCGAATGGTGAAAATAGCAGACAAATGGTTTCTGGACTAGCCATTTCGATGGGTTTAACGTAGATGGGAATTGTAAGTGCTGCTTAAAATGGGTTCGGTAGTTTTTCTTAGAAAAATCGGGGTCTTAGTCACGATGACAAAGCTCGTTCAATCCGGTTGTTTTGGCAAGTAAATTGACGAACGCTTTTTTTAATATAAGCGCATTTCTTACATTAGAAGAATTACGGTATATCTGAAATACTAGTTCGATCAATCTTAAATAATTTTATCTATTGCATGAGCCTAAAAGAAGCGCGACCTATAGAAATACCATCAAGTATCATTGAACAATTCCACAGAAATGACAAGTATCATGCCTGAATGTATCGTCCAGCCCCCCGGGAGCATTGGGGGATGGCACACCGAATTGGCCTGTATTATATCGAGAAATTGGGGGCACTTTGGCCGTGGGACCGTGTGGGAGGGCGAAATTGGCCGTGGTCTTGTGACGCTTGCACTTGGCTGTGCTCATGGAGATGGGGATGGCTGGCCTTCTGAGGAGAACGAGGTACGATTGTAAACGGGACGATGCGGGGACAAGGCGAGACCGAGATCGACCAAAACAAATGCAATGGTGGTTGTGGTGACTATGAAATGTTGAGGGTTAGATCGAGGTGGGGGAAGAGTTTGGCCCGATCAAGGATGCACGTTGTTTTGGAGATGGTTTTTAGGAAAAATGATGGTGGCAAGCGGAAATAGGTTGATACGGTAGGTGGTTTTCATTAAAAAATGGATTCTTTCTCATAGAATCAAACTTAAATAGCTTAAAATTTTCCAAAAATATATTTAGAAATAAAAAATGTGGACAGGCGTTTTACTGTTTCATTTGCCTGGGATCATTAGGAGATTTAAGCAATTAAGGAGAATAAAAAATTATGAATTGGCTAAAATAGACAAATTTTAACTCCAATTTCTGCTAGCTGGAGTTCGAAACAATAAAAGGCAAAATCGCTCCTCTAAGATGATTAGAAAAAAGGAATTGTTTCGTATGATACAGTAATCAGAGGGAATATAAATAAGTCCAAGCCAAATAAACGGAAATAATTCAAGAAATAGTCCACCGAAAATCGAGCCGAGAATGAATACATCGCCAATAAATCCGAGCCATTTAAGCTGTCACCCCCTCGGGTTGCATCCCCCCGGCAGATCACTGTGCTCGCCCCAGCCCTGCAGGAAATGCGTTTAATTTGCGCCCCTGATCCGCCCGCAAACGGTTTTTGAGAATGCGCGCTGCCCGGCCGGAAACGCGCGCTGGAATGCCTAGCATGTCGAAATAGTTAGGGATTTTCGGCGCGCCGCCGGGCCTAATGCGCGCGGAATTTGGAGCGATTTTCGGACGGTGAGCCGGGAGCTAGTGAGTCATTTATAGTGGGGAGTATCGGGGTTTTAATATTTTTTGCGGGGGGGGGTTGGATGAAGTGCAGTGATCTGCGTTGCATTTGCAGGTAGATTGGGGGTTGGGGGAGGAAGTAGCCGATGTTTGCTGGGTTTATTTGAAGCTGTTGTTTCATCTGTCGTGTGTGACGATGAGTCAATGGGATGGAGTTATGACGAGATTTTTGGAGAGGAAAAGCCTGATGTTACGAAAATGGGACGTCAGAGTAGCGTAACGATTTGTGCAAAAATTCATTTTTCGAGGTAACTTTTTGTGACAAAAATTCGCCCGATAGAAAATTAAATCCCTAAAGTAGCTGGAGTTTATCAACTCTAAAATAAACTCTAAAACTCAATTCTAACAGCTGACGACTCTACCCCCCCCGCCCGCCCCCCAAGAAGGCGGGCGAAATGTGTGTGTATCCCGTAGGTGTGTGGTGTCCGCGTGAGTAGCCCCGGCGCGTAAATTTGTGTTCGCCTGCTCGCTTTTTCGCGGTAATTTGGACAGTGGCCGAGCGCCGTCGCGCCGGCGCTCGTGCTCCCCCACTTCCGGTGCGGGTTGCGCGGCGCGCGCGGATTGTAAACGGCTCACCCCCCTTTCTTTTGCTTCGGTGATTCGATTAGGAACTGGCGGCTGATCGGCGATCAATAAGCCCGTGGCTGCTCTTCGAACCTCCGCCTCCTCTTCTCCCACTGTGCTGTAGAAGGGGCCACCGTAACCCTCGTGCTCCCCACCACCGGAAATGCGGCTCACAACGGATCTGGCGATGCACACACATGTGAACAGCTTTTTAGTCGACAGCAGCGATGTCAACGAAAGTTTAGAAATGTCGTTAATTTGTGGATGGAATCAGGGTGATTTCGCGGAAAGGTTGAGAATGTTGTTGTTACCGTTACCGAATACTGTAAACGTCAATGAGGCCATATCACGCTTCATGCGCAGGTTCAAGCGTAGAGCGAGAGAGAGAGAGGGAGAGAGAGAGAGAGACGCAGGCGCAAATAGAAATTATACGATCAAGTCCATCCGGGAATGTCGCTCTAATAAATAGAAGATTACTGCATAAATACGGTTGAGAAATTACTGTAGACCTGTGTCAGAAGTACAAAAACTCTCCCCTGCTTTTTTCAGTCCCAGGTCATAGATCCGAGTATGACTAACATGGTCTCTATTTGGCCACATGTCTATTCCAGGGCCCTTTATTTGAGCGCAACTGAGGTTCTGTCTGATACTTTCTATTCCGACATGCAATTCCTTTTTATTTAATGAAGTGATTTATGCCAACCGCTCCAAACATGGTACCCTACATAAAACACCGTTTAAAGAATCTTCATAAGCCAGTTCAATATCGTCGACTTTTGCTGGTGCTCGTCCGATTGGTATCCCTTGTGATGGCATCTCCCCTTCCTCTCGTTCGCGATCCATCCCTTGTTACCGAACCATCCGACGTCCTGGTACCGTATCTTGTCGTGTCCCGTGTTCTGGCCGTATCCCGAGTCTTCGACCCGTCTCTTGTTCTGCTACCATCCCTCGTTGTTCCGTCTCGTGTCTCCCAACCGTTCCGTGTCTAGACCAAAAGAGATTAAATGATGGCGGAAGTCCGGGGGTGCTTCCGGTAATTGTGGATATGGCCAATGTTCGGAGGGTTTTGATCTTTGCGGCAAAACTTTGCTAATGCGATTAGGTTAACTGGTCAAGTCGGCTACCTGGAAAATTGCCAACTACCAAGAAAGAGTCAACTACACACTCTCTCTCTTTAAAATTTATGGCTTCTGCAATTCCAGAAAAATGGGGATGGTCTATCTAAAAGATAAGCTTTTGGAGAAAATCACTACAACAACGCTATCGATAGTTTTCCCATGAACTCACAGAACCCGTGACATCTCTCAAATAAATCTCGATACGATACCTAGTTTCCAAGCTGCCGCGCCGCCGCTTTTTTCTAGTTTACGATTTCCGGTGATCAGCCGGCGACTAGACGGTGAGGGATCACGTTTTAAAAGCCAGCTAACGAATACACACGTATTTCATCGTCATTAAGGAAGAGATAAAGGCGGACTTTTGATTTGCACTTCGTACCTTTGGTGTCCGGCCATTACTGGTTTTCGGGGTTTTCGGCGGTTGGCGTTCTCTGGATGTCCGCGGAGGGGAGTATTTGTGGCTTGATCTTGCGCCAGTAGGTCTATATTTGAAATGCTGTGATTTATTCGTAATCTGCAAAGCCACGGAACAAAAAACGATACAAGCAGTAACTATTGATATTTCTGGCAGCTGAAAATTGCAAGAAAAATTTAGATATAAAAAATATCTTCACATTTTTTTAATTTGAAGATAAGGTGTTAGGCGCCAGAAATAAGCAAAACCAAATTGTGTGTGGTATAATAATAATAATAATATTGTGTGGAGAATGGCGGTGGCATGGGGAGCAGGAGGTGGTGCTGCGGGTTATCGGTGAGGTTTCGTGATGGGGGTACTAAATCAAAAACGCCCAATAAATCCGGGGAGCTGGAAGCAAACTTACGGAGCTTTTAGGCGGGAGGGTTGTGCAGGGGTACGGGGAGCCGAGTTGCTCCGTCTACAAATTGCCACAAACTTAAAAGCCAGCCAAAATAAGGTTTTCCCAAAGCACCAGAAGAATTTGCAAAATTTGAATAATAATTTGTGTAGCACGTTAACTAATAAATTTATGAATTTTTAAAGATTATTTCTCCTATAGGTCTAGAAACGCCTAATCATGCAAAAACTTGTTTTGATAGTATTTTGGATAGATTTCAACTAGATTTCAGTTGAACAAACAATTATAGAACGTCGAAAAATTCTTCAATTTGAAATTTTGGCCCATGGTTAATAAAACGATATTAAATATTTTAATAAACATTTGTAGATCTTGCATCAAAAAATCATAAAAATTTGGTTTTCTTCTAAGAAAAAGGGAACTATAAAAAAGCTTCCCCCGATATCACAAAAGAACCCATTCCACGACCGAAATTTAAATCACACTAATTAGCGACGAAAGACCGTAACACAATTTCCGGCCGCTGATTCATTGCAAATTCCTGACATGCACCCAATGTGGTTTTTGCCTGTTTGTTACCCTGAAAATTCCACACGGACAGCAACAGCAGCATTTGTCCCAAAAGCAAAAATGCGGTTTTCGACCGTATCGGTTTGTTGGGGCTTACCTATTCGGTGTGACAGGGGGAATGTCACGGACGCCAGCCGAATTCGCCGTAGGCCGGATGTTAGACGTACGAGGCGGGCGATCTTCGTGGCTTTTTCGGCGGCTTTCGTCACTGTAATTGGATGGTATTGTCTTTTATTGAAAAAAAACCTAAATAAAATATCGTAAAATCGTATAAAACGAGACACGGAAATGCATCGAAATCATGCTAATCCATATAAATTTTAGGAAATAATGAAACTAAATAGTTCCGTTGACGTAAACCTATGGATTAACGTAGTCTTTAAAAAACTTTAAATATATATTCCAGCCATTCTAAGAAAAAACAAAAAGCCGTTTACTTTACGCCCTTTTAAAAGTCTTCGGATGCTGCAAAATTCATCCGGATCCGATTTTAGCCATATGTCCTCTGCAAAAAAAACCACCAACCGTGTCCTTGATTGGCTTCTCGTCCTCATATCATTTCGTCCCTCACGAGTTTTTGGCTATAAAAACAAAATTTATTTTAATTAAAACCCAATCTCAAAACCTGATGATCTCCAGTGGGTAAGGGGCGATGTGCAGACAGGGGTTTGGCTAGTGGCTGCAAACGAGAAATAGGGAAGTATAACAAAAAGTTTATAACTAAGGTATGTATGATAAATAATAGCAGTGTAAGAAAAAATACATACCTTTAACGGTCCCTTCCTTGTTTGTTGCTCCCTGCAGAAAGGCACGTGCCGCTCCGCCGCTCGCTCGTTGAAATTCCGACCGCAGTATTCGCATTGAACGTAGTCTTAAGCAAGTTGATGTAGTATTAAAATACATACCAGAGGGTACGCTGGTTTTTGGAGGAGGCGGAAGTGGAGCGCCAGTCTTTAATGCGTAGTCGACCTAAGCCATATTAATTCAAAAATCGTGTTTACCTTCTTGCTCGCCGAAATCGCTTCCTGAAAATCTTGATGCCGCTCCCTCCACTGTGTCTTTGGCCTTGAAAATTGACCTCCAGCCTGAAAATTATTAATAAAAACTGTAAATATGAAAATATTTTACCTTTTCCTTTTCCTTCTGGGCTCGTCGCACATCATTGATGCTGATATCACTACCGGTTGCACGCTGTTTCCCGGAATCGAACACCTTTCTGTTGAGGTTGTTCAACTTTTTGCAGACAGGTTCGTGCTTGTCCTAGAATTCAGCATACTTTCAGGGAATATCAAAGACATACCAGGCTGGTTCGAATAAAGCGGCGTCCGCATACTCGGCATGCATAGGTTGGTTCTTCTTGTTCAGGCATGCCTGAGAAAAACACGAAATTTTCAAGTTGCTAAAGGAATGAAGACACCGACAAAATGTAACGTAAATAACGAAAACCAGGGGTTGTTAATGGGGGTTTAAAGGGACTGGGAAGCCATGATATAAAATTTGCGGCGTATCTCGTTGCTTTTATTACTTTCCGGTCCCTTTACGGTATATTTGCGGTTTTTTAACATTTATTTTAGCAATTAGCACATTCGTGGTTAGCCTAAAATCTAAACATGATTAATCTTTGACCCACACGATTAACGATTTCGTCATCCTTTCAAGGGTATAAACAAAGGAAGGGATAAAGGTATTACAATCCAAAACCACCTGGCTAATTGTCAACTTACCATCAATTATTTTTTGAGTACCCATAATGGATTAGGGGCACTTTTCAGATTGAAAGAGGGTTATGTGAGGGGCAAGGTTTTGTGTTGAGGGGAGAAGACAAGAGCGTCGTTGGACGGCTTCAGGAGCTGCTGTCTCCAGGCAGTGTCGCCATGGAGAGTCACCTAGGACGGGCAAAAGGGAGACCCACACACACCACCAACACGCACACAACACCCCTCTACTTCTTCTCTTAGTCCAGTTAGAGGCATTCCCCTACACACCCATATACACGCATACATCTTTCATTTGGAACGGGTGGGGAGGGCACTGTTTGAAGAAACAGCTGATCAACAACGGGAATAATTGAGGAGAGGTGTTGGGGAAAAAGCGTTTAAGGGCGTAAAAAACGCACTTTAAAAGGCGTTGCTTCGCTATTAAAAGCTGAAAATACCACGCTATTACTAGGAAATTTTTATTCTATAAATAGAGTTAGGTTTTTAGTTTGCCGACTTTAGTTTCCCATATTAGACCAAATCATGACTATTTTTGTTTTGTGTAAAATTCGGAATTTTGCAAACTTGTTGCAAAACTATTACAACAACCTCAATGGCATCACAAGCATATCTCAATAATCTTTATCCGCTTCATAAATATAATATCTTCTATCACAGTTCACAAAATTGGTTTCATAAATTCTATCGTGGAAGCGAAGAAAGGTCTCCGTGCTGCGTATCCCGCTCCGAAACGATGATCTGAAAATCAAATTGCCTATAAAAATCGGTTCGCTCCTAATACCTGATTTTTGTCGGTAATAGGCCACTCTACAGCAATCTCCTTGTCAAATGGGTTGATCCCTAAAACACAAAAAATCCAGAAAATTTCTGTCGCTTACTAACCGAATTCAGTTTTTGGGTCGTAAACAGCACTGCATTTATACGTTACGTGAGCTCCTTCGGGGGATAGACACTGAAAAAATTTACTATTATGAAATTTTAGAGGCAATGGTTCAAAAAATTGCCATTGTTGACCTAATCTGTACCTGGAATCCATGGAGGAATCCGGGTGGGATCCAGAATGCATGTTTGTTCTCGCCAGAGAGGATAACCCCATGCCATTGTCCGAACGTCGGCGAACCCTGTCTGACGTCTACAGCAACGTCAAAGATTTTACCTTAAAAAAATCCGGATTAAGATAAAGGGTGGATTGTTCATTACCGGTAGCGACAGAGACCAGTTTTCCCATTCCTGGTTGGGTATGGAGACCACGAAGGACGCCATGTTTGGAGAATGAGTGATTGTCCTGGAATTAAAACTTTTAATCGGTTAAGTAAATTGTTGGAATATGCAAAATTTGCATATTAATGTCGCAAGCACATCCTACTATATATAAAAAAATTGTGTCTGTGTGTGTGTGTCGATTTGCATGCAACTTCCGTCTGTATGTCCGGAGGATAACTCAATAGGGGATGAATATTAGGGTACGTATGATACGTCGTTAGGTGCGTAATGGTGCAGAGATGAGTGCACACATATCAAAGTTTTGAAAATTACTGTTTCGCAATTAAAATTGGGTTTTGGAAGAATCGGACACTCTTTGTAGAGCCAATTTGATGCGTCGGAAGTGGGGAAAGCTTATATACGGGGGTAGAGGGGTCCTTTTCATTTTTTTGCAATCAAGGTTCGTGAAGAAATATCTGTGGTTAGAGGGCCAGGGTTGAAAAGCCGCGAAGCGGTTTTTCAACCCTGGTGAGGCTTTAATTTTATTTGCCAACTACTCGGTAAAACTTTTAATGAAATAATATAGAATAATTACATCGAAGCGCCTATATTTCAATATTTTTAAACAATTTAATTCGAATATTTTCATTTAAGCGACGTATAAGCCCTACGGTATAATCCCTATTTTTTTATAGTCCCTAATTTCGATACAACTCATATGCCCTCCCTCACACCAACCTGCAAGAAAACCTCCTTAAAATCCAGCTTCTCGGCCCATTCCGTAGCATTATAGGTTTCACTGAAAAACCCGCGGTCATCCGGGAAGACCTAAAAAGCACACGGATTAGCATTCAGCAAAAATTCTCCTCACCTTGGGCTTGATTACTTTGAGTGCCGGGATCTTCTCAATCGCCTCAATCTCAACATTGAAGCGTTTCTCGACGTTTGGCACGGACATCACAAAAAAGGATAGCTAAAATCAAGACTGCTGTTGGGGATCAAAGAAAAAATGATTGTGTAGTGGTGCGGGTGGTGAGTATCGGGCAAAAAAGGGTCAGGCCTTGACATGTCCTGCTTTGGGGGGAGGGCGAGATTTCTTGGTAGATATCCAGCATTGTGGGTTTTCGGGTGCGGGCGGTATGATTTCAGTTTTTCGGCTGGTGGTACGGGAGTGGGAGCTGGAAAAGTGATACCTTGATACGTAGGAGATCTATAGAAAATACTAACTGCAATTTTGAGGGTTCGGAATCAATAGACTAACCGGAAACGTTTTTGGGCGTATCTTCAGCTAACTACATAAATCATGAGAAGAAACAGAGTCACCAAAAAAACACCCGCCTCTAAATTTCAATACTTTACCAATTCCACCAATGACAAACCCGTGTCAATTAACAAGGCTTATATAGAAGATCCCCGATCTGACAGCTGGTTATGCGAACGAGACGTGATGCCCAAAGTATATAGGAAGGAATCGGAGCCGAGATGAGATGACAGACGATCCTTCCAGTCTCACAGCCCCCTTCACCCCCTTCCTCCTAATTATCGAATTATGAATGTCTCTTCCGGGCCTCTCAACCCAATGAGGAACCCTCTGCTTGAAGCCGCTGCCTTCTTATAGTCCCTTTCTTATAGGACAAGCCGAAAATGGACTTGTTGATGAGTTTTTTCCATCCGAGGCGTTAGTTTTGGATTACTAGGGTTACTAGGCTCTAACTAGCCGTTTTCTGAAGTGGGACTCACAATTTGTGTAAAATAAACATTGAGGAATGCCTAGGCGGGGCTCGATCCGGGCTAGACATAAACAAATCTATTTTCTAGAGATTTTTTGCTAAGAGTTGAATTTTTAATTAAGTTTGTTAAGCTTCGGGTAGTAATTTTATGGAATTTTACACTACTTATTAGACCTTTTTAACTGATGGGAAGGTTTTTCTGCCAATTAGCTCACAAAAATGTTTTATTTTGAAATATCGCTATTTTAACATTTGTATTTTATACCGAGTACTTTCTGCAGAGTAAAATATTTTTGAATTGCAATCTGACAGAGTTGTGATGACGCTTCTATGGCATTTTAGTATTCACATTACATAATCTTTGCTACTGGGTTACATTATTTTGGAGCCCGCTTCATTATTCGAATATTTCGCCTTTTTTTTCGGTCCCAAATATCCGCTGATCCAGAAAGTAATTCCCTCGAATGGCCCTTATTTGAGCCGAGGGCCAAATGACCCAGGAAAACATGTGATAATCCGTGGGATTAGTGATCGAGTTACCACGGCGAGGAGGTTCCTTCAGACAACAACTCGCCGGGCTCGCCATTTTGACTTTGGGGCGCCACGACATTCGTTTGGGGCCTTGGCTAATCCGGTATGATCAATGCCGCGTGGCTTCCTTATGTTTTTCGGGTGCTTAAAAACAGAAATTGAATTTGGGCGGCGGGAGGTTGAAAAGTTCGTAGATGTTTGTGGGGACGTAAGTTCATGTAGTGTTGTAATCGATGTACCATGGTACTGGTTTGTTATGGAGGGGGGGTTGCAGGCGATTAAATTTCCGCTATATTCTCGTCAGCACTGAAAAGGATACCTATACCCAGACTAGCTGAATAAGATGTTTTTAGATTCTGGTCACAAAATTCGTCAAATTATGACATTTTCTTTAAAAGATTCTGAAACAGTATGAAAAATTTAATACCCTTTTTTGTAATGGGAGATTGCAAAAAAAAACTATAAAAAAACTCATTGTTGTCATAAAGCACATCCAGCACAAAAGAAATTATTTTCTCTTTATAACGCACCAACCAACTTTAAGGACTTTTATAACTTGCCCCAGGCGTCGTTGAGTATTGCTGTGCGTATGAACAGCTGACGCTCAGCCGATAATTATGGCTTGAGAGGACTGTGTGAAAAATCTGAACCCTCTAGTGTATACAATAGAGGGGGCAGTGGCGCAGGTGGCAGCAGGGCGGTCATTAGATTACCGTTGCACAACCCTCATCAGCCTTCCAGAAGCTCTCCTTGTGGGCTGTGTCTAACCCAGTGTATTATCTAAAAAAACAATTTTTCATATTCATAAAATCGCACATTTTTGATACTTTCACTTTCCCCAATCTTTCTGTACTTTCTTCGACAATTTGTCTAATGTTTTTGACATGTTTTGTAAGCTTTGTTTTTACAAAATTCGTTACAAAACATGGGGGTCATTCTCGATCAAGGCGTTGTTCCAGTTCAACTACCGTAATCTAACAATCTCACCCCGACTCGAACCTCCAATCAATCATATACCTCGTTTATATGCTTCCATTTTTCCCTGCTTGCATCCGTACAATTGATGATGGCTCGAAAGCGAACCCTTGAAAAATAGCTCTATCTTGGACGCGGCGATTGTGGCGTTAAATTTGAGAACGTGTCTGTTTTCATTATTTCCGGTCGGCTTTTCGCCCCTAGGGCATAAATAGACTGCTCGACCCGGGGGGTGTCAACAATTTTGTAAGTCCACCTTCACTTGCATATTCTGGGGGTGTTAATTCCCGGAATAAGTAGAGTTTTCTTTGAGAACTTGTGGGCGTGAAGCTTAAATAATCGGGGGTTAGGGTGGTAATGAAGCAAGTGGTTTAAGATTAGGGGTTACCATAAACCGCTCTCAAGACCTATTATCAAAATTAAATTAAATATATGTGAATTAAATCTATTTACTTCCTGAAGAATGTGATCCTCAAAATTTAAAATCATCCTTCCTTCCTTGCCTTGTAGTCCTTACTTCCATTATCGCAAAAAATATCATCCCGTGATCCAGAAATCCACTCAGATCCAGAAAAATGGAAGTAAATTTCATTCTTTCCGCACACCTGGAGCCCCAACCCCAAATCCGCTTATTAAAGTTCAAGAGCATCACCTCTCCATCCCCCCCCCGAGCCGGAGATGAATTCACCGGCGAGCGGCTCATTTGAGGTCTTATGCAAATGCCAGGTTGAATGGCTACTCAACCAGTGCTGAGTGTATACAAGAGAGGAGCAGAGCAACAGAGTAAAGGCCCCTCTTTCCTACCACCCGCAATTAGCCACTTGGCCATACACCCCACCCAAGAACCACAGCAGCCACCCCGACAAGGAACACCAAGCAGTCACTGCCTCCTCCGCAAATTGCCCCAATTATGGTCTCAGTTTGTTCACCACCACCAAACCCCCCCACCTCCACACGATTCTATTTTCACCGCAGGCTTATTGCAGTCTGTGACTGTACGAGTTCAGGTGAATTTCGGTGGTAAGTATAGCTCATCTTCTGCGAAGCCCCGGTTTTTATTTTGCACTAAAAATGTTTTGCGACTCAACCACCTGCCGATTCCCGCATTTTTTTCAGAACAGTAAGGACCAGAAAACCTATATCTTTCCGGAATTCGCTCTAGACAAAGCACCCGGGCCCTTCTGTTTTCACGATGATTCATTTTCATCTAACGTTTTCATAGCACAGCTTTTGAATTTTTTTGAATTTTGGCAAAAAGATCTATGAAAATTTTGAATATCATAAAGCAGATCTTTAAGAAAAATGAAAACCGAACCGTCTAATTTCCGGTAGCCAGAAAAATGCGACCGTCACCAGAAAGCTTCGCGCGGAACTCCTAACCTGCAATCTATCGTAAGGCTTAATTGGACCACAATTGTGTTAATAATTACCAGTTGAGCGGGATTTTTTTTATCTTATTCTGCAGCTTTTGTCAAGTCATCATTTTGTAGCTCGCGAGCATCAGTTTTGCCACGGTGTTTGCCCCAGAGCTCGTCTTGCGATTTGGCTGAAAGTAGCGGCTAACTAATCGAATCTACCCCGTTTATATGCCGCCCAACATTCGATTCGGGAGTTCTCGGAACCTTGAATGGACCTAGTAGACAACAATTGACCCCCAGAAAAACTCTGGTATATTGGATTTCAGCATAAGTATTCCAAGCTCCCTGATTCCGCAGAGCGTGGGCGCCGCCGTCTGAATTTTTCCATATTTCCATGCTACTTCCTGTTACCCTTTCCGTTACCCCATTTCATTCAAACAATGCGGCGCCTCCAAAATCCGGTCACATAGTCATCGGGATGTGCGGGAAGCCTTTGCGGGCTGTCGAGGGCCATGGGACATCTCTATAGGAACAGCCTCCCCTTCTTCACAGACCCACCATAATCCGCTTAGGCCTCCTACCCCCCTTCCGACCGCCATTTATAACAAATTCCTTGGAATCCCCTCCACATCTCCCGGGGCGCTCAAATTTGCAGTTAGGGCGGCCGGGGGGATTCCTTCACACTTGTTGAAGGTGTCGGGTTTTCGAAAGCGGTCGGTATGACGGTTATAATAACTTCTGCCCTACAGTAGCTCATGTAAGCTGTCAATAGGAATTACGGAAACCCCAATTAGGATTGTTCCCTCAAACTCTAAGAAAAATATGAAGATCCTCTCCACTTTCGACGTATGCAAACTGCACTCACTCACAAGAACGAACACCGAAATTTTCATAAAAGCCGAATTTTAATAGCAAAAATGATGTTTTGGTAAAAATCTGCAGGTCCTCAGCCGATTCCGGGCCATTTTACGCCTAATTACGCTTCTTCCTTTCCGAAAAAGGCTTGGCTGAGACTCCTTGTAAGAAAAAAAGTAGCAGAAGTGTATAAGCAACCATACGAAAAAACATCATTTGTTATATAATAGTATATACTCCTTCAACAACGATTACCCCAAGCTATTTCTTTGTTTTTTTTTCGCATAAATTCCTTCTCCAAACCCACACCCCCAGGGAGGAAGCCCCCTGGAATCCGACGCGTCACATCGTTTGTTTGACTATTCGATGTCTTCCAGACCCATTCGAATCGTATCCGTTCCACGCGGGACCGGGTCCCTATTCTCCGGTGGAACATGTGTCCACCCTTAGGACCCTCACACACCTGTCGCCCCCTCTCCAAAATGTTACCTTCCCCGGGGCGCATGCATACTAATCTCACTCAATTTGCTAATGCCTGACTTCATTCGGGTGTAGTGACCTTTGGATTGCATCTTGTTATATAGAAAAAATTGTGTCGTGTGTGAGTACTTACAGCTCTTCCGAGCCCATTTTCTAATTGGATCTCGATAGGATAGGAATTTCATGCTATGCGAGATATGTCATTAGGCGCGTAATGTTCTAAACATGATTCGCAAGCGTCGTACTTTTGAAAATTCTTGGTTTTTTCCATTCAATTTAGGTTTTTGGATATCCTTGGTGTCCTCTAGTTAGGAGGCAATTATTATACGAGGGTCTAACCTATGTGAAGCGGCACCGCAGGGAATTTCTTGCCAGTTGAATTTGTCTAATCGTACCTGGTAGTAAATAGTACACTTATGACGCCTCTTTCTATAAACAAAGCACCCCTCCAAATCCCCCAATCAATTATTCCATTATAACATCTCCCACCTCAACTGATCCTCAATATCTTTTCACCTGTCCCAACCCCCAGCTCTGATTCCCCTCTCATTATATTCTGTCCCCCCCCCCTTACCTCCCGACCTACCCCTCCCTTTTCATTGGGCAGATTATCCCCTTCAATAACTTGTTTCTAATCCCCCTCGCATCCCTTGCTTCCGGGCATTTCCGTTCACACCATCCTCCAACCCGCGTATTCCCTCGGTCTCTTCTTATTATGTTTTGATCAAATTGCAATCAATTTTATTTGAATTCCAGGCCCCCACGATGCCGACCCAGACCTATCAACCGTTAGTCAAAGCAACCTCTAGCGAAAAAACGGATGAATCTACGGTCACCACCTCGACACCACCACCAAAAATGAAGCACGAAATTGAAAAAGAGGTTTGTGGAGCTTGATAGCCATGACTCGACTCAGGATTTATTCTTTCAGAAAAAGGAGGACAAAGCGCTAAAGGACAATCGGGTGCCAGATTACCGTAAAGCTTCAACTGGCACGTTGAATCGGTTGATCCTAGTCGCCCAGGTATTACTTACTTTACATACCAAAAATCGTTTCTTTTGACAGGCTCTGGAAAACGAAGTGGATAGCCGGCGACAGTCCGATGTCTCCGGCAGCAAAATAGTGTTTTCCATTCGAATGGCGAATATGGTAGGATAAAAAAAAGAGGGTACTAATTATTGTTTTGTCAGATCCTTCTCATCCTCGTCAACGTCCTCCTTTTTTCCGGTGTTGGCCAATATTACGATAAAAATCAAGGCGGACAATGGGTAAGTTATTTTCGGATTATCGGAGGAGGGGTTGAGTTGGTTAGAGGGGCTTCTTTTTAATTTTGTAGGGATTGGCCAAGAGATTTGGTGGCCTCGGAACAAATTAAGGGATCAAGGGCTGGGCTGTAAAACAGCTTACACGATTACCAAGCACACCGGGGGCTGTAATCATCGGATGTGATGAGGAAATTGAAAAAATGATGATTCAGAGTCTGATGCTGACTGCCGACAAATGGATGTATACTGCTGGTGAAGATGCACTGCCGGATACATTCCGTGAGATGCGGTTGAATGCGCAGTTTTTTGCGGCTAGTATTACGGTACTTACTGAGGGATGATAAAATAATGTTGAGTTAGGTGTCGATGCTTTTGGCTACGGTATTGCTACAGGTGCTACATGTTTGGAATAATGGAAGTTCTAGGTTGATTGTAAGTTTTGAGCCTATTACGATTATGATAATTACTAGAGTTGATGAGATGAAAATTTGCATCTTTTTTAGTCAATGGCATATGCATTTGGCGCTGTCCCGTTTTCGCTATTTGTGTTCGGATTGGAGATGCATTACTCAGCGTGCCCCTGGCTGGATGATTACTTGCAAAGCGGAACCACGGCTCCGGATGAGATTCGTCCGCTCACCGATGTGCAGTGTGGGATTAATGGCTGGGCGTTGGCTGGTGTAAGTCTTAAATTCCTCAAAATATTACTTTCTTTAAAACCTACCCTAATAAAACCGTTTTTCAGATCTTCGAACTCCTAAGCTGTGGTCTCTTCATGAGCGAAGGTCTCATCACCGCTTTTTTTAAAAGCGAATCCTCCCATCGCGACAAAAAGGAAGCTATCTTGTAAAGTACCTCTCCTAATCCTCTCCTTGTATAGCCTATCAAACTAACAGGCCTCTTTAAGGCATATTTATACCTTTCTATTATGTTTTTTTTGTTGCAAGGCCTGTGATTTCCCGTTAGTTTTCTATGCAGTGTAATTGCAAATGCTGGTATCCCACACTGATCTCCCGATATCACGATTTAGTCACAGTTTCATCGATTATACAGACTGCGCTCTTGCTGCTACATCTTTATCGCTCAATAAACTATGAAAAATAAATTCTAAAGTACACCAAAGAACGGTTATTTTAATTAATTATATTGAATGATAATTCATACATTTTCAGTCAGCTATTAGTCACCCGTCGGCTACCCAGTATTAAGCCTGTAATTGCTCCGTTGGTCGTCTAGGTTATCCGTCAAGCCGCGACCCGCATTTTAGACCACATGCCCGGAGACCGATAGACAATTCCTGCATGAGGAGATACGACCCGGGTTCAAGAAGCTATAGTTATCGGTATTTACGGTATACTACGGTATTTTCAGAATTTACCACTTTTTGACGAGAAGTTTTTTTAGTAAACGAAGCCGCCAGCCTTGCGCATAATTACGAAATATTGGCTCTCCCCTGGGCTTAATATGAACCCGTTTAAATTAAATTAAACTTTCGCCCTTCTTCCAAACACCCGAACCATTTACCATACTCGTTACCCCTTTATACAGATTATACCGGCAGGTTTCTACCCCTCTTTGCGTTTTTCTACATTTAAACTCGGCAAAATTTGTCTCTCCAAATTCCTTAATGGTTATTAATGTGAAATCAATATTGCGCCCCCGTGTCGACCTTATTAGGCCTGTCGCCCGCACTACTGCCCACTCCTATTGCCACCCAGCCCCCGCGCGCATTCGACCACCAGTGGTTTTTTGAATGCTCAAACTGGAAACGACCTGGCAAAAAGTTTTACCTTTCACTGGAGCAAATTTGATAATGTTTGACAAATACATTTAGTTCTAGATCTCATGGCCTTGCATTACTATATGGTGGTTCCGCCGTTCCTGTTCGCTCTTCATTACAACCCCCTTTTTTCTTGTCGAAAGTCTGTTTTTTGCTCTATCGCCCAAATCGCTCTTGGACACCAATTATACGCTAATTTGACTTCTTTTATCTACTTGACAAAGGGCTCTTGACATTATTGGACTTCCATCTCATACAATATTCGCGTTAATAGTGATAAAAATGATTTTTTAGAACTTCATTCTCTTGAAGTATAGCTTTCGATAAAACCTATGTACCTACTCTTATTACGGATGTTTAGATGATGAAGGACACAACAGAGGAGAAGCATTCGGGAGACGAAGAAAACCAGGAAGATGAAGACGAAGATTTCGAGGTAAGTACAATATCGGGTTTTTATTGAATGTTTTTTTCAGATTGAGGCGATTGTGAAGGCTAAAGGCAAAGGAGCGTCGAAGCTATATTTGGTATGAACTTAAAGATTGGTCTGTTATTTGTTCTCTAGGTACGCTGGAAAGGATACGGACCAGAACACGATCTTTGGCTTCCAGAAGACGGGCTTGATTCGGCGCCGGATTTGCTGAAGGAATTCAAAGCAAACGTATGGCTTTCAACCATATTATCCAAAATTAAAATAGGAGGAAGCGAAAGCACGACGGCCTCTCAAAAAGCGTACGCCTCCACCTGCGTCGATCTCGGATCCGGAGTCCGACGACGAGCCAGTTTCGAAACGAGGGAAAAAAGCACGAAGTTCTTCTGAATCCGACGCAGAATCATACCGGTTTGTTCTAATTTACGTACAATCCAACCTGAGCTTCTTACAAAATGATGTTAGTAACTCTAAGTTAATCTCTTTTCAGGAGCTCTTCTCGTAAGAAGAAACAAAGTGGTCGCGGATCTGCTCGAAAATCTAACGCTTCCAGCAGCAGTAATAAACGGACTTCGCGCGGTACGGAGAAGGATCGCTCGCCGATTCGACCACTGAAAGTGCAAGTGAAGAATGTGAAAGAGGTATCGATAGTTATTGGATTTTACTTAGTATTGTAATTCGTCCTAACCTAGAAGCAACAATGTCATCTCTGCATCAATAACTTTTATTTTTAGCTTGGGTTTATTGCGAAAAGCTGGCTCGATGATGCTAGTGATGATGAAGACGAAGAAAAGAAAGAGAAGAAGACCAGGAAGAGCAAATCTCCGGAACTTTTTAAGTCCCCGGAACATATCAAGGCAAGTCGTTCATTGGCCGAAAACTCGTGTAGATTCAGAAAGAGATGAGTACACCCCCCAAGAAGACGCCAGTCCCGGAAAAAGAAAGCGATGATCAACTCAATACTTCTAAATCTTCGTAAGTGTTTTTTGACGCGCTACAGGGTATCCCAAGAAAGAAGTTCCCGTTGGCATTGGGATATTTCGGGCCCGATGAATTTTGGATTTTGCAACGAGTTTTGGAGGGGTAAAAATGTTCTAATTTTCAAGTCTGTTCAAAATTGCAACTAGATCGGTTCTACAATGGATAAGTACGAGCGTGACCTTTTTATTGGAAAGCTTTGCAGAATTCCCCATATTGATCCGTATTTCAGGTCGAATCATCGGATAGATCGCGACGTTGAAACACTACCTATCTACTGTATCAAAAAATTGACCGAATGCAAAAACGGAGTGCATACGGCTTCCGTTATAATCGATGGGCGACATTGCGTTGAAACTTTGGAAGGTGAGAGGAATGTTTAGATGAATACTGTTGACTTTTAGATGTATGGGCGCGCCATCCGAATGAACTCCTTTCGTACTTACTTTCCCGTCACGATTTTGCCGCCAAATAATCGATACTCATCATCTTTCGCGTACTGTGTTTTGTGATTAATCAACATTTTTCGTTTTGTTATGCATAAATTGTTTTGGTGACGTCGGACTTAAATAATCGCGATTAAGGCATTTGGGTACGCGAACATTAGCTTATGATTTGGGTTGGCCGATTTTTGCCAATGGACGTTCGTATTTTCAAAAATCCTACTATATATAAAAAAATAGTGTGTGTGTGTGTGTGTGTGCATTTGCATGCAACTTCCGTCCGTATGTTCCAGTCGTATCTCAATAGGGGAGGAAGTTAAGGGCATGTATGATACGTCATTAGGTGCGGAATGGTCATGACACGACTGCACACCATTCAGATTTTTCAAAATTAGCTGTTTTCGACATTAAAAATAGGTTTTTGTCAAAATCTCGCTCGGCCGCTTTGTTAGGAATCAATTTGCATACGCCGGAAGTGAAGAGCGCCTATATAAAGACGGGAGGGCGAGTGATTTTCATTTTTTGTTCGAGGCAGGCGGGTGTGATTATGCAAAGTAGGGCCATCATGGGGCCTAGACGGGGCCAGGGTTGAAAAGTCGCGAAGCGGCTTTTCAACCCTGGTTATGGCTAATTATTTGACCTCCGCCGCTTGAGCCCAAGAAGTACTTATGTAATCCTATACTCTGGATACGCCTCAGGTTAGCCATATTGATAGAGTCTACCACGTAATGAATCTACTACCATTTTATTTATTCCTTGGTTATGCTAACAGCGAAAGGAATGCTTTTAACATTACTTTAAATGACACACAGGTCGTCGACATCGATTTTATTAAACCGTTGATCGAAGCAGGTAGTCCGGAAGACCCCGTGGCTCCAACGTTAATTCAGATGACCAGGCTCAATGGTCTAATTCCTTGTTTCATGGGCCATTTGGGGCACCGTATATGGTAATTGGGGCAAGTTCTGCAAAATTAGAATGGTCGTATCGGATTGGCGGCCAATGTTCCCTTGTATTTGCATAGCTTGCATAAAATATAGGCAATATGATATTCGGGCAAGGTCTTGTACCCATAGATGTGTACTTTTAGTGGCAAAACTAGAGATATATTCAGTTATTCCCTAAAATGTCAGCAAGTCCATGGGTATATAAAGTTTCATAATTTTTGTCAGTCTTTACAGCATGCGATTCGAAACATCCCTCTGTCGGAGCTACGTGGACGTCGGTTACGATTCCTTGTACCGTCGATTGAACCACCATACGTATGAGATTGAGAAAACGTTGGAATAAATTTTTAGGTGAATTATGTGAACTTTTCGCAGGATGCTGTTAAGGATATGGGATACGGCCCTGGAGTAGTGATCGAAATTATGAAAGTACCATTTACTATTGTCGTGCGAACCTGTATTCAGGACGTCGGAAAAATTCTCAACCTCACTTATGAATTGGTGTCGACGAATGATACGAAATGGGGCAACTTGATTAATGGAAGTTGGAATGGAGCGTTCGGAAAGTTGTATCGTGGGGTAAGAATGGTTTTTTTCAGACTATTTTGGGTCTAGGAAACTGATATGATCTCCGGTGCGGCAATTATGCAATATGATCGGAGTTTAATCTCGGACCTGACATATCCATTTGAGTTTGAATTGACGGGGATGCTGATACGATCCCCGATGCGATACCTTGATCATCCATTTCTTATCGTGACGCAGCCATTTAAATGGGAGGTGAGTCTAAATACATAGCTAGAAGTCGGGATCTTTGGTGGTTCGAAAAGTTCATGAATGGATTTAATTTTATGCAATGTTGTTTACGTTTTTATTTAATTCCAATTTAATTCCCCGAAATTTTTCTAGTCTGGAGTTGACTAGGTGGTCCGGGGCCACCCATTCGATTCACTGGGGTGGTCCCGGATCGCGGCTCTCAACGGGATCCCATCGCTGGATTTGGCAAAGAAACGGGCCCGGAGAGGTATAGCTTGGCAAAATATCGTTATGAAATAAAAAAAAATGCCATTATCCTACTATATATAAAAAAATAGTGTCTGTGTGTGTGTGTGTGTGTATGACACTTTGCATGCAACTTCCGTCAGCGTGTCCGGAGGATATCTCGATAGGGGATGAATTGTTAGGTATGTATGATACGTCATTAGGTGCGTAATGGCTCTGGGATGACAGCAAGCTTATCAGATTTTGCAAATTATGCTATTTTCGACATTAAATTTAGGTTTTTGTGAAATTTTCGGGCATCCTCTTTGTTAGGAAACAATTTGCATACGCCGGAAGTGGTGGTGGTCTATATTAAGGGGCAGAGGGAGCGTTTTTCATTATTTTTTCATCGCAGCCCGGGCGAATTATGCAAAGTGAAGAATATCATGGGCCCAAACGGGGCCAGGGTTGAAAAGTCGCGTAGCGGCTTTTCAACCCTGGTTAGTCCATTAAAAAACTTGCTGCTCCGAATAAAATGAAGGTTATGCTTTGTAAATTTTGAAGCATTTGAACGGTGGAGCACTATTTTGCATAAAAGAAAATTCATGGTAACAATTCTAATTCTAAAAATAATTTAAACCAAAAATATTCTTAAAACTGTAATTAAATTTTTTTCAGGTGTGGGGCCTAACACTAATCGCCATCCTCCTCTCGGGTGTGGTCTTAAAATATCTGACAACCACACTCGGAGCCCTCGGAGAACAGCAGTATTCAGCATTCGACTCCGTTTGGATATTTTTCTCTATTTTTGTACAGCAAGGTAAGTTATTTCAAACACGAAAACGATGGAGAAAGCCTTTAGGACTACCTCGACAGCCGTACTCATGGACTTGTCGGTTTCTTTTAGCACTTTGGTGGTTGAGTGCAATGACATTGATGGCAACATTTACCGGTTCGCTGGTGGCTTTGTTCGCCGTTCAAAGAACCAATCTGCCATTTACAAGTTTTTACAATCCTTCAAAACCTTAGTTTGTTTTTAGCGGCCGAGGGAATGCTTAAGGCTATCAAAGCCGGACATTATACAATGTTAATGGATGTCAATAGCCAGTCCAGGACCGAGATGATTGCTGTAAGTTTTTACACCGCAAAAATTTCACAGCAAAAAAAAATATTTAGAAATCGAATGCCTCACTATTTCGAGCGCTTTGGCATGAAATGAGTGTTAATAAAAAAGTTAAATATGTTGATGGGCTTGAGAAAGGTAAATCTGTATTCAAACTGTAATATTTCTTAGGCGTGGAACTCGTTAAATCAAATGTCGGATATGTATTGGTGGCTTCGATGGTTAGCCTGGAATATTATGCGTTTGTCGATTGTCAACTCTCACTGATACCTGAAGGCTTTTTGCCGACCTACCTTTCCATACCTTTACAAAAGAATTCTCCGTTCTCCACATTTTTCTCCAACCGGTAAGCTGGCTGAATTCACATTTTTACAAAGAATTTTGTAGCATCCAAGAACTAAACGAGCGAGGTTTCATACAAAAATGGATGAAAGACTATCAGATCTATTTGGCATCGAGGCGAACGATTACCTGTAATACGACCACCAGCGAAAATGGTAGGATCACGTTCATAAAATTAGCTTTTTGAGGTAACCTAAGCTTAAACCGGGCGCAAGGAGCTTTTTGGTTACTGGCTGCCGGTCTATGCTTAGCGTTCCTATTTCTGATTGGCGAATATGGATATCATCTCTTCCGCCTAAAGCATTTTGAACCGAAAATAGCTCCCAATTCCGCAATGGCCAGCGACAACGTCTCGACGTCAAAAAGTTCGAGAAGTTTTGGTGGGCCATCTCGTCAAACCTCGATTGTATCACCGGAAACCGGGTAGGTAAAGTTCGCTAAATATATCGTACGCTAATCTTAGCGAATTCTCCCGGCGAAGAAACGTCTTGAACTTGACGCTGCCAATCGGAAGCATGCAGGCAATCCCACCGGATGAGAACTACTTAGAGAATCCGGAAACGGGCTCTCCCAATGAATCCCTCGACGTTTTTGATATGAAATTTTGATAAACCCTTTTTCTGACGTCATTTGGATTTTTTGGTTGTCGCGATTCAGGTGGAAACCTTTATTCAACACGTCTATTAGCTACATGCCAAATCAAATCTAGAAAAATTGGATATAACATAGCAATCGTAAGTATACTCGGATCGACGGATGGAGGAAAAGGCATTAGGGGCGAATTGTTTTTTTTTTTTTTGGTTTTATCAAAAAGGTTGGCTGTGGGAAAAGCACGGGTTGGAGATTATGATGAGATGTTGATGGGTGGGGAGTGTGGTAGGGGGTCATCGGATAAAGCGGAGGAGGCGTAGCCCACGAGAGAAAAACGTTCAGGCGGTCTCGGCCTGCTTCTCGAGGTCGATGAGATGCTTGACACCGTCGTACATCTGCTTGACGGCTTCGTATTCGGTGAGACCAAGGCGAGCCTGAAGAGATTTTTAAATGTTTGTCTCTAACTTTAGCCCACGAATTTCATTTTTCATCGTGACCAAAAGAAATTTTTATGCGAAACGAAATAGGCAAAAATTGATCGATTTTGACCAATCTTATTAGTTTTTGCCATTTGAAACTGCATAAAACTCCTAGGAATACTACAGCAACAAGGCAGAAAAATAAATAACGAGCTCCTATTCAAACGTTTTTCATACAATTCGATATCTATCCATTTTCCTCACCTTGTTGGAGATATCATAAACTCCGCCCTCAGAATCGGAGTGCTCGCCGTGGATACCACGGATCTGGAGCTTCAGGCCATCACAGATCGACTTGAAGTCGGGGCGGGCAGAGGTCTTGGGCAGACGGATGTGAACCGAGGCACGGACCGTTGTTCCGAGGTTGGATGGGCAGAAGGTGAGCCATCCGAGACGCTCGTGGCGCGAGAATGGGGCCTGCTCCTGGATGGTCTTGACACCCTTGATCAGACGCTCAAGGACCTAGGCAAAAAGAAATGAGTAAAGCAAGCAGTGGTCTTACCTGTCCGACATTTCCGCCGTTCTGCATGGAGATGATGCGGAGATGATCTTCCTCGTTGACCCAGACGAGGAAGGTCTTATCCTTGTTGTGGTAGATACCACGTCCCTTTGGCCAGAAACGGCATGCGTTGGCGGCTTGCAGGAAGCTGGAGGTCACGGTGTTGGAAACAGATTAAGCTAAACACTTACCGATCGCCCTCCTTGAAGAGGAAGTGGTCAGCGATGAGCTGGGTTTGGACTTCCTTGGTCATGCCGTCAAGGGGATAGTAGCTGCCAGCGAGCTCGCCCTCCTTGAGGTTGTCGAAGATGTTGCGGACGGTCTCTGAAGGATGATTGTTGATTCTGGATGAGGTGTGATAGCTTACTCTCCATCTCGAGGTAGTTGGCCTCGGTGAGGCAAGGGTTGAAGGGGAATCCGGCGAGGGAACGTCCGCAACGGATGCGGGTCGAGTTGATGTATTTGCCCTCCGGGTCAAGATCGGTGAGCTCGCCAACCTAATTTAATATTTCTCACTTTACGGTTTAGGTTAATTTTCCTGACAATGGGAATCGCCCGAAATATTTAACAAAGGATAATTCTAAAATTTAATATCTAAAATAGCTGTTTTTCAAAAAAATCTGGTTTATGCGCACTCGTTTCGATGCCCTTGCGCGCCCACTGACTTAACAAACACACCTTGCTCTCCCCAAGATCGGTATCCGGCTGCTTCTGGTCGGGCTTGAAGCCATTGTGGTACTCCTCAATGATCGGGTCGAACAGCTCCTTGAAGGTGGTGTACGACTCGGCATCAGGGGCATACACTCCGACTCCAGAGTCGAGGTTGGCCACTCCTGCAAAAAAGAAAGTTTCCGTCCCTTTTCAATTTTTTTTTCTCGTCCCCTCTCCCACCGGCCACTTCAAAGAGAACCCCCGGTCCCCCAACGGCGCGTCAACGGACTAAAGGTTAATTTTTCGGCAATTTCACGGCTCGCAAAATTCATGTCGGCCCCCGTTCGCCGGGGTTACCAGGGGCTACCAGCCATTTTTTGCTCTTGCGCCTCTTTTCAGATCGACACAACAGGGAGGGCGGTGTTCGCTGGTGAGGGGGGAAATGTGAGGCTACGTGGCAAATGTTGGGCCGGGGCTGCGGGTTATAATGGTGGATTTGGCGGACGCTAATCTGAGCCGATTATCGGCCTTGGGAACCTAAGTTACGGTGTAGTCGGACGAGAGGAGAATTTAGGAGAGGAGGCTATCAAGTCCTTTGTTGGTTCCATGATTTTAAGTATATAATTGTGAATTAAAAACGAAAGAAGCCCTGGTACGGTAATGTGGAATTTGCATATTTTCCCGGGCGCCCGCTGACGAAAAATATGAAAGGCACCGTCCTAGCACTTTTTACAAATTAATCCTTCTTCCGGTTTGGGCTAATTGCGCCCTAGTAAAGTGGACGTCCGCCGCTTTTCAAAAACCTAAATTGAATCGGAAAATAGTAATTTTATAGAAATCTGATATGTTGACAGTCAATTCGACTCATTCTACACCTAATGAAATTTCATCTATCCAAAAGGTAGACCCGAGGCTCTAGCTGCGGAACAACGTCCCAACTTGTTTTACATATGCTAGTATCATATCTTGGAACACGCACGTTTTTGAAGTATTCCCTTTAGAACTGTGATCTTCGCCCTCGATAAAAACACAGTCCCGTTATCGGGCCCGTACAAATAGCTACTATTGTTGTCTGTGCCACCGTTCCGTTCCCACAAGTCTTGCCACTATTGTTGTGCCAAATGGCGAACCGCAAATCCGGGGCACCGATTACAGGGTGGCGAACGAACGGAAGGCTTTGCAATGTGGCCCATCCCCCCCCCCCCCCCTCACTCCGGATGGGGTCGAGGGCGTATTGGAGAATGCATAATGGGGTCGGATCGATGTGAGAGGGGTGGAAACCCCCTAGGGGACACAACCACCACCGACCACATGGACCCTCCACTTCCACTTCCACGACCAAACATCCAAATGGAAACGGCCAATTGTGAAATAGGCCGCGGCCTTCACCTGGGGACGGCCATTCCTCCAAAAAAGCTAGCTGCCGACCTTGGCCTGGGCGTTCGAGGGTTGGAATCGCGTGAAATCAGATAAAGATGCAAAGTTGGTGAAGCGGGGATTGTGAAATCGACGTGGCTGATGGCTTTTGATATTTGAATTTGGAATACACCGAGTTATAGTCCTTTCGACCCAAAATCTGCAAAAATATGTTGCCGAAGAGTGAAGCCCTGTGTTTTATAGGAACCTGTAGATCTACTCCATAAATCCAACTAAACGCCACAATTTTACTTCTGTATTTCCGAATTTCCGCTTCTCCCCACAATTTTCAATGTTCCCGGGCCGACCCTGAGAGTTTAGTTTTCGACCGTGGCGACGTGTCCATTTGCCCGTCTCATTTCCCAAAATCTCTGAGTGACTGCGGGTGAAAGAGATAACCGCCGTGGGATTTGTTGTTTTTCAGGGGTTTTCAAAATAGCCGGTGAGAAAGGTTGTTGGTTTTTTGCCGCTGGGAATTTCTTGAATATCATACCCGATTGGATGACGTCGAGGAGGTTGGCGCCGAGAGCGGTCTTGCGCTCCTTCAGGTCATCGACCACCTGACGGGTCAGGTGCTTCTTCAGAAGTGAGTGGCAGTCGGCAGCTCCCTGAAAAAAAAGAAGAAATTAATTGGGATTTAAAAGGGGCCTTGCTAGAATTTTAAGCCATCCAAATTTGATCTTAATTTTCGTATGGAAAGGTTTAGAGGTACGAAAGCGTACGTAATTACCGGACCAGCGCGGAATTTTCAGTTTCCACACACCAATTTTTTTGCTCGCAGCCCCAATTTGCGGTAAAACAATGCGGCGGCCCCGCCGTGGCGGTGATTCATGCCCAAAATTGGGCAGCTGGCATGGGATGTGTGTGTGGTTGGGGGGCCTCGGCTAGCGACGAGCACTGAGTATTGATTCTTGTGCCAAGATGTTGGTGTCGCCATTTTCCACCAAGGCATGGGAAAATGAACCTTCAAAAGAAAAATGGATACATCTAGATATAAACTTCATAAAGTCCCAGACTGCTAACGGTGTCTTAAATTTCTCCTCGCGCCCAAACCACCCGACCAGACGTGCTTGTTTGACCGTTTGACCGAACTATTAGAACATGCTGTGGGGGGAAAAGCCCTCCCCGCTCGCCTCAAACGGATCCACCCTACCCACGTTGACCCGCTACGCAAACAAACAGTTAGGTTGGGAGGCCCCCCCCCACAACCCGGAGAGTGGACAGTCCAAAGCTTTGTCTTTATCGTCCCCCGGCGAAAGCCACTGGGATGCCTGGAGAGAAAAGGATACCGGCCGTTTCCTCGTATCCCAAAGGTTTGACGTAGCTACTCCAGTCTCCTAGCTCAGCCTTTTTAAAAAAACGACCCTCAAAACCCCTCTAATGAGGTGGGATACGGTAGCGGAGCTTTATCCCTTTCTGGTCAGCCCATGAAAACAAGCGGATAATGTCTAGAAAGGATCGGCAGCTGTTTTCCAGATGCTGTAAGGTTTTGGAAGAGACACGGGAATTTTGTTAGCCTCCCTAAGTCGCGGGCTTTTCTCGCGTCCGCACGCTTTACGATTCAGCCGATAAGGAATTCATGGGGAAGACACGAAAAAAATAGGCATGCGCTTTGTCTTTGCATGGAAACATTGGTGTGTTCCGGTCAGTAGATTTGGAAAGGGATATTAGATTATGGGACGGGGGGAGGGAAAGTAGTGGATGTTCTTTGAATTTGTGGCACGTGGTTTGGACTTGGACTTTTGAACTGTCCGGGCGTGCGGGAAATCTGTATGTTGCATCATGCATACGGGGGCCTATGACATAAAAATTTTTTGGAAAAAAAAAAAAAAAAAAAAAAAAAAAAATAATAAATAAAAAAAAAAAAAAAAAAAAAAAAAAAAAAATATTTTAAAAAAAATTTAAAAAAAAAAAAAAAAAAATATAATAAAAAATAAAAATTTTTTAAATAATAAATATAAAAAAAAAAAAATTTTTTTTTTTTTTGTGGGAAATTTTTTTTGGTTGGGGGGAAAGGGAAAAAAAAAAATATTATTAAAAAAAATTTATTTTTAAAATTAAAATAAAAAAAAAAAAAAAAAAAAAAAAAAAAAAAAATATAATAAATTTATTTTTAATAAAAAAAAAAAAAAAAAAAAAAAAAAAAAAAAAAAAAATTATTAAAAAAAAAATTAAAAAAAAAAAAAAATAAAAAAAAAAAAAAAAAAAAAAAAAAAAAAAAAAAAAAAAAAAAAAAATAAAAAAAAAAAAAAAAAAAAAAAAAAAAAAAAAAAAAAAAAAAAAAAAAAAAAAAAAAAAAAAAAAAAAAAAAAAAAAAAAAAAAAAAAAAAAAAAAAAAAAAAAAAAAAAAAAAAAAAAAAAAAAAAAAAAAAAAAAAAAAAAAAAAAAAAAAAAAAAAAAAAAAAAAAAGGGGGGGGGGGAGGGAAAGGAAAAAAAAAAAATTAATAAAAAATAAAAAAAAAAAAAAAAAAAAAAAAATTAAAAAAAAAAAAAAAAATAAGGATGCAAGCGCCGATTTCGAGGAAGTTCGAACTTTTGAGTGCTACTCAGCACCTGATAGGACGAAAACTTTTGTGCATTGATTTTGAGAACATTTAGATAGCGGTGGATTTTTGATGTATTGGAATTGATCTAAAAATTTAAGCAAAAGTGAGGTAACTGGACTTCACAACCTCCACCTATGTCACCTTAATTTCCTAACTGCTTCCTTTCATCCAATCTACGAAAATACATAAAAACTACAACCGACCTGGAGCTTGGTGTATCCATCCTCAATCTTGGCGATAACGTCCTTGTCAACCGACATTTCCGAAGCTTCTCGATTCGAAGAAGGTTGTTGGTTGTGGTTGTGGGCTGGGTGGGGGTCGGGGTCGCAGTGAAGAGAGGCTTTATACTCGGCTCGCAGCATGGCCCCGCCTCCCTGCCTCGTCGGCCCACAGGCGTTGCAGCCACCAAACTGCCCACACGACGATTAGTAATATACAAAATGCCATGGTTTACTGTAGAAAATGGAATTTATAGGGCAATGGGGATGAGGTTTTTGCTGGAGTGTCGGTAATTTTTATAGTTCTCATTACCACGGCGATAAAAGTGCAGCCTGGGAAAGGCGCGTCACGTCTGAACGCAGGTTTCAAATTGGGCATTAATTTCATTTTTGGTTGGGAAAAGTAAAGTTATGAATACCCTACAATTACACCGTGGCTAATACTATTTCTAAATTTCTAAAGTTTCTAAATTGTCTTCTATGGAAGTAGTGCCATATTTTGTAAAGGCCGTCACTGTGATTTTGCACGTATTTTTAGCTTTTGACCAAAACTCGTATCCTCTCCGCTTCTTGCCGAACCATACGGCCAATTGCTCTCGCCTTTACCCGATGAAGCCTAAGCAAATAGGGGAGAGAAAAAAGTGAGAGGCACCTGAAACTGAAAAGGTTGCGCCCCGGTAGATGAAGGGCCCCACTGAATTCGATTGGTTTCGATTGCGGGGGGAAACTGAGGGAGTTCTATGAAGCTATGGGAAGTGCGGTTTTTTAGGAACTTTAAAATGGGGTTTCTTATCAAATCCCCAAAGTATGAAAGCTTTAGCTAGGCATCACTATCCTCCACAAACCGGCTTAAATTAACCCTTATAATTCCGACTATAACTAATAAAAAAAGTCTTCACTCTCTCGCATATACTGCAGTTTCGAAACCACTGCAATAAACACTAGATACAACCCTGCCATATGGAAATATAAGCGGAACGGCGCGGGCCGACAAACCATTCGGGACACAGAAATAATCCCCCGGCGATTAACACCGCATATACACGCAACGTATATTACGAGCCGGATCGGAAATGTAATCAGAGTTTTCCCCCTTGGCTGGTTTTCAGGCGCTATCCACCCTCCAAATTAGCAGCACCCCATTATCGGGGACACCCCCGGCTGAACAATTGAATAACGTTGTCATGGGGACCCACAAAGGCCCGTGATTGGATGATTTGCCGTTGAAGTGCTCTTCTTTACAATGCATCTTTACAATATCATCTTAGTCCGAATATTTATCACATCAAATTCCCTTCGAAAATCCCATCACAAATAGGACCACAAAAACTTGCGCCACTATGAGAGGCCGCAGAGGGAGCCGAACGGGGGGAGAGGCCCGCGCAAGAAAAGCCGTCAGCACAAGCTTATAAGGCCCGGTACATGTAATGATGGACAAATGATTAATGCGTATAAATAGATAACAAATTACGAAACAGGGAATATAAATTAAAATTAATAAAATTCATATTATCATGTGGTTATGAGGAGCTTATCGTTGCCCTTGGACCTCCAGGATGCGGATACCAGACGTGCCCTTGCCAATTTCAGAAAGTTGACAGACTTGGCAGGTCTGTCCTTGATTGCCTTCAGCGTAGTGCGCACCACAGTAAGGGCAGCTAAAGGTATCAGTTGGACTTTAGTTTTATTAGTTAGTAGAGTTAGCTTTTCCAAAATACCTGGTTTTTGGATTTCCACGGTACAGTGGTGTGAACGACTTTGAGCAGATGACGAATGGATTGTGCTCATCATAATTGAGCTCGAACGCGTCGGTGTTGTCCTTCTCAGCAGCAGCAAGCACCTTTCGGATCTGGGCTGCCACCTCGGGTTTCGGGCCTGAAAATTCATACGAGCCTTGATTTTCGATTTTGATCCTACCAAGATCCAGAAGTCGTCGGCACATCGACGCACAGGTCTTCATTTGCTTAACCTTGAACAGAGCGTTCACAGCGGTACGCAACGTAAGGATGCGATGAATCGGTTGCAGCTCGAAGTGCGTGAAATAAGCGCACAATTCGGCATTTCTGAATTTGCATATGTCTATAATTTTTTTTAAACTCCTTTATCGCATGAATTGTCTACTATGGCGGGAAATGATTCAATTTTTTCCAAAAACTAAACACCAACTATCTGGCGGCCGGTTTTGTTATTTCGTCATGCGACTACAAAGGTTAGTCATCGAAATTCACGTCGCTCTCGGCGCGATCGGCTTATATTTTTACGGGGCGATGAGTGGGCAAATTTTTCGCTACGTTTTAATGGAATTTAGGATGATTCTCACCTTTTAACCTGATCAGGGGTTGGTGGGGTAGACTTTGGCATATCTTTGCGATGAGTCTCAAGCAGCAGGCATGCCAGGTATTCGCGGCAGATTTCGATCAGCTGCTCGGCCTCAGCGACCTCTTGTTTGGTGTTGACGACAAGAAGTGGGACAGCGAAAAGGATTTCACGAAGGCCGTCAATGGCATCGGTGAATTTTCCTAGAAAGGAGCGTTTTATGGCTCTACTTGAAGTAGTGACGGTAAAAACATAATGAGAACGATATACCCAACACCTACCTTGAGTCGTAAGCAGGTACATTTGCTGAAGCTGATCAGCCAATTGCCGAAGCGTAAAAGCTGCTGCTGGCAGGCGATTACGCGGGTTGCCTTCGTTCCAGTTTCGAAGAGCCGGTCCAAGAAGCGGGCTATTCGTAGCTTCCGGGTATCCAAGGAAGACGGTATGAGCTCGGCTGTACGCTTCCGCAAAGATGTCCTAAATCATAAAATAATTATCATATCGATTAATAAATGTAATTGTAAGTCATTACTTCCATTTCGCTTCAACGTACCTCAAGTGGAACCACGTCGAGCAAGCCGATCGAATCCTTGAGAATATTCTCGGCGGTTTCATATGATGCAGCTGCGACGTGGTCGCCGGTCAGACGAGACCGGGTCAGCCACAGAGTGGATACACATGGGCCGCGGGTAGGCACAGTGAAGTCACTGTCATTTGCTGTCGACTCGGCAACGTCAGGAAGTGCTAGGTCTTCTTCCACATCCCAGCCGCCTTCTTCATCGTCACCAGCGCCAGCTTCTGCATCCTCACCATCCTGAATCCTCATTTAGTACGTAACCAAGACAAGCCATTAAAAAAAATCATAAATCTTCTAGAGGAACTTACCTCGAACTCGAGGTCACCGCCTTCATCATCCTCACCCCAGCCGCCTTCCACTTCCATTTCTTCGCCATCAAGATCTCCCATAACAGCAAATGCACTGGCGGCTGGCTGCTTGGTTGGCTTGGAACCGCCACCTCCAGCATTTAGTCCAATCAGCTGATCGTCAAATGGACCACGAGCAGTAGCAAGCTGAGGCCAGTTGTCCTCGATCTAAAAACCATGATTTAATGACCATTCGTGCAGTGCATACCTTGTAAACGGGGGGAGGTGGAGCGAGAAGACGCGCATTCGGATCGACGGGTGGTACAGCCTGGCCCTTGGCCTCAAGCTCTTGCTTCAGTGAGCCAGCATCGTCAGCGAATCCGTGGGTAGCCGCATTTAGGTAGGCCAGTGAAGTTTGCCCAAGGCCACGGAGCACTAAATTTGTTTTGTTGTATTTAGCTGGCAACGACTCACCCTTTGTGCGCTCATTCACGTCTCCCAGGTAGAGAGCGGTCTGGAACTGGCCGTGCGCATCCTTTCGCATCTCGGCGATACGCAGCATTTTCGAGAGCTTCTCGGTGTTTCCAGTGACAAGGTAAAGGAAAGCCAGGCGCTCAAAGTCTTTAGTTCGTTGGTAGGCCATTTCAACGATCTGGTGATTTCCGTGCATTAGAGCGGCTTCACCAAGTGCTTCCCAGACGGCGCGGTCATCCATGGCCTGAAAAGCTATCGCGTTAGGCTTGTTCTTGCTAAATTATGGAAAGTAATAACCACGACCACTCGATGTTTCTTTCTTTCCGCATACCTTGGCCGCTTCCAAAGCTACATCAAGGTTTCCACACTCGAGAGCCAGACCAAACCGGGTCTTCTCGTCCTTCACGAAATGCAGGGCAATCTCCGGGTAGCCCTTAAGCAACGTTAATGTCGCGCTATAGCTCACTTACCTTCTTTTCCAGATATCCAATGATAGACTGTCCGACAAGGTTTGCGGACTTGACGGTGTTCAGAACCTCATCAATTCTGCGATTGATCAGGGCCAGTTTGAAGCGATATTCAGTAGGATCAATCGGGACCTCGACGGGTTGGGCATCACTAAAAACTCTCTTTTATGGTCTATGGTTTCTTTGCTTACCGGTTCAAGCAGAAGAGGTTCGTTTGTTTGATGGCCAGAATGTAGAGCGGTACATCTAGCGTGCGAACGATACCGCTGTCACCAGCTGTGAGAGCGTATCTAATAGAGTATTTTAAGGCGGTGAACTTTTGGCCTACTTGATATGGTTGCTGGTGGTATAGAGGAACACTTCGGCTCCATCCCAGCATCCGGTCTTGACACGTACCGATTCGGTGACGGTGTGCAGAACCTATACATCTCAGTTTATACGCGTGATTTCGTAAAACTACCTCAAGCTTCCGGTTGACGAGGGTAACGGTTGTTTTCGAGATCAAAGCCGCGTTCTCGTTGTTGGCTGACCAGATCACATATTTCACCTTCGAAGCCTTCACGGACGCAATAATGCGCTTTTGTTGAATGTCCAAAAGATACAGCCCCTCATCGTTTCTAAAATCATGATCTATTTATTTTTTGAGCGCTTAACCTACCCTAGAAGGACGAGACCAGTACCAGCGAAGAAGAGATCGTTGACGGTCAGTTTAGACAGGTAGGCGGGCTCGATCTTACGGACTTCTTTGTTCGCCAGATCGCGTAGGGAGATCTGAAAGGATGCATGAGGCGATTTGGCATTTTCAACCGACCTGCAGGTTCTTGTCGAGAACAACGAATCGATTGCGAGCCACCCAAACGGCCGCGATTCCGGCAGAACGATTTGCCACGGCGGCATCGCTACCCTCTCCGCCCTCTTTGACCACCTTGTACAGATCGTAGGTGCACATCTCGCGGTTGTGCGAACGAGTGGTCAGCAAGAAGCTGTTCTCCGCCGGGTTGAAGGCAAGAGCGAAGTAGGGCTGCATGAAGGCAGCGCCGGCACGAAGCTTTGTGATGGCCTGGTCTTTCCTGAAATATGGGGATGGTAAATTATATTGAATTAAACATATATAGTATGCTATTAACGAACCCAGTAGTGAGGTCCAAGCGACGCATAGTCTTATCCTTGACGTAAAAGACAAGGTTGTCCGACACGCAGTACGGTGGGCGCTCCCTCTGAATCTTGAAAACGATCATTCCGTTGTCATGTCCAGCCGCGAACATATTTAGGTTGGGGTGTGCTGACATCACCCAGAAACGCTCATTTTCATGTCGGAAAACATGGAGACTGGTCCTCTTCTGCATATCCCAAACGCGAATGCTTTTGTCTTCAGAGTTCGACAGGATGAGCTCAGCATTCGGGTGGAATAAGACGGAAGAAACGTTGTTGTAGTGCCCACGGCAAGCATCAACTTCCCAAGCTTTGCTCTCGTTGTAACGCCACATTTTAACTTGACGATCATCCGATCCGGAAACGAGGATGGGCATAGTGTGGTGGAAGGCGACCCAGTTAACTCCACGGTCGTGTCCCTCCAGCACGTGTTTTACAACGACGTCTGGTTGGCCGAACAAGTCAGCCTGACCAGCAGCGCCTGGTGGCTTCGGTCCTCCAGCACCACCTCCTGGCATTTGTTTCTTCCTCAACCCAGTAATGTCCCAGATGCGGACAGTTTGATCCAGAGAGGCGGAAGCCACTAGGTCTTCCGACGGATGGAATTGGGCGCACATCACGTAGTGGTTGTGTCCGGTTAGGATTGCGATGCTCTGACGGCTTTGCCAGTTCCAGATCCGCACCGTTTGGTCATCTGAAAGCCTTGCTCATTAGCTTTTTAGTGGCTCATTAGGTTAACACGATTATTTCACAAAGCTCCAGAAACTATATTCTTTGAAAGCTCACAAAACATACCTGAGGCAGAAATGATCCACGGATATTTATGATGGAAGAAGGTGGTGCGGATGTAGTCGAGATGTCCAAGGAGAGTGAAAATACAACGCTTCTGCTTGTAATTCCAGACCTGAAATCGGCAATAGTCGATAATATACTACCAACTACCTTGATTTTGTAATCATCACCACCGGAGACGAAAATCGGCTGGTCAGCATGGAATGAGATCCCACGAACAGGGCCGTCATGCTCATCGAATTTATCGAGCAAGACATGCATGCGGTAATCCCACAATTGAATAATTCCGCTGTGCAGTGAAGCCAGGATCCATGGCCGTGTCGGGTGGAAAGTGATCCCTGAATTTTCATTGCGTTTCAGTGTTTTTCCTCATAAATTAATGCAGTTAAAATATTTTTTTTAATCATTAAAAATGATTTGTTATAAATGAATTTTATAAATAAATTCAGAACTTACCCTTCACTCGTGGTGATTTAGATTCAAACTTCACCAACAGAGACATGGCTGCCTGAATATATTTATATTCTCGGTTCTGGGTTAAAATCTCAAAAGGAAGAACACAACGAGTGATAGGAGTAGGAATGACCTAGTTCAATTGGCATCCCTCTAACACAGCAGATGTTCTGTCAATTGGGGCCACGTGGAGCAAAAATGGTTTACCGCATTGCGCCGGCACCCCGGTGCTTATCATGCTTTTTGAATTGTGGCGGCACTTAGAAAGGACTCAAAGCTACAACAAAAATTCAGCTTATAAGGGAGAAGGGTCTTATAATGGAGAAGTTCAGGCCTTCGTTGCGATGGCCTAAATTCGGGTACTAGAGCAAACAGGTGGAGCCTCGTTGGATCAATACAAGGAAATTTTTCGTTCGAAGAAGGAAAGAAAGAAATATAACCGTAGATGATTAACCTAACCAGGATATTAGTGATTCTAGCCTATGTTATTTCATGGCGGAGGGCGAAGATCCTCATCGAATTCAGGCCGAGAAATGCCGCGTGGACCGCAACGCACCGCGCCAATAGACGTATGTGAGAGAGCTTTTCAAATTAGATGTCGTGGCTCCTTTCTGCCTTTTATATATCGTTTTTGGCAAGTAATAAATTCCGACAGGCTTTGTAAAAGTCGAGTGTTTTTACCAAATACCATATTATTTTTTTAAGGCACAGCGCAGTGTACTAGGCCATGATTTCTACAAAAAAATTGCTCTAGATGACCCAGTAGTCTATGTGCGACACCTTACATGCAACATCTATCACCGTGTTACAGTACTATACGGTTAACGGAGCCTTTACAAAGCGCCAGGGATATAAACCTCACGGACTACCCTTTTTGCCCTGAATTTAGATTTTAAAGGTGATTATCTCGTGAAAAATAGACGAAAAACCACTAGGTTGAAAACACTCGGCTTTTACAATGCGTGGACGTTTACAACCTAACTTTTTTTTGCAACCGCTCCAATCCTCCCCGATAATATAACACTCATCCACTGAATCATTCATTTTCTTGAAGCTTTTAGCTTAGGCTGTTACCTTTCCTTCGTTGCACGCTTGCTTACTCGTTCCCAAATTTGTTTGTCAGTTTGCTTTTATTTTATTGTTTCCATGTCTTCGATAGGATCTATGGAACCATTCTTTTGCGTCCGAACATTCTTCTCCTTCAGATAACTTCGGGTAGTGCCTAGGCGATGGATCGTCTCTTTGCGGGGATTACCCCGAAGAAGCAGGTATGAGCTTTGCAGAATGATTATCCCGATTTGAGGAATGGGTGGTCCGGATGGCAGCGCTGAGTCTGGCAGCCATTGTTGCTTTTCTCCTTCGCCTCTTTGCGGTCATTAGATACGAATCGGTCATCCACGAATATGATCCCTATTTCAACTACAGGTTTACATTGTTTTCCTATAAAAACCCCTGTTTAGAACAACGCAATACCTGACGGAGAATGGATATTACAATTTCCACAATTGGTTCGATGAAAAGGCTTGGTATCCACTGGGCAGGATTATCGGAGGCACAATTTACCCTGGTGAGCAATTTGTTCTTGTGCTCAACGGGAATTTAGGCTTGATGGTCACGTCACTGGCGATTTTCCGTGTCATGCATGCTCTACACCTTACGATTCATATTCGCGAGGTTCGCTGCGATTTTACGCTCAACGTTTGCTTTAGGTCTGCGTGTTCCTGGCGCCCTTCTTTTCATCTCTGACTACCATTGTGACGTACCTGCTTGCGAAGGAACTCTCGGTAATGATACTCCTTGGTGATACACTCTTTTCTTAGACCACCGGCGCTGGGCTATTTGCTGCTGCTTTCGTAGCGATCGTCCCAGGATATATTTCGCGATCGGTTGCGGGCTCGTACGACAACGAAGGAATTGCCATCTTCCTCATGCTCCTAACCTACTATCTTTGGATTCGTGCTATCAAGACCGGCTCCGTCTATGAAGCTGCAAAGTGCGCATTTGGTAAGGTTTGCTTGCGGCTCTGACCGAGTGCCATTGCAGCCTACTTCTACATGGTGACTTCATGGGGCGGTTATGTGTTTCTGATCAACCTTATCCCACTGCACATCTTTGCCCTGATTGTGGTTGGCCGTTTTAACGACAAACACTACGTCGCCTACAACACGGTATAAAATTTTGGTTAAAACAATGTTTTTTTAGGTATATACTATCGGAACAATCTTGTCCATGCAAGTGCCGTTCGTTGGTTTCCAGCCGATCCTTACTTCTGAGCATATGGCGGTATGATTTTCGTTGAAATAAACCCTTTTTTCCAGGCTCTTGGTGTCTTTGGACTCTGCCAACTCGTCGCCTTCTCCAATTACATCAAGAAATCCGTGTCTACCAATGAGTACCGTGTTTTGATGCGCGCTATCATCTTCTTGTTTGGCGCAGTCTGCTACTTGGCAATCATGGTGGCCGTCTTTTTCGAGAGTTTGTTGAATTCCTAAGTTGTTATGTGTTACTTTAGAAGTGGCGCCTTGGACTGGTCGCTTTTATTCACTACTGGATCCCGCTTATGCAAAAAACAACATTCCGATCATTGCGTCCGTCTCTGAGCACCAACCGACAGCCTGGTTTGATGAGTACTCTGATCATGACTTTTTTTTATAGGGGTTCTTACTACTTCGATCTGCACTATCTCTGCATGCTCTTCCCTGCAGGATTATACCACTGCTTCCGGAATATCTCGGACCATAATATCTTCGTTATCCTATATGCGCTGACGTCTATTTACTTCTCAGTAATTTTTCGAATGTTGCTCGAAGTCGTTTTTAGGGTGTAATGGTCCGTTTGATGCTGGTTTTGGCTCCAGTAATGTGCATCATTGGCGGAATTGCTTTGAATGGTAAGGAAAGCAACTCACCATTTATATATTTTTTTACAGCGGCGTTGTCTCCTGCTATGAAGGCTCTTCATGAAACCGAAAAGCCGGCTGTGGGAAAGAAGGCTCAAGAAAAGGCGCAACAAAACCCTTTCAAGGAATACGTAAGGAAGCTCTGACTTACATGGCCTTTCATTTTCAGATTTCCCTTCTGATTGGCGGTGGCATTATGTTGTTCTCCATTTCGTATGTAACTCACTGTACATGGGTGGCTGCCGAGGCCTACAGCAGTCCATCGATTGTTCTGGGATCTCGCAAGGGCTTTATGCTGGATGATTATCGCGAGGCTTACTCGTGGCTCCGCGAGAACACGCCGGAGGTTACATTTTGTTGGCGATTGAGTAAAATAGAATTTTAGGATTCCAAGATCATGTCCTGGTGGGACTACGGATACCAACTTTCTGCCATGGCCAACCGCACAGTCATTGTGGACAACAATACCTGGAATAACACTCACATCTCTAGGGTATAACTAGTTTCTTTTTTCTAATCCTGGATTCTAGGTTGGCCAAGCGATGGCATCGAATGAATCACATGCGATCGAGATCATGCGGCAACTTGATGTTGATTACGTGCTCGTCGTCTTTGGCGGAATGGTTGGCTATTCCAGTGATGGTATGTTGCCAATATATTTACAATTAATCTACCATGTTTCCTCAGACATCAACAAGTTCCTTTGGATGGTTAGAATTGGTGGCTCCACTCCGGAAGGGCAACATATCGCTGAAACCGATTACTATTCAAAGGACGGAGCCTATAGGTGTTTGATTTTTTCGTCTTTATATGACTGATCTCTCTACAGCGTCGGCAAAGATGCGTCGCACACGATGACGGATTCGGTGATGTATAAGCTCAGCTATTATCGCTTCGGAAACGTAGTCACTGAGCCGGTAGGATTTATAATTATTCTGTCCTTGCCGTCAAGCTGCCTGTGGCGCAGAAATTAAACTTCCTTTTATAGAGACAAGAACCAGGCTATGATCGCGTCCGTAACGAGGTCATCGGCAAAAAGGATATCACCCTGGATACGATGGAAGAAGCCTACACGAGTGAACATTGGATCGTCCGCATTTATCGGGTCAAGCCACTCGACAACCGTTTCAGTACCGGAACTGCCCGTAGCTAGATTGTGTGGTAGATTTTGTTCTGGCATTTGTTCTCCGCCCTATCCCCTGCCTTATGATGATCTTTAACCCTACGCTTTACTCCACCCACTCTAAGTCACCTTTTTTGCTTTGGTACCAAGTCTCAATCTCGAAAAAATCCCAGAAGCCAAAGCAATACACTAATGTTTCCTAGTTGCCATTTCGTTGTACTGTTATTTTTGGGTCTTCCTTGTGATAATCTCTCTGGTGTGTATAAATGTTATGATGTGCCTGACAATATACATGGTATCGTTGGTTGAAGTACGTAGAAGAATTCTTTTTCTCGATGCTGGGAGAGATAAAGCGAAGCGGGGGTGTTCATTCACAGGTTTTATGTTTCGACTAACTATATCACAATGTCGGTTTTACGGGAAGAACAATTTCTTGAACAGAAGCGGCGTCTTTGAAGTGAACAAATCAAAGCCTCTATTCTTTGGTAGCGAATTCCTGTCTTTCGAGAAGATATTTAGATGACGTCTGGCAAATAACATATGGCGAATTTCTCGAGAAGACTGGTAAATATGCGACGATGCTCTCGAGCGACTACAATATTAATGTAAATATACTCTACCTTATTCATAGGTTTAGAAAGGGGATCGAATCCTCGGTCGAACATCTAAAACGGTTGATGCGGTGGCCTTGTATTTGTCATGCCTCCAACTGGGCGCCGTCTACGTGCCATTGAACCCTGCGAACACTTTAGAAGAAACGGAACATTATATAAAGGTATGATATGATTGGTGGCTTACATTTTTTTCAGGACTCTGAGCCAACGCTATTCGTTACGTCGCAGCTTGATGGTGACAGGAAATTCATGAATGATTCGATTAGCGTGGTGGATGAGAAACAGCTGGTAGATAATATATATAATATACCCAATTACCCAATTATAATACCCAATTCCTGCCATTGCAGAAGACACAGGCTTCCGCAAAACAAGCTTGTACGGATATAGAATCGGTGGATCATGACGATATCGCCAGCCTCTGTTATACATCGGGCACAACTGGTATTCTTTCAGGACGTTTGTTTTATATCAATTATAGGTAAGCCAAAGGGCGCGATGCTCACTCATCGGTCATTGGCATCAAATGCCGAAACACTTGTTGATATTTGGAAATTTAGCGAAAATGACCGGTACATTTCGTTGCACACCCAATAACACCTTTCGTCTTTAGGTTGCTACATATGCTGCCGTTCTATCACGTACATGGATTATTTCTGTCCTTGTCGTGCTCACTTTTCTCCCACTCTTCCGTCAACTGGAGAAGCAAGTTTGATGCGATCGACTGCATGAAACAACTGAAGAATAGCACCGTGATGAGTGGAGTGCCGACTTTTTATAGGTAATCGTGGCTTTACATAACTCATTTTGTTTAGCCGCCTTCTGCAAGACTCTTCTTTCAACAGGGCTTCGGTTCCAAGTCATCTTCGACTTTTTATTTCGGGCTCTGCTCCGCTATCCCTTGCAACATGGGAAGAATTTGAGAAGCGTACAGGGCACCGCATTTTGGAACGATACGGGATGACGGAAGGTATTTTCGCTAGGCTTGATAATTAGGCATAATCTTTTAGGGCTGGTAATCTGCTCAAATCTGTATGAAAAAGAAGGAAGGATTCCGGGCTCCGTTGGGAAGCCAATTCCTGGAACAAAGGTGGCGCTTCCTGTTTCTTATTTGTACTATTGTCGTCAATCCCCGTGCTAATCCACCGTGTTCTTGCAGCTGCGACTCAATTCGGAGGGTGGGATCGAGATCCAGTCGCCCTCTCTATTCCGCGGCTATTGGCGTAATCCGGCCAAGACGAAAGAAGACATGACCGATGACGAATTCTTTATTACGGGAGATGTTGGTGACATTGATGAGAAAGGTCGAGTACCGACCCACGATGGCAAATGTTTTTAATTTTAGGCTTCGTGCGAATATTGGGTCGCTCCAAGGATCTGGTCATATCTGGCGGAATGAATATTTACCCGAAAGAGATCGAAGATGTTACGGATAAACTTGATGGGGTTGCTGAAAGCGCTTTTATTGGAGTGCCTCATAAGTAAGTTTCTTTTCTCCGACCTTTTTTCTGCTTCTTTTCTGTATTTTTAAATCAGGGGTTTCATCGGGTTAGGTGCGGAATGATCGTTTTTGGTTAGTCGTACTAGCACATTTTAGTTATCCATAATTTTATTATTTTTGTGGGCACCGTCGATTTGTAGGATTACATCACTCTGTAGAAAGATTTTTATTCTGCTTGGATCCCCATGTTGTTGAAGGTGTTGCAAGCGCTCACAAAACTGCCTAGTTACCCGCATGGGGCCATCAGTTTCCCAGCGTCTTCTCGGACGTCATACAAATCCTCCCGCTGCCAATTAGCCCTTGGCTATTTGCGGCGGAGGCTGCGGCTATTTTGGGCTTCCCGTGGGGGATCCTAATAAGCGAGAAAAGAATGCTTTGACCCCCCTATAAGCTTTCCCACGTGCGCACGTTGGGAATTAGCCCATATGAGAATTGTAGTTGTTTTTCCAGGGATTTTGGCGAGGCGCTGGTCGGCGTTGTGGCACTAGAGAATGGCGTGACCAAGGATCCGAAGGCCATGATCGCTGAGTTGAAGGAACATTTGGCGGGTTATAAGGTATGGATGAGTTACATTGTTTAAAGCTTCCAATTTTCCTAGATTCCCAAGCAAATCATCTTCGTCCCAACCCTCCCCCGCAACGCTATGGCCAAAGTCCAGAAGAAAGAGCTGCGCGAGCAGTTTAAAAATCTATTTCTGTGAATAACGTATGTAGTATGTAGATAATAATACTTGTTTGAAGATCATAAATTTATTAACGCAATGAATGAAACCAGTAAAATGGGGGAGTTCAAGTGATATGCCTAGCTACAGCAGCAGTATGACTAACATTTTACAGAGCACGTTTCAACAGCACTTGCTTGGGACCAGCCTGTACAGAAATTAATGTGAAATGTGGTAAACTTTTAAAATGATGAGATGAAGCCGCGGCAAATAAATGCGATTTCAGGCTATGTTTTCGCAAGAATTGAGGAGATCAGAAATAAGCCTAAAAAAGAAGCCAAAGTGAAGACATTCGAGGTGTAAAATACTGCACGATTGGAGAAGATTTGGTGTGTTAGGCCCAAAAAAGGGAATGGACAAAATCCTATCGACTTGCTGATCAAATGATGCTCAACACTGTATTCACGTAGAGTTGCGTTTCTTGATTTGTGCAATCGAATTCGAAATCCTAAAAGAGCTCATTTAGCGCTGGAATTTCTTGACTTACCCCAGCGCCGAGGTTCCAATTATAGCTGCTTTGCAGTTCTTCGAGTGAGGCCCCATTCTCCTTATCATATTTTCCGGTTGGGATATCGGCGAAAGCATCGTCGAACAGGCTGTAAAATAGCAAATGAGAAAATAGTAAAAATAGCAATAGAAAATTCGAAATATTCCGCTCCGCTACCATGCGAGAAAATAGCAAAAATTTGGGTGGAGCCAAAATTATGGCCGGCAGTGTACGTTATTGAGGGACGGATGGCAAAGCGGATGCTTCATGTTATCCCCCTTTCCATCCATTAACAACCGGCATAATAAAAACAGATCAACTCGACCATCTCGCGGCCGGGCTTCCGGAAAAATATGCTCGAGCCACCCCTATTATTGTCACTGCGAAACTAATCCGTCTCACAAAAACTAGAACGTCATCAATGGTCTGACCCCGAACTCGCTACGACCCAAGGCAAAATCTCTGTTTTTCAGTAAGGTATTATTTTTGCAGGATTAGAATTTGAAGGATTTTTCGAGATGGAAACCATACATCATTATGCGGATAAACGTACCTAGAGGAAGAGGAAGAATCCGAGGAGCTCGATACTTGACTGCTACAAAGCGGCTCATCTTTGCACATCTGATGTTGTAGCTTCAGCTGTAGTGCTTGCGCCTCACGGGGAGATAGAGGGCTTTTCTGTTTTCTCGCCCAGTCTGGAAAGGATGGGATGACGTTTAGAGGCTCGTAGAATTACCCGAGTGTGGGCTGCATCGATGCTGGCTTTGGGGTTGCTGGGCGGCGAGTTGTTTGGCTTGTAGGGAGTTTCGGAGTTCCATTTTGACGAGGTCGCTTCGCGACGGTGGACGCCAGTAGTTTGTTGGTTGCTGTGGAGAGGTGTCATAGCTGAAAATGACGGGGGGATGAGGTGAGCGGGAGAATTTGTGGCTAACGATGTCCGTTCCGAGGAGGTGACGCGACTTTTTAAGGTACTTACTTGGCATAGTTAGCGGCTGGGCTTGGTTGATGGTAATAAATGCCGTGCCGATCTGGCACCGTCATGTATTGGTAGTTTTCGTGAGGTGGCATAGCCTAGAAAAATTTAATTTATGTAAATCTCTGAGTTTTTTTGGCTAGTCAGAAGGAAATAAAAGCAATTTCCGCTTACCCCATATTGTGGATAGGATGAGTACCCTTTACTCTTCTCCGCAGATGCCTGAATTTTTCGTTTCAAGGCACGAGCCACTGGCGCACCGACCATCGTCTGGAAAAGACGAAATATAGAAAGAAACGGAGACTTCTAGAATATGAACCCGCAAGAGAAATGTTATTTTTTACAAGCGTGCGCCGAATGGGCTTTCCCGCTAAGCGCCTACGACCCGGGCGCAAATGAATCATTGCCGTCCGGGGCGTTCGGGAATGAGAGTCGAACACTAAATAGCCATGCAAAGGCCAAGACGACAAATGGTGGGAATGGGCTGAAGGAGATGGATACGTGAAATACTGTGGTTCGTTCGGAAATTGCTGTTGGATTTATTGCGCGGGGAAGGAAGCCTCTCCTCCTGGGGGACTAGGGAAGTTAATCAAACTAACTGACCATATGTTCTTTGGAAAATTCTGGGATTTTTTTGAAATTCTAACTGATTCCCAAATTTTTTTAAACTTTCTGATCTACTAAAAGTAATCACAAAATTAAGTTTGATTAAAAATATGGCGACAGTGGCCCGTAAAACAAAATCTGCTGGCAAAAACTAATGGCTAAATCCCGGCTTATGCTTTCTTTTCGGGGAACCTATGGGCCTTTAGCTTTAGCCAGGGTCCATTTGCAAGGGTCCGATGGCTCGGGGCGGGGCTGATGAGGTCGGAAAATTTTTGGGGGCCCACGTAGGGCCCCCACCTCCACTCCTTCACAGATTACTGACCACTAGAAAGAATTCGGGCGGTTTTCCGGAGTAATTAACGCTGGAAAAATGAGTTGGGGGCGGGTTGAGAGGACAAGTTTTTATCAGAAAAACTTCTGGGTGGGTTTGGGATTGAATTCTGATGAATTCTTTGATTCTGACGATGATTGCTTAGGGAGGGGTGAGTTTAAAAGTACGAAAAACAGTAGAAATTAATTTATAGCAAACTAGAAAATTGGTGTCGATAGGAGCTGCTTCAAAATACATAAACCTAAATTTTGCCTAAAATCTTCTTCGGGGAGCAAGATCATTGGTGTTAGAATCATCCAATTAAGCACAAGATGTAACAAACTACTACTCCCTCAAAAACCACGGCGCAATCCCTTTAGATCATGTGAGATTGAGACTATCGCTCCCCAGGATCGAGGGATACGAGAAGTCTACACCGAGAACACCTTTTCCATCTATTCATTTCCCCCCGGATTCTCCTCCTCCTCCATCTCCTCCTCCCCATCCGCCTCAACCAGCCGAAATAAAACAAATCCCCGCTTCTGCGGAATGCTAGACATCCCTGCCCCGCCAGTGTTTTAATATCAACCCCCCATCTGATGGCCTGATATTTCACCATCAATCGGGCAATCAGGGTTCAATCCCTTACCCCCAGATTTTTAATGGCGCGGAGGTGAAGCCACCACGGAAACTCAAATATGCGGAATGTGAAAATAAAATTAATTGAAAACGAACCTCGCCAGTCGGGAAGCAGCCGGGTGGATAATACTGTGGAATGTACTCCGGATTGCCAAGCATTGGGGCGATCATTTTCTGAAATAGTGGTTTGACAGCGGGATGCGGATCAAGAGTTCAAGTACGAAAACATACACATGACCGTGGTGATCGAAAAGGAGGTTGTTTTTGCGGAAGAGAGGCAACTTTGGTGAAATTATAAATGGAGGTATTCCTGCTGGCGGGCGGGGATGTCAGCAGAAATGACATTCGTGGGGCAAAAGAAGTAGGGCAGCAATCGCAAACTTTTCGCGCGAATGAGGCTCACTTTTCTTGCAGATCGGATCGGCCAGCTGGTTGGAAATGAGAAGTAAAAAGTTTGCAGGGTAACCTGTTGTGAAGCAAGTGATTGATACGTTGCATCTGGGCTTGAAATATCGTAAATTTGACCTTTAGGATACAGTACGAAATTCTTAGCAATTCAGATCTATATCGACAATATAAAAATGACAATATTCTCTGCTAAACAACGACCGTAAGACCCAGGATTGTCACCACATCCGAACAGGAATTCGCGATGACGAGATAAATTGAATGGACGGGGTAGACTTCTTCGGCACATCTCTCTCTCTCTCTCTCTCCTTCTCTCTCTCTCGCTCCTATTTGCTCCCTTAGGCGAAGGCGCATAACCAGTCACCCCCTACCTTGTCCAGCGGTCATCCGCATAAAGCCATCCCCCTCTGCTCCCTTTTCGCCCGCTGACATAAATAGAGCCCCCGCATCCCTTCCGGCAGTTGTGTAGAGAGGAGAATGCGGTCAAGTGCGCTACTTTCCATGTTTTTCTTGTTTTTAGCGAGCGTGGGCAATCTGGGCAAGGTGCCAAAAGGGGCAATCCGTTTTTCAGCCTGGCCACTACGGGATTTGTTTTTAGAGAATCGGGAGTCGCCGGGAGGTGTAAAAATCGGGTAACTTCTTGAAGTGAATAGAGACCAATCCACTAACTTAAGGATTTTGCACCATTAAATTGCTGAAGCCCTCCAACCACCCTTCATTTTTCTGCCCATTCTAGTCTCGCATCATTATCTTACTTGCTTGCCAAAGAACAGCAACCACTTACGCTAATCCCTTCCAGCGTCACATTTCCGGGCAACTACTCCTCCCCCACACCCCCGGTGAATGGAATGTGTGAACAAACTTCAAAGAGCCGCACAAAATATTCGGGCAATGCGGGTGGGACGACGCGTCGACCCCAGAAAAGAGCGGAATTGATGTGAGGGGTTGATGGATGACCAGTATATAGATAAACGAATTGTGATGCCGGGGGGTCGGTGGGGGAAAACAATTGTTTGGGGAAAGTGAGACCGGTTGGGATCAAGGAAATGTGAGGGAATGGAAATGCCAGGTGGCAACTACGATGTTCACACGCAGATGTTGGCAATTCGACCAGAAGTTGGATGAAAAATGTTGATTTGGTGGTGGTCAGGTGGAAATACAGGATCGTGTTTGGTAGACTACAACGTTTTGATGCTCTAGTTAGCTGAGTCCACTTCGAAATTTCACAAAAACGGAAATTTAATGTCGAAAATAGCTATTTGTTGCTATTTTTTGGGTAGTCATCATGAAATCATTATGCACCTAATGGCATAGTAAAAACCTTTAAATACTCCAATAAAACTAATTTAGAACAAACTGAGAGAATTCCCAAGTAAGTTGAACATTTGTGTAGCAGGCTCCACAAGAAATAATAGAACTGAAAAAATTAAGGTTAGACATTTTAAATTTTGTCCAAAAACCCAATCGAAAAAAATTTCGGCAACATGCCAACCAAATCCCGAGTGAAATATGAATTTCGAGAAAAGGAAAGTACTTGATGAGGTGTTTTCGAAAACAAGCGAGCACCCAGGAAGCGGTGATCAGTGCACTGGCCAAAACAAGCAGAGGAAATGTCTCGCCCTGGCACACACACACAATTCCCGGAGCCTGAGCCTCACATACGGGACCCCCCACAATGGATGTACCTCCCCCCATTGACACAACGAAAATAGACAATAACTTAAAGGGAGATATTTGCATCTAAGAAATGGATAGTTATATTGTGAGATTGTGGGTGGAAATAGACATGGAGGCATCATATAGGTAAATCCAGCATAAAAACGATAAGCAAATAGAGGAAAATCACGCGAAAACACTCGTTGAAGATTCGAAAGAAATTATAAGGTAAAATATTTGTAAATCCGTGTGAGTGCGGAGGCGCGACAAAACCTGGACAACCAGTCCCCATGGAAAATCAGAATAATTCGTTTAAAAGCCTCGAACCCTTACGTCACAAACACTTTCCTGCAACGTATGGGGGCAATGCAGTGGACGCAGTGTTTGCTTTCAAAAAAATGCCCGTAAAAGCGGCTGAGAAATGGGAGGGGCGGAGGTCGAAAATGGGAACCTCATTAATCTCGCGAGGCTCGGACTCAAGGCCAACCTGGTTCGAGAATCCACGATGTTTATTCAGCAGTGGACAGGTAATTTGAAAAATGGATGGCTGACATTTGCTAAAAAAGGTTTTTGCAACTGCATGTTAATGAATGTTGGGAAGGGGTGAATATTTTGGACTGGTCATCCAAGTGGAAGTGAAGGGAGAGTGGAGCAAAAATCAGAGCCGGAGACATTTCCCAAAATCCGATAAGTCGTGAAATCGAGAAGAGGCACCGGGGAAGCATTGCGTAGATGCTGGGTGGGCTTGTGGCCCTTTTCGGGGACGCTCTTTTTCCGAATTTCGTTATGGGCCCTTGGGGCCCAGGGAGCGAGTGACGCGGGCACAAACAGCCGACCCCTGGCCCCTCCGCATTGGCGCGCGGAAGAGGTCTTGACCAAAACAAGCATTCGGGAACACATAATTAGGTTTTGGTCGACTCCCACCACCATCTCTAAAAATATTTATTTCTCTAGCCTCAGCTATGTACCAACAAAAACAATCGTCGACGCTTTCGAGGGTGGTAGGGGGGGCTGCCGTTCGCCTGGCACAACATGTTTTTGATAGCATCACAATGGCATAGAGGTTTTGCTTATCTGCCAGGGTAAGCGGGAAGAATTGCAGAAGAATTAGAAGCGAAGTCGTACCTGGACTTGAGAGAAAAAGGCATCAAACGATGTTAGGCATAGAAAACGAAATTCGAGACTAACGTGGGAAAATCTGGAAATGAACATAAACAATTAGAGGCTGGAGGTTTGCGGAGGATATTTGCCTCCTCATGAATTACAACATAATTATTTTCACGGTTTTCAGAAAAAAACTGTGAAATTGAGTATTTTCATCCAATTGACTAAATCTCGCGGGAAATGGTACGGAGAAAGAACGCGAGAACCTTGGAGCTATTTTTTTCTACGGATGGAATAAATGACGGCCCCATGGGGGACTGATGCAATATTTCGCGACCTGATGTTCTGAATAACTGATTGTGGGATTAGGGGGAGTGTGATACGAAGAGAGACCAAAAGGCGGCACAAAGGCAGGGTTTAAGTCGAAGAATTGACAGTTCTGCGGCGTGGGTTGGGATGGATTGTGGGGGGATCATACCATGCGCTAGTCGGGGCATCTGCACTAAACCTGTTAGCTTTGCGGGGTGTGGTGGCAATTTTGGAAGTACTTAAGGGCAAAACTTGGGTCTGGCTGCTTGTGGAAAAACCTAAAAACGACACTTACTACGTGCCTTACTTAAATACCCAGTAAATGATCATTGAACTGGCTACCCTAGCGATCAGGTTGCTGGTCAGAATACCCAGTCAAAGTATTTATCTCTCTATATGTGTGGGGGTGGTGGTGGGCAGTGAGAATTCCGAAACAGCACTAAATTTTTGATGACTTATCCGGGGTGTGTATGTGTGTGCCATAGAAAATACGGAGCTTCGCGGCGACGCGGTGGGTGTCGCCCGTATTTTCTGGTTGCCGCCTTTCCGGAATCGAATTGGGGTGTCCTGGGTGGAAAATATTGTCTCGGATGGGGGGATTTTGGCATAACTCGGGACTGGAAGAGTAGCGATTGGTGGAAAACAAGCGATATTTTGGAAGGATGGCGACTTGTTTTGGGGGGAAGGCTGGGGGGGGGGGAGGCCGGTGGTGAGCAGCCGGGGGTTGGCTAGGAGTGCCACACGATTAGTTATATGTGAATTGTTTACGGGACGTCGACGCAGGAGAAGAAGGAAGCTTCCGAAATAGGGGCCTTTGGCTATTCCACTACCCTAGGGAGTGGAATGGGGGGGGGGGGGGGGCGGGCGGGGTAGGGATCTTTCAGGTACGGTAGTTGAGGTATTTGAGAGGCGTGTATGAATATGGATTTTAAATGGTTGTCAGAAAAACGGCGGCGTTTTTAAAGGTCTGATGAATTGGTTCCCGAACTTCTTCCTTTTACGGAACGCACCTAAATTTCCCCATTGACTAGATAAATCGTAAAAAGTGGGGCTGGATCCCCTAGGGGCTGGAGGGCATAAAAAGGTATTCATATATCCATGAATGATTTTTGAAAATAATTAGCATCTGAGAAACGAACAATTTCCATTGTCAGCGGTGTTATAAGCTGTTAATCACAAAAAAATATACAGTGGAAACCTTTGTTTGGTGAAAACCCCGGGTCCTCCCCCTTCTAATGAAAAAGTTTCCAAAGTGTTGGTTTGACAAAATGGAAACATCTGGTTTTAGGCACGCGGCAGCCACTTTTTTTTTTGGTTCGGCAACATTAGTCACAACAGCCGTGAGGAAAATGGGCCGACATTCGAGTCACACAGCCTCGGCTTTGTGGAGCGATGTTTTCAAAGAGTCAGTTGGGTCGTTTTGTTGTTATACCAGCCGCTTACAGCGGCTTCGCCGCTGCAAGCGGCTGGACTTCGGGCTACCCCCTTGCGCTCCCTCCTCATCGCCGAAACGCGCGCGACCTGGCTCACTATCTCCAAAATCACCCCAACCTCCGTCCCCCACCCCTTTTACTAAGGAAATAACTTTCAAAGTTAATTTTAGTAATTTAAACTAAAACTTTTTGATAATTTTTTGATCAGTTTGGGGGTTTCTGACCACGCTCTATCCGAATCCGAAGAGACCTAAGCTCTAGCTCCTTTCCCCTTCGAGTTGAATCCGGGACACGACGGACGGACAGACAGACAGACAGACGGACGCCTCTACTTTTTTATTATAGTTGATATTGAAATCAATGGAACAAAACCGCAGAGCTGACAATTTATAAAAACAAACACAAGCTAGCAAAGGTTACAAAATAAGCGCTAGCTCCCTATTATCTCTCGCGAAAGAGACTTAGCAAAAATTGCTCTTTAGGAAAGAATTCAGAAAGCTTCAAATAAATTATAGTTGCCAAATAGCAAAAGCGCCGTCCCAACCACACCATACCTAGCAAGCCCATTCCAAACAACTCCCAAATATTTTCCCTGCCAAATATTTGCCACAATGCAACAAACTCTTATGCAATCTACCCCCTCCCATTCCCTCCCACTCTCAGCTACCTCGTTCAACCTCCGACTACGTAGCTGTACTCCGAACAAAACATGCGAATCGGAACGGAAGATCTGGTTTTGCCTACCCCGCGCTTGGCAAGAGTCCGACCGCTACCATCGGAGCACCAACAGGGCGCCGTAGAGGAGCACTTTCAGGGCACATAGAATTGTTATGAGAGTGTTTGCACCAGGAAAGCCAATATTTAACATTGGCGGACGGGGAAAATAAAGAGTTTGTGCAAAAAAGAAATGGAGGGGAAGTACACGGATGTGTAATGCGTATTTTGTTTTGAATAATGAAATTTGTATTCTGGTATTTTGGAATTTATGGCATATAATTAAAATTTCGCGTTTTGTTTTTACTATGGAGTTCGGCAATGATTTTCTGATACATTAATAAACCAGGTAAAGCATTGAAACATACTATTACTATAAAATTGCAATAAAGATACTTTAAAAACCAGTTGTAAATTGGAAAAGGTACTACTCTAATGGCATAGAATCGCGAGTAACTCGCGAAAACTTCTTACAGATTCCTCTCAAACACTAAATTTCACCCATTTTGGTTCTGTGGTGCCTTAGTACAGATGACGAAACGACGGTAGCGTAGATGAAAACGACCCGTATGCCAGGCATGGAACCGTCTTCATGGTTGGCGCCTGATAAACAATCGACGAGGCCCAGGCTGTTTGGGGAAGTGCTTGGGGGGGGGGCTCTGCACTTCCTCTAACAAGTTTACGCGTTCCTGCATCGCCAGTCTCTAGAATATACTCGTTGGATGGGTGGTGTGGGTGGAAAAGACATGCCGGAAAACAACCCGAGACGCCACGACGGGAGAAGAACGTTCATTCGACGACAGCTGTCTACGATTCGCTGCCCAGAGCAGAAATCAAAACATCCACGCTATGAAAGAATGCGGTTTTTACGGAAGATGAAAAGATCTTAGTTGGTGATAAATAAAAATCAAGACATCTACGTCGTCGAGGGGTTTTACCTGGGATCTGAAAACCAAAAATAACAGCCGGTGCGATCTAAAAACCACAACATGTATAAAATGTTGTCATTGGGAAACTTATTTATATAAGTTAGATGATAATCGTCTAACAAAAGAAAATCCGTCCGGCAAGTGGCGTGGTGTAGTAAGTGTTAAAAATGCATAACTCTGTGGCCGTAGTACATCTAATTACCCAATCCTCATTGTTTTCAGTTATTCGGCACTCGACAAAAACTCGAGAAATTTTTTCAGCTCGTCCTTCGTCAACGTTTTATAGGGTAGGGTTGCATTTTCGTGTCAATCATTTTGCGGCTCTATGTTTTTACGTGCCCTGAACAAACCCATTTAATTCTCTTCGCTCGGCGCTGTACTTCAGGTTGCTTTCTTTACACCTAAAAAATACTCGCAGCAGCTGGTATCGGCCAAGTAGCAGGCGGCTAGCTATGTTCCACCTGCTCATCGCCTTTTTGAGCTGTTATGGACCCGACAGGTTTTCAGGGTAGATTTTGCTGTTGCGGTCCTTTGGCTGGGGTTTTAAAGATAGCTTCTTTACAATTCAATTTTTTGGTTTTTGTTAATCTCGTGGTTAATCATTTTCCGGTTCCATTGGTTCAGATTTTCACTACCCGGGGGATCCAAATTGGAAAATCTGGGTTCCAATTCCGATTTAGAATCCGATGATCTGATTTGTATCTGGCCGACTTATTCAAAGATATTTTATTTAAATGCCGATAGTGTTTCTTAATAATCTGGATTGCGCTCAATTTGAAGCTGAACAAGAACAATTCTGTTTTTGGGGGATAGTCGGTTACAGACTATCTATCTAGTATCAAGCTATTTATTTTATTATGGGAAATTTGTATAGTGTTTCCTTCCCAGTGTTGTCTACGTTTCGAATGCTTGCCTCGTACGCCTCCAATTTGTCTCTTCGTCGATCCGCCACTTTTTGTAAGCCACATGTTCAGTCACTTAGTCACGATTAGCCGGTGTGCTCCCATACCTCCATTTGCCTAGAAATCTGCCTCTTTGCCCCGAATCCAACGTTTCCCTGATTCGCCCCTCGGGGCTTCACAGCAAGGTCTATAATTTCGCAGGTGGAAGGGCAGCAGCAGCAGCAATCCCGTGAGAGACCGCGTCGCCCCCGTATCGGCACCCCTGAATCTAAGCTAATTGCCGGCGAGTTGTGGGGGTAAAAAGGGAGAAACAGCGGGGTTGGGTGAGGTTTTGCTGGCTTTTCCGTAGGTCCCCGCAGACCCTCATTAACCGGATAATGGTGGGGGGTTGATTGGAATAGAAGGGGAAAAGGGGGGAGAATAGGATACGGGCTCCGGAGGGTGCCTTGCTAGCGACCCTAACATCAGTTGCCGAGGAGACCGTTCTCACGGCCAAGGCTCAGCCAAAAGCACACCCACCCCTTCCACCACCACCCCCATCCAATGGCTGACAAGGGTTCCGGGAACGGGGAGAAGGTATATCCGGGACTACCGTAGTACCTTCATTTTGGGGTCGAACGTATTTAGGTATAGCTTTCTTTCTTTTTCAGTATGCCTTAGGTTTTTATTAAACACTACAGTACCTAAGGATTTTGTTACCCTAAAGCGAATCACAAATCCTGTATTATGCTAATTGAATAATTAGATCGAATATTCCTATTAATGTTCGTTTTCCCGTCTCTTATAGAAGCTTTGCGGCTAATTTCCGGAACGCTTCCCAAGTACCACCGGAAATTAGTCGATAATGAATTATCTCGTACTTCCAGAACTTTGGACAATAATCATCTATTTCGGTAAGCGAATGTTCTTCCTATTCCTGAACTCCTATTGCCAATTTCTTCTTATTACATTTCTTCTGTCGATCTCGCATCTAGCTATTTTCCAATTATAAAGCCTACGTGCCAATTTCTTTGGTATTTTTATCGCCTTGAAATGTTCTTGATCATTGTCCATCCTTAATTATATTTTCCATAAATAACCAATTCCCTTGAGAATTCTCAAACCACAGTATTGCACTATATATATACTTCATAAATTTCAGCATCTATCTGTATTGCCATGGATCAAGTCAGAAGCCAAACCGAACAGCTAAGGATTGAAGCCCAGATACAGCGGAAAAAGGTCTCAGAAGTCAGCAAAGAGTAGGTTTTCCCAAATTTTCTAAAAAAATATTCTTTTAGCCTAATTGAATTCTGCGAGAAGAACAAAGCCACGGATATGCTCGTCTCCGGCCCGATAGACAACCATAACCCATTCCAAGAAAAGAAGAGCTGTGCTGTGCTCTGACAATGCTTCTATGCTCTTTTTCTAATTAGTAGGTCCCACGGTAGCCCTTCACCGGCGCCTTCTCACAGCTTTACGATTTCCCAAGCTTTTTGTATTCTTTATGAGAAGTTAGCTATTTTTCCAGAACTCATTTGGTGGACCTGGTCTGGGCACCAAAATAGTTTTTGTATTGGCCCTTCATTTCTTCACTACCACATGTCTTGTGTGCCAAGGCTAGAAAAAATATTTCCCGTTTATAAGATCGATATTTCGATATTTGGTCAAGTTATTCCGGTGTGTTCTTTAAAGATGAATAAAGCCATTCTCACGGCAGCTGTGCACGGTGTTCTGCACGCTATCTATCGATGTCTGACAGAAACATTTCGACCGCGACGACGCTCTAAAAGTATATAGCAAAATAAAGGATAAAGTAAGTAAAAGAATTATTTGTATATAGAATTTGAACGTACGGGCAGTATTGCCGGGCAAATGTGGAGGTTGTTCGACAGCCATAGGATACTGTGGGGGTGGGGGTACTGTAGGAGTAGCCATCAATACCCGCTCCCTTTCCTCCTGAACCATTTGTCTTCTTGGAAAACAAAAATTTTTTACCTGAATCAGCTTATCCGTCCTCAGCTTCATATATACGGCCCCAAAAACATAAATCGTAGCCAAGCCGACTGCTAATGATATGCTAGACACGATTCCGATAGCCAGCGCGTTTGAAGCTAGGGCGGTTGCTTTATATAATAAGACAATGATAACTTACATTCAAGTACCATTAATATCACAACATCTGATTGTGTAAGTGCAGGTAAAGCAATAACATCTCCCATGGCGGAAGTCAGCGTTAGTTCGCCATATCTGAACTTTTATACCTTGACGTATCAAGCCCATACTCTGTTGATTCGAGCAACATCACGGATATTTCCTCAGCTGTTAATGGCTCAGTTTCAGAATCAAATGGCACGGTTAAAGTAAAATTAAAAACAATTCCTGAAATCAGCTTTCATTATGTATGATTCATTATACCTTGAAATATCTGGGCATTTTTAATGCGATATTCCGATATTCGCAAAGTCTGGGCTATAATCGTGACCCATTTCGATGATAGACTTGTATTATTGCCAACGACTGTCGAATAGGATTTGTCAATTTTAGAAATAATTTTTCGGGCATTTGTGTCCCCAGTGAGATCTAGGTTAGTTTTTTTTGGATCTGCTTGGGCAAACCAACTTCGCTGTATTGCCGTCCAGGTAGTGTTGGCAATTTTCGCATTTGAATCGAGCAGTTTTTGGCCTGACGCCGGATCAACTGCCCGGAGAATGGCTTGGATTGCCTAAGAACAGGTTTGATGTAAAATTTTGGACTTACATAAGCATTGGTTAATTGGTCAGGCGAGAAGGGCGGACGCAGCACACCTCCAATCATTCCCTGTGAATTTCGTGGCTCTACAAAACGCGTGCGATCGATTCCAGAAGCGACGGACAGTCGATTTAAGAATGTTGTAGCGGCTGCTGTCGTGAGAGTGGTTGTATTTGGACTCTAGGACTTATGAAAAAGTGGTATTAACATTCCAACCAGGTAGAATTCGATCAAAATTTCATTATAGTTAGGTACCGGGGTCGGATTTGGTGGGTTGACGATAAAGGCCCTAAACCATGGTGCCATACATCGGAGTGAATTACCCAATTATGCCGGTAGCTGTGCAAGTACACGATAGATAATTGTTTCCCGAAATTACCGTGGCAAAGTTCCCAGAGGAGCACACTTTTTGGTTCCACGTGCTTGAGGCGAAGATGAAGCACTGAAACAAGGGTGTGATTTGATGAGCAAACTAACATTATAATAATTCGATGGCTTATAGGACGTCAATGGGACCAGAATTGTATAAGAACCAATCAAACTGACGTCGGAACCACTAATCGGGTCTTTGATTGACACCTAAAAGTAATAGTTCCAATTTTTTTAAAGGCGAGGATACCCGATAAATATTTGAAGCCGACTTATTAGCCGTTAAAAATGAATATTGGTGATCAAAGAAATATGAGGAGAAATTGGCGTTTATTCTAAAATACAGAATTCCAAGTTATGTTGTTAAACTTACGAAAACAAAGAAGAGAGAATATTGGCTGAGGCTAGACAAGCGTAGTCACACAGAGTCGACCCATCATCGCAGTTCCAACTAGCAAAATTTGTGCGGAACAAATCGTCGAATTTTATCTAGTAGTTATATAATCTAAGCCAAAAGATTTACTTACAATTTTCTCCGGATTCGGTCCGGCTAGAGCAAAACTTTGGTTGATCATAGCTGGATCCGATGCCCCCAATGCTTGCGCTTGCACAAATGTGAATTTTTCTCCCTAAGAAGCAGAATAAAAAAATAATAAAATAATGCCAACTTGTGCAGTCAAAAGTCGATCTGACGTGTCATCAAGTTGAGTGCAATAATTTGTCAAAATGCTCTCAATCGTTAGAAAATAGGTGGAGATAGTGGTCGGGCCATTCTGCAGCATACGATCCCAAATGGCCAGCATATCCTGAAACATTGGCAATTAATCAAGTAATTTCTATATTACCGCATCATTATTGTCTATCGTTGAGGTTACAGCTACATCGCGTTTTCTTCGTGTACTCGGTATGGTTACGGTCGGCATTAGGCGCATTTGGTAGCGGCTTATCGCAGTTGACATCTATGATATGAATTTTTCTCGATATAGAATTCGCCTTACCAGTTGCATTACAGAACTATCAACGCTTCCAAGCAGTTGGGTCACCGAGTCGAGAACTTGTCGGTATTCCTCGTTTGAGCTAAAATGCCTTAATTTACGTTGCTACGATTCTTTTACCTGGAATCATCCAAATTATCCAACAATGCCAGAGCAATTCGGCTACTTGTATCTGGTGTCAAGCTGATATTGCATTGCTCATCGGTAATTGCTTCCAATTTTTCCAGTGCCGGATAGACATTTTCTAAAATATTTAATTCTTCCTAAAACCGACCCGGCTCACCATTAACCATATCCGAAGCAATAGCATTTAAAAGATTGGACACACATACCGACAAATTCTTCGGAGGGACGACGGTAAATTGTGGGGATTCGATACTAAAGTTAGGGCTTTAATAAAGCTTTCTCAACTCACGTGGTACATGCGGAATATTGATCACAAACTTCCATTAATGCAGTATAGGCTATTCTGAGATTACATCCAGCATTTGGAGGAGCGCCGGCTAAAGTCCAAAATTAAATTATAAACGAGGTATGGGTTTTTCTCCAGCAAAATCGTGTTTTGCGTAATTATGTTTAGAGCATACTTACCAGATGCCAGATAGGTGGAGTGCTGCGAATTCATAGATTGTGTAGTCCACGTTAGCTCCGAGGTGTTGTCAATACTAAAGAGAAAGTTAGAGGTACAGAAATTAAAAACTTACTTTAGTGTCTTCAGCCCAAATCTGAATAATAGCGGCTTATCGTCTTCGATCCAGTCATCACCCATGGCAAACATTATTTGATCCGTTAGAGCAGTTATCACGCCAGGCGGTGTGATCTGATAAAGCTAATTTTTTTAGGATCACTAAATTCACCTCAAGCGTCCCAGGGATTGGTGCAGAATTTGTTAAGAATTCAAAAACACTTGATGCCGCGCCAGCATCATTTGAGGCAGACAGTAGAACTGCATACTTTGTGCCAGACTGTAGCCCTAGCCAGCTTGCACTAAATTAAAGATAATTTGCTCATTAAAATAATATACTTGGCCCCAGCCGGTGGAATCGTCAGCGAAACCAAAACTTCTGATGCTAATTGAGTGGCATCTTCCGGGAACGTCTTCCAGGTTTGCGAGACGATGGCTTGAAGATTGAGGTACCCATACTTATCGCTGGTAACGGCCGACCAGGACGTATTTAGCGCTCCAACAGTGCTGCTCACAAAAGCTTGGATTCTAAGAAAAATTTTAGATTGTTTGTAGAAACTTTACCTTATGTAATCTCCAGTGTTTACTTTCGGTTTCGTAAAGGCGACAAAGCGAATCTTGGGCGTGTTGGCTTTGATAACAGATACTGTCGTAGAACCCGTCGCGTTCAGCCCAGATGCATTTAGCGAATCGGTGAAGATAAAGCTGAAAGAATCACCGAGTAGGATAGGTTATTTACCTCATTTCCTCGGTCAAATACGTTGCGGGGACATAGAGCTTTTGTGTGTTCCAGTTTACAAGAGATTGCATTAGGCAAGACGTGTTGGAGGTGAGATTGAAGCATGACCATGAGTGACTGAATTTTTAATAAAAAATGGAATAACCATTTTGCATACCCGATAATTCCTTCCACTGTATTGGGATCGTACGATTTGCTGGCGTCAATGGTGAATGGTTGGTTTGAAGGAACAGTAAGTTGGGAAGAATCGAGAACAACGACTATAGGTGCGGCGGCAAACTGAAAGCTTGATATTAATAAATATTTCGCGGCTATGAAAAATGATAATTCCGCTTGCCTGTAACGTTATCGTTCCGTTTGCGCCATATAGAGTCTCATTCGAGGTGTAGGTCCCGCGTAAACGATATGACACCACGTCTCCAACAGCAAAGCGGAACGGAGCAATCCGATAATTTCCGGTACGAGCAATCATGGTCCCGTTCTCATACCAGGTGTACTTAAAAGGCACACTTTTCCGTTTGTATACTCCTTACATGTGTATCCGAAGGTGAAATAGCTGATTTGGCCCCGCAATATGTAAAGGCGGGAACTCCTTCTAATAAAATACGCATTGACGGATAGACGAGCTCGGAACCTGAGAGAAATTTTTTTAATAAGACTATGCTTACCAGAAATCTCCATGTCGAACACCGCCACTGCATTCGTATCTATCATCACTGTGATATTGTCAACAGTACGACATTTTGGGAGATAGTTGCAAACCGTCACAGCTAACGTGGTATTTCCGGACATCTAAAAGGGATTAACAGCTGTTCTTTGGGCCACACATTTGAAGTCGGGATTGTGATGTTGCGCCCCGAATTTGCGGCCAGTGCAGATGACAACAGGGATGCGGACTGGCCAGCTTTAAGGTTATGCATGTATTTATAATTAGAATATTTAAATTACCAATCGAGCTCCAGCTAAACGTCAAATCCCGTCCACCATGCCCTGATAGCTGCTTTAGGTTTATGTTGAAGCTGGGGAGGCAAGTTGTTACGGTAGAAGGGGCATCAACAACAAAACTTGGAGCTGTCTGAAACAGAAACTTACATTGTTTAACCCTGGTGGTTATCTACCGCATTGTCCGGGCCCTGGACGATAAGTGTCGGCATTACGGCGTAATATTGGGATGTGAAAATGGAGGTTCTTAGCGTCATCTGCTGCCCAGGCATTAGAGTGGCTCCGGTGCCGAAGGTGACGAGCATGTAGTCTCTCATTCCAATACAAGACGGGTTGACTAAAAATTTGAGATTGAAGTTTGTTCTGGCCATATGAATGTAGGCGTCTGGAAGGTGTATTAAAACTTACCACCAAGCCGAGCTGGATCGGCAATAACCGTTGTACAATTAAAATTTCCAACTGGGAATGTTTCATTAGTGCCTGTAGTTATTGTCAAGCCAAGCAGATCGTTGTTAAATTTCATCATTGCGAGAGAGGCAGCATGACTCGTGGAGGTAGATGCTAAACTTTAGTTTAAACCGCAAAAAGCTATAATTATTACAAAAAGCGGTTGTTGAGGTCGGAGACAATGTTGTCGTGCTTTCTTGCGTTGTCGCGGCCGGTGAAGTCTCGCTTGAACTACTAGAAAGTTATGGCTAGCAAGACAGACTTACTGTGCCTCTTCTACTCGAATAACTTTTGGATATACCAACGTCATTGATTCGCCATCCACTTTCACGTCACATTGTAAGGAATAATTCCCGGCCATAGGTAGGGAAGTGGGGGTGATAGTACAGTTGAAGTTGGTTAACGTCGTCACTCGCAAGTAGATTGTGCCCACATCAGACAGTAGACTACAGGAAGAGACCGATAGAGCAGCTTCATTATTGATATTGAACGCGATCTGTAAGAGCCATCGGGATACCATAAAGGTTGGGCTTACTTTCATGACTTGTCCTGATACTCCAGCTTCCAATGCTGTAGTGCTTATTGATAGGATGCTGGCAGCTGTCCTGGAATTTCAAAACTTTCGTGATTAGTGAGACTGAACTGTATCCTGATGGTTGTAGTCTTTGAAATTGGTGGGTTTGAATTAATAATTGGTTTGACGCTAGTTGTCGATAATAAAGTTGAGACTGTCGCGATTGGTTTTGTGCGACCTTGATGACTGGTACCGTTTGAGGTAGTGGTGGTAACTATTTCTCTGGTGGATTCTTGTCTGGTAGAAGTTCTAATAGTTGTTGGAGAAATCATGGGACTGATGGATTTGCTACGGCTTTCACTGGTTTGTTGAGAAACTGATGGAATTGACGAAAAAGCTGCCGAAGTTACAATTGGTAATGATACAGTTGGAATCGTCGACGGCAGGTCACTTGTCACATGTGATGTTTTTCGGCTATCAGCTACTTCATCAACCTTTTTAGTTCTACTCAAGGTGGGCATGGATCTGATCGTGGTTGTTGTAATTGAACTTGAGGTCCTAGAGCTCGTGTTAAATACTATGGCGCTTGTGGAAATTTGAGTGGATGTGATAGTGGTGAAGAACGGGCTTTTCGGAATTGTAGACGACTCTGAGCTCGTTGTTGCTGCCTTTCGGGTTGGGGACGTAGTGTCTACACTGCTAGATGTTGTGATCGGAGTTTCAGAAGGGAGGGAAGTACTTTGTCGCCTAGAGGTTTGCGTTGTCCTTTTTTGAGCGGTGTAATCAGAGGGTTGGCTGGTGCTTGTTGCGGTAGGCATGACTTCGCTAGGTAGGCTCGATTCGGCTGTAGTCGCCTCCACTACTTGTTTGGGATCGGTTTCCACAACGGTGGTAGAGCTTGATGTTATGCCGTTTATCTGCTCGGTTGTATAGTTGGAAGTAAAATTAACATATTCACTGGCAGGTGGTGTTGTTGTGATAGTAGAAATTTTGTCAAAATTAGACGTGGATATCAAAATCGGGCTAGGTTCTTGTGTTGTTTCTGACATGTCTAGAGTTAAACTTGAGTTGGTTCCATCAAGGCCAGTCGTGTCTGTAGCAACAAAATCAGTCGAGATTTCGGAGACGAATGGATTGTTGTTTGCAGTTGTCCTGGTCGTATCGTATTCCGTAAAAATTTTGGATTCATCTAGAGTTTCTGCAGAAGTTACGGAACTGTTTTCAAACGTTAGGTCGGTGCTAGTTGTTCCTGTATAATTGCTTCCAACCGAATATGAACTTGTTTCCGTGTCGTTATTTTGTGGTATGTTCTCGCTGCCTTCGATTATGGTTGTGGATGGTGTTACTTCTGTTGCCTTGCCAGTTTTATCGTCGACCAATCCTTCAGTGGTTATGGTGGAATTGCCTAGGAGTAGCTGCTCTATCTCCGTGGACTTTTGGCTGTTGTTAGGATCCGTCGGGTCCCACACCAAAGAATTATTTAGAAGATCGAATCCCGGAGTCGTTGTAGTAATCGTCGGTGTGGTTTGAGAATTCGATAAGGATGAAGGATGCTTTTGGGCAGTTGATGATGTCGTCGGGTATGTAAGGTTCGGGGTTTTCGTGATAGTGGCAGAAATTGTCGAGCTGGTCGATGTTTCATTTCGGGCAGTTCTAGCGGCTGTGGTTAGTTTGTCTGCTGGGCTGATTGTGGTGGTCCCGCTCGTTTTGTTTCTAGAAATACGAGTTAGGAAATTATGATCCGTGGTAGTCGTTGTTGCAGTAATAGTTGTAGTCGTTGTGCCGATAGAAGTTGTCGCATTAGCGCTAGCACTTGGCGAGTGCCGGCGTGAATATTTCATAGGACCATAAGTGGTCGTAGAAAGGCTTGAAAGTGATGACTTTGCGTTTGTGAAGTTTTTGGCAGATTGCGTTAAAAAGGCAGTAGTTGAAGCTTTGGATTCACTCCGGGTCTTGGGGATTTGCGTTGGATTTGTTTTGGTTGTGGTCGTAGTTGTTGTATTTTGAGAACTTGTCTTGGGAGGAGCTGTTTGAGTTCTCAATTGACTAGGATCGTTTTGCGAATTATTATTATTTTTTGTTCTAAACCTTGTATATTAAAATCGTGGTTCTTACCCGGCTTGAATCTGGATTGGGCAAATTTGAAAGAAACTTCTAGATATCGCAAGATCCTGAAAGAAAGTTACGGAGTTTAAATTCAATTGACTGTAATTTACCTCGTCACCCTCATCAGAAGAATCCGTTGAATTAGTACCATTTTGAGCAATTGCAAAGATCAAGGAATTCGTTTCACATCTAATCAGGATTAAGCATATTGAAAAACTTACGTTTCAATGCTGTTATCAAAAGACCAAGCACTAAGCTCAAAATATAGCGAGTAGTTGATGGAGAGCACGATTAGCTGAAAACATATTAAAAGCTTTTTATTCCCCACATTTTCGTTGTTTCCTTTATATTTTGATGCCGGAAAGGAATAAAGCGGAGATGCTCCGGTTTTATCTGATGCCGCGATATCCGATACATAACTATTTTGTTGTTTGGTCAAATCGATATCGGTGCCGTTGCTAGCCGTTGCATGCCAATTGGCCATTGTGCCATCCCCGGATTCGAGAATCTATAAGATCCGAAACGATCAAACCCTAAAATTAGACTTACCCAGATTTCAATTCCGTTTTCATTTATCGAAAATTTTTGTAACAATACGCTGAGGTTGACTTTGGTACTTTGCGATTTTCCAGCGATGAGTTGAGGCACAAGTTTGGAGATCGATGATACCGATAAATCGGTGCCATTTAAATCAATATTTAAGTATTCTATAAAAATATAGGATAATATACGCAAAATATACCATCATCATCGCAATCTGCCTTGATTGCACAATCCACCAATTCCTTCGGATCGTCGGCGTGTACAAACGTTGTCGACAATATCAAAGCAAAAAACACGATTCTCATCATCCCATTGCGAAAGACGAATCTGTAAATCGTAGTTTATTTTGGGCAAAGCCAAAAAATATCCACAGGCTCCCTAATTGCTGCCATTTGTGGGGGTGCGAGACAAAATAATCGAAAACTTAGCTACCGGCCGTGGGGTTGCTAGGCTGGCGCCCCCTTTTTTGCCCCTCATAATACGGGCTTCCCGGGAAACCCGAAAGTCTTTCCAATGTCTCGTGTGCATATACATTATGAAAGACATATTGAAAAAAAATATTTATATTATGCCGAAAATAAATACGCACGGCTATCGAAAGCAAAATATGGCGTTTTTCACACAAAAAATCACATTATAAAGGAACTGGTCGTCGTGAGGGACAAGATCATTTACCCATAAGATTCGTTGAATTGTGTAGTCATGGGTGGCAAATAAATAAATAAATAAATAAATTAGGAGAATACGGCAATTGAAGTTCTAAATTATTTGATTCGTTTTTGGAAGAGGTCGTTCGTTGTTTCGTTCCACCAATCACAGTTGTTGCCGATGTGGTGGAGGACGTAGCCAAGTTCATGGAAGAAATCGCGTTCGGAGTATTCCTAAAATATTTGTGGAAGTTTAATTATATATGAGTATAATTTATATACCTTATTAACCGTCACGGCCATAGCAAGACCATTAGTTAGCCTAACCAGCATTGAAGCACTTCCAGGCATACGACCGTCATGTTGTAGCCCATTGAAACCCATAATATTTACAGACCAGCCGAGCCCTAAATGAATTTAAAGCATTAAGCTACTTTTATCTAGTCGTATTTAGAAAATCTCACGAGCAAATTGGCATACCGTATGTGTCATTGCTGGCCGGACTAGCCTTCACCCATTCATTCACTGAATCTTCGCTCAGAATATCTTCCCTCCCATCGGACCCATCAACGGCAGCCTACAATAGTAACAATCATATAAAGCTAAATTCCGCCGAATTACCATAAACATCAACAATTGAATCGGACTAGCAATCCATCCACCCCATGGCCCAATCCTCTCTGGCGGCAACATCTCATATGGGTTGAACCCAATCCCTGTACCCGACATGTAATACATCACTTCTCTCCTAGAACAAAATAAATATAACTTCTCAAATTTCAATATGACAAACGGTGCTCGATCCGATATTGATGGTCGCGCTACTTGTATCTCATGAACATCAGCCGGAGCGAAAATGTTCTTCTTCACGAAGTTTTCATAGGTTTGCCCGCTCACTTTCTCGATCAAATACCCAAGCACCTAGAAATTATTTGGAAACTATTTAGTTCTGACCTGATATCCGAAATTTGAGTAGATCCAGTTTTTGCCTGGTCTTTCGGAGAGTAGCACATTTTCGAGGACGTGTTTTATTAGGTCTTTGGTGGAAAGTTCTGGTTGGATCCAAGCGGCATCTGATGCCAAGTTATCCCATCCACCTAACTCGGAAGTGTTACTTTTTTTGTTCTTCTTACCAGACGTATGTTCGAGTAGGTTCCTGACCGTGACATCCGTGACCCACCGTCGATAGGATTTCTTTTCAGCAAAGTCCATGCCTAAATTATCTTTAGAATCCTGGAATTGTTAGAGCACCTAAATATCCACTTCTTCCCCAAACCGGATGATCAAGTTCAAGTCGGCCTTGGTCGACCAGAAGCATGATAGCGGCCGCAGTAACGGGTTTAGAAACGGATCCCACTCTATATAGATATTATTGGGTTTATGATAGTTGATGCAAGAGGAGATAATTCTTGCCTGAATTGATGGTTTGGGGTTACAGGTTCTCGGGCTCGAATATCAGCATAGCCGAAGCCTAAATCGGATTTAGCAGCGATTTCCCTGGCGTACCGGCAGCAAACTTCAATTGTTCTTTTTTCGAGATAGCGATGGATAGTCCGGGAATATTTAAATCCTTCATAAAGTGTTCAACACGGCGCACGATGAAATCCAATTGTTTTGATGTAAGGAGATCTGGGGCGCCTTTTAGGAAACGGACGGGGATATGGCTAAAGTCTAGTTTACCAACGAAATCAAGAAAATTCTCACTTTGTTTCATTCCACAGTGGTGCCGGATTGGGATAACGATTTGAATGCACATCACTCCATAGAACAACAAACTTCACGTTTCCGAATGGATCTGTGATATGACTGATTTGCCGTGGCAACATCCGTGCGTCTTGTTTGAATTGAGTGTACATTTTCGGGAGATTTTCGCCAACAAGTACTGTTGATTTTTGACCCGGCCGATATTCCCAGATCCCAGTGCATAGTACCTGAATATATTGTGTCGAAATAAGCCTGTTGAATCTACCTGCTGTCGATTATTGAAACAACGTATCGATGAAGCAACGTAGTGCCTTGCCAATAGATCGCGATCTTTTTGAATGATATTCTCGAGCGATACCCCGTAGTGAGCTTCGTATTGTAGTTTATTTAGAGTTGGTTTTTGCCAGACTCCCACATAGCTAAAAATATAGTTAGGTTATGCTGAAAACGGAAACTTACCGCCCACGTCCTTCGGCGGAATAACCGCATAGGTGGGTTAACCTGTATCCCCTCTTTTTCGAAGTGGCGTTTTTGTTCTTCAGCGTATTGAGTGCCAGGGAACCAGATCTAAAAAAGCTGCAATATTTGGCTGGAATTTTTACCTGAAATTCGACTCCAGGAACTCTTTCCCAGTACGTGCTAAAGGTCGTCACACCCTTTTCCTCTTCTTGGCCACAAACTTGAGTCAAAGCCAAGTCGCGCAGTTCATTCTCCCTAGAATCAAGAGATTTGTCAAAATTGAGAGGTTCGTTTTACCTAGCTGCCTTGATTAGCTCGTCAAAGGTCATTGGGCCGGGCTTGATGAAGACGGGACCGGTGTATTTATGCATGATCGCATAATAGTGGACTGTGCCGCTGACCAAATAGTAACCCATGGAGACCAGACGTCCGCCTATAGGTTTTGAAATTCAAATTTATAGCCCCTTACCGTAGTTCAAGGATATAGCCAGGACGTTATCAACTTGTGATTCGTTGCCAGCCGTCATAACCCAATCTTTTTCGTTTGGGGACGGTGGGAAAACAACCTAAATGTAAAAATAATAAAACCTTACGTTAGCAGGACCGAGGATATAGAACCAGCAACTTTTTATAAATAACAAGATGTCGCTCTTTCCCAAAAACCCAAAACCTAGCCGCACCTGTAGTGGAGTAGACTTCTGGAAGGTCGATGCTAAGCCATTGTTGGACATGTGCCCGTTGTTCCATGAATTGTCTTGGTCCCCTCCACCACTGTTCCACTCGTTATTTGGTGTATTCCAGTCCTGTAGGGGTTGCTCGACCGCTTGCCCCGTCGCGTACCCAGGTGGCAGCCGCGTGTCCACCCCCTCCCGTAGCTGAAAAAAATGGCGGGATACGGGATGGGGTGGTGTTCCGATGTTGCGAACGGTTTTGACAGTCTGGGACGGTGATAGGGTCTAGCTACGGCTTTAAGTGGGTGCAGAAATGGTGATGTTTTTCCTTATTTTCAGGGGCTAGGGTGATCCAACTGCGAATTATCAACGTCCAGTAATTTTTGAACGGCCCGCTAAGTGTCCAAAATCTTCGAGAATTGCATTTTGGAACTGGAAAATTATCAAACTAAAATTTTACAGGCAGGGCTACATAAAAACGATTTTCGGCACTATTACAAAAGCCTGAAATAAAACGTAATAATGATCGCTATTAATCCAGGGAGAGCGCTTTAGAAGTTTTAATCGTTTTCAAAACTAAAATTATGGCTGGGAATCCTGCTGAAAACCGTAACTAAACCGCCACTTGGACACTTGTCTTAGGCAAACAAACGCGCTACGGTCTGGTCAGATGGGGTAGCAGGTGGAGACTTTTAGACGTTTTTAGGAGCTCTTTGGAACATTTTAAGTGGGAAATCTTCCTCCGTTATTTTTTGGTGTGCTAAAATTTTATATTTCTAAAAAATGTAACCGAAGAAGGCGGATAAGTTAGGTAATTAAGAATATACCAAAAAAAATAGATAATAAAGAGAGAAAAGTAATATATGAGAAGTAAAAAGATGAAAGGAAACTCCACACTGCGAACAGTGGGAGTCTTAACAGGCCGAAGCCTGCGGAACCCCGAAGGGTGTGAACTCGCAAGCGAGCGAACGGCAAAGCCGTGTGAACCAAACCACAAGGGAATGGCGGGTTGCTCTAAGAAGAGCTAAAAGAAGAAAAAAATGTAAAGTGGGTGCCTGTTTCGACCCTTATCCAAGACAGGCTAGTTTAACATCAGGGTGGGTCTCCTCAGCTGGATCCCTGATGTTTTCTAGTTCAAAAGGTTAAATTCTTAGTTGTATAGTAAAGTATTTTAATTTTTGTTAGGAATTTGTCTACTTTTGGATGAGTTTTAGTTATATTTGTTTCACTTTCGCTGAAATTCTCTTTGATTTATCAGATGGCTTTATCAGCCCCATCATTCGAGTCAGGCCGTGTCGATAGGGTGGGTGTGTAGGCTAACGTAATCGAATGGATGGGTTGAATTTTTGAGACTAACTAAGTGAAAGAGTAAAGAATAGAAGAAAAGGTAGAATAATAGTAAGCTGATACTATTAAAGTATGAGAGGGACAGAAAATATTTATGTAAGTGTTATAGGGGTTAGTTTTAATTTGTGTATCAAGTTTTTGCCACTAGTATCGTATCTTAGGCTGAGCCCTGGGTGTTTTTTCATAGCTTTACTGCATAGATTTAGTAAAATTTTACTGGGGTAGCCGTTTTTCTTTAAGTGGGTAATTAGATTTTGTAAATGTTTAATACATGTATCAAGATTGGTACATTTCCTAGCTATTCTGATGATTTCTCCTTCTACGCAGCCATGTTTGATAGCGTATGAGATGTTAGAAGAATAGTTGGGCATGCGTGTAACACTAAATTGATAATCGTCTATTTTATTATATAATTCCGATTGTACTTTATTGTTTTCAATGTAGATTCTGAGGTCTAAGAAATTACCAGATTGAGTTGTTTGATTAGTTTGTTCTACTTGGAATCATTTTAAGATGGCGGCTTGTCAAGAAAACGTGGGAAGCCCTAGGAATAAAAAGAATCAAATGCGTGTAAAAATTGTGATTCCGTAAGGTTAATTAGATTACGGTTGGCAAGTTCAATAATTAAAAATTAATTACATACTGAAAAGTCGTAGCTGCCGAGCAAATGGAAAATCTCAAATTTTCTCACCTTGGCCACAACATAAGCAGGCGCCGTAAATGGATAATTTTGGACAGGCGGATTCTTCGTCAAATGCGATTCGACAGCAACGTACTGAGGTACGGCCAGACTACTAGGCAAATTCCCAGCTATCAATAAGAGCCCTAGTAAACCTAGGTACTCCATAGACAGCATTTGCCACACACGGCTCCCAATCAGCTAGGATTGCTATGGCAGAAGATGGTGATGGTATGTCCGGCACACGGCGTAGGGGACACACGCGCGGGGGTTGGCGGGCCATCCGGTCCCTCCGCCTAGTCCTTTATACACCTGTTTGCCCGATTGCTTCACGCAGCTTCACGCATGCTTCACCATCTCCCACCCCAGCCACCTAACCACCAGCCACCAATACCAACGACACGGCATCTTCTTTCTCTCCCGGCTTCTTCGCTTCTTTCTCCCCCTTCGACGTTGCGAAGCGGGGTGTTCCCCCATGTTTGGGCCGCATCGACACAAAAAACGATAGATACGTTGGGTGGTGAATCAGCGGGTGAAGCCCCGGGCCCCACCTTTTGCCCTCCCCCCCCGCGACATACAAACACTGTCTACGGTGGGGCCAGGGCCAACCGGTGGGAAAAGAAAATAAGGAAGCATTTTTGGGATCTTTGAGTTACAGAAATACACCAAGAAACGTGAAATGAGCAACAAAGCACAAAGATAGCAGCCAGGTTACCGGATGCTAGTCTATTACGGTGTTGGTTTGCAATATACGCCGTCGACGATTGTAGTACGCGTAGCGGGGCGGAGTAGCTAGAAAATTTACCGTTAGACTGACCTTCTAAAAGTAAGATAATATTCAGTACCAATCAACGTCAATAAATCAACATCGATAAGTATTTTAGTCTCTAAATCGACCAAACTGGATATTTATAGGGGCCATCCTGAGACGACTTAGGTTATTGTATAGCCACATTTTCATTATAATCAAAACCCGGCGGCTCGTGTATACAAAACAACTATTCACGGTTTTATAAAATAAAAGTTCGGAATTTTCTGGACGAATCTCGGTACTAGTCGCACATCCAAAATACCATTAGTTTTTTTTCAGAACAGAGTAAACATTTTGCAAGCGAGCCAACCTGATATTTGCAGAATTGAAGCTCCTTCCGATCGTTGTGTCTCGAGTTTTTTTTAGGATGACTCGCAAAAAAGCATTCATTATTAAACGACGTTCGGCATAGAAATTTTGCGCTGAATTCCTCTTCTCTTGACAACCTGACTCATTCTTCCAATTGTTTCAGAGTTTTAATGATTATCTGTGTTTTGAAGTTTTTCCCATAGTAACTGTCAATAGACACGGACCTTCTTTCCAATACCTATTTTTGCAACTCCCAAAAAAGAAACTAGATCAGCAAACTAGAGAATTTTCGCTGCCATTGATATTCCGAGACCTCATAAATCAACACCCACACGGCTCATAACACAAAAGAATTGACCGCTGGTTGGACGGACAGTCAGTCGGTCGGCGTGGGACCTTGAGAAGTCGAAAAGAATGTATTCACCCTCAATCCCGCGAGGTGCCAAGAAGTTTTCTGTGTGCAGAACGGCCTTCCGCACTACCACCGGACCAACCTGGCGGGACTTTTCGACCAATTTGAACGCGAAGGATTAGAATGTAATCCTGGTGTTAAACTGACGAGTACAGGCTTTTTGCGATGGACGGTCGAGCGTTGCACGGGAAATGACGTTGCTTGTTAAATACGGGGGGAATTGTCGGTGCTAAAAGAGTTTTGTTGAGCCTGAACTTTATGGGGAATCGAGAGATCAGCATGAGTTTAGTCTTTTAGATGTGTAGATCATATAGATTGTATGAAATCATATTTTAACTTTAGACCGATTATTGAGAACGCAAAAATACACTCTAGTGCGTGAGGCCAAAATTTCCGGTGTCGAAATTTTACTTTGGATTAAACAATTAGGATGCCAGGAAGATCCCGCCACATCCTGAGATGCTATTACGTATTGAATTTGAAAATAATGAAGTTTTCATGTAAAGCTTTTTTTTGCGGAAGCATTTTTGCTTAATAATTTTACGCATGACCTTAGTAAATCCATTAATCCCATTTAGTTTGATGTTGTTGAACTTTGTAATAGCAGCTCAACGAGCAACTCGCAGAGAGAGTTCAGGCTACGGATTTATGATTCGCTTGAATGGCTGTACCTCAATCGGTTACTCACATAGGGGCACAATTATTCGCCGTACCCAAAAAAGTTCGCCACGGCTTTTTCGGCCATGATACACCAATTGAAAGCTTGAAGACCAAAAATTTTCTTTTGATTTCCAAATCTATCAAAGGTGTTTTCATATTTAGAATCTTGATGTTAAAGGGAATCTGACACAGGTTATCATTTCCCATTTTCGCATGCGTTAGTCATGTTATCGTGTTTTCCCTGGGTGCTGACGTAGACAAAAAGATACCACCCACACCAGGAGTGCAATTATGCAAATACTTTTGGAATAGTGTTTCCAAAAGGAGGAGGTTTTGTGCATAGAATGGGCATAGTTCTGCTTCATACATGAACGACAGAGGTTGGATTATAACATCCTATATAAAAAGTCATCGAGTTTTAGGTATCCAATTTTTTTTCCCAGAACATTTTTCGTAATGTCCAGCCACTAAAATCCTTATCAGCTATAATCCTCCCGATAACAATTTCCTCTAAATGCTGCGTAATTGCGATGAGTCCACATTAGTCGTATTACGCATCCCATCCCTAAAGAGAGCCCTTGAGTCAAAATGCAAATTGCCACTCCCAATACCGAAAAATTAGCCTATAACTGCCCATGGCTCATCGGGCCCAACTTTTGCAAACAACAACCCGTAAACAATACCTCCCTGCCGGCGAATATGCACAACAAATTGCTATATAAGTTGGGTGCGATGGCCTGGACGTCATCTGGGGTCACTGCATGGACCGTGTTTAGTCGGTAAACATAAGGTTTTTTGCGTCTCCTCCCCCTTACCGTACCGTTTCGTCCCGCTTACTACCCCCGCCCTCCTCTTTACTCGTATATAAGAAACGGGGTGGGCAGGGTTCAAGAAGGAATCATTCCAAATTACCCAAGGCCCACAGATTTTTTGGGCTTCACGTTTTAAAGGGACATTGAAGGCAAAACCTTGTCTTGAACTCTCTTCATCTTGTTAAAGAGTGCTGCATTGTCATTTGATTTCTTACTCAAATCTTACCTACACTCTTAAATATACTTTTTAAGGATGAGCAATAAGCTCCCCAAAAGTCCAATCTCCGTCACCTTCCCATCCATACCGGAGGAGGAATCTTCTAACACCACCCCACAAAGGCCAAAGCTCGAAAAGAGTGTCTCCCTCCAACTACCACAAGATGATAAATTTGTGGTAGGTGCCCTTTCGGTAGATTTATTTAATGTTATATAGATCCAAGAACAATGGCCGCCACATTTTGAAAAACACCGCACCTCCGGGAATGAAAGGCGTCAAAGCAAAATTCAACGGATCCGGAATGGAACGGCGAAGGCTAGCAAAACGTTGCGGCGCAGCATTAGGCAGTAAGTTTAATTCATTGTTATTTTTGAATCAAGCTAAAATTTAAGCTTCATGGGTTTTCAGATTTTCCGTTTATGCCGGCAAAACAGCAAAAGCCGCGAACGCCTACTTCCGCTGGAATCTGCTCTTCACGTTTTTGATTTTCTTCTTCATCTCGTGCTGCATTTGGATTCCGGCCATCCCAGGGATAGCGGTTAGTTCATTGTTTTTATATTTTATCATCCATGAAAACTAAGACTAAAACTGGATACGACGGATAGCGTACAACTTGACCCATACCTTTCCCTGTGACGCAAAATAACATATCTGACCCTGTTTCCTCCTTTCGCGCCTACTCTAACCGCCTCGGCAAAGCAAACATTTCCATAATAAAACGACCACCGGTTGGTCTGTATTATTTGTCAAATATTGGGGCGGAAACGATAAAAACTAAGGATCCGTCTGAGACCTTATGGCTGTTGAAATTTAAAGTTAGATTCCAAATTTGAAATTTACTGAGATTTTCCAGGATTTTTCGCTGGAGATCGTGACAATCATTTGCATAATCTTGCATCTTCTCTGGATCGTGGCTGTCATCAACAACATCCGTTATTGGTGGAAAATTCGGTCATTCTACAACAGCCAAATCGATTGGTCCAAGGTATTGTGCTTTGTGTGTCTATAACAATACCTAACTGTATTTTAGTACCCCAATCCGGACAATGTGCAAATGAAACACTTGGTAGGATTGTGCGTCTACAAAGAACCTATGGAACTGCTTATGGATACCATCGACAGGTATCTAAGATTCCCCCAATTTTAATTTCTTTTTAGTATCACCTCGCAGCCGAACTGCAAAGAAAAGATCTCTATTTTGATTGGCATGGAAGGGGGCACCCCTGATAAGGAAGAGGTAACAAAAAAAATCAGAATTCGAAACAATGTCTTTAGAAAAAAGCTATGTTGAAGAAGAAGTATGATCCACTTTGCGAGCGCTTCATCGTAACCTTCCATCCGAAAGGATTGCCCGGAGATATTCCCGGGAAATGTTCGAACTTCAACTATGCAGCGCGGATGGCCGTGAAAGAGTTGAGAGCCGATAAGGTGAGCCGCCCTCCGGACTTCGCCCCATCTTTGCGCGCCACTGCTTTTGGGGGGAGAATGAGGGGGCTAAAATGATAAAGATGGAGAGATAATGGCAAGGAGAGAGAGGGGGGGAGGTAGGGAGAGATAATCGCGACAAAATGGATACCAGTTTATGATGAGTGGAGATTGATAGCAGGGAGGGTTCTGATTTATGGGGCGATTCTGGCAAAGTAGCTCGAGAATTTGATACAATAATTCATTAGTGCAGCAAGGTATGCTTAAAAAAGATGTAGAAACAAAAAATAACAAAAATTGCTAAAACTACCGAATTTTCAGGGTTACCCACTCGGTGAAGAAGGCCACAATGTCGAACTCCTTGTCACCACTGGAGATTGCGATTCCGTTTTTGGAGATCGTTATTTTGAAGCGCTGGAGGAAGACTACTGGAAGCTAACCGCTGATGTAAATCATACATTAATTGTCTTTAAAGCTCGATTTTCAGCAACGCCTCAACACCGTCTGGCAGAGCCCGCTCTTCTACTGCATCAACCTCGACAAGTCGCCATTCTTCGTACGTGTCACCGGACTCTTAAGGGCTTTCTTCATGATGGGGTAAAATCACCTACTAGAACGTGTTTAAAATACAATCTTCAGTTATTTGATCCCCTGGAACATTAACACCATGAGCATCTTCTCGTTGACCCTGAAGCTTTTCGAGGAGGGAGAGTACACTCACCCTGGATATCAGATGGACGACATTATTGCCTTGATCCGCTGGTCGCTTGCCGTTAGGAGGAAATGCGTAATTCGGCCGATCCCTGTTGCTACGCTGTCTGGCCCTACTGCAGGTACAAGAGAAAAAAATGGCAAACTATAAATTAAACGATTAGGTAAAAACTACTTCGATGAATGGTACGAGTGGGCGCGTCAGATTAGAAGGTGGACAATTGGTGCTGCTGAGGTTTGAAGGAAGGTTTTGAAATGTATAAAGGGTTTAGGTGTTCCACTACTTTGCCATTAAAGCGTTGAGACTTCCAATTTGGGTGTCTTTGACTTTTGCGATGAAATTTGTCTTTTACTACGGATTCTTGCTTTGTATCGCATCAATCTACACAACTATCGCTCCATTTGTGGTAAGGTTTTACCCGATTTTTCAGCTGGCAACATTTTATACTTTCTAAAGACTGTATTTTTAGACACCCGCTATGCTCTCACGTACCGGCCACGGCGTTTGGGGTCTAGTAATCCCGAACCAAGATGCCTTCACCTGGATTATGCTGGGATTCCTGGGTCTACAATACGTGTGGTTCTTCTGCGTCTTTGCCTCTTCTTATGCTTGTCAGCCGGTTGGTCACTCCTTTGCAGCGCTGACCAAGCCACCCAAATTCCAGTACTTCCCCCAGAAGATCAAGGACGAGACCGGAATCATTCGAAATCTGTTCCACTTCATAATGTCGCTACCAACAATCATCATGTACTGTTTGGTGGAATTGGTGGCCTTCCTTGAGGTGTGTTTTTCTCTCAATCCGGCCCTCCACCCCGGCGTGCCATTATCGAGAGCATCTCGAGTGAGGGGGCCCGAAACGGGAGAGAGAGAGATAGAGAGAGAGAGAGAGAGAGAGATAGAGAGAGAGAACGAGAGATTGAGTGTGTGCTGTTGAGCTGTCTTATCTCAATGATCGCTGCTGGTTTAGGTAACCGTTCGAGGGAAGTCCGTCTGTAGCCATAACGCTTCCAAGAAAGACGGCCTCGTGGCTCCCGCTCCCAGCAAGAACCCAGACCGGATGGAGGTGTAATCTGGAAACGATTAAGCTTTCCAATCCTTATGCATCTATTTTGTCACGTGTCATGGATACGCTTGGTCTTTGCATTGAATTGTCTCTTTTGGTCCTCTCTGCCCGGTTGACCATTTTCAAAACCGATCGGCAGCCTCCAATTTACACTTTTTCGCTTTCCCGTCCTATCCAAACCGTGGTTGTCCCTCTTTTTGTGGGGTCCACATGTCAATACAGCAACATTGCCATCCACCGCTAATATCCTATCGTCCCCTCCCTCTCCTCACTTTTTTGGCGCTACGGGTTTCATATGAATAAACATGAATGTAACGTTCCCTTTTTCGAGGGCGGGAAAGCAACATGACTTTTTTGCGATGATTTACGACAGGGTGAGCGAGAAATGGCGGGACAGCGACCATAGCGATCATATCAGTCTCGAGGTAGGGGGAGAGGGGGAGGGTGACCCCGTAAATTGCCCTCCGCGACCATTGATTCACTGGATTCTTGGAGAGCCGATTTTTTAAAGGTGTTTTGAAAGGGTTTAATACATAAAACATAAAATTTTGGGCTAGTATAGTGAATAAGAAATTAGACACATAAATTGGCCGCATTAGCCAGGCGCATTTGCATACATATATTTGCATATATACCTTCAGGGAATCATGTATAGATAAATACAATATATATGATTTATATAGAATTGCTTTATGGCAGAATTCTCAATTATACAGAATACAATAGCTAATTGTAATAAATCGTGTATCTTTTGCAATGTCAGCCCGAATAAATACACATAGCTCTTAAAATTTCTAAAAAAGAGCATTGCCTTTCATTAATGCGTCTCAGCAAAATTGATAAGACCTTTTTTAAAACCGCAACGTCACGAGTTCGTCCCCATCCATCCCCAGCTACTCCTTTTTTCTTTCCTCCCTTTTCCTGATAACCATCCAAATCCCACGAGGAGATTGTGGGCAGTTCATGCACGGTGAAGGTTGCCGAACCCACCCAATCCGGCCCGTCAGTTTCCATTTTTTGGGCCGGTCGCGCGGAGTCGGGTGATCTTTCCTTTCCATCTTCATCCGCTTTTCTATTGACTCGCAGCCCAGAGTGACCCCCCGATCTCTGCTGGGCAAACATTTTTACCCGATGCCCCTCGGACCCGAAGGCCCCCCTCGCGTCGCTTTGACTGCTTCATTATCCGTAAGGGCGCACTGGTTACCATCAAAACACGGTCTTTGGTCGCTGTTTTGTGAAATTTTAAAGTTTATTTAAAACAAAAACTTTTCCAAGGAAGAATATTTGAAGATTCATTGTAATTCTCAATAGATGCTATTGAGTTGAATAGGAAAAAGCTAGTAATATTTTAAATTCCACATTTTCGAATATTTCAAACCTTTTCTTTTTGGAAAAAATTGCAAATTTACATTCAAACGTTTTATAGGAATTTTTTTCACACACGCGGTTTATTAGTATTTTTCAACTATAGCTTATTTAATTACCATCCTTAATTTTCACTAAAAAAATTATTTTTAGTTGTTTTTCTAGTCTCCATGCCGTCTGGACCCTATTCCAGGCATATTACGCTATTCCACCACCCTGCCCGACGCTTTTTATCTCCTCCCCTACCCCCACTTTCCATTCCATGCCCCTTTATTTTTCTCACACCCGCGCGGCGGAAAAGGGGGGACGGAGATAAGGACGCGTATAGGACTTCACGTGGTTGAGTCTGACACCATCCCTCCCCCCCCCCTCTCAAGAAAGCGTCTCATTTTCATCGCTTTCTTATCAATGTGCCCCCCTCATTTTTGGATCGTGGCTCCTGGTGCTGAAAAGTGAAGGGAAAATTTTAGAACTTGTTTTAGAGCCATGGCACCGCCGAATACGACGGGAAAATATTCACAGGATGGCCCCGATATTGAGGTGATTAAAAATCATCAAAAATACAAAAGAAAGATTTAAAATAACAAAAAAAATTTAGAGTCTCCTCGCCCTCAACCCAAAGGTGAACACCAACGCCAAAGCAGTGCCCAGCTACGAGACGAAAAAGAACAAACACAACTGGAAACGGAACTCGGACAAGGGATGCAATGTTTGTCAGCCTGTCTAGCCGCCTTAAATTGGAATCTAGGGATGCGGGCCCAAGCTTGACAATGATTTCCGCGACATCAAGCATACCACGTTGTCGGAGCGAGGAGCTTTGAGGGAGGCACTACGGTAAAACAAATATTTTATGAATTATTGAAGTTTATATAGATGCTTGAAATGCGCAGATGCCCCTTGCCAAAAGAGTTGCCCCACACAACTCGATGTGAAGACCTTTATTCAGAGTATTTCGAACAAGGTAATAAATTAGAAATATTCTTATAAATGCGAATTTAGAACTACTACGGTGCTGCCCGCCAGATCCTTTCTGACAACCCTCTCGGTCTTACCTGCGGTATGATCTGCCCAACCTCCGATTTGTGCGTCGGCTCTTGCAACCTTTTCGGCTCTGAAGAAGGGCCGATCAACATCGGCGGACTCCAACAATTTGCTTGCGAGGTAGAAAAAAAACATTGTATTCCTTAAGCACCATTTCACAGGTTTTCAAGCGCATGAACATCCGGCAAATCGTCTCCAAGGAGGTTCGCGATAGCCGAAATGCTTCTCACGATCAACCCATTGCTCTTCTTGGGTAAAACAATCCCTGATGTATGTTCAATTATAAAATTCCTAGATGCGGCCCTGCTTCGATCTCTTGCGCCTCATTCATGGCTCGTCTTGGTTACACCAATGTGACGATCTACGAAAAGCAGGAATTCATCGGAGGACTCAGGTTTTAGAACAAGCTTACGTCAAAAAATCATTAATATAATCTAGTTCTTCGGAAATTCCGCAATTCCGCCTGCCATATGATGTTGTCGATTTTGAGATCCAGATGGCTAAGGATATTGGTGTCAAGGTTTGTTTTCAAGTTTTGCGCACCTAGATTTTTACAGATTGTCACCGGAAAATCTCTCCACAAGGATGATTTGACAGTTCAGAAACTGAAGGACCAAGGAGCCAAGGTATAATCGAATGCAAAGTTTTTTTAAATTATTATTTTCATTGTTAAACGTTAGATTTTTCTGTAGCTATCCTAATAGCTATGAAACTTTTGAATCTTTGCAGGGTATTTTCATCGGTATCGGAATGCCTGAGCCTAAGAAGATCGACATTTTCGAGGGACTTGATATTGAACATGGTTTCTACACCAGCAAGAATTACTTGCCCTTGGTTTCGAAGGCTAGCAAGCCAGGTAGAAGGAACTCGAATAGCATAGCTGTTTTTAGGAATGTGCGGATGCAAATCGACGCAGTTGCCCTCGATGAAGGGACGCGTGTTGGTGCTTGGCGCTGGAGATACAGCTTTTGACTGTGCTACTTCAGCTCTGCGGTATGTTCTAAATTGCTACAAAAAAATTAAAAATATGTGACTAGAACGGCAAAATATAAATTGTGTCCTGTACTATGGAACAATATACTGGTGTCCTATAGAACGCTTACTTTCAGTTGCGGTGCCTCAAAGGTTACCGTTGTCTTCCGTAAAGGCTTCACCAGCATCCGAGCGGTCCCTGAGGAGGTAGGATTTAATTACAATTATGTTTTTATTTCCCATAATTTCAAGATGGAAGCCGCCCGCGAGGAGAAGTGCGAGTTCATGCCTTTCATGGCCCCGCGAAAAATCAACGTCAAGGACGGACGGATTGTCAGCATGCAATTCGTCAAGACAGAAACCGATGATCAGGGCAACTGGTATTTAAGCGTTTTGAAAATTAATGAAATTCATTTAGGTATGAGGACGAAGAGCAGAGCCTGACCCTCAAGGCCGATTGGGTAATCTCTGCTTTCGGCTCAACCCTGATTGATAAGGATGGTATGTAAAGTAGCAAAAATATAGACTCTTCTTTCTTTTTAGTCGTCTCTGCCTTGGATGGCGTGAAGTTGAACCGATGGGGACTGCCTGAAGTCGATAAGGCTACTCAGGTAGATGGGAAATACACAAAAATAGCTGATTTTTCAGGGAACTTCCGACCCTGGTGTCTTCGTTGGTGGAGATATTGGCGGTGTAGCTGAAACCACCGTCGAATCTGTCAATGACGGAAAGGTAGTTATGGCAAAGCGGATATAATAAGCATAAATATAGGTTGCCGCCTGGCATATGCATCGTTATCTCCAATCCCTGCATGGTAATGAGGTGCCCTACGAGCCTAAGTTGCCGCTTTTCTTCACGCCTATCGACGAGGTTAGTCTAGATGTATATCTTAAAAAAGTTTATTTTTCAAGGTCGATATCTCGGTCGAAATGTGCGGTATGAAATTCGAGAACCCGTTCGGATTGGCTTCTGCCCCGCCGACTACTACTGGACCTATGTGCCGCCGTGCCTTCGAGCAAGGATGGGGTTTTGTATTGACCAAAACGTTCGGTCTGGACAAGGTATGGAATATGGCCTTACGTAAAGAATTATTCCAGGACCTCGTTACCAATGTTTCCCCTCGTATTGTCAGAGGCTCAACCAGCGGACCAGTTTATGGGCCAAACATGGTAATACACAATTTCTACCCGGATTCAAAAGTTTTAGAGCTCGTTCCTCAACATTGAGCTGATCTCCGAAAAATCGGCCGCCTACTGGTTGCAGTGTGTGAGGGAGCTGAAGAGGGATCATCCTACCAAGATTGTTATTGCCTCGGTTATGTGCACTTTTAATGAGGTAAAATATCTATATAATTGAAATATAATTAAGATAAAAATTGACATAGAAGTAAAATAATTCTTAAAGTTTTCATCTATTTCTAGGCTGACTGGCGGTTGATTTGCAAGCAAGCCGAGGATGCAGGAGCTGATGCTTTGGAGTTGAACTTGTCTTGCCCCCATGGAATGGGTGAAAAGGGTAGGTTATAAAACAAAATGATAGGCATGTAGAACAATGTTTTTTTTATTTAATATGCTAATTTTTGCGGTTTAAGGTATGGGTCTTGCTTGCGGACAAGATCCCGCGATCGTTAAGCAGATTTCTGCATGGGTCCGTGATACGGTCAAGGTATCTAACCACTTAAAGCATTAATTAGTGGATTTTCAAGATTCCATTCTTCCCCAAAATGACGCCAAACATTACCGATATCCGAGCAATTGCTCGTGGAGCCAAGGAAGGTGGTGCTGATGGAGTTACTGCCACCAATACTGTATCGACCCTCATGCACATGCGGGCTGATGCCACCGCTTGGCCTCAAGTTGGATCCGACAAGAGGTATCCTACGCTAATTACGAATAATAATTATTTTTCAGAACCACTTACGGAGGTATGTCCGGATCTGCTATCCGCCCAATTGCCCTCAAGGCTGTCTCGGCCATCGCTAACGACTTGCCTGGCTTCCCGATCCTCGCCACAGGAGGTAAATTTTGAAAGATATCTTATATCTACTTTTTATTAAGGTATCGAGTCGGCAGACACTGGTCTCCAGTTCTTGAACGCTGGAGCCTCAGTGCTTCAAGTCTGCTCTGCTGTTCAGAATCAGGACTTCACCGTCGTCCAAGATTACTGCACAGGATTGAGGGCCTTGCTTTACCTCAAGGTTGGTTTAAGTGATTCCACTCTCATGTCGAGGCAAGCTGTACGTTTTCTGTTTTAGGGCATCAAATCGCTGCGAGGCTGGGACGGCCAAAGCCCTCCTATCACCAAGCATCAGCGAGGCAAGCCGCTCTTGCTCGAGAACTCGGTTTGGCAGCACATTCATATTTTTATGGCCCCTTTAGCATCTGCCCAACTTTGGAAAGTTCCGCGATGAGCGCGAGAAGCAGGAGCAGGAGGTGCTCTCAAGGGCCAATTTGCTGGAGACAAATGGCACTCATTTTGCATCCCGGCCGGATAATCAGCCTGACAAGGTGTATTCGATCAAGGTTGGTATAAAATGCTTTAATAAATATTAATCCATAAAATTATTTCAGGACATAATCGGGGATGCTTTGCCCAGAATTGGACCATATGTTACTTTGGATAACAAGGAGCAGAAGGTTAGAATCAGCTTTAAAAATTTCAACATCTTTGAAGATTGCCATTATCGATGACGATATGTGTATCAATTGTGGCAAGTGCTACATGACCTGTAACGATTCTGGATACCAGGCCATTTCCTTCGACAAGGTAGAATTAAAACAAAGTTTGCTAATTTTTTCGAAATCCAGGTGACCCACTTCCCACATGTCAACGAAGACGATTGCACCGGATGTACGCTATGCTACAGTGTATGCCCGATCCCAGAATGCATCGAAATGGTCCCAAGGAAAGGATGGAAGGCGCCGATGCGTGGTATCCTCCCGGAGGTACTTATATAGCCTAGATACCCATTTCATCAACCCATATTTCCAGTTCGAGCCCGGCACCCCAGACGTCGTCAAGGTCGACAACAAGGGAAAGATCGTCTTGGACCCCAACTCTCCTTATTAGAAATATTTATTTAAGATTGTCCCTTCTATGTAAAACAAATTCTATTCTCTTCCAATTTCTCATTTTGCTCAATGCAAATTTTAATAGCGACATTTGTTTTGGACACATTGTGACGACTGATATCTTATAGACGTGCTTCTGTGCTATGCTATCGTAGATTTGTTATAAATAGTGTGCTGTGAGAATAAAAATTTTTCTGGGAATTTATTTTACAAATAAGCTTAGAAATTACAAAAATTTTTTGGCACAGTTATGTAAAAGTGGGATGAGCGACAAATTGAATGAGCAAAAACTATAATTTGTATAATTAATTAGAGGAATTAACGAAGAGATCAAAGCAAAATACCTTTTTAAATTAAATGCAATCACAAAATTGTTTTGATATGTATTGAAAATTGAAAGGATAAGGGTATAATAGAGCAAAATAGAGCTAAGAGTTAAATTAGGAAACGCTGGTCCACGCAGCTACTCTTCACGAGCTTATGAGTGAAAATGATGGCAAAGAGATTATGGGTGATTGTGTAGAAACCGAAGACGATAGCGGAAGCAAGGATCAAACTTTGGAAATATTGGTAGCAAATGAGGTACAGAATAGCTTCAAATGACACAGCCACCCATTCATGACCATAAGCAAAGCAGGCAGTGAAACCAGTTTCCGAGCGGTCGCGAACCATCTTTCCGCACTAAAAGAAATTACTGATTTTCTAAAATTGCCATGAAAACTTACATTAACACTATCATCCAAATCCATATCCAGCAATGCTTCCAGGAAAGTCAAGTCTCTCAGAATAAATGTGAATTCATTAGTGGTACGATCGAAGACGCTGATAAAGTACGAATTCAGCATGTCGTGCAGACGGGTTATAGCAGCCACCTAACACAAAGTTTTATACGCAAAACTTTGCAATGTATACTTTGCCGTAGATGGGTTGACCCCAGCTGGAATTGGTGGGCTTGGTGGGTAGACCTCGGCTTTGATCTAGAAAAAGTAATTTAACTTCCTTGAGGTTAACCTTTTCGATGCGATCGTTGAAGAGGCGAGGGAAACTGTAGTAAAATGTTTGCAGCTCGGTGTTGATCTCTAGTCCTCGCTGCCCGACGACTCCATCACGTTCACGTTGGAGGTACTCGTTAATTTCACGCATATCGGTGTCAGAGCTGGAGGTACGGTATCGTAAATGGATTTGAAAGATACTGCACTGACCGTCCATGCGGGCTTCTTCCATGGATATAATAGCCTTGTAGGGTATGGGCCATTGAAAGGACCGAAATGTTACAGACGGAACATAGATCGACAAAATCGTGGAAACGGTCTTTGAACACCCGCTCGTAAATCAGGACGGATATGGCCCATTGTAGGAATACTAAAGCAAGGTAGACAAACATCACGACCGCCCAGCTTGTCGTCTAAAGCTCACTACACTGATGCGACAGTGGTCAACTTACAGTACTGATCACAAATCCCTCGGGGGGAGGTTGCAGACTAAATCCGGGCCGAACCACCGCCCAGTTGATCCACCCAAAATACTCGAGAATCAACGGAATCAAGACGACTTGAAGGGCAACACTCGTTTTACGGTATGACTGTAGCTCGTTCCATTCGTTTGCAACCAGGTATGTTCGCCAGATGATCTGAAAATTAAATATTTTATGACGAATTTTAGCTTACGGGTGGTGCTTGTGCAGAAGGTTGTCCACGGGGTACAGGTAAATTCGTGAGATTCTAAAAGATATTATTTTTGGTTGAATTCTCCAAACCCGTGGTTTTTCCCAATCGATGAAAAATGTATTGCCATTCGATATGCACCATCGATTATGGATGAAAGCCACAAATTTTAGGCCTAATGCCGCCCAGGCGAAGCGCATCATAGAAGTCTCCTGAGAAGCCATCGGTAGTCGATAATAGAAGTTGGACTAAACGTACGTTAGGTATTAAATCCTCATCATACCTGATTTTTTGTACAAAAACGTTAACCAGCAAGCCATTACCGTTATTACAAATAAAAATACGTTCCCTGAATCCAATTGAATTTTTTTGTAGATATGATTATACCCAATATGCCGCATTGCATAAATATAAGTTGCATGAATGTCCAGATATCAAACAATTGTCTACCATTTCGACGTCCCCAGCTAAAAATAATGGCACGACTATCTCAATTACCTGTAAGCTTGCGTAGCTCCCCATAAAACTGATAATACGGAAATTGTTGCCATCGTTATTTCCATATCCTTATCATGCCGGAATGGATCTTGAGAATAATGAATTCCCAGTTTGAATGGAACCTCGAAAAACTAAATCGGTAATAGATTGAAATCTCATCTGTCTTCTTACCTCTACGTCTCCAGGAATAATTTGGTCGTAAATTATTTTAACCAATGGTACTCCAATCCGTCCATCTCGGGAGCTTTCCAAATATATTTCGAAAGTCAGCTGCTTTACAAAACGGGCTATAGTAAAATTGTCGCTTTTCACGGACTAAATTAAAGTGTACGAAGATTATTTTGTGACGCACCTTCGAATCATACATGAAAAACCTCCTGGTCAACTGCAATTGCTCCATTTTTTGCTGTGTCAATTCCGAATCCAGATTCGGATTCATCATGGAACTAGCCACATATATTGGGCACATCCTGCGTTCTTCGAATGTGAAATTCAATGACATATCCGGTGGTACTTGCAGTAAGAATTCATAGAACAGTCCATCGTGTTGTTCAGCAAAGTTCAGGTCAATCTTCGAATCTAGTGAATATGCAACACCGAATGCAAGAGCTTCATGAAGAGTTTGGGTGGTTAGGCGAGGTGGGGCTAACTGGCTGGTTTCCAAGGGCAAAAAACTTTGCATAGTGCCATTTGTAAAAAATGTTGCGACATAAATGACGAGTCTACCCTGGGGGCTTTCTTCTAGCTTGTACTTAGCTGGTGGCCCACCCAGAGCATTTACAGTGGGGAATGTTTGGCTTAATGTTGGAGGGAGTTTATTTCGCATCACGCCAGAAGCCAGATCGGAATAGTAGGAACAAGCATTATCAGCTGATATAGCATTCTTTTGTAGGGTGCATAGATTGATTAGCATTTGACAGGCTTCGGTGTTTTGGGCTTGACAGCCTTGAATGGCTGTTGGGAGAAGAGTTTCAATGTAAACCGATCGTATTTCATCGATATTCGGGTTTATTCTTGTTAGATTGGCCGGAGAAGCGGACTGACAGCCTGGGATTTCACAGGGAATACAGTTGATACCATTTTCATCCGGATGCGTTTCGGGAGGGCATTTAAAGCAAGCCACCTTGGACAGTGGCCGCCCATTTGAATCGTGAAAAGCACGAATTGAGCCCGAATCACAGCCACAATTTTCTCCCTCACATACACTACAAAATTGCTGATCGGCGTTTGGGATTTAATTTAAAAATCTAATTTTTTCGAAATCCAGGTGACCCACTTCCCACATGTCAACGAAGACGATTGCACCGGATGTACGCTATGCTACAGTGTATGCCCGATCCCAGAATGCATCGAAATGGTCCCAAGGAAAGGATGGAAGGCGCCGATGCGTGGTATCCTCCCGGAGGTACTTATATAGCCTAGATACCCATTTCATCAACCCATATTTCCAGTTCGAGCCCGGCACCCCAGACGTCGTCAAGGTTGACAACAAGGGAAAGATCGTCTTGGACCCCAACTCTCCTTATTAGAAATATTTATTTAAGATTGTCCCTTCTATGTAAAACAAATTCTATTCTCTTCCAATTTCTCATTTTGCTCAATGCAAATTTTAATAGCGACATTTGTTTTGGACACATTGTGACGACTGATATCTTATAGACGTGCTTCTGTGCTATGCTATCGTAGATTTGTTATAAATAGTGTGCTGTGAGAATAAAAATTTTTCTGGGAATTTATTTTACAAATAAGCTTAGAAATTACAAAAAATTTTTTGGCACAGTTATGTAAAAGTGGGATGAGCGACAAATTGAATGAGCAAAAACTATAATTTGTATAATTAATTAGAGGGATTAACGAAGAGATCAAAGCAAAATACCTTTTTTAAATTAAATGCAATCACAAAATTGTTTTGATATGTATTGAAAATTGAAAGGATAAGGGTATAATAGAGCAAAATAGAGCTAAGAGTTAAATTAGGAAACGCTGGTCCACGCAGCTACTCTTCACGAGCTTATGAGTGAAAATGATGGCAAAGAGATTATGGGTGATTGTGTAGAAACCGAAGACGATAGCGGAAGCAAGGATCAAACTTTGGAAATATTGGTAGCAAATGAGGTACAGAATAGCTTCAAATGACACAGCCACCCATTCATGACCATAAGCAAAGCAGGCAGTGAAACCAGTTTCCGAGCGGTCGCGAACCATCTTTCCGCACTAAAAGAAATTACTGATTTTCTAAAATTGCCATGAAAACTTACATTAACACTATCATCCAAATCCATATCCAGCAATGCTTCCAGGAAAGTCAAGTCTCTCAGAATAAATGTGAATTCATTAGTGGTACGATCGAAGACGCTGATAAAGTACGAATTCAGCATGTCGTGCAGACGGGTTATAGCAGCCACCTAACACAAAGTTTTATACGCAAAACTTTGCAATGTATACTTTTGCCGTAGATGGGTTGACCCCAGCTGGAATTGGTGGGCTTGGTGGGTAGACCTCGGCTTTGATCTAGAAAAAAGTAATTTAACTTCCTTGAGGTTAACCTTTTCGATGCGATCGTTGAAGAGGCGAGGGAAACTGTAGTAAAATGTTTGCAGCTCGGTGTTGATCTCTAGTCCTCGCTGCCCGACGACTCCATCACGTTCACGTTGGAGGTACTCGTTAATTTCACGCATATCGGTGTCAGAGCTGGAGGTACGGTATCGTAAATGGATTTGAAAGATACTGCACTGACCGTCCATGCGGGCTTCTTCCATGGATATAATAGCCTTGTAGGGTATGGGCCATTGAAAGGACCGAAATGTTACAGACGGAACATAGATCGACAAAA